CCCTGTCAGACTTAGTGAGCCCGCGAATGTCACTACTCTTCTTCGCATGTTTGATAGATGGTACGTGGATACAACTCATATGCCAGCAGAAGATGGCGTCAAAATCGTCATTCAGGGAAGAGAGGCAGTCAGTGGATGGGTGGAAGCCAGGACCCTGGCTAGTGCAGATTCAGAGAGCGTTCAGTCATTTATCTTCGAAGATATCATTTGCCGGCATGGTTACCCGCGAGAGATTGTTATGGATGATGGTCCGGAGAACCGTGCCAAGACGCTAGCATTTCTCAAAGACAAAGGAGTCAAAAAGGTGACAATATCGGCCTACCACCCTGGCTCAAACGGACCCGTGGAGCGAGCGATGAGGACACTGAAAGATGCTCTCTCAAAAATGACGGGAGGTTACCCTTTTCAAAGACATGCACCTATCAACAGTTGGAGACCTCACTTTCATGCCGCGTTGATGGCGGATAGGGTTACAGTCAATGCCACAACAGGGCTCTCTCCATATTATTTCCTATACGGCATTCATGCAGTCCTACCAATAGAGCTGGAGATGCCCACGTGGAGCACACTGCCATGGGAAACTGTCCGTGACCGCTCTGACCTTATTGCCATGCGGACAAGACAGATCGAGCGCCGCGAGAAGGATATCGAAGAAGCCGTGCTACGCATGAATCGCCTTAAGGAGAACAATGCAAGTTACTTCGACGATCACCGCCGAACAAGACAAACCCCTCTGAAGAAGGATGACTACGTGCTCTTACATGATAGCCAGAGGTCTACGGACATGACATCTGTACAGAAACTCCGCTTCAGGTGGCTCGGACCTTATCTCATTGACTCAGTGAAAGGGAATGGGTCTTACTCGATTAGGGAACTCGATGGCACAGTGCTAAGCCATATCGGTGACAAAGGAGCAGATGCTATCAATGGTGATAGGCTGAAGAGGTTCTACCCTCGGGGAATCGGGGATCGTGATAATGATGATGGTGATGGCACAGCTCACGGAGAAGCTATACAGCAACCCCATCAGCTACGTACGCGTAGGCCTGTTGGAAGACCAAGGAAGAAGAGGTAGTGATATGGTAAATTTTCTTTACGTTTTGATGTCTTTTGATGCTATTTCGGGTTTTCTTTGTCTCCAAGTTGTAACCGCCGTACTCAGTTTCTCTCATGCGTTTGCGAGTCTTTCATTCGAAGTCCTTCATTCATTTCATTTCTACGAGTCATCTGTTTTTCAGCCGAAAAGTCATCTCTCCTTACCACCTATCTCCCTACCTCCCACTGTTCTTACCCTCTTCCCAAAACCCACGAGCCGCAACGATGAGCGAAGAACGGTTTCCCCAAGAACTGCAGCTGCAAGGACAGCAGATCGAGTCTATCGAGGACGCTCTCGAGATCCTACGCGGCTGTGACAAACCTGCAGCCTACCAGCTTGCTAGCCAGCTACTCGAGAAGCTAGAGAACTACCACGAACGCGTCGAGGACGCGATTAGCCGCCTTTACGGATATGTTGACGAGCAAGAGCTATGGAAAGGACAAGAGGACCACGCAGAGTTCAGGCGCAGATGGAAAGAAGCAAAGAGGGTCCAGGAACGACAGGCATCCACAGAGTCCTACACTGCAAGCATCAAGATGAAGGCCATCACTGCATGGGGAGAACAGAACGCGAATGCCTTCTTCGAACACCTTGGGTCCAGAACCATGGTCGAACTTGCCAGCAAGTTCGTGCGATCCTCTCTCAGCTACGAAGACCTCAGATTGTCTGTCAATAACGAGGTCGTGCTACGTCTGTCATCTTCAGGACGTGGCATTCGCACCACCAAAGAAGTGATCCAAGGAGACTTATCAAAGGCACTTACCCGCAAGAACACCCGGCCACTGATCATCGAGGATTTAAGAAGACTGGGACTGCAGCTTGACCAAGATGGATACTGCTGTGCCCATGGCATGGGAAACCCGTTGCCAGTTACAGACACGGGGGCAGCCGTACTACAAGAAGTCAGTGAGGAGATGGACATGGACGAAGAATCCGACTACCCTCAGGAAGATGTTGAGATAGAGCATGGGAGTGACGTCTCTTCAGCGCTCTCAGACGCACCCTCTTATCTTGAAGATCCCGATTTTGACGCCGACGCTGACACTGGTGATAATGATTCGCTGGCTACACGCCGTACCCGCGTTGTGGACTGCGGCTGCGCTATTGAGAGAGCTGCTATGAACAGAATACTAGCGCTGCCTAAGGACGCTACTGAGCGGCAAAAGCTGATAGCGCTAAGGAAGCTAGGCCGAGGCATCTTGTCCGAAACTGTCACTATTGTCACGGAGATTGAGATATGTGAGGACCATGCAAAGAGAGTGTTTGACCTCTTTGGAATGAGAAGCGCTAGCAAGAATCATGCGGCATTAGCATGGCGTGTTGACTTCATGATCAAGAACCTTAACGACTGGGATACTGTGATAGCAGAACACGGCGCCTGGTTTATTCAGCCGAAAAACCAGGTCCCTAGCACTGACACTTTGAGCTTTTACCGCTTTCATCATAAGACTAGACAGCCACTGATCGCGAACTTTGATAAGGATGTTCCTTGGCTATCATTTGAGAGTCTTTACCGACGTATGCAGCCGTCCCTTACCGACAATGGACAACTCCCTACCGACTTGTTTGACCGCATGAACCAACAAGGCACCGTCGTTATCCCGCAGCTCTTCGGATGGCTCAAAGAGGACTTCGACGGCCAGCACCCAGGTGGCATTCTTGCTATGGCAAATGAGGAGATAGACATGTATGACTACCACTATCAGCCACGCCCTCACCGACCACGCCTGGGGTGGTTACGCGATATGTGGTACAGTATCATTCAACAGGTCGTGAAACAAGACCCTGCCTACTACGCATGCTACGTTTTCCTACGACCTGATCACGCATGGCGTCTGATTTCTTACCCTTACTACGCCAAAAGCACTCTGCCAGGAGAACAGACCTTCTTTCGGCACATCGATGTGAACCTGAATGACTTGTCTCACTCTGGACGTGGGCGCGCCATTTTGCAAGGCAGCCTTTCGCTTACCGATGAAGATGAGAATAACTGCACCGAGTTACTCTGCGGCATGCACCCTCACGTACAAGAATGGTGGTCTGATGTTAGGCAGAGGCAGCAAACTGCTGATGGTCCTGTCAGCCGTATCGAACCATGGATGTGGACGCGTGACGATGTTGCCAAGTACCATACGGATTGGACGAAAGAGATCTGTCGCGCCGGAGATGTTAGGGTCAGCCTGCCTACGTTACCCCACGGTTCTACAGGACCTGCCACTAAGATACGCCGCACGATACTGCCATGGTTTGTCCGCATCAGAGAGGATCACTCAACTCTCGACGTTCCTGAGTCAAACACATGGGAAGAGCTTGCCGCCGCCCATAGAGACCTCATTCCTGCATCAAGAACTCCCTCGGGGTTTACTAGTCAGAAGTATGGGCGTATCCCGTACCCATTCCCTGCTGCAGTACGTTTCTGCCCAGGCAACCTGATCTCTCGCTGCTTGGTAGGAGGTTCTCGCTGGACCGAAGCTGGTGTTGCCGACGAGCTCGATACCTTGTTCGGAGAGAATGAGGATGCTGCCATTGAATACGTAAAGTCATGGAGATCCAAGGCACAGCACGAGTATGTCCGTCTATACCAGACAATGGTAGACAGTGAGAAACGCGCCTTCGGCAAAGACTCCTTCTTCAGGAGAAAAGAACTGGGTCTGTCAGTTGATCCTCCCCTACCGCTTGACCGCGAGGACATTGCTTGAGTTATCATGATGGCTTATTGACCAGGGGACGGTCAATTCATGAAGGGGGGTGGTATGTAGTGGGGAAATCACGACACTTGTATGATTACTGCCTCAGGCAGTGATATCCTCGAGGACGGGTTATGGGCAACCTACGACTGTAGAGAAGGATAGACAGTTACAACAATGCCACTCATTTCCTGATTCAAGATTTATGATCATTATGCTCCTTGATATAGCATCTGATTATCCCTGATAGGCATCATCTGTCTAGAGCTCACAGACCTGACTTGTTGTTCGGTTTTCTTGCCACCATTTGTCGACCCGTCTGTTTTGACCAGACTGCCATCGAGCATCTCCCATTTCATTACTTGTTTTCCTAATGCAGGAGATTCCTTAAATAGTACTACTCAATGCCGATCAGTGAGATGGATGGTGAGAAACTCTGAATGGAAGTCAAATCTCAACGCTAAGACTCTTTTTATTGAGGAAAAGGGTGCATCATGAGTGTAGAAAAAGCACATTGCCTTTGGAAGTCACATATTGAATGACGTCTAACTCTGTCGATCTACTTTTGTAGGATGGGAACTGTTTCCATGCACCGACCGATTGATAAACGCACATGATGACCGCATTGACCATGGTAACGCCGCTGTATCCAGATTTCAAGGCCACGGAACTTCCTTGTTTACTGGAGTAAGATAAATTTTTTATGGAACAGTTCCTTATCCTACTAACATAATGGCCTTGAGATTATTATAAGCCGTCATCACTATAATTTTCTACTTTATGGTCCGCTGAATACAAGCGGATCGGCCCGTGCGGGTACAGTGGTGTATCATTATTGTTGCTAAAACTGTATCCCTCGGGCGTTTCACGACCTTGGGTCGTATGCAGCCCCCTAGCTATTGTGCAATGTTCCCCGGGGTATGTACATTTGATAGATTCACGATCTCACAAAGTTTCGACAGTCAGTAATAATTCCTCAGAACCGTTCAGCAGCCGTACGGCTCGTCGCTCAGGCAAACACGATAACAGCTTTGACAATTTTCACCTCGGGTCTCCACGCTTTCCCATTCGGTTCACTGGTCCCATCTACACTCTCTGATTTATCTCTCAAAAAGGTAAACGTTGGTCGAAAAATGTATGAAACGCAGCCCATATTCTTGGTACTTAACAGATATTGTTGGAAACGTACTCAGCATTTGAAACCTAGCCGTCCGATATCACATAATAGGGTACTCGGCTGTATGCTTCCATGGGAACAGGAGCAGGTTCTGGGCATTGAGGAGGTTGATATATTGAGCCAATACACTCACCATGGCAAGTAAGTCCTCACGAGCCTCCGACTGATTGGTGTTTTTCTCAACATTGATTGTAATGAGATTGTTGATTTTGTGATGACTGTTACGGAGAAACTCAGTGCCCACATATCCCAGGAACTCGGCGGGCGCAGAGACGAGCTCTCTATAAAGGACAATCAGATGTTTGAGATCAAATTCAGGGTGCGTTGCTGCTATCTTGAGAAGGTTGTCAAAGACATAATAACCGAGAGTCCGAACCTCACTGTTAGCAAAGAGCATAGCAGCAAAGTAGGAGTCCTTCGATCCTGGTTTTGATGAAGCCCGGCCGCTATGTATGGCTTTGATATTGTCTGATATTCCGGACCAAGACTTCTCCATCTGACCAATGGTTTGAATGAGTTAGCCCTATTTATAGGATACCAAAGCAACGCATCAAGGCATACTTCTTCGTGAATCTCTTGAACGAGACTCTTTACCTCTTTTGTCGCCCCAGCGCGCTGAAGGCGAAGTGAAAGGCTTTCAGGACCAGGCTCAGGGCTTGAAGCATCCCAAAGTATGACTTCAATAGGTTCCTTTGTCTCAATCTGACTTTTCCAGACCTCTTCTCCAAGCCAGCGCAGTTTCGCTAGGTCCTCGGGGGCCACGTTCCCACAAGGAGCTGCAGGGTGATGCTCAGTCACGCGGCCATACTTGATAGCTAGATGCTGAAATTTCGAAAGAAACACGGTACCATCGGGCTCCTTGGCTCTATCAGGACACTTGAATTCAGGGTTTGTGTACTTTCCGAAATTAGGATCGAAGAAAGAATTAAATCGCTGAAGAAGGATGCACTCACAATCAAAGGCTCTGATGGAACAAGATGATATAGGTGATCGCCCGTAACCAAGGCATGCGTCTGGAGAGAGCGATAGGGAAGAGTATCCCAAAGAAGCTTCACTAATGCAGCATTCAATTCATTCATTCTGACTGTGACTGTCAGATTGAACTTGGGCCACTTGATTTTGAGTTCACGAAGTCGCTGGCTGTTATTGTGATGGTCCATTATGGGCGCATACGACGATGTTGAAAACTTTCAAGAGTAGATCTGGTATTATTCCTTGGCCTGAGCTTGTCCCAAACCGCGTCTTTTGTATTTTCCAGGTGGCAACCCCGTAGGCACATAGTGACGAAGGTTTCTGCAACGTCAATATCTGCTGATCTGGCACTTCTATGTGGCTGAACAGGCAACGAGCTTGATCTTGATCTAGCCATATAGGAAGTTTTCGTAGGCTGGCACCACGTCACCAAATCGTCAGAAATAGGTTTGCTTGCGTCGAAGATCGTTACACAGGGTTGGCAGTGGCGAAGGTGCAACCGAAATAGCTTAATGGAAGCGAGCGACACTCGGTAGGTCTGATGTTTTGCCAGCAACAATACAGGAAACTTTTGATCAAGTTTTGCCCTGATGAATAGACACATTACGTAGTGAAGGTTGCGGTCAACTCTTTAGGGACGAGCGGATGAGCGTAAGACTCAATCTGCGATCTTTAATTGCACCTTTACGAACCATAGTTGGGTTAGAGTAGAAGCATGTATATTTACGAACTTGGCGCTTTATTTTACGTAAATATGCTCTCACTGGTCTCCAGCAAATAATACATCCCTATATTGGCCGCGCAATATTGTAATGCAACAATACTAATCGTGTTCTGCAGGTTTTGAGGCCTGTCAAACAGGCCTTGACTTCGATTACGACACACACCAATCCATGAATAATGCAGTTGGCCTATTTGCCTCCGTCACATCGACCAAACCAAACGGCACCTCCCCCTCCATTGGTATGTCATGTCATATCATATATGCCTGACACGACATAACAAATATCTTTCAATCAACCATATTCCTACTTTCACGAACATTCAGTCAGTTGAATCAATCTACAAGTATCAGCTCCAGCATATTTTCTCTACCTCAAAGTAAACTGCTGTTACCTTTTTGAAATTCCAGCTATAGTATTGGGAACCTACTTGACCTATGAGTGAAAAGAAACCCGGTTAACATTCCATGCTACACACCATCGACATACTACCAATCGTAAAGCAAGCGCGGGCCTCTGTTGACCATGTTTAAGTGAAATGCGTCATGCAAATCCCTTCTTGTCGAACGTTCCTGGAGACCCCAGTTATCTGTAAAATACCATTTTGGGAGATTAATGACGTAAGATGAGATATGTGCTTCGCAAGCCATTACCTGGAAAAGTGCACAGACGAGAAATGCTGCGTAGTTGCCCAGGTGGGTGTATACGGCGTCCATGCGAAGGGTGTCTGCAGTTTCCGTTCTCCGGCCAGGTATATATTCGGTAGAACCCACACCAATTATGCCAGCTTCCTTTAAAGTCAAACTAAGAACATCAATCGAACTCATTTTTCGTTCTTCAATATATCTGCATTTCTACATATTGAGCACCAGTACTGATGGATACCAACTACGATGATCCATTCCGCAAAACTTGTCTGGTTCCGTATCCAAAACCCGACGACCTCCCACCGTTATTGCGCGAGAAACTAAGCATTCTGCCTTTCCGCCGCAATATCCTCCTGACCATTGCAAACTCGCATGGTCTCGCACCCCATTTGCTGAGTCTCATTGGTGCGTGCTTCGATGGCACCCAGCGCGGACTACCAACGCTTGACTGGCAACTGATCGTTTTACGCACTGCCACGGTCCTCAAAGCAAAATATGAATACGATGTGAACCTCCCAGTTGCTGAAGTCCACAATATGCCTCAAGAGAAAATCGACAATATAGATTGTTCTAGTGACTCTGTCCATCGCTCCGGCCAGGGCCCATGGACAGACCGCGACCGGATTTTGCTACGATTGGTTGATGAACAGTTAGCCACATATACCAACGAAGAGAACACAATTCAGGACGGTGTGAAGATACTTGGCGCCGATATGGTTGTCGAGGTGCTCATTGTCATCGGTGTTTATGGTCTATTAGCTCGGCTAATTAAAGGCCTGAGAGTGGATGATGACCCGGAGGTTCCAGATGTGAAAGAAAAGATCAAGAGCGCTATCACTGCTACGAGTAAGGCTGAGGTCTAACTTGCATTTCATCATATTTTGGTGACGGGCAACACTATCGTTGAGATATATAGAAAGCAGAAGAAACTAACGACATTCACTTGACATCAAAAGTTCATCATCAGAGTCCCATAATCAATACGTAAAGACTTAGGAAAATCTATTTTCGAGTATTGCTGTAGCTACTAAGGCCGTTTTGCCTATGCCCAAGGTTTTGCCTTTGCCTAAGGAGACTTGTTAAAAAAGTGAAATAGCACTGCCTCTAGCTGTATCAGAAGGTCTACTACTCTTCCTTGCGCAAGCTTCTACGGCAAGATTGGGGCGACGAAACACGTACACACAGCTATAGCCATATCCTTTTCTATGTTATTGTGGCAGTAGACCTAAGAGGTCGAGGCTATTGGGGACTACATATGATCATTCCTGGCGGGCGTAAGTCTGCTAATTCACTTTGAGCTCCACCCTAGTGTTGAATGGTAGCTTCTCGTTTAACTAAGCTCTATCGACCTTTCGAGAACTTGAATTCTGATATGATAAGATATTTACCTTCTTTTTCCATATGGGTTGCTTCAGCATTTTCTGGGCCTATTCTTTCCGGTTATCTTGCTTTCACCACCCCATTCACAATCAATTACACTATTCTTTCTTAGATTGGTCAGATATCTATCACGATTCAAAGATCTGAATAAAGCGTAGCGACACAAAGCATATTATAAATCTGCCAGGCCGACAGGTAACATGCAGTTTACAGAAATTTGAGGCAATTTGTCGGGCTGAACATACCGCTAGCACCGGTTATCCAGCCGGCACTCAATCCTAGTTACAGTATTTATGTGGTAATCAAATGGTTCTTTAAATTAATAACTGCCTCAAGGTTGGTTCCCTTAGTACTAGCGTATACCGGTATCCTGCATCCGGCATAATCCGTCAGCTTAAGGTATTCAGACCCGTTTCAAGTGTTCTTCGTTTTCTGATGTACCTTTGCAAGGTTATGATTCCCTTGTGGATTCTGACAGACTGGCTTGTTTATTCATCGTCCGCCCATTGCCCATTTTATTGTATTGCACGTCTGGACCGCATCATGAACATCAACCCTGGGGATCTCTTAACTGACACACTTCAACAAAAGCGGATTCAAGAAGACATGTCGAATAGTAGTCAATACGCCAATGCTCTCAGGTTGACGTTTCATTACAAATTGAAAAGTACCTTACGAAGTTTATAACGCAATACTGAGCATACATGTACCTACATGTACCTCCACGTGGTCATCACTCAACTCTTGTAGACACGTAGGATAGTTTAGAAACAAGAACCGAGGGGCATGTGCACAGATGAGCTTTCTTGAAAATCAAGGAACATGATGCTCATCGCACTTGAGAAACAAATCATGATGCAATGTATTTCTCTAAAATTCTGTCTGCATTTGCTTTGGGCCTCTGATTCGAAGGTATTGGATCAGATGTGATACTTATACTTGAGCCATGCAGCATAGTACACCAAAAGGAGTAAAAAGCTACGTAGGTATGACAGAAGGGACATGCGCTCGAGTCTGTTGCCCGTCTGCTATACCTCAGATAGTGTGTGTGAAATAATATTTAAAGAGGCCCAATCTCATTATACCGCAGACAAGTATCGCGACACCTTATCTACTATATCTTGAAGCTCCCTGCATTACACTTGCCATCTTGAGTTGTATCACTCCTCCATTTATCATACCAATCTCTTTCCAAATATTGTTGAAGATTGTCTCGCTAGCAAAGATGAACCGTTTGCTCACCGAAGTTGCTAGTCAGAATCCGAGTGCCCTGGCTATCGAAGATGGGCCACGTATCCTCACATACAATGATCTCTTGAAAAGAGCGGATGCCTTGGCACAAACAGTTCAGAAATATCCGCTTGAGCCCAATGAGGCAATTGCCGTGATCTTTGGTCCAAGTATCGAGATGGTCATTGCACAGGTTGCACTTCTTCGTCTAAATCTGACAAGTGTGCCTTTAAACCCCGGTTTGCCCAACCTTCGAATCAAGAAAATGCTTGGGGATATCAACGTCCGCTATGCAATCGGTTCGGCCGAAGTCGAGAATTTAGACCTGTCTATCATTCCGATGCCGACTGATGATTTGGAGTTCTGTCAAGAAGATTCATCATCATCTAAAATCATGCAGGACCCAAATCACAGCCATATCCTTTTCACCTCTGGATCAACTGGGAAGCCCAAGGCTGTCCATATTACCCCAGAAAGTCTGGTCAACCTTGCCACATCTACCAAAGTCACTCCCCTCAAAACAACCGACCGTGTTGCGTTGATCAACAATTCAGGGTTCGATATTTCTCTTTTCGAAGTCTGGGCATCCCTTCTTTCTGGTTCTACTATTGTCGTTGTACCAAGAGAGATTGTCATTGATCCTCTTGCCTTCCGTGATTTCATAGCCGAACGCCAATTGACCGTTATTTTCTTGACAACCTCGCTCTTTAACGCTACGGCTCTCGCTTGCCCTACGGCCTTTCAAGACGTACGTGAGGTACTGACGGCGGGTGAGGTCGCGAGTCCGTTGGCGATGCGTACGGCCTTGGAATCTGGAGGATCACCCGAGCGCCTATGGAATACTTATGGCCCCACCGAGACGACGAGCTTTTCAACACTTCAACTCGTAACTTTGAAAGAAGCGCAGCGCGAGAAGATTGGAATAGGTCAGCCTAGTGGAGACATTGTCTTTCTACTAGATGATAAGTTTGTCCCAATTACCACCAACAACACAGTTGGGGAAATATTCATCGGTGGACCAGGAACCTCGCCTGGTTATATCGGGCGGCCCGAGGAGACTGCTTCCCAGTTTCTAGATTTCACAGGGCATGATCTAGGCATCGATACTCCAGAGGCAGTGCGCCTCTACAAAACAGGCGATTTGGCACAGTGGCGAGACTATTCTACGAATACCTTGGATTTCATCGGACGAGTAGACCGACAGATCAAACAAGACGGATTTCGTGTCGAGTTGGAAGAGGTGGAAAAGATTCTGCTCACTAGCGGCTGGTTTACAAGATCTGTCGTGGAGCAACTACGAAGGAATGAGCAAACAGAGCCGTTCCTGGTTGCATATGTCACGAGTAGAGTGGCTGGAATTTCCAAGCAACGGGTTATGAGTTGGGCATCTGGTCGAATGCCACCCTATATGGTGCCGCGTGATATTGTGTTCTGTTCCAGCTTTCCTCTAACACAAAGCAACAAGGTGGACCTTAAAGCCCTTGAGAAGTCTTATTGGGAGTACTATGAAGATGCCCAAACAAAGACTGGGGCTGAAAATCAAGATTCAGAACTCATCGCCCTAGCTCGAGATCTTTGGTCATCTTTGCTGGGTGTACCGAGAATCAGCGATGAAGATGACTTTTTTACCCTCGGAGGTTCTTCGATCAAGTCAGCAACGTTGATCAGCAAATTGCGCTTGAACATGGGCAGAACTATTTCTATGCGGGCTCTCCACGAAAATCCTCGGTTTAGTGATTTCGTTGCCTACTTGAAAGAGTTCGCTGAAGGTACTGTGGCAACACACCAATCTGAGCGATGGAGAGAAGATTCGTACCTGGCAGACAATCTCACTATCATTCCCGGAGATGTCCCAGAATGGCTTTCGGAGAATGAAGGTCGCGTGTTTATGACTGGAGCTACTGGATTCGTCGGTATCAATTTTCTCACTCGACTTCTGGGTCATCCGGGCGTGAAAGAAGTTGTTTGCCTGGTGAGGGAAAGAAACAATATGACGCCCCGCCTTCGGATCGAACAAGTACTGAAGAAATATAATCTTTGGGACAGTACTTCTTCCAGCCTTTCAAAACTCACCGTGCTGAACGGGGACATCACCAAAGATAAACTTGGTCTGTTACAGGATGATTTCACCTGGCTTGTTGATTGGGCTAGCGTGGTCTTCCACCTTGGAGCGAAAGTCAATTTCTGTGAGCCCTACGAGGCCCATTTCGACGCCAACGTTCTGGGTACAAAGAATGTGCTCCAGGTTGCTACCAGTGGTCGACTGAAGTCGTTCCATTTCACTTCTAGTATCGACGCCTGGGGTCCCAATGGATTAATTCTTGGTACACGAAGATGCTTGGAAGACGATACACTTGAACCGAACCTGAAAGGTCTTCCATACGACATCGGGTATGCAGCGAGTAAATGGACATCCGAGCAAATGGTACGCCGTGCTCGAGACAGAGGCCTTCCCACAGCCATCTATCGGCCCGGTTTTACCACGGGGGATTCAAACACGGGCAGTGGAAACCCTGACGACTTTTTTGCTCGCTTGATGGTCGGATCGATCCAAATTGGTGCGTTTCCCCACTTGCCTAGACAGCGAATGGAATACGTGACTGTGGACTATGTCTGTAACGCAATGCTTCACATCGCTTCGGATAATACCAACCTGGGTCAATCATATAGCCTTGTTGCTCCTGACCCAGCTGACTCGGTCAACCTGGAGAAGACGGTCGATGTCATCAATGATGCTGGATATCCGGTCGAGAGAATCCCGTACTGGGACTGGGTTTGTCGACTCCAAGATCCCAAGAACCAGGACAACCCGCTCATGCCCTTGATGCCTCTTCTGCAAGAGAAGGTTTGGGGTGACTTGACCAGGTTTGAGACGAGTCGAGAAACACCTCACTATGATTCAACCAATGCGGTTGCCGCTCTGGCCGATGCTCCTGAGATTGTATACAGTCCCTTCAGCCCTGATCAACTGAACCGTTTCTTAGCATTCTGGGGAGCGAAGGGCTTCTACTCCGTTTGAACTTCAGTTATTGACCATGAAACTTGGTTGCTTTTTGATATTTGATTGCAAAAGGAAGTGAAAATGAAAGTACTCCGTGTGAGTGTTGGAGACTCGAGGTTGCGGGTACCCGATCAGGTACCCGAGGCGTGCTCAATATACTCTGAGATCAAAAAGCGGCAAGAGATGAGCACTAAAATGGAAATGGAAAAACGTCTCGAGTGCCAGGTATTATCCAGTATACTATATGAACCTTAGCCCACTGTCGAAGTTTTGTCAAAGTTCTATAAATCTATAAGATCCAGGAATCGCAAATGAAATCACCAGCCCTTCCACGGCACCCAAGTCTCCCTAACAATATCATCCTGATCAACAACGTAATACGCGAAATGCATAGCTGCAGTGATACAAGCATGCTGAATATAAAGCAAAACCTTATCACCAACCGTAAACGCGTTCTCGATCTTATCCTCTGCGGTCAATTTCAACCCAGCCTTTTCGACAAGTCTCCTCGTCTGCTCAGAGTCCGCCCAGCCAAGGATTCCATGCTCCTGTGCCATACGCACGACACTCCACTGGGGGCGATCCGTGACAACAGCAAACCCAGGGAACTCACTCGTCTCTTTCGACAGAGCGACTGTGCCGGCGTTGATAAGTGCTTCATTGCGTTCCGGGTACACGCTACAAACATCCGCTAGTATGCGGACTGCTTGTTGAGATGGCTCAACAAGAGAGGTTGCTACCTGCTGAAGATCATTCGTTGGATAGTTTCCTGTAAAACAGGGTTAGCTTGACTCTTCGTCGTCCACTTGCCCTGTCCTCTCAGGCGGTTCTACAAGAAACATGATTCACGTACCAGCATGCAGCTCCAAGTCCATCCCATCGGGCAAAGCCCCCTGCAGCCTGTGAACAACGTGCGCTGTAGGTGTTGATCCAACTGAAACGACAATTCTCCTTTGAGACTTCTCATCCAGTAAGAATCGAGCTGCGTTAACAACACCCTCCACTTCAGTCTGTAGCACAGCTGCGGCAGCATCCTCCGTGCGGCATGCATAGGAGTGACCGGCATGACAATAGAATCCATAAACAGAAGCCGCAGAAGAGGACTCGACACGCTGGATCAATTTCGGCAGAGACGGTGAATCATTCACCATTCCTGCGCGCTTAGAGCCAACATCGATCTTGATGAAGACCGGCCATACTACTGTGGACGAATATTTAGAGGCGAATGAGTCAAGGAGATCGATTTGCTGTTCGCTGTCGATCATCAGGATGATTTTGACAGTTTTGTTCAACTCTTCCAGATGGGGGAGGGCGCTGGCGGAAACTGGAAGGCCGTAGAGGCACTGGATAGTATTAGCATTTTGCCATTTTTGCGAGTCATATCAGATATATCAAATATCGGAAAGCTGGAAATGGTTTGTCTCAATCACCTCGTCTAGTTTGTCTTCCTTGACAAGATCCAATGCCCCCCGGATCTCGCTTAATGTCGAAGCGACTATCCGGCGGTGCTCGCCATCGCCGAGCATCATGCGCGTCACTTCAGTGCACTGTAAGCTCAATGGAATTAGCATACAGTGGTATCATTTCAATTAATATCTCAACGCACCTTGAGAGTCTTCACATGGGGCCGAAAGGAAATCCCGAGCCGTTTGACATCATCTAGTAGGATTCGAGTGTTCCGCTCTAGAACAGGCTTGCTGAGGATCAACGATGGAGTTGGAAGCTCCGAAACCGGGCGGCCAATGTATGAAGCGTGATTCTGTAGGGAATAGTCCATTGTGACAGGGATGTGTGGTGGAATGTACAGGGGTCGTCATTGCGCCTCGCGGGTTTATATCTGAAGCCGCTGTGGGGTTAACGTCGGGCGTGGGGGTATGGGGGTTTCTGCGGGGGCATGGGGGGATGGTTGCAATGGGATGTCAATGGGACGTCAATGGGATTGGCGTTTATGGCTCCAATTAGCAAATGCTGCTGGGAGTTGGGTTTGTTGCTTGGTTCATGTGCATAGCGTGGGATGGTGGTCTAAACTGGATGGACTCTGATGCAACTAGTTCGGGTTTCCGCGATAACTTGTAAGTTAAAATACAAAAGAAATATCAGACTAATTGCGTGTCTAGATGTCTAAATACCCTTTTTGAACTACACATTTTCTCCTCCTCCATACCAAAGACGACCTTTCCGAATGACAAGGCCTTGGCCCTTTCCAACAACCCATTCACCCTTTTCGGGTTGAGTGTCACCAGGCTGGGGCCAATACATGCTTTCTAATTTCTCGTTGATCTCGCCAATTTTATCGATTATCAGCTTCACGCGTGCATGATCAACTTGGCCAGCGACTTCGAATCCATCTTGAGTGATGAAACGCGCGATAGTCACATGCGCCGATGGAACAATATAGCGCGAAGCAACTGGAATCCCAGCGGCTCGAACCATGTCAAATACATCTCGACGAAGGTGATGATACGTATATTGATCATCATGTCCAGCCGATTGTTCTGCAGAAGGTTCGCCCGCAGCAGGTGCAAAGCTAAGCGCCATCGCGGAAGCATCGAAGCTCACCATCGGCTTCAAAAGACGTGACTGGTGCGCAAGTGGGTGTTCTGCAATCTGTGCCTGGGTAATTGTTGTGGAAGACTTGAGCGTTTTCACAAGATCATCAATCTGCGCCTCGGTTAAAGAATGGGCCACTTCCAGGACCGTTGTATGTAGATTTTCCCGGGGCATAAGCCAAAGCGCTGTCCAATCGCGTGAGTGAAATCCGGAGTATCGACAAATTTCGCTTCAACTTACTCGGAGCAACCTTCCTCAATTCCTCTTGAACGAACGAGATCATATCTTGGACGTGAGGAGGAGGCCGGGCCCAAATCACGAGGCAATTGCGCGGATCGAGGAATTCTTCCTCTTTCGCGGGTCCGTCGAGTTTCATGAGAATCTCATCCAGAGACCAGCCGGGGAAGTCTTCTGCTAGAATCTTCCCTCTCTGCTGTTCATTGCGATTTGTCCGGTGCTTTTCATACCGCGATTGCAATTGAGTCTTGGAAGGCAGAGATTAGATCTCGGCGCGCCTTCAATCCCTGAGATCAGGTCACTTACTGGATCATCATTTGACTCGGCAATCAAGACCTGAAAAGGGTTGTCTGCTGAAATGGGTAGAGACATTGTCAAATGTTGCAGTTGAAGATCTTTTCCGAGGGAGTTCCAAGTGTTCCTCATATAGTTTCTTTTGCCAAGGTACAACGTGACTCATGTTTCAAAACTTCCACCTTTCCCATGTTTTCCCCGGCTCTTTTCATTTCCTTTTGCGACTCTCGGGCAACTCTGGGGCTTCTCTCAATGTCTCCTTGCGCCTATTGGCTCGACCCGACCCTGAAGGGCGCGGTTCCTGTCCCGGGGCGCCACCATGATTTATAAGCCGAGGCACGGAAATGACAACCTTGGAAGACCACAGTGGTGCATGGGAAAAAGGTGAGGTTTTAAGCGAACAGCGTAGAAATCAAGTCTCGGAAGGTCAGTATTGCAAAACAAAAGCATCATGGCACTTTGCCTGGTTGACAAACCACTGTGGCGCGTATCATCTGCTGTGTCGTTTGTTCACTATTTTAGGTTAGAAGCGAAACTCAATAGTATAAAAAAGCAAAGCTCAAACAGTGGAACAAATCCTCAGATGGTAATTTTAACATGCTGACCGCAAAGAGAAACAAACAGCTACGACAAAGCTGCAGCACCTGCAGCATCCCTGAAAGTAGATGTAGACCAATGACATGCCATGATCAAGCCCATGTCTGCCGCGACAAATGCGAACTTGCAGCTTCTTGCAGCCACAGAGATCTGCAAGCCATAGACCTGTATAGACTCTGGCCCGTGTTGAACCGGTGAATTATGATTTGACCGCACCCTGTTATGGTTGTTACACCTCTATCGTTCGTCGTTATATCTAATGTTAAGTCGTTATTCTTTGCCTTCAGCCCTAGATCAACAACCCACGGCAATCTATTCTATCGTGATAAGATCCAATTAAAGTATTGAATATGAATATCCAGCCAAAACAATTCGTGCTGTGTTTCGATGGCACCGGTAACAAATTCGCTGGTGATGCATCCGACACGAATCTCGTCAAGATCTATCGCGTAAGTCCCCCCAATTGAATTCCACGGGCCATCTATCGCGATGAGCGATGTCTGATACTACTCAATCTAGATGCTGGACCGAAGCAAAAGCCACCAATACCACTACTACCAGCCTGGAATCGGGACCTACGTAACTAGCAACAACTTTGGTGGGAAAAGCAGGCTGGAACGCGTGAAATCCTCCTACAAAAAAGCGAAAGACGCAGCCTTAGGCTCCTCATTCGACGAACACGTGCTTGGGGGCTATAAATTTCTCATGCGATACTATGCGCCAGGCGACAAAATCTACTTCTTCGGGTTTAGTCGTGGGTCCTACACTGCACGGTTCCTCGCAGAAATGCTGGACTTTGTCGGTCTGCTACAACCAGGAAATGAAGAGATGATCCGATTTGCCTGGAAGACGTTTGCGAAGTGGCAGCAGCGGCGGGATACGACAGACCATGACCATGAAGAGCGACATCGATTGTTCATGTTTATGAAGGCATTTCGGGAGACGTTTAGTCGTCCTGTTGGACGGATCCAGTTTTTGGGTTTGTTTGATACGGTGAATAGTGTGCCTGTCTTTGAGAATGCTTGGATGGAGAGAAGTAAATTTCCTTATACGGCGCAAAGTTCGGCGAGGGTGATTCGGCATGCAGTTTCTATCGATGAGCGACGGGCCAAGTTCCGACAGGATCTTCTGTATGAAGTTCGGCCAAAGGGGTCTAAAGAGAAACATTCGCCTTCGCTTGGGTTGAGACGTCTTTTGTCTCGTCAGAATGAAGAGAGTGAGAAGGTCAATGTTCCTGAAATTGTGTTGGATAGGCCTGAAAATGAGAGGCAGACGGCGCAGATTCCAAGACGGGGGTCTTTAAGAGTTCTCAACGAAGGCCAGAGATATCGTGGACATAGCCATTCACCTAATAGGCGGGCTAGTGTCGAAGGGCCGAGGACTGGGAATTTACTCGGGGATGATGTTTCACAGAGAAGTGGTGTCTCCGGGCTGTCTCTTCGACCTTCACATCTCAATGTATCAAGCGACACAGGAGACGATGACGACGAACAAGATGTGGCAGAGGTATGGTTTCCAGGACAACATGGCGACGTTGGAGGTGGCTGGATCCTCAATCCAAAAGATCCCTGGCCACTCAGTCACATCCCACTTGTGTGGATGGTCAAGGAAGCCCAATTGGCAGGACTCGAGTTTGACCCCGAAAAGCTCGAACAATTCAACTGCCGCGACGAGGCAATCGAGTCACACCGATCTCTGGAAGATACCAAGCCGAATATATACCGCGATGCACTTCAGCAAACCATGGACCAGGGCATCGTACATGACACCCTCACATATGGCGGTGGTGTATCAGCATTATCAACCCTTTCATGGAGATTAATGGAATACTTGCCTTTCCGCAGAATGGACCTGCAGTCAGATGGATCCTGGAAGCCGATTCGTTGGCCTCTTCCTTGTGGCGAGGTGCGTGATATCCCGGAAGATGCTCAGATTCACATTTCTGCTATACATCGGATGGAAATTGATCCAAAATATCGACCTGGAAATCTTATTATCGGTGGAGGTGGAAGGGGTGTCAAGAGAGCCCCTCCAAGATATGGAATTGGAAACTGGCAAGTCTGCAAGAATGAGGGCGATTTGGTTAGACAAACCTATGTTCGAAAGATTGAGGATCTCTGTCAAGATGATCATCTATAGAAATTTGGCTGGGGAAAAGTGGAAATATATTATACAAGTCGTTTCTGATTCTTTTTATGTTTTCTAATCTGAGCCCAAGATCTTGACTTGGTTTTCGACAGGCTGAATGACAAAGGAAATCCGTGACCCAAAGACGCTAAGAATGAGATGAAATGCCGACTCCGCACATGCAAACTCCAAAAATGATAAAATAAGAACGAAATGCCAGCGTCGACTCCAAAGATGCAGTAGGGGGTAATAATAAATGGAACATGCATGCTGGAAAAAGGATGTGAAGATCAGATTCCCTCGCCGCGAAGCAGGCGTCGAAGGATTCCCTCGCCAGGTCCGACGATCTGACTCTCAATCTCCTGCTGAGAGACGAAGCAAACAAGACCTTGTTCGTCCAGAGCCTTGTGAGGTGTTGATGGCGCATGGCCAGACTTGGAAGGCGTCCGGCGAATATCTGTACCGCCAGCCACAGTTCCACCGCGGCCACGGCCCTGATACTCACCAACCAAACCCATCGTTTCCAAATTGCTTAGAACATCTTTGAACTCTGTGGCTGTCAAAGGGTGGAGAATATTATCATTGCGGCACAACGCGCAATATGTGTCGAAAGCTTGTTTCACCGTAGGTGCCGAAGATCGCGACTTGGAGGGCGTGCTTGGGACCTCAAATTGGCGGCGTTTCCGTTCAAGTGCAATCAAGGAACAGACTGCCGCTTTTTGCTGAAGATTTAGACTTTGAAGTCTTTGAACGGTACCTTGACCAAATGCCGCAGACGTAATTCGGGCAATGTGCGCAATACTGGCTCGGGGAGCCGTGATGACTGTGTAACTTGATATCGATGTTGGCTTCGAGCCAGCACCTCCTTTGACAGGCGAAGACAGATTGGAGTTCTCCGCCAGGATAGAAACATTCTCGGATTCCTTGGCTTGTTTCTCCAGCTTCTGCAAAGTCTCCTGTTCAATGACATCAATTGCTCGTTTGATAAGCTCAAAGGCTTTGCGCAAGTCACCCGTTTGCGAAGATACCTTCTTGGAGCAGAGCTGAATGGCGGCAGGCTGAACGAAAGGAACCAGCTTCGGGTCGGACTCTGTTCCCGGAGGAAGCAATGATCGAAGACGATTGGTCATGACATTAGCAATAGATGTTGCACTGTACGGCAAAAACGGTAGCAACCGGGGCTTCAGGTTCTTAGCCTTGAGTTGTGGGAGTGAGCGGTCGGTTAAATCCAGGGCGTTAGCGATGCCAATGAGCATCAGCTTGGAGTTTTTCAGTAGAGACCACTCGAATAGAGACTGCAACACTCCAGAATCGCCATTGAGTAGGTGATCAATCTCATCCAGAGTAACTAGGAACATATCATTGCCTTTCTTGGACGGAATGAACATGGACTTTAGACGATCCGCCTCGCTCTTCTTGAACACATCTGTATCCTCGCAGAAATCTTGGATGAGCTTACTATAGACATCCCGTGACATACGCATGCTTGCGCAGTTGACATGCGACACTCTGACTTCGGATAGGTCAAGGTCTGCGCATACTTCCTGAACCATAGCACTCTTTCCAGTCCCAGGAGGGCCACTGACGTAAAGACAGCCTCCATTGCGCGATAAGACCCCCTCTTTAATAAAGGTGACCAGTTTTTCTCTTTCTGTGTCTCGTCCAACTAAGCGGCCGGATGTAGCACCACGAGCGAATAGTTGTCGGGCTTGGGAGTACACGGTCTGCTGCGTGATCGTTGGAGTAGCGCTCTGTCGTGGAGTTGGAGGAAGATCCGCATGCCGGGGAGTACGTGGGGTTAAAGCCTTCGCGCCCACCTGAACCCGATGTCTGGGTGTGACTGGAGATTGTGGTAGGGCGTCCCTGAATCGGGACTTCGAGGGTGTCTTGAACTCGGCGGGCTTTGTAGGCTCTTCTGTTCATAAAAATCAGTCTCCAAAAATAATTACTATCCGAGAAGTATCAACGTACCGCCCACTGACTCTGGGACCTGCAGAAGTGTTTTAGCTTTGACCGGAGACCGCGGCTCGTCGTCGCGGAGGGTGTGCTTTGAAACATCCGAGACAATATTCTCCTTGCTGTCCTCTTGATTGGATTGATCAACGGTCTTCTTCACAGTCGACCTTGTCCGCCGTAACGATTGAGTAGGAGCCGGTTCTTGTCGGGATCGGGGGGCAATTGTCCGGCGCTTGCTTGCGGTACGCACTGGTAATCCTGTGGGGAGTTAGAGAGGGAAGGAAGGAGAGAAATGGAATGGTCTTACCTTCCGCATCGCCACGAGAGCGCTTTCCCAAGACAGTCCCAGCCATATCAATAAGCGAAGGAGCGATGAGGGAAGAAATGGCAGGATCCGAGATAGGAAGTGTAATTAATGTCTCGCGTCACGCGTCGCGCGTGCTACGGCGGGGCTTATCAACCACACGTGCACTCTTAGTCAGCCGCGTCACTGATTTCCCCGATTGACAGAGGTCAGCCTTACAATTTCTTTGATCTTGACTCCTTTCAGTCTTGCTTCTTTGTCTACTCTCGGGCTTGCAGGTTCTGCAAGTGGTGAATCTCAGGTTTGCATCATTTGCACTGCATCCACCATCCCCTCACACAATCTCTCGAAGTCTCCACAACACCCGCTAAGCTCTCTGATATCAGAGTCGCCTCATTCGACTTCTCTCTATCACCCTCTCTTTGGCAACATTTCTCTCGCAGCCAATAATGGATAACGACGTGGTAGCTCAGTTTACTGAGATCACCAGCTCCACGCCGGAGCTGGCCATACAGTATCTGCAGATCACTGAATTTCAAATCGAACAAGCGATGCAGCTCTATTTTGAGAACGGAGGTGCTCCTCTAACTGCTGAACCATCTCAACCTACCGCTCCAACCGGCTTCTCGAGTTCAGATCGGGAGGTGGTGAATATCGACTCCGACTCTGATGACGAAACCACATCCGCGAACCGAGTCCACCACCCCACTATGCCGGCCAGTGGAGGCACGTTTGACGATGACGAAGCGATGGCCCGACGCCTCCAACAAGAGATGTATGGTGGTGGTCAGGATAATGAAGAGGAAGTGAGGGCGCCGATGGCACGAACAACAGAGACATTGGTGGGGCCCGGTGCGGACTTTGACAGTGGTGAAGACATGCACACGGATATCCTTAGCCAACTACGAGCTCGTCAACGAGGTGGTAGGTAATTCTGGAGCCCTTGAACTATCACAAAGCTTTGACTGACAACTCTTTTAGGTCGCCCCGGTATCTTCAACCAGAGAGAATCCTCCTCAATATGGACCGGCGGGGAAGAAGCTCGTCGCGAAGAACTTTCTGTCGCCACCGGAGGTGCTTCGGAAGTCTCATCCAAGTCTAACATGCTTGCTGAAATGTATCGTCCTCCCTTTGAGATCATGTCGCGCCTTTCTTGGGACGTCGCGCGAGATGAAGGAAAGGAAAACCAGAAATGGTTAATCGTTAATGTTCAAGACGCCTCAGTCTTTGACTGCCAGGTTTTGAACCGCGATTTGTGGAAGGACAAAGGTGTGCAAGAGACCATCAAAGAGCATTTCATCTTCATTCAGTACTCGAAGGACGACCCTCGTGCATCTTCCTATCTCCAGTACTACTTCCAAGGAAGCGACGTCTCCGACAATTACCCCCACATTGCCATCGTGGACCCTCGAACCGGTGAACAGATGAAGGTCTGGTCTGGACCACCTCTGATGAAGCCCGCTGATTTTTTAATGCAACTTCACGAGTTCCTTGATCGGTACAGCTTGAACCACAATGTGCGCAACCCCGTGGCGAAGCGGAAGTCGGACAAGAAAGATAAGAATGTGGATGCAATGACCGAGGAGGAGATGATGGAGATGGCAATGAGAAACAGCCTGGGGGCAGCAGCTTCGGGTCAAACGGTCGAGGACCCTGATGATCTCACCCGAAGCACTGAAGATGTCAAGGGCAAGGCTCGAGCCACTGATGATGTGGATATGGATGATTCCGAGGAAGTTGCTGTTGGTGAAGCCTCTGCATTCTCAGCGATTCCTACCAACCAACCGCATGTTGAACCAGCCAATGACCCAGCTACCACTACACGTATTCAATTTCGCCATCCATCCGGCAGAGTCATTCGCCGGTTCGCAGTTTCAGACCCTGTCCAGCGCATTTACGAATGGCTCAAGGCGGAGCCACCTGTGGCGGACAAGGCCGGTGTGGAGTTTGAGCTGAACAACATGGGTAAAAACCTCATCGATCAGCTCAACATCAGCATTGCAGATGCAGGATTGAAGAACGGTACTGTTAATATCGGATATCTGGAAGAATAAACGTGATATCTTTGTCTTTCAGTCCCGTCATGCGTTGCCGCCTTTTCTTTGCTTCGGCCAGGCGTTGATGGGAATGATTTGGACCCCATGGGGTCTCAGTTTAGTTCCAAGGCTTCTTTCACATCACTGAGACGAACATACCGTCTGTGTGTCCTACTATTCTCAGCATGGGGCTTTTTTGAGAAAATAGAACTGCAAAGATGCATTGCAGTCAATGCCATGACTCATGATATTGAATTTGATTACTGTAAACTTCGCACGCTCGCAAACCTTGGCACCTTATCTCAATGCCGAAGAATGTCAATTTCTGCTAGGGTTTCCCCACGGCACGTGCCCTCGTCCTATGTAGACTGAGGGCAATTGCGTTAGGGCTCGACTACTAGTTTGACAAGACACACGTGCTCGTTTGGGGCTCGGTTTATGTACGGTTCTTAGGTGGAATATAGCAGCAAATTGTTTGTATGTCCATCGCAATAGGATCACAACAGATAGTCTTGTAATGTAGCCCAGTCCCGGGTTGAATAAGTTACCGCCAGGAGGCGGTCTGCCAACTTTCCTCCAATACCACTATACTGGGCTCGCTGTCTAGCTCTTTGTACATGAGTACGTTCAATATAAGGAAAGATCATGCCCATTTTGACGCTCAATTGGTAAGACATGAGCAAACGTCAGAACCTCCAAATATCAACAGAAGTGTGGAGTCGTAGTTCTCACCGCCTCGATAAGCGGCGGCAAAATGAACCCCCGCGTCGATAAACAAGGGCATCTTCAACGTCTGAGAACAGGTTAATCTCACGGTTGTCCTCCATAGTTCGATTTTCCTCAAATAAGTGAGATCGGCTAAAATTGCCTAAATTGAACGTATGCTAGGCACTTTCCCGACTCGTATTTGCCGCTGCCTGTCTTATCAACGCACCTGCGTCGCTTCACGTCCTCCAATCGCCATACTTCGGTTCCTCACCCTGCTCTCGCACCCTGCGACACTCTTTCGTCTTTTGAAATACTGCTGCTGGACTGGTAAAAGGTATGTATGTGAATATCAAAAGCTCATTCTGGATTCCACTTCATTTGTGGATCAACTGCTTGACTCCTCCCTTGACCACCCGGTGCCTGCTCACGAACTTGTCCTGCATGAACTGACTGCCCAGTGGAACGTATTCGGCATCTCACTCTCGTCTGTGACTGGGTCAACCGTCAAAATGCCGGGTCCCATTGATCCAGAGACGATTTACACCAAGCAGACATGCATCGGTATGTATCAGGCTCTCCGCGTTTCATATTGAAGCGGACGTATTCTAACCTCAACCGGCTCGCACAGGTGGCGGTAGCTTCGGAAAAGTCTACAAAGGGTCAGTTGCAACTCAGGATGTATCTTGCGGATTTGGGCAAATCATTGACTCAATTCCTCCACATGCAGTGTTGACCGGCGAACCGGAGAATCTGTTGCTATCAAGATCATCGATGTCGAAAATGCCGAGGATGAAGTTGATGATATCATCAAGGAAATCGCTATCCTATCGGAACTCAAGTCACCATATGTCACGAAATACCACGGCTCGTACCTGAAGGGTTCCAACTTGTGGATCATCATGGAGTTCTGCTCTGGTGGCAGCTGCTATGGCCTTCTGCGGCCCGGTGTCATTCATGAGGAGTATATCGCCATTATCTTGCGAGAACTTCTCCGTGGGCTGGACTATCTCCATACCGACCAAAAGCTGCACCGAGATATCAAAGGTATGAACCCTCAAACGGATTCAGTGAAGTCGTTCAATGGCTAACAGTCCTCGCTGCAGCCGCGAACGTTCTTCTGAGCGCAAGTGGCCAGGTCAAGCTGGCAGACTTCGGAGTTTCAGGCCAGCTTTCTGCCACTATGACCAAGAAGAACACCTTTGTAGGTACGCCTTTCTGGATGGCCCCCGAAGTCATCAAGCAGTCTGGGTATGACTACAAAGCCGATATCTGGTCATTGGGTATCACTGCAATCGAGCTTGCCTGTGGCGACCCTCCATATGCCGATATTCACCCTATGAAAGTGCTGTTCTTGATTCCCAAGAACCCACCTCCCACTTTGAATGGCAACTTCAGCAAGCCATTCAAGCAATTTGTTGAGCTGTGCCTACGACGGGATCCAAAAGAGAGACCCTCGGCGAAGGAGCTTCTTGAGCATCCGTTTGTAAAGCGTGCCAAGAGAACCACGTACTTGACAGAGTTGATTGAGCGCGCTGAGCGTTGGCAGGCCACTCGCCGTGGCCAGGGAGACGACGATGACGAGTATGAGTATGATGAGAGAGAACCAGACCACACTATGCAGGCTAGGTCTCAAGATGATGAAGATCTTTGGGACTTTGGAACTGTTCGTCCGGTAGGCAAAGCGAATGCTGTTCCTCTGCGGCCAATGAAAGACTCCGACCCGAACTTCCGGGCCAAAGAGACAGAGGACTGGGACCTGTGTGATGAATCGCCCAATCATGCGCCATCACCTCTTCAACCACGTCAACAAACCTCTCTAAATCCTCTTAACATCTCCCCTACCAAGACTCCTCTTCCTCCATCTGCGCCATCCTCTCCTCTGAAGCAATCTCCGACATATTCTCCGTTATCTCCTGTCAAGCCCAAGTCTCCGCTACCTCCAAAGCACAAAGACAGCTCTCCATTGAACGAGCAATACGCACAAGCCGTATTAAACTACGCAGGCAGTCGTGACACGACTGCATCTTCCAAGTCTACAATCCAAACTCAAGGCACTCCGACAAAACAATTGTCTAAGATTTCTCTGCAAGAATCTCGGACTCCATCCGCTCAACTCCCGCGCAAGCCAGCGCCTCTTTCACGTCCTGCCAACGATTCTTTTGCTCCTCAACCTCAATCTCCACGTACTCGTCAGTCCTCCGGTCTCCAGAGACAAGCGGAGCAACCACAAAACGTGAAGCAACCTTCAGCCCTCAAATCAAAACGAGCACCAACCAACATGAACGAGCGACCAATTCCTTCCACTCCTCCCACCCCAAATGACCGGCAGTCGACTCGTCCTCTCCCTGAGACCGAGGTCGATACCGCGTGCGGAGCAGTAGTTCTTCCAGCTCTCCGCGCCGCTATGGACCGCCGTCGTCGTCACCTCGTCGCACTTGAGCCAGGTCGCGAAGTGCCCGCCACACCAGCCGAGGAGAAAAACTTCGAACGAAGCGTCCGTATCCACCGAGGCATGGAATCAGTTGCTGAGGATATTGCGCGTGCTATCACCAACCTCCACCGCTGGGACATGGAGGACCCTATCGACATGGGTGGTGGCGTCAATGCTGTTCTTGATGCATTCCTTGAAGAGGTCCTGGTTCGCCTGCAGCCCACAGTATCTTCGTCCCCTTCGCCGGGATCCTCTTCCTAGTCCTGTTCAGTTTAAAACTTCAGCAGAGGGTACGGAGAATGATAGTGGGTTACTTATGATTCGATTTTGAGCATTATAATTGACCTTTCACCCACTATCATACTCTGTACCCTCTACTGTTGTTTCTGATGCATGTATTGATCACAATTTATTTTTATCCGCTGAAGTGAAGTTGCTACTTCTTATTGTTAGTTCTAACTATATCATTATCTTATTCTTATCTCTCCATTTCTTCATTTGCATCTTGCCTAGAGTAATGAACATCCTAGGAGACCTTTTCTCTGTGTTGTGTTCAATCATGTATGTGGTTGACACGACGCGTCTTAACATGTCATCTACGAGCCTACTGCATCTCAAAGGTTTGTTGCTGTAAACGATGCCATTTATCTTTGAGGCATAGACAGACAGAGACGCGTCTTATCGCGTAGCATGATGTTAGTGCAGATGTTTACTTTACACCTCATAGTTGCCACACTGCATGTCCATGCTCAAGACACCGGTAGCAGCTTGTTGTGGCATACACGTGTGGATTAATATAAAAAGTCCATGGTTAATTGCTTCTAGTACTGACACCTGGTAGCTACTGAGTCTCTGGGATCTATCTATCTCTTTTGCTACATGCGTATAACAAGCTTGACGTGCTTTAATCGAGGGAGCCAAATCAAATACAACCAAAGATAATCGAAAGGGCTTCCTCTTCACTGATACAGACCAGATTGCTATTTTCTGGCTTGCTGGTCTCAAAATACCGTTCTAACACATCGCTATGACTAGATCATGTAAAGTTGAGTTGACCACGAGATACCTTTTTGGTCATGTGAAACTGTGTTTTCATTTGCAATTGACTATCATGTTCCTCACAATAGACTGGCATACTCCTCTCTTCGTTCTCTACGCCTAAAAGTACGATAGAGCCACTCAGTCAGCCTAGAGTTAGTCTTCCAGTTGAGACAACTACTTAGCTAAACTAGGATTGGGGCGGAAGGAGGAGATGCCAGCTCGTCCCAATTAGGTTGTAATTGCGAAGGCCAAGCGAGGATTAACCTGCTTACGGGGCCGAAATGAACTTGGATCACACGATATGGTAATCGGAAGGTCGATCTATGCTGAAGTCAAAAGGATTGATTTGAATCTTGAGGAGGTATATATACATCTCCCGCCCAGTGGCGGGTATCCATAATGCGACCTGTAATTCCTTAGCTTATTCGGATATATTATAATCTTAATGACATTTTCTTGACACATAGGTTCTTTAAAATGGTAATGAAGGTCCCCAGTTAGGCTACAGACACCCACTTCCCGATCTGCGGATCTGTGGCGGTTGTGACGAGTATACCGAAGATCAGCCTTCATGTCAGTCCGGGAAGGACCTGCCACCGGAAGTCTCGATGGAGAGTGTCGAAGTCACATGGTTCCAGGCTCTTTTTTGCGCATGTATTCGGTACATCTTCGAGCTTCCTGCTTTGTTTGCTATATAAAGCCTAGCGAGATGACAGAGATGATGCGTAAAACATCTGAGCCTTCATTGACCAACGAGATTGAGTTTGGATAGCAGGATTCAGCATATAGAAACCATGGCTCTTACGTCGCTGAAGTTTGAACGATGGCGATTGATGCTCAAAAGACGAATCAACCAATCCTTCACATTGTTGTGGTGCATTGATCTCACGTAGACGGAGAACATAAAAGACTTTCAAGAAGGACGGAACAGCCAATCCGTCTCAGGTGTCGGAATAAGATAATTTGTGATATTGAATTCATTCATATTGCCATTCCCATCAACAACAGACCCATTCGGCTGTGCTGAACTGACATCCGTTAAACCGTGAATGGACATCGGATTCGAGACGTGATCCGAGATATCCAAGGCCGAAGCCTGCACCCCAGAATCAGGCACACGAGCAGGTGGAACCCGAGGAACATTGAAGAAGCCAAATACATCAAGGTATTCAAGTTCATTGGGTGCGAGATTGCGTGGCTGCATAGGCGGTTGATGAGACCGAGGTTGGCTTCCACTTTCGGCAGGTGATTCGCGCGGTTGGCGTGAGATCAGGAAGTCTAGATCGAAAGCACAGCGACGCATGTCTGCTAAAATCTTGACGGTTGATGGTGTTGAGCGTTCGCCGTCCAGGACGATCGACTGTTGGTATTCGTTGTATTCATCCAGCACGCGCTGGAGGATGTTGCTGTAGCGCTCTGCGACTTTCCAGTATTTACCCAGCTGGAAAAGGGTGTCAACGAAGAAAAGGATATCTGCGCTGACCGTATGAGCGATTGTTGAGCCGTGTACCAGGAGCAGACGGGCTGAGACCCAAAGGGTGAAGGCGAAAGGTGGGCCCATCTTATCTAGCATATTATGCTCCACGACAAAGCGTGTCACCGAGAGTATATTTTCGACCGCTAAAAGGCAGCGTTGGCTCGCACTATAGGAGGGTGTGAAAATTGGAGAGCGGGTTGTTGGGTAAGCTGCTGATGAGTGCAGACGAATTACAGCACTATGGTCCTGTTAGTGATTGTATTCACGGGATATAGCAGTCTTAACTCACGTTTGATATGTGGCATGCAGTTGCACCCAGTCACTGTGTAGAGCGCGCCCATTCTTGGGTCCGCTGAGAAGTCGAGATAAATTCTCATAGGTATATTCTGCCGGAAGGTTGAATTCCCATGAAGTAAGCTCGCTGTCAAGCTTGCGATAGGTTGCCTGCCATTCTTCAACATCTGATAGAGCTCCAATATCAACGGGACGTTTCAAAAACAGATGAATCCGTGACAGAATTCCCAAAATCTCCATATAAAGGCCGAAAGACCCAACATTTTCAGCATGGCTAAGATAGTCTGCTCTGTCACTGTTGTAATGAAACCACCGCGTCTCAACAGGCTGATTCTTCATAAAGAAATCATCTTTACAAGGGAGCTTCCGATCAATGTCTTTGTCATCGAGAGCAAAGTTGAATGCTGTTGCTAGGGTTGAATATCGGTCTAACAGATAGACCATCCAGAACAATCGACGTCTGCTCTCGTCTTCGATCCACGAATCTGGCTCTGACAAAGTGACAGCTCTGAGGGTATAAATAGAAGGGTACACAGGGTTGACGAGAGAAGATTTTGATTCCACGGCCAATCCCAATTGGACCACAGATCGGGTAATCAAGGCGAGCAGCTTCCACCCAGGTGGACCGTTGGAAGATCCAACCAGATCGAGGGCCAAGATAACAAGAGCTTGAAGGGCTCTGACAGATGAGTTCTCTAGGCCATATAGAAGGACCTTTTGCTTGGATGAGTCGTGGTAGCGCTTCCGATTCTGATCATTGAGTCTGGCATCTGAAGAGAACCGCAGTGTCGTGGCCACTATGGCATAGAGAACCATGCGGTCTGCCTCATCTAGTGGTGATGGTCCAAAGAAAGTATCCAATGTCGTCCGTCGGTGAAGAATGGGACACCATGAATTGATGTGCTCAAAGTAAAGATCCACCAAAGCATACAGCAAGTCATACGGCGGCAGATCAAGATCTGGATCAGCAAAAGATTGTTCCTGATTTGAGAATATATTGACTGGAACCTTCAGGGACGATTCATTCCCCGTGTAATCTTGCTGCGGATTAGAGCTTTGTAATAGTGCACTAACTGGTGCTGCATGGATGCCATTGTTCATGTGACTCTGCGCTGCATTCCTGACCGATGAATCAGACGGACTGGTGATAGACATATCTGCGCGTCGGGAAGGCAATGTCACTGCAGATCCAGGATCATTGAAGTATAAAGCGGTACGCGGACTGGGCACATGAGCCGCTGATGGCTCCGATGGAGAACTGTATGAAAGTGGACCGGTGTGGGGTAGCTCATGGCCCATTGGGTTCTGATTTTGCAGGATATGCATCTCAATGAGCCGAGCTTGCGATTGGATGATATTCTCCAACCGATCTGATGGACAAATTAGACATGAAGATGAATGTTTCTTGTCAGACCTACCCAGTCTTTGCTCCAACTCTTTTCCATATCCAGCCCGCAGGCCAGGCTTCTTTCGTTCTCTATATTCGCATAGCTGACCGTTGCGGGTACACCACCCACAGCTCGGCTGCACTCGATCTGCTCGTTCCATGTTAAATTCTGTCTACCTCATAAGGCCTAAGTCATTCCTACCGCATTTGACTTTTCGTTGCTTGCAAAGCTCGCATCTTCGTAGGGTTAGTCATATCAGACTGGGAATACAGAGGGCCATCCGGCCGAGGCGGGTCAGGAACGCACGAGACAGTTAGAGGACGTTTCCGTTTCAGAGCTCTAGCCCCAGATCCATTTCCGAGATGATCGTTATCGGAGTCGGCAGCAGAGGAATACTCAGCACTATCTCTGTCGGGATCACCGTAGTGCTGATTGGAGGACGGGGTCTCCTGAGCGGGAAGCGCAGGGTTCGGCATGTTGATTCAGCGAGAAGCGCCCGATCATGGACCGAGCATGATGCAACTGCGACGGTAAAATCTCCGAAACGGTCTAGGTGGACAAAGGGGGAGAATTGATAGACGCGGCAATCGTCCGACAGGAAGCCGAGGGAGAAAAGTGGGAGTTGCGCCTCAGGCAGAAACTGGGGCACCCCGCGTTTCTCCACTTCGGGGCTGTCTCGTGATTTCACGGGGTTTGGATATTCTTGACAGGCTTGGATAATGAGTTCAATACGGTGGTGAGTGTAGGTCCATATAGGGGAAGTGGTTCGGTATTGTAGTGGCTAGTCAATATGATGTCGAATGGGCTGTATCTAGTGAAGTCTAATTGGGGTTATGTCGCAGGTGAAGTATAAGTATAGACCGACTAACTATATCAAATCCTATAAACCACCTCAAAATCAGTCGCAGAATGAAACAATTTTCTCAGCCCTCCATTCACAGTGGCCCAAACAGTTGCCACATGTCAACATATGCAAATCCCCCGATGTCCACGCAGAAATTCTCCGTCTCGCCGCTCGGTACAATGCTCCCCGAGGTCTCGGGTGCCCCTCGGCGCGAGTCCGTTGAAATAGTCTGAGCTCCCCGCACATTATTTCTTCTTTTCTTTTCATCTTCAAGTTTACTCTGTTTTCTCGAGTCTTGCTTGTTCACATCTTATATCATGGCTTCAACAACGGAATTCCCCCGCATCAAAGAGGTTCGCACCTTCATCATCGATGGTGTCGGCTCCGGCGGTGACTACCATAATGTATGAACTGGCGGCTTTTCCCAATTAGATGGATGTGCACGATTCTAACTACCTGTTTAGGTCAAGGGAGGCCACTGGCTGGTCGACAGCAATATCTCCACTCCCATGACCAAGTGGGCACAGTTCCGAGGTTCGCGTACCTCGTGGGGTATCAATGTGCTGGGTTCCTTCTGTGTGGAAATTGAGGCCACTGATGGCACCAAGGGCTTCGCGACTGGTTTCGGTGGCCCTCCCGCCTGTTGGCTGACCCAGCAGCACTTCAACCGCTTCTTGATTGGTGCTGGTGCGTATCAAATGTTCAATCTCTAGATAACAAACGCTAATAGATTACATGCAACAGATCCCCGCGATACCAACGATCTCTTTGAGAAGATGTACCGTGCTTCCATGTTCTACGGCCGCAAGGGTCTGCCCGTCGCCGTGATTTCCGTCATCGACTTGGCCTTGTGGGATCTGCAGGGTAAGATCCGCAAGGAGCCCGTTTACAAGATGATTGGTGGTGCCACTCGCTCAAGACTGGACTTCTACTGCACCGGTCCCCAGCCTGGCTCAGCCAAGGCTGCTGGCTTCATTGGTGCCAAGGTTGCTTTGCCTCATGGTCCTGACGAAGGCACCGCTGGTTTACTCAAGAACGTCGAATACTTGAAGAAGCAGCGCGAAGCTGTTGGCCCTGATTTCCCTCTTCGTGTCGACTGCTACATGTCCTTGAATGTTCCTTACACAATCCAACTTGTTAAGCGCTGCGAGGCCATCGGCCTTGATATCGATTGGTGGGAAGAGTGTCTTTCCCCCGATGACTTCGACGGCCACGCTCTTCTCAAGCAGGCCCACCCTACTGTCAAGTTTACCACCGGCGAGCACGAGTACTCTCGCTATGGCTTCCGCAAGTTGGTCGAGGGTCGCAACCTTGACATCCTCCAGCCCGACGTCATGTGGGTTGGTGGTATGACCGAGCTGCTCAAGGTCTCCGCCATGGCTGCCGCTTACGATCTTCCCGTTGTGCCCCACGCCTCCGGCCCTTACTCCTACCACTTTGTTGTTTCTCAGTCCAACAGTCCTTTCCAGGAGTACCTGGCCAATTCTGCTGATGGTCACACTGTCGAGCCTGTCTTCGGTAATCTCTTCCTGAACGAGCCTATTCCCACCAAGGGCTACCTTGATGTCTCCATTCTGGATAAGCCTGGTTTCGGTCTGGAACTTAACCCGGCTGCTCCTTTGATTCCTGCGGCTGCTATTCTTACTCCTGCTCCTCAGAAGTCCCTGCGCGCTCCTGACAACGAGGAGGCCGCCAATGGCTCCGCTTAAATGTGTATGATGGCGTTTTGAACGAATCTTTTTCCTGTCACTGTTTATTTCATGTTTAAAGGCTATTTACCCAATACAAGAAAGTCATGTACATAAGACCAATTCATCCCTGATATCGAGATATTATGGATGCACCTTTTTACCTCTCCAAACATTAAACGGCATAGTGATCCAAGGTAATAGACAAATGTGCCTCGTGTTTAATTGTTTCGGTTTTGGCTTGATATCCTGAGAGCTCTTTCTGCCAATTTCGCCCACGAGAACGGGAATTTTCCAGTGGCAGAATTGTATTTTGCAGTAAAAGGAGTGTTGTGTCGCCAATACAGTATTACCCCATCAATACCGCATTGATCTCAGAAGCTGCCAGGTTAGGCTTAGCTCGTTAGCCTGCCCAGGTGATATCTTACTTCTTCAGACATCACCCGACGAAGACGAACTGTAAGCTTGCAGCACTATGGGCTTCTTGCTCCCATATGAATTGATAGATCATATAATAACATTTATCGATGAACCACAGGTGAGCAACAATTCTGGTGAACAAGATAAAGTTCGTCTGGCTCCATATGCCACTGTGAGCCGTCAGTGGCAAGCAGTCGTTGAAAGTCACACATTCTCAACAATCCGCCTTGAAACTCTCAAACGACTACATGATCTTGCTCAGGTGGCCCATAATGAGCGAAGAAGACATTATATCCAATTTATTGATCTGGTTGTCGATTTAGCGCCATACGATATTGAAGCGAGATACGAGTTTGAGACGGATGAAGACAAGCGGAATAACAATGCGAATTTTACGAAAACAATTCAGTTGTTGTTTAAGATTTTGTCGTCATGGTCACTCAATGAGTCTCAAGAAAGACCGGGAATCTTTCTCTCTATAGAGGCACACTCTCCCAGTGACCTCCGACGCAATAGCCCAGACAAGATCGAAAGAGTATCAGCAGCAAGTCTGATAAGGCGACCAGATCTCATAAATCGGAGGTTCCAGGAATCGTACCTGAAGCTCGACAAAGAAATTCTCAATGGTCCACAGATTACTGTCGTTGGTACCCTCGCTGTATACGGTCACTGCACTGCTGGGCCCTCGTACCGTCCCATAGAACCTGTTTCAACAGCAATGATTGCATCAAAGATATCACGGCTGCATGATGTGATCCTGAGGCTGAGTGACAATCACGAACAACATCCCTCTCTCAGGGAACGCAATCGGCTTGGTATGTCCCAGTACAGATCCCATTATGTTCACAATACGATCATTATATGGGAAGTGATTGACAGTCTAACAATATCTCAATTCTTAGACTTCGCTGCCGGATTTCATCACTGGCCTTCCACCATACGAGCACTCGATTTGAGCTTCGACTACGGAATTCCCGATAATCATGTTGCAATTCTCCCACAAGGAGGTCTAGAAGGAAACTTGGACCCCCTTCAAATCAACTCACGGGTCTTTTCCTCCCGGCTCACCCGGATTACTCTTAGCAAAATCACCATTGGAAAGGAGCTATTCTTGTCTCAGGTTGTGGATGCCGAAACTGAACCTTTGTGGCCGAACCTGATATCCTTTGAACTCAACTATGCAATTGCCTCACCATCTGGGGAATGGCTGTTTCAGCGCCACCCTGGAGACAGAAGACTTCTGGATAGTGATAATGAAGCGGACGAAGGTGGAGCGAGTCGCCCAGCCCATTTGGAGATCATCGAAGCTTGCGATTATGACACTCATTTCCGATACAAGCCAATACCGAAATTCTTCAATGAATTCTATATTGCCGCTGCTCGGGCGGCGATGCGAATGCCAAAATTGGGCCTTATGCATCTTGAGACTGGTGAATGGCCTGGTAGACACTACTTTAAATACGAAGTTCGAGACGTAGCCAAGGCCACTTGGGCTGATATCTTTTGCTTTCAGCCCAATGACAAAGTACTGGATCTTTGGCAACAAGTTGCTTTGCAGCATACGGGTAAGGCTCTGGAGACTGAGTTTTCAGAGTGCTCATCTGAGTAGTACTTTGACTTGACTATGAAGACACACTATTTCCTTATTCTTTTGTATAAAATGAACAAACCTAAAGGTCATATACTCCCTGTGCCGCGTTTCTAATCAATATCGATATCAGCTTCAGCCTTGGCGAAGCTAATATTTCTCCTTGACTTTAGAAATACCTCAAGATGAACTCAATTGCTAGAGGGACGAAAATGTGATGTTAAATAATATTCCTTTGCCGAAGAAGAGAAGAAAAACTAGCTCCAATTATAGCAGAAATAGACTTGACATAAAAATTCAAGTGACACATCCAATGTCAAACACGGCCAACCTAGACGATAGATTCGGTAATAATCTGCCGTTCATAATAGGCAAACCGATCATCCTAGGGTGGCCAGCAAAAACCAGGTCTATCGAGAGCGTTCAAGTTTCCCGGCTTAATGTATCCAGCACGACTTCCTGAAAAACAACAATATGCCTGTTTGACCTGAACCGGTCTCGCTTTTGCGAAATACACGGCCTGATCATGCCCGTTCAATATTTCTGCCAGGCATAGGCTCAGCAAGTGCTGCCCTCGACGGAGCCGCACCAAATTTACCAGCGAAATATTGCGTCTCGTGAGCCACCAGCTCCCCATCGAATTGCATAATGGAGATTGAATATGTTGGCTCTCCGTCGTAGGTTATGATGCATTCGCTCACCCATAGATGGCCGTCGCCTGAGATTCGTAGTACCGTAAAGTGTCGGTCAGCTGGGTGTCCCCCACGTTGCGCAGAGATGGTCGCACGGCCTTTGAAGCGCTCCCCTGATTGTGGGTAGTCGGGTATCGCATCTACGGCATAGATGGCGTGTTCGGCTTCAATGTTATTATCTTCCGATGCCTGCCAATGGTCTTCGATTGTTTTCTTTAGGTTCATTGTACTCTTGGTTTTGTTGAGAGGTATACACAATGGTTCGATTCATGTAGTCAGGTAAAAGGGAACTATTGTCGCTGGTTGAAGCAGATGATGGTCGGAATACGGTGAATGACATCACAACCCGAAAGTGAGTAAGGTGCATTACTTATAGACAGTCTTAGGCTTCCTTTTTAGATTTGATTTAAATAGATCGGACCCTCTGGTACAGAAATTTAAGCAACGTGTACAATGATGCGAAAATCCCCCACTGGACGAAAAAGCTGTCAGACTTGAGGATAGCATCCTTGATACAAAGAGTGAGCATCAAAGTCACACAGCTTATCATGGATACCTCGACAGAAGATCGCCATGAAGGGCCCTGGGCCCTGGGAGTATGAGTTGAAGAGGCGAATCTGACGTCTTCGGTCTTCATATTGCAGAACATGATCGTTTGACACAGTCAATAGAGACTAAATCTAGCACTAGAATGTTAATGAAGTTTAAATTGCTAATCTGATCAAATGACAACCTTGGAATTGTTAATGCTTACCAGTATCCGGTATTTCACTTGTCCGAGGTTGAAGATTGGTAGATAACGTGTGGGATGTCGTTCAAGGAAGAGTATAGAAGATGTTTACCAATACAAATCAATTCTAAGCCTAGTGGAGTCACATAAACTGGTTCTGGTATATTACATGTTGGGGGCCATTTGAGTGATCGCTTGGGGCCAGCACTAAATCGCGAGCTCAGATAAGTCAATTTGATGGGTAGAGCGACGAATGTCCTCGGAATAGGCAAATGGCAAAGTACATAAGTGCATATGGAGACTGCGTTTTAAATGGTCAGAACAGCGGATGGCTCGCTGAATATGAAACCGTGTTATTGCTGTCTCTAAAAAGCGTCATGACGTTTACCATACCCGAGTTCCACATTCCAGCCAATGACACCGGGACATTCATCATTGACTTGCCTTCTCGTTAAACAAATTTCTTTATTAATACCCAGCTCTTTCGTTGCAGAAATCACTTTGCCTCTATGGCTGATTCGTCCTGAGTTACTCGAATCTTACCGCCTCACATTTTTACCAGTTAGTCGTTGATGTTTCCTCGCAGGGCTGGGTTCAACCGGCTGAAGTACTATTGCAGCATGGCAACACTCTCAGAGTACGACGCCATAGTCATTGGCTCCGGTCAATCCGGGACGCCTCTGGCTGTCGCATTTGCGAAAGCGGGACAGAGAACAGCCCTGATTGAACGTAAAAACATCGGTGGAAGCTGTATCAATGAAGGCTGTACGCCTACAAAAACGTTAATTGCCTCAGGTCGCATCGCCTACCTAGTTCGCCGGGGACTCGATTATGGTATACAAACTGGTGAGCGCAGCGCCAGCGGGAATACAGCCTTGGTCGATATGATCAAGGTCCGCCAACGAAAACGCAATATCGTCGCTTCATTCCGCGGTGGCAGTGAGACTAAGATAGAAGATGCTGGTGTGGATCTTCTCAGAGGTGAAGCTACATTCGTGTGCGAGAAGACACTTGAGGTCAAAGATAGTGGCGGCAACGTAAGAACTATCCATGGTCAGAAGATATTCATCAATACGGGAGAACGACCAGCACCGCCACTCCTTGAAGGAATCCGCTCGGTTGATCAAAAACGAGTATTAGATTCCACATCAATTCAAGAGCTAGACGAGGTCCCTGGTCACCTTGTTGTGATTGGAGGAGGATACGTCGGGGTGGAATTCGCACAACTGTTTCGCAGACTTGGTGCACAGGTCACAGTAATCCAGCGTGGAACACAATTACTACCGCGCGAGGACAAAGAAATCTCTCATCTGCTCCAAGACATCTTTCGAGAGGACGGAGTTTCAGTACACTTGAACTCCGACAGTGTCAGAATTGTGCCATCGCATAACGGGTTCACTCTTGATCTACACACCAACAATGGTGATCAAACAGTCGAAGGAACGCACATTTTATTCGCTACTGGCCGCATTCCAAATACAGACCGGCTGAAGCCAGAAGCTGCCGGTATCGAAACTGACAAAAAAGGATATATTCAAACCGACGGGTACCTGCAGACTTCTTCCCCTTCGATCTTTGCCATGGGCGACGTGAAAGGACCTCCCGCGTTCACGCATATCTCATACGATGATTTCCGCATTCTTCGGTCTAACCTGCTTACATCGCCACCCACAAGGCTCTCTATCAAAGACCGCATTGTCCCCTACGTGGTCTTTACCGATCCTCAGCTAGCACACGTCGGTCTTCATGAGAAGGAAGCTCGGGTCAAATTCCCAAATAGGAAGATTCAAACTGCAAAAATGCCCATGGCATATGTGGCGCGTGCGTTAGAAACGGACGAGTCGAGAGGGATGATGAAGGCTGTCGTGGATGGTGACACGGGGTTGATTCTAGGATTTACTTGCTTGGGCGTCGAGGGTGGCGAAATCATGAGCACCGTGCAAATTGCGATGGTCGGAAATGTTCCTTATCAAAAGTTGCAAGATGCTGTCTTGGCCCATCCAACTCTAGCAGAGAGTCTGAACAACATTTGGGCATCTTTGGAGTGAATGGATTTGTGATTTTTACCAAATTAAGTCCTAGTCAGTATGAGATTGCCAGTCAACTTTTCGGCTATTCATCTACTGGTAGTATGTCACACTCTAGGGTGAACCTGACGTTGTTGAACGGACACACTGCATGGATTTGATCCCAAGTTGTTGCTGACAGTTGCTTGCTAACTTATTCTCAGGCGATGAGTAAGAAGTACTCTATGTGCAGTGTAGAGACAATTAGGGCTGATTGTATTGTCAACGCTATTTACTGTACGCAAACTAATACGGCGAAAAATACATAAAACACCTCCAAGTGCAAAATATCGATACGACAATGACCGACGTAGACCGCCCCAAGGCGGTAGCAACTCGGGGTCAGAAGCCCCTGGAAGACGTTGGCATGTGCCCCTCGTGGGGAACCCCACACTCGGGGTAACACCATCACGAATCCCCGAGATCTTATCGGAGAAATTCACATGGACACATCCCACCTTGGGTTTGAGAATTGAACTTCTTCAGTCTCACAATACCCAATACCAATCCCCCTTCCAAAATGCCTATTGCACAGTTACTAGTTGGCAAGGTCGCTGCCATCACCGGCGGTCTCACAGGAATCGGCAGAGTAAGAGTTCCCCGCATATCCAAATTGACAAAGAACACGTCTGTTCTTCGCAAACAGGCTTTACCTAACAAGCAACTCCGTAGGCAATCGCCCTTGATTATCTCCGCCACGGAGCCAATGTTTCAATCAGCCATCTCGGCGGTGCAAAGGAAGACACCCTCCTGGAAGCTCTCCGCAAGGATGTAAACGAGATCGAAGCCGGGGCCAGCGAGACCCGATTCCTCACAGTATCAGGTGATATTTCCCAGCCAGAGACGGGCCAGAATTTCGTCGCCAGGACAGTCGAGAAATTCGGCCGTCTCGACGTATTCGTGAGCAACGCCGGCGTGTGCCAATTTGCGGAATTCTTAGAGTAAGACCCATTGCAAATTCCGACCCTTATGCTTCTTTAACTTCTCTGTTCTAACGTGAATTCAGACTTGAGCCCTCCCTCCTGAACCACACAATCTCAACAAACCTCTCAGGTGCCTTCTACGCCACCCAAGCCGCGGCTCGCCAAATGGCACAAGTGCAGTCTCCATCGGGCGGCTCAATCATCGGTGTAAGCTCGATCTCCGCGCTGGTCGGCGGTGGCCAGCAGACTCACTACACGCCCACCAAGGCTGGTATATTGAGTCTGATGCAGTCATGTGCGGTGGCGCTAGGCAAGTATGGCATTCGTTGTAATGCGCTGTTGCCTGGTACAATTCGTACACAACTCAACGAGGAGGACATGAAGGATCCTGTTAAGCGGGCTTATATGGAAGGTCGGATTCCTCTTGGACGCCTTGGGCAGCCGCCTGATTTGGCTGGACCGGCTGTTTTCTTGGCTTGTGAGGAGTTGAGTAGCTATGTGGTGAGTTCCCCGTTTCCTCTAGTAGTGGCGGGATGGTTGCTGACTTTATATGATAGACTGGTGCGCAGTTATTAGTTGACGGTGGATTGTTCGTTAATCTGCAGTAAGATGAAGTTAGGTAGTTAGAGTCTATATATATTTCATTCGTACATACTTATTTCAACTAGCTCTTCCAAGATTGGGTTAAAAGGAAACACCTAAGCTTCCACACCCATAAGCATCCTCTGCAACCTTCATCCAAAGCCCTTGCTTTTCAACATCAGACAAACCCCTCCGCTCTATAATCTCTGCAACCACCCGCTTCCATCTCCCCCAAGAAACATCATTTCCACCACCACCAATATTACAAACCGGCCAGTCCGATCCAAACATCACACGCTCCACCCCAAAAGCATCAAACACAGCATCTGTCCAAGGCTGCACACGCTCAACAATAGCATCGAAATCAGGCTCCGACTCTCCGTCCAATGGTTCAATCTCAGAAAAAGCCCCTGACAGCTTCATATAAGTTTTCGGATGAGCCTGAGCCATCCTCAAAACAAGCTCATTCCACTCCAAAAACTCGGGATGAGAGCGGACCTCAGTAGACGACAAACGGAGGTTAGGCTTACACATATGGTCTAAACAAAAGTCAGCAAATGCACGAACGACCAAAGGGGCATAAAACATACTAATGATAATAGTCACAGCCTGCCCATCATCAACCCCATAAACCCTATCCATCATCTCAACCGCCTCCCTCAACTGCCCCAAGCCCCCAGACCTAGCATCAACCCCAAGATCAAACGTAAGCCCAACCCTACCGAGCCACCTCAAACTCGAGACAAACCCATCCTGAAGCATCGTACCCGCCGGCTTATCCTGCACAAGATACCTCACCCCCCGAATCTTCGCCCAAACCTCAGCCGTCCTCGTCCGTTCCTTGACCTGGGTCATGTACTTGGACAACACATCTTCCCCGCCAGGAATCGGTGCCCAGGGAATAATTCCCCAGACGAGATCCTTATCGGCTGGACTGTGTCCCTCGCCGGTGATTGGCTCGCCTAGCGCTATGCGCGTGAGGAGAGAGACTTCATCAAGGGCGTGGGTCCACCCGTGCGTTGGAGAGGAGGTCGGGGTTGATTCTGATGATTGGGTTTCTGTGATTGAGGAGAGACGGTCTGTTTCCAGGAATATGAATCCGCGCACTGCTGATTCATTGGCTTTTATGGCGGCTTTGTATTCGTCTATACTGTGCTGTGCGCCGAGGGGGTTGTTGTCGCTGTGCCAGGATAGGGTTTCCAAGTGTGTAGCTGGGAAGAGGTGGATGTGGGAGTCCAGGATGGGGAATTGGCTTGTTGGGCTCATTTTGAGCTTCTGGCTTTTGTTTTTGCTTTGGCGTGTGGCTTGGTGGTGGTTGGGTTGTCTGGCGTGGGGTATTAGTTCGTACTTTCTCGGGGTGATGTGCGGGGTCGAAGCTGACCGTAATAGAGCGTCGCTTTAGACGTCAAATATTTTGGAGAGTAATGAGCAGTGATTGTTAGTAGTGATCTTCGAACTGGAAGAGATGTTTCGTCGAGTGGAGGTTTGACATGATTGCTCGGTGGTTGTTGTCCCGAATCCGGGGATGGATAAACCCGTCCATTAATCCTCGCCCGGTTTGACATGGTGAATTGCCATTATCTTGAAGCAAATATGAATGATGTACAGCGATGTGTATATCTATTAAGTCTACCTCGGCTCTTCCAGATGAACAAATTCCACTATATATATTGTATTGTGTTCTGCGTCAAAGAGATACGATTATATACTTCAGCCTGATTAATTCAATCTCGACTCCAGGGTTTTCCTACGTTTCTCGAATATAAAAGGTGCCAAGGATTATCACTATAAAACACTTCCATCAACTATAAACTAAACCCAAAGCAATTCCATAGAAGAAAGAATTTCATATGCAGAGTCGAATCAGAGTATACATAAGTTACACCAAGTGCAGCCAAAGGCACAAGGGCAAGAAGAAGAAAGGAAATGCATAAGAACCATAAAGAAAAGAGATGTAGGCGAACAAAAAATCCAAATTCAGGCGGAAAACAATAAAAGAGACGTGAACAACCCCCCTAAACTGCGGGTAGTACAAGACAGATAGGGAGAAGGGTATGTAATGCATGCATGTCCTGAAAGAGACATAGAAGTAAAAGGTGAAGGGAAAGGTGAAAGAAAGCAGAAAGAAACAAACCAAGAAAAGAGAAAACAAGCAAAACAAGGTGGGATGAGATAAAGTCCCCCAAAGCAACTCCATGGGTCGTTTTGCCATCTCTCGGGTTCTGAGGAAGAGATCGGATTTATGTATGCAATGCAAATGTTGATCGTTCTCTTTCTCAGTCCGAGCCATGACAAATGGTCCCCGTTTTGATCTATACAAAAGAGTTTCCCAGCGTATTCCGTGATCCATCAGTCCTCCCCAGCAGATAACTAGAGGAAAGGCGTTACAATTTAATCATCCATAGGCTTATCCTCCAGAGTGACCCTGTTCGGCTCACTCTCGGCGATACTGCTGCGGTTGCTATCCGTTCCGCTAGCACCGACTGCCGAGCCGGTAGGGAAGCTGGATAAGCTTCCAAGACCAGGCTTGCGAGTGTAGCGACCACCAGCGGAGCGGGGAATGGAGTTGCGCTTATCGAATTCGGCGGATTGAGCAGCTGGAGTTGGGGTTGGGGTTGGGGAGCCGTCAGAGGCGGTGTCTAGGACTGGGGGCGGGCTTGGCGATTCTGACAAGCTACTCCTGCTGCCGGCAACTGAGTCTGGGGACTTGACCGAGGCTCCATTCGAGACTGGCTCTTCAATTTGGGTATTCACTGTTGGAATCGGGTGCTCCGAGGTTGTCGGGGATGCTGTCTTTGCAGGCACGTCCAGACCAGGACCGCGGGTGCTTCGGCGGTCTGAGGGGCTGTTGACGTTGATTGGGAATCGGCCTGTCTCTGATGCGCCGCTGGAACGGTCACGTCGGTGCCGTTGGCGGGCGGCGGGGCTAGTGGCTCGGCTGCGGTTGACAATAGCACGTTGGCGAGCCTCCATCGCTGCACGGCGGTTACTCTCGTCGGTGCTGATGGCGCGCGGACGGTTCGAGCTAGAGCTACCGAGGCCGAGGGCACTTGATTGGCGTTTCAGTTCGCCGAAAATGGCATCCTTGTGAGCGAACAGATCACGAATGAGGCGGTAGCTGTGGCGCTCATTCATAGTCAAAGCGTTCTCTACGCGAGGGCGCAGGATGCAAGAAGCAAAAGTCTGAGCCAGCGAAGTGATATATTCTTCGTCGGCAGAGGTCAAATCAATCAGGCGCGTGAAGTGAGTCATAATGGCATCAAGCGTAGCGATGTTGACGAGACGGAGTTGTCCAAGGGTGCTCTGCAGAACCTTAATTCGTCCGTCTTCCGTGGTCTCGTTAGCGGTAGTGGAGTAGATCGTTTTCACAATTTCGTAAACTTGAGAAGATACCAGGGAATCTACTGGGGTTAGTTGACGTTCAGCTCAAATATCAAGGGAAGACAAACCTGGCAATTCAAGCAGGTACAATCTCAGAACACTGGCAATGACGGGAATTTGGAATTGAGGTAGGACCTCCTTGTAGTCCGCCTTGCTGTTGTTCAATATAGCACGAAGCTTGTGGGTCTTGTCCAGGCCAACATCAGTCAGCCAGATCATCCGTCTGGCCTCGTCACCTTCTAGTTCGGGGTAACGGTTGTCGAGGTAGGTCAAAATGGTAGTGACGAGGATAGGGACACGCTTGCGATCAACGCGGGCTCTGGCCTCAAGATCGACACCGAAGTTTTGCTCCTCAACGGAACCATAGTAATTCTCGTATGCCTGGATCTTAGGCACAAATCCGCCAGTACGGTAATTCTCCAGCAGATATCTCAGGTCACCAAGGGGTTGAATGGTCTCCTGGTACAGCATCATATGGTCAACCGTGCTCTGCAGGTTGGGAATGACGTTGCTGATAGCGCCGGAGAAGTCCAGAACAACGGCCTTGATAGCCTTGAGACGGTCCAGCTCGCATTGCTCCATATACTTGAGTTGTTCGATGATCTCCTCCTCAAGTCGGCAGCGAATCTGGTCAAGTCTGCGCACGGCAACCTTGTACCGCTCATCAGCTTCGAGGGCTTCTCTGCGGAGCTTCTCCGAAGGTGTCTCGTTGGGATAAGGGTTGTTGAGGGGATTCCAGCCAGACAGCATCTCGGAAACAGACTGAATAGGCGATTCACTAACACTGCCATCTTCGCTGGATGCCATGGATGTAACACGCATAAGAGGCTTCTTCTTCTCGGGGATACCAGTAAGTTGGAAGACCTTGGGGCGCCATTGATAGTTCATCTTGGAACTGTTGGCAAAGACATTGCCCATGTTTCCAACCAGACGAAGCAGGCCATTATCCACCATATCCTGACCAATGCGCTCCACCTGAGCAAGGTTGTCGGCCTCCATATAGGTCTGGATGTATTGCGCGATATCGGCGCCAGTAGAAACATTCAAATAAGTTCCGATGATGGGAACCTTGGCCTCGCCAAGCTTGATATTATCGAGCATATGAGAGAGCAACTGCTTGATCTGGTCTGGCGAGAAAATGCGCTCGCCCAACTCAATAGGATCCTCATCGGGCTCATCTTCAGCCGGCAACACAATCTTGGGCGGAGGCTGGACCTTGGGACTTGTTTCGGGGTCCTGGAAGGCGAGTTTGTTCTCCTCCTCCAGATCCTCGACAACACGACACTTGTTGAAATAAGTACTGCGCAGTTTCCGCACCAAATCCGACTGTTTTGTGTGTTCCTTGATGCGCGACTGGAGAAGATCATGTGAATACTCAACACGCAAATCGTGCTGCTCGCTCCAACGTCGGAAAGGCGCAACAATCAGTTCGCGGATGTTGTTGGCGATCTTCTGGTGATTTTTTGAGGCCTCGACCATCTCGGTTCGGATTCCTTCGTATGCCTGAGGATCAAGTGAGGTCAGTCATAGTCTCCATCAAGTCCGCATATCCTAACCAACCTTTCTGACACTTGCACCGTCATCCTTGCCAAATCCCACAGCCGTGATTCGGTCCACGCTCGGGGCAATGTCTCCCATGCGGAGACCATACTGCTCCTCGGCATCAGCACGCATCGACGCAATGATCAAGATTTGCTTGTTCTCGATCACGCCCTGTTGCAGCTTCCCGTAGAGAACGCCCAGTCCCGACGCATAGTCGGGCGTCCAGAACGAGTCTCGGAAGCCTGGCATTGTGGTGGCTGGGTCGTTGCTTCAGTGTATCGATCGGAGACACTCAATCGGAGGAATCGGAGGGGCAGATATGAACAACGTGATGGCGAGTTCGTAGACGGGCGGCCGAGTGAGGACTATTGAAGGGCGGAATTGCGCGTCACTGCAGGCTGGTCGGGGAGATTACTGTTGGGCGGCCGCTGGAGCAGTCCCGATAATGCGATAGAACCGAGGCAGAAGCGAACCGGTCAAGAGGCAGACGAGGATAATCAGTGTGATTCTACGCTGAAGCGCGCATAGACTTGAGAAGGGAGACCGAGAAGCGAGACCGATGACGAAGCGAAGACAGATCACTCTGGAATGCACGGAGGGGAGGGGGAGCAGTTAAGCGCCTGGCGAAACAGGATCGGCACAAAAGAGAGACAAGCCGAGAGACGGCAACAGCGAAGCAAAGGAGAGACAAAAATGAAGATGGGAGATGATGGCGTATGGAGACGTTGAATGGTAATATTACCGTGAACCAGGCTGAGACCAACAAATTTCGATGCCTTGTCTCCACGTTTTTTATCCACATTGGACTATTTTTGGGTCTGCAAATTAGCACGTAAAAGGGGCACTCGGGGCGTATTCGGAATCTATTCTTATTCTTATTATGCTTCGTATTGGAGCATCTATATCGACATGGACGTCTACGGTATTTTACCTTCTCATCGACGGTGATATGCAGCTATTGGCATCTGTTGCCTGCTCTCCACATGCCAAGCCTCGACGCCTCAGGTTGCCAAGGTTTCCTACAGTCTACCATCGGCAAGAAAGAATGCTGAAATACAAAGTTGAAATGAATTATTTGGTATTCATAGATGGTATCATTATCCTCAAACAAGAATGAATGGTGAGGGTGCCACAAAACATGAGATGTACAGATCGGCCAAAAGCCGACTAGCAGAAGAACTTGTAAACCTTCTTCCACTTGGGCCATTGCTTCTGCTCAGCCCGCTCCTGCTCAACGAGATGCTGAAGATCCAGCTCCCGGCGACCAGTGACCAGATCAACCTCATGGGATCGGACAAACTTGGTCTTGTACCAGAACTTGTAAGGGAGGTAGCAAGCGATGACAACGGGAGCGGCTAGGTAGACCGAGAAGAAGTTGTAGACAAGTTCGCTGGTGGTCATCTCGGCGTAACCAACAGGGGCGAAGCCAACCCAGAACTGGGCGATCAACACCAAGACGTTGAAGCCGAGACCGATCCAGGAACCGATGACACCGGGCTGAGAGCGGAAGGCCAGCTCGTCCAGGCTGTGGCCCTGCTTCTTCCAGGCGCGACGGAAGAGAATGTGGGCACCGCAGACGGAGCCCCAGGTGAAGATGGAGGACAGACCGGAAATGGCCATCATCCAGCCAAAGGCGGTGGTCTGTTTGTCGGAAGCAGCGAGGAAGCAGAGCAGACCAATGGCTGAGGCAACGATAATGGCGGGGAGAGGACGACCCTGGCGGTCAATGTAGGCCAAGAACTTGGGGGCCTGGCCCTGCTCAGCGAGAGCAGCCAGAGTACGAGAAGATCCGTACACGGAGGAGTTACCGACGGACAACACAGCAATCATGATGACAACGTTCATAATGGATGGCAGAGCCTTGATACCGGCGTTCTCGATGGCGATGACGAAGGGAGAAGCGTGGGCATCGGCAGAGGAAGTTCCGCTGACAAGTCTGGGCTCATCATAGGGAACGAGCAGGCCGACAATGGTGAGGGAGACAACGTAGAACAAAGCAATACGCCAGAACACCTGTTTCACTGCGGTGGGGAGGGACTTGCGAGGGTTGGCAGTCTCAGCAGCGGCCAGACCGACCAACTCAGTACCAGCAAAGGCGAAGGCAGCGTTGACAAAGACACTGCAGAGACCCTTGAAACTGTTATGGAAAGCACCCGGGGTATACCAGTACTTGGCACCAATGTATCCACCCTCGGGGCCACCACCGCAGTTGATAATGATTCCGAGAATACTAAAAAAAGATCGTCAGTTTAAGTTTCCATGGGATGAAGCATTCAGGCACTCACATGAAGCCAAGCACAGCAACAACCTTGATGATAGAGAAGACAAATTCGGCTTCACCATATCCGCGGACTCCGAACATGTTGATCGAAACGATGAGTACCCAGAAGATGGCAACCCAAGCAGCGTTGGAAACACCAGGACTCCAGTAATCAACTGTAATAGAGGCAGCCACAATTTCCAACGGTAACACAATCAGCCATTGTAGCGCATAATTCCAACCCATAGCGAAACCCCACGCAGGGTCGACGAAACGAGTCGAGTAGGTGGCGAAAGAACCAGCAACAGGGAACAAGACGGCCATCTCACCAAGAGCATGAACCGTGCAGTAAAGCATCATTCCGATGAGAATGTAAGCAATCAAGACAGACGCAGGGCCACCGGCAGCCAAGACGGATCCGGAACCGACGAACAGACCAGTACCTGGAAAGAGTCAGTACCGTACACCAAATATGTTTGATCGATATCAAAAAAAAGGCTTACCAATCGAACCACCAATGGCAATCATCTGCAGATGACGACCCTTTAACCGACGCTGAAGAGGGGAGTGTGCTGTGTTCTGCGCGGCGGTCTCGATATCAAAGCCCGCACCATCGGAACCAGCATGGCCAGAGACGACATGGTTAGGGTCGCGCTTGAAACTATCCCACATGCGCTGTCCTAAACTAGCCTTGGTGGGTTCTGAGCTACCATAGGAAGGGGGAGCATCAGATCCAGTCTGTACTGTCTGAGGCTCCTCGAACTTCTTCTCGTCCATGGTGAAGGGGGTATAGACCGTTACTTCTCCGGGTGTAGGTGTAGGTGTGGGTGTGGGAGGTATATATAAGAGAGAGGCTTGCAAAGGGGATCGACAAGACCTCTTAGGCTTAGTTCAGACGAAGGTGAGGAGGCAGAGGCGCACGGGGAGGGGTGGAAATATATGGGGGAAGCGAGTATTTAAATGCAAACCAGACCTGATTAAGATCAACTGGTTACGTTCCTCTGAAAGTCATAGACAAATGGCTAATCTGCGCTTAGACTAAAGTAGACTTTTGCGCTAAATCCTCTTTCTTCTGTTCTGATGGCCTTGGCGTACTTGAACGGTGCCACCGACAATTAACGCTTATTTTATTGTTTTCTGGGATTTATTGGATTTACGGTTTGGGATTTATCTTATCATTTTGGCCTTTCTATAACAAATACCCGAACAGATAAGGAACACATGCCTTCGGTTTCAGAGTCCAGGCAAATCAGTACAGAAACAATCAAGGGAAGTGGGACCGCGCTACTTATCTCTGTGATTAAGACAGGGACGATCCTACTCTGGGGCTGGATTGCTGACTCGACCTACAGGATCATGTGCAAAGTGCCGTCGGACCAATGATCAAAGACGAATATGCCCTAATTTGACCAGTAATGCACCCTAATTACGGATTTCCAATCCTCGATTAGTCCAGAATCAGCAAAAAAGAAGACAAGAAAAAGAAAACAGAAATACAAGCTCAGATCTCGACTAACCCCATTCGTCCACCTCCGCACTTGATAGGTGATCATTACCCAATCTATTTTGCGGAGATAAGCCGTTGCCTCTTCGCCCTTTCTCTTGCTCTTCTCTCTTTCACTCTAGCTCTTCTCTCTTTCACTCTAGCTCAGTAAGACAGTGAGATGGGAGTCTTGGAGTAGTGGGCTGTTGTCCAGCAACACCCGGGGGGACATTCTAGAATCGTGGCTAATCTGACTGCGCCCAATGCTCATTCTTCAACACTTGTACATGTACGCCCAGGGCTTGCCCCCTTACCTATGGGAAGGCTTCCCGTCGGAATCCGTACCTGTGGCTCTCCATGCTGCGCTACGGGCACGAGATATGCGAGCCATGCCATATGGCTTGGGAGAAGGTTGCCCCACTGAGGCTGGTGTCGCCTGGATTGAGTTTCCCACGAGTCCCTCGGTTCAGCATCTTGGCCATGAGGCAAGGGGAGTCCACCTCGGTCGGCCTCGCCGTATGGACGGTGATAGTGTATGACTCGTTCTTATTCTGATCCTGATTCTATAGTACAGTATATGCCCTCTGCCTTTCGAGTCCTCGCTTCGGATGGCACCATCAATCCCTGCGCTTCGACATTCCCCCATGACCACATTCCATTCGCTGAGTTTCGGATGGCTCGTGGCGGTCTGCCACTAACATGCATGGAAGCACGGGAGAAGCACACCCTCCCGGCTCGCGACTAGCAGGTGTGTTGGCTTGTTGGCTTGCGGGGGAGAAGGGACCATCATGTGTTCAGGGCCGATGCGAGTGATGATTGGATGTGCGCGGGCGGTTTGAGCTACCTCCTCGTATCCCGGACACAGGGATTTCTCTTTTCCACTGCTGTGGTAGGTCCAAGATTATGCTCTCGCCTTGTTTGGGGTCCGCGAGTAGCCTTTAGACTCAGCCACGTCCAAGGGATCCCTGAGATGGGTCACATTCTGTGGCAAATCTCCAGATCGCAAGGCATGTACTGTACATGCTCCATGTACAGTATGAGAATGGAATGGGGCCAAAATCATGTTGTCCCCGTACAGTTCAGTTCAGCTGGGTCATGATCCCCACTTCCTTATCAGTAGCCATTCAATGAACCGTTGGATCTTTTCAGTCCTTCCTGTACATGTACCACTTATTCCCAGTTCAAAATTCCGATAGGAAGTTGACCGTATGAGACCCATATGGTCTATGCGCCGGAGAATATTGTATGCAAATAAGGGGGGGCGAAAATAAAACCACGCAATGTTCTCGGCCCTGAGATTCCCATTTAGGGTTGCGTGAGGGTGAACAGCCACCAAGGCGCTATTCCCCAGTTGATGGCGCGCAGCAGGGCCTGTCACTGGCGGAGCTTGCGCAACTGATAGCCACGGTAGCATCGGGTGCGGTGGGTTCGGCTGACCTTTGCCTCTGAAAGGGAACCAAGGCCGTCTTTGAAGCTTGGCCCGGGATGCCTAGTCCAGCTCTCTTCTCCCTATCACTCCCAGGGTCTAGCACCATCGATGGGAAGTGAAAGTTGAGTGGCTTCGATTACGTATTCTAGTTGTTGCAGATGTCAGGAGACTAGCGATCATGATCCTGATCCTGAATCATGATCGCGATCGAGACATTAGTTTTGGGGCTTTTCAAGCCGACACGATCCAACGCCCCTGGCACATGCTCATTTGTGCCTCGCGTCGCCACTTGCCGCGCCACGGACTCTGCCGCTCTTTTGCCCATTCTCGCTGGGCACTTTATTTCTGCAGTCTTAGCTTGGTCGGCTTGTTCGTAATTCCCGTTTAGAAGAGCCAAGTCGGAATCCCGTCTCACCCGGGCTGTTGGCATCTGTTACTCCCCTGAGCCTGAATTATACGAATGACTCTCTCTCTCTCCAGATGTCTCTCCTTCACTAGATGGAGTCGACCTTAACTCCATCAAAGTTCTATAAAATGCGGGGGTGACATTCTGTTAGGTAATGGTTTCCACTCCTCCCGTCCGGGGTAAAAGACGCTCATCTCTCTGAAAATCAGGGATCTTGGCCGTTAGACTGTCACTGGTCCCTTGATCGGCTTGGCGGCCTATCACACAGTAGTCTGTCTCAGGCCATTTGATTCGCAATACTTGGCATTGGTTGGAAGCTGTTGGCACCATTGTCACCGTCGGAGTCCCATATCCACCAAGAACGTTAACCGAGGTTTGCAGCAAAGAAATCAATGGGTGAGCTCTTGGTACAGAACGGATGCGGAGAATACTTTCACTAGCCTCCCCCGCGTTCGACTAACCATGCGAGATCGTGTGGCAACTTCGGAGGGTTCGTTACCCCAGTCCCGCAGACTCGGGTAGAAGCTCCGTTCTGGCGATCCACTGGGGTTGCGTTAGTTGCATTGGGGCTATCTACCTCCCTGTCTAGTCAATGACGGAACTACGGTGCTGTCAGTGGACTAGTGAGATATGAGATAAGGTTAGTGCAGATATCACAGCTATCATCCATCACTGCATGATAGCTCGATAGGATACACGACACGATAACAGAATACCAAGAACGAGCATTGACATCGTGTCAAGCCCTTCTCGTATAGTTGCTTGGAAGTGAGGGAATACTTGGAGAAATCCAAAATACCCGGCTCTAGACTGTCGATGGCGCGCATAGCCGTCGATAAGCTGGTTGTAGAGCGTGCTTACAGTTTCAGAGCTTATCTTGGCGTGGGAAGCTAGGCTGCAAAGTGCATGCATCGTTTCATTTCTCTCATTGGGTGGTCCCTGCATTTGAGCGAGGGATTTGCGCCTGTGGCGTATCATTTGTCAGAGGGGATGAAATGGTTCAATTGGAGATCTGGCGTTGTCATCGAGACTGGCCAGTCGATCTGTAGCCATAGGCATGATTGTTCGTAGCTGGGTCCCGTTGCTGGGGGCCAATGGCGGTCTACACAGGGTTGGAACAGGAAGAGCACATGTTTGCAGCAATTTATTCATTCAACAAAGTCTTCTTATCGTTGCTTTCGGTATCATTAATACGCAAGTGGTTTTCTGTTCATCATGGTGGGACGGGGTATCTTGGGCTTATGAGCTTGCCACGGGACCTTCACCGCCGGGAATCAACTGATAGATCTGTTAGTGACTCGTGTCTCTTACAAAGAGTGATGTCTGGCATACCATGCAGATGTTGTTGCCGTTCAGCAGGAGCTTGGGGAGCTTGATCTGGGCACCGGTGTAATCGCTGAGATAAGAGTTAGTATATAAAACAGAACGATACCCGCAAAATATCTGATCCATGTCTTTGTGGAGATCTTTGTCACAAGAATGAAAGGCTGCACAATTGATACGCCAGAGAGTGTCGACATTCCTGAGAGCTTGACCAGAACCACAGCTCGGGGAAGGGAAACGAAGTCGAAAGAACGCCAATAAAGAACTTACAATTCTGTCACATCTTCCATGACCATGTCTAGTTTCTGCTTAGCGTCTGATCATATATAACAATTCATGCAGGAATACTCACTGACGTAGTCATCGAATCCGAGAAGGGTTCCGGAGAATTCTTCATGGCGTTAGTATCACCCTCAACTGATGTTCGAGGGACCAGTTCGAGACTTACCCTTGTCGCCCTTCATGACAACCCATATCCGAGAGCCGACACACTTGTCAATGAGCTCTATCAAACGAGTTAGTGGGGTCGTGGATTTTCAGTATTATTGAGCACAAACCGAGAGGGAGGAGTTGAGAAGCCATAATTTTGAATAATTTGTGTAACTGATAGATTGTAAAGTGGTTCACAGTACTGATTGACTCCAAACTCCACGGTGTTGAAGTATTTCGCGTGGACAAGTTTGATATAGAAAAGGACGTGATCGTTTGCCGCTCGGCGGTGAGGTTGATCCGACACAACACTAGGCCAAATCTGGCTTAGTGAAAATCCCGAGGTTGATGCGCGGAGCTCCGACAACGAGCTGCTGAACTGCTTCACGACATTGGCTTCTTGTCGACTGCCTCTGTTCATCCACTACCACAGCTGCCAATTTTCCCCAACAGACCCTTCTTTGTCAATTCACTCTTGGGCTCTGGCCTGGTCCAGTATGCTTGTCAAGCAGCATGCCAACTCAGGCGAATCTTCTGGCAAGTCGGAACTCCCAGTCTGCAATCAAAAGTCTTAGTAGTCGGCTTGCCAGCTATATTTCTTGGGGTTCTCCGGGATGGAACCTTTGTACACTACGGTCAGTCCACTCAGCTATCTACTTTTCAGAGTCAAATGGCAATTCCTCTAACAGAACTACAGTAATGCCAGCTCGTGCACACGTTTGCTTTCGAACCCTCGATATGGAACCCCTCAAATTCTCCGCTTTCACAACCCCGGGCCGTTGAGATCATGCAAAGCACAGCAATTTTCTACAACCGTCCACCGACAGGGTGCGTGGGACGAAGAAGAGAAGGTCGATGTTAAGCCGCCTTCCAAAAAAAGCCTGTGCGCTTCGTTGGACTGAACAGGCAGCCGAATCGTGGACCCCCTACTCATCGCGATGTGGGTAGCGCGATTCGGGCGCAATACTATGCCAAACAAGAAGAAGTTGCGGCCAAGCAAAGACTACTTCATGCCAAAAGGATACGAGAAGCCTATCCATCGCTGAAGATGCGCTTTGAAAAACTTACTTCGATCGACTTCTACTATGATGTGCTTATAAAAGCGCAATATTCTGACTGGGATTTTGAACTTGAATGGAACGATCGCGAAACTGAACGGATGCAAGCTACGTTCAAGAGTGTTCAATCTGCCTTGACCTCTCCAATCGAAGAAGCAGTCCTTCGGGCCGAGGAACTCACCAATGAAATAGTCATTGAATGGCAAGCTTTGTCATTCTCAATGTCGACCCGCCTGGCCACCGAGGTCTCGCAGATCACAGGGGAACTTTTGCAAGCCGGAAATCTCACTCGAGCATATGCGGCTGCAATATATAGACTTAGACTCCGCGCGGTTCATCATGCTGTGAGTGAAGCAGAAAAAACAACTTCTTTTTTGGACCATGAGTTTTGTACCGTCGCCTTCGCTGAAACTCCTGATATGATCCGACAAATGGAAGAGCTTGGACGCGAACTTGAAAACTGGCAGCATGAGGTTCTAAAAATGGCTACTGTCCTTTTCACGCAACAATTAAACACGTCTGGATTATCGATCCTCGACATGAAAGACACAATTGAAAATGACTTTTTGCTTCCTCGGCAATCTGCAAGAAGACGAATCGATGAAATCACCTCTAGTATCAAAGAAACTCAGCAAAATTACGCACAGTTACAGGCGAAGGCCAGGACGATTTTGAATGACAGGTCTCACTTGATTTGTCAAGAGCTTTGTCGAGGGCCTAATCTTTCCCCCGAGACAATATCCAAGCTCAGCAAGCTTGGTCTTGCCATGCAACGTACTCGAACCTCCCTTTTAATCGCCATGCATCGACATCGTGCAGCCTGGCGAGCCATGGTCATGCAGCGTTACTCGGTTGGAAAGATTCGACTATGGGAGATGAGTGCCGTCGTATCGGGCTACGACGTGAGCAACGATGCCTTTAAAGAGCACATATTCGAAGCTTATGCTCTGGGTCCTCGGCATGGTGGAAAGCTTGGACAGAGCTTGGCAAAAAACTCACGCGGCATGGCTAAGGCTCTTCGTTCCAAATACAAGAACCTCCAAAAGAACAACACAGCTCGCAGCCCTCAGCACGATATTTACTTGCGACAGCTTGATGTAGTTTGGCCAATGGATCATCTTGAAGTCTTAGGCTGGCGGCTGATCACTGAAGCTTGGTACCTTTCACACACCCTGAACGGACTTTGCGGGTCATTGTGGGAATCTCTACCTAACAAAGGCCGGCGATTGTCGGCCAATGCAGTATATGAATGGTGTGTCAAGTTTCAATCTCATCGCGCAGATCTCAAAGCAGAGATGGACGAATTTTATCACATCAACTGGTTGCGCCTTCAATCAGAAAACAAATTGTACGCCCTGGGCGAAAATGTTTATTTGAGCGGTAGATTTGAAGCATTGAATCCAATAAGTCAAGACGAAAAACGTTTGACTGAATGGACTGAGCAATTCGCTCACATTTGCTCGGAGGCGTGGATTATGAGCTGTGGCCTGAATCAACCAGCCCAATTCTGGGAGGGTCTCTACGAGAAGCTAGAAGCTTGCAGGATAGCGGACAACGCTCTGAGGCAAGACCGCCTCCTGAATGCCCATGGTTCTGAAATTGCCCTCAAGAAACCAATTCTCAATACCCCACTACCTCGGACTGGCTCTTTCAAAACCACCATACGGGCCAACTTTGCTCCTCTGAAGGAAGTAAACAAGCTACACAAGAAACGAGGTGAAGGTGCCTCGGCCCCGGAGCCTCGTACACCTATGCTCAATGTGCAACCTGAAGCCAGGTCCAAACAAAACCAAACTCTTTCACGTCCACCTCAGCAGTTGCAGTTTAATACTCAAAGCGATGGCAAGCCCTGGTGGATGCGTTCGAGGAAATCAGAGTATGATTCAGCGGAGATGAAAGAAGCACGCACGATTGGGCCTGAACCCGTTGCGCTAGAATATGAGAATCCCCCAATTGCCTCGAGTAGAGACAAAGTCTCACGGCATTGGGGCATGGCTCAAAAGTTCCAAAAGATCTCCGGGTTGCAGAACGACGCAGATGTTCATCCACCCGAACAGACAAATCGTTTTACCAACCCAACCGGGAAAGCTCCCCTGGATGAAAAGAAATCTCAACCGCTCGCCGGACAGGATTTATGCCAGAATATATTCACTGGAAAAACTTATGCTTCGCCTTCAGTTGAGCCCAAAGGAGATGCCCCGTACCCTAGAGAGGTTCCTCTAGGCCAGGAAGGCACTCTAAGTGAAAAGGCATCAGCTGAGCCAAGCTCACCTGGTTCGATTCATGGACAGGAAACTCGCAAAGATGCAGTCTCTAAACACAGCACTTCGCGAAGCCGCATTCTCATGCAGGAAAGAGGACCACAATCCATTACAGATCGACGACTCCGAAGGCTAGAAAGAGCCATGTTTCGTAGAAGATATACCACCGACGCACGTTCTTACCAACCTGGTCTTCGGCACAATAGCAGCGACTGCAATGGCTCACTGCCTCAACAGCCACTTGAGCATGGCATTCCTGAACTTGTGCCCGCCGAGATCCATGAAACAGATTCAGTTGAGCAGGCGTCCATGGATGAAACTGTGTCAGAATCAGACATTGAGGTTGATGTCAATGACTCCGCGACGCCCAAATTCTGGAGCCACAGCTCAGAGTCAAGCCCGGTTGGCGAAAAGCTGATTGTGCATTACTGTCGTACTCTACAGAACACCGAGGAGACTGCCAAACATTTCCTCGGTAGCAAAGTTCTCGGTTTTGACATGGAGTGGAAATCTTCAGCGTCTGCATGGGACAGCATCCAGAACAATGTCTCCGTGATTCAAATTGCAAACGAGGAACGTATCGCTATTTTCCAGGTTGCGTCGTTCAAGCCCTCGCGTTCGTTGGAGGATCTTGTTTCCCCGACATTGAAACGCATCATTGAGTCTCCTGATATCACTAAAGTGGGTGTGTCGATCAAGGCAGACTGCACACGGCTACGAAAGTATCTCGGGGTTGATGCAAAGGCAACCTTTGAGCTGAGCCATCTCTTCAAGCTGGTCAAGTATAGCCAACAGAGCCCCAAACTGGTCAATAAGCGAGGCGTCAACCTCAGCGACCAGATGGAGGAGCATTTCGGTCTCCCTCTTGAAAAAAGCGAGGATGTTCGTTGTGGCGATTGGTCTCGGGCGTTGAGTTATCGCCAGGTTCAGTGTAAGTACTCCATTCCCTCAAACCCTACATGATCATTCTATTCCTAGCTTGACAAGTTCTAATTTGGACTTTTCTCGATTCAGATGCTGCAACTGATCCCTATGCTTGTGTTCGTCTCTACCACACCATGGAAAAGAAGAGGTTGGCTATGAACCCTATGCCACCTCGTCCTGCATTTGCTGAACTCAATAAACCCATCATTCTTCCTCTTGGGCAAGCTGTCAAGAGTCAGGAGGAGGAGGTTCAACTTTGAGTCTATTTCTAGATATATTTTTATCTTTTTTGTTATCTTCCCACTCTTTCGAAATGTTTCGAAGCACATACACTTCTTTCTGTTTATCCATCACTTTTTGTGCGTTGCCACTCTTGATAGCGTGCATCTGCTTCATTTGATATCCAATCTTGATATTTGGCTTTACCTGATTCCGCAACATCATTCAAATATCAGTAATTGGTATTAGAAAATGGCAATTGTGACAAGTACTGTGGGGATTTGTGGTTACTGTATGACTGTTGTTGAGGATGTGGCACTTCACGTTTATATCTCCCCGGAGTACTAGGCGAATGTGACACATCATAAGATATCAATTCATGAAACGGGTCAGAAGAAATGATTAAGAAGTGGGGTATATATTCATCAACGGTGTATAAACATCTATCGACTAAGCCGATATCTTCAAACTATGCATAAAAACCAAAAGAACGCTTCTTACCCATTCACTCAATACACAATTACCCTCTCAGAGGGAGAACCTTGGACAGCAAAACCTCCTGTCGACAGAGTGGACACTCGGGTTTCTCACGAACCCAGTCACGGACACAAATCCAGCAAAAGACGTGTCCACAGGTCGTCACACTAGGGTCCTTGAACTGTTCCAGACACAAAGTACACTTCCGCTGCTGGCCCTCTGGAATCCACGAGATAGCACTAGGATCTTCATCCAAATCATATAGGGGCACAGAGGCAGGAAGAAGAGGGATAGCCGATGGGTTCTGGATGGAAGAGATAAGCGCCCCGCCCTCTGGGCGAGACTCTTCACCCTCTGCGGATGCACCATCCTCTCCAGCCACACTAGCACCCAGCTTGCGAGCATGCAAGAATCCCTGCACTGCGATCTGAAGGACAAGCAGGACACCCAGGACTTCATACCCGATGCGCTGCTCGTTCTCATCGATCTTTTTTGTGAACACATAGCGCAACCTCCAGAGCCGTTTCGAGAGGTGATAATACGAGCCCGTAAAGTAGAAAGTCGCAATACTCAATGCGTAAATAGGTGACACAGATGTGATGGAGTCGAGATGTTCAAGAAGGTACTGCTGCATACGCAACTTGGTGAAAAACGGCTTTGGGGTGGGTGTAGTTGAGAAGGTAGGTTTATTCAGCAGGCCAGCCTGCTGCGCGGCCCGGAGCTGTGCCCGAGCAACATTGCGCTCGAGCTTGTTGCGAATCTTCTGTCGCAGAGCGGGTAAGATCCGCTGCAGTGTCCAGGGTACTAGGATGCTGCTGAGGATATATCCCACGCGTCTTCCGATAGATGGTAATTGGAGCGTGTCATCCTCTAGCTGGACCAGATCACAGTATTCCTCGCCAAGGGTTCGGTTGCCGATGGCGGTTGTTAGGGAGAAGTAGAGGAGCTCGGTGAGGTGCTTGATTGTGTCGGAGTAGGTGTGTGCGAAACGAGCGCCGCGTAGGGCTCGGACAATGCCTTGGGATTGATGGACTAGGCTGCTTGTGAGGAATGCATCCTTCTCGTGGGAGCGGATGACATCCGGGGATGTTGCGAACGGGTAGAAGTGGGAGGCCGAGGAGCTGAGGGCTGCGCTCGGGTTCAGAGCGATGTGCGAGTCGTCTTCGGCCATGATAGACGGTCAACGGATCGGTATTGGAATGTGACTGGGGATGCTATCTGTTTCGGGACATCTTCACCACGATGGACAATTCCCCGAGGGCCTGTCTGGGGTGGAGATGACTTTCCCCGGAGTCGGACATGCCTCGGCAGCCAGTCACCTGACAGGGCCGAAGAGGAAGGAGGTCACATGACATGACCTCACGTGGCTGTACGGTATTATTACGTGAGCCCCACCTGGACCTGGATTCTGCCGAATGCATCAAGTGGCTGATTTTATATTGGATCCCTCTCCCCTTTTCGTCTCCATACAAGGGTCTTCAGCTGGATAATTGTCCTCTGTCTTGTCTTAAATCTGTCTGATTGGTGACTGGTTGACAATTTCCGGGCTGCAAAGTGCTTACAATACAACTGGCACCCCTCCTGTGGATTATTCTGATTGGTACTGAATGTCGATCCAGCGCTAAAGATCTTCAAGTCTCCCCTGAGATGTGCTTCTAATTATACCGAATCCGACGCACTGTGGAGTTCCAGACCACCAGTGGACTCTTGTCTAGTCCACTCAGCGTGAATTGTTCTCGTTACCCTCTCCGCTTATTAAACTGCCCTGAAAGCGGCCTCACTGGCAAAAGTCTCAACCTCTGAACTCGCCCCTAGTCATTCGTTTATCCCCACGGGGTCTCTTCGTTGTTTCTTCCAGCTCTCGTCCTCTCTCTCTGATCAATGGAAATATGGGTCCTGATCAACACGCTCAACTGGATGCCTTTGGGTTGATTTTCCCATTGCCACTACGGATAGCTGCGCTTCTGGTTGCTGGTACGTTCTGGATCCTGCTTCTGGTTTGGAGAGTGGGAAGTCCGATACTAACAGAGGGGCAGGTTTCTGGGGATGGGGTCTCAACCTTCAGTATTTAGCAAAAGCGAATATTGTGAGTGACGTCGCTTGTTCTATCGGAATCCACCGGTGTTCCCAGATTTGTTCGAACTAACCACTCTCGATCTTCAGGATGTTCCTGCTCTCGTGAAGTATCCCGGCCGAACATCCTCCACCCAACGTCCACACCACACCGCGGTCTACCGCCTAGCGACATTCTTCACCATCCCCCTTGGCCTGTGGTGGGTTGTCTTCTGGCTCGCCACCCGCCGGTCCCCTGACCTGGTAGAGCGACTGGACTGGATCCCTCAGTCTGTTTTCATTATCCTCCTACTTATCCTTATCTGGCCCTTCAACCGCGTATCTCGCTCCGGCCGCATCCGATTCCTTCTTACTCTTAAGCGAGTCGCTATTGGTGGTCTGGCCGAGTCTCAAGATGGCAAGTTTGGTGATATTCTGCTGGCAGATGCCCTGACTAGCTACGCTCGCGTGCTGGGGGATCTCTACGTCAGCTTTTGCATGTTCTTCACCGACGGCCTCGCCGCAACCTCCAAACCCAACCGCGCCTGCGGCAGCGAAATCGTCGTGCCAATCATTATCGCCGTTCCCAGCTTGATTCGTCTCCGTCAGTGTTTGATCGAATATGTGCGTGCGCGCCGCACCACCAGCCGGAGGGAGACACAAAAGGGTAACCAGCACTTGGCCAACGCACTGAAGTACGCTACTGCGTTCCCTGTCATTTGGATGGCCTCGAAGATGCGCAACTATAACCCGTTGGACTTCCACGGATACAGCGAAATGAGCATGATGCGTCTTTTGTAAGAATCTTTCTCTCCTTCGTTTTATGTACTTCCTGCTGATGACCTGCAGGTTCATCGTGTCCTTTATCAATTCCGCATACTCCTTCTGGTGGGATGTTGTCAAGGATTGGGATATGACTCTCTTCTCCCCGGAGCGCCTGGACAACGACCACCCCTACGGACTCCGCCGATACCGTTACTTCTCATCCGACAAGTTATACCACTACGTCATTATTGCGGATCTCGCCCTTCGTTTCTCATGGCTCTGGCGCATCGTGCCAGGCTTCGGCTGGATCCCAGAAACTGAAGGTGGCCTATGGATCCTGATGTTCCTCGAAATTGCGCGCCGCTGGATGTGGGTGTTCTTCCGAACTGAAGCCGAATGGAGTATGTTTTCCCCCGTTGCTCCCTCCCTGCGCCGAACTTTTTCAGTCCAGCCACCCTTGTTTTTTTCTTCGAAGCATGACCACTGACATTTAGAACAGTTCGGAATACCCATGGCCCTGGTCCCGAAGACGTTCTCCTTGGCGAATACAACCACAAGTTCGACGCAGACTAAATTTGATATTCGCATTTGAACGCATCTTCAGGCGTTCGGGAACGAGAATGAGACACAGAACCCCCTTCCCCCTTTCTACCTACCACATCGGTTGATTTTCAAGACCATACGGAGCAGACGCTCTGTCTACCACCCGCATACCCCCACCCACCCAATGCTAGAGCAGCGATAGATGAGGCCTGGGTTTATCTTCTTTATTTTTTTGTGCGTGGAACTATTTCATCCAACGCCTTGTACGCCTATAGTTTTGATTTCATTTCAGAATCGTGTTCTTTTACACAACATGACTTTCAGTTTCTTTGGACTCTTTCGAGGTTGTGGTTTCACATTCAGCTCATGGATTCGGTGTTGAATTTTGGAATCCGCCTTTGTGGCAACCCCTATATGTTTCCTTTTTCTAGTCTGTCTACTGCCCTGATCGTTCTCCGTGTATCAAATATTTCTAGGATTGTTGAGTTTGACGTCTGCATCTACCCTTACCTGTTTTTGTCTCTTTTTTCTTACATATACCACATCTATCGGATCGAATTTCTTGTCTTACCCTTCTTTTCTTTGAATTTCTTCTTAATTTCTCCTTGAATTTCTTTTTGGGCCTTGACTGTCAGAAAGTCCGGTGGTGGCATGTACTATATAGACGTTTTGGGGTTGTAATGGTGACTGATCATTATGGTCAATCTTGAATAAGGCCTCTTATTTTGGGGCAGACGTGGTTCAAATCCGGAATATCATATTAATACATGACGATCGAGTTTATTCTCCAAAAACGAATAACTCTTCTTGGTAGTCGTTCCTTCACTGTGCGGTGGGCACTGGAAGTCTTAGATTTTGAGAATATGGTCTGGGGCGAGGATGAAAGGTATCAACAAAAACTCTGGATATGAACACCTTTGCCTTCGCTTAAAACCTGGAGTAAAAGGTCCCGAGGTGTTCACTCGATCCTACAGCTAATAAGCCTCCAGGTTTGATCAAAGTACGACACGACTCGAAACGCTCGTGCTATCTAACAACATTTTAGTTATGAACAACCCCATGGCATCTCAACAAAACTTCCATAAACCTCCCACTACGCAAAGCAGCATATATCTGAGCAATATTCGACCCAATAGTCTTCTTCCCAGAAGCCGGCTCGCCAGAGTCAAAGGTAGGGTGATCGATGACCCCACGGTGCATGGGGACAAGCAATGTCTCTCGAACAAACCCATAAAGGATCTTTGAAGAGGTACCAAGATATTCTTTCGTCGTGGTCTTGGTCAAGAATTGTTTCACTGTGGCTGTATAGGACTGAACCAGGACATCATCCATTTGCTTCATCCACTGGTGGGGACTGACCTTCAGGCCGTCCACACCACCGAGCTGCAGGATTTGTCCGAGTGATGAAGACACAGTGGTGGAGCTACGCTCGGGGAGATTCTGAGAACTCTTCTGTGCCCATTGGTCCATCAGGATATTCCACACACCCTTCTGCACGGGTTCAATCGATAGCTCCTGGTTCTCATGGCTGATCAACTCCTTTGTGATCCAGTCAACCTGTGGGCGGGCCGTATTGATGAATTCTAGATGCAATGCACGGAGATCAAGAGCTTGACAGACCACGTAGAGATATGTGGCAGTCATGAGAGAAAGTAGCTCGACGGTATCGCCCGCGTAGCGACTAGCGATGAAAGCCAGAGAGTTGAGACCCTGATTGTGCATCTCGGCACTTTGAACATAGTTGCTCACAGGGTGGGCGAGATATGCCAGCTCAGACATGTACGCAGCCATGTTTATGTCAATTCCCTTGAAGGCAAACGAGACGTCGGGGTCATCGAAACATAGGTTTGGCGGTAATCCATTGCTTAGCATGGGATTGATCAATTCAGAGCACTGAGCAAAGAGCATCTTTCCAAGCATCTGCATGGCAGACATGGTCTTTTCCATAGCTGATGTGACAGAGACAGCCTGGAAGTTTCCACCATGGTAGATTTCCTTGTTAGAGGGATCGACAATGGGGTTATCCGTTGTGGAATTGAGCTCGGTTTGCAATTGCTCAGTGGCCAATTTCATATCCTCTAGTTGGGGGCCAATCCACTGTGGTGCGGTGCGCCAGGCATACCGGTCTTGAGCGAGTTTGGCTTCTCCGCCAGGTCCTTCGTCAATTGCTAGCTTTGATCCTTCTAGATGGGCGAAGATGTTGGCAGCAGCCTCGCTCTGGCCGTTGTGAGGGCGAACTTCGGAAATAAAAGGATGGTAGTTGCGGCGGTTACCCATCATTGCTTCGGTTCCCATGGCTGTCAAGACTTGGGAAAGCAGGATCAGCTGGTTTGCCTCGAACATCACCAGACTGGCAGAGCCAGAGCTGAAGGCTGTTCCGTTTAGCAATCCTAGTCCTTCTTTAGGTCCAAAGGTGAAGCTTTTGAGTCCTGCTTCGTTCAATGCTTTGTTTGACGGAACTTTTTCATAACCGCTGGCCGTCGGACGCTGGATTAATATGTCAGGGTTTCCCTCTAGCGCACCAGCAATATATGCCAATGGCGTAAGGTCACCGGAAGCAGAGATGCTGCCACGAAGAGGGACAATTGGGGTCATATTCTTGGCCAAAAGGGCAATAATGGTCTCGATAACCTCAATCCGGACTGACGAGTGACCGCGCAAGAGGGAATTGCATCGAGTCAGCATTGCTGCGCGGACGGTAGATATTGGCATAATATGACTTTTCAAGTCATTTAGTGTTGTGTTTTCATGGCCAGACAATTGAATGCCCGGATAAGGGAATGCCACGGCGCTGTTGTGGTGCTGAATGAGGGCTTTTTGCAGAGTCTCATAGTCAGATGTGCGAGTGTTGGCACTGCCACCAAATCCCGTTGTGACCCCATAGACGGTATGGCCAGCCTTGAGCACTTGGGTCAAGAAGTCAATGCTCTGGTGGACGCGAGCTAGGACTTTCTGGTCATCTGTTAGAGACGGCTCGGCGTGGCACCTGTCGATGGTTGATTAACATGCTGACAGGGCGAGACATCCCATATATTACCTGGCGACTGCAAACACCGATTCAATGTCAAGAGACTGTCCATCAACGGTAATTTTCCCCTTTCCCTGGATTATCTTGTTGAAGTGCACCGAGCTGGAGAGAGTCATGTGTGTCAGCCCCCATGCCCGATCACTCAAGTACTTCTGCAGATCGTGTTCTGTCTTGTTGTACATTTCAATATCAAGATCGTCAAGATCAGACGAAAGTGAACATGTAATAATGAGCGGATGCTGATCTTTATGTCAGATCGATCGGACCAAAGGTGATGTAACGGCGGCCCGAACGTGGTCCCCGAGAGCATCTGAGCCCTAACTTCATAGATGTTGATATTCATCACGATCGCTACGCTCGACAGCTTCTAATCAACAAAGTCTCCATGCTTTCATGTAACTGGGTTTCCACTTATCTCGCTTCATGATTATACACTCCAACTTTGAAGGCATGTGATGCTGACAGCGAGATCCTGCAATTCGTGTGCCCAGGCCAAGGTTTCAACCCGGCATTCAGCCAATCAAATGCTGAAAGGAGGCTTGCCGACTTAGCTGGGCCTGCATAGAGTTCAACACTACTGTAATGATATGAAAGGAATCACAGTATTGACTAGCGGTGAGAAAATCCAGACTATGGATCCTTTGTTCGGACTGCTTGTCTCATGTCTCGTGTGATCGCACTACAACAAGGACGAACTCATGAAACTCTGCACGAAGGCTGTCCAGACATGACATATCCACGGTGCTGTTTTGGTTATCTTGAGAATAAGCGGCAATGGAAAGAAGGATCGAGATGGTGTGAAATGGAGTATCAAGACACTGAGAGATAGAGAGGCTCGGAGTACGATATCTTCTCTACGCGAGACATCAAAAGCGAGAGTGTCTGGTTCATGTATTGTTCTTTGCTTACATTGGCCTCTCTTTTTAGCCCGCTGTCTTGGTCTGTTTGTTGTTCTCTGCTCATTTTCAGCCTTCTTGGCTATAGATTGTGAAAGGGTATGGGGGCAATGGATCCCTTGTTTCATGCCACAATACGAGATACTAGCCCTGAATTGGTTGAACGAAAGTGCTAGCCCGTGTTAGTCGTTCTGGCGCCTGACATAAGAACCCGAACGAACATAATTACGGACTAGTGCCCGTCGTGATCTTCACACTTAAGCTTAATGGTCAGTTGTAGGATAGACTTGGAATACTAATAAGCACAACATGGATTTACAAAGCTCAATTATCCGAAATGAAAAAAAAAAAATTATATTCATTGACATCTAAAAAATAATAATCACCAAGACAGACCAGACTCGTTGACTTCGTGTAAATCTCTCGACTGGGCAAGATAGAAGAGAAAAAGACACATCCACAGATAAAGACCAAGGCGGACCAGCCAAATGGACTTGTAACATATCCGGGTCATGCTTTTCCTTCTACTTGCCTCGACAGCTTTTTGATTCTGACAATGACTCGCTCGCTTCTGCTTCTGCTTTCAACTTCGCATCCATATCGTCTCGCTCATAACATGCATGTCTTAGCTTTTTGCAATGTCCGCACATTCACTCATGAAGTACATCCATACATTACCACTGCTGTTTCAATAAAAGCATGCTAGATCAAAGTGATCTAGTAACTTTCAAAAAGCAGAACAGGGAATGTTGCAGAGTATCAGACCCTTACAGGTCCTTCTTGATGACGTGGGCCTTGGGGAGGGTACCAGCGCGGTCAATGGCAGTCTGGCGAGCGCCAGTGAGACCGAACTGGGTGGCAATTCCATCAACACGGTGGGTGGAGTTGATGTTCTTGACAAGGGTGAGCTGCCAGCAGGTGGCACCACCCTGGCGGGAGGTGATGGTGGAGGAAGCAAGGAAGTACTCCCAGATGCGGAACCAGCGCTTGCCGTACTTGGCCTCAACCTTGTCCTGGTTGCCCATCCAGTTCCGGTACCAGCGCCAGAGGGTGGCGGAGTAGTGCACACCAATGGTGTCGACGGCCTTGATCTCAAAGCCGGCACCCTCGAGACGGTCCACAACAAAACCGAGAGGAGTAGAAGCGTCGGCACCCGGGAAGACGTACTTGTTCATGAAGAGACCCCAGATGAGGTCCTCGTACTGCCAAGACTTGCGGAGACCGGCGATCTGGAGGAAGAAAGTACCGTTGTCATCGAGCATATCGTAGACCTGAGACAAGAAAGAAGAGAAGTGGCGGACACCGACGTGCTCGGCCATCTCGAGACAGGTGATCTGTTGGTATCCACCCTCAACACGGGGAGCATCACGGTAGTCGTTGCACAGAATGCGACTCTGGTCCTCCTCAATACCGGCCTTGCGGAGACCGTTGTTACCCCAAGCAGTTTGGTTACGACCAAGAGTGATACCAGTAACGTGAGCACCGTAGTGGACGGAAGCGTACTTGGCGAGGGTTCCCCAGCCACAGCCGAGATCGAGGACCTTGTCACCGGGCTTGACGCCAATCTTCTCACAGACAATAGCCAGCTTGTTATCCTGGAGCTCCTCAAGAGTCTCCTCCTTGTTGATATCGCTGATAACACCGGAGGTGTAGATCATGCGAGGACCGAGGAACCAAGCGTAGAAGTCATCGCCTCGGTCGTAGTGGTCACGGACCTGCTCCTCGTCTAAAAAAAAAAAAAAAAAGGGTCAGAATTGTTGCAATTAAACTCAAGCGGAAATAAGCTTACCCTGAGAACGAGTGTGCATAAGCATCTCGGGAATGAAGCCAAACAGGAAGTGCTTGAAGAGGCCGGTGGTGAACTTGAAGTTGGCCCAGTCGTGACGGTACTCGAGACACTCAAGGGCATCACCCTTAAAGTCAACCTCACCATTGAAGTACTTCTCGTAGAAGACCTCCATGGGGATCTTGCTCTTGCCGCGGTAAGTGGCACGGTCGTGCTCGCTGTGGAAGTTCAGGTAGTACTCGACAGGGCGGCCACAGTACTTGGCCTTCTCGGTCTTGCGGGGAGAAACGGAGGAAGAAACGGTCCAGAAGGCCATCAGAACGGGGATGGTGGTGAAGATAGCGAAGAAGATGGTGGTATAGAAACCTCCACCAACCTGACGGGCCAGCCACCAGGGCACCACGAGGACCAAGAAGATCATCAAGCCATTGGAGAAGCTGTCGCTACCGGGCGAATCGGCAGGAACGGGAGCATTCTTGATAGCTGGGTACTAAAGAGCAAACACAGCAAATTAGCTCCAGGTCATGCGGCATGGATAGCTGGACTTACCAAGGTGGTTGGCACACCGCAATCGAAGGCAGGCTTGGTCTGCTCGAGGGCAGCCGGAGTCTGAATAAACTCGAACTCCTCGGTGGAGTCCGGATGAATAGTCGTCATAGCTGGGCGTCAATTGAGAGGAGTGAGAAAAGAAAAGGAGAGGCCAGAGAGTAAATAAGAAGACGGGCAGTTCGGAGGGGGCGGTGTGGGCTAGACCAAGGTACCTGGAAGTACCTGATTGGTACCTGTTGTTCCGTGCGTGGATCTTTGAAGAGGTGGTACCGCTCAGGTACACAAAGTTAGTACGCTACTGCAGACACTGACGTACTGCTCAGCCTTTGTACTGTACATGCACTGTAGCTCTAAAGTCCAGCCAATTTGAGTTCTTTGGAATTGATCCTTCGATTTGTGCTATGGTGAAAGCTCTACCCTATGTCATTCCAGCCTATCTTCGGGCACGGGATTGGAGATCTGCAAGAGACTTTTGCTTTCCCTTCCCGAGCTCGACTTCCCCAATCAGATTCCACTTAATTCAGCCCCAATGATCAATTACATCATTTGACAGGAAAACGGCATTTACTTCTCAAGGTGGTACTGTCTACGTGGTCCCTGGGCTTTGGTGGATGATCAAGTGGATCTCGGGGGACTTCTGAAACAGAATGATCCGCGGTTCAAAACACATACAATGACATTCATTTCCAGACCCGTTGGCTGCACTCCAAGCTCCATACCGAAAGACGATAACATACAGTAGTAATATTGCATAATTTCTCCTCCAAAGTTCTTACAGAGTAAGCTGGAAGCTCTGGGCCTCCTCATCTTCCTCAAATGTGGGCAATAACTCGAGTTCCTGGGAAGCCTCCTCTGGGGTGTCAAAGCATCCAGCAGCTTTGCAGCGAGTCCACATATCCGAGTCCAGCGGAGGGGTACCGTACAGCTGCATATAGGTTTCAGGAGACAACGCCTCCGAGCTTGAGGTCTTTTGAGCTTCAGCATTCTTCTCTCGCAGGGTGGAGGAAACACTTCTGCCTTTGGAATATCCCAGAGTAGTGTTGGAATTGGCAGCAGCAGCAGTGTTGCGCATGGAAGAGGGATTGGTTGGGGTTCTGGTTTGTCTCTTAGGCATGAGCAGGGACGATCCCAGTCCTAACCGTGGCTTGGGAGTCGGGGCTAGCCGAGGAGTCGTAGCTAGCTGAGGTGCTGCAAGGGCTGCTGCTGCCTCGCGAGATCGAAGCGACGAGATATTCCGCGAGTGCCGGGTAGTCATGGGTGCCTTTGAGCGTGTGGATGGAGTTCGGGTTGTCTTTGTGGGCTCGTTATTGCCCGAGCTTTCGAAACCAACACTCTCAAGTTGCTTTAGGATCATCTCATCCACCATCTTGTCACACTTGGCTGAGTCCTCCTTGAATTTCCGTTGCTTCGCTGTCAGTCCATCACTGCCAATTTGCTGCTTTCCATACACACTCTCCAAGCCCAAGGCCCTGTTCTTGGGGCGAAATTGGGGGAAGTTTGTATCATATGTCACGTCATCTGGAAGATCCTGGAGATCTATATATTGTCAGAAGCGCCCTTCCATGCTCGAGGCTCTATTGGTGACCTACCTTTAGGCTTTGGGGGCATATATTCAATATCGGGGACATCGTTAATGGTAGAATCCTTGTGAACTTTAGGTTGAGCTTGGTGTACCACCGGAGACGCCTTCTTTTTCTGGGCGGTCGACTGTCGTCTGTTTGTCTTGATAGTACCAAACTGGCCCGGTGTTTGGTTATTTTTGGTTTTGAGATTGGTAGTTTTAGCACCTAGAGGAGCGCGGTTCTTCACTTTTACGTGCGCAATCAAGTCAGTCATAGTCCAATCCATGGCCGCAGTGAAAGTCTCGTACCCATCGGCGTAACGAACGCGTCCTTGCCCGGCTTTCCATTCTCTTTGGCCTTTCCCGTGCCTTTTCCAAATACGACGGTGTTGTTTTCATCGTTCAACGGTACCTTGAGGGTTCCTTTGCCTGGGGTCTTGGGTGCCAGCTGCTTCTGATTCAAGGGCTTGGCGGCCGCGGCGGTCTGGTGGGTGTTCACCAAGTTTTCTTGGTCTCGAAGGGCCAACATGGCGGCGAGCTGAAGCTGAAGAGGGTCATGCACTAGGCAGAGATAAGTCGCGTTCAGGTAGCGTGTAGAGTGGTCAAAACGCCTCCAGCAGTTCTAGATGCAAGTGTTGTCGAGTGGTTGCCCGTGGAGACGCGGCGATCCAGAGGCGGTGAGTGGCTGAACGTCGCAGTGGAGAAAACCAGAGCAGTTGGTACACAGTAAGTACCCAGTACTTGGGCAGTGGTGGAGCTTGGGCCTAACAGGGTGGTACTGTCTACTTGGCCAGTCAGCCATGATTCCTCCCCTTCTCTCCTCCCAAAACTCTCCCCAAGACAAGCATCACTCACCCCATCCTACACTCGCCCGGTTTCTCGCTGAGCGAAAGCCTGAACTGCTTTTACTTTCACAAATACATATTATCTCCCCCCTTTTTTCAATACCCTCAAAATGGACAAGATTAAGGAGGTATGTTGACACACCCCTGCTGGCGGGGTAGCTTGCAAATTGTCCGCCAAAACAACCCAACCCCTCACCGTGTGCATATCCGAAGATATTCATAGCCCGAAATTTCTGACACATTCTTGACTGGACATCCTGCTAATATGGTGGTATTCAGCGCATGGTCGCCCTCCGCGCCGAGGCCGATGAGGCTCACGAGCAGGTCGATGAGCTCAAGACCCGAGTGAAGACACTGGAGCAGGAGAACCTGTCCAAGGAACAAGAGATCACATCCCTCAACCACCGCAATCAGCTTCTCGAGGAAGAAGTTGAGAAGGCCGAGACTGCCCTGAAGGAGGCCAAGGATGCTGCCAGCCAGAGCCTCCAGCACGACACTCAGAACGAGGCCCTTCAGCGACGAGTGCAGCTCCTCGAGGAGGAGGCTGAGGAGAACGATAAGACTCTGCGTGAGACAAACGAGAAGTATGACCCCCCGTCGGCTCTATCACACATCGGTACTAACATGTGGGGTCAGGCTTCGCCAAACCGACATCAAGGCTGGTCACTACGAGCGGAAGGTGCAGGCACTCGAAGACCAACATGCCAAGCTCGAGGAAAGATACGAGGAGGCAATCAAGGAACACACCACTGTCAAGAAGGAGCTCGACGACCTCGCTGCTCAGATGGCCGACATCTAAGCTGGGTCAAGCTGAACATGTGTGCAGGGGCTTGGAAGACACTGGCTTGGATAAGACCTTCCTTTGCGTCCGGATTGTCTTCTTCATGTTGTAATTGTTTGTGTTACTCATTTCCTCGTGTTCGAGGGAAGTCTGTGCTTCGATAGCAATTCTTTTACCATGAATGGTGCATCGGTGTCTTTAACATTTCCTACAATTTCACTGCTGTTTGAACATAGCGATACCGGTGCTCCGTAAAATTCAGTAATAACCAATAGCTCCAAACCCATGAGTATATAGACATATGATATCATTTCTCCGATTCAGCTCCCCGGCGCGCCTTGGCCTTGGTCGACTTGACAGCGCGTTGCTTTCTTGCTGTTTGTCTGCGAATATCCTTGCTCTCGTAGCGGAAATTGCGCTTCTTCTTCCTGGCAATTCTTTCGCCTGCCTTTCGCTTTGGCTTCTTATCGTCCTCGGCTTCGGGAGCGGGATATTCTTTCTTCTCCTCAGTCTCCGAGTCCTCTCCCAACACGGCCTTCATCAAGCCTTCGCGGGACGCATCCATTTCCTCAACTGTGACTGTGGTGTATTTGTCTTCGTCAATATACTCGGCTTCGTAGTCGACCGCTGGCGGTTCTTCAATGCCGTCCCACGCCTCTTCGTCCTCATCTTCTGATTCGCTCTTTTCTCCAGCATTTTCTTTCATTTGCTTGAGCACTCTTGCGTGTTCCTCCATTGCCCTATTGAAGTCGGCTTTGCGATCCTCACGAAGCTAGAGACACATTAGTCGGGATTCAAGAGCAGATTCTGTAGACGAACGTACCTTTTTTCTGTCGTTCCTCTTCTCTTCTTTGTATCGCCTCTCGGCTGCCTGCTGTGCATTCTTTGCGCGCTGCAGCTTGCGCTTGTGAAATCCAGTCAACCATTCCTGGCGGTCTTCGGTGTTGAAATTGATCTCTTCCACTTTAGGTTGGGCGGGGAGCTTGCGTCGTTTTTGAGGAGGGCCCATTGTGAAGAGTGAATTAAGGTGGAAAAACTGAGCAAAAAAGTCCAGTCGTTCGTAGGTTGTTCAGTCAAAAATATTCGGCCAAGAAAAAAAAAGTTGCTGCGAAAGCTGAGGCGGGTCGGGGACTGTCGACCGCCTCCGAGGCCAAGTCGGACACCTCCCGTTGACGTTGGCAACATCACCGTCCACTCGACCCCATCCCCAGCACAATGCATCTGAGCAGGTTTGGGCTGGTTGCCCTCGGGGCTGCTGCTGTCAACGCTTTCCGTGATACCTCGCCTTTTTTCCTCGCCTCCACTTCGGAGTATGTTCCCAATGAACCTCTCCCGCTGCAACCAACTAATTGCTCGCCCTTTAGTGTCCTGGCGGACTCCGCATACATCCAGACTGGAGCTTCTCTCTTCGACTCCCTCTCATCCTCTCTCAGCACTTGCCCGTCGGATTACTATGTCGTTGTCTACCAACCGGGTGTGCATAGCACTGACTTCGCGTCGCGCAAGTCCGCGCCCCGCTTGGGTGCGAAGATGCTTGGCAAGGACAGCTCGATTCGGTCCATGATGAGCGTCAATGAGGTCGCTGGTCTGGTAGAACCTAAGCAGGTCAAGGGCCTTTTGGAGGAGAAGTGCAAGGCCCAGACTACCAGCATTGACGGTGCCTGTGAGTTACTTTGGTGGCCAACAATGGATAGGGCCAGTTCACTAAGAGCTTCAAAACTGACAATCACCTGTAGCTGGGTCATACCCCTCTTCTTTCAAGAGCGGACCTCGTATTATCGATGTCGAATTCCCCGTGCTCTCCCTCGGATCAGACCGTATGCAGCAGCTCTCTAGCTTCGGTATGTACTAGTTCCACTAAAGCCGTTGAGTGTTACTAACTTGCCCAGATGGTATTCTCTCCGACATTGTTGCTCAAATTCCCTCCTCGTCTAAGTATACTATTCTCTATCTTACCTCCCCGAGGGAGTTCCCCGAGACCGATTCCGTCATCTACGAGACCGAGGGAGACTCCTACCATGATGCCATCCACATGGACCTCAAGCGTGACTATTCATCACACGAGAGCTCGTCAGACAAGTCTACATCTCTCTTCGAGGAATATCAGTACTTCACTCCAGGTTCGTGCTTGCTGTCTGATCCAATTCATACACCTTACTAACCCTCGGTAGGCATCTTCATGGGTCTGATGGCTACCTTCATCTTCTTTGCGATCTTGTACATCGGTATCAATGCGCTCAGCGGTCTTCAGGTTCCCTATGCTGCATTCGAGAGGGATACCTCGGCTGCTGTGCAAAAGAAGGCGCAGTAATTGGTAGGAGTAGGTAACACATTTCCATTGCCATGTGCATTTGTGGTCAGGGGCAATTCTCTCGTATTTTCATGTATGATACATCATATTTCATTCCCAATCTGAAAGTTCGCTCGATGTAAATGCAGTCCTTGCTTGTTGGCGTCTGTAGTTCTTTTTTTGGCAACCGTCAGGTGACGGTCTCAGAGCCTGAGGCAGACTACTCCTTTAGCGTTGGCGTCGTTTGGTTTCTCCCCCAATTCTCGCTTACCAGTTCTCTCTCGACCAGCATTCCCAGACGCTCGTTGTCCTCACTAGAATAGCCGTCATTCGTTTGTGCTGGAAGCTTGTGAAGGGCTTTGTCTCATCTGGAAATCTTCTGACTGTGGGTCCTCACCCTGCAGATTGAGTACATTACAGCCTCAGCCAGGCCCAAGAGAGACGAATCGCAGTCGAGTTTGCAATCAGCTTCAGCAAGCCGAAATCCGCTCAGCATTCATTGATTCGATTCACGCAACACCTTCATCGCTGTCGAAGATCGACGGGCTACCCCGAGTGACCCGCACCCTGTGGAGAAACAGTTGATCAATTGTTTACGACCGTCACTATGCGAGTTCTACCGCGAGGGGCTGGGAGAGCCGAGCCGTCAATGCTCCTGCTGCTTCTCCTGATCTTTGCGATCGCCGCTCAAGTGGCTGCGGTGCCTGCAGACGATACATCGACGGATACTACCGATGCCGCTAGGACCACCGACGATCCCTCCACCACTGATAGCCAGACCACCGCTGCTACGACAACCAAGTCTTCATCTTCGTCCACTTCGACGTCAACCACGAAGGAAACCAGTACAACGACCTCTTCATCGTCGACTAGCACAACCATGGATACGACCACCACCTCCTCGTCTTCCTCCTCCACAACCTCTGACACAAGCACATCAACATCCTCCTCCTCCACAACAACAACATCATCATCATCATCAACAACAACAACATCGTCTTCCTCGACCACCACAGGTGCCGCGATCGTGACAGTGCCCCCAATAGCAAATGCGCCCTACATGCAAGAGAGTGCCGCGCCAGAGGGCACTGTATTCATCGCCGTCGGTGCCGCCCTAGGCCTAATCGGTCTGACCCTGCTCGCATGGCGCGCAATGATCGCATGGTCTGTGAACCGCTCAGTACGCCGCGCAGCCATAATCCACGCCTCTGAATCCAAGCGCCTTCTCCGCGGCAGCAGAAAGAAGCGCTCAGTCCCCTACACCGCTGCGCCAGCGGCAGACGTCTCCCTCGACAAACTCGGCGCTGCCACTCGGGCAAGCTACAAGTCCAACCGCGTTCCAAGTTCGAACAGCGGCCTCTTTTTTCTCCCCTACTGCTGGCGGTGGTGCCCATGGATCACATGCTAGTCTCAATGCGACAGGGAGCACAGGCAATCGCGGCTCGACTTACCTGCCCGCTGGGTACTATGCTGCTGCTGGTGGTTCCAACCCGGCTGTCGGCAGTGGCGAAGTGCCATACTCACCTACGGCTGGCCTGTCCTCGCCTTCATTGCCTCCTACCGGTGTCTACAATGATTCGCATGTCCAGCGTCACTCGCATGTGGGCGCTTCGACCAGTTCACTGAATCTCAACCAGGCGCCTCAGGGTCGTGCCCCTAGTGCGTACCTAGAGGACTTGTTCGAGAGCCATGTGCCCTCTCACAACTCGGGGTCTGATCGTCGGTGATAGCCTATCTAATATGCCGCTTTGATATGAAGGAATGAATCCGGCGAGTTCTGTTTTTCTTCGATCTATTTTTTGGGATCTTTTTTTTTCTTTGCCGATAAATATACTCATATGTCACTTTATTTTCCTTGTCTTTCTGTTGAAATTCTATTGGGCATCTTACATACAGTTGTATCATGACAAATTCCTATTAAAATAGCGAAACTTATACGATTTCATATAATCTTATGCGTATAGAATATCCTCGTTTCTTTCGTATGATCTTGCAGCATATAGAAGGTCTATGATACCTCGTTGGTCTTTCGATTTGATCTAAAAACGAAATGAGACTTCTGCATCACGATATATATTGAGGCCTGCTGAAGTCTATTTACCAAGTCAGAGTGATACCCAGTGAAATAAAATCTGTACTCGGCCTTCTTTTACACCCAACATGCTATAAGAAGCTCTATCAAACCTCAAAGGACTATTACTCTACGCTGGACAATAGATGCAGGGTTCAGATATACAAACCAGAAGACAGATCTCTTTACAGATTACATACGTGTGTAACTACCTTTCTCGAACTTGAACTAACAATATAGCATCAGATCACAAAAGAAGAAAATATATTGACTGATAGCATCACGCAAATGATAAAGTATAGGGTATCTACAAGAATCAGAAAGAAAACAAAAGCCCCCTACTCAATCCTCTTGTACAGCTTAGCTTTGCTAGATGTAGAAGGGCCAGAACAACAAGCAGCAGGCTTCTCTTCAGGGTGGAGGGAAGACTTGTTGAAGAGCTGAGAGGATTGCGGGACATCAAGGGCCGGGTTCTTCGTAAAGAATCCATCCGGCTTAAGCATGACGCTGATACGCTCCATTGGCATGACGGGGAAATCTTCAATGCGAGGATTATGGGTAAGACCGAAGGCTGGTTAATTTGTTAGTTATTGGTTATAATGGAGATCTTAGGTGATTGAGGGTTGCTTACTGTGCCATAAGACGACGTCCTCATTTTCGACATTATCCTTGCGCTGGACCCAGGTCTCGACGCCCTCTGCGCGACGACTCTGATTTGTGAACTCGCCTGCGGCATATAGTTCATCGTCCTGGTACTTTGTAACCCAGATCGGCTTGGTAGCGAACTCTGCGCGGCGGAAGCCGTGCGCGTTCTTGCTGACGAGCAGCATTTGGCTGGGGGCTGCCATGAGCTTGTACGCTACTGGCTTGTAGGTGATTGGGTTAGTGACGTTATCATTGCGGATCTTGAAGACACGGTGACGATCCACGCTTGTGTTTGCTGTGCCTGCGGTTTGCATCACGGTTTGCTCCGAGGTATAGCCTACAAGGTAGGGGTTCGTCTCATCCTCGGGCATAGGGACGCTGTCTTCATAGTAGATAGTGTTCTTGAATCCATCAATAGCAGGGTCGACGCGCAGCGAGAACATATGCTGATGGAATGGAGCCATAACTCCGGGGCCGACATTAGTTCCCCAAGGGACGGTCTGGCCGTTCTCGTTGTCGAAGGGAACGGTAGACAGGATGCCGGTGGCGCGGACTTCCAACTCCACATTAGCAGCCTGGTCGAAAATATAGTTGAAGATATATTCGTAGTTAGCCACGGTGCAGATCATCTGCAGGACCAACTGGCGATTGCGAACAACGGTAGCAGCACCAGATCGATAGTTGGTGTGCTTGTGCTGCAGACCGTTATCCTGTTCGTGCATGCAAACGACATTCTTCAACTGCAGCGGGTTACCCTTTGCGTCGTTACGATAACCATCGAAATACTTGATATGGCCTAGGCAATCGCAACCAAGAGCTAACTGGTTGGCGTTCATGCCGAAGCCAGTGTCACCGACATCAAATGCCTGCTTGCGATGGTACGGGGCACGGGGATCTATTTTCATGTTAGTCAAATTCGTTCAAAAGCCGGAACTAGGTTCTTTTTTCCACTACTTACCACCATAGGGAACTGTCATCTCTGAAACAGCCAAGCGATAGAACAAGTTCCGGTTGTCATATGTGACGTTATAGATAACCAAACCTTCACGGGCATTGAAACCAACTCTGAAGCGCCACTTCTGCCAGTAGACGGAATTGCCATCCACCGAGTATGAAGGTCCTTCAGGCTGTTGCACAATATAAGGCTTGAGATCTGTGCGAAGAGGCTCGTCCAATAAATCATGGGCGTATTGGACCGTCTTAACAGGCTTCCAAGGCTGGGTGGTGGTGATTTCGAAATCAGCTCCACCGGGGAGATAATCCATACGGATCAATTCATGAGTAAGTCCGTCGAATACGGGCGAGAACTTGCAAGGCAGAGAGTAGTGGTTGTTCTGGGGATGATCCGTTTCAACAATATACATGAAGCACTGGAATAGGCGTCGGTTCTCGGTATCGCTGTCCGTGCCATACATCCAAGGGTCGTTGCAGACGGTGACACCCGCAGGCAATTCTAGCTTCTCAATCTCGGCCAAAACGGCAGGGTGTCTCATGCACATTTCTTCAATGGCTGCAATTTCGTCGATATCAATTGGTCCCTGTAGAAGAAGATTGTCAGCCGGTCCCACCAGAATTGGAGTAGACTTCACTTACCTGAACCTCCTTTGGAAGTTCCTTGGCATAGACAATCGTGCGCTGATCGGCGTTCAGAATGGCCTTGTAGAATGCACCAGTGTCGAGACGGTGGAAGAGCACATAGAGGAGACGTGCTGGTGGTGTGGGCAGAGGCCGCCGTAGACGCTCGGCTTCAATGTATGCAATAACATCCTTCTTGATAGGTTCATTGACGTCGATACGTTTATAACGGAGTTCCACGCCCGGGAAGGTAGCCTCAAGAATGCGTACAGCAAGCTTGATCTCCTCGGGTGAGATAGGGTCGAATGGGTGAGGGCCGTGGGTCACCATGATGGGATTTGAAACAGAAGGTGAATGTGTCTCGGGGGGGGTCTTGGGGGACTAACACTTCACAGAGTAAGATAGAATATAGAAAGTGAATTTCCAGGAGGAGAAGTACAATGGGATTTTAAATATCTCGTCGCAAAGGGCCCCGGAGGCACCTTATCGCATTACCTAAGTCTCGCTCTGGCTGGACTTGCCTATTTGGGAAAGGATAAGAGTTGGAGAGGAGTGGGATGTCTTGGCCTGCGAGTATGGGGTAATTGTTCTGGTGGATATACAGTAATTGACGGTCAGTGATAGCCTCAGACCCTAGGCCAATCGCAACCGATATGAACAACACAAAGTTCAGCCTCGCCAATCTCGCAGCAAACAATCGTCAACAACGTGGGGAAACAATGGTCACATGACCCAGGGACCAAGACGATAGGGTCACGTGGCTATGGGGTATGGCGCAAAATTGGCCCGATGGGGTTTAGTGGCAGGTGTCTATCGATAACGATCAATGCTCCCCGAAGGTCCCGCGCATGCACTGACCGAATCTGTACAATATCTGCGATTCTAGAAGCATGCCGCTAACAGTCAGGGCTCCGTACTATCTGTGGAATCCTTGAGACGATGAGCGCACTCACCACTGATCTAGTGCAGCCTTCGTCCTCATTTGCCCCCAGTCAGCCGATATCTGCTCCGAAAAAGGGCAGAACACGGCAATCTGGCACGGCATGGACTCGTTCGGGATGTTTGACCTGCAAAAAACGACGCAAAGCTTGCGATAAGACGAAGCCGAGGTGCGTATCTAGTCTTTCTCTTGAATTTGGGTGACTAATTTGGTTAGTTGTAACAATTGTCTCAAGCAAGGCCGGACATGTGAGGGCTATGGCTCTATGTGGGTAGAGCCACTGGGCCCCTCGGCGAATGTATTCTCACAGAATGAATCACCAAAGCGTCGAAGGCTTAGTCCGTCATCGCCTCAATTGCCTTCGCCTGCACTGTCACCGTCATCAGATGTATGGCTTGAAACACATTCATCGCCTGGGACAGTAAATTCCTTGGCTTGGTCTACGCCATCATCAGCATCGCCGGGGTATCGGCTAACTGGAGTAAATGACCACTATATCCTGGATATAGAAGAGCAAAATCCGGACCAAGCTCCGAACGCCGTGGCAGTGATTCCTCGGCCTCAAGGAGTCATCAACCATCTCTCCACTCACGAAAGTCACTATCTCCAATATCATATGGAGCAAGCGTCTCGGCTATTAGCGAACCTAGAGAGTGGCGACAACCCTTTGCGTTCGTTGTTGATTCCAATGGCAATGTCATCTCCTCTGCTGATGAAAGCCGTTTGTGCCGTCTCCGCGCTGCACTTAGCAAACAGATCCCAAGGCTTTGGTGCACACACCGCTGCGGTAAACTATTATAGTGGAACTCTTAGTGGACTCCGATCAGTACTGGTCAAGTGTTCAACAGAGGTTTTCCCCGACGATGCCCTACTAGCAGTCGGTCTCCTCTGCAAATACGAGATCGTCCGCGGCAGCATCAAGCAGTGGGTTGTCCATCTTAATGCATTACAGCGCTTGATCGTCTCCCGTGGTGGCTTTGCTTCGATGGATCGAGCCGCAGCGGAATTTCTACGTGGACTGTATGTACTAGACGAACGTGCAAGCCAAACAGAGAAAATACTAAAAAGCTCTAGATTTGTCTACGCCTATAACATGGCCCAAATCAGTAATCAAAACTGCAATACGACTATTGACGTCACTGTAAATAGTGATATTGGCATCCCAAAATTGGATATCTACATCGGCTACACCGAGGAGATCCTCAAATTATGCGCACGCATCGCAGAGCTACCCTCTCTAAAAGATGACACCTTGGCTCTCCGCCTCAGTGTCGCAACTATGTAAGTTATGCTCTTTTAATCAACGCCAGAAAACATACTAACAGCATACCAGAAACGAGTCCCTCCTCACCTGGTCCCATACCTCAACCCCCTACATAATCCCCCAGGGCATATCGTCAGCAACCCTAACACGCCTCCAACTGGTAGCCGAATGTTTCCGTGATGCAGCTTTCGTTTACCTCCATTCAATAATGGAACGAATAGACAGAGACCATCTCAACACGCCTATCACCACACCCACCACCTCAGCCCCAAATAACCCCATTGATTCAGCATCCCTCGAATCCCTATCCCTCTCAGCACAGGACTGGCTCCCTCTGATCTCAACACCAAAATCCCTCGCCGTCCATCGCTGTCTCACCCGTGTGGAGGCCTTCCCATTAGATGACCACTGCGAGTATTCAGCTCTTACATTTCCGCTTTTCATTTCCGGCTGTGAGAGCGAGCACATCGAAGATCGAGAAGTCGTTCTTCGCTCATTGGGTAAATTGCAAGAAAATTTCGGTATCGGCAATGTCCGGCGTGCGAAGGATTTATTGGGGATTCTGTGGGCGAGACGAGATGCTGATCGTAATGTTGATGTTACCGGCACTGGAAACAGCTGGAAAGTGCATTGGTTGGATATTGTTGAGGAGCTAGGATGGGAGCTTATTCTTGCATAGATGGATTCTGGCCTTGCCATTCATCTTGCCCTTGTGTTTATACGATACTCTGATGTTTTGATATTGCATTCAAGTCGGGAGGATATATGTTTTTTATGTTTCATGTCTGATGTCTGCATAAGTGACACGAAATTCCAGATGTTATGGATAATTTCCAAGAACAATAAGGATATACAAATTCCGAAAGAAAGCAGGGAGGAGAGCAAAGTAAATGGAGTTGTTAAGGTTGACTAAGGGTTAGGTTGTATATGGCCCAAGACAGGGAGAAACGACAAGTGGATATTTCACGACAAAGAAAAGAAAAAACGCAAGCCAACGAAAAATTCAGCTCAATCCCATATTTAGGTCGTCACTGAGTCCCCATTCTCTCTCTGCTCGTTCTGTCCCATCCGCAGCCCGGGTTGACCACTTATCAAGATGGTCATGCGAATTGGCCATTTCCTTTTCACGGAGACTGGCACTGTCACTTGTTGCCACGCTTCCTTCGCGTTTATGATAATGAGAAGATTTGCGGGAGTTTTGGATGCTTATAGGGCGCGAGAGACCTGGGCCATCGCCACCGCCGGAGGGGTTTGAGCCTGAAGCTCGGCCGCTGTCAATGGAAGAAGCGGTTTGATCTTTCTCCTTTTCCTTGCCGCTACCAAACCAGCGCCGACGGGTCTTGGAGGCGGTAGATGGAGTAATGCTCTTGGTGTCAGCATCTTCGTCACACTCTTGTTGCTTCTCCTTTTCCAGAGCTTGAGTGAGTCCAGAAATTGTCTCCTCGGAGGTGTTTTCAGTGCCTGACGGTGATAACTCGGCTAATTCCGCGTCGCGGTACCACTTGCGTCGGCGAGTATAGCGGTCCCATCCATCTTGGCCGCGGCGACCATCGTTCCACTAGAGGAATTTTAGCATGCAAGTACAATACTGTGTAGGAAAAACGAACCTTGTTGTCATAGTAGATCCATCCCTCGCCGGTAGTACCCTTGGACTCGGACTTTGAATTGAAGAAGTCCGCCCCCTCGACACGCCAGTCACTACCCTCGACCCAACGCCATTTGGCGTCTCCTGTTTTCACATCCGGCAGTTCAAACGTATCTTTGGGAGGGACGGCGTTCATGTGCTCGTCCGTCCAAGGAGCGCGTTCCGATGGGAACAACGAGTAGGTCCATCCGATACCTAACCAGCGGCGCTGGTTCTCATAGACGACGAAAGTAAATCTTACAGTCGAATTATTTCCACGCCGCCGAGTAGAGATGTTCAAGCCTTGGCTTTGGCCTTCAGTCTGGACCTGGGCCTTTGGTGCACTGCTCGGGGTATCGGCCACTGAAAGCCCCGTGGCTGCGGCACAGATTCGACGGACGGCCCGTGACCGCCAGAGAACGACACGCGAGACTCTCGCGGGCCGAGAATGATAAGTTAAGACGATAGTGCCAACGGCCATGACGACGCGGCGGGTAGTAATTAAGTAAAACGGTGGGAGAGTCATGAGGATCCATATAGGAGTTACCAAGAGGATTCGAATGAAAAGGGCCGTCAGGGCAGGCTTAGTCGTCGCCGATGTAGGCGTACGCTGGGTTGATAGGAAATCAGTAAGGTCGAGCAGAGGCTCGAGGAGTATATTGCATCTGGTTGTGAAGATGCGGAGAGTTTCCACGATCTCATCCAAACTCTTTTGGTGTCGAGTTGAGTCTTGGGAAACCTTCCTCTGGTGCTTCTCGCCCGTTGAAATAGTTGACGACAAAGGCGAGTAGCGGCGGCCATACATGCCTAGGATCAGGGCAACCACAACCAGGATCGGTCCTGCCCAACGAATGATGGCATCACTGTAGAGCACTACCGTCCAGAAGGTGGCCACGAGCAGGAAGCTCTGCCAGGGATCTCCAGAGGTCCATGTCAACAGACCGGCGAGTTTATTGAGGGGAAGAAGGAATGGGTGGGAGTAGGCCAGAGCCCGAGTGATGGCCGGTGGTGTGGCCACCAGCAGGGGAGATTTGCGATGCACGATGACGCTAGAACGCTGTCGCGAGGTTAAGGCTGAGCCGGTGATAGTAGAAGGAGAGAAAGCAGCGACCGTCGGCGGTTGAGAATCCGACTGGCCTTGCTCCTGCGCATGCGATGGGGGTGCCATGGAATCTATCCACGGAAGATCGTCTATCTCGCATCAGAATCTGGAGAGGTTGAGAGCATGGAAACATACCTAGAGCTGCCATCCAATTATGGACACGTCATGGAGTGATAATCAGCTCATCCGGCGGACGAGAGGTTTTAAGGGAATGAGTTCATGGCTGTTCGGTCCAAGAAGATCTGCGGGGAGTAGTTGGACATGTGACTCTCGGTCAAAAGTTGAGTGTGAAAGTGTCGAAAATCAAATCGTAAAAAAAAAAAGGTTAGAAGATCAGTGTATTGCATGAGAATAAACAAATGTTCCTAACTCATATCCAAGTAAGATGTTTCCAATGTTTATGTGGTCTGTTGTGCCTGTCTACTCCCTCTGTATAGAGACGCCAAAAGCTCTCTTCCGACGCTAAAACCCGCAGCCGAAATTTTCCCCTTCTCTTCTCCCCTTCAACCTCCACATCCTGTCTACCACGGCATTTCATATCTTGTCGACATGGTGAGTCTTGCAATTCTCCAGTCGTGAATTTAGAAAACTAATCAAATTGTTCCTAGGCTCACCGTATCGTCTCCCAAGTCGTGGTAACCGGAGCCCGGGTCTTCGGCCGCGCCTTCGCCGAAGCCTACAAGCAAGCCCAGGCATCTGGCAAATACGCTGCTCAGAAAAAGGCATCTGGAGGCTCTCTCACCACCTCCAGCCTGACGATCGATGAAGCCTGCAAGATCCTGAACGTCAAGCCCCCCGCCGGTGGCGAACAAAGCCTCGAAGATATTATGTCCCGATTCAAGAAGCTCTTCGACCTGAACAACCCCGAAAAGGGCGGCAGCTTCTATCTGCAGAGCAAGATTCTGCGTGCACGCGAACGCTTGGAGATGGAGTTCCGTGAAGCCGAGCGCAAAGTCGCGCACGACAAGGAATTGAAGGAAGGCTGGAACCCCAAGGTCTACAAGGACAAATGAACAGGACATCGACTGCGTTTCATCCGCTTTATCAGCTCCGTCCACTCCCTACCCCCCTGGGAGTTTCCTCCCTTCTTGCGACAGAAGTCTTCGAATGACTTCGCTCTTTGATCTGCTCGTCTTTCTCGATTTGGCATAGCATGGCGTTTGGGTTACCGTTGGAGAAAGACGCTTGAGTTTCTAGACTGGGATCTTTCTCCTCCATCTTGAGGTCCAATCACCCGGGCATCATCTTTGGTCGGAAATGGAGTATACCTTCAGATCCGATCTCGACCTTGGGGTCTGTGTATATCAACTGTGTCTTCTATCCCCTTCTCCACTCTCCCCCGGAAAGGCTGTACAATAGCTATATACTTGCATTACATTGTTTAATGTCCTGAACTGTTGTGTTTTCGTACTTTTTATCGTCAGCACAGACTCGGCCTTTTTTTTTGCCACCGCCGTACAACACTTCCCGCCAATACAGAGAGGACTTCGTAGACAAAGAGACCATCAGAACCTCCACGAAAATAAGCTACTTATGCTCTCACTTTGGAGTCATCCAAGGCCACATCGGGTGGCCAACCCGATCTGGGAGGATCTCGATCCCCATGGCGCAATCCGGAGCGGAGACCGGGGCCCTGTTTTTTCCCACCTGAGAACGGCTTAGCCCCCAGATACCACTTAATCCCCGATTCCCCCGAGATATTTCAATTTCCAGTGCTAGATCTCAATCGACCTTGATCTCTCAGTAGCCGTCCGAGAAAACCGAAATGCGTCCCTCCACCCCGCTGTCGGCGGATCTACCGCCGCTGATAATGGGAACAGCAACTTTCAACTCCCAATACAACGCCGACCCGTACGCCCTCCCTACCACAGAACTAGTTCAGCGCGCATTGAGCAGCGGTGTCCGCGCCTTCGATACATCCCCATACTACGGCCCCGCCGAAGAACTGCTTGGCCGCGCACTCGCAACCGAAACCGTCCAACTCAACTTCCCCCGCCAGGCATACAAACTCCTCACAAAGGTCGGCCGCGTCGCAGGCGCATCGTTCGACTATTCCCCGCCATGGATCAGACACAGTGTGCGACGCAGTTTGCGCCGGCTTCACACAGACTATCTCGATGTTGTATACTGCCACGATGTGGAATTCGTCACCCCCGCCGAAGTCCTCATTGCGGTACAGGAGTTGCGCCGTCTCCGCGATGAAGAGAGTGTCCTCCGCTACGTTGGCATCTCCGGCTACCCGGTTGACACATTGAGCGACTTGGCCGAGATGATTCTACGAGAGACCGGCGAGCCATTGGACATCGTAATGTCGTATGCCAATTTCACATTGCAGAATACGAGATTGCAGTCGCGCGCATTGCCACGGCTGCTCGCTGCAGGAGTTGATGTCGTCCCCAATGCCTCGCCGCTGGGAATGGGTCTTCTCCGTCGTGACGGCGTGCCTATCGGTTCAATGGGCGATTTCCATCCTGCGCCAAATGGCCTGCGCGGTGCGATCCGCCATGCGGCGGAATGCGCCTCAACCCACAACGAGAAACTGGAGGTCGTTGCTATTCGATTCGCGCTGGAAGCGTGGCTTCGTGTTGGTGCGCGGGCTGGCGGTCTTGGGCCTCCACTTGCGCGCGCAGCAGATGCCGATCCTGGATTCTTATCTGTGGCTAATATCGGTACTGGGAAGAGGCTCGGTGTCAGTGTTATGGGCGTGAGCAATATTGCCGAGCTGGATGAGACCTTGCGTGTGTGGCATAGTATTGTTGATGGACTGGAGAATTGGACGGAGGATGATGATGGCTCGTATTTCAATGCTGAGTTGAAATCTACTGGCCCTTCGACCCCGAATTTGAATGTTCCCACCGGTGCTGTTTCTACCGCTGCGAATGCTAGCATTCTTACTCCGCAGGAGGGTCTCATTACTGACCGGGCTTGGTCTCATGCGCGTGGCGCTCACATCTTGCAACTCGCTCGGGACATTCGGGATGTCTTGGGTACTGAATGGGTTGATTATGTCTGGGATAGTCCGTCGCCGGACTTTGTGAACTCGGTGTCTGAGGAGCATGTTGCCCTTGTACAGAAGATTGTCGAGGAAGAAAGGGCAGGAAAGACGGATATATCCTCTTCTGATGGAGCTGGAAGGGATCCTATGCTGACCCCACCATTGGAAGCGGACAAGCAGCTTGCATAGCCTTGCTGTGCAGGAAAAGCTTCTTTTGTCCATATCGGAGATTGCACATAGACCGTATAATATAGCTTGACGTGAATGACACCCCTTATGCATGAGTCAATACTTTCACCTGGCCAGGTCGTCAGCCAAACCCCAACTCAGTCCCAGACCTGATACTCCAATCCTGGATCCTCTCTCAGAAACCGCATATAGCGCTCTCTGAATGAGAAGGAAGGCACGAAGCAGGGAAGGGGAAGGGGGTAAGCAAGAAAAGAGTAAACACCAACTCAGATGAACCTGCATGGCAGATCCATGATCGTATGGCGTGTTCCATTGAAGTTCACTAACAGCATCCCAAGCGGGGAATGCATTTTCTAGATGTTCGTGTAGGTCTTCTCCAAAAGTTGGCGACGAATCGGCTCGAAAGAACGGCACGCTTGTCTTGGGCGGGAAATGGTCATTGTCTGAAAGAATGATAGATCCAAAAACAACAGGGAAATCGATCGAGGAAACCGCGACCCAAAATGTTAGGGCTGGGGAGGAAAAGAAGTCGGAACCGAAGATAACCTAGAATGTAAGTGGATTTGTTGCTCTCTGGCACCATATGGGGCTCGAAGTAGAATCCCTATTTCCATTTGGCAGTTGTTTTCTCTGGAAGAGACAACATGCTGGTCGAAATCACAAAGAATATTTCCAATCCTCCCACAGCACCATTGCACCATTGCGCCACTACCATATGCTCGCTATTCATCCCCGGTCAATTCACCGAACCGATCGGAGCAAGGGGGTATCATGATACAGAAAAAGATAATCAAACAAAGCAGAAAAGCAAATGAAAGTCGTTGCCGGGGTCAGTCACAAGCTCACGCATCATCCCTCACCATCTTCCATGCCTCATCTGTCTCCTTTCGGCTTTTGAGTTCCCTGTCACGCTTCTCCAGGTCTGCCTCCATGTCCTCGTTGGTCTCGTACCCTGCAAGACGGCGAGCCTGTCGGGCACTTAGAGAGTTTGAAACCTTGCCCAAGTCTGGTCTCAACTTCTTCAACCGCGCAGCACGCTCCTTGCAGGCCGAACGCCTGGTGTCGTCCCTACGGGTCTTGCCCGGCTTTGTTTCTGCGGAGGCCTCATCTGAAGAGATATCTTCGGGCTCAGATCTGGTGCCCGCCGACTTTGCCTTTTCTTTCCGAGTTGACTGAGGAGGCAGAGGAGGGCCTGGTGGTGGACCGGGAGGCAGAGGAGGAGGAGAATAGGCTCGATCTTCCGGGTACGGGCCTGGTGGTGGTGGGGGAGGGGTCCTGTAGCGTGCGAATCTCGGCTCCATCATAAATACGTGGCGGAGCTGCTCACGCTGTTCAATGTATTCATCAAAGTTGGCTGCAATGATAGGTCCCAGGACGCTCGAGTTATGATCTTCATTAGATGCAAGCTGCTCCATGCGACGCTGCAGAGTGGTGTGGGCCTTGGAGAAAGTTCTGAGGATCAAGCCGATCTCCTTCGTACCCCCTGAGATATCGTTGTCTTGGTTGTTGGGATCCTCAATAGTAAGGCGATCGGGGTTTCCGAAGAAAGTCTTGTTGAAATATCCTGGAGGTTCCATGCGAATACCTTGAGTCTCATAGCGGAAGTGTTTTCCGTAAAAGTAAAAGAAATCCACAAGAAGACTTCCCAAGTTCGGTTGTGCGTGGCCCTGAGGGTAGTGTTGAAGAAGACTTGTAACTAAACAAGTGATAGAGAAACCTCCCAGTCCACCGGTCGGAACCTCATTCAAACCACGAATCAGCAAAAACTGCTTGATGACGGACAGAATGACCGGCATTGCAGGGAACTGGTCCTTCCACTTCTTGAAGGTCTCATTGGCAATCAAACCGCTGTCATTATCGAAAGACAAATCCACGCGGAGTCCAGTGAGCTTGTCGACCCATTTCAGAATTGGGACGCGAGCTCCAGCGATACATTCGATCGAGTTAGGAACTGCAAGATTGCTGCCTTTCACGAAAGCCGAAAATCCATAGATCTGTCCCTTTCTCTCTCCAAAGGTTCGAATTTTGTGGCGCGAGAAATTGCTGGAGAGGAGAACAAGATCGACATCTGCAGTGGGAAGGTAGAGCCCAGAAGCATAAGAGCCAAAGGCTTTCACCTGAACGTTGCTGTATCGCTGTCGGAAAGCAGTCTCAACTCGGTTGATAAGATCGGCCCTGACGATATTTTCAAAGTCCTGAGGCTTGGCCCAATGGTAAAAACTCATGATCTCGTTATGAAGTCTGGGCAAACGGTAAGCAATGCGAAAGAGAACAGAACAAGGATGATACTAACTGAGTGCCAATATGTAGTGACTGGGGATGATCGGCCATGTCAAGCCATGGGGTACCAGCCTCGTTTGGCAACGGTCGCCATTGATCGATGACAGAGCCATCGAAATTGAATCGGCTAGCAGGCTTGCCCGATTTTCTCGAGTAGCCTTTGATCTCATCGTCACGGGTTCGCTTGCGGCTGGTAATAGAAGAATCAAGACCTTCCATGGCCTTGGGTCCTCGTGGGGCATTCTCTGGCGCGTTGTCCTGTGTGTCCGGTTCGGTCTCATCCGCCATTCCGAAGGAGATAAAGTCCTGGTTGTCGGTGACGGCGTCGGACTTCTCGGACTTTGCCGAATTGTCAAGTCGCGCTTTGCGAATGAGCTTGACGAAGTCGATTTTGGGTGTTTTGCTTTCGTCTGGTGGGGGGAGCGCCGTGTAAGGATCAGGGTTGGACCACTTGGGGGCAGGTGGTAGGGACACAGGCAGCGTTGCGTCGCCGTTGGTGAGCCCATCAAAGCCCAGTGCTCGTTTCTTGCGCGGGCGTTCGTCGTCCTCGGAGTCGGATGTGTCCATGTCCACCTCCTCGCTATCGCTCAACGTTGCCAGAGATGCGAATTTCGGTTCTGATTTTGTTTCACCCTGCAACTGTTCCGGGGTGCTTTCCCTCTTGTTGGATAACAGCGGACGCTCCGCGGTAGGTGGCTTCGGCGCCCTGAAGGTGAACTCATGTCGCGGGTTTGGACGTGACCCACGGTAGTTAGAGCTTCCCCTAAACTGGAATGGAGGCATCTTAGACCCCTGCAGTACTCAAGAACAAAAAGGTGCGGAGTGAATGAAGCGAGCTTGCCCGCGCACTCGAAAAAAAATGGTTAACTACGATTCTGCCATATGTCGGTGAAGGCGGTGACGGGTCGTAGCTACTATACGCCTTGCGCTTCCTTGGTGGTTAGGCTGTGTACAGTCAAATCGAACTTGTATTTGTAAATAAGACCATCTGGTGTCTTTGCAATTGTCCAATCTATGTTCCTGTTGCCCTGTACTTCTACTTTTCATTGACATGTGTATAGATGATTGGTAATGACTATAACGCCCTGGGCGACATATCAGCATTGATGTTCAAAGTTTAGGGCATGCTTCAGCCGATTCGCTGTCTGGCTAACATGGTCACAGTGCCGGGTTCTTTCCCACTACCAGAGACCGCATCGTGTATGATCAATCGCTTCCTAATACCCTTTCGCTCCCGCCTGGATACAATCTGAGGCCTTCCTCTAGGAGATGCAACAAATCATGCTGCACTGCCAACTCCGCAAAACTGACCCGTCCTGTAGCCCACTCCAGCCAACCCTCAGCTCGTGCACCATTGGCTTGGAGCAAGCCAACACTCACATCGATCAATAAGGGACGCTCGTCACAATGCCAGAAGATCGTGGCACCGCAACAGCGGCAGAACTCCCTATATACACCAGGTGAGCTGTTATATTGTTGCATAGTACCTTGGTCAAATGCCAGTGGTGAACCATCAGTGTTGAAGATATTGGTCTTTGGTATAAACGACCACGTCTGTATAGGAAAGCCACTGCTAAGTCGGCAGGTGGTGCAGGTGCAAGTTCCGGCAAGATACTTGGTGTGTCCATCTTTCTCTCTGAGCCACCACTTGACATCATCTGGATTTGATGAAGAGCCAGAATGGTAGGGGACTAGGAGGTCTGCCCATGGTGAAGATGCTTGTGAAGATGATGCGTCTGGTGGAGTGATATAGAATTGAATTCCTCCGCAGAGACAGCGGGCTTGTAATATGGACTGCTCTGCTGGCTCAGTTGCCACGAGATCCTCTGTTTCCTGGCTTCTGTTTTGTGGGCTGTTTGATATGTCATATGCGCGAAGCCGACAGCTTGGGATATCAGACTGGGTTCCAGCAAGAAATGTACTCAGTCCGCCATCTCCAGTGTCACTTTCTTTCCAGTGCTCAATCCTCTGGACTTTAGGGCAGTCCTTTGCTGCTAATAGTCCCGAGGCAACGAAGAATTGATGATTGAGCTCGCTGTGCGCGAAGACATGAGCACCGCAGGTCTTACAGAAGAAGTAGCTCACGTCTTTGGAGTGGTATTTCTGCAGCCCATCTAGGGCAGGCTCATGTTGAAGGATGTAGTATGACGAAGAAAGCAGCCCAGTCACCGCCCGACAGCTGTTGCAATGACATAATTGGAGTTGAGTCTGATCTGTAGGATCCAGCTCAACTGCTACCGATATGCCTCCACACAAACAAGTGACAGGGGCCATTAGTAATTCACGAATCTTCGAGTCAGACGCTGAGAGTCATGTTTCAATCAGAAATATGTGCTCAAGCGGGGCTCAAGCTGTGAGCAGAGAAGGAGACTCCGGAAAGTCACGAGTATATAAGATCCCCCGTCCGACCCAACTTCTCTTCCCCTCTCCCACTCTCCACCACAACTACCACCACACTTTCGTCTACCTTTCCAACCACATTCAAAATGAGTAAGTTGCATTTTGGAGATGCTTCTCGTTCGCTGCGACTATGCGATCCTGGATCGGAGGAAATCACTCCGATTCCGAGATGGCGGGGTTATGGCGGGGTATTTTGAAGTGAAGTCACTAACCACAATAACAGGCGACCACGGATGCAGCTGCGGCTCCTCTTGCCAGTGCCCTGCCGGCGCTTGCAACTGCCCTGTACGTGACATCTTCACATCCCTTACTCTGATGGGAAACTGACCGAGTCGTGCTTTATAGAAGAAATAAGTCATCCCTCACAGGATGCAGCTTTCAGACACCTGAAATGCTCAAGAACCGGGACATGACCATGCGAGAAGGATATGATACCAGAGGATCGCCCGGATGGATTCGTGGGCAAGAAGTTTGGCATGTCACCACAAAGGATAGCTTTCGCCAGATCAATGATACGCGGTTGCTTGACCACTTTTATTCTTTGTATACAAGGACCTTGGGAGCATCAGGCCCAATAATCAGCCACTTAGGCTCAGTGGAGGTCAATCCTGGGAGCGCAACGGTTCCTCAGCAGCTTCGATATATGTCAATCGTAGATCTATCTCTCCCTCCATATCCTCACATCTTGTTCCAAGACCATCTCAAGCCCTGACAGGGGGGATGTCAGCCATATCCCGGAACAATGTCCGCATCTACTGTTCTGTAGCGTTACCGACATTCTCGATTCAAAACATTCAGGCATCAGTTTCAACCCAACCTCCCATCTCCACTCAAGGAATTCTTTCGGCTTTCGCGGCTGTCTTTTGCCGATGCGTCTTTTTTGTCCATCACCGAGATTATGGATCATCTCGAAGTCAAAACAAAACAAAAAGCGGGACCCGATGCTGCACGAGTCCGAGAAGAGTAGCATCGGATCGGAACCAACCTTGGAATGATGCAGGCGTCTGATATGCTCAGCTTCTACTAAGCTGCAGCCTCTCCACTTCTCGCTCTCTTTCAAATCCCTCTCAGCCGGAGGCCCGAACGTGCCAGGTTTCATGATTGTTATCTGATCTTGGATGACACTGCGGAATATACGGCCCCTTCTTGCTCAAGTGCGAGGGATACCGGACTGCATACTATGCTTTACAGTCTGCTCGATCAAGATACATATGATCCAATCTCTTCAACCGCCGATCTTCCTCACTTCAGCCTCTGGTACAACCCAATGCAGGTGCACAGCATTCCCGTACAGTACATCTCCGGAACCCGGACTCATCTTTCTCGTTTTGCAAATACACTTCGCAAGGAATCAAGGAAAAAAACATAAACAATTAACTCGCCTGGAAAGCGACCAAGGCTACCAATAAGGCCCGACAGCCCCCCTCCTCCAAGGTCCCCAGACCGCGCAAACAATCGCCTCCTCATAGGCTGCCACACCGAGAACACAACGCAGCACCGCTCCAGGCGCCGGAAAATACCTCTTGGCTCCTCCCCACCTGGTCTCTGATCTTTTCTTGTTTGGATGCTAGTCGTTATACCCGTTACAGAACCTCCGGTTATATGACCGTATACATAGTCCGAGGCCCGTCCCGAAACCGATGGAGCCAGCCAAGGAAGTGCAGATCTAAACGTGGTCGTGGTCATGGGCGTGCCATGATGCTAGATGATTTGTCCACGTACGAGAGAGCCTTGCACATATTGCGTGTGCTGTCTAGGACATGTATACAGTAGGGTATACTGTAGCACAATACACTGTAGCCTATGGTGTGGTGCTGCTCTGCGGTATACGAGCTCCATTATCATATGTTGCAACGTAAGGTTCCCACAACAGCTCTACAGCAAAGCAAACACTCTCTCCACTAGCCATGGCCACATCCAGCAAAGCGCACATGTACCTGGACCTGTTAACGCATGCAATGAAGGCCATCTCCACCGGTGAACCCTGCGGCGCGTCTCTTAGTCCCTGTCCATCCGGAAACAGACTGACCATGTATAATCATATCACGGCTATAGTGTTCAGTCGTTATAGGTCCAAGCACCAGTAAGTCCGGTCCACAGCCGAGAGAATTACTGTATACTGCTGTATACTGTAGCGTGGCATGTTCTAGTCCACGAATAAACAAGTTCTCCTATCAAGATCTACAACAGAAAAGGGTAATACTACGTCGCTCCGCAGACCAGAAAACAGATCGGAGAGCAAATCTCCGGTAACCTCCACCCCAAGATGAGCAAAGAGGGGGCAGCAAGCGTCTATTGGAAGTCCTGGTTGTCTGCATCATAAGCAAAGCCCGATAGGCTCTTTATTGGTGATCTTTGGGGTTGCCTGTAGTTCATTATCACGTTACTTGAAAGCAGTAGTAAGTACTGTAGTGAGTTGTAAGTAGTGAGTAGCAAGTAACAAGTAGCGGATAGCGCGTGAGAATGCAGTGGAGAGACTAGAGACTAGAGAGGGGCTTCAGAGTGGGATGCAGGACTTCATTTGACTCGACCACGCGATGGGGGGACGGGGCGCGTCGACTGCGTTACTGGTGTGCTCTGGTGTCTTCTGGTTGGTTTGGGACTGGATGGAGATGCATAATATGCCTCAATGTGGGCATACTGCTGGAGTGTTCCCTGGAGGACTATCTCCCCTGGTCATACAGGACTTGCAGGGAGGTATAAAGTCGGCTTTAGATCCGTTGCTTCTTGGGCTTTTTCCTTTTCTTTATCCAAGCGATCTGTTGATTCAACCCAAACTAAACAATATCTATCTATTCATCCTTTAAGGTCTATCCTTAATCATCTATCATCATGGGTCCCTGCTCCTGCAACTGCTGCTCCGGCGACTGCAACTCTTGCTCTTGCACTAGCTGCAAGGTATGACCCTCTCTCTCTCTTCTGGGATATACAATCATGGCTGCACCTGGTAGCACCGAAGACACTATAGGTGAAAGATATGCTAACTGCCCTTCCAGCACTAAGCCAGCCAACACGCCTTCATCACCGCCATCCTCCAATTCAACGACTCATACCAGACCCGGACTCCCACTGCTGTCGAACTAGCGGGCCGGTATCTTTCTTGACAAGCTGATAAGATGTCTCTTTTATGATCATGTTTGATTTGGTTGACTGTCAAGGCCTGGGGCCTTTTGGGTGGAGTGTTTGATTTAATAGGTTGATGTTCGACCTCGTGTTGTGTTTTTGTCGAGCCTAGTGCTTTATTGCTATATCTCTATACATATGCTGGTTATATCGTACCTTTGATCACTCGTATTCGAAGGCAGCTTTGTAAATTGTATTGCTGACGGGAATACGGATGGCTTCTGCTACCTTGTAACTATGATAGAAGCTTGGTTGCAGCCCCATCCGTTCTCTGTATTTGCTGACAGATGGTGAAAGCAGCCCTGGGAGGATGCTGAAATGCTTTATGAATTGGGGCTAATTTTATCTTGACGGGGTGCCTTGAGAATAATAAATGAATATCGCAAAATGTAGTGTACGTGCAACCTTGGTCAATACCCAAGTGGACTTTAGATGAATAGAGATGGGGAATCATGGATCGGCGCTTAAATTGCAATCGATTTCAACTGGTGAGATGCATATAGTAACAACCTCTCAGAGATAATGACGGATCTAGATCTGACTTCACAGCTCATCTTTCGACCGAGGTGCGCCGTTTGCTCCGTCTTCGCCGCCAACACAAACAGCCGGCGAGGTAACGCGCATGGAGTACACACATTTCTCATCCTCCGCCGTCTTCAAGATCTTGTTTTCCTCGCCACACTCCAAGATGACCTTGGTGGAGCGATTAGGTCCGTTCCAGCAGGACTGGCCACGGGTGTACTCGATCACGGTTTTCTCAACAGAGATCACCTCGCCGGCCTCGTTGATTTCCTCAACGCTGGTGGTTCCAACATGGGAGAATTTGCCCATGGCCACGGAGCTGCCTCCCTTTCTCTGGTTTTGCTTGGTCGATTGCAGGAAGCAGTGCTCGTATGTGTACTCGCCAGCATCCTGCGTGATGCAAACTCCCTTCAGTGCACGGAAGATAGAGGAAGGACCGTAGTCAGTCTCAAGGTCAGCACGCTGGTCGCGCAGCTTGTTTTTCAGAACGGTCACAGAGTCCTGTGCGGACTTGAGGGCATCGCGTGCTTGGGTAACGGCCTTGGATTCCGAAGAAGAGTCCTCATCGGTCTTGGCAACGATGCCGCTTTCTTCGAGGAAGCTCTTTGCTAAGATGACCTTGTCTTCAATGAAATTGACAAGCGAAGGTGGGAGATAAGCTGCCAACTTGTAAACTGTAGTTTTCCGTTAGCCAGAAGTGCTGCGTTGCAAAATACAAGAACAACTTACCAAGATCTGAGTTCTGGCAGCCATCTTCTTCATTCTCCCAGTGTTCCCAGTTAACACCGCTTTCCTCGCCATCCACCTTGGCAATCTCATCCAGGTCACGGTCCTGGGCACTGTTCACATCATTGATTACATCCTCCCGAGCAGCATAGTCCTCATAGCTGCGGACCGCACGTTTGACACCCTCGTCGTTGAAGTTTGGGTTGTATTCAACCTTGACCTTGGCCAGGATATCCTCGAGCTCCTTCACTCGCTCACGAGTCTCATCCCGCTGGCGACGCACATCCACGAGCGCATTACGCAGCTCGTCAACGCGGCCCTTGGCGAGATTAGCAAGGACATTGACCTTGCCCTTGCCTTTGCCACCTCCAGAACGGACGATCTTGCGCTCCTGTTCCTCGACGGTCTTCAAAGCAGCCTCAAGGCTCTCTTCCTTGACCTCGGCACCCTTGATCTCGGCTTCGAGCCCAACAATGTGATCCTGAATTTCCTGCTGCTGACGACCAGCATCGACGAGGAGGTCCTTCTTCTTTCGTAAAGCAGCAGTCATGGACTTTTGGCGCTGCTCTTCCTGCTTTCGCCATTGTTTGCCGATCTCTTTACAGCGGTCTTCGCACTTGGTTCCACCGACATGGGCCCATTCGTCGCTGCCATCGCAGCAGTTTTCATAGTCACAGATTCCATCATTGATTCGTTGGAAGGGAATGTAAGATGGCTTGTGGCCCTTGTTCTTGCAGTAGAATCCGGGAAGAGCGAGAGCGATATCCAGATCGCTGTTGCCAGGTCGGTCTGCAACTACCTGTGGAGAGTTGCGTGAAATATGTGCGCAGGCAGCTGTGCCAGGCTCATCACTTCCATCAGGGCAGTCACAAAAGTCATCATTGACGGCCGAGAAAGGGATTTGGATCGAAGGGTTCGAGATGCAAGTGAAGGTTGGCAAGTCCTGGTAGAATTTGGCAACTAAATTGCCCTCTGTCAGTACGATGCTTTAATAGAAAGAAGTGAAACAATTCGACATCATAGAACCCTCCGGCATCACCAGCTACTCGGAGGTGGAGATATAGTCAGGGTGCAAAAACCTACATTCCGGGCCTACACCACGAGGGCGGGCAGACTTATCACTAGCCTGGGCCGTTGAGGCAGTCGCAGCCAGCAACAAAAGCAACTCAGAGGACTTCATGCTTGAGGCATTGAGCTTTGTTTAGGGTGCGGAGAGAGCTTCTGGCCAGATGTTGATACCCGCCGATAATCGCTGAGTCAGCCCCGCTTTCTTTGCGCTTTATCGTGGCGAGACTCAACCTCAACTTGACCAAGATGGGTAACGACGGTGGAAGGTACGTTCTATATTCTTGGTCTACTGGATCATTGCATTTTATCTGACTCCTACACAGCATTCCAACCCGCCGCGAGCTCGTCCGCGAAGCAGCCCGTGCTCCGAGCACAGCGCAAGTAAAAGAAACCCAGCGCGAACAGCAAGAACACTCCTGGACAACCTGCCCACTGTCGCACAAGACCCTTTCTCGACCAATCGTTTCGGACTCGGTCGGAAACCTCTACAACAAAGACGCCATCCTTCAGTTTCTTCTGCCTGGTGATGATGGCGAGGGAATCAGCTCGAAGGCTGACTGCGAGGAGATCCTATGCGGGCGAGTAAAGTCACTCCGCGATGTTGTCGAGTTGAAGTTTGAAGTTGATACCGAGCGCACCGAGCACCCATCACACCGTGCCCATGCGCCTCGCGAGCGCGGCGAGGGCTGGATTTGCCCGATCACCGCGAAGCCATTGGGACCAGGTGTGAAATCCGTCTATCTAGTGCCGTGTGGGCATGTTTTTGCGGAGGAGGCTGTTCGACAGCTGAAGAGTGATAAGTGTTTGCAGGTAAGGAGTACTTTTGTTGTGCGGTACGAATATAACGACTGACATTTGCCTCTGCAGTGCAACGAATCCTATGCTGAAGAGAATATCATTCCCATTCTTACCACTAAAGAAGACGACAAGAAGCGTCTCATCGAGCGAGGCCACAAGCTAGCTGAACAATCTCTTACACATTCTCTTAAGAAAGCTCCCGGTTCGAAGAAGCGCAAGAAGAACACCACCGCCGAGGATACCTCGAACACCACTGGGGAAGCTTCGAAGCAGGCTTCTGACGTCAAAAGCCGGAGTAACACTTCAACACCAGTGCCTAGTGCCTCGGGAAATGGCATCAAGAATGCTGCTACTTCCTCTCTTACTGCACGTGTGCTGGCGGAGGAGAATGAGAGGAAGAAGCGCCGGAAGGGTAATGAGAATATCGACAGTCTCTTTTCCAAGAAGGACGGAGCCTCGAAAAATGGCGATTTTATGACCAGAGGGTTTTCAATTCCTTCTGCTGCGCCGAGGTAAACTCTCTTGGGAAAATGGAAGCTACTTTACGGAGTTTTGTCGGAGTATACAGGACAGGTCTTTCGATTTCTTTCATGGTTTACGGCCACTATGACCAAATTTGATATTCATCACATACCAGGATGAATTGTATATCTCTTAGCACAACTGGATTGATAAGATCAAGCAAAAACAAAATGCAAATTTAGTCAACAATTGTAATATACAGAAGGTTGTTAAGTAGAGACAAATGCCTCAAAACTACTTCAGGGTAAATGAACGCACTCAGTTCATCTGCAACTTCGCCTCCTGTGGCGCCTCTTCTGCGGCCGCCTTCGCAATCTCTATCTCCTGTGCCGCTTCTTCTGCGACCGCCTCTGCTGCTGCTGCTGCCTTGAGAGCCTTTATCTCCTGCTTCTTTTGCATCCTGATCCACTCCCGCCTCTTTCCAAGGGGGTGGGTGATCAGGCCATCCTCGTAAAGCGAAGCGATAATGAGCTTCTTACGACCAACATCTTCATCATTGTCATGGCGGGTCCGGCGCGAATCGTAGATCTTGACATTGCTCAGGCTTTCGGTGCCCGCCGCGGCAAGCTGCTCGTGGAGGCGCACGGGGGTCATCTTGATAGACTGCTTTGTCAATTCGTTGTAGGCGGAAATAACACTGCCGACAGTCGTAGTATTGCCAGAAGAGTAGATCGCGTCGGGGATACGCTGGCCGGTGAGTTGAGAAAGGCGATTGAGGAACTGCGAGATATAGTTAGTGATATTCAACGGCAAATGGAATCCAAGGGCCAAACGTACGGCAAACTTGAGCTTTGGGTCATTAAGAGGCAGAGATGACATGGTGTTCTCAATCTTCTTTCCGTTCTGCGGACGTTCCGAAATCTGATCATCTCTTATTTTGCCCCCATCCTGCGCTTGAATATAAGCGCTCGGTTCTTCGACATTTCGCTTGGCCAATCGCCCAAAATAGTTGATGAGGTCTTCTCGCACTAATTCCTTGGAGAATCGAACGCGATCACCCCATTCGGCAGACTCGCCCTCAATGCTGCAGTGTCTGCTAAGATCCTTGCCATGGCGGGTGGGATATTTGTGATAGCTCGTGGCGTACTTCATACCGATCAAGTTCATGACACTGAACTCAATGACAGCATGCTGAACAGCCTTTTCAAACGGTACTGGGGATTTTGTCTTATACCAACTATAGAAATCAAGAGCCAGGGTCAGTAAAGTTCGTCATAAGATTATACGGCGATGCGCGAGGCATGGCTTCCACAAGCGGTTTCAAACATACGGGCTAACTTTGTCGGCAACGGTCTGGCCATTGACACGCCATTCTTCATCCAAGGTGTAACCGACTCTAGGCATGCTCTTCCAGTCCATGCTCTCGATGTCTACTTCCTCGGCGATTTGTGGCTCCTCTTCTCTTTTGCCGGGAGAAAGCGTGGTAAGTTCAGCAGCGGAATCCTCCTGTGGCATAATCTGGCTTCCAGAATACGGGTCTTGGGGACCTGGGGGCTTGTCTGTGCCCCAAATCTGGCGCCGGGTGCGTTCAAGAAATCCGGGGGAGTCGGAGGCATTGCGGAGGAATTGCTGGTTGAGCGGCGAGATGCGTGGGTTGGCTCCAACTCTGCAGTTGGAGCAGACGTATTTTGCCTCCCGCAAAGGAAGGCGCATTGATTGCCTCATTGTGTGTGCGGGCGCAAACGATGTTTGATCAAACAGACTTGAGCTTGCACGGAGAAACAAATCTGAGAAAGTCAGGTCACGTGAAACTGGATTCCGATGCTTGGCATTTTCGGCTTCGACCTCCTAGGGGTTCAACCGGACATCACGTTAATACGTTCTGAGCTCTATTTGATCTTTCTTGTTCAGTTAATGATGCGGATTAATATTAAGTGGAAAGAATTTTCTTGATTGCCGAGCAGTTTAGCCTACATCATATTCTTACACCTACGGATATAACCCTCGAACTCAGCATCGAACCACTTTCTTCTAGTTCAATGTATATTCTAGACCGCGGAAACTACCAAGTTATACGACAGATGATAATTTCGTGCTAAGCAACTGGGCTGGTTCCAAGTTTGTTCGGGCATACCGGTAATAGGCGGACTTAGGAGTCATGTACCAGGACTGATGCATCTATATAAAGTTAACGACTTCCCGTGCCCGCTCGAACAAGATCTCTTGCAACTATCATCAAGCAAGCTTCACGACCAAACACTCATTGTGTATCTCCATCAACCTCAATATCAAGGCCCAGCTATCCAGCTATCTAGCCCACCATGCCAGCTCCGTACAACACAAACACAACAACAACCGAACTAGTCACCGACTACAAAGCCCTAATCAAAGACAAAGTCATCCTCACAACAGGCGTAACACCCGGTTCTCTAGGCGGAACATTCGTCCAATCTCTCGCAAACGCTGAACCAGCATATCTAATCCTAGCAGGCCGCAATACCGCCAAACTAGACCAATGCGTGAATGAGCTGCAAACCGCGAACCCAAACATGAAGACTCGCACTTTACAAATTGATCTGGGATCATTGAAAAGTGTTCGAGATGCGGCGGCACTGGTCAACAGTTGGACTGACATCCCTGCTATTGATGTCCTCGTCAACAACGCTGGCATCATGGCCACCGAGTATGGTCTTTCCGACGATGGAGTCGAGTCCCAGTTTGCGACTAATCATCTTGGTCCGTTCCTTTTCACAAACCTGATCATGCAGAAGATTTTGAAGTCGGAGACTCCGAGGGTTGTCATGGTTACTAGTGATGGACATCGGTTGAGTCCTATTCGGTTTGATGATCATAATTTTGATGTAAGTAGAGTTTTTGGTCCTTTTCCTTGTCGTTGAGAAAGACATATTGCTGCTAAGATCTGGACTAATATTTCTTCGTTCAATGTTCTTTTAGGGCGGCAGGACATACAACAAATGGGTAGCCTATGGCCAGGCTAAAACAGCCAACATGTTAATGGCACTTTCACTTTCCTTAAAGCTGGGCGTCAAGAAGAGTCTACTTGCGTTTAGTCTGCACCCTGGTGTCATCTTTACCAATCTAGGTAGCCATCTCGATTGGAGTGGTGATGTTGGACTGCGTTAGTATCTCTGGTTTCCATGACAGTTGTATAATGCTAACCATCTATACTTACATGGAGCAGAATCCATCGATAGACAGCTTGGTAATCGGGAGGGATGGGCTGACTTTAATCTCAAGACGCTGGAGCGTGGTGCTGCCACTCATGTCTATGCAGCCTTTGATCCTGTTCTCAAAGGTGTGTCTTGATAACGTGATGTTGGTCCCAAGGCTGTTGCTGACTTAAATCTGAAGCGAATAACGGCGCCTATCTTATTGACTGCCATGTCGCTGACCCGTTGGTTGATACCGTCAAGCCATGGGGTACTAACCATTTGGAGGCGGAGAGGTTATGGAAGCTGAGTGAAGAGTTGGTTGGTCAAGAGTTTGCTTACTAGTCACGGAAGCAACCTTCATGGGATATACAAAATGGAATGAGCCCGATTCAATTAAGAAGTAAAGCACTCCTTGTATCTGAACTGTAATTTATATACACATGCATCGCTGATATCATACGAAATAGAAACAAAAACAACTCATTTTATACGAAGCAAGCTTAAGCTTACTCGCGGACGAACATACCAGCCATACCCATACCGGTACCAATGCACATACTGATGACACCAACCTCCTGGCCACTGCGCTCCATCTCAGGCAGCAAAGTAGCCAGCTGGCGGGCACCGGTAGCACCAAGAGGGTGACCGATGGCGATAGCACCACCGTTGGGGTTGACCTTGGCCTGGTCAATGCCGAGCTTGCGGATGCTGTAGAGAGCCTGGGAAGCGAAAGCCTCGTTGATCTCCCAGACACCAACCTCGCCAACCTTGACATCAACAGACTGCAAGAGCTTGGGGATGGCAACGGCAGGGCCAACACCCATCTCATCGGGGGCACAGCCGGCAACGGCAGAGGCGACCCAGCGGGCCTTGATGGAGCCGGAGAGACCGAGCTCCTCGGCGGTGGAACGGCGCATCAGCAGCGCGGCGGCGGCACCGTCACTGACCTGGGAGCTGTTACCGGCGGTGGAAGCACCGTCGGCAGAGAAAGCGGGCTTGAGGGCGCTGACCTTCTCGAGAGTCAAGCCCTGGCGGATACCGTCGTCCTTGGAGATGGTGACCTCCTTGGCGGGGCCATCGGGGTGCTCGGCTTCGAAGGTCTTGGTGGTGACGGAGACGATCTCAGAGTCGAAGCGGCCGGCCTTCTGGGCGGCGGAAGCCTTGGCGTGGGACTCGACGGCGAAGGCGTCCTGGTCAGCGCGGGAGACGCCGTAGCGAGAGGCGACATTCTCGGAAGTGATGCCCATGGGCATGATGCAGTCGCGGGCGTCCTGGGAGTAGGACTCCTTCAGCTCGGGCCAGAGGACGGTGGGAATGGCGCGAGAGCCGTAGTTGCGTGTCATGGACTCCATACCACCACCGACACCGACGTTGATGGCGCCGGCGCGGATACCGTTGGCAATGTTTGTGATTGCGGCCAGACCGGAGGAGCACTGGCGGTTGATTGTGTTGAAGGGCACGGAGTGGGGGAATCCAGCGTGGATCTGGCCCATGCGGCCGGCTTTGGCGCCACCCAGCTCTTGCAGGACGGATCCGATCAGGACATCGTCGATCTGGGCAGGGTCGAGGTTGGGGTTGGCCTCCAAGGTGGCGCGGAGAACGCTGGCCAGGAGCTCCTCGGGGTAAGCGTCCTTGAAGCCACCCTTCTTAGCGCGGGTGACGGGTGTGCGCAGGGAAGAGAGTATGACAATGTCATTGGGCGACTTCTGGAGCACCTGGCGGAGACCTCTGGGAATTGGAGAAGCCATTGTGTATGTGCTCGGTAATAGCAGGTATTCCGGGATTTGGAGTGATTCTGGTCTCGGCGGTGTTAGTCGCAATGTCACTCCTAAGCGTCACGAAGACTTACCGATGATGTATATATGGGAAAGTGGAGAGAAAGACGAGCACTTGACCCCAGAAAGAATTCCGGGGCTCAAGAAATACTTATAGGAAAATGCCGGGCGGAATTCCGGGGTCGGAAGTGGTTTGCTCGTTCAGTCCCGTTCCAAAGGTCGCCCTGCATTGAAGATCGGCTAAGTGGTTTTCCGCTGTGGGGAGACCCCATTGGCCACCTTAGTTGCAATGTTATTTGCTCCAGGGCTCCGTTCATGGACATGTCAAGATGCTCGACAGTTGCAATCCTCTTGATCAGAGTTTACAAAGGGCAGAACTGCTTGAATACCCCAAGGTCCAAGGTCAATGTCCGATCACTACGTTTCTATCACCGTATTTCCGATCTTCCCGATCTTCCCGAAGTCGGATCGGCTGCCGAAAAACGAACAGCCGAACATTTGATCAATGGGTGTCATAGAGATATGGTTGAGATTTCCAACATATTCGACCTATTCAAACTATTGCAGAATGACAAACCCAGACTAGTCCATTTCCATCCCCTCAGTGCACAATAGCCCATTTGGCCAGACTCTCAGCCTCCTGGTTGTTCTCCTTGGGCACAAGCCAGAACTTGACCTCAACAACTCTCTCCAACACAACAATGCCAGCCTCCACCAGCTGAAACAAGTCAGCATTGGCAATAGTAACACCCTTGCAAGTCTTCCATCCAGCCTCCTTCCATTTAGGCAGCCATTCGGTGATGCCACGAACCAGGTATTCAGAATCAGTCTTGATAATGAAGGTCCGCAGAGGCGCCAGGTCTTTCCTACTGCTAGCCATCTTCAGTCGCTCATCCATAATGAAAGTCGCATTGCGCAGGGCCCGGAGGCAAGCAGTCAAGATGGCGGTCTGGTTTGTATGAGTTTTGCCGCTGATGGCATGAGAGACATTGTGCAAGTTATGGAGACCATAGTACAATCCGAAGGAGGAGCATGGCACGTTATTTGCCGTGATGCAGGCTCCATGGATTGAAAGTAGAAGGGTGTCCTCGCGGCCGGCGAACTGCTTGCAGGGGGGCATGCAGTTGTCGATGATGGGTAGGAAACACACATCCAGGTGCCGATCTCGACCTCAATATCTTTCAGACTGAATCGAGGTGGGTATTCTTTGTCGGTGACGAAGCGGCGGTCTGCCAGCTTCGACTGATCTGTCTGATCCTCCCCAGTCCTCGAGTTGGACTAGATGTCAGAATTAAAGATATGCACGGCGGAGTTGTGCCAGCAACCATCGCCCTGGGCAGTTTAGCTTGGTCAGCTTGAAGTACGAGAAACAGTCAAGCTTGTTTGGGATGAAAGATGCGGGGCACTGTAAGTCAGAGGTCAATATTTACCATCGAAGTATTAGTGGTCTGAGTGGCCTGAACAGCCTGAGCGGCTTGCGGCTTCTTTTTAGCCATCTTTCTCAGCTTTTGAGGACGGGGAATAATGTTCGTAGACATGATGAACCGGGACGCGGACGACGAGATGGGGGTGGGACGATGAAATTGAATTGTAGAGCCGAAGAAGATTATTGGGGTGATGATCATTCACGAAAATGAGAATCCCGTAGAGAGAATTGAGAGATCAGAAAGATTAGAGAGAATAAACCGAGTATAAGAAGAGAGTCGGACTGATGATCGAGGTTATTGGGGTGAGGATCACTCAAGAGAATGAGAAAAAGTTCGAGAGAACTAAGAGATCTGAGAAATCTGAGAGCCAGAGAGAATCAAATGAATATAAGAAGATCGTCCAATTGCTGATTCTCGAAGGAAACCTGAGCGAAAAATGCAGGCCCAAGTCTAAGAACGTCAAAGACAATGGGGTGAATATCAAACCCAAAAGCAAGAAAAAGATTCAGTGATCTACCATCTTATCTAGAGGTGATCCCATGGAAAGAGACCATAAGCTATCATGCATGTATTTTTATCTACGCAGCTGCATATTGGCTTAAAGCCATACTATCAGAGTTCTGTTCACTTCTATCATCGCTTTATATGTTTTACATTTAACGTTTGATGTTTGATATGTTTGAAAGTCGGATGCATGGGTGAAAGGCAAACAAAGAGCTATAGACTGCTTCCAATCAGAAAAACATAGGAAGCACTCCAGGCTATTGGTTCTTTTGAGTTTATTTTTATATTGAAAGGCTCTAGAAGACAACTTTGGGAGGCACTTCATTGGAAGAGCAACTTCCTTTTTGAAGGAGCTCGCATTTGTGGGTTGCGACAGCACAGGGGATTCATTAAGTTCGAATAATGTTGATGGAGAGGAAGTAGAATCTAGAGATGTCAGGTTCGATTAAGCAGAGCCCATGTCACTCTCCCTATCCGAATTACTATCACTGCCATCTTTATGGTTTCAGCTGTGAGCTGTCTGATTGAAGGAGCTTGACATTGGCTGGGCGCTGAAGCAACTGGTTCACGGGGGCCGGTGAAGCTGGGAAACGTTGAAAGACTTCCTTGGTTGGCATCGGTGAAGGAGTCTTTTGGTTTGTCGAAGATACAAGGCACATCTCGGAAACGGAACTGGTTGGGTATAAATGGCCGGTGGGCAGATCGCTGCATTGTAGATCATGCTCTCGCATCCCACCGTATCTTGGACAACCTGAAACCAACGTGACTTCTTTTTGATTCCAGACATTGTTGAGATGTAGAGCAGGGGTCATGATATGGAGCTGGTTCGGATCTTGTTCAAAGCGTACGCCAATCGGCAAACTCAGAGATCGATGACAAACCCCCACCATGCCTAATACGGGGGTGTTCACACTCATCACCATGAGATCTTTATTTCTCTTACGGTACAGGTCGACTCTGTTCTCTGTGGCGATAGTTTCTACCTCCTGTTTCCGGTCTCCGTGCCAATGACCCCAGAAGCGAAGTCACCTGTCCAGGGGATGTGACAGATGGATCCAGGGGCCCATTTCCAAGCGCCACTTTGAGTCATCGAACCTGTGTCAAGTCAGTTGACGTTACCAGGACCTCAAGAACACAGTCAACATGGAAAGTTTGTTGGGATCTCAACTCCGTGGACATACGATGCATGTGTGGTCATTTCAGATGCCCGGATTGGCTGTGCGACTAGATCTGACTCCAGACACAGCAGAGGACCATGTACATATTTGTCGGGAGAGAAAAGATGCCAGGCACTATTATTGGCTCAAAGATACAATGTAAAAAACCACTAGAATCACTATAGAGGTCAATGGAGCTGCAGGGGGCTACACAACACTACACAACACTACAAATAGGTCGATCGTCCAACCGGGAATCTTGGCCCACTTTTGCTTCTTATTTTTTGTTTCCTTCTCTTCTCCTCTCCCATCCTCGGCCCCAGTACTTTGTGAGTCACAGTTCTTGCATTGGTGCATTTAAAGACCGTGGATGCTTCCTGTTCAGCGGTACTGATCATTTATACCCCAGAATTGTTAGTCGTCACTTGAAACACAATGCCTCTCATCAACACCACAGAGGTCAACGAGGACACTCGTGGTATGTGGACACTCTCCTGGAACTTGCAATTGTCTGCAATTTCACTGTAATACTGATGCGTTCGGTTAGTCCTCGGATACGACCCATTGCTGTCGCCTCAATTCCTGCAGACTGAGATCCCCGCCGTGAGTCATTTTTTTTCCCGGCACCCCGCTCCCCGCGAAGTGGCCGCACTGTGAAGCGCAACGAACTGACAATTGCGTCAATTAGCCTGCCCGTGCGACCGAGGCTGTCCGCGCTGGTCGTAACCAGGCAGTGGAAATTATTGAGCAACGGGATGACCGTCTCTTGGTCGTCGTGGGACCCTGCTCCATCCACGACCCAGACACAGCCCTCGAGTATGCCCGCCGCTTGAAGGAACTTGCAACCAAGTTGGAGAAGGACATCTTCGTCATCATGCGCGCTTACCTGGAGAAGCCGCGCACAACAGTGGGCTGGAAGGGTCTGATCAACGACCCCGACATCGACGAGACCTTCAACATCAACAAAGGTCTCCGCGTGTCTCGTAAGCTGTACACCGACCTGACCAGCACCGGTCTCCCCATTGCCAGCGAGATGCTGGACACCATCTCCCCCAGTACCTGGCAGACTTGATCTCGCTGGGCGCGATCGGCGCCCGCACAACCGAGTCCCAGCTGCACCGCGAGCTGGCCTCCGGTCTGTCGTTCCCCATCGGATACAAGAACGGCACAGACGGCAACCTGACCGTGGCCGTGGATGCCATCGGCGCCGCCTCGCACCCCCACCGTTTCCTCGGTGTGACCAAGCAGGGTCTGGCCGCCATCACCAAGACCTCGGGCAACGAGCACGGCTTCGTGATCCTGCGTGGCGGCAACAAGGGCACCAACTATGACCGGGCCAGCATCAAGCTCGCCCGCGAGGCTCTCCGCTCCAAGAAGCAGCGCGAGGTCCTCATGGTCGACTGCTCCCACGGCAACTCCAACAAGAACCACCTCAACCAGCCCGTCGTGGCCAAGGAGGTCTCTGACCAGCTTCGCGAGGGCGAGACCGCTATCATCGGTGTCATGATCGAGTCCAACATCTACGAGGGTAACCAGAAGGTTCCCCCCGAGGGACCTTCCGGTCTCCACCGCGGTGTCAGCATCACCGATGCTTGCATCAACTGGGAGATGACCGTCGATGTTCTGGAGGATCTGGCCGATGGTGTGCGTGCCCGTCGTGCCGCCCGTAAAGCCGGTGCCAACGGCTCGCAATAAGCAAGTCGTCTCATGTCGTTTTCTTCCCCTGGACTAATTGCTTGTCTGGGGCTCCACCACGGTCCGTCGCTGCATTTCGTTGCATTGATGAGGCGGATCTGGCAAAAAAAAAATGTATGCCTCCGTTCGGTGCCTGTTGTTTTTCCCGGGATTTCAGCGGTTTCCTTTGTAATTTTCTTCTCCTGCCATGTGCTGTGATCATGTGTGAACGAGTCTTTGGTGCCCAGTCAAAATATGAGGGTTTTTGTTTCTGTGAACTTTTTTTTCCACCTTCATTAGTAGATGCATAAGGTCGACTGGCATAAGCCACTGTAAGATAGATAGGAAAAAGAATGAGTGATCAGAGGAAAAGAAAAATAACAGTTGAACGTCCAGGGCCGACAATATAAGAACGGGTTTTTCCCAGCTCCACTATGTGCATGGGCCAGGGGAAAGCGCTCTTCCGGCGCTTGGGGGGGGGTTTCCATTTGTGGGATTAGGGCGAATCTGAGTCAAAACGGAGTAATTTAGAGTATTGTATTATGTTATATAGTTCTTGGTGATTTCTGTAGCCTGTCTTGCCTTTACGGAGTCCATATACGGACAGTGGTTAGTTATACTGTATAGAAAGTTACTGACTTCGTGGATTGAATCTGGAGAGTAGAAATGAAAACGGATGGGAGCAGATCTATGTACTGTACACGATATACATTGAGGCCCGCCCATGCACTTCTTTCGAAGTATTAGGGAGGGTCATACTGACTAGGAACACAATCCAGAAGAGAAGCTGGGAAAGAAAATCAAACGCCGTAAACCCCCTGGGAAAGATGGAAGCAGGTCGCGAAGGTTGCGACTTGCCATGCAATAGAAAAGATTGTTGCGAATGGCGAGGAGTGAGGATAAGAGAAGGACAAGAACAGATGAATAGGGTGTGACAGTATGTGTTTGGCCGTTGATCGTGAGGTCAGATCAGATCAGCATCCGAGGACGGGCCATAGCTATCCACCCATCCAGTCTGCCCTCCCTCCCTTTCATATCGGTTGCTATAAGGCTGATGGTTACTCCCATCTACCGCCCTGTCAACCAGCTGATCCAGCCCTTTGTCTTGGCCTTCGCGGCTTCCTCCGCGTTCTCGGCCATCACATCCAACTGTCCGGGCAAGGGCACGCCAGTCTTCGCGGCGGCGGCATCAATAGCCTGCTTGGCCTGAACCGCCTCTGTGACACTGCTCTGAGACTGCTCAATTGATGCAGCGGCGGGAACAGCGCCGGAATCCTCCATGTTCAGCTTCTCGAAGAGGAAACGCTTAGCCTTGGCCCAGGGCTTCTGTGCCTTCTCCTCCGCTCGTTTCTGCTTCACAATCTCGCCAATGCTCTCCTTCTTCACAAGTTCCTGCTGCTCCTCGGTTGCGCTGCCGTTGGCGACGGCGAGTTGGGCCTGGTTGAGAGTCTCCAGTTCGCGCTCGATCCAGAGGGTGCGTTGACGACGGTTATACATTGTAAGTGAGATCATAGAGTAGACTGTAAGGACACCGCAGACACCTGTTCGAATCAATATCATCAGTATAAGGTCGGGGATCAATCGATGTTGTTGGTTGTCATCTCGGGTATGGCCTGATGCATTCGAGGCTTCAACGGAACAACTTCACAACAAGAAACATACCAGAAGCGACAATCAATGAGTAGACCATTCCCTTGTGAGCCTTGTTGGCAAATCTCCGGCCAGACTCAATCCACTGATCCGCACCAGTTCCGAGAGCCTGAGCCCTCTTCGCAGCCCGTGCCTGCGTGCGGAGTCGGTTCACCTTCTGCTTGGGTGTCTCCGGTTTTCCATCGGGGCCGAGATGTTGTGGTGATGGTGACTTGGAGTTAGCCTTGTTGTTCTCGCCGATATTCGCGGCCTGGAAACCGCCAGTCTTGGAGTTGGCGTAGGGCCCTGTGGCTGTGAACCGCGTTGCGTCGGCGGCGGATCGGGACATCGTTGCGCGTTTCCCGGGTTCGGTGGGAGGCCTGTTGATTGGAATGGAATCCAAAATCGTGCCTCTGACAACTTGGCCAGATGCAATTGATGGGTTTGTGGGGGTGGGCGTCTGGACGTTGGCGAAAACCGGGGATTTGCAGGTTGAAGGTAAATTTTCAGCACGGGAGATGCGCCAAGACATTCAACAGCCTTATCGACCTCCTTGGAGTTGTTTGGTTGTTCTCGACAAATCTTCGATATATTAGAGAAGACACGGATTGTTTACTTGCTGCTTGCTTTCCGCAGGTTTCTTCTCACCTTTAAATACTTTTACTCTGGGCCCTCTTCTCATCTTCAACCCTTGCCCAAGTGGCACCATACAATATGGCGGAGAATCTATACAATCCCGCCGACCTCAACTCGGTCCTCCGGACTCTGTCTAATCTAGCTCCTCAAGGCAGCTCTCAGGCTACATCACAGCCTCCTCACTCATCTAGCCCTGCTCCATTGCACCGCCCAGAACAGCCACGCCAGCCGCAACCTCGGCCTCCGCGGCCTTCCAATGGCCTTGCTGATCCGTCCAATATCACCACTTGGCCTGCTGCACTGCGACATGTCATGCGTACTGTGGGCCACAATGAAGAACTTCAACACCGCATCCGCGGAATGATTCGAAGCCAACATCACCATGAGCGCCAATGGTTCAGTGCTCGTGAGGCATTGATCAAACAGCAGCGAGGGCGCCCCGAGAAACAGAAAGAGCTAGATGCAGTTCTGTGAGTAACTTCCCTTCTCAATCTCTGGTCACTTCTCTGTCAGTCTTGGTCTGTTTTCATCATGTCTTACTTCTCTGCTGTCTGCTGTTTCTAACCATTTATGTCGGCTTGATTATTAATATGGAACAGTCGATCAATCGGTGCCCCAGTGGACACAAAAGAAGCAGCTACGGTACGTTTTACTTTCCCCTCTACTCGGCTTTTTCTCTCGTCATTTCTGTGCCATTCCATCCTTCGGGTGTTAATTAATAGATCAGGCCGAGCAAGACTTTGCTATTGAAATAGCAGCCTATGATGCCAAGGTCCACAGGGCTGCTTCCCAGATGAGCAATGCCCTTACGTCCGAACTGCGTGGTTTCGGAATACCTTTCTTCAAGATCCATCCGAATCTGATCCAGGACTCTTCGACTGAAGCAGGGACCTCTAACTCGGGTTCTACCAAAACCCAGGAATCAGATATCACGGGAGCTACGTCGCAGATCACGAAGTCCGAGCTTGAAGCGCTGCAACAGCGCATGTTAGATCTGCTGGAAGATCTGTGTAAGGAGTGATATCATCTCCTTGATTTCAGGCACGACAATTCATAAATTGTTTTCGACGCTCTGGTGTGCTTGCCCACGTCGATTTTCATAAGAGAAATTCTACCTGATGATCAGATACAGATTTCTCTTTCCTAGAAACACAGACCAATGCCCTTGAAACGAATCACGAAACTGGAAGAACCATTCATTGTATCGAAGCCCCCAGTGTTGAAAGATACCCATGCAATGATGCATACTTTATAGTCAAGTCATACCTGAATTTATCTAATAACCATTCAAGACTCGGATAACCTAATGTTGGATCATTGACTCCCGATGCTAAGATAGGCAGATGGAATGAACGGAGGATCATTCCGTTGTCGATGTGAACGGAGCATTTTGTCTTCTGGTAGACAAACCAACTCTGCAGTATAGTCCAATTCTGTGCTATCAAGTTCTAGCGTTTGTATACAGCCGACATATGTAAGACAAAAGGCCCTGCTGCTGGGTTCGTTCAAATTAAATTGAGCCACTCAAGAGAATTAAGATAAAGTTTCATGAAGAAATGGATGGATACAACCCCCGGGGCCCCGTCGTGAAGAGAATAGGCCCAAGCGCTGTGTATATATAGCCCCTAGGTGGCTGAAGGGCAAGAAAAGAGAGAATGGGTACATCTGCAAGCCCACTACCAGGGGCTAATCAGGGTACCAATCAAGCATCCGCATACTACTACTGTACTAGTAGATGGTACGCAGCATGGTAGGCAGTACTGTACAGTGGGTGATACATGGCATGCATACAGTAATCGTGGCTCAACAATATTGGCCAGGCAAGGAGGCGGAAATGAGAGCCGTCGACTGTAAGCTGAGCCATTCTGGTTGAACCAGTCAGATCTTCCCTATTTTTGGAGTGGAGGTGACAGAAAAGGAACCACTGGACACGGCGTGGCCCACCCTGGGTCGATCGCCCGTCAAGTGTACCTGAAACATGGCGCAGTCGAGAGGTTTCTGTATAACTTACTAGGCTGTATGTCTTCCATGTTCATGCGATGTGAGTACTGTATACTGTACTGTACTGTAGAGATATTCTGCACCGTTCTATCCCAGCAGGTGCCCCCTTGTCCCCACCTGATCTACTATTTACTGATCTACTGATTGATTGTACTCCTGCTCACTGTACTGGAGCCTATTCACAAGTGACATCACCTGAAGCTTCGGACATGTGGACATGTGGCAATGAAGAACCCCCAATACCGGTTTGGGCAATGACCTCATATTCCTTGTTTGGGCCTTTGTAGAATAGACAATCATGCAGACATAGAAAAGCGAGAAATGGCAGATGGGCCAGCAGAGAACAGAGACGAGGAAGAGGGAAAAGAAGAAGAAAAGTGTCAGCCGCACCTCGTGCCAGCCCCACAGCCACAGCGTTAGTCTACACAGCCTCAATCAGAAGTACCTGGTACTTGCCAATAGGTGGCAGTCACTGCCAAAAAGAAAGTCTCTGCTACTTGGATTCCTCAGGGTTCATTTTTCCCAGAGCCTCGACTTCCTCCTCTCTGGCCCAGTTCCCTCTGATCCTCTGGTTAGACAATCATTTCCCTCTTCCCCTTTCCTCTTCTCCTTTTGGCTTTTCCCATTCTATCCCTGTGATCTTTCCAAGTCCTGTGGATCTTCACTGTGAAGCTGAAACCACTCGTCAGCTTGCGCCACACTGAGAGACGCCCCACACGCCCTAGTCCTTCGTTGCCTTCCCCCCCCCCCAACCTCTGCTTTTACATCCTCAAATCCCCGATCTGGATGAACGTGAGTACCTCTGATCTTTTCTGCTCGACCTTCTTAACATGACTTTGGAAGTAGTTGCCCTAGCTCGTCCACCCTTCGAGGGCGCAAAACATTATTTCTCCATGGCGACGTTGATGTCGAATACCGAGCCTGTCGCCGTCTCCAATCTATCTGGAAACACCATCGCTAGAACTGAACCTCTTTCTTTATTCAAACCTCAAAAAACCGACAGTCTGAGCTCCATTGCCAGCGCTGGTCTTCACGTGTCGCGATCGAGAGACCAACTACCGCCAATGACAAGCCCATCAGCAGGACCGGCGGATCGGCCGGAGCATGACGAGGAAGCTGAACGGAACAGCTCACAAGTGGCGCGGGAGGCCTTGGGCGCCAGTGAAAAGTCGCCAGGCGCTCCAATTCACGAGTCCGCCGTTCATGCATCCCCAGAACAGATGCACGTCGACTCACACGCGACCGAATCACCATCTGACCCATACGGATCGAATGATCACCACCACAATTCTCTGATGCAATCCTCAACTGTCGCCAGCCCGGGTCCCATTGAAGAATCGACCTCGCAGGACGGAGATCGACGCCCGCGCGATGACACCGAGATCGACCACGATGGCAAAGCATTCTCTTATCCGATGCCTACAGGTAACATCAACGACCCGCGACGGGGATTGAGTCTGCCTAATGCTGGTTACAATCGCGGTAGTCCCCGCTCACCATCTGCGAAGAAACACCGCTGTCCGTATTGCTCGACAGAATTTACCCGGCAACATAATCTCAAGAGCCATTTGCTCACGCACAGTCAAGAAAAGCCATTCGTGTGTCAAACCTGCCAATCGCGATTCCGCAGATTACACGACTTGAAGCGCCATACCAAACTGCACACGGGCGAGCGACCCCACATCTGTCCCAAATGCGGGCGTCGGTTTGCTCGAGGCGACGCGCTGGCTCGACACAACAAAGGCCAGGGAGGATGCGCAGGCCGGCGCGCGAGTATGGGCAGTTTTGCAGATGATGAATACGGAGATGGCGGTGCTGGTCCGGATGATATGGACGGGCTGATGTATACAGCGGAGCCAGAGCGCATGGACGAGGAAGACGAGCGACGTCTGATGCCGAGTATTCGGAAGCACGAGGCAGAGAACGTAGCTCGATCTGATTCACTCCAGTCTCGTCAGTCGAACACATACCCGCCCATCGCAGCGAGCCGCCCCAGCCATCTCTTCCCACCCCCACCTAATCACGGTGGCTCAGGCGCGTCAACATCAACCTCGCAGGTTTCAAACATGACTTTCCCACCCGCAGGTCATTCTTCTAGCTCGACTATGTTCACTCCCAACAATATTAGTGACAGCCCCAAGCCACTGTCCCCGGGTGCGTTGTCATCGCAGCATGATCCTGCACCGCCACACCGCGCGCACTCGCCCAGTATGGGACAGTCCCTGCCACACCCGCAGTCTTCTTTTGGAAGAGGAAGCCAATCATCGAACCACGCGCCTTCACTTGGTCTACCATTACCCCAGCCTGGGGTGCCCCAGCTTCCCCCGCCGCCTGGCATGACCTCCCCCGATGCTAGATATGGCTTGCAAGCAGCAGCCAAGCACACACCCTCGCACAGCCACTCCAGTACCCACAGCATAACCGCGCTCAAGGGACCCGAGGGGCTTGAAGTCAATTCAACTGAGGCCACCCAGGTTGATAAACTCTGGTCGTACGTCCGAGGAATGCATGAAGAACTAAACGCCCTGCGTACTGAAGTTTCGACTCTGCGAGCACACATCGCCTCGTCCAACTTATCGGCACCTCCAGCCCCGATGGAAGTCAACCTGAACAACACCGGGCCGCGATAATTTGTCTACATGTGACTTTAATGTGTACGATATGGCCAGTCACCAGCGTGGTCTCTAGCCGCTATTTACTCTCCCTTTCTCTCCACTTTGTCGATATGTTCCACCCACCCAGGGGTGAACCTGATGCCTTCATGATCACCAAACCGACAGTTCCGGCTATGGGGTTATACATTCCCTTCTCCATTTTCTTTCCCCTATCATCTATCCCTTTTATATATTGGAGTCCACTCTGGAAGTCCTGCCGTTCTAGCCTACCTTTTTTTATACTCATTGGAGAGAGCCACGCAGTCTCCCCTTTCTTTTCTTTTCATCTTTTGATTTACCCCCGGAGTTCGGCGTGCCAAAATGGGCTGACTTCTCGATGGAATGGAGAATACTTTCCATTGGACCACCAAGAACCAGGACACCTTGTGTCTTGCGCGACTCTCTCCAAAATGGAGTTAAGTGGTTGCATTGAAATACTGTGCATGGATTACGCTGTGTTTGGAGTCTTATCTTTGCGCCATTTCCTAAGTAGTGATAATATATACCCTATATCCAAGACCAGTTACTAGTAATATTCCTCATGTCTTCTCAGAATGTCTTCAAGCTGCAAATTATGGTGGACCTCGGACATCTCCACCTCCACACGGCCCAAAATTCAGCCGAGGCAAGCCTTAATTAAGCTCTCCGCTTGTCCTACTACCACATTCCTCCATCCTATATTCCGGTATACCATATACCATATACCACATACCCCATACAGTCTCTTCACAATGGCCCCCTCCCTGCTCCAAGCATCCGCCGCATCCTTCGTTTTCCTTGCTCTCGGACATACGGTACTAACCCATCCAACCCCCTATCACTCACTCGCAGCAGCGTAATACTAACCCTATCACCAGATCAACGGCAAACAATGGACATCCGACCCCCGATTCAAGGCTATCGCAGGAACGAAGCCATGGGCTAGTGGAACCGTAGGATGGTATCAAGTGCGTTCATCTTCTAATGTTATAACGACGTCATCCGCGACAACTTATCCACTTCTGATAACGTGAAGTGAATCCACGCACTAACTTATACAGGGGAGTGCATTCTTCTTAGTAACTGGTACGTTCCATCCATCTCCTTTCTTATTTGAACCTCGTTGAATATAGATTGAACTCATCTCAAATCAAATTCCTGATCTGTCTTTGTTCAGGTTTGCTGCATTACCAATGGTCTCGCGACCCTACGGCCCTCCAAGACCCGATTAACAAGGCCATTGCTGGTATCGTTAATGTCTTGCTTTGGTCTAGCTCGGCTTGGTATGTTAAACATGGTATTAAGGATAATGCCTGGGCTGTGGGCTTGTCGGCTGTGTTGCAGGCTTGGGGGGTTGTTCAGGCTATTCTGTGATTGAATTGCGTGGGAACTTGTCTTGGACGTGATGATTCTGTTATGGAGGTCGGATCGCTTACGCTTACATCTTTTTGAACGTCGTGTTCACTAGATAGCATTTGTGATGATGAGACTCTCGGAATGGTAACAATAGCCTAGGCTGCCTAGTCAACAGACTGGATAATCGACGATATTTCAGATATTCGGCCGTGGGAACTGGTCGTCCTCACGAGTCACGTAAATGTCTCGACGAATCACGTAGCCAACTGGAGGGATCCCGGCCCATGTTGTCCCGAGCACGCTGGACGGTATATATGCGTATTTATTCTACGCTGAGGTCATTCTGACAGTGAGCTTCTCATGATTTTGGGCAATCGACTTGCACAGCCCTTACGATGCAGGAAATCAATGATAATGATTAAATTGGTATCGGCCTATCTGCCTGATACAAAGAATTCGGGGCTCATCCCCTGCATCGCCAAACCTGGCCGCATTCGCATGTTGATTCACAGTTAAGAATATGGTTTCGTCATGGTACAAAGCTTTCCGGGAGTATCATCTCAATCGGCACGCTAGGCCTCACCCTCCTCACGTCGGGAGACCAGCCGGCCTCGACGCTGGGCAACCCATCCGATGAACAGCCCAACATCGGCAACAACGGCCTTGGGCACGCCGCCGAGGATCCAGCTACGCTGCACCCAGCCAGGAATATCGCCCGCCGCATCCGAGGTTGTAGCCATCGTCCACTTAACGCGTCGGTCGGTCGAAACAGGAGCAGAGGTCGAAATCGAAGATAGAGTCTTCGTCTGACCAATATTATCACCTGCAGTAGAGGCCGAAGTAGACACGACAGAGCCAGATCGGTCACGAGGCAAAACGAGCAGCTCGACGCGCTCCACACTGGCGTAGTTGCCGAAAATCACGCCATGCGGGACGTTGCAATCGATCTTGGCGTAAAGAGTGATGAACTTATCACTGGGGAAATTATCGTTGAATTTCTGGTAGGGAACCTGAACGGTAACAAAGCCTTCAGTGGCCTGGCGTGTCTCTGGGTTCTGAGGGTCGCGCGCAGCGAGGCTCATAGTAGCTGCTGAGATGGTGAGCGACACGAATGCACGAGGCTGGATCAAGCCATCCGGCTTAAAGTGGTGAACAATCAGATTCACTAGTGCGAGCTGTGCAATTAGTTTCTGCCTGGATGTGTCAAGTCGAAGAGAGGAAGTGTAACACGAATCCGAACTTCATGCACTTACACTTAGCGTCAAAGTGGCTGTAGCGCGTGTCGCCAATCTCAAAGGGTTGGCCGAGATGCTCTTCCTCGCCATTGGTCCAGTCGAAGAGATTCACGACGCGAGTCACCGTAGGAGTATACTCCTGCTCATTGCGCGCATGGTCATGGTGCAAGCCATTCTGGAATTCCTGCCAGGTAGCGGAACCATTTCCGCAGTTGGAGTCAACATGTTCGCTCTCGCGGCAGACCCAGTACTCCTTCTGCGCGTTGGGCTCGCTGCGCAATGGAGTTCTCCAGCCCTGGCTCAGCTGGACCTTTGCATCAGAAGGAAAAGACTTGCGAAGTTTGGTTTCAGCCTTGAGCTCGGAGGGGAGACTGGCCAGGATCTCATGTGCCTCTTGAAGAACGTCACGGATTTGCTCCTGGATGGACGACACTGGGCGACATGGCACCAGATCGGGATGCCTAGGGAGACTAATGAGTGAATGAGGAGAAAGCTGAACCAGAGGCATGATTGGAAAGGATGAAGTTGGAGATGAGGTGGGGCGAAGGTGAGTGATGCAATGCTTGTATTTTATTTCGTCCGGGGCAAATCGCACGCGTTCAGACGCGTCTATTTCGAGGGCGCGTGTCTGTGGATGTTTGAAGGCAGGAATGATCTCAGGCCATCAGACAATTCCTAGAAGGGAAGGAGCCCTAAGAAGGAGCCTAGGTGAGCACCTTCACCCTGCACTATGAGTGATTACCAATCAAGATATTCAACACCACGGAGCACGAGGCTTTCTAGCCTTCAACGTTATAGTAGGACTGTATATCTTCATATGTCTAGTATCACACCTATTGTAGTGCATTGAACATATCTCCCTGTCTCCGTACCAGAACCCCCCAGCTTGGGTTGTAACGAATGGGATTTGACAGGACTTCTTATAATACTCTCACCATAATGCTTTGTGAGCTGGCAACCAATGTAGTCTTCATACTAGTCAGTGAAAGTTCATGTCGCCAATTCCCTCTTGTTTCTGACCTGGGTTGAGTTTGTGGTTGATTCTTGAATGCCTTGGAGGGGGCTATACCTCGACCTCCACAACGGCCAACTTGCATTCTCACACCTTCCCAGGCTTCAGTGGTGTCACTCCAAGCCGGTTCAATTTGCTTCAATATGAGCTTTGTTATTACTTCATAAGGTGGGATCCCGTTGGTTACCTGTGAAATCATGACTGCGTTCTCAACCGATTCATGTGAGGTCCAAAGTTTAAATAATGGGACCCATCTGGAAATGCCCATGGTAGATTACTGGCTCAATGGGTATCTTTAGTGGCTTCTCAATACTATAAACAGCGGATTCCAGGTCCTACACTGCCCGTCTCAAATAGCTCTACTAGCCCAGCACCGAGAGCTTCCTCTAAAGCCCATCGGAAGTGCATGCCATATAACTCCTTCCACTTCTTCGTCTTACCCGGCAGAATTCCAGCAAACTCACCACGAGCCCGCTTGGCAAGATGGAAGCTCTTTTCGGTTTCAACAGCTCCATCCCACCGGTCTTTCAGCAGACCCAGAGGAGCTTCCCCAGAAGCAGACCGCCGAAGCAAAGCGAGTAGGTGTGCGCGGCTCGACCCGAGTAAGCGAAGATAAGTGCCAGTATTAGGAAGAGATAGAAAAAGAGTTGCAGCACGCGCCTGTGCATCGGACTGGACAGGGCGCTCGGTCTTGTACTGAGTGGATTCTTTGCGACTTGCTGACGAAGCAGCTGAAGTTGGCAAATTGGGAAGAGAGGCAATACTCAGCGACCCCTGGGTGAATGAGGACGATGAAACAATGAAGCCAGCACGAAGCAAAGCCCTATATTCATCAGGTGTAAAGACCCCCTGCGAAATCGCTGAGGCGGTTCCCATGCGTTTAAGAATATCAAGGAATTTATCTGAAATCAGATTAATATGTGTTGTTCAGATTATTAGAATACAACTAACCTTTGATTGGGGCATCCAATAAAGGACTTCCCTGTACCAGCTTCTCCCAGTCCTCTGCTAACACCAGACAATCACCCAGTCCGGCTGCATCATTGCCACGACCGGGAATAATGAGTCGCCGAACTTGGCCTGACTGGACTAGTTCAACGATCTCTCTCTCCACTTGTGTTGGCGCATCCAGCAGAGTATGAACGTGGGCGACCGAGGCAAGCGGTGGTAATGATCGGCGCAAATTGAGTACCTCTGCAATCCGAGTACTATTCATGCCAGCTCGCTGTGGGAGCTCTTCGAATATACCATCGCGGATATATTGAATACCCTGTCGTACATTCTGCACCGGTGCAGTTTGTGAAATGTAATGCGACCCACCTAAGTCTGGAAGCGGATCATCCAAACTCAGATCGGCAGTTGACTTCAAGCTACTAGCTCCCCCGGATGAAGGTTTGCGGCGCGCATGAGCGGCAAAAGGCGAGGCACGAGGCCGAGGTGCAGAGGACTTTCGTTTCTTAACACCAGATACTGGAGCAGATGTGAGGCGTAAGGTCATGGCCGGGATGAACGAGGCAATTGGGGACTGATGGAAAGATATTACCTCATGTCAGGTGACTGTGTATGAGTTTCCGCCAATCACGGCCCAGCGGACATACTTCTGTACTGGTAATACCGTACGGGAATACCCGGCCCCGTATAAAGTGGGGGGAACTTGGTACGAGGCTGTAATCTGCAGTCATACTCCCATCGCTGAGGTGTTGAGATCTTCCTTGCTTCTGCAACTATTCCATAGAGTCCACTTCTCTCGTCGTTTTCTTGATATCAAATGTTCTGCCGTCTTGTGTGTGTGCTGTAAGGTAAGGGGAAACTTGCTTCTTCAGCCCACGCTATTCACATGACGTAGCCATGAGAAAACACATCGTGTAACTCTTTTTCACTCACTCTCTCGCTCGATTCCTCAATTGCTACACTCCTAAGCGGCCATTCGTTCTTTGCATTGCATTTGATTTCTCTATTCTTATCCAGAACCTTGCTCTTTGGTGTTCTAATCCCCGACCCTTCTCTCTGGGCTCGAGTCAAATCACCATGACCGTCTTCATTGCGTCTCTGTATGTGTCCCACCGCTAGTTCGCGACGTATGACTGACCTATCCATATTTTAGCTTCCTACCCTACACGGTGAACTTCCATGTCAATAATGGACGCCACCGATCACCCCCAATCGGCCCTCCATCCGCCAACCCCGCCATTGATGGAATCTCTCCCGTCCCTACTAATACCAATACCAATACCGCCGCGAGCTTGTTCGAAAAGAATGACCCCATAAAAAAGCCCGGGTTGACTCCTGGTGCCACCACGGATTATGAGCGCATCTTTGCTTCCAGCGTGGCTCAGGCGGAGGTAGCCAAGAGCGGGTATCCGTTTCCTGCGCCTGCTGAGTCTGAACCCCAGCTTCTGACAGAGAGCGAGGGGCATTCACCCGCATGGGGATCAACTACCTCCCTCATGCAGCCAAAGGCGAAGCCACTGGTGTCACCTTCGCCTTCTATCCTTAAACATCAAGATCCCCCTGTCGCCAAGGAACCTGTCTCGTCGCGCGCTCCAAATGCCCAGCCTACCCCTCCATCCGGACAGAGATGGACTCAGTTTGCGAACCGCAAAGTGTCATTTTCCAAGGCCGAATGGACAATCGAAACTGCTGAGCAGGGAAACGGTGGATTGCGAAATGCCGTACGTTCTGCAACAGATGCTGGATTTTTGGATCAGATGATGTGGGTAGGCACCCTGGGAATGCCAATCGATGCTTTGGCAAAGTACACTTGGAAGGATATTGTGGAAAAATTGGAGAATGAATATGGGTCCTTGACGGTTGGTGTGAGTGACGGTGACTTTGACGGCCACTACACACATTTCTGCAAAACTATTCTCTGGCCAGTGTTCCACTATCAGATTCCGGATAACCCAAAAAGCAAGGCTTATGAAGATCATTCTTGGATCTATTACGTCAAGCTCAACCAGGCGTTTGCGGATCGCATTGCGAAAGACTGGAAGCGCGGCGATTCAATCTGGGTTCAGGATTATCACTTACTACTCGTTCCAGCTATGCTTCGCAAGTTGTTGCCAGATGCACAGATCGGCTTCTTCTTGCACATTGCTTTCCCATCCTCAGAAGTTTTCAAGTGCTTGGCACCTCGCAAAGAACTTCTCGAGGGTATCCTGGGTGCCAACCTCATTGGTTTCCAGACGGATGAGTATTGCCGACACTTTTTGCAAACTTGCAGTCGAATCCTTTGCGTGGAAGCTACACCTGAAGGTATCCAGCTAGAAGACCGGTTTGTCAACGTGGGTACATTCCCTATTGGTATTGATCCAACCTCTTGGGACAAGCGTCGTCAAGCAACAGATGTTGAGCACTGGGTTGATGCAATCTCGGAACGCTATCAAGGAAAGCGTCTCATCGTTTCGCGTGATAAGATTGATTCTGTTCGAGGCATTCGCCAAAAGCTTCTCAGTTACGAACTTTTCCTGAATACATACCCGGAATGGGCAGATAAAGTTGTCTTGGTTCAAGTCGCAACTAGCACCACGGATCAACCTGACTTGGAGGCAACTCTCTCTGATATTGCCATGCGAATCAACTCCATGCACTCGACTCTCGCCCACCAACCCCTCGTTTTCCTCAAACAAGACCTGGCCTTCCCGCAATATCTTGCGTTGATCAGCGTGGCAGATGCTTTGATGATTACTAGTCTACGCGAGGGTATGAATTTGACCAGTCACGAATTTGTCTATTGCCAGGACGGTCGGTATGGCAACAAAGCGTATGGATCATTGATCCTTAGCGAGTTCACTGGAAGTGCATCTGTCTTTGGAAACCATGCTCTTTTGGTCAACCCTTGGGATTACCGCCAATGCTCTGAAGCAATTTACACAGCCTTGACTCGTGATGAACAAGAACGGAAGAAGGTCTGGGAGGGAATGTTCAGTGCAGTCTTGCAAAACTCCACTGCCAACTGGGTCAAGTCGTTCAATGAAACTCTTGCACGGGTCTGGCACGAGCAGTCGTCTCGGGAGATTATGGCTGTCCCTCGGCTATCTGTATCTCGACTTGCCGAACAGTATCGACAGTCGAAACGACGACTCATGGTCGTTGACTACGAAGGAACACTAGCTTCATGGGGATCCCCAGGGAGCATTATTCTGACCACGCCGCAGCGCGCCATCACCACTCTGACCGATTTGACCGAAGACCCTGCGAATGTGGTATACGTCATGAGTTCCCGCATGCCCGAAGAAATGGAACGTCTATTCCGACAGGTCAACAACCTGGGCCTCATCGCCGAGAATGGATGCTTTTTACGCGAGCCACAAGCTGATGTGTGGACGCATCTTGCAGACAAGGTGCACGTCAAAGCATGGAAGGAATCAGTATCCAACATTCTAGCTTACTTCCAGGCTCGTGTGGAAGGCAGCTGGATCGAAGAGCGCCACTGCTCTCTTGTCTTCCATCATGGATCCGCAGAAGACCGCCACATTGCTGCTCGCCTTGCTGCTGAGTGTGCAGGAAATATCAATGATGCATGTGCTAACCAAGGCGTGCATGCCATTTCCGTTGAGGGTGCTTTGATTGTGGAAACCACACATACCAACAAGGCATCTGCGGCAGCGTTAGTCTGGAAGTGGTTCCTTGAACACGATGAGAAAACCAAGCAAGCCGCAAAACCTGACTTCCTGCTGGTCATCGGTGACAACCGTGAGGACGAGCCTGTTTTCCGATGGGCCAACAAACTGCAGCGATCCAAGGCTGTCGAGTACGCTATGACAATTACATTGGGCTCGCGTAGCACTGAGGCAAAGGCGACTCTGACTCAAGGTGTGACTGGTAAGTTGTCACCTACATCTTCTGGTGTTATGATCTTTCTAACGATTCTTAGGTGTTCTTTCTTGTCTACAGCAATTGGCTGCCCCAGGCCCGGCAGATGGAACATCACTGCCCCTACGTCAAGTTACTTGATGACTCGCGCTGATCTTGAGGATGCTAAGACGCGAAGATGAATAAATGAAGATATCCAAAAGGACCGGAGTTTTGATTTTGTCTTTTGGAACCGTATATGCTGGCATCCCTCTTCGTTCGATACATTTCCTTTTATTTTTCCTTTTTTTTTTTTTTCTATCAATAACATGGTTCATAATTCAAGTTCAGGCTTTACACACATGCATCTCATGTATTCTTTATTTTGGCATCATCTGCACCGGTGCCAAGATATTAATTCCATCAGAATTAAATTATATGGTCAGCTTTCTCGCTGCCTTGCCATGATCTATCTGTTCCATTGGCCTCGGTATGCTAGACTTTCTGGATGAGGATTTCGGAGGATGTGATAGTGCGCTAGATTATATTCGCCCAATCATACAGAAGAACGTACTAAAAGATGAAAGAGAGGCGTCTGTACTGCTGCTGGCTGTCGAATCTTCCCGTGGGACGCTTCAAGAGCTTTGGGCTAGATATTTCATGAAAACAATGGCATTATTCTTCTCTTTCGAGTCTTTGTTTTCAAGAAAGGCCTTGGTAAGCTGAAATAGTGAGAAAAAGAACAAAGATATCTTTAACTCTATCAAGCCATAGTACCCGGTCAAGGAATTGGAGGCATGGCCCTGGTATAAGAGGAGCTGAACTTCAAGCCAAATCGAAATCACCATCAAAAACAAAGCATCTTCTGAGTATTTCATCTCAGAGCCACTCTCTATGATATTTCCTGCGTTTAATACATCAAAGTAGCAAAAATGGCATACACCCAATGCCCAATCCTTCCCCGTCACACTGTCACCAATCGATGCATTTCAAAGGGACACGTCGTTGAATGCCCATTGCACCCTGGAATGTATATCGCCCCCAGTTTAGCGAGCAGTAAATGCTCCAAGTGCCACTACAAGGCAAATATTGAAGAGAAGAAAAGCAAAGAGGAGAAAAAGAGGAATGAGAAGATGTGAAGGAGTGGAACAACTCAGTTTCTTCGATCCACATTCGTTTTGGATTCATCAATTTTTTTTACAGCACTTTCAAGTTTATTGCATACAGAATGTCAAAGCACTAACATAGTCCTATTTGATATCTTTGACGGACCTACTGTTTACCCTGGTCAGTTCATGGTCCTTATTTCCCTCTCCCCGAAATTACCAAAAAAAAAAAAAAATCGCCTTTCCATATGCATCTAGTTATTTCCTTATGAATGATATGTTTTCTTGAATGTCACTGCTTCTTATGTAACTTAAATACGGACCCTCCCGGTTGGTAACTCGGAGTTGACCTTGTAGCTTAGCGGCCTCCGTCTGCTGTAGCTCCCACTGAAAACGTAACTATAGAATGATGCTTTGTTATTGGATGTAATTTGAAGAGGTAAATAATGACAAACATCAGTAAGAGGACAATGAAAGAAAGTCATTTTAGTACAATCTTAGGTAAGGGGGAGGCAAATCTCAGAAAGTGCAGCAAAACAGCATCCAGGATGTGAAAACATACGCCCCGATTCAGCACCAAGAGATAATAGCCAATTCATACTCCGTTCATATCCACCTTATGTGCTCAAATGATCATTTCAAGAGACCCTCGTCAGCATTCAAGGGTTGTGGCACTCACCCACTTCCATAGTTCAGTCAAGCTAGCTGGTAACATGGTGCATAGGACCCAGAGTAAGGGTCTGGGACATACACTGCAGTCTCTCATTCGTCTCCTGTAGTGATCGGCCTGTATAGTACGTCACTAATGGGGATTGATCTTCACTGATGGACTTCGGAAACTTTATCCACATCGTATGAAGGAACGGTCCGTGTGGACTACCATGTTGTTTCAACAAATAGGAGAGGTAAAACACCAAAAACAAGGCCATTGGTAGGTTTATTGTGTGGCTGCAGACGATCGACGGGCACTATTAGCGATAGTCACAACCCCGATCTATACTCCACCCCGACTGACACCGAAAATCAAGGGACCGAGTCAGCATCAGACAGATAGACTATAAAACCCTCATGATATCCAAGTAATGTGCAGCAGTGCCACTCATTCACACTCATTAACACTCATTTTCTTTTCATCTAGTCATTTAGTCATTCATTCATTGAATCCTCATGCGGCTCAACGCCATCTTGGCCGTATCGGGCATAGCGGCAACCACATCTGCCATCGGCCTTCACAAGGCGGTGGACGGTCTGTTGCAAGTCACTCCTTCTTTTGCGGGCGATGATATATCGTTGCATCCTGGGTTAGATCCCTCCCACAACTCCAATGACTTGGATCATCTCGTTGCAGGCCTTGAAAAGGTCCTGTACTATAGCCAGGAAGGACATCGTCGTGAGTCACCCCAAACCCAATGATACTTCCGATTATTAACACTTTTCCAGCGGCTCTTCATGGTGCAAAGCATGCCTCCCTCGAGGCAAAGTTTGTCCGCAACACGGTCGTCTTAGATCAGTCCGATCATGTCAAGAGCATCACCTGTGATGAAAGCGACATGCACATCTGCTTCGACAACCCGCTTGCAATGGCGACAGTGGAAGCCTCCTGGCTGATCCAGGGTGGAATCAATCTGGTGACTTACCATGCAGGCTGCGGTGATGAAAGCTCGGGAAAGCGAAGCATCTTTCATGCTTCTCAGCCTTTGATCAATCTAGTGGACATGTGTATTGTGGTGTCTGTCACTGCTATCGAGGAGTCAGACGCCCTCGATTCAGGTGTCATGACATGGGGCACATACAGCGACCCAAAACAGAGAAAGAGATCACCAACCAAGGGTCATGTCCGTGTTACCAAGCCAACTCAGTCTTATAACAGAGGCCGGCCGGAATCTCCAGCAGAGCGCAATGTTACAGATCAATATGCTAGCAACGCCACTATGGATATTACACTGAACCCTTGGGCAATGGAGAACTTTTTCAACAACTCCAACCTCGATACAAGTCATATGGGTGAAGAGATTGACACTATGGACTTCATCGACATAGATGATCTTGAGGTCCCTGCCGCACGCACGAACATGACCCGGAGGTCCTCTACACGCCGCCGAGCAGAGCGAACCAAGAAAACCCAGACTGAGGTTTCAAGACGCACTTCATCTGAGCTCAGTCGACGAGACATATTCACTGATATTTGGAATGGACTTAAAGATCTAGGCCGGGTGAGTACCTTTCCATCTGAATGCTTATTCTAGAGCACATGCTAACAGCTTTGAATCTTAAGAGAATTGGAAATTTCTTCAAAAGTGCATTCGAATTCATCAAAAAGGTTGGCGACCAAATTATTGAACTTGCAGTCATCACCGCAAAGTTGATTCTGGTGCCGTTTGGTGTCCCATTCGATCACACATACCATAACGACATCAAAATTGACTCATACCTCAAGAGTGACTTTGGTCATACTCCACCTGAAATTTTTGGCATGAAGGACGGCTATACACTTGCTAGCTCTGACAACTATGACGATGATGATGCGTTCCATTGGACAGTTCAGTGCGCTAAATGTGGCATTCACGTCAATATTGACATTGATGGCCGGTTAGCATTTAGCATCAAAGACGGTATCACCGAAGGCAGTATCTCTTTTGTCAATAACGATCCTCTGACCCTGGATGCTCAGTTTGGAATCAGCGCCGACGGCACAAAGAGCAAGTCCAAGGAGAAGAAGAAGACCATCAAGCCAAAGAAGACCATTAAGCCAAAGAAGAGCAAGGACCTTAAGAGCATACCTTTTGGTGGTTTGGTCATTCCAGGTATTCTCACGCTTGGTCCTCAGGTGACCTTCGGCGTAGCAGTCAGTCTTGAGGCCGAGGGCAAAGTTGAAATCCTTGTTGGTGGAACCATTTCCGTTGGAGCAGGACACGCCATTGCCAGCTTGAAAGGTAAAAACGAAGTCAAAGGGTTTGAACCCGGGTTTGACCCAGTTTTCCGTGCCGAGGGTGAATTTTCGCTCACTGGTGACATTGGATTGCCTGTGGCGCTTGAGGTTGGGCTTACTGTTCTGGATGGGAAATTCAAGGAAACAGTTGGGCTCGTCAACACACCTTCTGTCTATGTCAAGGCAACTGCAAACTTGGAACTCGAGGCCCGCGATGACGATGAGGAGAGCACCTGTAAAAATGGTGTTCAATTACAGGTTGGTGCCAAAAACCGTATCCACGTTGCTGGATTCGACGTTTTCGAATATGAACTTGCAGACATACCAATCTTCGAAAAGGACCTAGGCTGTGTCAAGTAAGTTATATCCACTCTCGTTGGCTCCAAAATTCATCTAATGATCATTATAGTGTCGACGGCTTCAATGCCGGGACAGCGAAGTCAGCAGACGGACTTATCAAGAAGGTCACCAAGGAAACTGGCGACGCTGGGGCAGGAAAGCCTGGCATTACCGACGCTACTCGCACTTTCAAAAAGGTTGACGGCGCTCAAGGCTTCAGAATTCTCATGGCCGCCGACTCTGGCAGCATTGTGGTTTCTGGAACGAATGGTGGTCTCTACCTCGTTGACAAGAGCGCAGGTTATGATGTCAGCGCACCATGGGGCACTCTCGATACCAAAGCAAAGCCATTGACACTTGATGTCTTTGGGCGTGTTCTGGCATATAAGTTTCTCCCGGCTCCTAAAGATAGTGACTTTGTGAGCAGAAATGCTCCCCTTGTGGCCGACTTGATGGTCTCGGATCCACAGACCATTCCTGTGGGGTACAAAGCTACGTGAGTCACCGAAATCACTTACCTATGTTGAGTTCAGGAAATGAGATGGGCTGACAATTCAAAATCAGGGCGATGAAAGAGCTGGAATCATCCGATTCTAAGAAGACGTATGGCATACCCATGGTGTACGACAACGCTTTGCGCAAGATCACTAAGCCCATGTATTATCCCACGGCCTGCAAAACTCCTTTGGGAACAATGTTGATTGCGACTCGCGAGATTATCACTAAGGATGGACATGTCAAGTCGGTTTGGAGGCCAAGTCAAAATTTCGCAGAGCAGATGGACCGTGAGCTCATGAACCATTTCGGTCTTTACAGAAAAGAGTGTAGAACGATCCAGTTGATTGCTAGCAGCTAGATGGGACATTAATTCCAGCTCATATACCATCTATATTCTATCAAAATCACGTTAAGCCCTCCAAGCTCCAAGTCCTTTTATTCCGATTCACGCGAGGCCAATATAGTTGATGACTGATCCTCGGTCTGGGGAAAACCGAGCCGAGGTTCGATATATGGGGGGGACCTTAATAGCTTTCCTTCATTCTTCTTTCCCTTCACCCTTGAGATTTTAGAGATTTTAGACTTAGAACCTCAAAATGTCTACTCTCAACCGATCATTCGAAGAAGCCATTCAGGTAACACCCCAAGGCGCAAACAAATACAGCGCCAACCTCCGCCCAGAATGGTGCATAGGAACCGGTAAACCAACTCCCAATTCCCCATCCCACTCCCATACCTCATGAAATACACAGACTAACATAAAACCCAGTTCCCCACGGCGGCTACACAACAGCCGTAATTTACAATCTAGCAAAAACGCACTTTGCGCACGCCCATGCAAACAGATACAAAACAACACCCTCGCCAATCTCCCTGCAGCTTTCCTTCCTGCGCCGCACAGCAGCAGGACCAGCAACCTTTGAAGTGGAAGATGTCAAGCTAGGCCTACGCACCAGCACAATCCACATCAAACTCCTCCAAGAATCCGATAAGAAACCCGGCCAAATGGAGATCATGGTCGCGGGCTATATCACGCTCAGCCCGCCCGACACGGAAGTCGGAATCAGCGCTGGAACGGGGTGGAAGCCGTACCCTGTTCCGCCGGCTGGCTCGCGCGCCGATGGCTCTGTGGATTTGTCGGCGCTGGGATCTACCGGTCGTGACGGCGGGTGGATGAAGATGAATCCTCCTTTTGCGGAGTTCCGCAAAGCTGCTGCGCAGATTGAGTTGTTCGGGCCTGCTGAGAAACGGGTCGGTATGGGTGTTGATCAGTGGGCGCGGTTTAGGCCTGGTGGGGATGGGAATGGGCGTTGGACGGATGCTGCTGTTGCGTATCTCGTTGACATGTTTCCTATGGCGCTTGATGGGTTTGATCATATGTCTGCTGAGGCTGTGGCCCGTGAGGAGGGGGGAAAGGCTCCGGAAATGAAGGCGAAGTTTTGGTATCCCACTGTAACATTAAACGTGGACATGAAGAAGCATCTTCCTGCTGGGGGTGTGGAGTGGCTTTATAGTCGGGTTGTGACCAAGGTTGTTAGGGATGGACGGACGGATTTGGAGGTTACTGTTCTTGATGCTGATGGCGAGGTTGTTGCGTTGAGTACGCAGGTTGGCTTGGTGGTTAGTGCGAGTCGGAATGTTGGGACGAGGAAGTTCCAGAAGTTGTAGATATGTTCCATGTCGGAGGTTGATGTACATAGATTCTGTGAATAGTATAAAGAGTATATGGTAGTCTAACTTATATGTCCAAGTTGACGTATGTGCGGGCGGGCGATATCGTCGCTCATAAATGTACAACGACGAGAGATCCGAGTCCCAATTCTTCATTCTCATAGCTTCGAATCGGTCCTCACCCAAAAAGCCATGGCATCCGCCTTGACGAGCTTCCGCTTTGCCCACTCTAGGTGACCACCTGCACCCTCCTCATCCTCCTGCAAGGCCTGCGCTCGCACCCAGTACTTCTTTCCAACGCGCCCAACCACCCTCGCCTTGATCACCAACACCGCAGGTGTCACCACCCGTTTCTTATACCGCACATCCAACTGCGCGGTAAAGATCCGCCCCCGCGGATTCCCCTCAGGGCCCCCCTCGCTGGGCGCATTAGCATGAGCCGCAACCGCAAGGGACATCGCCTCGTCAATCAGGGTTGCGACGATCCCACCATGTACCGTTGACGGATGACCCGATAGCCCAGGGCTACTCAGGTCAAAGATCATGATGACATCGGCCGGGTTTACGCCGGGGGTGGGCTTTGCCGCGGCAGCGGCTTCTGCTTTGGTTGCGGGGAGCCACGCGGGGATGTCTGCTGGGACGGGTTCGATCTTGCGCCGTTGCAGGGTTAGACAGTGTGGGATTGTGGAATTTGTGTTGAGGGTTTGGGCAAAGTAGCCATCTTCACCGGTTGTCGGCTTTAAACGACGGGAATCGGTTTCTATTGGAGTGTAGTCGGTGGAGGAGATTAGGGAGTTGGCCCATGGGTGGGAGCGGAGATGAGCAATGGCCGGGCCAGGGTCAGCCATGGTTTTCTCTCTTTGTCTCTCTTTTGCTTTTCAATTCTTGGTGAGTTGTGTCGCGATTGGAAGAGCACCAAAAGCGAAGAGATCAGTTTAGTTCATCACAGTAGATGAACCTCGGCCCGGGGGTCCGAGAAGGGCAAGATAGTCAGTCACGTGCACGGTGCCTGGAAGCTTCAGCTGCATCTCTGATCATCGTCCTCCGTACTCCGCGTAGTTCATCTCTGCTGATCCCAGGGCAATTGCCGGTCCAATTACAGACCCGGGGACCCCTGGACCTGGATTTCCCCATGTATTGACCTCCTACTTCCAGATATGTCCCACGCAAGGGATTCCGGATCCGGAATTCGGCATGGGAATGCGAGATAAAACGGAATAAACAAGAGAAAGTGGTGTAAGCGACTTGTTTTGTACCACAGACTCTGCAGGTCTCCATTGGCAACGGCTTGATTCGCTCGGATAGGGGTCGGTAGGGGTCTGTTTAACCAGTTACGGCTTAGTTGGATGCAGCCAAGGACCCTGATTCATCTTGGACTGGTATCTGCTCCCTTTTGTTTCAATGATAACCAAGTTATACACTGTACCAAGGGCCCCGTGCTAGTTGGAAGGACGTTACCTTGGGTTCCTGCTATTTTAGCTGCTATTTTAGCAGGTCTTCCTTCTTCTTTCCCTTCCCCCCTCCCTTCCACCTGACTTTGCTTGACTCTGTTCTGTTCTACTCTGTTCTTCTTGACTCTCCTCTACTCTCTACTTAATTAATAATCCATATTCATCATGCGTTACTCCATCGCTTTCCTCTCCGCTCTGGCCACCTCGGTCTTGGCTGCCAACTCCACTGAATACACCTTCCCCGAGGGTTGGAACATTGGCCTGGTGGATGCCGACACTCGGAGTAAGTGGCATGACAATCATCATGGTGACCCAAGTTGCTAATACGTGACAGGCGGCTGGTGTACCGGACAGCGCAATGCCTGCCCTGAGATCTGCCAAACGGGCACTAAGCTCAACTCGTGCGACCCTGTATGTGAAACTGCCCGAGTATTGCGTGGGAACAGCAGACTGACTCTCAACAGACCACCCTGAAGTTCAGCTGTGTCTGCAGCGATGATTCGACACCCGATGTGTCTCCCTACATGCAGACCATCCCCTTCTACGTCTGCCAGAACAACTTCGGCCAGTGCATCACCACGCACGCCAATGACGCCGAAGGCCAGCGCGCCTGCAAGAAGGCCGCCTCCAGCTGTGGCTCCAAGAATGCTAGCGAGGTGTCCACCACTTCCTCTTCCTCAACCATGGCCGCGTCCACCACTCTGGCCACGGCCACAACCACTGACTCGTCGGCCTCGGAGACCTCATCCGTCGCAGCCGCGAGCACAACCACCAGCAACGCTGCTGCTGGTGACATGACCAAGATGTCCACTGGTGTCATGGCTGGTCTCATGTTCGTGGCCGCTCGCATGGTCCTGTAAGGATTGCAAATGCTCTCTTGATCCTGTGGTCGCATGTTGTCTTTGTTGTTGTTTTATGCTTTTATCTCATCGCGCTGCCATTTTGTCTTTTTCAAGACGCTCGATTCCCCTGTTCCAACTGCTCTTGACTCATGATGTTTCTCCGTCTATGAAACGTGGCGCCTGTCCTTCCTTTTGATATGTCGAGACGGAGTTTTGTGTGCGAAGATCTTTCGCCCCAGTATTTTTTATTTCAAAAGTAATAAACCCCATATTCTGCAGAGTGGTTAAGAAAAGTGAACAAAGAATCGTATTGTAGAAGTTGGTGTTCGTGTTTCGCCAAGACTTTTTGGCACACACTGAAATTTCTCAACTTATCGATTAGACTCCACCACCCAAGAACTTCACGTTCTCCCTCTCTCTCCTTACAACCACACATCCCCATCATGCCCGCCCCTACTACCACCCTCCTCATCGAGGGTTCCTTCACCGAGCTCGCCGACGAGTTCGCCCAGTACATCGACGCTCTCCGCAAAGAGGGTAGCCTTCAGTCCGAGATCGCCCCGCTCCTCGAGCCTCTCCGCCAGCAGGAACAGTCTGAGGCCGAAGCCGACCTCAAGCAGCGCGATGAGGTCCTCAAGAAGCTTGTTGCCTCTGCGACCGCTTTGAGCGCCGCCCCCGAAAAGGGTGAGTTGTGTTGAAGTCTGGACAAAGAAATCGATCTGCAATCGGACTTTCGCTCTTTTCTATGTCCATGGAGGGAGGGAGAAGAAAAAAAACTGACAACTAGCAGAGATCACCTCGTCTTACAACCTCCTGGTTCATCTTGTTCACCAGTCCTCCGATGCTGATGTGTTCCTCCCTCGCATTTGCACCTACCTCGCCAAGCCCATCACCACCTCGCCTCAGTTCGGTGCTTCGCTCGCCATCTCCATCCTCTCCACCATCTTCAACACTTTGTCCGCCACCGACGCCAGCCGTTACCACGTTCTTCTGGCCATTGTTGCCGTGATTCGCCAGTCCGGTTCGGGAATCGCCTTTGAGGCCCTCAAGCCCCAGCTCTCTTCGCAGCTCCCCACATGGCTCGCCTCGTGGGAGTTGGACTCCGACGACACCCGCAAGTTGCACATTGCTATCGCCGAGGCCTCGACCGCCGCCGGTGACGAGGAACTCTCCCAGTCCCACCTTATCCAGGCTCTGCAGACCATCGACGCTGCCAATGTGAGCAAGCCCGAGTCCCGCGACCTCGCTGTGCGCGCTCTCGCTACCGCTCTGCGTCGCCCCACTGTCTTCGACTTCGCTCCCCTCACTGCCACCGATGCCGTCCAGGCCCTGCGTTCCAGCGAGAGCAGCCTCTTCGAGCTGCTCGAGATCTTCACCTCGGACACCCTCGACGCCTACGAGACCTTCGTTTCTGCCACCCCGCTCTCCTCCATCTCTGGTGGTGTTCTTGCTGAGTACGCCGATGCTCTTCAGACCAAGATGCGTCTCCTCACTCTCACCACTCTGGCCGCCTCCGCCCCCTCGCGCTCGCTCCCCTACGCCTCCATCGCTTCCGCTCTGCGTGTTCCCGCTTCCGATGTCGAGATGTGGGTTATCGACACCATCCGTGCCGGTCTCGTTGAGGGCAAGCTCTCCCAGTTGAAGTCTGAGTTCCTCGTTCACCGTGCCACCTACCGTGTCTTTGGTGAGAAGCAATGGTCCGAGGTCCAGGGCCGCTTGATGGTGTGGCGCCGCTCCCTCGAGAACGTCCTCACTGTCATCCGCTCCGAGCGTGAGCGTTTCGCCCGTGAGGGTATCCAGTCCCCCGCCGACCAAGAAGCCGCCAAGGGTGACAAGAACCGCAACAGTGACCGCCGACGGAACCAGCCTACACGCGAGGTTGAGGTCTCTGCCGAGTAAATTTGATTCCCTGGATTCTGGATGCAACGGATGTTTTTTTTTTACGAATGAAAAAAGCTCACCGAACACAAAAATTCTCAGTTAATAGAGAGGAAATTTCGCGGCCTTTTTTTCCTCATGCATTTCCTTTTTGGCCAGTTTGGGGTTGGATATTCTGGCCTCCCTATTTTTGGGACCCTACGAGCCATGTCATGTCAGTCTTAAGTCTTGTTTATGTTTTCCGGAGGGATGACTTTTCTTTTGTTCTATTTTTTACTTTGGTATAAAGAATATCATACTTCTTTAGACTGTTCTGGTGTATGTATTCGACTATCAACCCATTGATATGTATCAATGCTATCAAATATCAAGGATTGTCCGCAGTCAAGTCCAAACACATGGTTCAATTCATCTATAATCTATTTCCAGCACGAACCCAAAATCAGACCACTCAGCAGATCAACATGAAACATCCCAGTCAACCCCTTCATCCTAACAAGACACAAATTATGTACAAGACACCAACCCCTTAACGAGGAGAGATACCACGAGCCTCAATTCCAGCCTTGACCTCCTGATAAACGGCGTCAACAGACTTATCCGCAGTAACAGTGACAACCTTATCCTTAGCCCGGAAATCGTCAACAACAGGCATAGAAGTCTCGACAAAAGTACGGAACCGCTTGCGAATAGACTCGGCATTATCGTCAGCCCGACCACTAGTCTCACCACGCTTCAGCAAGCGGGTCTCCATGACCGCCTCGGGACAATCAAGGAAAAGGACAAGCTCCGAGGGACAGACAGTCTCCTCGAAGAAAACGGCCTGGTCGAGCTTACGCGGGAAGCCATCGATCAGGAAACGGGCTTTCGTGCCGGGGGCGGGGGGTTGCTGGCGAGCGAAGCGGCCATTGCGTTGGAGAGCAATGCGACGGTTACTTCCATTGGCACGATCTTGCCTTCGCGGATGTATTCCTTGATCATCTCGCCATATTGGCTGCCTGAGCGGTCTTGTTCTTCGCGGAGGAGATCGCCGGCGGAGAGGTGGACGAAGCCGTAGGACTTGACTAGGTTGGCGGATTGGGTTCCTTTGCCGCTTCCTGGGCCGCCTAGGAAGAAGACGACTGTGACGTCGTTTGTGGAGAAGCGGGGGGTTGCGACGGTCATTTTGGCTGGTTGTGTTGGTGTGTTGGGTGGTGTACAGTATTAGGGGGAGGTGGAGTTGGAGAGGTCGAGGTGTTGTTTGTGGGGGGAGTTGTCGGTGTGGAGGGGCAGGATCTTGACACGGGTCGGAGTTTGGTGAGCTTTTTTGGATGAGGACCTCCGGTTTGGCTTGGAGGGTGCCTTACTGCTTAAAAGTCCTTGCGGCCTGGGGATTGGCCGGTGCGAGATTTGACGAGGAATACGTAGGCGCCGGAGCTAATTGCGAAGAGAGCAATGATTGGGATAACTGGGAAATTGGAGCGGGATTGAGGTGCGGGTGGTCGTGGCGATGGTCGGGGTGATGGTTTGGGGGCACTTGAGTAGAGGCGGTGGGATGTAGTTCGTACGCCTGAGATGATGGGCTTGGAGAATACTCCGGCGAGCTGACGGGAGAACATTGAGGCTGCGCTTGTGAGTGACGGTTTGGGAGAGGTGAAAAAGGGAGTTGGGTTGCCGAAACGGGATTAGCTGATATCTCTCGATGCGGCTGTTCGGCTTCGGTCATTTGGGGATTTCAAGGGCTTTGCTTCTGGATTTCTGCATAGATCAAGGAATCAGTTTCTCGTCACATTCTTTCTCTGCTGTTGTTTTGGGTAAATGCTGCGTGTGCATGATTCTGTGCCAGGTCCATCTGCATCAAGACTATGAAGATACCATTCTCGAACCGGGCTATAAGGCTTATGCCCGGAGTAGATATCGCTCATATGGTTACATAGTTGTTGTTTTTTTAATTTTTTTTATAGTAAGCATGAAAACTACTACTACTACTACTACTACTACTACTACTACTACTACCGATTACAATGAGCTTAGTTCCCCATTTGCGGCTATATAAGGGTTTGTCAATATCACCGTGCTAGGAAGATCAAAGCCACATGAAGCATCTGTGAACAGGTAATACTATGAATAACAGTCTCTCACTTGAAACATGTACTTACCAAGTCCGAAATACTTACTAAAAATGATGGCAAAAAGGGTACAGCGCTATAGAGAATCGCAATTGATATACCGACGATTTAATAATAGGACTCACATCCTGCAGTGATTCGACCTGTCTTGACTTGCCATTGCAAACTTTTGAAACCAGAAATTTTAGCGACCAAATTCTCACCAGGTCATATACCTTGTCAAGAATTTGCACCATAATGTCTTAATGATGAGCCGCTAGTAGATACCTATGAAGTGTGAAAGATAGATGACTATATCTCGCCGCCCTTATGTATCTAAGAGCTATACCGACGTACCTGAGTAGATCGACATTTCAACACATACAGAGGAGCCAGCATGCATACAGAGAGAAAGCTTTGTATGCCGAAGCCGTGAAACTAGTGTCAAATGTGGGTCGTCAAAGGCTTGTTACGACGTATTCAATATCAGAGTCCACGTATATAGTCGGGTAATGCTTCGAAACGTGGAATATCATGGATGAAGTAAGCGCTTATTTACTCACGAATAGTCTTGATCTTATCAAAGGCAAGGGCATAGGACGCTGGCAGCAGGAATGCCAGAGCTCCAGACATATGCAAAATGACCACAGCAATTGGCTTGACATAGGTTACAACAGGGACACCCAAGTGTTCAAGTACTATCATGCTAGCAAAAGCAATGACCAGTCTTTTGGTGGAGATCAAGACTTCTCTGCGTGCCCATTGGAAATCGTGTCGGCGCCGAAATACAGTAAGCAGGTGCAAATCGAGTAGCAGACGGCCCCCAAACATGATGGCAAGGAATTTCCATGGCTGTATCATGAGTTTTGGAGCGGTTACCACTTGTCGCAAGCCCCAATTGATGCAAGTTGCAGCTTGTACCACTGGTGAAGCAAACCAAACATACCGGGGGGTCCGCTTGGTCTCCATGAGGCCGAGAAGGTATACCTAACGATATTTCCAGTGAGCTTAGCCGCAAACATGCAACATCGGTTCTCTAGTAGGAGTAAGAGAAAGAGATACCCCACCTCCCCAGTGATATGAAGCAAGGGGCTCAACATCGACCATCGGATAGGGACTAGCTTTATAAGCCCAACACCAATAGCTCCACTGATAGCGGCGAGAAGCACATTTTGCGTCCAGGAAAGATCAAACAGACACAAGTTTGCACTGTAGTTCTTGAGGGAACTACGCGATGCCGCCATTCCCCGAGCGGGAATCTGCCTGTGAAGTCGATTGGTGAAGAAAATCGAGGATGTATAAATGACGCAACACAATAGACATGTAGCACATTGGGTCCAAAGCGTGCTATTCTGGAGGTCTTGCAGCAATAGTACTGCACCTGGAACGAGTGCAGCTAGTAGTGTCATACGCAGGCTAATGAAATAGTGAAATTGTTGGATCAGAGACCGGTTGAAGTTGATTACTATTGCAAAAGCATCGACACCAGCCATTAGTTGCAGAGCGAACCATATATCAAGACAAGTTAGAGCAGTGGGAGTTGGCTCATCGATGTTGCTGTTATTAGCAACGATGGCATGGGTCTCGTTGCCGAAAGTATTTGCAGAGTCGAGTTCTGGCCTCCATAGCTGGGTTTGTTTGAATAAGAGTGTTGTCCACATGAAAAAGGCAAGAAGACCTCCTAAGAGAAGAAGCCAAAACTTGAGCATGCAAGTATGGGTGACATTCCAGGACATTAACACGGTTGAAACAGCAAGATCAATAGCACCGCTATCCTTGGTCTCGCCCAATTTGTCTTCTTCTCTTTCTAGGCATTGTGGGTCACGAAAGTCTGCTAAATAAATGAAGAGTTAGATTCATTGTCTGTGTTGAGGAAGAATTGCAAGGTAAATAAAATCAGAAATACGTACTCGAGTGCCTGTTTTTCATTTCCACGACTTACTTAATACTTATCTTGAGATATACAAGCCTCTCAAACAGTATAACGATTTGAATCAGAAATACAGACAGTTCGCAGTCGAGTGGGTTTCGAATGGGGTCGATGTTACCCAGGTGTTTCTTAGATCAAGCAACTGTCACAGGGCTGACTGAATCTTGATTGAGAAACAACTCTTTCTGGAAGATAGCCCGCGGCAGAGACAAGAGCGATATATAGAGATCTTTTATATGTTCATGGGGCAAGATTTCGGGCAGAGGCAATATTTTGATAAATCGAGCCCCTTCAATATCCCGGTGCATCAGTATCACCATTGTGACTCGATTTTTGGAACGACTTGAGCCAGCTAGGTACTCGAAACTCCGAATAAAACTCCGATCGGACTTCGCCGAATATTCATACGCGAGTAAGTTGTTCTCAACTACAAGACTTGATTCATTGAGAATGTTGATCCGGTCTTGTCTGTAAGGCGTCATATACGTCACGAGGAGGATTGTTTGATATTCTCTATGCATATATCAAAATTAGAAACAATTTTTCTTTTGATATCAGCTTGGTATTGGTGACAAAAGCAGGTTTGGTTTCAATTTCAGTACAAATGAACTAGCTGGATTAGTCATTTTGAACATATCCTAGGATAAGACTGAAAATATCCGCAGGAGTAAGATAAATAGGTGGATTTCTCGTGTTATGGAGACAGTGCAGGGTAGAGTATTTGTCAAACTTGAATACTTGAGTCTGAACCTTACAATCCCGATAATCGTTTACAAATGAACTGTTCAACTGTATAAACCATGTTCGTGCATTCAAAAAATTGAGATTGGAGAGAAAATGGAACGCATTGGCCAGGAACTGGAAATTGAATGCTGAAGGCGTAAGTTTGTATTTTGAGCTTAGACGGAGTAGATTTGGTTCCGGTTGGATGAAACGGTCAAGGCTTGACTCATTTTTGGGGGTACTTCTCAGCCTTATTTACCAGGAGACAACGTAGATATTACAGGTTTAATTAGAACGCAAAAAAAGGTAATTGAATCATAGGTGATACAGATATCAGTACGTGGATTTCCGCATAATGGGGACCCCAGGTTCAAGTGGTTCGAATCGCGTATAATGTATGCCACAAATGAGAATTTAAAGATTTTGCACGAGGTTAGCGATCAGGAGAATGAATAATGATTACCCTGAAAGCCTTTGGGAAATAATTTTCAGGCCATTATTACAGTCCCCTAATTTACGGGTTGTAATCATCAAGAGCCACCATATCCCTCAGCCTAAGTGTGATTATTGATTTTATAGTAGTTTCTGATAATTGGGGTTCAAGATAAGTGATGCAGAGTAACGGCTCATGCAAATATGAGCCTCTTGGGGTTCATAACTGTGAGCTCGTGGATGGTTTTATTTCCAGGGATTTCATTGCCTTACGCATTCAATGTTGCAAATCAGCTGTTGGGCTCGGACGAGCGGCTGTACAACACCCTCAAGAGCGTATACCCACCATTAGTAATAATTTGTTGGAATTTCTTGGCCATTTGATATTAAAAAATGCATGTTTAGAGCTATTGTAGCTGATCATATCAATTATTTGCTATTCGTTTCATGATCAAAGCGACAAAGTTTTAACGGTTTATTCAACGTGAGAAGCCTGGGCGAAACGGTTCCTTAACACTGAACTGGGAAATATTTCCTTTTTCTCAGAATGATGAATACCTCAAAGAAAATCCGATTTAAAGAACTATAGGTCCACCAATTTCATTTCTCTACTCAAGCTTAATGATGGAAATCCGATAGCTGGGCGAGAAAACCGAATCCTGTAGCTTCCATCAACTTTTTAGCCTTGAATGAAGGGATTTCGAGCTTTCTAAATGCCAAAATGTACTGATGAGTATCTCTATCAATGTTGTTGGGGCAATCAGACTTATAGCATATTATTGTCAACTTTCTTAACGGTTCCATATGGCTTGCTTCTTGCTTCCTTGGCCTGCTGGGTGCCGTTTCCATCATCGAAAGAATCATCACGCTCTGAACGTTGCAAGTCGGTATTTGATGAAGTCCACCACATTTTGATTATATTTTTTGACATAGGTATGATGGGCGGCGTTTCCATCTGCTGGGTAGGGCGAGCAGCATTGTTCATCGCCATAATCGCAATAGCTATGTAGAGAGCTGCCGAATGGATCACACAATGCGGCATTCATACGAGGAGTCAGCTTTAAATATCCATGTTAGATTTGGCTTTTTTGTCGAGTTGAGAGAATTGTATCATGGCAATACTCACCCCTATACCGAGCGTACAATTCCCCGCATTCCAGGGCATTCCGGGCAGGTATGTTTCATCGCCATATGCAATGGCAGCTATGACTAAACCAACGATAAGCCTTTGCAAGTTCGAAACCGTCGTTATGTCTTACTTGACTCGTTGTAGCTTGGCTCAATGGGAGCGACGAAGAGAAACCCAACCTGGCTGGTTCCGCAAATGGCATCCATCATGACAATCGCGCCCTAGTTTAAGGTTAGTATACCGTGCGGTTGAGATTCCTTGAGAATGTCCATGTGTCATGGATTTGATTGTAAGCGCACCAGTGAATAGCCAACTACTACAAACTTAGTCTCAGGGCAGCTTTCGATATACTCCTCAATAAACTCTTGCATCAGAACTGCGCCATCGTGGACTGTGAGCCGCTTGGCATCATTGCTCAGCACATTCGCATGATCGTATGGTAAGCCAACAGTGGTTGAGCCCGGGATCTGCTGGAGAATCAGGTCTGAAAGTGTGCTCATCACGTTGAAATCGTCGCCGCCACCTTGGCCCCGCGCTATTATGGCGTGAACCCTCGCACATTCATCCGGCTGTTGCGCATAAGACTGTCTCAAGATCAGGCCAACAAATGCCCAGAATATTTGGGCAAGCACGCCTTGCATTTTGGGTCGAACGGCACAATTGAGATTGGAAGTGATTTGCGCAAACAAATGCCGCACCATTTGAGGTCCTTTGCTCGCCGGGTCTTATTCTTATTGCTTCCGCAGACTTGCAGTCGGTTGAAATATGTTGAGTTCTGATGAAGTTTGTTGAAGTCTGGGAAGAGTGTTTGCCTGCTGTCGCCCTTGGTCTATTAGCCGCTGTTCTCTACTAATGCCCCGATGTAACACCATCATCTCAGAAGCTGGCCAGGCCAGGCCACGGTCTCTTGAGTCGGAACATCATTGGGACCTGAGATCCTGGTGAGTCTTATCTAGAGGGCTGTTCTAGCAAGTAATGAAAGGTTTGGTGTTGGCATTTCGGGCAAAGTCACATGGGGTTGCCAGACCTAAATGAATGATCGGCGGTCTTGCAGATCCACTCAACTGCCACCCCATTGTTTTAGGCCTATCAGCTTGGATTCAATATTGGAGCTCTGTCTTGACGTAAAACGGCTGAGCTCTAGGCGCCGAAAGTTTCTGGACGGTAGTACACCCATGGGACCTACCAATGTGTTGGTAGGATCCACGATAGCAGGTTTCCCATTGCGACACGGGCATAGCCAGATTCTGCTGCTTGGGCCTGAAATCGCGACTTGTGAGTAACACACCATCGCAAAATTGAGCGAGACTCTGGAAATGGTATGATAACATTTGGATTGTTTATGAGTCGAAACCACACTATCTACCATATCGCCGTTGAAGAATCTGGAACCATCGGCTCCGACTTTTGTATATTCTACAGCGGTCTGTTCTGTCGCACACAGGGAGCTTGGTGCTTCCCGAGGTTTTCTCATTCTTTATCACGTTTCGTAGGCCCTATCAATCAAATCCCGGACCGCATTTCCCAACTCTGTGATCACTTTGCCAGACCGAGGGATGGTGTGGCCGCGTCCAGTATCAAACAGGGCCGCGCTATCTGGGTCACACACATTGAACAGTGCTAGCGCGCCGTATCGGTAAGGGTCTGTTTGAAGTTCAGCGGATAGTGTGCATGATAGCGAAGGGATAAATTACCATCGGCACCAACCACATGAAGTGTGGGCACATCCAGAATTAGGTCGCTCTCGTCTGCCAGGACCACCTCATCCTCAGGTGAAAGAGGAGGCCATCCAGTGATGAAGACTCCACACTTGATCTGACGGACACGGCCAGTTTCTTGTGCCTTTCTCTCTTCGTCCATGATGAGACTGGCAGCCATAGTAGCACCCTCACTATAGCCAATGACACCTGCAATATCAGGATTCTTCTCCAGAATATCGTAGAGATAGTCCATGACCTCCTGGTGGTTGTTCCATTGACCATCCCAGCCTTCACCCAAAGTTCTCATGGCATCTTCTGGGCTCTGACCATGCGGAGCCTTTCGAACGCGGGATATCATGGAATCCTCCGCGACTCCATTGTCTTCAAGCCACCTGAAATGCGGACCAATACCAAAATACTCCGCAAATCCTAGGAGTTTATAAGACTAGGGTGTTTCATTCCAAGCTGTGTTGTCAAAACGTACCTGCTGGGGGAATCACGGGGACGGGGCCCATGATGTAGTGGAATTCAGCAGAGCTGTCCATTGACATCTCCTTCTCAAGGGGAGCTAGCTTGACATGAGTCTTAATATTGTCGTCAATCTCGTGGGAATTTACCTAGCTGGATGCTAATGTTCTGCGAGAGTCAGTACAGGATATTTCACGATTCGATAGCCAACCTACATCAATATTGCCAATGGCACCATGGAAACAGAGGAACTTCATTGTGCAGAAATATTACAACAAGAATAATGTGACGGATAGAAAAGAAGGAAGAGGCCGAGCAATATAGGGTTGACCAAGAGTGCAGTTGGAAGATAAGTTACCGTCGGGCTGTACAGATGCCGTAAAGCCATGAAACCACGGGATTCCCACCGAACTTCATTTTGCGTCACCATCTTCTCCTGCAATCAGTTCAAGTCCCTTTTCTCTCCACAGGCGCATGTGAAAATGGCCTCGATTTTGGATGTGAGACACTCCAAACCACGGTCGAAGTTACGAATAACCACCGACCCAATGTTGACGGGGCGTCGTTATCAGTCTAGACGTGTGGGAAGGGCGATCCCTTCTTGTTCTCGCCAGCTCAAGGTCCTGAAATAAAGAGCTTCAGAGGAGCTGTACACCCCCATAAAACCACAAGACAATGAGACCGAGGCATTTATGCGCTATATAAGCCGGCATGACCAACCGGTTTCCCCGATGTCCATGCGACTTCAGGAGCTCATCTAGACTCATTTCAATTCTCACATTCTCTTATTATGACCAACATGAACGGTAATAATGGCTCTGAGTCTGCTCCTAACGGTGAAACGAGCACGCCGGAGCCCATTGCCATCATTGGGTATGCCTGCCGGCTTCCGGGGCAGGTCACGTCTCCCAGTGAACTGTGGGAATTATGTACCCGAGCTCGAAGTGGCTGGTCTCCCATCCCCAAAGATCGATTTTCTCTTGATGCATTTCATCATCCCAACCCGTCAAAAGTGGGCGCTTTCAACCCGGTGGGAGGCTACTTCCTAGATGAAGACATTGCGCGCTTCGATGCACCTTTCTTCAACGTCACCGTCCAAGAGGCGACGTCCATGGATCCTCAGCAGCGTCTACTGCTGGAGTGCTCATTTGAAGCTTTGGAAAGTGCTGGCATTCCCAAAGAACATCTTGCGCGCCGGAACGTGGGCGTCTTCGCGGGTGGAAATTTTGCCGATTACGAGCTTAACAACATGCGCGATATCGAAACCATTCCTATGCATCAAGCCACTGGCTGTGCTCCCTCCCTTCAATCTAATCGGATTTCATACTTCTTTGATCTATCAGGGCCCAGTATCACTGTGGACACAGCTTGTTCTTCATCCATTGTGGCGCTTCATTATGCAGTACAAAGTTTGCGAAGTGGAGAGTCAACGGAAGCCCTAGTTGCAGGATGCCGCCTGAATGTGGTTCCAGATCTTTTTGTTTCTATGTCCATGTCACAGTAAGTAGATCTATGCCCTCATGTTCTGCTTATTCTCTTGGTCGCATCTCTAATTTCTGGGTACTGCCTAGACTATTTAATGACGAGGGCAAAACTTACTCTTTCGATGAGAGAGCCACTTCTGGATTTGCACGTGGTGAAGGTGCTGGAGTCGTCATTCTCAAGCCTCTTGGAGCCGCAATGCGTGACCGCGACCCTATTCGAGCAGTCATTGCCAACTCTGGAATCAACCAAGATGGGCGAACAAAGGGTATCACATTGCCCAATGGTGAAGCCCAGGAAAATCTCATTCGACGCGTATACCAAGAGGCCAATTTGAATCCTGAAGAATGCGGCTTTGCGGAGATGCACGGTACCGGAACAAAGGCTGGCGATCCAATTGAAGCAGCAGCTATTCATGCAGCTCTCGGGAAGGGACGTACTCCGAGAAATCCTCTCTATATTGGATCTGTGAAATCCAATATTGGTCATTTGGAGGGAGCAAGTGGCATCGCTGCAATTATAAAGGGAGCCATGATGCTTGATCGAGGGCTAATACTTCCAAATGCCGAGTTTCGCAAGCCCAATCCTAACATTCCCATGGATGAATGGAACATGAAGGTCTTGACTACCACTCGACCTTGGCCTCCTCGGAAGAAGTATCTGAGTGTTTCTAATTATGGTTTTGGAGGTACAAATGCCCATGTTGTTCTTGAGAAAGCACCACTGGAATCTAAGGCACCAACCGAGGCAGTCGAGGATGTCGAGGTAGACCCTAAGCGCAAGCTCTTCCTGATATCTGCCAACGATAAAGAGTCTCTGCGGCATAGAATCAAAGACTTCGGGATTTACTTCGAACAGCATCCTGAAGTCTTTGAGAAAGCTCTCTTTGGCAATTTTGCTTACACTCTTGGCAATAAGATGTCCCATCTCTCCTACCGCGTGGCAGTCTCAGCGACCTCGCTGGATGAGCTTGGCATGCGCCTTGCTCAGCTGAAGATCAACCCATTCTTAGTCCTCGGTACTCCAATTCTGTCATTTGTATTCACTGGCCAAGGAGCTCAATGGGCACAGATGGGTATTCCTCTCATACATGAATATCCTGTCTTTGCATCTGCCATCGCAAGAGCCGATATATGTCTACGTGAACTCGGGGCGGAGTTCTCTCTATTCGAAGAGCTAGAGAAAGATACTGCCATATCCCAAATCAACTCTCCACATCTGAGCCAGCCGGCTTGCACAGTGCTTCAGATTGCACTTGTCAATCTCTTACAGTCTTGGGGTATCCGACCTTCTTCGGTGGTCGGCCACAGTTCTGGAGAAATCAGTGCTGCCTATGCCGCAGGAATATATGATTTGGAAGCGGCCGTGGCTCTTGCATATCGCCGAGGACAAATGACAACCCTGCTCAAGGCCAAATTCCCAACTTTGAAAGGTACCATGATTGCTATTGGTGCTAGTCGTGATGACATCCAGCCCATGTTGAAACCACTTCCTGGATACGCCACTATCGCTTGTGTCAATAGTCCCTCAAGCGTTACCGTCTCAGGAGATTTACCGGCAATTGAGAGCCTCGAGCAGATCTTGCAACACAAGCAGATCTTTAACCGACGACTGAAAATTGACGTCGCCTATCATTCTGATCATATGAAGAATGTAGCTGATGCATATCTTACTGCTATTCAAGATATCCAACCTTCTACATATGCTACAGCTGCATTCTACTCTTCGGTTTTCGGTCGTCTTGCAGAACCCTCAGAGCTCGGTCCAGCATACTGGGTCGCAAACCTGACATCGCCAGTGTTGTTCCCAGATGCTCTTTCCAAGATAGTGTCGGATGATGAGACACGGCCAAATCTTTTAGTCGAGATTGGTCCACACTCTGCCCTCAAGGGTCCTATAATGGATACCTTAAAGAGCCTGGGTCTCATCGCGTCAAAGATTGGATATACTTCCACAATTCTCCGTAACGTGGACGCAGCTGAGTCAATTCTCGATACCGCTTCGGATGCCTACGTGAGAGGTGTCAATCTCAATATGACTGAGCTCAACTTCCCCAAGACCGGTGCTGAGAATCGCTGGTTCTTGACCAATCTACCTCGCTACCCTTGGCAACATGGAACACGGTACTGGCATGATGCACGCATTCCCCAAAAGCATATTACGAGAGATCGTGCCAGAAACGATATTCTGGGTCTGTTGGCAAATTATTCCAATGACTTGGAGCCAACATGGCGCAACATCTTGCGTTTGGATGATATTCCTTGGCTACGGGATCACCGAATGCAGGGCATTCCCGTCTTCCCTCTGGCTGGCTATGTAAGTTGCTCGCTATCTATTGATAACGGCCATGCATACTAACAGAAAACAGCTGGTCATGGCCATTGAAGCTAGCCGTCGCGGTGCTGAGCAGCATGATATCCCATTTACTCACTTTGAACTTCGAGAAGTGATCGTTGGCGCTGCTCTTTGCCTCAGCGATGATACAGATGCAGAGCTTACTATTACACTTCGACCATACGCCGAAGGTACTCGTGGTTCATCTGATGTCTGGAGTGAATTCCGCGTGTGCTCCTGGAACTCAAAGAGAGCGTGGATCGAGCATTGCACTGGCCTTATTCGAACTTGTACCGCCCAGAAACCACATGCCGCAGCTATTGACAACTTTCCTCATGTCCAAACACGCTTTTTTGAGAATCAAATTTCTAAGGTGAAAGAATCAGCTGTGAACCACACTGATATACCTTACATGTACCAGGTTCTCAGTGATCTCGGTGCTGGCTACGGTCCCACCTTCCAGGATCTTGAAAATTGTTACGCCAGTTCTTGTTCTTCCTTCGCCGATTTGCTTGTGCCTGATACGCAAAGTGTCATGCCAAAGAATTATGAGTCTCCTCTGACTGTCCATCCGTCATTCCTAGATGGATTGCTCCATCTGGTTTGGCCTATCCTTGGACAGGGTCAGGATCGCATGGACTTGGACACTTTGTACATGCCAACAATGATCAAGCAGCTCAGTGTTAGTCGCAATCTTCCAACCACGGCTGGTGATTATGTCAAAGCCTACTGCAATGGAAGTCCCAGTTTGCCAAATCCTAAGCCGACTCATTTTGACTTGTTTGCAACCCATGAAGGCTCGTCAGAGCCTTTGATCACGATGGGAGGTCTCATCATGACTCCCCTCAGGGATGCCAACAATCATCGTGAAGAAGTTCGTAAAGTCTGCTACAGAATCGATTGGCATTCATTGGCTGAGATCGAAAATGTCAGAAATGAGACTCAAGAGTCTAATAGTGAGGCGGCTTCAAATGGCAGTAGTCATGTCAGTGGAGCAAAGGTCACCAACGGACACCTAGAGTCAACCCAGCCCCGGCATTTCAATGGCGATCCTATCAAGCGACGTGAGGTGTTTGTCAGTCATTTCGGGAAGTCCGATGGAACTGCCAATACACTGAGCAGTCTTCTGTCAGATAAACCTGGCTGGAAAGCTTCTGTGAAAACATTTGGCGAAACAAATTTCTCTGACAAACATCTTGTCCTACTTCAAATTGGAGCTAGCTCGCTCAGATACCTCACCGAAGATGTGTTCGAAGATCTGAAAAAGGCCCTGCTCAATGCTCGTTCCGTGCTTTGGGTCTACCGAGCGGATTTTCCAGATGCACAAATGACAGTTGGCTTGACTCGCACTCTACGCTCGGAGACTCTAGCCAATATAGCCACTCTTGGTATCGAGCCTGAAGACATCAAGAGCCCCGAATACCCTATTCTATCAGTTATTGATGCTCTGTGGCCCACTGACGGCACTAAGCCTGTCGCTGACTTTGAATTTAAGGCCAAGGGCTCAGAGCTGTTCGTTCAGCGTATTGTCGAAGACGATGCTGCCAATGCATTTGTCCACAATGAGACTCACGACATGCCAATCTCAACCCAGCTCTTCATCCAGCCTGGACGTCGATTCAAGATCCAAATTGGAAACCTGGGTGCACTCGACTCTCTCTACTTCGTGGACGATAACCTACCCCCCTTGGGGGAGAATCAGGTGGAGCTTGAAGTCAAAGCAACCGGTTTAAACTTCAAAGATATTGTCGTTACCATGGGCCAGCTTTCACAGCCTTACATGGGAATCGAATGCAGCGGCATCGTATCGAGCGTTGGCACAAATGTGAAGAATGTCAAGGTTGGCCAGAGAGTCATGGCGTTGCCTGAAGGTGCTTTCTCGACCTATGCACGATGCCCTGATACCAGCGTTGCAGAAATCCCGGACACTATGTCCTTTGAGGTCGCGGCTACAATTCCAGTCGTTTTTTGTACCGCATACTACTCGTTGTTTGACCTGGGTCAGCTGCAACCAGGCGAGCGTGTCCTGATCCATGCCGGCGCCGGTGGTGTTGGTCAAGCTTCAATCATGGTTGCTCAAATGATCGGTGCTGACATCTTCGTTACCGTCGGTAGTCTTGACAAGAAGCAATTCTTGATGACTCAATACGGAATCTCGGAGGACCGCATCTTTTACAGTCGAGACACATCCTTTGCTCGTGGTATTCGGAGAGCGACTGGCGAAGTAGGCGTGGACGTTGTCATTAACTCTCTCGCTGGTGATCTTCTTCGAGAAACTTGGGAATGTCTCGCGCCATTTGGTCGGTTTATCGAAATTGGCAAGGCCGACATCACAAAGAATACTCGGCTCGATATGCTTCCATTTGATAATAACGTCACGTTCGCCTCAGTTGATCTTACCAAGGTTGCCAAATTTAGGCCACAGCTGATAAAACGCCTCATGGATGACGCTTGTCGGCTGATGCGCGAGAACTCAGTCCATCCTATATTACCACTTTCCACCTATGCAATCTCAGATATTGAGAAGGCTTTCCGTACTCTGCAGACAGGTAAAAGTATGGGCAAGATTGTTGTTGTTCCTCGAGATGGCGATCTCGTCAAGGTAAGCAAATCGACCTTTCGGAGTATGATATGACTAACGAAGCTAGGCTATCGCACCAAAGACTAGTTCAACTCTTCTGCGCCCTGATGCATCGTATATCTTGATTGGTGGTACGGGTGGTCTAGGTAGAAGTATGGCCACGTGGATAGCCACTAAGGGCGCAAGGAATATTGTCCTTGTATCCCGCCGTGCAGCTATCAATGAGAGAGTGCAGGCTTTGATTGACAGTTTAGCTCCTTTGGGGGTGCAAATCATCGTCAAGGCTTGCGATGTCAGCAATCCAGAGTCTGTCGAGGCTCTCGTCAAGGAAGAGATGAAAGATCTTCCTCCGGTACGAGGTGTGATTCAGGGTGCGATGGTCTTGCGTGTAAGTTGACTATAACATTTAATAATCTCAGTCAATGTGCAGTCTCTGACACTACCCTAGGACATGCTTTTCGAGAACATGTCCCTGGACGACTTTACAGCCGTGACATCCAGCAAGGTCGAAGGATCATGGAATCTACACAACACCTTAATCGACACGCCCCTCGACTTTTTTATTGCTCTCTCATCCGTGGCTGGCATAGTCGGCAACCGTGGCCAGACAGCATACTCTGCAGCAAACGTCTTCCTAGACGGATTCATGGAGTATCGCCAATCCCTCGGTTTACCAGGAACATCAATTGACTTTGCCGCGGTCAGTGACGTCGGTTACCTAGCTGACAGTGACGTTCAGCGTCGCCAGGAAGTCCTGAAAAACATCGGCAGTCAGACCATCGACGAATCCGAGGTTCTGGCACTCGTTGCCGCCGCCTTGACAGGAGACTTGAACCAGTCCTGTGTCGGACAGTGCATTACCGGCCTGGCATTGGACTCCTTGGATAATAACTTTTGGATCCAGGACGCCAAGTTTAGCGTACTTTACGAAGCTGCTAAGGGCCAGCCCGGAAGCAGCTCTCAGCGAGATGGACCCTCTGTCCCGCTGCAAGTTACTTTACAGGCTACGTCGTCTAAGGAAGAGGCTTTGATTGTGTGCTATGAAGCGCTGGCCGCTAAATTAGCACAGGTCCTTGTCATCTCCTTGGAGGATATGGATCCTTCGATTACCGTGGCTTCATTGGGTCTTGATTCACTGGTAGCCATTGAGATTCGAAACTGGATTGCTCGGGAGGCCAATGCTAACATTCAAGTCCTGGAGCTCTTGTCCAGTGGGACTTTGATGGCCTTGGCAGAGATTATCCTGAACAAGTCTCAGGCTTATACCTCTTCTTAAGAGGTAGTTTTGGCGATATACGTGCCATCGAAGGGTAGATTTCCACGTGTTGTTTCTTTTCTCTAATCTTTAGTATACAGATTGTTTTTCAATAAACGGACTTTGCTATGTTGACCATTTTTGCTGTGCTTGAAAATGCCCTGCCATGATGCAATAATTCCGAACTCCACACGCGGAACCGGTTGGGGATCGATCCGGGGACTTCGGTAAACCACAGCGTGGACAAAGTAACATTACTGTAGACTGCACTGCCAAGAGGTGAGCCACGCAATAACTGATCTCAAAGATGTCTTCTCCCAATCACATTCGAAGTGAAACGCACCAACTCCATGCTTGAAGAGATCGGCGTCATCAGTCAGCGGCTGTAAAGTACCGAGACGGCCTCTGATTAGCCCTAACATGACCAGCCCAACACGCCGGTTAATCTTCGGATTGCCCCGGCATGCGTGTAAAGTACCTTTTCTAGGCGACAACTTGACTTCTCCTACTGCCAAGTCGGTCTATATCCGCCGCTATGGTATATCCGACCATCGCACCCAATGAGCTCGCCTCTGTTACGCTTCCAGGCTATATTATTTGATTATCTGGTTAATGATCGCCGCGGTGTTCACTAACGATCTTGAATTTGCTCCATAACCCCATAATTCTTGCAAGGTAAATCCTTCTTCACGATGAAACCATTGACTTGGAAGCACAGTCTAAAGCCTGCCAAGTCTCAATTCTCCAGTGGCTTACGCAAAAGAGGTACGACAAGATAGATATCTCAATCAAGAGGAGGATACACTCTCCAGGACTCTTTGTCACGTATAAAGTCCCCGTAAACCCCAAGCCAATCTAGTCCCAAGAAGCCCAAGGCCCTCCCAACAACAATGCACTTTACAAAGCTTCTCGCCGCAGCAGGCATTGCCACATTGGCAACAGCCCACCCAGGTCCTCACCACGAACCAAGCAAACGCGAAATCTCCCGCCGCAGCAACCTCTCAGCTCGCTGCGCAGATCACGTCGGCAACTACAACGCTAGACGCATCAAGCGCAACCTGCACAAGCGTTTCCCAGGCGCAACAACCAACACAACCTATCAAATTCAAACGGAGGGAAACTACTATAACGCCATCCAAAACGACACCTGCGTCCTGACACCCGAGGTCACAGAAGGACCATACATCTGGCCGCAGTCGCAGACCCTCCGTCAGGATATGACCGAGGACCAGCCCGGTGTCCCGCTCTGGCTTGATGTGGGCGTTCTGGACATGGAGACCTGTGAGCCACTGGAGGGTGTGCTGGTTGATTTCTGGCATTGCAATGCTACGGGTTCATACTCTAGTTTCACGGGACTGTCGCCCAACACTCCTTTTGAGGAGTTGCTGGACCAGCTGAATGTCACCGACATGGCGACTGCCGATTTGCATACTGACGACACGACTTTCTTGCGTGGAATGTGGCCTACTGATGAGCATGGCATGATGGAGATGAAGACTGTTTTCCCTGGTACGCTTTTCTTCCTTTTTGGGGTTCTATCTTGGGGTGGTTTCAATGTTAACAATCGCAGGTTTCTACATCCAACGCTCGATTCACATCCATGTGCAGGTTCACACGGACTGGACTATTCGCGGCAATGGTACTGTGGCTTATGGTAACACCGTCAGCACCGGTCAGGTCTACTTCGACGAGCCCTTGTCGGAGAAGATCATGGCTCTTGAGCCGTATGCCTCGCACACTCAGATCAACCGCACGACCAATGCTGCGGATAGTATCTTCGGTAGTAGTTTTGCCAATGGATATAACCCTGTTTTCTCTGTTGTTCCTGTCGATGGGAATGACGTTTCCAAGGGTATGATTGGGTATATCACTATTGGTGTTGACAAGACTGCTGTTGAGGAGTAGAATTGTGTTATTTGTTGAGACATACGCCTGGAATCAATGAGTAGGGTTTCTTTTTGATTGAGTGATTGAATTCCCAATTTTAGCATATATGAGTTGGTTAAACATATGTATCTGCGTTCCTAGAGGTAATATATATTCAGTTGAGAGATAGGCACCAAAATTGAGATGAGCGGATTTAACAAAATTGGGGAGTTTCTGCGTTTCATATAAATACTTAAGTCTATTGACAATGGAAAAATTGAAGTTTCAACCCGAAAATCATGACTTTGTAGTATAAAACAAAATCCTAGATACGGAAAATGAGCTAAACTGCTTGTTAATGTTGTTCTGGCTCATATTGCCATTGCTGTCCGCTTTCTTCAACAAATAGGCCGGCTGGCCCAATGGCAAGGCGCTTGACTACGAATCAAGAGATTGCAGGTTCGACCCCTGCGTCGGTCAATTTTTTTTACTTATAATTTTTTTAATTCTGTCTACCCTCGGGTTAATATCAGAACTCTTTTTTTGCCTGCCGTGTTGACTAGTTTAATTTATTTCCGCCGAATCCACTGGGTGTCAGACCGAGAAGAAGAAGAAGAAGAAGAAGAAGAAGAAGAAGAAGAAGAAGAAGAAGCAGGCAGCTACCTTGACTGGTTGTGCTGCCCTTTTATTACTAGACTCTGATCCCAGAGCTGGAAATACTATATGTCCAGGCTAGGGTGGGAGGACCTTACAGAACGTCGTGTGAGGAGCTAAGTTCGAAACAAGATGCAAAAGCTCGACCAAAAGTTTCCTAGTTCCGACGTTCTACAAAGAATCAATAGGTAGCCAGCTCTATCGATTATTCTATGGCTACACAATCTCAGCAAGGAAACAAATTAGCCGTAAAGATAGAGAGCCAATAGAAAAACCAGATATGCCACCATGAATTCACGAAACCAACGAGGCCGTCAAGAAGACAGGCCGAATAAACTAGATCAAACCGGACTCCGCCCAGCCGGACCCAAAAAGACAGGAGACAACATCGATGAACCCATATGAATTCCAAGAGCCAGAAAAACACCGCGCAAATGCTAGCGAGTCAAGTGCCGAGAAGAGCGCAAAAGTATAAGTTAAAATGAGGAACAAGTCAAATGCCCTCCAAAGACTCCCATCGGGATATGCCCATGCAGAGAAAGAGAAACGAAAGCCACCACGTATCATGCGCCGATGATTGAGAGCCATGGTTGAGAATAAGGAAAAAAAGGAGGAAAGGGAAATCACAACGAAAGGAAAAGCTCAAGATCTAGGCTTAAGATCTATGCTCAGCGTGCAAGTCATACATCAATCATATCAGTCTGATCAGCAGTCTTAGTGCTGAGATGACCTCTCAGCCACGGCCACAGCTACTGCAACCGCAGCGCCGATAATAGCACTCTCCGGCGCGGGGTTGAGGCGGATTGAGGCGCCGGTGCCCGGGTGAGATTCCTCGCTAAGCTGGTTGAGGTAGTCCTGGCAGGAGTCGCGGAAGCCGGGGTATTTGTTGATGACGGTGCCGTCGCACGCGATGGATAGGCTCTTGGGGTTATCCTCGCTTTCAATGACAGTGATTTCGGGTGTTTCCTTGTCCAGGGAGTCATGGATGGAGGTGGAGACGGGAAATTCGGCCTCGTTACGTAGACACCACATACTGTGGATGGCGGTTGCAAGATAGCCTGCTGCGCGGCGGGACACGGCTTGGCAGATGCGGCGGAGGAAGCGGAGGTCCTCGACAGAGGGGGTGTTGGGGAAGGTGTGTTGCTTTTGCAGGAGAACGGCGGAGGCGGAGAGAGAAGCGGAGGAGTCATCTTCGAGGAAGGCAACAATGCTGGTGTCGAAGGAGTACGGTTCGCGCATGGAGTGCGGTAGCTCGCCATTGAATAGCCGGGCAGTCTCGACAGCCTCGACGATGATCAGGCGAACAATCTCGCCCAGGTACCGGCCTGTGATCATGTATTCGAGTGGCTGGTAGTCGGGACGCAAGTGGGTGCGGTTCAACACGTCGTCCCACCGGGTCAAGGGCAACACACCTCCACCGAACATGCTCATCTCGGTGTTGATAATGACGTGTTTGGCATAGTCGAACCAGCCCTCTGGACGAGTTCCGAACTTGGACATGCCGATCTCGTGTACGGGGAAGTGGATCGCAACGTTGGTACCGGTACCCAGAATCAAAGACATGCGAGTCTTTGAATCGACGTAGGCACGTGAAAGAAGAGCCGCAGAGCCATCGTTCACAATAGCAGCGATCTCTACGTTCAGGTTGCGCTTGCGGCATGACTCGTTGATGAGACCACCTAGTTCCTGCCCTAGTGTGCCTTCGGAGCACTTGAAGCCCTTGCCCATGTGAATCACCAAACCACTGCTGTGGGACATCTGCTCGATAGGGAATGACCACGAGAGACCCATCGCCAATGGCACATCGCCACGACCGTACTGCGCACCCAGCTCCTTCAGAGTCGCATCAATTCTTTCGGCCATCCAGTCGAAAAATAGAGTGCCTTCGAGCATTTTCACCGCATTATCAATGTACGCCGAGGACTCTTTGAGAATGCGCACTTCCTCGTCCCGTCCATTCAGTTCGATCAACGCTACGCGGAATGTCGATCCGCCCACATCCAACGCCACAAAGAGACCTTTCTCCGAACCAGCGGGAAGCGCATGGTTGTACGATGGCAACATGCAACATGGACTTGTTTGTAGGCACTCGCGGAACTGCGCGCGGATTTTCTCTGACATGTCGAGCATATTGCGCGTGGACAGCGGTGTGGAGCAGAGGGATTCTACCTCTTCGGCGAAATGATCGAGCTCGCGGCGTCGCCAGTGGGCCCCGAGGAAGGGTCTCCGGCGTCTGTGGGACAAGCCGCGGAAGAGGGAGGGAAACAGCAGCATGCTTTCGAGGACGGAAACCACGTTATGGAAGAGCTCTTGCAACCGGTGCAGCACCTTCACCAGTGGAGCCGACATGATCGGGAGAGGAGGCGATGAGGCGGCGATTGGGAGGCGAAATCGAGGAGGAAAGATCGAGGACGTCCAGTATTACGTTCCTACCTGGAGAACATGGGGGGATAGGACCAAAGAGGAAATCACCACAGGTTATAAGGGTGGCGGGAGGGGAGTGTGTGTGTGTACGGCGGATGTGACACTCCCACTTGGAGTAGTGTTTGGGTGGGTTTGTTCGGGTGGGAGTGTAGCAGAGACAATAATCCCCACAGAGCGAAGAAGAGAAAGTGTCGAGGAAGTCAACCCAAGCATGGATCAACATTGGCCCATTCCAGTGCCCTTGCGGTGTCGCAATGTGTATGGTATTGTCATTTATTACATATCAACTCTCCCGATCCGCTGGATTTAACGGGATTAAGACCGCGTGAAGGATCAAAACAGATGAGTTGAATCTGAGTGTTGATATCTGACCTTTACTTTCCCTTTTTCCCATTCAAACCATCATCTCTGTAGTGGTGGTGGTCAATACATTCTGTATGGTACATACCCAATCACCCCCTTGAGTGCAACGGTGGTAGTCCAAGTTACCGTTACACTCGGAACTTCTCCTCTCTCTCTCTTCCCCTATAAGATCAATCTCTCTTGAAACTGCAGCACTGGATATTCTCCCCCTACTAACTTAATATTCTAACTTACATCGTTGACTTGGTCATGTACGGTGTGTTTGTGTGTGTGGACTGCATTGCGACCCTACTGCGGCAACCTCATTCCCATTCCAAGACCCTATGTCACTTCACATTCCATTCATGTTTCGCCTTTTTTGCCTCGCCTGTCCCAGACTAGCGTCATGGCACACCACGTGCCTATCTATAGATCTACACTGCCATGGAATCGGGGGAAATGTCAATTGCTGACTGCCTTGACCACACGGCCTCCGAGAGAATTATCCTCGAGAAAGACCAGGATCCCCCCCTCCCCGGCTAAATGACGGCTCCATGGGGACTGTCAATCTTCAATCCAAGTGGATCGATGAGACATCGACTCCCATCCCCTCCGGGGGGAACGTAACCCTTGATCCTACCGAGAGTCTGGGGCATTATGCAAGGATCGGAAGAAAATGATTTCACTTGAAATAGGAGGGATGCCCTGGAGACCTCGTAGTATGGAACTCAAAACATGCTCATATCTAAAAACTTGAACTTATCCCTTTGCACAGTGTGCAAGCTGTCCTTGCTTGGAGGTCAATCTAGGTTTGTCTGCGTTGGTTGAGGCTCTCTGCTCCACCAAGCGCCTTAACGATGTTCAGTTAGATCTTCTTGCTCTAGGGTTAGCATGGCGAAGATATCGTCACATCTCTGATGTCACTTCCAGGAATGAGACATTGGCCTTGGAAAATTTACGGTAGGACCCGAGTATAATAGGCATCATATGCGCTCTCCACCCGCGGGCTGAAGTGGGCACTGGGCAGATCTTGTACTTGTTGCATAAACTACTTAGACACGCTTCTGACCCGACAGGTTTATCTGCAACCTTCCAATGTTCCTTTCATGTTCGATGATACAAGTCGACTACAACGTAACGTGCTAGCATTCCTGTTTATCTTATCATCTCGCCCTGATCCTTCCCCCCACGCGACGATCTGCGGGGATGTTGCGGGGAGAAAGACCCTTGGATTAAAATACAGGTTGAGGCATGGACCTTGACGAGAGGACTCCTGGATCGGACGGGCCCAAATTCTCAATGTGCGTGTCAATTTACAAGGAATTGAGCCCATATTTGGGGCTAAGTCATGTAAATAATAGCTGTAACAATATCCCAGTAAGACAAGCAAATTAAAGATTGCACAGCTGCTTATTTGAGGTAAGAAGCACCAACAGGAGAGCTAGAATCAAGGTTGATATGATCTTGTTTGTAAGCCCCAAATGAGCAATATAGGAGGAATTGGGATATCCCCTGAAATGTTGATACCATAAAATTGACCCGGCATGACCCTCGCCAGGAAGAGTATACCTGTATACAGCTGCTACGCTTGGCTCTCCGCTCACCGCTGATCAATCCTCCGCCTTGGCAAAGACAAACCTCGACATGCTCTCCAGTGCCAACAACTCAGATCTACCGGAGAGTACAACAGCCGTCGAGAGTATCGCCTCGAACCCGGACCAGGTCGATAAACTCACCACCCCCGAATCTGCATTGTCAGCAACCCCAAGCATCATGTCGAATGTAGTTACAAGCATGAATGATGAAGCCAGGGGCATCACTGAAGCTGGTCTCGTGTCTTCGGATGTTATTTGATAGTTGGATCCCTCGACACCGGCTTACACTCACTTACCGACCAAAGATCAGCCCCAAACACCAAAATCTACCCAAAGGCTGCGGGCGATGATCCATGCACTATGCCAGAGGAGACATACACTCCACACAGCAATTCGCATCCCAGACTCATTCTTTTTCGGTCACGGGAGAACACCCGTGATCGTTGTGTCAGGCACGGGCATCCCAACCGGACTGACAGTTCACCTTAACTTCGCCAAGTTAGGCGACAGCATTTCCAACCACGCATTGTATATCAGACTCCCTCGGACATCACTGCCTGAGGTACAGGTCAACGACGATTATGTCGCTGATGCCATTGACTATCTCGCGACACTCTGCAGCGAACGCGTAACCGTACGATCAGGGTCATAAGACGCGCCTTAACATGAAATAGGCACGGAAATACTAGCCCTCAACGTGAGCAGCGGTGAGAGTCTTCATTGTTATAAGTACCCCCACACACCGCGCAGCGAGGACAGCGACCCAGCCTACGCTCCAGCGACGAAAGTGTCCTCAATTTTCAACAAGATCGACCCGTCAGGATCTGGATCGTATGCGTGTCTGCTATTCTGGGCGATGAGCACCGCGTCGACGTGACGAATGTTCATCTTCAGTTGGCCTGCGCCACGATCTCCGCTGGCGGTGTCTCTACCCACGAGGTTGTTTCGTGTAACCCCCTTGCGTGAGCCCTGGCCATTGACGCGATCTTGTATGACGAGCCTCCGGGGTTCTCCCGAATCAACCTGGCCCAGTTCGGTCAGCAGGTGCTGGCGACAGCGCTGGACCAGACAGATCTGTTTGAGACTCAGGTTTTGTTGTCGGTTGCCGTGGCGGAGCGCTTGACAAACCTCCTGCGCTTGGGGGAACCTCCTATCGTGGATTACGCGTCTTAGTGACATCCACTTTCTGGAACCGAAAAGGAAAAGTGGTTCGTGGGGTTAGACACATCATTGTCGAGCTTAAATCAGATCTGAGGCGAAGCCTCAGCTAACGTAGACTAATCCATGTTCCAAGCAAATAGGGCCTATTAAGTTGTTCTCTTACAAGACTTGTGAATATGTCGGCACGTCAAGGGTGGATCCGTTAAGACTTCAACTGCCGGCCTCGGAGTGGAATCACCGAAGTCAGATACACAAATTTCCCAAAATCACACAAATCACCAAAATCAACAAAAAAAAGAGAACCACAGAAAAGAACAGAAAAGCGGAAAAAGTTTTCCCTCAGCCGTGTCCATTGGATCTTTCATCTCCTGAAAATGATATTCTGTCCAGGTTCGGATAGAGTGCCAAGACTTCCCCCCTGGATGCTCCAGTTCTTTTCTCTGCTCATCACATCTGCATCGGCTGAAAGGCAAAGCCCAGGTCCCAACTGATTGGGGAAAATAAGCCCGACTCCGAGACGCGCAGGGGCAAAAGCCACGCCATCAGAGAGTCGTTCAGCCTTGAGCCCAAGCAGTGAATGGATCTCTCCAGACAGACTAGGGGATGTCAGATCCAACCAGAACCCAGACTGTGGAACCAATACTATACGGCAACAGAAGATACGAGAGGAGAGGAACTCTCCGCTGTGGACTCGTGTGCTTCTCCACTCGAAACGCCAAGAACTGTTACGTTGACGCTGGGCGCGGCCCTGTGTGTTTTCTTTCTATACCCTTTTTCTCTTAGCCGGTTCTTCTCCCCCCCCCCTTCATTCTTGCTTTTCTCGGTTTCTTCGCTTTTTGGAAGATCTTCCTTCCTATCCATTCCTTCAATTCAATATGCTTTGGGGTGCGCTATTACTCCTTCTCTCGAGTAATGTCGTTGCCGAGCGCCATGATGCGGACTTGATGTCCTTTGTGACGGTAGGGCTGAATACTGCCCTTTTTGACCGTGTTTCTGACATGTGTATAGCTCCCTGAGGTCCGAGCCTTAAAATGGGAGATCACTTACTATGACCGTGAGCGCATGGCCCCGGGCTACATTTTTGTTGCGCCATACGGTCAGATCTCTCCAGAACATCCCACACAAAAGTACCAACAGTACCAAGTCGGTCCTTATATCTACGATGACACCGGCGTATGTAGAGCCCAGGGCCCCAGTCAACATGCAACTGACGTTCCGCGCAACAGGTCTTGATCTGGGCTGGATCGCCCTTGTACGAGAACCAGAATACCTTTGATTTCAAGCCAGTACACAACATCGATAATGACCCGCACCTGTCGTTCATTGTGGGATGGGAATTCGACAATTCGAAGAAGGGCCATGGTGCGATCGTGAACAGCAAATATGAGGTGGAGAAGGAGGTCCAAGTCGTCAATGAGCTTCATGACTTCAACATGCACGAATTCAACATTTTAGACGGTGGAAAGACTGCCTTGGCCTGTACCTACCGCAACCAGGTGGTCAACATGGCTGATTTTGGTCGCCCCACGGAAGAGAGTTGGGTTGTAACTGGTGGATTTGTCGAGTTGGACGTGGAGACGAGTGAAGTGCTCGTCGAGTGGGACTCGTTCGACAAGATTGCCCTGCATGAGTCGAACATGTTCAATGCGTGGGATAACCCTGCCGGAGAGCCCGGTTGGGATTACGTGCATATCAACGCGGTTGACAAGAACGAGGCCGGTGACTATCTGATCTCCCTGCGCTTCACTAACACTATCTATTTGATTTCGGGTCAGGATGGAAACATCGTCTGGCGTCTGGGTGGATTGGAAAGTAACTTCGACCAAGACTTTACCTTCTCCAAGCAGCACGATGTCAAGTTCGTCTCATCGAACGGTACACACCACGTTATCTCACTCCTGAACAACGCCTCCGACGAACGGGGTCAGGATGAGAATGTTTCAGCCGCTTTGATTGTCGAGCTGGACACCACCGTCGTTCCCATGACTGCGAGGGTGGTCCGCCGTGTCAACCGCCCAGACAGCGGCCTCACCCGGCTCCGCGGCAGTGTGCGTATCCTCCCCAACGATAACATCTTTATTGGATGGAGTGAGCGTGGCTACTCCAGTGAGCACGCCCCGAATGGTGATCTCCTAATGACCGCCCGCTTCACTTCCGACCGGTACTCGACCTACCGCTCTTTCAAGGGCGAGTTCACCGGCCGTCCATCTGCTCCGCCCGATCTAGTGGGATCCGTCTACGGAACTGACGACGAGGACACAACAACCCTTCTCTACGTTAGCTGGAACGGTGCAACCGACGTCGTCAAATGGAATTTCTACGCGCAGGCCTACGACCGCGGCGAGCCCGTGTTCATCGGTTCTGTCAACAAGACCGACTTCGAGACCATGTTCATCGCCGACGGCTACATGGACTGGGTTTCTGCCCAGGCTATTGACGTCGATGGTAATGTCATGCACACATCCAAGACCATGCGCACCGAAATTCCCTCCAACTGGAAGAGTGCGGGCTGGGAAGGAAACGCTTCCGGACCTAGCCCCGACGACCCATCCATCATCGCCGCAGCAAACAAGGATCTGGACTCCGACAAAACTTCCGACAAAACCTCAGACAAAACCTCCGACGGCGATAGCACCATTGTCAGCGGTGATGAGTCCTCCGATCTAATCAACGACGGCACCTCGACCGACTCAAGCGGCTCCGGCAGCAAGAGCACGTCCCAATACGCCGATGCAAAAGAAGTTGCCAAAGCAGTATACACGGCCTACGACGTCATTCGCGGCGTCGGCAGCCTCCTAGTCTTCATCCTGGTATCTCTATCTCTCGGCGGTGTAGGCTACGCCATCTGGCGTGTCATTCGCGCTCGCCGCTCGCGCTCATACCAGCACGTCCCTTCCGAGGAGGGCCTTCCCACTGAATCGATTCACCTCACCTCCGCTCCCCGAGACTAAGCCGTTTCGCTGTTTCGTTTTCCATCCTGCATGACTAGCATTGCATATTGTGCCTGATTTCTGCATATAAATCTGCATGTACACCTGCATCTATATCTGCATGTGTATCATTTTGACCACCTTTCACTTTGCAACCTATATCCACTACGACATTGGGTTTACAATTTGGACATGAATTTACTATATACCACGTCTTTGGCCCGAGACAGAAAGAAAACCGATGACCGAAGAGTGAACAGAAGAAAAGAGAGGGATGGCTGAGCCCACTGGTATATATCAACCAGGTCATGATCGTTCCATGCATATCATACCCCCATTTGGCGTTTGTTTTTCTATTCTTGTTACTATCATATTTCCACATCGCCGGGCTGTGCTTGTGTGCGATCTTTGTTTGTTTCCTTTTTTTTTTTTGTCTATTTTGATGGGCTTTCAACTGGGGACTTGAACTACTTACACTCTGTTTCCGTTCTGTTCACATTTCTTGTGTAATATTATTTTTACGGGGTACCTGGACCCTGGGGGCTTATTTCGTTTACTTTCCGGAATCTATGTCTGCATATAATATGAATATATTTGCCACACTGTCGTTTCCGTTTTATGCTGGTATAAACTTCTGCTCAACGGTGTTCTACTGGATTTATCTGATTTCGGGACTGTGTTTCGTCTTTGCCTTACGCTTCCATCTCTGCAGATCTGTGGATAGACATGACGCACGAGGTATTGATTCTCGTTCGCGTTGTTGGATCCACTGCCCTTTCAAGCTTTGTGCTTTAGTTGACACGACGGTACTGTCTGAGGCTTGTTGTAGCTTGGCTTTCAAGCAAAGTAGATTCCTAATCACACATCTGGTATCAACGTTACATCAAACGTAGACCAGCTTTTACATGCCAGCGATTGTTTCGGTTCCTGTTCCCCTCTGGTTTTATGTCCTCTCCCACTCAAAAATGTCTCCTATCTGATCCTTCCGGTTATCCACATCGCTCACTATAGCATATGATCGTCACACCTCCCGTTTCGGAGCGGGGCCAATGGAGTCCGTAGCAGAATTGTGGAGTCGTGGTGGGAGCTAAGCATCAGACAGAGTGGGCGTTGTTCATTGCCATTAGGGATACATTCATGTGGATGGGTGTAATTCGTGTATAAGTGTGTTGATCTATCTCATGTTACTGTACAAGAGGGCCGAATCAAACAACATACAGGAATGGCTATTTTTGGAGTACGTGGCTCGGGTTGACGACTAGTTCGTCCTAACGGAAGGCCGCGTCATTATTGAAGCGGATACTTGGTGATCAATTTTGGAGTCTTGGCTGGTGGTTCCTAGAAGGCTTAGCATATTAAGTTAGGCTAACGTTAGTTTCTGTTTCTGATGTTAGACTGCGTGGGTCTCTGCTGGACAAGGTGAGAACACTGAGCTTGCTTCGGCTAAATTGTTAGGTCAAATGCCTGAGATGATTACCCTGTTCATTCTAAGATCCTACTAAGCATTGGTAATGATGAGAGTTTCATACTTTGACCTTAGACAATGTCTGTTGTCATGACCAGTCAAAACTTGAATTCGAAATCCTAAAAATAGAGCCTATGTATAGCAAATCAAACCACATACCTAGGGTACCGTATGAACGCACTGAACGCCTCCAATATACACGCCCGAACCAACACCAACACTCTAAAACCTAGAAACCTGATCCTTTCTCAACCCAAGCCTCACCAGAATCCCCTCCTTTCCCCACGACCCAGCCAAAGCCTCCTCCATCGCAGGAGGCCCACAAACAAAGACCCTGACATCCCCACCCGTAGTAATAACGTCTCTCAGAAGCTCCTCGGTAACATACCCCTTCCGAACCTCACCATTGCCATCCCCAGTGGAGATCCGCCCCGTAGGATGGCTAACCGTATACAGATACTCAAACCGATCCGGGAACCGCGTCCTAAACCCTTCCAACTCCTCCCGGAGAAGCAAATCCTGTTCGGTATTGACTCCAAACACAAGCTTGATCTTCGTCTTGTCTTCTGGGTTGTTGAGAATCCCCTGCACTAGCTGGTAGATGGGGGTTATCCCCGCTCCACCGGCTATAGCATAGATCTGGGGATATTTGTTCGGGGTCCAGGATTCGCCTTTGATCGCTGCTGCGAATGTAAGGGTATCACCTGGGACGAGAGAGTGGAGGTGGCTGCTTGCTTTGCCGTTTGGATATTTTTTAACCATCAGCTCGATATTGCCCTGTTGATCTGGTATTTCTGTTGTTAACCCTGTGTACTTGTTTGGGTGATGCGGTAGAACGAGACATACCCAGATCGCTGATGGGTGTGTATGGACGTAACACGGGGAACCATCGTCCGGCAGGGCGTGTGATTGTAAGGAGCGCCGCTACAGGGTGTTAGCAGATCCAACTTGGCCATGCGTATCTTTGCTGTGGTGTTCATACATGTCAGCGCCAATCCGCTTTGGGCGTTCTGGTCTGCAAACTCGAACACCAGCCGTTTCGTGTTATGGTTGACATCTTTTGCACTTTGGAGTCGGAGTGTCGTCAGACCAAATCCAGAGAAAACCTTTGGAGGTTCATTCGACTCTGCATGGCTGGTTGGTAGTATGAGCGATCGAGTGCAGTAGGCTCCTAAGCCGAGAACTACAAAAGCCGAGGCGGACTTGGTTGACAGGAATCTCGGAAGAAGGCGAGGTCTAGACATGACAGAAGACATGGAGTTGGAATTCAAGAAGGTCTTTTAAATCAAACTGCCATGCATTTAACTTATACGTGCAGGGCGATGAGGCGATGAAACTCCGCGAGGTAGACGCAAAACCCGTCGTCCAAAATCCGAGCGGATCGGCCAACAGATTCGGAGCTTCATTTTCAGCCGTTGACCGAATTGCCTGATGCTCGGTTTTTGTCAACGTCCGACCGGGTTTAGCGGTTTACTCTGGCACTTTGGGGTAAGTTTCTTTTATGTTGGTACTCAGGCTAATGGTAAGAATTGTCATTGTCTCGTTATGGGTATACCAGCAATATCGCGTTGGCCAAAATCGGTCGAAGTGAAAAATGAATCCATCCGACATGCTTGTGCTCATGGAAGTAAGGAAAAGAAGAGAAAAGAAAAAAAGGAGAGAAAAGAGAAGAGAAAACTCCGCGAAAAGCCCCTGCAGTGCGTCAATTCAGCCTTGACAAAGATCCCATCAAGCCCATTGTTCATTCTTTCTGCGGGATAGAATGAGCCTGCGGCACGAAACTCGCTTTGCCAGTCTTCTCGTTGTAGATGTTATATCCATAGTCGGCAGCATTGGGAGGAGTATACACTGAACAAGCATTTGTGAGCAACGAATACCAACCCGGGGAACCCAAAACTCACGATGAAGAGAAACAGCGACTTGATCACTGCTCGGGTTATAAACGCGATGCAAGCCGATGTCATCAGAGATATAGGCGACGTCGTTCATCACATGTCTCGAATCTGACTTGATTTCCAACGGTCCTGGGCAGTCGGACCCCTGATCAGGAATGTCATAGACGGTCTCTTGTAATGTACCCGCCAGGACCTTCATAATACAATGGGCATTGGCATGATCGTGGATGGGAGAGCCTTTCCCAGGGTTCCAGACGAGAAGGAGCTAGGATGAGATGTTAATTGCCGATGCGTGTGATGATCGTCTCTTCTGTTCTTCTCACTTACGATGTTCGCCTTGTGGTTGATGTTCTCGATTGCATTGCGGGTGTATGCTTTGCTAGGGTCGTTGTAAAAGTATCGAGCCCAGTCGTTCGGGTCTGAGATGTACTTCTTTGCTAGGGAGATGAGGTATTCGTTGTCCACGTCTGTGGAAGAAATACCACCACTCTCTCCGAGGTGGGATTTGATGTCTTGGACTAGATCTTCGAGATTATATTGCGGTGTGTAGTGCTTGTATCCCGGTGATAGACCCGTGCTTAAGGGTAGTGTAGGAATGACAGCGAATGACATGATGGTAGTAGATTGATTGAAGAAGAGTGGAGTGTGTGATGATGGCCGAAGACTGTGAGGTAAACAAGAGAAGTTATAAAGAGAACTACGGTCGAGACATGTTCTGAGACTGAGATCATGCTGCATATTCTCGCATTCCCCTGAATGCCCGTTTCAATCGCCGATTCATCCAACACCTTGCATTCCAGGGCCGCGGACCCATTTTCGTCTGGGCCAACGGTTCTCCAAAGCCTGACCGTTGGTCTTGTCGACGACGCTTTATTTGTGTATTTCTTTCAGGGTTGGCGTTGGCGTCTAGCGGTGGAGTTGGAGCTATGCATCCCCATGTTTACTGTGACGCTTGGCATGTCTCTTTTGGCCATCTTTGGACCATATTCTAGAGTTTTATTTTCAGAACGAGTGTGTTACTTGATTCTCAATTCGAGTTTATGGTTGAGACAGAGTTGCCAGACCAGACCAAACCACGTCTGAATCCAGGTGGTTTGCGCGTACGGGCCAATAACGCCATAGAAAGAATGATAACGCCATAAGTGTACCGCCAAAGTCCTCAAATCGAATTGCGAGGCGAATGTGCTGGTAATGCCATCACAGCTATCAAGGGCTTAGCTGGGGTTTGTATATGATATCTACACATCGGTCCAACTTAAACGGCAAACTATGAGGTAGACAACATGTGCTAAGATTCACCCTAACTCAACTCCGGTTACACCCGGATACTTAGCAAATTCAAAGTTCTACAGTACATGGAGGAATACTGGGTAACACCGCTCCCACATAGTGAAAGGGGTCTATCTCAAGTCCGAGGTGCACGAATGGTATAGATTGCTGATGGATTGGATGTATCCAATCAGAGTCTCGATATAACAAAACCCCAACCACACCGCAACAAAGACACATATCTGAACTGATAGATCGACGTGTCTGGACAATGCAAGTAGCGCCCAATGTCGTAGGACACAACAAAACATACGTACTACTGTACGTGTGCGCGTGAGGCTTCCGACTGGATCGCCGAGCGGGGAAGTTTATCTTGAGAGTGGCCAATCAGCGTCAATGATCGAATGCTCGGTCGGCGACTCAGACTCCCTCGTCGGCGACCGAACGAGTCTGCAAATCGGAGGTTCTGATAGATGTTTAGGCCCCTGCGATTACGTATTGGCAGCATTGATCCCGAGTCCCAAGATGCACTGGGTCGGCATGGCTACGTAGTCAGCTGCTGTTTACTTTGATTGTGAGGTCACTGATGTACATAGATCATATGAAGTGCAGGGACAGTGTCTAGCGCTGGTCCCAGGTATAACCGCTAATTGATATCAAAGTCAGGAATAGCACTGAAGAAGGAGGCATTGTAACAGGTAGGATCGATAAATGCGGAAGTGAACTCTGGCGGGGTGAAATCCTGTCCGTATGGGATGGCGGTGGCTGGGTTTGAGCTTGAGCTCGGTCGTTCCTGTACGTTAGGGGTTGAAACTGCGGGTGTGAATCGATGCAGAGGTTCGGCGTTCCATTTGGCCATGGAATCAGAGAGGATGTCAGATGCGGAGGATCGAAGGCCGTGGTAGACGGACTCGGCTAATTTCCAAGTTCGCTGGGTGCTTTTGAGGCACCCTAGGATGAGGGTGACTCGATTGCAATGGTGGTCAAAGCATTCCTCGGAATGGCTGGTCGAAGTGGCCAGCTGGATGAGTCCACAGAGGGCCAAGGCGGGAATGATGAAAGGAGTGTGTTTGGGGATATTTGGACAGACAGAGATGGAGTCGGAGATTCGTCTGGAGGCCTCGGTCGCTTTGATGCTGTGAACTAGGCGGGTAAATGTGGACGAGAGCTGACCTGAAAGCCCGGGCCAGAATCGCTCGTCAGGCTGGGATTGGGATAATACCGATGGAAAGTCACTGCGAGGGAGGTGTAGGAGCATGGCAGCATATGCGATTGTCAAGTGTGCTTGAAACATCATTTCATCGACGTTTCCATACGAATCAAGAATATCGAGCTTCTTGGGCGGAAGGTGGTTAATCCAGCTCACGAGTGCATTCTCGATGGCCTGAAGATGATCGCGGTGACTGTCTCGCAGTCGATTGAGGACAAGAACACGGCACAGAATGGTCGTGGCTTCAATCCGATAACTGAAAGATGAGAAGACTGGATCTTCTGCAGCAAGGATCCTCCGCTTGAACTCAATCATCATTCGTGGCTTCGTTACCTCACTTCCACTATTATATGCAGACTCCTCGCAGGGCAACCCCACCTCCGGCGAAACAGTGCTGCATCGAAGTGTCGTGGTCTTTAGAGAGACTGCCATGAAAATATCAGTCACATACAGTTCCCACCACGTCCTTCTCATGCTCTCTGCTTCGATGGATCTCTCCGAGATTGCCGATGAAGCGAATGACCATCGATTCATACCAAGCTCTAAAGCAATGTCAATAGCACTAGAGAAGGCTTCTTGTGCTTCCTGCCATTCATCACGAGCACAGAGAGCAATAGAATAGATCAGCCAAGCCTGGACCATGCAAGGTGATCGATCGGGGTTGATTTTCAGTTCGGCAATGACTTGGTCCTTGTGTTGCTGACTGGGGATAGATGCAACATAGTGAGAACCCACAAAGTTCACTGCCATCTGCAGAAAATGAGGGTAGTTCCGATCATTATACAACGAGCTGGGTACTAAGACTGGATGAGCGACATGGAAATTCTCGTAGTACAGTCGGGGTAGTCGCTCGTCGTAAAGAGGAGGTTTACTTGCAGGCTCGACCTGAGCGTGTACAGGAGAATTCCCCGTAATCATCACAGGCCATGGAGCTGGTTCGGTTGAAACATTCAGCACCGTTTGCCTGCCCGTCTGTGGCGTGTTCTCTGGGGTGGTCTGCACAGGGGTAATTGGCACAATGGAGACTGAAGGCTGATATCTGGCCTAAATCAAGATCAGAAAAAATATGCCAAGGATCGCCAAAAGCACTGACATTGGCTTGATTGTGTGGAATCGGAGGACGTTGATATGGTGTTTCATTTCGGGGTTTCTTGCGTCCGCCTCGACGAGACGGTAGATATTGACAGAGCAGCCCATTCTGGACACATCGCGAACACGATGGTTTGCTAGCATCACATTTTAGATGCTGCTTTCTACACTCGGTACAAGCAAGAGATGCAAGACCACTTAGCTTCGTTCTCGTTGTCATGTTCAAGATGATGCAAGGTAAAAGCTTCAAAGCCCGGGGTGGTTCGGCGTTTGCCGCCGGGCGGTCACTCAAGTCCCATTACATCACCTTTCTACCAAACATATCAACAGAAGTCACTGGTATGAATGAATTGCTTGATCTTGTTACATGAGATACCCGAAAGTATGATATGAAACTATTGTCATTAGTGTAATATAGGACATGGCGGACTAGGAAAGCAATCGGGCTACGGGCCAGGCGCCTCTGATAGGCGCCTAATGGCTCTCGATCGGGCGAAGAAACGGCCTGACCGTTGACCCCGTAACAGACAGGAGCTGGTTGCCTGGTACGTAGCAGATTGCTAGCAGACTCAGGTACACCCTGAGAGCATAGACCCTGCACCCGCAAAGATCGGGGTTTTGGTGAGTTACTAAGCGAGAACTGATGATTCATCCGATTCATTAGAAAGCCAAGAGTTTGATGCCATAGTAGAGGTTGAATTAGAGGTAAATTTTGATGTAAAAGTTGATGTAAATTCCAATACCCAAAAGCGCTTAAATCTAGATGCCGCTGGTGGATTAGTCAGATTTAAGTATGGCTTCAAGTTTCTAGATCAGCTTCCCTCATAATGGCTTCCACCGGTGACCGTCCTCGTCTGCCAGAAGTGAAAGCTACACTTGAAGCTGCCCGTGCGCGCGGAGCTGCATACCACTCTACGGAAGCGGTCATCTTTTGTTTTGAAAGTGACAACACCGGCGCGAAGGAAGATGCGCAAACGCTTGTCTGGTCCCTCAACGATGATGTCTTCGACATCCAGCCAACTACGGTGAAGCTGGAAGCAACCGATCAACTTCCTGGACTCACTCTCATGAAGACTATCAACGCCATTATCGAAAAAAATGAATCTACCCGGTCACCCACTACCGTCGCTTCTCATTCTTGCATACATCGGGCACGGTGTTCTTGATACCGCCAACGGCCTCTTGAAATTTGTTCATGGCTTCGGCCGGCAAAACATTCAATGACTGTATCTCCACAATAGTTACTTCAGCTCGAATTACCTCACCACCAATCTCGACATCCTGGGTATTCTGGACTGCTGCTACGCGGGAGCGACCCGCCAGAAGACCGAGCGGACATGCCAAGTCATTTCCGCATGTGGCCCAGACGAGACAACTTGGTCGCGATACGATGGTATTGCATCATTCACACGGCGGTTTTTCCGTGCAGCCAACAATCTCAGCAAGACTAAGAGGCCTTTTACTACGCAGTTACGCGTTGAAATAGTTGATACTTATGAATCAACCTCAGTGCTCTTTCTACTACGTATGCCTCATCCAACGTACTTACGGTTGTTCTCTACGGTGGAATTTTGCTTCATTGGAACGATTCGTGGTCCCTCCCTCGTTAACCTAGACAAGTACTTTTAAAGACTAATTTAGAATTGAATTCACTAAGACTAACGATCTATAGATGACCCTCCCCAGTCTATTCTTATTGCCAAAGAAACCCCTCGTCCTAGTTCTCAAAAGTGAGGATTCCTGTCATCCGTGGCTTAGGAGAGGCCAGAGAGTAAATAAGAAGACGGGCAGTCCGGAGTGGTGTGGGCTAGACCAATACCTTGCTAACCAACGCTTTACTTTCTAACAAACAACGGTTATACACTCACGTCTATGGTCCGCCAGTCTAGCAAAAAAACAAAAACAAAATAAAACTCTTTTTACCCACATTATCTTTTTCCTTATACCTCTCCACATTATCGGTCCTCTACGCATAGATCGTGTGACACGACGGGCTATTACCCTTGCCTAGCAGTTTCGGAATTATCGCAATGAATTAAGAAGAGTTCCCCTTACGGGGTCTCTAACACGATCGTAGTTAAACGAATTCGACTAAGGAGTCAGCAGTCGTATTACGGCCGTCCTTATAACTATTAAGACCACCACTAACTACGGCTGTTAAGGACCTAGTAACGGAGATATATCGAACCAAGATCTTTAGGCTCTGATTTGCCAACTCGATAGAAATGCTTCGTAGAATATAGCATACCTCAAGACCATGTGTACTGCAGAATTGCCTCGGTTAATTTACATGTCCGTAGAGGCAGCCACATCATTTCGCTTGGAAGAAGAGAAGGCACTTGGATCCCAATAGATCCCATGTAAGCCTATTTAGATATAATTAGGATACAGCTCGGCGAAGATGACATCCATTCCCTGCAGAGGTCACTATCAAATGATATACTTCCGGGACCAGGATAGCGCTGCAGAATGTGGCCAACCAGGACAAGCCCACTTGGCAAACCTAATTAGTTCCAAGGATAGATTGATTAATTCCAGGAGTTTCAGGTGGCTTGAAGGGGTTGTTTGGACTTCTTGTTGAGGATATTGGGGAGATATTGGGCCCTGTGGACTTAGATAATCACGAAGAGACCCCGACGGGCTACCCGTGGACTCTTATAACCGGGGCTACACGATTCCACATCACGCAGCATTCGATCATCGATTTCTTTCACCCATCGTCCAAATACTGGGATGAAGGTGAATATATGCGAGAGACTGCTTTATCACGGTGACCACCTCGCAGCGAACAGTTACGCACAGACCCCAGCCTCGCCTCTTTCTCGACCCGATTCAACGGTGCTTATTTAGGATGTGTGACTAGTTCAGTACTAGTAAGTCTCGCACTGGGGTTGGCAGGTATAATTATCCTTGACCTTTGACCCTGTCGCCTGCCGCTCCCAAACTCCAGCGGTTCTGCAGTTGGTCTGGTTGGCCAGACGATCGGCGGATTAGCGCCGGCCGGGGTGACGGAGGTGCATCGTGAGGAGCAAGCATGGCCATTGCAGCATCTCACTGGTCAGTCTCTCCACTGTGACAAGCTTGGCTGATCACCTTTGCCGGCCAGTCAGACTCTTCACTCAACGCCTCGAGGTACAGTGCACTTGCAGAGGCCTCGACTGGCTGTGCGTCTCCCAATCATGACCCTGGCCACTGCTGCTAATTCCCTCGCGGCGCTTACTCTGCGGAGTGACGAGAATCAATAGCCTGCATTTTCACCCCTCTCGGGCCATGCACTCAGCATTGATATTCAAGCCGCCCAGGGCTCTTGATTTCTGACCGTCTTCACTTTTTCCTTTCCTGACTCTCTGCTTTTGTATCGTGTACGCAGGCCTCGCACACGATATCGGTGATCTACTACAACTCTGATCTAGTTCAGCTGTTGTCCTACCCACTTGTGGCTTTGGAAATATTGGCTCGCCCACGAGTCTCTATATTCAAAGTAGTCAGCCTGTGAATTCCAACTAAAGAGCTGGTTCTCTTAGCCTAATTGTTCGAAGTTTGTTGATTGCCTCGGTTCGCCTGTTGATTATCGCTTCGATGTCAAACTTCGACAACAGTCACAACAATTCCCCCCAGACGTACGAGCCTGTCGTTCCTGTGGATCTCACCCGGGCTTCCTATCACAGCGCAATGGGTGCCCCGCCCCAACATACCGTCCAAGAGACTCGCAGCTCGTCTGAGACGAGTAATGCGTCGATCAAGAGTCCACGTACCGCTCGATTCGCCGAGGCCACATCTATCCACTCTCCCATCGAACGGACGGAAGCTGGTCGGTCACCCTTCGCTGATCCTCCCAAGTCCCAGGCGCAGGGTGGTGGTGTCGGTGATCTCGGCTTTGGCTATGTCGCGAACAACAACCTAGCTCAGCATGCAGATGACCAGGTTCCGATGTCGCCTTTCAGGCCTGATCTGAAGGTCCCCCAAACGGCCAAGTCACTGAACCCTCTCAGCCCAACCTTCCGCCAGGAGTATATGCTTGAGAAGCAAGAAAAGAAGGCTGAGGTTGAAAATGCCCGAGACCTGGTAAGAATGCCTTTGAAAGCAGTGACTACAATATACTCATCATTCCCAGAGAATCAAACTCCGCGTTCGTATCGCAAAGGTCTTCCTGCGATTCATCAATTTCGGCTGCAGTCTCATTGTACTGTCTCTATTAGCCGTGACATTGACCGTTTTCAACGCAACCAGGAGCCTGCCAACTCGTAACAGCCTCCCAGCCTGGGCAGAAGGGACGAACCCATGGGCTCAGTACCTCCTCTTGGGAATGTCCTGCGTTTCCCTCTTCGCCTGCTTAATTGTATTCTGGGCCTACCGCAAAGGTGGACACAAGCGCGCAGAGAAAGCAGCAATCTACTACACGAGTTTCTCGATCGCCTTCTTCGCCTTCAACTTGATCATGTGGGTTATCGGCGCTGCAATCTACCAACACTCAAAGGCAACAGGAAACAGCAAAGACATGTGGGGATGGTCCTGTGCACAGAACACCCGCGAAGAGCTCTACCACAACAGCGTCGACTACGCCCTCCTATGCCGTCTCCAGGACTGGGGCTTAGTCTGCGCCATCATCGAGGTCGTCATCGAACTCCTAGTGATAGTAATCTACGTCGTGGTCTTCTACCGCGTCTGGAGCAAGCGCAAGCTCATGAAATCCATGGACACTCGCGACAACGCCCGCTCAGATCTCTACCTCGCCCAATTGCGACTGCAATCAGCCCCGAACACCCCCGGCTTCGCAGGCTTCAGCTCTTACCCGCCCAAATCTCCCTTCTACGCCGCCGCCCCGGTTGATCCATACTCGGCCGCCGAGAAGGGCCAGGCTACCCAGACGCAGTACGCTTCGCCGGTCTCGCCTACACGCCCGACTGCGTCGTTCCAGCTGCAGGCACCGCCAATTCGTGTTCAGCAGGCCACACCCCAGACTGCACAGGGCGAGTTCTCGCCTCGTCTGTCGCATTCGCCGTCCCCGCCTCCTCCCCACCGGGCTCCTTCGCCGCCGCAGTCTCACTATGTCAATGCTCCTGGTGAGCAAACGTATGCTGCTGTGCCAATTCCTGGTGCTTATGGGAGTCCCATGGGCCCGACGTTCCCGGCTGCTGTACACAAATGAGTTTGAATGAATATACGCATATTTCTTTCCTTCATGCCATGCATTTTGCTGCTTGATTCAATCCTTTGAGATCGAGAAAAATATTCAAATCATGAAAAAAAAAAATTCGAAAAATCTGGAAAATACCTGTCATATGTGACCTGCTTCAAAATCAGATATATAGCTTCCTTGCTTTTTTCTTTTGTTCTCCTTATTGTGGAGTCTATAATGTACACCCTTGTGGCGTGTGGGAGTTTGGTGAAAGATACTGATACCTATTTGGACTTTCGTACAATTACACATACATATTTACATATTTTGCTATGCTTGATTTTCTATATAAAGTACAAGAATTCTTAAATAAATACTTGAGTGCACTGGGTTAGATATTATTTTTGCCCTAATTGACCTTCTTTGCCAACTCTTTCTCGTTCGTGTTCAGTGAACTTCACGTTGATCATAATCATTAAACAAAAGTGGACGTGCGTTAGAGAACTTATTACTATTGTTGTAGAAATTGAAGAACATTACATCTTAAATAGATTGAAAGAAGTGAATCATCAAATTGAAGGAATAGTAGACCCCGAAAAAAGACAAAGAGCGCCGCTCACTGCGAACAGGGAAAAGCAAACCAAAACGCCGCAAGGATCTACCATATCACACCGTTCTGTCCATCAATCGTGACCAACATGCATATCGTAGTGCTTCTATCCGAGCAAACTGTACATGACAACATGTGGGGAGGAGAGATACCTCACATTCCACCTTCTTCTAAAATAGCGTGTGTATCCCTAGAGACGAAGATCTCCTCTAGAGTAGCTGCATTGGCACCCATCTTGCTGAGATCACTCTCGAGAACGAGACCTTGTTCGTTGGCAAGATGAAGAAGGCAAATGAATCCGAATGAAGTACTAATATCCCGTAATGTCTCTGCGGGATAAACGGTCTTGAGAGAATTCATGATCTGCGTGAACCGTAAGCGCCCGGTATCTTTGCTTTCCACAGGCTCATCGGGGCTTTCAGCCTTTGGTGTTGCCGGCATAGGGACATCAGATTCGGTCTCAGCCTCGGTCTCGGGCTCGAGCGGGGCGTCGCTAGATACAGCGCCGGGTTGTGAAGCTGATGCGAAATCCACGGCGTCAACTAGACGTTCACCCATGCCCTTCCACATCTCCACCTTGAGACGGCGGACATCAACCTTCTTTGCAACACGTGCATACGCAACGTAATCCGGGCGTGCACGACGACCTCCCTGTGTGACGAGTTGTGAACCGTAGCCACCACCTGGTCGACCGGGGGTGGCGCCGACCATATTTAGTAGCGCACTAAGGCCAGTGGCACCACCTGCTTCGGCCGTTGCACCCGAGGTACCACCTGGTGGTGGTGAGAGCATCTCTCGAGCATCTGCGAACGGCAGGTTGTCATCGTCATCGTCGAGATCCATACCGTTAGGGAAAGCCAGTCCATCATCATCAGCAAAGAAGTTTGCATCATAGGCACCAGCAGCGCCATCTTCGCCAGCATTCTCCTCCGGCTTGTGATTTGCCCAGAATGCTTCGTCCATATCACCATTGCCTGATGTCAGGTCCTGGCGACGACGTTTTCCAAGAATCTTCTTCGAGCCCATCTTGGCCTTTGGCTTGAGGAACAATTGAAGTAGATTGCGTGAATTGAAGTGCTTGTCGTCTGGTAGCAGATTACGACCCTTTGTCTTCCATTGCGTCTTGGGTAATGAAATTGCGGAGTTGGAGCTAGCCGGGGTATAGATCAATTCAGCTATAGCAGGGTCGAGCGGTGCTGCGAAATCAATTTCGAAAGGTTCCTTTTCCTTGCGCTGTTTGGGTGCTGCGTTACTCGGCGCCGCGTGCTCTTTGATCCTGCGAATTTTCCAGTGCTCTGGGCCAGCCCAGTTCTTCTGTAGCGCATTGTCAAAGTAGCTCAAAATATTCTCGTGATCGCGATTATTAGGTTGGTGAGACATCGAGACGGCGTACGAATCCTCGTCACCCTCTTCACCCTCACCGTCGGCATTGTCTTGATCCATTCGGTGAAGTTTGAGCATGGGTTCTAGAGCAGCTTCACGAGCCCACACCTCTCCTCCGTCGCCGAATCCGGCGTCCTCGCTGAGATCAAAGCCAGCTAGAGTGCCATCGTCATCATCGAACCCGACGGCGTTGTCGTCGTCAAGCATGATTCCAGATGGATCATCAACCGGGACTCCGTCCTCATTGAGCTTGTCTTGTCGCCATTCTTCAGGAGCCTTGAGAAGAGGAAGATCCAGTGATCCACTGGGATCTCCCAAGTCTAGATTCTTGAGTGATGGACAAATATCTTGTTCTCCGAGGCGATCTAAGTCCGGGAAAAATTGGGTTGCTAGTGAGGCAAGGTCAATTTCTGTGTTGTTCTCAAAGGTCTCGCTTGCTGCTGGCTGCGGAGGTTTCGGCTGGTCCTCTGTCTCCTGCTCCTGCTCTGGGTCTGCAGACTCCTGGCGGTCATCATCGGCTGTCTTGGCATTGTCGTCCACAGCATCATCACTGCTGTCAAACACAATTCTCCCATGGCCATCAATGGCAAGGTGGTTCAAGAGCAGGCCCTTCGCACCTCCTTCATCGAAATCCGCTGATGCCTTCTTAAATAGCGGGTCCACGGCAAATTCGAGTTCAAACTTCTTCAGCTGCAGGGAGGCAAATGATGGTGCGAGGGTGGTCTCGTGAGAGCGTGTCTAAACCAAGTCAGCATAATATTATACTTCCAGTCTCATGATCAAAATACCTTCTTCCGGGACTTGCGAGGCTGACCGTCCTCGCCTTCTTCATCTTCTTCACCTTCTTCTCCCTCCTCCCCACGACTTCTCTTATCGCGGCTATCAGCCAATCCACTCAGAAGTTTTCCGGTCTCTGTCGCGACACTATCCACTCGGCTGGTATAGATCTTGACACACCCATCAAGAGTGCAACTGGCTTTTTGGAAGTTAACACCATCTCCTTCCTTAAGGAGGGACATGTCGTGAAAGTAGTCGATAAGCGCAAAGTTCCAGGAGTTGTTCGCATTAATCTTGTTGTCGGTGGCCATCTTCATCCACTCCTCAAAATTGGCCAAAATAGGCACTCGCTTCATCGGTGTCACTGCGCGACCATTGACATCACTCTCACGGGCCCGGTGACTAGACCCACGGGGCGTCGTGGGACTCTCGCTTCCCTCGCGGTTGTAGCTGGTGTATCGGCGGGGTGGCATAGGCGTCTTGACTGCTGCTTTGATCTGACTCATTTGGCGATCATGCAGCGCTTGGCGGGCCTCCTTGCGCGCGGCCTTCTCGCCCATGTCATCGTTGAGGGGTATCCTGATATGATCAGTTTACTGTCGGGATAAGCATCCGGGGGCTCACGTACTTGACTGGCGAGTTCTTGTGGGGGGTCGAGGTGCCGCCTGAGCGGCGATGTATCTTGTTCGCGACACGCGGCATGGTTGCGGTTGCCCCCTATAGGGGTATCGATAACGTCGAGGTGGAAAGATTGATGGAGAGGGGTTGAGGTCGACTCACAACAAATGGGGAAATCGGCAAAACAAACATACGGTTGGCCAGAGATACCAGTGGCGCATCTCATCACGTGTGTCTATCTATGCCTGATACTCAAGGCTAACTATGAAGCCTAATGTTCGATAGAAGGCAACTGGCTGTTCCTCTTGTACTCGTCATTCTTTCCCAATCCTGCTCTTGTACACCTAGACTCATCGCCATCCACTGCTGTATACAGTCATTCTGCATATATCTGTGGCTTGACGGTGCTGCGATAACGATCGGACTAAGCCGACTAAGCGCATTGGCCCACACCTGACATCACCGCGATCACCGTTCTCACCGTGCCTCAACTGTTCGGTTTTCTATAAGGTCTCCAATGTCGATAATTTTGATATAACTTGGTGTATACGTCCCTCCACGATGCTGCGGCGCTCCACGCCACAATGAATCAGCTGCCACCCTTTCTGCAGCTTGCCGTTCGCAAGAAACCTCGATACTCAACCCGACCATTCTACACCACGTTGCTTGTGTTCACAGTCCTAGGAACCGCAAGTCTGATATTTTCAGGAGCAAATAGACCAGGTCTTTTTGCTCAGTCGAGTTCCACAGCAGGGATAGATCTCCTCAGGCGAGGGGGCGAACCTGAGGTACTATTCCATCGAAACTACTTTCCTGTGTGATGGCGCCAAAGGCTAATGTTTTGTATGACTTATAGTGTCGCTCGGTTCGCAATGTGAAGGATCAATGTGCATTTGTCCGCGCCAACTGTCCCGATCACGAGGATGGATTGATCTCCTACCTCCAACTCTATTACTGCACACTGGCGGATGCGAAATCGGTGGCCTTCACTATTTTAATTCTCTGGCTCGCGCTTCTCTTCAGTACTATTGGAATCGCAGCAAGTGATTTCTTGTGTATCGATTTGAGCACATTGGCCAGTATTTTGGGATTGAGCGAGAGCCTGACGGGCGTGACCTTCCTCGCATTCGGCAACGGAAGTCCCGATGTGTTCTCTACGTTTGCCGCCATGCGGTCGAATAGCGGAAGCTTGGCAATTGGAGAGTTGATTGGGGCTGCGACGTTCATTACCTCGGTTGTCGCGGGCTCTATGGCTCTGGTTCGGCCGTTCAAAGTCGCGCGTAGAAGTTTTGTCCGCGATGTGGGCTACTTTGTGGTTGCCGTTACATTCAGCATGTTTTTGCTGGCTGATGGGAAACTTCATGTATGGGAGTCGGCTGCGATGGTATGCCTATACGTTTTCTACGTTTTCATGGTCGTGACCTGGCACTGGTATTTGGTTCGACAACGCCGAAAGAACGAGAGAGACATTGCAGCGCGAGCCCATTTCCACATACCCGAAAATCAAGAACTGGAAATTGAAGAGGCCGAGGAGGATGATCCCGGTGTGGCCTCTGAGTCACGGAGTCTACTTCGCGGGGCCTCGACGGAGGATTTTGATCTTTTGGAGCGTGCCGAGGCTGTTCCTCTTTGGAAGGAAGAGGATGACGAAGATGATGAAACTCGAAATCGGTATCTAGCTGAGATTCGCGACAACATGCACGTATATCGCCCCATGCGATCAAGACGCAACACGATCAATCCCATTCGCCCAAGTCTTGTCGGTGCATTGGAGTTTCAATCTGTGCTTAATGCACTCCAAAAATCAAGGAATACTCATCTCAACCCAACAATAAGTCTGAGCAGCTATTCAGATGATGGCGAGTCGGATTTCGATGCGCGCTCAGTAGCGTCCCATCCTCGTGTCAGTCGGCCATCCGCCAACGACCGCCTGTCACCTAATAGTGCTGCGGGTTCTTCTCGGGTTCGAGCCGTGTCCGCAAATGATGCCGACGGCTTGAAGCTGGATGCCAGTATCCTGGAGCATCGCCCAAAGCAAGGCCCTCTTCTAACCGTGAGTGGGCCCTCTTACGAAGATACTCCCGGGCAAAACGCGATGCAGGCTCGCCAGCTTCCTCGTATCGATACTGGGCTGGCATTGACAGAATCCCCTGTGAATTCTACACTTAACTCGCTGAGTCCAAGCCCGGTTGTTTCAGGTCCCGCGTCCCCAGATCTTCTCGCTCCCTCGGCTGCTTTTCAAGCTCCCAATTACCAAGCTACAGGAGCACATGAGCGTTCCCCAATGTCAGTATCCCCCGGTGGTGGCACCGCAAACAGTTATCACTCCGGCTATGGTTTAGAGAGCCCTTCAATGCCTTTCCCGTCCTTTACCGATTTCCCGACCACTACATCACGGCCCCCCAGCATTCGACTCCCCAATTCCGCAAGTCCTTTGGAACAGCTTCATGTCCAAGATGGGTATGATGAAATTGCTCATGTAGGCCTTTCTTTTCGAAAACTCTCAAGGAAATTTTGGCCTGACTCGATTCCCCCTCCCCAGCAGATTGGTTGTACACTCTTCCCGACCTTGGCAGGCTGGAAATCTAAGAATATCTGGGAGCGCCTTCTGGGCTTGATTGCAGCCCCCAGTGTTCTGCTACTTACCCTCACGGTCCCAGTGATTGAGCCTCAAGGTCCCGAGACTGTAGACCCAGACCCACTGCCCTCAGTGATCATTCAGGATGTTGGTGACGGGGAGAACCCTTCCCCGAGAGTGAGACTTCCTGCCGACAGTCCAATCCTTATTCCTATAGAACATCACCATGCAGGGTCTGTTTCGAATGCTCCAACACACCCTCACCGCAAATCCACACACGGACACATTGGCCGTCCACGGTGGGACTCGGAACTCCCAGCCGCACCACCGGCAGCCGCAGATTGTCCCGTCCAGGCAAAGGATTGGAATCGCTGGTTGATTGCAATCCAGCTCTACACCGGCCCCTTCTTCGCCGTCCTCATAGCTTGGACAACCGTGGACGAAGACCGCCGACTCCGAAACCTCATCCTCCCATCTCTAGTCTCCCTCCTCTTCTCCTCAGTCTGCCTAACAGCCCTGATCATAAGCACCCGTCGTCAAAATAACCCCCGACGCGCAAGTGGAGACGCCTCATTCCCCTTCCTCCAACAAGAAATCCAACCAAAACCCCACACCCTGCCAAACCAATGGCGTCCTTTCCTCTCCCTACTAGGCTTCCTAGTGGCAATCTCATGGATAGCAACAATAGCCACAGAAGTTGTCGCCCTCCTCAAAACAATCGGAGTCATCCTCAACATCTCAGACTCCCTCCTGGGTCTAACAATCTTCGCCGTCGGCAATTCCCTCGGCGACCTGGTCGCCGACATCACAGTCGCCAAACTCGGATACCCAGTCATGGCTCTGAGCGCTTGCTTCGGTGGACCAATGCTCAACATTCTCCTGGGCATCGGCCTGGGTGGTCTGTACATGACCATCAACAGCGGGAATGGCAGACATGACGAGACTGTCGGGTCCGTGAAGGTTCCTTATGATATTGCTATTTCCAAGGTTCTCGTGATCAGTGCCGCCTCGCTACTGGTCATACTTGTTGCTCTTTTGATTGTCGTTCCATTGAACAAGTGGAAGATGGATCGGAAGATTGGCTGGGGTCTTGTTGTTTTCTGGTGTGTCAGTACATTAGGCAATGTCATTGTAGAGCTTTTTGCTTGAGGTTGTTGTTCAAGATGGGTGGTTTTTGTCTGTTGTCTATACTGATGTTGATGCTGGTGGTTTCAGGTTTGGTGTTTTGTGATCACACACGGATTTCTGGCGTTTGGTTTTGCATTTTGAAACGCAATGTATAGTTCTTGCATGATGTTCATTACGGTGGTGATACGTTCGAGAAAGTACAGGGTAGTCTCTTTGTATGTAAGAAATCTACTATTGAGTAAATATGATATACGAAATGCTTTGTTTGTTGATCAATCTATATGATAGCTTATGGGAGCCTTGGAAATGTTATACACGACATAAGCAGGGATGAGACGCAATATGCGGTGCTGGTTACTACAAACTTTAAGCTGAAGCAGCTTCGGGAATATCACGATAGACAAAACTAATGATTATTCCAAGAAAAGTACAGAAAGACTAGCTACTCGCCATTATCAACGAACCTCATGTCAACCGTTTCCATCATTCAACGCATTGACATCCTTCTCCTCGTCGCTCATCTATACAGTATGTACTCTCAACGACCAACTCCCTCATCCCATCCTCACAGCACACGACCAGCCGACGAGCTTGTGCTGCGGTCGTTGACCTGGGTCTTCTTCAAGGACATACCCTGCTGAATGGAAGCGAGGAGGGCACCACGACCACCGTTACCGCCACCGCCAGCTGCAGAAGGGGCAGGGGGAGGGGGAATACCGGCTGCTGGAGGGGGTGGAGGGGGAGCAGCGGGGGCTGCTCCGCCAGGAGGCGGGGGAGGAGGGATCCCGGGGGCACCTGCGCCTGGGGGAGGGGGAGGAGGCGGAGGCGGGGGAGGAGCACCAGCTGACGGGGCAGGCGATGACGTATCATCGCTTGGGCTTGGGATGGCCGGGACAGGGGGCAAGGTTGCCGGAGGCGGGGGAGGGGGTGCGACAGGGCTGGCTTGCACCGGGGTGGCAGACTTGGAGGCAGACTTGTCTTCGTCCATGGCGCTCAGAGGACGCGGGGGTGCCATTGTGCCGAAGAGGATACTAGCAAGCTGTTTGGCACTGCCGCCGCCGGGACGGTCCTCGTCCTCATCATCAGAGGAATCGAACTCGGAACCGGCGTTGGACCAGTCGTCGTCATCCTCGGGGCGTGCGCGAGTCTTGCGTTCCAAGGGAGCTGCACCGTGGAAGGAAGGCTTGGTGGGCTCTTGCTGCTGTTGCATGGACATGCGGTGGAAGGGGTTCGTAGACTGAGCAGAGGCCGGCGGCGAGGTCACGGAGTCGGCGGAGGGCTGACCCATGTTCTTGAAGTAGGGGTTCTTTGACTCAGCATCGGGAGTAGCTGCAGGAAGAGCCCGGCTGCTTTCAGGGGAGCTGGCCTCGGGGGTGGCCACGTTCTCAGGTTCAAATGCCGCCGGGGGTTCGGGAATAGCGATAGTGGGCACTGGGGGAGGACCAGAGAGAACTTGGCTCTGCGCTGGGGTGCTGTGCTGGGGAGTGATATCGGCAGGGCCCTCATCGTCGGATGAGCTGTCGTCATCATCAAGACCTTCGAGCTCACGCTGCAACTGTCGCTCACGCTCCTTAGCTGCCTCGAGCTCCGCACGCTGGGCAGCAAGGCTGGCCTCCTGTTCCTTGGCCTGTCGGCTGGCTTCTTCCCTACGACGCTTCTCTTCCTGCTTCTTGATCTTGCCCTGGCGGACTTGTTCTTCAAGGGCCTGGAGGCGAGCAGCCTGGGCATCCTTTTCCTTCTGGAACTCCAATTCGCCTTGGTTGGCCTCGCTCCTGCAAAATTATTAGCTTCGTCTATGTTGATAATTCCTTAGATTGTACTCACTGGAGACGCTGAGTCTCAGCCTCCTGTGCCTCCTGTTCTTCCTTGATGGCCTGCTCACGAGCAGCCTGTTCCAGCTTAGCATCATCCGCCTTCTTAGCATCAGCCTGGCCGGCACTATCTGTGCGGGCCCGGCGAGTAGGGGGAGCTGGAGGTGGCTTCTTGCCTGCGGTCTTGGGAGCTGCGGCGCTGGAACCACCGCGTTCATCAGCAAGGCGACGCTGTCTCTCCTGCTCACGTTTTGCATCCTCTTCCTCGGCACGTCTGACACGGTCCTCGCGCTCCTTCTTCTCGCGCTCTTGACGTTGCACAAGAGTCTCACTGGAGTCATTCACCTTCAAGCCAGCGGCGGCCATGCGCTCAGCAATACGCTTCTGCGCACGCTCCCTGGCAGCGGCCACACGATCCTCGTGCGTGTTTCCTGGAAGGGAGCCCGAGGACTCAACAGACGTGGGCATAGAAGGTCGCACAGCAGGAGATTCAGCAGCTGGGGATGCGTGACTCTGCACTTCGGGGGAAGGCCTTGACCGCTCCTCCTTGCGAACATGAGCAGTGCGAGAGTTACGGCTCAAGTCATAGATGAAGTCGCGGGTAGTATCTTCAACACCCAATGCATCCTCCCAGCGACGCTTCTCGTGTTCACGGGTAGAGTTACTGCTCTGATCACGAAGGCTGTCTTCCAAGCTGCGGGCGAAGTCGCGCACACTCTCCTCTACATCACGAGTCATGGTGTCGTTGCGCTCCCGTTCGGCCTTCGCATTAGAGCTCTCAGCCTCGAGGCGACGAGCAGCCTGACCGTCGTCATCCTCCGAGGCAGGTGCAGGGCGTCCAGCAAGCTCGGCAGCCCGGGCTTGCATACGAGCGCGAGCACGAGCCTTGATTCGGTCCGCCTCAGTCACAGTACCACCAGGACCGGTTCCAATGATGGTCGAGGCACCACCGGGGTGGGCTTTGGCATCCTTGAGACGGAATAGCTCAAGCTTTGCGTCGGCAATCTCACGCTCAAGACGGCGCACATCAGATGCAACTTGAGGAACCTGATCCTCGTAGGACTGTAGCTGGCGACGGAGAGCCCTACGCTCGGCTCCACTGTCCAATTGTCGGAATGCGGCATTGGGGTGGGTGTCAAGGTCATCCTGCACGCGGCGAATACGGTCCATGAGGCTCTCTGCCTCACGACGATCCTGGCGGTCAAGGGCATCATCATCCTCGGCCCGGTTCTCGTCCTGGAAGTCAACAGCGTCAAGCATAATCTTGGTCTCGCGAATCTTCTTGTTCAACTGCTCCACGGAGTAATCCTCATCGGAAGTTCCTGAAGCGGCAGGTGATGGAGTACGAGCCTCATTAGCAACGCGACGGCGAGCACTGGAGCGGTAACCACCAGCGGCATCGTTATTTTTGAACATAGTAGCATCCTTACGAGAAGCGGGGGAGTTACTACCCCCACCGCGGAAGGAGTGATCCTTGAGATAGCTGACACCAGTCTTCTGCGGCTGGAGGAACGCCCCATTTGCCTTGCGGGCCTCGGCATCCTGGGAGAGAAGCGACTTTACTGTGCCAATAGACTCGTTCAAGTGTCTCGTAGAGGGGGGAACAAGTTCAGGAGGCAGGCGGCTGGGGACAGGGTATCCATTAAGAGCACGGTAGATCATGTGCATGGCCACAGCGAACTCATCCATGTTGAGGCGACCACGGTTATGCGGGTCAGCCAGAGTCCAGATACGCTCCAGGTCCTTGCGGTTCAGACCACTCTGGCCCATGATCTCAATGGCGGTCTCACCACTGACAAAGCCCTTGCGCAATCCATCCCATGCGCGGAAGAGATCATCGTAGATTTTCTTCTCTTCCTTAGTGATGGCCCAGGCGACCGTAGCATTACCTGAAAGAGCAGCTGCACTGAAGCCACCTTCACGGCCGGGCTGTGGCATCAGCTGCTGCTTCATGGCATCAATGTTCGGCAGACCCTGGGAAGGAGTGTTGATGAAGCCCCACTGGCCCGGCATACCAGTCGGTTGAGCGGTCAGCCCAGTAGGCTGGGCTGTCAGGCCCATTCCACCAGTCTGGGCCGGGCTCAGGTTGGAGCCGAAACCAGTAGGCATTGGTGGCATTGGAGGCCGCGGGCCAGTGTAACCAGTAGCCTGTGGATTGGCCATGAATCCGGTCTGTTGTGGCTGAAGGAATTGGGACTGATTCTGGCCAGGATATCCTGTAGGCTGGGGTTGCTGGATACCAGTCTGCTGGGGAAAGAAACCGGTGGGCTGCGCAGTCAGCTGCGACAAAAGCTGGGCATTATTCGGCTGTTGCGGCACGGGCTGTTGAACAATCGGGGGCGTCGAGTTGTTTTCCATAAGAGGAGCGTCGAAGTTGGGAACGTTCGTTCGCTGCTGGGGCCGCTCCGGCTGCGTATCCGGGACATCGAACGAGATGATATCCACCATACTAGAAACCTCATTCTTGACTACTTCGGGTAGGGAAGGAGGAAGTTCGCGTCCGGTGAGACGAATGTTGCACAGATACATCGCCAAAGCGAACTCGGGGAAAAACAACTGTCCGGACTTGGTGGAATCAGACAGGACCCAAATCTTAGAAAGGTCGGTACCAGTCAGCTTAGAGCGCATTAGAAGGTCTCTCGCCTTGTCGCCTGTTGTTACAAGTCAGTATAAGTCATCGCTATCCTATTTGGGATGCTTGATAAACCCACCATCCATTGTCTTGCTGTCACCAACGGCAGACTTGAAGAGCTGCTCAAACTTGGCCTGATCCTGGGCAGTAATAAAGGAGAGCCGAATACTAGGAATCTTAGATCCAGTCTTAGGCGGCACCTGGGGAGGCGCACCGGCACCAGCATCTTGGAAGGAGTTCGCGATCTCAGATGAGGTCTTAAAACGCTGCGGTATCTGGGGAACAGGAGGCGGCGCCTGCGCCTGGGTCTGAGGGGTGTATCCAGTGAATTGGGGCTGGAAGCTCTGGGGTTGCTGCTGTTGCGGTTGCTGTTGCTGCTGCGGCGCAGCACCAGGAAAGCCAGTATATTGGGGTTGAAGTTGGCCTCCAGGGAAGCCGGTCGCTTGAGGCTGGAGTTGTCCCGCGGGGAAGCCGGTGGCTTGGGGCTGTAGCTGCTGGTTACCGAATGGCGAGGGCTGTCCGGCGAATCCGGTGGGTTGAGGAGCAAAGCCAGTGGCTTGAGGCTGTTGAATTGAGGGCTGTTGTTGGCCTTGGGGGAATTGCGAGTAGGGTTGTTGTTGCTGCTGTTGTTGCATGAATGGTGCCTGGCCAGGACGGCCACTGGCACCACCCCCGAGGAAAGTATTCGACGAGGAAAACATTACCGGAACCACGCTTGCATTGAAAAAAACAGATGCAGAAGAACCAAGAAATTGATCAGAAGAAAGAACAAATGCAAAGATGGTACGGTGGAGTTGAATCTCAGGAGGATGCGAATGACGCTGTACTGGACGCGGAGGCACGCTAACCCAACCGGGTGATTAGTCAGAGGTCCCTGCAGGATATTTTTGGATCTACAACATTTGATGGAAGAAGCAATGAGCAGACATATTTCATTGGTATCATGGTAGACACATTGTGTCATTAAACGCATAGCCAGTCAAAGCGTGGCAAAAAAAAAAAGAACAGAAAAAGGGTCATCCATAGATCCCCAGATCGAAAACAAGAAATAAAAGGCCAAGCACTAATGATCGCTGCTCCATGCGCCGGATTTTCAGAACTCAGAAAAGAAAATGGATGAAGTGGGCTGAACGCCCACTTACTCGGCGGCGCCCTGCTGCTGCTGGTTGGCGGCGTTGGCCATCTTGCGAAGCTCAAACTCCTTGGTGAACTCGCGGGAGATAATGTTACAATCCTTGATCAGAGCATGGCAGGCATTGATAACAGCCTCGCGAGGAGTGATTTCCCCGTCGGTCTGAACACGCAACAAGAAGTTGGGGGTCAAAGGGTGAGGGACCTGTTATGTTAATGTTAGAGTTGCTCTTTTCAACGCTACATGGATCGGATTACGTACCTTGTAGGCGGCAAAGATGACATGGGGAGTCTTGAGCAGGCGAGTGCGCAGCATGTTGCCAAGGGTGTGATCCTCTTTGTGGAAAGTGAAAATCGCAGCCGAGGGAAGGCCTGGATAGAGTCAGTCGGGGTATCAAGTCTCAGTTCAATAAGACTCAGACTTACGGGTATCAACCTCGACATCGATCTTGTTCTCACCAGGAGCAAGCAAGATTGCCTCATAACTATGTTGTTTGTTAGTCATGGCCGTATGAGTGCAGAACCAGTGCGAAGCTGAAGTGCGTGGTGAAAGGGGGATCAGAAGGGAAGTGATGTAGAGAGACAATGGCCGTTAAAAGCATAATACAGAAAACATAAGACTGACACATCAGGGGCCTCATCGCCTGCCGACATAAGGGTACGCTGGTGACGCGGGGCAGGGGAGTTTCCGCGGCGACCATATCGCTCACGAGCAACTGCAAGTGTAGCATCAAATGAGGCAGGCTCCCCTTGGTCTTTTTTCTTCATGACCTTCATGGTTGCAATAAGGAAACGAGACGAGTTGGGGTACGGGTATGGAGAAGGGGAAATGTGAACATCAAGAGGCAGACATAGGAAAACAAATCCCCGGGGAAGACAGGCCCAGAAGGAAGGAACGATGCATTGTTGCATCCTTCCGAATCAGGAAGCTTCGAAGGTGACATATTTCAGGGCTGACCTGAAGTCATGCATCTTCGGGGGAAAGAAGTGAAGAAGACACCACACTCACCGATCTGGCGCGTTCATCTTGAATCTAAGAAGTCGTGTATATGCAAATTTGTGCAAGCTTGTCTCCAAAAGATGAAACAAATAAAGGCAATCAAAAGTCCAATTGGAAAAAGGCGTTCAATATACGTCTCCGGACCTCGCTGTCGTGAGAGGTAATTTGGAGGCTTTCGCTATTGATCAGCGAGCTTGAGCCGCTGTTTCGTGTACTTGCTAGTTTTGTGCAATATACCAAAAAAGCACTTCGTTGAGGCAGTTGTAGTGATGAACGGGATATTTCGTTGATATCCTCGGTTGCTTGCTTGATGAAAAGTAGCGGGAGCAGAACCAACGTGATATTGATCATGTGATTACTTGAATATCACGTGATGTGTGTCAACATTATGCCTGGTTGACAACATGTTCAATTTTCACTTTGTCTAATGGTATATGTACTCTGTATGGCAATCATTGTAGGTGTACATGCACATATAGACATATATTGGTAGTCATAATATATAATATATAATAAATCGTAACTATGTCGAGCTCAGTCATCTCCATACTGAGATTTATACCTCAGAGGAATAATAACCCCAACCGATTTTGGAACACTTTGAAATAACATTATGTGAGATACAAATACTAAACAACTGAGTTTTATTTGCCTTCTACATACGGACAGGTGAAACTTACTGGAACCAAGAGTGGCACCTCGTGTCTGGGTCCAATCTATAATTTACATCATCTGCCCATCAATGTAAACATGTCCTACAATATAAATATTGACCATGAAACAAAGCTGGAACTCGACAGGAACCCAAAACTAATTGAATCCAAACGAGAACATACAATACAACTTGCCCACTGATCGATGTACACAGTCTGTATATATTAAATGAGCATCCACCCACCAAAAACCAATTAATCTACACAACACAGACAAGCGTGGACCGTGGACCAAATCCCCAAAAAAGACAAAAAGCCGATATAACCGGCCCAAGGCCCGAAATGTATTAAAAGAGTCGAGCCAAGAAGACTCTACCCAGAGACGCTTGAAAAAAAGGCAAAATGGAGTAGACAGACATGAAAACAGAGGGCAAAATAAATACCCAGGAAGAAAAACACACAATATGGTAAGGAAGAAAATAAGAAGACAAGATCCTATAGAAAGGAATCAAAAGGAGAAAGGAACGCCTGGTCTCTTCCCACGCCGATGCCAGAAAGATGAAAATAGAGGAAAACAATCGATAGTCAAGTAAAACAGAAACGCAAAAAGAAACATATGTATCATGCTTGAGGATGCTGTATGCCGTATGTATATGCCGGATGCAGAGTGCCGACTTTTTCTTATTTGCAATGCAATGCACAGATCAATGATCAGGGAAATGATGCATGAAGGCAATATCAAACCAAGGCACTTTCAAACGGCAGAACAAGGACGTTAGGTTGATGATGTACCGTATGTGCGTGATGATTTCATGTCATGGAGGGAGAGTGAGAGTGAGAGAAGTAGGAGAGATTAAGAAAATAGGAAATGCAGAGGAGACATAGTATGAAAAGGGAGAGGAAGGGCAGCAAAAAAGGAAAGGCTATACAGCGTGATGTGGACAGGTATCTGTTCAGATGCAAATGTAGACAGGGTCTCGTGGTTGATAGGTTTTGAGGGGAGAGGAGGGAGGGGGTGATAGCAGGGTGGATAGAGAGCCTGGGTTTAGTGTACGGCACTCAATAGATCACCGAACCCAGAAGTCCCCCGCTTCAGCTTCCAGCTGCTCTTCTTCTTGTCGCGTTTCTTCATCATATCGGACCATGCCTCATCGTCATCCTCGTCGTCGGATCCAGCCTTGCCGTTACCAGATGGGCTGGTTCGTGAAACGGGCCGCACGGTAACCGTTGCGAGGGAAGATTTTGGCAGATTAGGCTGTGATTGCGATAGAGGCAGGGAGGGGTTTTGGTTTTCATCGCCCCAGGTTTTGCTCATGGAAGAGACAGCCGAGTTAGATTGTTCAGGCTGCATGACCGATACGGGACGGTAGCGAGATGCCATGCCGGCATTGCTACGCTCCGAAGGAGCAATGGAAGCTGCGTATCCAGTGTTAGGACGGAAGGGAGCACCAGATAGGTTTGGCATAGGGGAGCCAGTGCGGCGAGCAGAGACATTTGGGTCCAGCATGCTTAATGTGCGTTGATCGATGTGAGGAGGCACCGAGGGTGGCACGCCAAGAGCGGAGCCGGCGGGCATAGACATAGGTCTCATATTGGGGTTGATTCCGGTCATCGAAGGAGGACCCGTCATAGAAGGAGAACCCATGGGCATCCCAGGCATCCCAGGCATCCCAGGCATACCAGGCATCATCATTGGTGGCATAGGCATACCGCCCTGCATCATGGGTTGACCCTGTCCGCCTTGCATGTGCATCATTTGCTGCATCCATTGCATTTGCATGTGCATCATGTGGCCCATTTGCTGTGACAGCTGAATGGAGGCCTGTTCGCCGGCAGTGACGTTGTTTTGTTGCTGAGACATCATCGAGTATGGCCGCGGCACAGCACCCATCTCATGCATTGCCTGTGTGTTGGGACTTCCTCGGCGAATCGCCCGGGCCCGTTCCTCGTTTGCAATCACACCAACAAGACCTCCGGGAGGAGGCATTTGCATTTGATGAGAAGTAGACCCTCCATATACAGATCCCCCGCTGCCACCGCCTCCCATAGCCAATGATTCACGGTTGGGACCATTGTGAATGCCCGCACCAAAGTAGGGATCTTGCGGCAGGTTTCTAGCGAAAACAGGCAGACCCCGGTTGCCTTCACCTTGGGCTCCCGTCGTTGAGCTGGAACTCGAGATATACGGCGGCGCCATAGACGCACGAAGGTTGGGATTCGAGCTGGCATTGTTCAGACGAGTAGGCGGGCGATTGCGATGGGGGAATCCATGTGCTGCCAAGATTCCCAAGGGCACATCATCATCTTCCTCTTCGCTGCTCTTTCCGCTGGCAGACTTATCGCCCTGGGCGGAGAGACGACTCGGGAGCAAATTGGGCGTGCTGCTGCTACCTCCGCTCATCATTGGGTGCAGAGATTGCGCGGGTGCTTGTTGACCAGTAATCTTCATCATCTGCTGGCGGTAAACAGAGAGATGGGCCTCCTGCTTCCGTCGTTGTCGCTCCGTCTCACGTTGCTTCTCCACCTCGTCTTCCTCATCGTCGAAGTCGTCGTGATCGGACTCCTCGTCACTCTTAGTAGCATTGCTATTAGACCGTCGAAGCTCTTGCTGTTGGCGATAGTGCTCAAACTGAGACGGAGTCATCACCTTGTTACCAGGAGAAGTAGACTTGGGCATTCTTTCAGCAAATTGCACGGCCAATCGTGCATTATCCGCAATCGAGTTATCTATCCGGTCGTCATGTGCAGGTGTGCGATGGTACTGAAACATATTATCGGGTTCGGGACTCAAGTGCTGAGAATAAGCGACGCCCTTGCCCTTGTCCACAGCTGCGGTTCCACCGGAGCTGGGAGCATCGGCCCACTCTGCAGAGCCTTCCTTGCTCCACATGAGGGATTGCCGGACCATCTTGGCATCTTCATCATCAAAGGCACCAGATTCTCGCTGTGACGAGTAAAGACCACTCCTCCGCAACAACCCCCTGTCGGACTTTCCTCTACTCGGCCGATCCAGAGAACGATGGGCAGTGGTAGCCTCGGATGCGAAATTCGGCGATGGAGATGGTTTTCGCAAAGCGGTGACAGTGTCGAGGGTGGACTGGCTTTGGTTTTCTGAGTATGCATCCGAGTCGTGTAGCAGGCCCTGTTCAGATGGGCGGCTACGATGACCACGGTCCCAAGAGTAGGGAGGTGACTCGATAACCGGAGATCGGTCTGTATTAATTGTGTCGGGTGCGCCCGCTCTGCTGGAATGGAATCCGGGGAGGGTATGCGTCGGGGGTGACGTGGAGTACTGCGATACAATTAGAGATGCGCCTTGTCTCTGAGATGAATCATATGCTTTACCTTTCCCGGCTGCGGTGAGGGATCCCGCATGACACTCTTTCGAGAGCTCATATTGTCGAACATCTTATTGAAATCATCGCTGGAACCCAGAGTGAAGTTTGTGTCGGGCAGCTTAGGGGGCGTGGCCGTGCTGTCGGTGCTCCCAGTCACCGGGCGGGTTTTGGCGGCATCTGGGGTTCCCTGTCGAGGAACAACGGGCGCCGACGACTTTGAGAAGCGACCGCCAAAGGAAAAGGTCCTCCCAGCGGCACGCAGAGCACCCGAAAGCGGGGATGGATCGGGGATGTCATGGATCCTTGTATGCGGAGATTGGGTCTCGTCGGGCGGAGGGACCTCCGTAGAGGATGGCAGGGTGGACGATGAACTTAATCTGGTTGACGTCGAACTTTCGTAGTTGCCACTGTCACGTCTCCCAGTCAGTCGTTTCCTGAGGGAATCCATGGTCGAGGGGCGGTCATACCGATGTTTGTCCAGGGGTCGCTCCTCGGCAAACATGTTGTTCTCTTCCAGCATCCTGGGTACCGCATTGGCTTCGCTGAAGCGCTTGTTCAAGGACGCTCCGTCGGTCATGGCTCGTTGAGGACTGGGTCGCTCGAAAACTCGAAAGGAGGGTGGAGGGGTTTCCACGTCGTCCATAACATTCCCGGACGACTTTCGCCGGTTGAAGCTCTTGGGAAGTTTGATAGGCATGGCAGTGACCTAGAACGTCCCAGGTGTGTTATGATCCACCACTTATGGTTTCAAGGGTGCGCCGATCCTAGGGAGTGGCCTTTTTGGGGGGAAGAAGGGAAGTGGGAAGTCTGATGAGTCGGAAAACAAAGCAACCCGAATAAGCGATCAGTCAGGTACCTGAGGTAAACAGCCGCGAAGGGGGGAAAAACAGCAGAACACCCGAATTGACGATCAGGGGTGTGCTGAGGACAAGTCAGTCACAAGAGAGAAAGTTCTGGGAGAGTCACCTCACATTTGCTTAGCGGCTGATCTGACGCTCCGGAATCCACAGAGTGGATTTTGCTTTTTCGATCGGATCCCCAACTGGATAGGATTCCCGAATTCCAGGGCTGTGTAGTTGAAGACCTTGCAAAAACCAAAGACAAGAGCCACAATCCCCCAAGAGAGAGCAAAAAAAGCAACGAAAAGAAAAAAGCCCAGGTGAAACCAGCGGGATACAGTCGGTTTCACTTTCGCACTCTCAGATTTGCAAGTTCGAGAAAGAAAACTGGAGACCTGCGGGGAGTGGAGGTTCTACCCTTTGCCAAGAGGAATGTGATGGGAGAGAGGAATGAGAAGGGGCCAACGGTTGAGAAGAGAGAGTGATGATTTACTCCATTTTGGATCTTCAATGACTCTAGCCGGTTGTGGAATTGAATGTGAAACCTCTTTACTATACATAACTCATACACTCATACCCTCATACACTTAGGGGAGAGAGAGAAACCCTTTGTATAAGTTTAGTTACCTTACCTTACCTTTACTCTCTCTCTCGCCCTTCTATAAATAACCCATCTCCACCGAGGCGAATCGCTAAGAATGTCGACAGGAATTTTACAGTCGAGTCTAGACTACTGTATCCAATTAATCAATATATGTACGTGTGAGAAATAACTCAGCCATACAGCAATACCCATGTTGACACATGTCATTGGACATCACGTGAAAAGATGGGATCACCTGATCAATGGCCTGGTCTCGGAAAAGAGCGATAGAAGCACAGAGGGCTATTGTATGGAATTGGGCTCACAGACAATCGGAGGGGGTCCCGTACAACCGTCACACAACACTCGAAAGCTGATGGTGACGGAGGATGTACTACATGGGGAGAATCTGGAGATTTCAAACAGAGACATACATAGGAGTTGAAAAAAAGATAAGTTCACTTACACCGCCCGGGATCAATCCCAGGTCACATTGTCCCAACACCTTCCCACCTTCTATCTCGCGTTATAAGTGTATCTTACAAAGGGCCTGCAATGGCTTGCGTCACCAAACAGTGGAAGCTTATTTGGCAAAGTGCAGGTCGTAGTTCAGCCACTTGCGGGCGGTTACGCCAGCAACATCAAGGCCAGGGGTACCGTAGGTCAGCGGGGCGTAGAAGATGAAGCCCCAGATGGTGGCGGCCAGGATGACAAGGGTAGCGATCCAGCCCGCAACGAGCGACCGGCAGCCCATGCGCTCCTTGGCGGTGATGAAGCGGCGCAGGCTGCTGACCGATCGAGCCTTGGACTTGCCAGTGGGGTCATCGACCGGGGGAAGAGCAGTGCGGGGATCAAGCGGCTGCAGGTTGAAGATAAATTCAATCAGGGCACCACACACCATGGTGGAGGCCAAGTGGGAGGGCAGGTAGTGGTGCAAGAAGCGCTGACGGCCCATCAGCCAGAAGGGGAAGTAGTGGGCAGCCCAGCACAGGAACAAAAATCCGGTGCTGTTGTACAGACGCGAGCGAGTACCAGGACCCCAAACTAAAACACATGAGGTTAGTCAACGGTTACAAACGTCGATTTAGCTTTCTTTTGGTTGTACTTACTTTCTTCCAATGCATCCACACCCCGGCGGAGGGAGAGCTGGTCAGCACCGACAATACCGGCGAAAACTGCCAGAAGACTGCTAGCAATCCACCATCCGATGGGGTTACCCAGGAAGTAAATTTGACCACGGGTCTCATTCTTGGTCCAGAAGCTGACACCACGCAGCAGGAAGGGCCACTGGAATGGCTCGGTAGCATAGGGGTGGCTGCTGGTCAAGGCGTTGTTGTGGTGGAACATGGCACCCTGGAGCTCGAAGTACTTGCGAAGGAAGGGCAAAGTCTTCACCTTGCGCTCCTCTCGCACCAGACGGGGGCTATCCTCCTCCAGATTCTCGATGGTCTCGGCGTACCATGCGTTGCTGGACTGCAGGATGTTCTTGTTGCCGTTGATCTCGGCTTGCTTGTAACCCCATTCAGGCAACGGGGTGGTGTGTGTCCACAGGGCAACCCGAGTTGGGACGTGAACCAGCTTGAACAAGCTAGCAAGGGTACGGAACTCCTGGGCGGTCTTGCCGGACTCGATCTTAAGCTCGAACAAGGTGTCATTGTGACGGTCGCCATCAGCCTGTTCTTGAGGGACAGTGGTGAACTCCTGGTTGGTGGGGTAGAAAGGAGAGGCAACATCGTGGGTGAGGAGGTAGGACTCGGTGCCAACGTGACGGAGTTGGATAATATCGCCATTCCTGACACTGCGAGGCTCAGTCGACTCATAAGGCACAGCGGGGAGAATCTGCCACTGGTTGTTGGTATCGTTGTGGGGGTACCCAGTAACCTGCTGGCCCTGGCTGGAAATACGACCATCGTCATAGCGAAGAGGGTACTTATCCCAGTGGCTGTGGAGGAAGACCTTGGTGTCCTTGTGGCGCATGGTGATGGTGTCAAAGTACTGAATGCCAACGGACTGGGCAGTCATCTGATTGTCGCTGAGAGTCTCCTGGAACTCCGGGGTCATGAACTCGTCACCGGGACCGGAACGGTTGAGGATGGCGAAGTGGACCTGGAACCAAAACAGGTAGAACAAGAAGGGAATGACAACGAGACCAACAGCGCGAGCAACAAAGTGCTTGCCCCAGCTGATCATGTCGAGTGCGCCTTGCTGACGGTTGATATCCAAGAGGTTCCACAAGTCGATGAGGACAGCCGCACCAATAGTAACGAAAGTGAAGAAACCAACATATTTGGTAGAGATGACACAGCTCATGCAGAAGCCAGTCAACAAAAGCCACTTCCACCACTTACGACCAAAAGGCTGGTGACGCAGCTTGTAGAATCGAACGTAACAGAGGATGCTGAGAGCCATGGACAACACGAGAGTGGCATCCAAGAGAATCAGACGGTCTTCCGCAACGTGAGCATTGTCAAAGACCATCAAGCCAGCTGCCAGAACGCAAGCGGGCAAAGAGTATCCGGACTCCCACATAATGAGGAACACGACGGGAATGGTCAGGGCACCGAGGGTAGCAGGCATAGCACGCAGCCAGATATAAGGAACGTTGTTCTCGATGTACGAATCGCCAATGTTCTCGAAGAGGAAGTGTCCATCAAAGCCGATAAGCCAGCCCATGGCGGCAAAGAGCAGCTTTCCAAATGGCGGGTGGACATCGAAGAAGTAGGTGCGTTGCAGGTAGTATGAAGCGAACTAAAACAAAGATCAAAGTTAGATAAAATTGCCCCTAATTCGTGAAAACCCTGTTCGCGACAATCGCGTCGAAGCAATCGACTCCATACCTTTCCAAAGTGGACTTCATCGAAAACGACCTCGTTGGGGAAATCGATGCGGTAGAAGCGCGTAGCGAAAGCCAAAACAGTGAGAATAACTATGGCCAGCCAATAGTCCCATTCCGAACTTTTCTTGACCGGGGCCGCAGGAATCAAAGAGCCATCATCAGAGGGCAATGCCGTGTAAGCCTCCTTCTTTCCACCTCTCTTCCGCAGAGAGGGCGAAGGGGACGACATAGTTGGATGGATGAAAGAGAGCGACCGAGAAACTACCTATAGTCAAATAGACTTCGGGGGAGGAGTCAGTATGAGAAAGCAAGTAAAGCACAAAGAGAGAAGGAAGAAAAACATACTAGAATCACCAATAAAGCATGACCAACAATGACCTGTAAAGGAGGAAAAGGAGTAGAGGGGGCGAAGTTGTAGAACGTTGCGTGTCTTCTTTGCACAGGAGGGCGGTGGCCCATGCTCCACTTGTATACTTCATTGAAACACGCCCTACGTAAGCCTTGTTTGAGTATTTCATTGTCAGAGGATTTACCAATTACATATATTAGGGAATAACATAGAATTGGATCAGTTCGGTGAGTTTCGACCTAAATATTAGGTGCTGTTGATCTGCCGTAGATTTGTGGTGTCTCCTTTGACCACGGTTTCGGACTATTTGTCGGACTATTATTTGCATTCAATTGAACAAAAATGCAAGGTTCAAGACATGGATGTGTACCTTTGGGTCTACTATGCATAAATTTTTATTGTTGCATACTGTAGAACCCATTTCGGTCACACATCATAGACCCCAACGGGCAATAACAACATTGGAACACACATTGACTGCTGAATAGAGAGATACATTAAGGTCATATAGGAACCAGTCTAAACACACCAAGACACCACAGTAATACACCAAGGTCCCTGCTCCTAGACCTCCCGAATAACAAGCCACAGCCCCTTCCGAAAAGGCACCTCATCTTCAGTCTCCTTCTCTGTCGAACACTGATGCCTCGCATGCCTCCGCCTGCGCCCAAGATCTTCCTCTGGATCCTTGGCATCATTCCTTTTCTTCAATGCAGCATTAAACCTCGTCAACCGAGACTTTGAAGACCAAGGCAAGATATCAAACTCCAGCTCGGCAATCCAAGGACCCAATGTCTGGATACGTCGCTGGCTAACATCCACCTCCTGCTGTTGTTGCAGAGACCCATCATCGCCTGGGCTATTCGCACCAGCCACATTCTGAAGCTGCAGCAAAAGCGGCGCCTCACGATTAATCTTGCCCTGTGAATCCAGGATAGGGATACCAGCAAGATGGGCCAAAGCATCCAACTTGGCAATTTCAATCTTCAATCCTCGCGGACCGAAGATATCTCTATTGGCAGTCTTGATAGATGAATCTGTCCGGCTCTTTGAAACGCCTTGGCTACCCAGATTGGCGAGACCGCTGACTGCGGACCCGATCCAGTGCAGGGGAAATAGGATCGGGACGGAGTTTAGGATCCCGCCTGTTGCGTCTAGGACTTGCAGGGGTGGACTGCTTGAGATATCTTTGTTCAGTTGGTCGAGGAACGTGAGGAAGGAATCCTTGGGGAGGTTGTAGGACTTGAGGATTGGTGCGTAGGCGCGGATGAAGGGGGAGTCAAAGGAGGAGGTTATGGCGGGGATTGCGATTGGTCTTTTTGTTGATGCTGACCCTATGCTTGGTTGGGGAGTTGTAGTGACTGGGGTTGACGGTACATATTCTCGTTCTTGTTCTTGTTCTTGTTGAGTTGAGGGTCCTGGAGCTGTATATGCTGGCGGCATATCTGCTTCCTCTGAGGCCGGCCCCATGGCCTCAAATGGGTTCTGTTTCTTTTCGTCAGACATGGTGAGTTGGAGAGAAGTGAGAATGTATTTTGCGGACAATGTCCATCTTATATGGGGGCCAAATTTCTTCTATGGGGGCCAAATCAGCCTTCAGTTCTAAGGTGGGGGGACGGATAAGCTCAGCCTCAAATTTATCGGTGCCCTACGGTGGCTTAGAGATGAATTTGATTTCCTCACCAGAAAACAAGCATTGGCTTGCAAGGTTGTCAGAGTGGACACTATGCCTTATCGGGTATCCATTGCGAGATGTCGTCACCGCCCTACGGAGCTTGGAAGCATACAAATATCCAAAAACGTCTTGGTGGTTTCTCATGTTAAAAGCATCAAAAATTTCCCTGAAACTCCAAATGCACTCCAAATAATGCCAGCAAAATAGCTTCGCGAAATATGCATCTGAATCTCAAGATCATGGCTCATGGGTATCAAATCAACACCTCAATCATCATCCGAAACATTCAACAACTCCAGCTCGGTCGACACCAGGGCCTGGAATTCGGCACGGGGCATTCCCGTGGCCTTGGCCAGGCGAAACAAGCTCTTGATACTGGTGCCAATATGCTGCTTCACTCCAACCTCACACGTAGACCGGTTCTCGGCTTCTTGTTCCAGTCTGGCAACCGAGCTACCAGAGGAAATAGATGACGGGCGAGGGTGGTTCAGGGCTTGGGCAGCCTGATCAGTTGGAATATCAGCAGCAACGTACCCATTTGTACGTGGTGCATTCGAATCATCAGGCCCGTCAACCTGGCGACGAAGCAGGCTGGCCAGCATATCGCCATTGAGAGAAGACGGACCCACCTCGGTCTGTTCTTCCGTGGGGTCATGGCTATCCAAGGCGGGCTGCACGTCGCCGTATTGAGAGAAATACGTTTGTTCGGACAGACCTGACGGTCCCAATGATGAAGAGCCAGCCGCTGGTGCTGGGGTCTTGGATCCAGGCGTAGCATCATACTGAGCCCAATAATCGTCGTCGTCGTCTTCTTCCTCCTGGTGGCCATTATCCTTGAGATTTTCCTGTCCAGTAGCCCCATTCACACCATTTGTTTGAGTCAGAGAATCAGCCTCTCCAATGGATGAGGCCCAGGTATCCTCCTTATCAGCAGGTCCTTCCTGTGGCAGAAGCTCCGCAACCCGCCAGCCGGGGCCACCTCCCTCTTCGTCTGTTGGGCACCAAAGGTAGAACACAGTAATGCTGTATTCTGGCAAAGAGACCTGGGCCTGAAGAGTCTCATAATCGATCCGTTTGTATGTCACGGGCAACTCATCGGGCAGCTCGATCTCGCCCGATACGGGGTGCGGTTCAAAAGTAGCGCCGTCAATAATCATACGCAGGCGCTCCGCTTTGCCCACATCCCAGCAGAGAAGTTGCAGCCATGAGTCGGTGGAAGAAGTAGACAGTGAGCTCAGGACGTTGACTCGTTGGCGCAGAACCGGAGAGAGGAGCGGGAGAAGTGCTGGAGGCGCACGCGGGGACACGAAGGCTAGCGGGAGGCATGCGAGGAGAGGAGGGAGTAATGAGCGTGTCTCTGGGGGGGTAATTAGGTCGACCATGGTGACTATGAAGAAAGGAAATGCGGAGGTGGAGGAAACTGAGGGACAAGCTCCCAAAAATGACTAGGGCTCCATTCGCCCGAACGTGGGGCAAAACAGAGCAATCACCGGCACGCTTGAATTTCCATGGCTCTCAGGTCCCGTTTAGGGCTCGGTCTTTGGGTTTCGAGTCTTGGGTTTGGATGCAGTCAGCTTTGATCTAGATAATTTCACTCCAATTGGTCCTTTTTTCGTTCTGATTCGCGCTAGATGATCCAATCCCGAACACCTCAAACTTATTTTGAACGCTATGAAACACCTCTGGCGAAAATAGCTATCATTTCGGAGTTGAGAGAACGCCCAGTTGGTTTGGAAATATTTGAACATCGACTAGAAAGCGAAGAGAAAAATCCAAGCAAAAGAATGAACCGAAAAGAAGGAGCTGCGTAACTATCGCATGTGCCTGGATGCCAAGGCCCGGCCAACTCCAAATCATCAACGTTATCTTGCCTCAATCCCTGGCTTCCACTTGACAACATTGAGTCATAGTGGGATGGTGAATTGGGCTTTCTAGAATGTATCTATGAAGTATTCAAGCTTCAAATATCGAAATAAAACATAATTTTGAATTATATATTTTGGTCTCAGACTCGAAGAACACACTGCTAGACTATGCACTTACCATTATCCTTCTATAAACTTTTAACCTTAAACCGTTATGAAAACCGCACACCATTTTCAGCGATATCAATCTCCTTGTCGTCCACAAGAATTGACAACCGCAAATCCTCCAGGTCAGCCAACGAGGAAGGGGAAGACGAAGACCTAGTGGAATTTCCCTCCTCCCCATGAAGCTCCCTCCAATGAGCAATCTCCTGCCGACCTTGATCGTTCGGAAGATCCGAATAATACCAATACTCGTGATGGTCGCGCGGACCACGACACGGGCTATGGCGGGAAAGAGAGACCTGAACACGGCGCGGCATGAGTCTGGTAAACAGAGGCCAGATACTCATGAGACAAGCGGCAATGAGAGCGACCCCTCCTTCGATGACAGCCAAAACAGACCCTTTGATTGAGATCCCTATGTAGAAGATAATTAGTCCATCTGCTCTGCTTCTCATCCAGAAATGAGGCTTACATGTCGGGTCATGGATGGCTTCCGAGTAGTCGGCAAAGTATACAGTCATCCGGAGAATGCTGGCAATAGCACCGCTAAGAATAAGAGTCAGTATTACAGCGATTAGCCAAGTATCTTAATAGTGAGTAACTCACATTCCACTCAGCAGAAAAATACCCGTCAGTGCTATCTTCTGTCCTCGGGGCGCGTGTAGGTTCCAAACTGACGGGATAGGCAACACCAGAATCAGCACACCCGTCAAGGAATTTAACGGCGAGAGAACATGAAAGGCAAGTGGTCCATGAATACATGCCCCGTTGGTGATGCGCGTGGTTCCTAAAATGGTTGCGTACCGACATTCGAAGAAAGCGTTGATGAATGTTGTAAGTCCTACACTGAGGACCAAAGCACCGACTATATAGGCGCATACTTGAAATTTCCGAACCGTGAAAATGCGCACATAGAAGATGAGCAGGGCTAATTTGGCTGGGGTGGTGGTGAATGGGTAATCGAGAAGTTCAATAGCGAATATGCCCTTGATTTTAGATCAGCCATTTTTTCTATAGAACCTTGGCGTCTTGAAGCGTGCGTACTTTCAACGTGAACAGAGTTTTGTCGGGTAAGTGGGATACGAAAGCATAGTGATATCCCATTCCACCGATAGTCACCACTATGTGAAAGATGAGTTGTCTGTACCATCAGGCCTGTGATGGTAGATTGGCGGGACTCACACAGAATATAGATAGTTGATTTCGCTAGACTTGCAACCTGTTTACCACCCGATGAGCATTTGACTGGAATATAGGATGAATAAACTTACCAGAGAGAGTAAGACCAGATAGTCATCAATGCGAAGTTTCATCCGCTGCATACACCGAGTAACAAGCCGGGCTACAACGAAGAAGATTTGCAGGATAGCAATAGCAACAGCCGTGCCTATAATGGCATTACTGCCATACCTTTGCCGGTCCCCATCAACCCAGTCGTTGGCCATATTGCAACGATAACGGCCACATCAAACTCCCCATTGGCAAAAAAGACAAAGGAAAACGGTTGTAACGCTTTATAACCAGATAATATACACAGCGAAAGACAGAATATAAGACAGAAAATCCAACATTATAGGCAGGACTTGCAATATATCAAAGACCGATTCAAACATGTTCGGCCCAAAGCCCCAAAGCAGAGACAGAAGACGTATGTGGAACCCTACCACGAATGAGGGTATACACACCCTAACCTCTGAGAAGCGCAACCACAGATCGAAAGCCGAACAGCGCGTGGAGAGAAAGTCTATCAGCAATTGAGTTTCCATGCGCCATGGGTTGAAATCACAATCCCCCATTATATATGGCTCTCCTTTCAATATCCACCCGCCCCCAACGTGCCCAGAGGTAGCCCCCATTTCTTGACATCATGATCGTATTTTGTCTTCGGGGCCTTCGGGTTCGGGAAAGGTTCAACGAACTAGGTTACAATTGTCCACCTCGGGAACAAATACTCTGTTCGCTAAGGGTATGCTCGAATGCTATCCGAGGTAGCCCTTCCTCAGTCCTGGGTCCTGGGCTTGAGGCGAATCCGATCTCGCTACATCGGGAAGAATCATAATCCTCACAAGCCCCATTTCCATTTTCGGAACTCGGAGGCTTTTCATCGGGAAATCATGTGAAACCAACAGTCGATTGGAGGATCTTCGGCCAGACTCGTGCCTATCACCGCTACTCCAGGTCTTGACCATGAGTCTCGACCAACTTTAATTCGGTTTACGTAGTGGGTTTTTCCCATCGGGTTCGGATTCGGGAGATGACCGTTTCGATACACCGGATATCACATTGGTGGTGGATTTGGGAAAGGGCCAAAGTTTACAGTAGGTGGGATGAGGGTTCGTTGATTTATTGGCGACCTCGCGTGGTCGAGGCCTGTCGAGACCCTATTTCCTTGTATGATGTATGCTCTGATATTTGGAAATGCGATATCGATGAAAGCGACCAAAGCAAAGGAGATTCGCCTGAAGGATTTCATCTAGCCGTGCACTGGGAGCCGGGAGTTACTCATTGGGAACCACCATATACCACCCGCCACCAGTAACAAACCGAGTCTGAGTGGTTACAGCCAAAAGGCAAAGGGATCTTTCTTCATTGCTATTGGCGATGGAATTCATTACCGGTACATGCACAAAGTATATGGAAGAGAAGGGGGTATATGGCAAGACGGGGCACCCAAGAAAAAGGTGAACGGGGAAGGTCAGCCCGCGGAAGAAAACTACATCAACAATGGTTGGAAGACACAAGTCTTTGGCGTGGTAGAGTTAAGCCACCCGATCCTTGTTCTCCAATTTTCCTACCAACCGCTTCATATCTGTCCACTCCTCCGCGGGCACTTCTTCAGGCAGTCCACCCAGTCCCTTGCCAACCTCAAAGACCGTGATGACACCATCCAGGCCGCCAGTTGCAAGTCGGCGTCCTTCACGCTCTTCCCATGCGACCTTGTTCAGACTCTGGGATAGGATACCACCACGACCGCGGGATGGTGTAGTACGGACGGCGGGTACCTCAGTGTCCGAGGCAAGGTCCCATACTTCCACGTTGCCGGCGCCATCGACAAGGGAGAAGACGCCGGGTCGGTGTGGAGACCAGCGTGCATCGTAGACCACATCCTCGCGGTTGATCTCGAGGATGGGTGAGACCACCTGTGTTTGAGCGATACCGGATGTGACAGAGGCAGTGGTCGCTGGTGGCCGCACACGCCAGAGTCTGACACTCCAATCTAGACTGGAACTCAACATGAGATCTCCTAGATCGACTGGTCCACGGCCAGGGTGGAATGCGGTGGACATGATCGGCGCTGCATGTCCACGATAGGCCAGACGATGATCTGTGCCAGCCTTGGCTCCAGCTCGATCGTACCGGTGGCAGGGGTAGATACCTCCTTCTTCAGTGCCCACAATGAAGAATGTGGGATCGGAGTGAGGGAATGACATGGTGGTAGGGGCGAGATCCTCCGTCTTCGATGGGGGAGGTGTAGTCAGTTCCAGATATTCTTGCGGTTGGGAAAGCATATCGACAGTCCAACCACAGACCACACCGTCTGTTGAGGCAGTCATAATGTTGTGTGCATTCTGTGTACCAACAATTGAGATGCTGTAAACGGGATGGGTGTGTCCAGAGCCAGTCAGGGGGGTCTTTTGTACTGGTGCGCCTCCACCAGCGCGAGAGGAGCGAGTGTCCCACAGGAGGACCTGTCCAGAGTAAGAACCACCAACAATAAGGTTCGGATGGTAGGGAGAAAACTTTGCGGTGAGAATATCAGAGGTAGAATGGAACACGTATTCCGGGCGAGACTGTAGGTGCTGGTTCCAGACCTGGACAAGCCCATCTGGTTCGTGAGGAGCGGAAGGATTTTTGGTGTATGATGCAAGTAGTAATTCCGGGAACTTGAAACGGTCAGTACACAAAACATGTATCAATATCGAAGGCAGTGCTCACCTTAGGAGAGAAACTCAGATCACTGATCATACGCTTCTTACTCCAACGTTCGTCCCAGAACTGGCATACTTCTCGAATTCCTCTCCGTTTCTTGCCAGTCTCTTCGTCTTCTTGCAAATCTCCGTCAGTTCCGCCAAGCTCGTAATCTGCCAGTACATCGTAGTCCTCGTCTAAAGCTCGCTCGATGACCTTCGAAGAACGTTCCACAAAGTCCAAGAAGTCGTCCGACGATGTGACAGCCTTCAATTCGTCGTCGTCGAGTGTGCGCAGAGGGTATCTTAATTGTGAAGATTGCGCATCTGTCTTCTCATTATTCTCTGTCTGGCTAGTAGCCTGCAATTCTTCTTCGATTTCCTTGCGAAGCTTCTGTCGGATTTCTTCGTCACGTTCCCGGTCCCGTCGACTAAGACGCTTGCTCGACCGGCTGGTACCAGGGGCCTCTTCATTATCTGAAGCAACAGATTCGTCAGGAGTCTCAACTTGAAGATCCAATCCATCTGTTTGTACTGCTTTACTGTAGGTGACGACCTCTGGTTTGTGTTTGCGTTCGGGTTCGAGTTCAGGGGGTTGCGGGGCTTCTGTTGCGGAGGAAGTGTATGGCCCCTCGCCGATTGTTTGGACAGCAATGGACTGAGATTGTGGACGCGATGAAGAAGCATATGCGTCGGTGTTCTCTCCACTCAGTTGACTGGCGCTGAGCACGGAGGTTGGCCGACTTCCTCTGCGCGACTGGCTATCCGCGCCATGGCTCAGAGAGGCGGATGCTGGGCGATCCACCAGACGAGAAATCAAGTCATCAAGCTCGTGTCTGTTATCGGTGCGACTAAACGCTGGCGAGATAATCTGCTATTATGATTAGCTTCATTTGAGCTCCATAGGCAGTTCACATGCTGCATTTACCTCCGAAGCATCACCAACACTAGTTCGGGATGTGAACTCCTTCTGGCGAAGCTCACGCTGCCTCTTCAGCTCAGCAAGCTTCGCCTTTTTGGCAAGGATCTCATCCTTACGCTGCTGCATTGACATCTTGAACAACCATGAAGAAATTAGACCAGACGTGTCGTTCGTACAAGTGTAGTAGGCGCGGTTTATTTACCCGGGATGACTAAGGGTTGAACGGGCGGCTTCGGAAAAACCTCGCGCAGGGACTGAAGATTGAACCTCGCCCCAGACCATTACGGAGACACCTTGCCATTGTCGGTTGACACCTGTGAAACGGACCTTCGGTATCTTGCGATCTTAATTCCTTCTTTATTCCCGTCCTCCGAATTTATCACAAAAATGGCTAGCACTCAGGGTGTCAATGTGAGTATCAGCTAAGGGTGACCCTCTCCGCGAACCGGCTGTTGACCACGTCTTCGCATTCACAGGTCCTCCGTTACTCGGCTCTCGTTGCCGGTCTAGTTTATGGTGTCTACCACCAGTCCTCCCTCAACTCGATCACCAAGCGCACAGAGATTGAGCACGAGTACGCTCGCAAGGAGCGCCTGATTGAGCAGGCCAAGGCCGAGTACAAGAAGAAGACCCAGCCCCAGGAGACCAAGACACAGCCCACCGGACGTACGTTACAACTCCCTATTAACACGGCCTGACTCGATGCGAAACGATCCGAAGCAGCCGTCTACCCACCACCTCCCCAGCGCTAACCAACTCCTTCTCTAGTCATCACGAATTTCGAGGACCCCAAGTTCGACCTGGAGGCATTCTTGCAGGCCAAGGCTACGGGATCGCAGTAAATGCGATGGATAGGAGAGTGGAGGAATGATACGCAATGATCTATTTGCGGGAATCGCACTTCTCCCAGGGTATTAGACGCGATTTGCTCAAGTCCGCTCCATATTTCTGTACGATTGTTTGGGTTTAATCTGCCCCCGAGCTGTGGCATTGCGAGCGAAAGATGGAATGATTTTGTTTCTCATTTTTAGACGTTTTATCTGGGTCCTGTACATACCCTGGGCTGTCGTGCGCCTGTACACTACAGTTGGACCATAAGCAAGAGCAAAAGATCGTGTTATGCATTCCGGCGTTCATTCTTATATGCCCCAGACCGATTCAAGTTCTGGCGTTCCTTTCTCCTCGCACTTGTATTATCTGGACGGGATATGTAGCCATCTAGCCATGTAGCAATCCAGCCATGTAGTCTTCTCTGGACGGGGAATCGAAGATAACTAGCAATGTCTCGAGGGACCTTTGACAAATTCAACTTCCGCTCTTTCCAAGCATTTTCATTGCATCGTGAATGCTGTTCGAGGATTGCTTCTCCGTGGGCAATACAACGATAGCTTTGGGGTGTAGCAACTTTGTCTCCGGGTCCCACGTCCATCCACACTTCGTAAACTTGGCTATTATATTGGGATCCTCCTGCTTGGCAGACAGTTCATCGAGACCGAGATATTTTGCTGCTGTCGACAGCCTTATCGCTTCGTAGGATGTGCTCACGGAGATCAAGGTTTTGTCTTGGTAGAAGCCTAACAACAATTTCAGTGACTACTGACCAAGTTTGGTAGGCTTGAATACATACTTTCATATCTGAGTACTAGTGGCTGGAGCACCTCCGGCCATGGACATTGTCTGAGGATTTGATAGACCTGGTCAACTTGCGTTTGCCATACCGCTCGTAGTAAGGTCAAGCAGTTTTGCAGAGAAGGATCTTGGTGTAGGAGAGATACAGGAATTCGTTTTGTTAAGGCTCGAGCTTCCGGCCTGTGGTACAAGCCTTGTCAGTGGTTGATATTCAATAGGATAGCCCTTGACGACTTACACTTGATCGGTGAGGAGATGGACGAGAAAGAAGCTGGAATAAAACGTGCTCAATAGTGTTTGATCACCACCACCAGTTTCAGGACTGCCGTTGCCTGCAGACATAAGACATGCTTCATGTTCGTATTGCGATAAGGCTTCGAAGAGCTGTGACGGTGGAGCGTTGGAGCTTATGAGCCCTGCAAGCTGCTCCAGAGTCAGCGGAGGCAGCTCCATCTGTGACATGAAAGACAATGAAGTGTAGATGGTTCTATTTTCTGAGATCAGATACCGCGTTAATGTTGAGAGTCGTGAGAGAAGAGATCCAACAGTCATAGTATTGCGGGGAGCAATCGGAGGTGGCGCCTCTCGCCGGTGCCAAGACCCTCAGAAGTGACCACCTTGTCGTAGCTCTCGCTCTTCCCATCTACACCTACGGCCCTCACCATTGGCACTCCAGCCCAATCCACTCCTTGTTTTCATGTTTGAAGTTTGATTTCTGATTCTGGACTTTGCTCCTTTTGGCCATTATGGCCCAGTCTTCGCTTGATGTTCTGCTGAAAGGCAGCTCCGGCCGAAACACGCGCGGTCTATTGCGGGTTATCATTCTCTGTACTATTGCAGCCGCCGCGGTGGCTAGTCGATTGTTCAGTGTTATCAGTACGTGTCAATTGAGACCCTGGATAACTACTGTACTAACTTGTTTGCAGGATTTGAGAGTATCATCCACGAATGTACGATTCTACGTTGCATTAGGCACAATCACCTCGGCCTTCCCCAGACCCCTCGAACATGATATTAATACAATTCTTCTAGTCGATCCGTGGTTCAACTTCCGAGCAACAAAATATTTGATTGAAAATGGCTTCTATAGCTTCTGGGATTGGTTTGATGACCGTAAGCATCCCTTACCCGCGATTGCGCGTCCTCCGAAGGTGGTATACTCGAGGTGCTGATGGAATATTTGAATAGGAACATGGCATCCTCTGGGTCGTGTCACTGGTGGCACATTGTACCCTGGCTTGATGGTGACTAGCGGCGTGATCTACCACATCCTTCGTTTCCTCACTATCCCCGTCGACATTCGCAATGTCTGTGTCTTGCTTGCCCCAGGCTTCTCTGGGTTAACTGCTCTGGCCATGTACTTCCTGACCTGTGAGATGTCTACCTCGCCCTCCGCTGGTCTTCTTGCCGCGGCCTTCATGGGTATTACACCGGGTTACATTTCGCGATCCGTCGCAGGAAGTTATGACAACGAGGCTATTGCCATCTTCCTGCTGGTATTCACATTCTTCCTCTGGATCAAGGCTGTCAAGAATGGATCCATCATGTGGGGAGCTTTGACTGCCTTGTTCTATGGATACATGGTCTCCGCTTGGGGTGGATACGTTTTCATCACGAACTTGATTCCTCTCCATGTCTTCGTCCTTATCTGCATGGGACGATACAGCACCCGTGTGTATATCAGTTATACCACTTGGTATGCTCTGGGAACACTGGGCAGCATGCAGATTCCATTCGTTGGATTCTTGCCTATTCGCAACAGTGACCACATGTCTGCCCTTGGTAAGATCTTGGAGCTGCTTCCTTCCTCATACATTGTACTGACCATTCAATAGGCATATTTGGCCTGCTCCAATTGGTGGCGTTTGCTGAATTCGTTCGGGCATACCTGCCTGGCAAGCAGTTCCAGAAGCTTTTGACTGCTATGGTTCTCCTCACCATTGGCATCGCCTTCAGCGGTCTCATCTTGCTCTCGGTGACTGGGGTCATCGCCCCCTGGAGTGGCCGTTTCTATTCCCTCTGGGACACCGGCTACGCCAAGGTGCACATTCCCATCATTGCTTCCGTTTCTGAGCACCAGCCTACTGCCTGGCCAGCCTTCTTCTTTGACCTGAACTTCCTTATCTGGCTCTTCCCCGCCGGTGTGTTCATGTGTTTCCAGAAGCTCAAGGACGAGCATGTATTCGTGGTCATCTACTCCGTCCTCGCCAGTTACTTCGCTGGTGTTATGGTCCGTCTCATGCTGACTTTGACTCCCATTGTCTGTGTTGCGGCTGCCCTCGCCTTGTCGGCCATTCTTGACAACTTCCTGGTTGCCTCCTCTCCCACTCCAGAGTCCAAGGCTAAGGCCGCTGCTGAAGACTCCACGTCTCTTCGATCGACTCGCAACCCCGTTGTTGGCATCTACTCGTACTTCTCTAAGTCTGTCGTGACATGTTCGGTAACCCTCTACTTGCTTCTATTTGTCGCACACTGCACTTGGGTCACCTCTAACGCCTATTCTTCCCCCTCTGTGGTCCTGGCTAGCAAGCTTCCCGATGGAAGTCAATTCATCATTGACGACTACCGTGAGGCGTACTACTGGTTGCGCCAGAATACCCCTGACAATGCCAAGATCATGTCCTGGTGGGATTACGGATACCAGATTGGCGGTATGGCTGATCGTCCTACTCTTGTTGACAACAACACCTGGAACAACACCCACATCGCGACTGTTGGCAAGGCCATGAGCTCGCGTGAGGAGGTCAGCTACCCCATCTTGCGTCAACATGATGTCGACTACGTCTTGGTTGTGTTTGGTGGTTTGTTGGGTTACTCAGGCGATGATCTGAACAAGTTCCTTTGGATGGTTCGGATTGCTGAGGGTATCTGGCCCGATGAGGTGAAGGAGCGTGACTTCTTCACTGCCCGTGGCGAGTATCGTGTGGACGAGGAGGCCACTCCTGCCATGAAGAACAGCTTGATGTAAGTGGCCTACTCTCGTATGATTTGAAAACTTTACTGACCCAAGAACAGGTACAAGATGTCTTACCACAACTTCCAGAACCTCTTCCCTCCTGGTCAGGCAATGGACCGGGTTCGCGGCACTAAGCTGCCCAAGGAGACCCCTCAGCTCAACACGCTGGAGGAGGCCTTCACCAGTGAGAACTGGATTGTGCGTCTCTACAAGGTCAAGGACCTGGACAACCTTGGCCGTGACCACAGCAACGCTGTTGCCTTTGACAAGGGCCTCAAGCGTAAGCGTGCCACCAAGAAGAAGGGTCCTCGCGTTTTGCGAACCGAGTAGAGCATTATTTCTAGATTCATTTTGCATTTTTGCTGGCTGTTATAACTACATAGCAAGCCGTTGTACTGTGTTTCCAAAACTTACCAATACATACTCTTGGTCCAAATTCCTGCCAGTAGATCAGTACCTGCGCATATGCTTCTCGCTTTCATCTGAATATCTGGTCACAAAGTTACAGCGCTGAAGTATAGATCAAGTCTAAGATGGCAGTATAGCGGACCCAGTGGGGCTACACAAGATGGATAATCCGAGGCTCATCCTTCAATATTCCGCATATTCCAATACAATTCAATTCATTCTGTACATTGCAGCATAAATGCTGAGATAACCGCAACCGCTAAACTTGCAGATCTGAAAAACAAGGTCTTCCGAAGACTCCAAAACCCCAATTTGCACCGTTGTTCCTTGGTCACAGTAGGATATTCAAATACGCTGTGCGGGTATATGGTACACACGGAGCATATCAAAAAGCTCAACCGTGTCAACCCAGTATTGACTACCAGGGGGCTTGTGATATGCTTCACTTCTTCTCCGCGGGAGCATCGGGGACTTTGACGTCGGAGAATTCTTCTTGACCGACAGCCTTGATAGTGTAGGAGTCTATTTGTATTGAGTTATGGTTAGCCAATTGGTCCTGTTGGTTTGGGTTGGGCATGGGTGGGTTGCTAAGCAGGCAGGCGGTGGTGGTGGCATGATCCTCTGTGTTGAAGACAAAGGACTGCTTTACTCCAGACATTGGAGTCGCGGAAAGAGGACGCTGGGGTTCATTGTATACTCACAGACTGCAATTGTGAATGCGAACAGTCCAAAGCCGGTGAGGGCGTTCTTGAAGAGATAGGGCCGGCGGGCACGCAGAAGGGCGGCGCCCGCGCGGTAGTCCTTGCCGTAGTAGGTAGAGTTGAAGCTGAGATGATGTTAGCAAGAGTAAGCCGTCCATTTGAGGGTTCACACATACATTCCGGTAGCCATGTTGAGGAGATGCAGACGGAGAAGTCGGAGACCAGAAAGTTGAGGCTTTGGCGGAGGAAAAGTCTTGGCATCTGAGGCTCCGACAAGAGAGCGAGACACGACTGGGATGTTATTTCAATACGGTTGAAGAATAGTTGATAAATGGGAATCATCCCGTCAATCGAGTTTCAAGCCCAATTCCAATATCAATTGAATCTTCTGTCGTGACTATTGAAATGCGCGTGTAAAGCCATACAATACATCGGAGTCTTTGGCGATCCTCGCCCTTTCACATCTCACTTTGGTCGCAACCTTACCCTCACATCTCTCGACACTCTCTACCACCACACCCTCTCTCAACACTATCGTTACTCATTCATCCAACCCGCATTCTTTCGCACACTAGTCGGGGCGCGTTCGAACTGCGAGACCGACGTTCTTCGAAAACACGCTCCCTCCGTCTCGGTCTCGACCGTGTCGCATACCTGACATCCACCCAGCAAAGCCATAATGGCTCAACCCGCCGACGCCGACCAGGTCACTCAGCTCAATGCTGCCCGTAATCTCGTCCTCGGAGACGCTGCCTTCTATCCTCAGATCGTAAACGGCATCCTCCCCATCGTTGGAGCTAAAACCCGACTGGAGCTACGAAGATGGGGTGCAGACTTCTTAGCCGAAACATTTGCTAGTCCGGTACTTGCTGTAGCTCAGAAGGAGCAGCTTGCCCCCAATGTCCTACAGACAATCCGAGAAATCCTAGAGCTCCCGGAGAAAGACACTGCGGTGCTGCAGAGCTTAGTGCAAACCTCCGCTAGCTTGTATCCGCTTGTATTCAGACATATGTATGTTGAACCATTTTATCTGCTTCAGGGCTGCGCGGAAGCGCGCTTGAATTCCGAAATGGCCATCATGCTAACGATATCTCAATGGCAGTGTGAACCATCCTAATGACAGCGAAACATGGGAGACTATGAATGCTATCAAACAGGTCATCTTCCGCCAAATGGACTCCTTCCCATGTCCCGTCAGAATCTGCTGCGCAAAGTTCCTACAGCGCGTAGTTCAAGTCCAGACCCCAGGATTGATCTCAGACCCTAGGGTATGTTCATCGATCTTCACAGGCTTTTCATACTGGTTACTGACTATATTCTAGCGACCGGAACAAAATGAGACTTCCCTGGCTATTGTGCCTCGTAACCATGCCCTTCTATCAATCCCAAATCTGGAAGCCGAGTCATCGGGTCTACTTGACCGACTGCTTGGTGTTTTCCAAGAAGAGATCAGGTATGATAACCGGATGGTAATTCCCTTGGATGCCAATATCAGCGCTAACTCCAATCAGCGATGCTCTCCTTGTGAATGCTACGTTGAATTGCCTCGCACCTCTCATCCGAACTCGTCAGTCTATCGCCAATAAGATTGTGAACGCCGTTCTGGAATTTTACCCTTCCACACACGTTCGCCCTCCTTTTACCCCAACTGTTCGCGTCAGCGTTAAGTCCATGGAGAGGACTGCACGAGCTTTGCTTATCAATATCTTGAAAAGGTATTGTATTCTTCCGACTGAGGCACATGGGTAATATTAACATAATTAGAAACCCTAATCACCCCATGGCTGGTAAAATGCAAATGTACATCGAGCGCCTCATGCAATCACGTCTTGAGGCTCCTGATGATGCTTCTCGAAAGCGCGGGCTCCCCAATGAGCCTACTGATGGACTCGATAATGCAAAGCGGGCACGACTTAATGCTTTGACTCCCCCCATGCTCAAAATTCCACCGATGGCACCAGGGCCCGCAAGCTTTGATAAACTTTTCACCTTAACTGAAGACATCGGATTGTCCTCTTTCGACGTGAAGCAGCTTCCATTCGATTTAGTTCTTAAAATCGTCGTGCCCCTCTTGACCCAAGTCCACGACACGACACTCACGCAGGCTACTGAGGTAAGTAACACTACAAGGATGATATATTGACTACTCACTCACATTACACCAGGCCATTCGTACGCGGTTGCAGACAATTACCAAGGAGCAAAACATACAGCGACAGCAACAGCAGCAAGCAGCAGCGACAGCAGATGATGACGATGATTATGAACCCGAATATCAACCCATGGATGCGGCGTCAACCGTCTCCGAGGAAGCTAGTGCTGTCGCAGCAGAGGTCGCAGATTTCCAGCCAGACCTCGTATCCTTGGGTCCATTCGTTCTACCTCAGCCACCCCCCTTGACCGAAGAAGAGGCTGGAGAAATCGGCCGCAGTGCCGTTGCACGTGTATTTGGCATGTTGAATGCCGCCGAGACATCCCCTGCATCCACCAAGAACCAGAGCCAGCAGACGCTCGGTTTCTCCCGGTTAGCAGGAAGCACCTTTGACAGGGACGCATGGTCTGTTCTCCTTTCTCGTCTGGCCACTCGCGCTCCTGCTGGCCTAGAGGAAGATAACCAGAACAAAACAGACTCTACTGGACGCAAGCAAACCACCATTGCTGATTCTATCCGCGAGACGCTGTATCGTTACATCCTGGAGGATTTCCGGGGACGACTCAACATTGCTATTATTTGGCTTAACGAAGAGTGGTATAATGACCGGATCAAAATGAGAAGTGTTGCCAGCCAGCGTGATGCATCCGAGGAAGATGCCCAGCCGACTGTTCCTTTGCACTATGATACTTGGGTTGTTCGCCTTCTCGATGGTTTCCTGGCTTATCTTGATTCTCGGGATATCAAGGTTCTGGTCCGCTTCCTCAGTGAAGTCCCCGAGATCACCATTCCTATCACCCAGCGGGTAGCCAGTTTGGCCAAGGATCCCGAGCGTGTCAATCTTTGCGTTCAAGCTTTGATGTGAGTTCTAGTGTCACTGCCATCAAGACCCCATTACTGACTCTCATTCAGGTACTTGGTCATGTTCCGACCCCCCGCACGAGAGATGTGCCTGAACACGATAGAGGATGTCTACCAGACTTGTAAGTTGCCATTCCATTCAATTCATATTAGAACGGCCCACCTAACGTGACATCAACAGACGAGGAATCCCAACCTGCCGCTAGGAAGGTCCTTACCAAGTGGCGCCCAGAAAGTGCAGTACTAGCAAATGCAAATGGCGCCGAGGAGTCATCGGCTGCACCCTCGCAGCCTGAGGCACAGGCTACCCCAGCTGCCCAATAATTCACTTGTTGGTTGATGATGCGAGATGTTACAGTCTTCAATATGGAGAGCTAGGTGGAAAGCAACTTCAATTCGTTCACATATGCTCGCTCCTATCTTCGGCCATGTATCTTGGCCAGTGTTTTATTATGCCATTTCCCATTAAACATGTTAATATAGCGAATCATCTGTATTTCTTAGCTTGCTTTGGGCTCTCTAGTTTCGATAAAGGCTTGGTTGTCTCTTTCACTTGCATGCCGAGTAAATTCGATGGCCTTGTTTGGCCCCTAAGATATGAATGGCTGCTTTGCTTGTTGCACGGATAACATTACATCTTACAGAAGTATTGATATTACTATAAATGTTTGAAAGTTGGCAATATGAAGGCTCGATGGCATCTCACCAATAATTCGAACACAAATCCGATAGTATGATATCCCGCTCTTTGGATGGTAGAATATGCTGAAGATGGAAATGGGAGCGGATTTGAAAACTAAGGGCAACAGGGATACAAGGACAAATTGTGATGTACTTCTAAGTTCCTCGGGCGAATCAATTATATAAAGAACCAAATGCAAGAAGAGACATTTGAAGATTTGTGATAATCAAATACAATCGTGGTATTTACACTAACAAGCACAACACCAAGAAGAAGTGTAAGACACGGAAGAGAAAAGAAGAAACTCCAATGCAAGAGATATCCTAACCCTCTACCCAAGAGACCAGAAACCAGGAACAAAAAATAAGAAAAATCCATACCCCATACACCACATGTGATAGAACCATAAAACACCTCGAAACCAGATTACGTTCCATTCAGATATATGCCAAGAATCCAAGGTAAGAAATTGATGGCTGAAGGTTCTCACATATGAACGCTGCTGAGATTCGAAAATAAGAGATTCGGTGTTCCATCCATGCAAGCACAAAGTTAAGTCGCCTTTCTTTCAGGCTGGAGAGAAAGGCAGTTGAGGTACAATTGTGAGTGGGGCAATGAGAGAGCTAAAATAGACACAAGGTTGATCACAGAAAAGGAGAAGAGGGAGATGCAGAGGCGTGGAGAGATTGGTTGGGTATTAAGGGGAGTTGGCAGTTCAATCGTGATAAGTCAGGGACAAGAGTTAACGGGCTGGCATGTGATTTGAGCCAGAGCCAGTTGAGATCCCTGGCTGATGGAGACGGTAGTGCACCGTATCGACGGGTTTAGAAAGAGATGGGGAGGGATCCCGTTTGAGGCCGGCTGGGTGGAACAAGGTTTGTCGTGCAGGAGGCGGAGAGAAGATGTGATTGTGGATGGGGACGTCGGTAGTAGGAGAGCGGTGCTCGAGAGTGTGAGGAAGGTGTGGTTGTGATTTGCGTACGTCCAATGGCGAAGAACTTAATGAGCGGAATCCAGATTTGTGATGGTCCCCATCATAATCAGGGTTACGGAAGGGTCCTTGTGTTTGATGCCTCGAGTCTTGCTCCATGCCATAGGGGGTGTTGTTGGCAGATGAGTTGGCCGCAGAGGCGTTCTCGGGGATAGTTGATGCGGATCCATTCGGCGCATTGATGTCTACCACTCGCTTCTGAGCCGCTGGAGTGGTATATGACGATGGTTGCGGATGCTCGAAAGTATGCCCTTGAGGTCGATGTTGCTGTAAGTGATGTTGATGTTGATGATGTTGTTGCTGCTGATGAATCGGATGTTGCGGGTTTGCCCAGGGTGTCTGCTCTAGGAATGCTTCTTCGGCGGCGCGGAAGGCATGCGTAGACATGGCGGACATGGTCGTCCGTGGAGGCATTGCAGATGAATGCCTTGGTGCTGAGGCACGAGACTCGATGGTTATCTGCATCATGTTAGTAATTGAACAGTGGATTTGGAAGATACAAGCTACTTACCCCCATCTTTTCAAGATCATCATCAAGTTCCGAAGGGCGTGCGCCCAATAAGCTTGGAGCAGCGGGGAAGCCAACATACTTCGCAACACCAGCCATGATTGAAACTTCCTGGTTGTATGCGGACTGGTGTGCGATCTGCTGCGAACGACGAGTAGGGAAGGCGATGATGTGATGCGGGCTGAGCTCATCGGTCTTGAAGCGATCATGCTGAATGGCATAGAACTGCTTGCTGATGTCACTCGAATGCTTCTCACGCACATCTCGGACTCTTTGGAAGTATGTGCTGTGTGCCTGAGCTCGTTCTGCCAAACCCTTGTTGAGCAACGACTTCATGCGGTATTTATACAAGTTTTGCTCGTATTTGATCTTGGCGTCCCGGTAACGTTGCACACATTCGATCTGGCGCAGATACTCGGGATGCGTCGGATTCGGACCAGTCAACATCTCCAGTTCGCGGTTGAGTTTGGATATCCGTTCATCATAAATCCTGCGCTTGTTAACATCCACGTATCAGAAATGGGACTGGCGTCTTACTTGTCACGTAATGCCGCAAATTCTTTTTCTAACGTTGCCAGAGAATCCATAGCAGACATCTTTTTGACAGCTGTCCATGCGTTAGTAATCATGTTGCCTAAGACTCGTGGAGAACATACATTCTTCTTCAGCCCGAACTGTTGCTTCTGCGTCGTCAGGTTCATCGCCTCGTTCCGTAGGTTCTTCGTCTTCCCCGAGAAGCTCATCAACACCGTCCCCTGGAATGGCATCGGCACCGCCAGTCTCCGTCTCTTCGTCTGCATCTTGGGCCCGTCTTCCTTTCCGCTTACCCTTTTTACTCTTCTTGCCTTTCATAGGCGGGGCTGGGAGATCCAGCTCGGGAGCATCATCGGCCGGTGTGTCATCATCGTTGATCGCCATGGGATCTTCGAGTGGCTCGGGGGAGAGGGGGGTATCGTCATCGATCGCGTCGCTCAAATCGCTCTTTATGGAGCTTCGGCGCTTCTTCGTGGGCTCGTCGTCACCCAGCTCGGTGCCGGTTTCATCACCGGCCTCGATGCGTTTGCGCTTCTTGCCAATGCTTCCAGGAAGATCAACGTCACCAAGGTCGGGAATATCACTGCCCAATCCATTGTTTTTGGAAGGACGTCGCTTGCTAGGTGAGTCCTCGAGCGCTTCGTCGTCGACATCGTCAAGTGTCGTAGATTGGTGGAGCTTGCTCGGACTAGGCCCTGCGCTGCCGGCACTAAGCACAATGTCGCGCTTTCGGATGTTGTGGGGAGAATCCTCGATGCGCTCGGTCTCCGCTTCCGAGTCGTTCTCCATTGGCTTGTCTGATTTGATGTGGTCTTCGAAGTCCGATGGCTCATTCTCCGAGACATCGTCGATCTCACTCAAACTACTTGAACGTCCATCATCGTCCATGAGGGGGTCATCGAGAAAGGGATGCCGATCTCCGTTGGTCATGGAGTCTGCTCCCGTTGACGGACCAACGGAGGCCTGTTCTCTGCTCTCGGCCACCTCCATTGAAAAGATTGTAAGGGGTATAGCTGGCGCAAGCACAGTATGGACTGGAGAGAGGAAGGTTGGAAGGTATTGGCACAAGAGTTGTCCTCGGCGAGGTTGAGAATCGCCGCTGGCGTGAGGGGAGGAAGGTTGGTCACCGATCCACCAGATAGTGCTGGGATGGACAATCTGAAGAAATCAAGGACTGGATTAGCTCAATTGCCATGTCAACTCCGCAAAGTCAGTGGAAAACAGTGTTGGTGGGCAAAAGTGGTGGGTGGGTGCGAAAGATAGGTCAGCGCCTCCAGAAGGCGGTGGTGCGGAGATTGATCATCGGACGCCCCCAGAGTCGGAAACAATCGCCCAGCGTAGGAACTGGAGCCCGCGCAAAGCGAATGTACCGACAAAACTGACTCCAGGGGCAAGAAAAGGTCTTATTTCCTCGCAAATATGACCAGATGAAAGTCTGCCATTGATGTAATCCTCAAGCGACGTACCGTTTCAACAATGCGCCGGAACCGACGCCGGTGATGAGCACAGCTGCTCGCGACCGAGCACTATTCTCAAAATCACCGCGTTCCTGCGATGAGAGAGGTAACTTTAATACCAGCTCACGCGTACCGCCACTTTTATAGGTTGTGAAAGCTTTCGATTCGACGAATCCTGAGCAGACGGACTCTGGAGGGCGAGGGGAGGTCGGCTAGGAGGACAAGACGAGGGTACCGAGTCGCAGAAGGACGGACGGCATGAAGGTGTGGTGTGGGATCTTGACCAGGACCAAAGCAATGATCAGGGATGGTAAAGCAGAATAAAAGAGGGGGTTTCAGCAGCGAAAAGCAGCAGATCGCTGTGATGGGGTGCAGCAACAGAAGCGAGTGACGGGGTTCTGCCGCGTTCCGGCGAGGGCGAGCCTCACCGCCCGAAGGAAAAAAAAGCAGGTCACGTGAAGTGGTATCTGACGTAGATCCATAGCGGTTAGAAGAGAAGGATGAATATCTATCTAGTCAATAAATGAGACAGATCGTTTGATCAGACTGGAAGAAGAATAGACAGGACAAAAAAAATAGAGTGATTTGATGTGTATTGATCTATCAAAGTTCAATCATAACATTTACCCTCCGACTAACTTATTGACCAGCTGCTCTGTACATCACAGATAATATGTGCCAAACAACGCATGCAGAGAGGATCTTTATGCACCTCTATTGAATTTAGCCAATTTCCAATTTATCCCGTTTATCCCCATTTGTAGTTGATGTTCACACCGACTCTATACATGTCATGTGATAAGCAGCTTCCCGCGCCAAGACCCGATAAGCAGAAAAAAAAGTCGATAGAGATCGACTCCACGTCTCCTTTGATATCATCAATTCCACCAAGAATCAAAAATGGGAAAGAAGTCAAAGTCCCAGTCCAAGACGGACGACAAGCCCAAGGCTGCTGCTCTCCCTTTCGGAGGTGCGGCTGCTCTGGACCCAACATTGTCCTCGCTCTTCGCGCAAAGTGTATGTTGATATCGGTGACTTCAATGGCAGAATATTTGTCTAACAACCTTTAGGCTGGACCTGTGCAAGCCCCTACAGTGAAGTACACTGAGCCTTACCAGAAAGTGAAGAAGACCGAAGAGGATGCCGAGGAAGACGATCTATCCGCCGCATCGGATGATGAAGACATGGATGATGCCCCGGAGGAGAGCGATTCCGAGTCCGCAGAGGAGCAGCCTACAGATACCCAGAACCGAAAGCGCAAGCGAGGTGCTGCCGGAGAAGATCTCGAGGAGACATACATGCGTCGCATCGCAAAGGAGGAGGAGAAGGATGAAGAGAAGAGGAAATCCGAATATGCCAAGCGCCAAAAGCAGACAGGGACCCAGTCCGAATCAGAGGATGCCGAAGAAGCTGAAAGTGCCGACTCCGACAAGGAATCAGGATCCGAGGACAGCGATGAGGAGGAAGACAGTGGTCCCGCCCCCGTGCACGAAAGCTTGGCTGGTCCCACTCCTTCCAGCGAGGTTGAGAAGTCTAACCGTACTGTTTTCTTGGGCAATGTTTCCACTCAGGCTATCAAGTCCAAGACTGCTAAGAAGACCCTACTCCGTCATCTGGCTTCCTTCTGCTCATCGCTCCCCGAATCCAGTGGCCCTCACAAGGTCGAGTCGATTCGTTTCCGCTCCGTTGCTTTTGCCAGCGGTGGTGGTATCCCCAAGCGTGCTTCTTTCGCCAAACGTGAGATTCTCGACGAAACTACCCCTAGTACCAACGCCTATGCGGTCTATTCCACACTTCAAGCCGCACGCAAGGCCCCTGCTGCCCTGAATGGCTCAATTGTTCTGGACCGCCACCTGCGGGTTGACAGTCTTGCGCACCCCGCTGAGATTGACAACAAGCGCTGCGTTTTCGTTGGTAATCTTTCATTCATTGACAGCGAGACCCCCGAGGAAGATGAAAAGACCGGCAAGAAGAAGAAGGCTCGCGCACCCGCTGATATCGAGGAAGGTCTCTGGCGCGTATTTAACACCTACATCGGAGGCAAGGACAAGAAAACCCTCAAGAAAAACGTTGAGTTCGTGCGTGTCATTCGCGATAGCACCACCCGTGTTGGCAAGGGTTTCGCGTATGTTCAGTTCTTCGATGGCAACACTGTCGAGGAGGCGCTTGTGCTGAATGAGAAGAACTTCCCACCCATGCTTCCTCGTAAGCTCCGCGTGACCCGCGCCCGCAAGATGGCTAAGAAGCGCGAGTCCTCTGCCCCTGGTGCGAAGAACTCTCGTGCCGACGAGGTCAAGAAGACGCTGCAGGGACGTGCTGGCAAGCTACTGGGCCGTGCTGGTGCTGCCAAGGTCAATGCCGAGGCAAACAGCACCATTTCTGGTAACTCATTTGTGTTCGAGGGTCATCGTGCTCTCGAGGGATCATCGACCCTCAAGATGAAGGGCAAGAGCCGTGGCTCCAAGGCCAAGAAGAATAACCGAAGCATGAAGCGGGCTGCGGCATACAAGGCTTCTGGTGGCAGAAGAAACTAAAAGTAGGGAGGACTCTGTATCTTTATGGCGTTTTAAAGGGCATTTGAATATATCTAACAAAATTCGAGAGCACTGCATATCCTACGAGTTCACGTTTGATACATTTTAATACCGCCTATTTAGACCTGACGTCATGTCAACAATGTAGTCGATCATCAACTCAACTCCTCAACTTTCCCCGTAACATACTTGAATCCGAGCAGCTTCACATCCTTGATTGATTTATTCTCATCTACTTCACAATTCTGAGCCCACTTTACATTCAACCGCACTTTACATGTATGCGGGGAGAACTGAGAGCCAGACATACACTCACTCTCTCTCACAAACACACACTCACACCCTATTTCACGCCCAAGACACAACAAGGAGTAACCGGGTGGTACAAAGCAAAAAAAAACATTTCAGGCAGCCAGGCCGTATCTAAGCGGTGTATCTACAGTACTTCGGGACTCGGAGTTTACAGTGGCGTTGTAGCCTGAACAACCTCAGACCAATATACATACCACTTTTTCCTGGTTTCACCGAAGCGTGAATCATAACCAAGTCTATTCACACGGTCCAAAAGCCACAATGCTACCTTTTCATCTTCGTCGCGGACGACTGGGACGCAACCGTATGCCACCAGATCTTCCAAACAACCCGACCAACAACTCCGATCCTGGAGAAGCTCCAACTGAAGATCAACCAGAGACAGAACCAGAGCCAGAACAGTTCTATCCAAGTCTATGGGATGTCCTCAAAGTCCGATATCTACTACAATGGAAGATATCAAACGGTCTCCCAGAGGAACTCATCGACATGATCGTCGATGCAGCCGAGTACTGGCCCTCAATAGAACACAAGATGCAAGATAAGAAGACCATCCAGAAAGACTGTGATCAAACCTTGCTCAAGACAGTGCCACTCTGCTACGATCGAAATGTACGTTTCCACCCGCGCCAATTGAACCACCTTGTATACTAACCACTATTCTCCAACCCCACCAGAGCCTAGGAAAAGACGAACCTCCAAAGCCTCTTCCTCACCGTGGTGCCCATCCATGCCGCAAAATAATATTCAAGCTTTCATCTCGTGACCAAGGCAACGGTAGACGCCGCGAAAACATGTACCAATATTCATGGACATGGTTCGACACGGAGGTCATCAAGGCCGCACATGAGCAACAGATGTACATCAACGGTGAAGAGCAGGAGATTCTCGACAATGAGCGTGGTCAGGAGCGGAAACACTATACCGAGGCTGATGCGTTGCTTCTTCCGCGCGGCAATAAGTTGCAGGTCAATGGTGCTCATGTTGGGGAGATGCAGCATGTTGAGATTGTGTGGGATACTCAGGATGCAATATTGCCCGAGTCGACAGAGGCCGATTATATTGAAAGGGATCTTGGACGGGGAAGGCTTACACTGGATGGACGGGGCGTGCGGGAGTTGGAGGTTGGGGATTCTCTGGCTCTTTGGGCGAGGGCTCGGTTTCCGGGATGGTCTAATCATGTTGAGAAAGCTGCTGTCCGAGTTTTCTGGGCAGTTTGAGATGTATGATGTATATATCACTATTTTGTTCCAAGACCATGACCTTCGTTCGCAGTAGTTCACTTTCTTGATATTGGGGCCTGAGTCCTCAGGCCCCAGTGAGCACGCAATTGCGCCAAGACCATCCGATCCCCAAACCGTCGCAGTATAAGACCAAATGGCGCCCTCGAGTTGCTGGGATTCTTGTTTCCTCTTGTTTTCATCTGCTTGACCGATATCCATGTTGGTGACTATGTCACTCTTGCTAACCCTCACATCCCTGGACTCATCACCGCTACTTCAACCCCGGATACCCTGACACGGCACATGGAACGACCCAGCCGACAGCCCGACAAGGCCAGTGGGGCCAGGATGTCTCGACTATGGCTCTCGGCCGGTTAAGCCCAGTGTTAACCTTGGACTACATTGGACTGCAATGACGGAGTAACTAACAGTACACTTTCGAGCTGCGCAATGCTATGGGGTCATTGTTTATTGGCGACCTTGGACTGGACAACAAAAGGGATGATTTCCATCTGAGCGACGACCCGACTGGACATCAGTTGCGTTATCTGCACCGCCGATGATGATCGCGAACACTGACGCATTCTTTGCGGAAAGGCCGTTCTTGGCTGGTTCACCCTTCCCCCCTCATCGCCGATTGAGTCGGCGATACATTTCAGTCGCCGATCCATATTTCTATTTAGATCCAATGAACAACTGTTTACTCATTTCACTATCTTGCCTTTCTTTTGCTCTCCAATCTCTGATCTCTCATTACTCAACATGACTTCTCGAAAATGCGCTGCCGTGGTGGTCGGAGCTGGCCCGGCCGGCGTCGCTGTTGTCGGCAACTTGCTGGAACGCCAACTAGGCACAATCGCATGGATCGATCCATACTTTGAAGCCGGCAGAGTCAACAAGAACTATCGCGAGGTCCCTAGGTTGGTACCAGACAACACACATCGCCATAGAGGATACTGACAAGCCCACCAGCAACACCAAGGTATCCCTATTTCAAGCCTACGCAACAGCAACAACGCCATTCCAAAAGGCCATCGAGAACACAAGCCACCCAAATGCCTTCACAGCCCTAGCAAAGCTAGACCAGGACAAGACCTGTCATCTCCACTACGCAGCCGACATGGTTCGCGGCCTAACAGATGGCCTGCAGAAAATGGACGACGTATACGCCTGTCGCGGCTTCGTCTCGGCAGCAAATCTCAGCGAAAGATCCGGCACCGCAACCTGGACCATCCGCATCACACAAAAAGACAACCCATCAGACCTGCAAATCGAGACTGCCCGCCTGATCCTCTGCACAGGCTCCCACCCAACGACAGTGCCCCTCCCAATCCAGGACCCATCTCTCCAACGCCTGGATCTGGACCTCGTGCTGAAACCCAGCGCTCTGGCCAAACACCTCCGCGCTGATATCCCCGTAACAACAGCCGTTGTCGGTGCTTCACACAGTGCCATCCTGGCCCTCCTCAACCTAATCAACCTAAACAATACCTCCCACCCTAATCTGCGCGTCAAATGGTTCACGCGTCACCCGCTCCGCTATGCGGAATACAAAGACGGGTGGATCCTCCGTGATAACACGGGGTTAAAGGGGATGGCTGCTGAGTTTGCGCGCTCCCAACTCGAAGACGATAAGTTGGCAACCTCTCCGGCCGGCAAGGTCGTTACCAAGATCGACTGTGGCGGTGGCCGTGAGGCCGAGGCGGAGATGTATCAGCGCCATATGCCGGGCTGTGATTATGTTGTCCAGGCTGTGGGATATACGCGTGATCCATTGCCACAGTTGAAGAAGGAGGGTGCCCCGCTTGCGATTGAGTTTGATCATGGCAATGGTCGCTTCCATCAGAATGGTGGTGCTGATGTGCCGGGGCTGTTTGGGGCTGGTATTGCTTTCCCTGAGAGGGTTGTTGATCCGCTTGGGAATGTGGAGTATGCCGTTGGGTTCTTTAAGTTTATGAAGTTCTTGAAGAGGGTTGTGCCAACGTGGTGATCTTGACTATTACTTTGTCGTACCCGTCTGTGTTTCTTGATGGACTATTCAGCGTCTGGTATTAATATCCGTGGGGTTGGTGGCGTTTTTAGGGTCTTTTGATTTTAGCTGCTGTGCAGTCTATTGAAATTATTCTATATCTTACTGCCCTCGTAATCTATACTTTTAGACTATATTAGGAGATGTAAAACAGTTTAGTCCCTGCAGGGAATAAATGACAGGCACAAATGGTATCCAAATTGATCGTAGTCCAAGTCAATTCGTGGTAACATGCAAAGAAACCACACCCTATCACCCTACGAATATAATCATAAACATAATCATCAATATACCAAGAAACCATCCATACCCCAGTCCGGATCCAGCCCAGCTTAACCCCAAATCCCATCAATTCAATTACAACTCCCAAACCAACCCCAAAACAACGACAACCCCCATCCCCCCCAATGGCTTCAACCCCCCAGCCGCATTATCAGCAGTCTGCGTCGCGAAAGAATCCCCCGTCTCCGTCGCCGTAGCCCGATACTCACTCTGACTAGCAACAGCCTTGCTATCATACCCGGTAGCCGAGACCGTGTAAGTAGTACTCGACTGACTCCAAGTAAGAACCGTTCCACTGGGCGGGGCAGTAATAGTCCCGCCAACATTCCTCAGCGTCGAGGTGCCGTTATCCGGGAAATCGCCAGGCCGGTAGAACTTGTCTGTATCACTGAACCCGAGATCCCTGCAGGAGTCTGTGTTCATGCGAGAGCAGCTCGATGAAGACCAGGCCCAGTTCCAGTTCGGGAGGGAGTTGTATAGGTTTTCATTTTCGGAGTCGTTGGGGAAGAAGATTGGCCAGAGGTCTGCGCCTGCTAGGGTTGGTTTGGTGTGTGGGCAGATTTCGTATGCTCTGGTTTTTTGTTAGTTTTGGGAGGGGTTAGGGTTGGGTGGTGGTGGTGGTGCAACATACGCAGAGATACTAGCGCTTGCACCGCAACAAGCACAGTCCGATGCCCGGCCTGCGATGTCAAGTCCATTGCTCAGGTTTGATAGATCGGTTACATCGGATGAAAGGCGGTCGGTGACGTTTCGCATGCACTGTGTCTGCTCGTTACGCGAAGAGAGCGTCGTTTGCAGGACTTTGCCCAGATCGCAGGAACAGCGGTTCGGTGCGTTGGCCGGGGCTGGCCAGAATGGGATTGGCTCAGAGGCGCTGGGGCAGATTGCGAAGTATTGTTGGACGAAGAGTTGGTATTCGCAAGAGTAGACCTGGATCATATTAGCTGAGGGTCTCTTTTTTCGGATAGGTGTGGATGGGAGATGGGGTGGTGTTATACCTGGTTCCAGCACGTCTCAGCCATACAATTGATATACTTCTGATGAGAAGTACATCCGCAATCAACGATACAATTGCCATTCCCGCCGCAATCGCGAATGCACGAACTCCATTTGCTCGAGACGTCCGAGTTGCACTTTTTATATTCGGATGAGGAGGCACAGGCACTGTCTGTGATATTGGTTTGGGCATTGGCTAGGCCTGTGAGGGCCGCGAGGGCCACAGCTGATGCGACGAGGAAGCTGGTGGATGGCATGGTGGGGATCTTAGACCGATCACAGCACGATATAGTATGTATAGAGAAGAATCTATAACTAGCTTTACGGTTAGATTTTAGCTCGGGGTGGGATTCATCAGCCTCTTTATACCTCCCCTTGACACCGATACCAATCGAACCAAGTCCAAGTAAGTGCAGACAAATGTATCAAAGACCCTAATGCAATAGAATTTTCACCATACAGTCCTCTGTCCAGTAGTGTGAACTCGGAAGCCCGGCCCAACCCTGTAGCCAAGCAAGCCAGTCGATCATTACGAACAGAGCTGTCATGGCTAGCAAGTAAACTTTGGGCCATTGAAGTCACAGAGAAGGCCCCAGTTTCTGCATATCTCACATGCAGACATAGTCTGTCATATTTTTCCTATGTGCATTTTGGTTCTTCGGGGTCTTTGTCAAGGGCTGAGATACCCTTGGGCGATGTATCAGACAACCTGTGAGAACCCATGCCTTCTGATTCGGTGATTCCATTTTCACTGAGGCTATGGGGTGCGTTGCATAGTGTGCTGCAAGATGCCAGGGCGCCCTTGCTCTGACACGAGCGAACTCCGATCCTCGCCCTTGCGTGAGATGGGGATGGAAGATGGGAGTGGTGGGCTAATATGGGGTTCGGGGATATTTGTGAGGTCATGTACTGTCTTGGGATGTTTCTGTCGCAATACTTGATGGTATTGCGGTTTGTGCGGTGTAGACATGCAATGTGTGTCTATGTACGAGTAACTGGGGTTGGACGTTAGGGGGTTGAGTAGTGTGGATGCCTAGACTTGGTGCTCGTATTCTCATGAATTGAACCCTGAAACCCTACCAAAGACATGAGGGTCAGTCTAGATGAAAACATTGCAAGGTTGAAATGATATGCCTGAAAAAACATCAGAATCAAGTGGGATTTGGATTTCATCGACGAAAGTCATGTGGTGAGTCACAGGGTCTTGGATAACCCTAGACAGGAGACTGTGTTCCAGAGCTACGTGAATGTTGTACGTGAACTTGTAAGATACTCTCCGAATTCACACCGTCTAAGATGGAATAAGATAAAACAAGGTAGAATCCAAGCTAAGCCAGATGACTCCACTTGTCTATCTGAAGAAATCAAAGGGATATGACGCCCAGCCGTTGAACTCCACACCCGGCTGATCTTCATTTACAACGGGATATCTTGGATACTTACCAGATTAGCCCCTTACTGGGAAGAGGCTATTGGCCTCTCCTTGTTGCAACAGACAGTGAGAAGAATCAATGCTACCACGTATCGCACTAAGCAGCGGAAGCCCCGGATAGCCGAACGCCATACACCTTAATGTGCTGTCCGGAAAAGAGAAAAAAAGAGAGTGGACAGGACGATCCCACTGATTATCTCCGAGTCCCGCAGTCGCTCGCTTGTCGATCAGAGGGGAAAAACGCTCTGTCCTCGGCAGTTAAATTCAAGGATGTCCAATGACTCCAAAACGCGGGAAATAAAGTACATTTTAATTGTACGAATGAAAAAGGGGGCTGAATGAGGCAGAGAGAAAAAAAATTATTCGTAGATTCAGGGGATATTCCAAAAGTTATCGTAAAGAAACACGCTTAGCCGAAGCATAAACATAAATGCGAAAAAAAGAGAAAAATAATAGTCACAATAAATGACAAGCCCAAACCCGACCAGTCACCGGCAGCGGTATTTTGTACAATGTGCCAATGATCGCCAAGAGTAAGGTCAAGGGTAAAAAAAATATAGGAGAACTGCTCTGTTTCAGATACAGCGACCAAGAAGGAAAAAAAAGAAAAATATCAATAATGGCAGCAGAATGCGCCGAGATCAGGTCATGGACATGGAAATGAATCAATTTACAGCATGACAATGGCACCGGCGACGACGGCCAGGAGACCACCAGAGACGCGGTTGGCGACACCGGCGTTGGTGGTAGGCACAGCGGACTCGGTGGCCGAGGCGGAGGAGCTAGCAGCGGAGCTGGCGCTGGTGGAGGAGGCAGTGCTAGAGCTGGCGCTGGAGCTGGAAGAGTCGGTGGTTGAAGCGGAGGTGCTGGCAGCCGAGCTGGAGGTGGCCATGGTGGTCTGGGAGCTGGTGGAGGCGGAGCTGGATGAGTCGGTGGTCATGGTGGTGGTCGGGGTGGCGGAGCTGGTGGACTCAGACGAGGTGCTGGTGGTCTTGCTGGCGGTGGAAGTAGAGACAGAGACGGTGGAACCCTCGACAGTGAAGCGAGGCAGGAAGTTGTAGTCGGCGCTATCCTCATCGGAGATGATCTCGATGGTGTAGTCGGGCTGGGCAGCCAGGTTGGCGGGGACGTCCCAGGTGTAGCTGCCGTCGTTGTCGAGGTTGGAGGCGATGACAGTGCCGGAGTTGGCAGTGGTCACGGCGCCCCATTGCAGGCGCAGAGTGACGGTGCCGCTGGTGGATGGGGTCCAGGTCAAAGTGGTGGCCTCGCCGACCTTGAAGGTGTAGCCAGTGACGGGGATGTTGAACGAGTTGGACTTGCTAGAAGCAGAGGCAATGGCGGCCAGAGCGGCGACAGCGAAGGAAGTGAAGAAACGCATCTTGTTCTATAGTTTCAAATGTAAAGACGGTATTAAAAAGATATGCAGAGATATAGTGAAATATATGTGCAGAGACAGAAAGAGAGAGAGAGAGAGAGAGAGATGCAGAACGAGAGAGATTTCTAAGCCTCAAAAGAAGGAAAGGCGACACTTAAGGCAAATGGGATAAAGAGCCGAAAATGAAAGGCGAGGTTAGTGCTATAAGAGAGCCCATGGTTTGTTAGCTGGAGACTAAGGGACTTCCAATGCCCGAACGAGACAAGAAAACAAATAGCGTCTCATGCAAGGCACAGCGATTGGTTGGCAACACAGCTACTCTCGTGGGCGACCCACGAGCTTTTGCCTGTCTATGGCCAGTCTGTGGCCATTAACGGCTTCGATTTCCTCGCTTGGCAGGGAATCTCCTGCGTTGACTGGTGCAAGTCTCCACCGTCGGCCTACTTCGGCTACAATTCCTCTTTACTTCGCGCTAAAAGACGCCCCAAGATTTGGAAAGGTCCGTCCGAATTTCCGACATAGCACTAATTTTAGCTGAGCGCCCTGTCACTTTTATGATTGGGCGAATACGAGAACTGGAAAATCACAGACTTGGGGGCGAACAACCCCGGGAATCGCGGAGTTTGTGAACGGAATTGGACCTGCAGGGCCACGCGACTCATATTCGGCTAATCATACAACTTCCAAATTAGACCAATCCCCCCCGACTTCTCTCAGGTTCGGTCCTTGCGTATGTTCATTGCTGGGTATTGGGAGGCGCAAGCAGATGGTTTTGTCCAAGCCAGGAGATCACTTCCATAGCTCGGTGGTCTTCGTCGTGTTTTTGTTGGTCCAGAAGCTATACCCATGTTAGAACGGTTAAAACATTGCTATCAAATCCAGAACAGAAACAGTCCAGAAAAGAAAAAAAAAAAGTATATACTCACGGCTTGGTATAGTCCCTTGCGTCCTTTCTCTTTCTTCTCAGCCCTGGGTTTCGGCCCTCTTTCGGGTGTCTCATGAAGGAATTTGCATTGGTCGCCGCGGTTACATTGCCCGGTGCGCGCAAAGTACCGGCAAGTGGTTTTCTTCCCTTCACGGGGCGGCGGCGCCACTTTCTCGGGGCCAGTGCGACGTGAGCTTACCTGCTCGGGGGCTGAGTCGCTGTCGGATTCTGAATCCGAACCAGCTTCCGAACCACTCGAGGAGGTCCAGTCACTGCCTGAAATGTCCATATCCATGCCATCGCTGTCGCCGGCGCCAGCGCCATCTGGAGGATTTCCACTTTGGATGATTGGATCCGAAACTTCGGCATCCACTGGCGCGTGCGCCCGCGATGGAGACTCTGAAATTGTAGGCTCATTTGGAGGCTCATTTGGAGGCAACTCATCCGGCCCCGCTTGAATGTCCACTGAACCCTCCTGAGCCGCCGAACTCAAGCTCAGAGCCTCCTTTTGAAGCGCTTCAAACCGGACACGAGCTGCTTCAGCCTCAGCAATTGCTCTGGCGATCCGCTTTTGCTCTCGATCTAGATTGCGCTGGATCTTGTCAGCCCTACGCTGATTGTCCGCCTTATTAGCCGACTCGGTATTATTCTCGCTAGGCTTGCGATCGGCGTTTCGCTTTGCCTGCTGTTCATTGGACTTTTGTTGACGGGCAGCTTCACGGGTCGCCTTCGCCTCGTCCGCAACCTTTTGCTTTTCATCCACCCGAGCCTTGGTCGGAAATTTCTTCTTCCGCTCTGCAATCCAAGCGGCAATATCCGATGGCGTTTGTAGCGTAGCTGTCTGACCTCTGTAAGAAAATTGAATGGGTGCGGCGTCCGGTTCCCCTGGTGCTAGCTTGGATTCCTCGTCTACTTCCTCGTCGTCCTCACTGGATTCATGCTCCTCAGTCTTGGGGGTCAATCCCAGCTGGTTGTGCTTCCGCTTTCTCTTCTTCTGTTTGCGATTATTCCCATTCGCGTCTGCCGCTGGTGGTGGCTTCGACGGCAGAGGGTTGCCAAAACTGGGGACGGCGGGCGCTGCCGGGGTTCGAGGTGCGGTGTGTTTGCTGAATGCGGAGGAGTGATCACGCTTATGGGTCTGTTTTGGCTTGGGGCCGTTGTGTCCATTATGTCCGTTGTGTACGTGGGGAGGGCGTGGGCCTCGTGGCTGGGGTTGAGCTGGCATATACTGCGCAGCGCTCGGCACTTCAGCACCCCAGCCCATCATTGCTGGGTTAGTTGGAGCGCCGTGGGGAGGTGTTGGCAGACCGGTCATATATGTTGGAGTCGGAGGATAGGACTGAGGCATGTTCGGCGAGTTGTAGGGCAGTTGCTGGTAGGACCCTGGTGTCTGCGAATATTGTGGTGGATATGCGGGCTGGTTTTGAGGATTTTGGAAGCCTTGCGATTGCCCAGGATATGGTGGGGGAGGCATATATTGTGGTGCAGGAACAGACGGAGCTGGATAGGCGTAGTTGGATGGATAGTTGTAGCCCGGATTAGGATATGGTGGTCGTCCTCCTTCTTGATAATGTCCTCCCCGGCCTCGGTTTCCTTGTCCTTGTCCTCGGCCACGGCCTCGATGACCTCCCCGTCCCCAGTTCTGCCCATGTTGTTGTCCATGCCCATGCTGTCCCTGTGGGTAGGCAGGTTGGGCTGCCGCCGGTGGTGGCGGAGGAGGGGGTGGAAATGAAAACCCCTGAGCGCCCATGATGAAAGTCTGAAGACCTTCCAGAGGTCCCGGCGCAATCTGAAAATGCGCGTGGAAATAAAATAAAGTCGAGAGAAGTTGCGATGGAAGCTTTTGAAGGCGGTCACGTGGTTCCCCACTGAATGTCAAAAGCTTTTTGCTCAGAGTACAACGTCAAGGAAGATCTTCACCTGGATATCCACCTGAGCAGCGTTGATCCTGTGATCTTGGGGCCTTCATTATGTTCATCCTCGTGAGTCTAGCGCCTACAATTCAAACGGTGGCTAACGGCGGCAGACTACTATCTCGGACTTGATCCAGATATCACCTGAGGACTTCTCTAAATTCAGTGCTGTGGCTATCGAAGATAACATCAATGAGAAATATGCCAACAAGGTGTGTGCTCTTCTGCTGTCTCCATATACCGGCAGCTGCTCATGTTGACTAGGTAATCCAAAAAATCGGTCTCTGCATCAGCTTCTATGACCTCTTGGAGTCCTCCGATGGCCTGATTGGCCATGGGACTGGCCTGGTCAACGTGAATGGTGAGTAACGCTATACAGTCTTCAGATTGTCACTAACCAGGCTAGTCAAATTCCGGATGATCGTTTTCCGGCCCTTCAAAGGCGAGATTATGCTAGGCAAGATTGCCAGTGGCACAGAACACGGCATTAAGAGTATGTTCCAGTATTCACACCAGAAGCTCACGACTAATGTATGGATAGTTGGTCTGGAATTCTTCAACGATATCCTTATCCCACCCCAGATGCTTATGGAAAAGTCCCGATTGTGAGCATCTTCTCACTTGTGGAATGACAGCATACTGACCCTCTGATAGTGACTATGCAGAGCAAGTTTGGATCTGGGAAAACGAAGATGGCTCAGAGTTCTTCTTTGATGTGGGAGAAGTCGTCCGGTTCCGTATTGAATCAGAAGAGTGGCACGACCAGATCCCCAATGCGCCAGACCTTGGCGATGAAACTCCTACAGAGAGACGGCCTCCCTATTCCATTATTGTTGGTTTCCTTTTCTGCATGTCTATTGCTTTGCTGACCGCTTCTAGGGCTCGATGCAAATGGGTGGAACCGGGCCTATTACCTGGTGGTAAAGTTGCCGGATGTTATATAGACGGTGTGTCTATGGCGTTGAGCCATACAATTTCTTTAGTCAGATCAGATACCCATAATGCCATGAAGTTCAGTGTAAACCGTGTGCTTTGAAATCAAGACCAATGCGGAAGTCAAGTCGTGCAGCGGATGTCGCAAATCGTCCGGGGTAAAGGATACTGTACTTGTATGCAAACAGTACATAGCCCATGTCCTACCGAGTAAATATCACTAGTCTAACATAGAGAAGCATCTCACTTATACCCCGAGAACCCAAGAGGTGATACTGTGATACTGCGATATAGAGCTACTCTCCGACGGTCCGACTCTCTCCGACTCTCCGACCGTTCGGCGTAAAACCCCATTCTCCGACCAAATAGCGGCGACCGGTGGAGCTCCGAGTCAGCCGTTGTCCAGTCGCAGTAGCGCGATCGATCTTGTCTTCAAGTAAGAGAATCCATGTTTTCGTGGTTTTTCAGTTAATTTTTCAGGGACGATTTCTGTTCTGTTCGAAACTTTCAAAGCGAAGCTCGTCATCTTCGCCCTTGATTAGCAATCAACGCATCCGGAGACTATCATCCACGGATTACTACAAAAGACTTTCTGACCCGCCACCTTTGTCCTTTACGTTTCTCTCAATTGCAATCACATTCACAATGGGCTCCATGGATAACGGACACTCGACTAACCGCCAATTCGGCACTCTCGCGGTGCACGCTGGTGCGCCTCACGACCCTGTCACTGGCGCTGTCATTGCCCCCGTAAGTCCATCGATACAGCCTCACAAAGAAAGTGTACTGATCAGTCCCAGATCTCTCTGTCGACCACCTATGCTCAGACTAGTGTTGGTAACCCCGTTGGTGCCTACGAGTACACTCGCAGTTCCAACCCCAACCGGTAAGTTTTGCCAAGTTCCGAGGTCCAGCACACCGACTAATGCAGCAATAGTGACAACTTTGAGGAAGCCATTGCGGCCCTCGAGCACGCCAAGTATGCTCTTGCTTTCTCCTCGGGCTCCGCTACCACTGCGGTAGTCCTCCAGTCCCTGGCCGCTGGCTCGCACATCGTCTCTGTTTCTGATGTGTACGGTGGCACTCACCGGTACTTCACCAAGGTTGCCTCCGCGCAAGGTGTGGAGGTCTCTTTCTCGCCTTGCGTTGAGAAAGACGTCGAGCGTTTGATCCGCCCCGAGACTAAGCTTATCTGGATTGAGACCCCCTCCAACCCTACCCTTGGTCTGGTCGATATCCGATTCATCGCCGACATTGCCCACCAGCATGGTATCCTCGTTGTCGTTGACAACACCTTTATGAGTCCTTATGTCCAAAACCCCTTGGACCACGGAGCCGACATTGTCGTTCACTCCGTGACCAAGTACATCAACGGCCACTCGGTATGCAACTCCACCTGATTCCATTCATTGCTGTAACAAAACTAACCAAAATCCAGGATGTCTGCATGGGTGTTGCCGCATTCAGCTCAGAGAGCCTCAAGGAGCGCCTCGGCTTCCTTCAGAACGCCATCGGCGCCATCCCCTCACCATTCGACTGCTGGCTCGCCCACCGCGGTCTGAAGACCCTGCACCTGCGCGCCCGCGAGGCCTCCAAGAACGCCACCGTGGTCGCAAAGGCGCTTGAAGCCTCTCCCCACGTTATCTCCGTCAACTACCCGGGTATTGACTCCCACCCGCAGCGCAAGATCGCCGTTAAGCAGCACCGTGAAGGTATGGGTGGTGGCATGCTCAGCTTCCGCATCAAGGGCGGCCAGAAGGCTGCGCACCTTTTCTGCCAGTACACTCAGATCTTCACTCTCGCGGAGAGTCTTGGAGGTGTTGAGAGCTTGTGTGAGGTTCCCGCTGCCATGACCCACGCTGGTATCCCGAAGGAACAGCGTGAGAGTGCTGGCGTTTTCGACGACCTTGTTCGCATGAGCTGTGGTATTGAGGACTCTGCTGATTTGCACGCTGATGTGCTCAAGGCTTTGGACTTGGCTGTTGCTGCTGCCGAGAAGAATGGCAGCTCTTAATTTGTGGAGCTTTTGGCTTGCTTTTAAAAGAATCTAGACTTGCATGTAGACTTGCATTGGTACTGGTTACTTGGATATGAATAATGAGAATACATCCCCTTTTGCATTATATGACTGTCTGATTTCCCAGTACATCGTAGTCAAATGTACCATTTTATATGAACTATACGGATACATAATTGATACATTTGCTTCAGAGCTTTGTTATTCGTCACCAGAATTCATGATGGAATTGTTCAGGTTGCGGGCAGACAGGCTTAGTCATCACCTCACCCACTGCAATTTTTTGTATGGAAATCGAGTCACGACGCCGATATTACTTCCAATTCCTCGTGGATTGTTTCCTTTTATAACTCTCTTAAACTCAGAGTTTGCATTAAGCCAGGACCGTGTCTGGGTGTCCTGCTATCTTCAATATCTGAAGCTGCCCACAACAGCGAGTACAACCTTCTGCACAGTGTTCTCTGATATACAGAGACAGCATTTAATTGCACCAACATGGCCTTCAGCTTTGGGTTCTCGGGGGATGACATCGACATGGATGATTCAGAAATCAGAAATGATATCTGCCCTGTCTCCTCTCAACAGAATGTCGGCAACTCTCTTCCCGAGCTGGTGAAAGCGAGTAAACACGATATGAACGAATGGGTAAGTGGATAGTCCCTAGCTATGCCCGGTTTATGTACCATATAAACATGTATTCATACCTTGGGGTGTCAATTCATGTGAATGCAACCCTCAAACGGGTCCATACGAAGTCGCGAGATACCCCTCCAAGAGGATATGTCAAATGACATCTAGAGACGTCAAACGTCTTGAAAGAAACAAATTTAACAAAGACTCTAGCTCTCATCTCTCCCGTCTCAAATTTCATTCAACAAACTCAAAATCGGCAATGCACCCGTCGTCATTGCCCGTCGAGAAATCTTTGATATCCGCACGCAGCTCATGGCCGAAGACAGCGCGGGCCATGATAACGAAGAGCTAATTGCCGGCATAGAGAAAGGCGATATCAAGCCTAATTTCTATGAAGGTGGGTTCAAGACGTGGGAATGCGCGTTGGATCTGGCGAAGCTCTCCCTTGATGAGGATATTCTCAATGGTTCCTCCGATGAATTGCAAGATAGTCATATCATTGAGGTTGGTTTCTTTCATCCCCGAAAGACTTCAAGGCACAGATTACTGACTGGTGATATATACGGGCAATAGCTTGGCACAGGCACAGCAGTTCCATCATTGACACTGTTCGCCCGCATTCTCAATGGCACAGAAACCACAGACAAGAAGCACTTCACATTTGCAGATTACAACTCTGACGTTTTGCGCCTTGTCACATTGCCTAATCTTCTTCTGACATGGCAGAATAGCCGTTCCCAAACGGCTGTCTCGAGCACTTCTTCTACTGCTCCAGACCAGGAAGAGGAGCTAGACATCACACCAGAATTGATCGAAGAGTTCAAAACTGATCTTGTGAACCGTGGCATATCTGTTGATTTAATTTCCGGTGCTTGGTCTCCTGAGTTTGTCGATCTGGTCTTTGAGTCTGGCAATACTCCCCGCAGAACGTTGGTTCTTGCTAGTGAGACAATTTACTCGCCTGCTTCGTTGAGTGCATTCTCCGAGACTCTTTTGGCACTTTTGTGTCGGGCGAACACTGCTTCGACGAGGAGTCGTGCTCTTGTTGCGGCGAAGAAGGTTTACTTCGGTGTTGGTGGTGGCGTGGATGAGTTCCTTGCTGTGCTTGGTAATGTCTGTGGAAGTAAACTGGATGTTCAGCAGAAGTTGAATGTTCATTCCGAGGGAGTGGGGAGGGTTGTTCTGGAGGTTGTGCCGTCTACTACGACCTGAAGAGAGACAGTATAGCTCGTTCATAAAATCAAATACCCAAATTACATCACCATCATCATGTATCTGCCTCCGAGGTGTAGTTCAAATAAAAGAAAATCCAATTATCAAGTGCTGGATTGAACGTTAAGTCCCAACCTATATGTACATGTTTTTCCCTCCACACATGTCTATCACAGACAAGCAAACAAAAAACAGAGAAATATCTCCCATCTAATCATAGAGAGACTTGCCATCCTTCATCCGCACAACCCGAGCTTCCTCAATTTCCTGGTTCTTGCGCTCGTAGTGAGCAACAACGTGGCTGAGGTCGACCCGCGAACCGGCGGCAAGGTTGTACGGTGAGCCGGTGTTCATCATACTGCAAGAAAATGTCAGCGATAGCTCAAGAAAGCATCCCTCAATCCACCAGGTACATACTCAGGCTGCTTCAACTCATAAGCCTCACGGGGACCCTGACTCTGAAGCAAGTGGCGGTCCTCAGCAGCCTTCTCCATCATAGCAGTGTGAATAGCATTGCGCTGCTCAAAAGTCTCCTGCGAGGGAGTCCACTTCTCAATGAGGCCGGAGATCCAGGATGGGGCGCCGGATTCCTGGTTGGACTTGGAAACGCGGTAGAGGAGGTAGGCAGCGGCAATGGAGCCAGCGGTAACATAGAGACTGCGCTGTAGAGGGTGAATGCAATGGTTAGCGCTGTCTGTTTCTATGTCTGTGGCAATTGAGCCTCGCTCTCCAGGTTCGAGTCTGGTCGCGGTCGGTGGGGGAGCTTACGCCGAAGCCTTCGTTCACGGGCTCGTGGGCGGCGTGTGAGCCCCAGCGGCGCTGGGTGCGCAGCAGTTGCCGCGTCGTGGTTGCAGATCGTCTGGCAGCGAACATGTTGTGGAGGAGGACAATTGGTGGTGGTCGATGACCCTTTGGGAACCGATGATAGGGCGAGGTGGAAAGCGAAAGTCGACTGCACGTGACTTACTGTTTTGGGGCTAGGGCGAATCAGGTGCACTTTCATACTTCACTTCATCTTTCATTGGTTTTGTGAGAGATCATATGTTGGTGCTCGTCTTCATTTCCAGATAGTACATGTATACTCATATCTTGCATGGTGTGGAATCCTGGATCGGTTTCCACATCTCATGTCTATCTCAATTCTATGTTACTTCTTCATTCTCATAATCTTACTCTCATATTCTCATGCTGTGTCTCCTCCTTGTTCCAAAGCTGACTGTTAGAGAAACAATTCGGAATCCAACTGCAGTCGGACTTTCAAGTCCTAGTCAATCTGGTGTTCCGAGAATAATATTGTTTTGATCGGCATGGAAACTGGATGGACTCGGTGCTCGAAACCTCATCTGGTAATTGTGCTGTGTTGTCTGATCTACAGAATGCCTCATCTTCCTCCCAAGATATACTAATCGGGCGACATACAGGCATGTATCGCTCACTCATGCAAATCATATCTCGAATGAACATGTCCAACGATATTCGCTCACCCCCCACATCGCCTTACTGAATCTTAGCCCGAACCCACTTGATGCCCAATGTCATGGCGCACCCCAACTGGTTCTCGCTTCGGTTCAGAATGGAATTTTAGTGCGCTTAGGATCTTCTGCATATTTGAATATCGGAATATTGGAATATTCTGGTATTCCTGCGATTCTTTGTGCCCTTTCGTTTCTTTGCCCTTTGATTGCTGGGTACAAGGTTCGGTCCGCGCCTTTGTGCCAACGTTCGGGTGCTAATTTTTAAGTCTAGATATTTTTTTTTGTTTCTTGTCTATTTCTGTGCGTTGCAGCGTTCAAGAATAGAATTCTGGTTTCGCCTCATATCTGTTATTGTGGTTCATCCGTGTCCACGCTTTAGTTCCAAATCACTGCCCGATCAGCATCCGTTGCATCCCCCGGCCACTTGGCTTGCGCTATTAATTATTCCGGGGAATCTCACATCCTCTCCCAACTATAGACCTTTGGGCTATATCTTGAGGTATCGCCAGGGCTGGTTGCAAACGTACAGTCACCCCATGAAACATCTGACTATTGCTCATGCTCGATTTAGCCCTTTGATCCCATTGGTAACACGTCTCTCACGTCTCCCTTTTTCAAGGAATCTTGGGCACGCATCACTCATCCGCGATGGTCGCGAGTAAGAAGAATAAGGCCAAAGAAAAGGCCAAAGCCAATACGAAGAAGGTTAAGAAGGGACAGAGCCCTGATGTCGCAGAATCAACTACAAACACTCCAACTCCTGGCAGCCCTGAACTTCCGGCGCAGGAGACTGAACAAAGCCTTGAGCCCATTGTTGCCTATTCTCCTGAGATTAAGACACCTCTACCGGTGTCAGCGTACGAGGTTTTTGACGACGACGACGACGACGAGCCAGCTGACTCTGACCCTATCACAAGTCAACGATCCCCTGTCATTGAATCTGCTGCTCCAGTCGAGTCAGACCCTGTTCCAACTGAAGAGTCTCTTGTGACCGACCAGCAGAGACCAGCTACTCCAGACCCTGTCTCTAACCGTCAATCTCCTGTGACTGCGACTGTGCCGTTGGCTACCGACCCTGTCGCAGATCAACCTTCTCCTCAGGTCGAGGCTGACAAGACTGACGAGAGTGTGCTGCCCTCAGACGAAACAGTGTTTTCCCAGCCTATCGTCCACAACACAGAGCCCAATGACCAAGAGCCCTTGGATGATCCAAGTAAGCAAGAAGTTGAGGCATCTGAGCCACTAGTATCAGCAGCGCCAGCTGGTCCATTCACTCCCGTTGCGGCCAGTGTTCCATTGCCATCGCCGTCTTTAACAGAAGCACGGTTTATGTCAAGTCCCTCCCAGGATAACTACTTATATCAACCTGCACCATCCGCGTATTCCCCCTACGCTGCACCAATTCCATACTCTTCGCCCGTTCCATACGCTTCTTCAATCCCATACCCTTCCCCGGTACCATACAACCCTCAAGCGGGCTACGGTTCACCGGCGCAATACGTTTCCCAAGTACCCTACACTGCCTCCCCCGTGCCTTATCGATCTCCTGTACCCTATCTTGGGTCTCCTTACACCGGGTCTGCATACGCTGGCTCTGCATACGCTGGATCTGTATACGCCGGCTCCGCATACGCTGGTTCTGCATACGCTGCTTCCCCATACGCCGGAACTCCGTACGCCGGATCACCAGCAGCGTACGCCTCTCCGGTGCCCTACACTGCTTCACCTGTACCTAAAGTCAGCAGTCCCCTTGCACGTTCTCACTACCCCTATAAATCACCCAACATGTCTCCAACCGCAACACCACCTCCCCCATCTGCACCGGTGGCTCCTCCCGCCCCCGCTTCTGCAGCTGGATCTGCCGCCCCAAGCCGCTCGGCTTCTGTCAATTCACCTGTGATGAGCTCTGCTGGAGCCATTCCTCCATATGGACAATACTCTCCTCACTATGCTCATGACCCCCACTACATGCAGCGAAGCTATAGCATTCCAGACCCATCTTACGCGGCCTCATACCAGGCCCTCCAGAATCTGTCAATGGCTGGCCACCCTGGTGAGAATGGAGCCTTGTCTCCACCAGACAGCGATAGTGAGAATATTGAGCTTCTTCAACGAATCCAGTCTGCCATTCCAGACATCAACCGCCTTCTGCATGGTTTCCGTAATACCCATAGCAAGTTGTCAAACCGAGAGGCGGAGATGAAACAGATTGGAAATCAGCACGAGCAGGCGTTGATGCACAAGGAGTACTACATTGAAGCCTTACAGTCTCAAATGAAGAAGACTGCAAACGAAAGCGCCGAAGATACTTCCAGGCTCAAGAACACAGTCAATGAGCTACGATTGGAACTCGGAAATCTGCAAGAGAAGCAGAGAGACCTCGAGGATGGCTTGGCTGTTCACCAGAAGTCCAACGAGGAACTTACCCAAGCTAAGGTCCAGCTCGAGGGACAAATCGAGCAGTTGAACGCCAACATTGCAGAGGCGAAAGAGACCCACGATAAAGAGCTGGAGGTTCAGAAAGAAGAAAAAGAAAAGGCCCTTGTATCACAAAAGCAGGAGCTTACCGAGCTCTTCGAAGAAATCAAGAGCGAGGATGAGAAGACCGCAGCGGAGAATCTTGAGACCCGTGAGCGAGAGCTTTGCAACGAGCTTGAAGCCGCCAAGGGCGAATGGGAGAAGGAGAAATCAAACATGCAAGAGTCTTTTGAAGCCCAGCGCACCGAGCTGGAAGCGACCAAGACTGAACTTTCGTCCAAGATTGCGGACTTGGAGTCCAAGGAGACCGAATTGGAAAGCCAACTGAGTGCACTCGCATCGACACGTGAAGAATTGGCAGCCAAACTAGCCGAACTCGAAGTTTCACGAAAGGAAATTGAAGAATTGCACCAAAAACACGCCACAGATTCTGATGGACTTCGCGAAGGCCATGCAGGTGAATTGGAAGATCTCAAAAAATCCCACGACGACCAGGTCGCCGCAGCTGCCAAGGAACTCGATAAGAAGATTGCTGTGCTTGAAACCCTCTTCCAGGAGAAGGAGCAGCTTTGGACCGAGCAGCGTACCGCCCTTGAGAAGCAACTTGCTGAGAAGAATGGCGAGCTCTCCAGTGCCGAGCGAGAGAAGGAGAGAATGGAAGGAGATGGTATCATCAAGGAGCAGCACCTTCAGCGTGCCGTGAGTGAGATGAAATCGACCATCGATCATTTAGACCGAGACTGCGACAGGCTCAGGAAGACACTCCTCAGTCTTGGAGAGGCCACCGATCTTAAGAGCACCAAAGGCGATCAATTCTTGTGAGTGAGCCTTGAAAACCCATACTTTTCTTTCGGTATCTTTTGATTCTGTTTTACGTCGCTCTTTTTACATTTCTTTTGTTTGAACTGCATCTTGCATCAGCGCAACGGCGAACGAACATACATTCTCTTATAGATTTCATGTTGATAACGATAAATGGACACGATCTAATAAACATCTTCACCTCTAGTTTGGACTGTTTCAACGAACTCTCGCAACTTATCTACAACCTATCCAAAGAACACTTCGCCTACCTCCCAATCGACCCACCAAAAGACATTCTCTCCAAGATTCCCTCCGAAATTCCACCGTTCCTCGATAACACCCCAGCCTCGCGCGAGCTACGCTGCGCCTACATCCAGCACGTAGTATCCAAAACCATAACCTACAGAGTCTTCCAACCCTTCCTCTTCACCCTGGGCCGCCGCTACGACAAAGCAGACACCTTCTTCCAAATGCTATCAATGGACATCCGCCGTAAATCCGTCCGCCGCGAAGCATTCTGGCGTCAACAAACCCTCAAAGCAGCCTACACAACCTCGGACGCCAAACAATCCATCAACGTTGCCGCAGCAGTCATAGTCGACGAAATCATCGACCACATCAAACACTTCGCGGACCCCAAACACCTGGACTCCCTCGTCACAGGCGTCCGCAAAATCGTCAAACTAGCCGCCGAAACATGGCGCCACGCCCGCGTCGAACGTGAACTCGTCCTAGCAACCTTCCCCGCCCCAGACGCAGACACCATCCCCAACGAAGGATGGTTCGAATACGGAGCAAACTGCGAGCATACCCATCCGCAGGGTGGTGAACCAACACGCCATATTGTGCTGCGCACATTCCCGCGTATTGTGCGCGAGGCTGCCCATGAGGATTTTGCTAATGACCAGGAGCGTGCTAGCTCTTGCATTTACTCGGAGGGTGTGGTGCTGTATTCGGATTCGCCGGTTATTATGGCGCGGTTGCAGGAGTTTGCGAAGAAGAAGACCACCGACACTGTTGTCTCTGATGATAGCATGACTGTTCATCCCAAGACGCCTAGGCCCTCCAGGGAGGATCTAGTTGCTGCTGCTATGGAGAAGTTGACGCCGGTTGCTAGTTCGCAGCCTCGTGTTGCGACTATTCGATCAGCTCCTACAAGTCCTGGTCTGAAGGGGCAGGCTGTGAGAGGTTGATTTTGGGGATTCGAAATGATGGTGCTTTAGCATTTAGTTCTCTTGTTTGTTTTTGACCTCTTTTCCTTTTTTTTATATATTGGTACCCTTCTCTATCTTGTGTTGTTGAATGTGTTGGTTACGATTGATATGCGTTTCAGCGGATTTGAACTCAATGTCTCTTTTTTTCTTTTGTGTGATGTCCTATACTCCTGTTTCAAAAATTCATTCTTGTTTGACTTGCCACAGCTTGAGGTTCTCAGCGTAAATATCACAGGGTCATTAATACGGTGAGTTGAGTTCGTGGATAACTCGCATGAGGGGCGAAAGTGGTAACTGGAGTTAACCTCATAAAATTAAACTTGGCCTAGACCTCAACAATAATAAAAAAGTATCAAGCGTGTCTTCATGCGGAAACTTGGCCCCATAGCGCGATACCCAGTAGACCAGATCGGTTGTACCGTCATCTCTAACAACAGCACACACAGAACCTCTTAACTCTTCCAATCCAGAACATGTCATTAAATATGTTCTCTGTGAAGGACTTCACCTCCTAGAGTATAACAACATCTAAAAGAAGGTTAGTTAAATTCCATATTATACTCGAGTTTTACTCAAAAAAGACATTAAAAGACCGGTTAAGAGTAGCCAAAAGGAGTAGCTAAATGAATAGCTAAAAGAATAGCCAAAAATAATGTTTACTCAAAGAAAACGCTTATCGCTGACCTAAATCGTAGTCTAGCTATAAGAGAAAACGCTAATTTACAAAGAAATTTGATACTAGAGCACCTTTTCTAGAAAAGAGTTCTTTGAATCACCTAGACTAGACTATACAAATGTTTCCCTACGCTGGATCCTTTTAGCGGAGATCAAAACTCTTCGTACTAGAATCGCTCTTCGAGAGTGGAATGGGCTCTATGTACAGCCACCGAGAGTATTTGACGGTTGCATATAGCGGACATAGAAAGACCGTACGCTTTAACGTTAACATGTCGTCAATCTTAGGCTTATATCACTGCTGTCGGGTTCCGTCTTGTTAATTCATAACTCAAATTTATGGTTGCTTGGCAGAAGTATGGCGAAGCAGGAGTAGTTAAGTCTGAAATGACTTAACGTTGTATTGAAATACAACGTACAAGTTACCAGCGCAAAGGCAAATTATTTACAAAATGCATATATGGAAAATTGACGCCAAGCATGAAAGCAGGGTATAAACAGAACAAGGCAAGGCATCTTCCGAGTGAATGCAAATAAGCAGAAGGGAAATAAGTGCTAGTTAGCAGCCTGTACATGGTGCATGAGCGGGTATCAAAGGATTAGAGCTTGGCGTCTGTGGCAATTGCCTTGCGGCGCATTTGGCGCGAGGAAACATCGGCTGGAGCCGGTGCGGCAGCACTCAAGAATAGTTGACGTCCGACAAGATCGGACATGGTCAGAACGCGAGAGGAAACTGTTGCACCGTCCCGGCGATTTTTTCTAGGCAAAGTTAGTGACTGTCTCGCAAGGAGGTAACGTTTAGGAGGAGATTTACCCTTCACGACGAGACTGAGCAATTAGTTCAGTGAAATCCCATAATCGCCCACCGTCCATGACTTTGCCGGTGTTGGGATCCCGGTGTGGAGCCCATTCCGGTGCGAGTCTTAGAGACGGACCGGTCCGTGATTCTTTGTTCTTCGAAACGAGAATGATGCCTTCCTCTTCGAATCGTTGATAGGAGTTCTTCAGAGTCTCCTTGTTGACAGCTTCAAAGTAAGAAAGATCTCCTTGGTGATATAATGTTTTTCCAAGCTGTAATCGTTAGAATAAACTCTTTTGGCAAAGGACACAACTTACAATCTGTGCACTGTCCTGTGCCTTCTTCGAATCAATCCAGATCTCTTTGGGGCTATCCAGAGGCGGTGTCAATCCAAGGAGTGACACTGCACCCAGCCAAGAGGCCTCAATGAAAGGCCAGATCAGGAAACAGTAGAAGTCATAGTTCTCACGACCGCAGAGTCGTTCAGCCTCACTCAGCTCCAGATAGAGCGGAGTACTCGAATCATCTCGGGTGATCTTGATTACATCGTCCTTCTCCAAATCACGCAATGTCTTGTCAAAGTTGGCAGCGAGACCCTCAGGCGGGAAAATAAATTCGCCACGGAAAAGCTGCGAAAGGAACGAGACTTGGGTTTTCAAAGCCTCGTAAGTGATTCTCTGATTAGCAGGCCCACCGCCTTGCTTGATTTTCGTGTACATTGCCACAGAGACCAGCGCCTCGGCGATAAAGAGATGGATAAGCATGTTGCGATAGAAGGACAGCTGAAAGCGATCTACCGCATAATAGGTGGGTTCGACCAGTCCAGAGATTACACCGACAAGTTTGGGACCCAGAACATCCAGAGCGCGATCGACGACCATAGCTGTCGGGGACCGATAGAAATGAGCAACCCTGCCACCTTTGGCCCGGACCCGCTCGCAAAGCCAGTCCAGTCTCCGTACCAATTCGCCTTTTCCGACGCCACGGCCGCGTAAAGTTAATAGGACAGTTCCTACCAAAGCGGTTGGCATCATGACGGAGACATCGTTAATCTCAGATAAAACCCGATAGCCAAAGGTTCGAAGGATACGGCCACGGTCCGCGTAGCTGAGTGTGTTATTGATGTTAGTGCTAGGCAAGTCAAGGCGCGTAAGCTGTTGACCAATGAATTCTCTAAGACTCCAAGGCTCATGGAACCGGACATCGACTCGGCCAAGCTTAAGAGACAAGACAGAGGATGAGGAGAGCAGATCGGCCAAGTTTTCCTTCGCCTTTGGTTGGCCGAGCAGCTCACTAATGTATGACCTAGAACTATTGTCAGCGATATTGAGTCCAATTTATCAGTGGGCCAACATACTCCGTCTCAATGACCTTGTCGTATTGTGTACTGACAGGACAAATGATCGTATCTTCGACTCGACCTGACAGTAAGCTGTCCATGATGAAACTTAAAATTCCAAACTTGGGTGAAAGCAGCTTTCCAGTTCTAGAACGACCACCTTCAATAAAGCACTCAAAGTTGAATCCTTGTTGAAGAAGAGTATCGATGTAAGCCTGCACAACAGTATTGTACAATGGATCATTTCCAAAGCTTCGACGGATCCACATAGCGCCTATAAGAGTCAGCAAAGGCCTACAGTCAAGATCACTACACTGAACTGACCGGCATGTTGTAAGAAAGGACCGAGTAGAGGAATATTCAGATTGTCCCCTGCGACCACAACTGGCAAAGCAATTCCAAGGCGGTAACATATAAGTTGCAATGAAACATAGTCCACATGCGACTTGTGGCAGGGCAGAAATACAATTGATTGTTTCTTCTTTGCGGCAGCATCGGCCACCGATCTTAAACGCAACACCTCCTCACTGGACACATGAATGCCTATAGATTTGACTTAGTATTCCATCGACAGGTCATTAGACACAACGCAAGTAACTCACCCTGATGGTAAGCGCGCGTCAGCAGTTGGGTGCACATGTAATAAGCACCCCGAATGAACTTCTTGCTTTCCATCTTGCAGATCATGTCGTCCATCATCGTATCCACGACTTCTCGCAGATTCCCTTCGAGCTCAGTTCGCCGGCGGGCACGTTTGTCGTCGAGTGTGGCACCATCCTTGATTGCCAGCAATCCTTCCTTCTCCTCTACCGTAAGCCGACGGTTCGCTAGCTCGGTAACCTTGTTCTGTAGCAGCGGACTGCCCAAAATCGATGTCTTCATCTTTTCGGAGAATCCAGAATAGAAGATCGGTTGGCCGATAGCATCGTCATATGCACGCCACCCTGTTCCAGACATGTACAGACTCACTTCACGGAGGAAATCGAAGGGATTCTCACGGAATCGCGCCATGTGGCGCACCAGATTGCGCTCGGTGATTTGATCATCTTGAGTTTCAGGACCTCCCGTGAATCCTGAGGGATGAATGGTTAACTGGCTCTTGGTGATCTCCAAGTCGGGCGCCGAATGGTCATCGGCTTTAGGGGGCATCTTGTACGGGGTAACGGGGTATAACGCGGGGGAGAGGTGGGGGTCAAATCATCGAAATGCCAACTCCATTGAGAAACAGAGAAAGGAGAGAAGCAGAAGAGAAGCAGAAGTGAATGTCATTAAAAAGCGGAGATCTGGTGGAGGCCATAGCTAAGCTTCCCCCGGATGTCTCATTCCCATGCCGAGGCAGGTCACGTGTATGCCAATTGCCTCATGGGCCATCTTCATGGGCCATTCTCGATTGCAGCGCAGAGAACGCCCTTCCCTCCAAGATGTCTCGGCTGGTCAATGGCGTGAGATCCTTCTCATGTATGTGTCTGATAGCTTAATTGCTAGCTCCATATAAGCTTACCTTCTTTCTCCCGCCACTAGCGACAGCTTCATCTCTCCTTGCCGATGCAACTGCAGCTTCGCAGACTGTCCGCCAACCATCTTCATTTCAAGTATTCCGCGATGTCCCCTCAATCCGTGGCCTGCGACGCCAGTTGCTCAAAAAGGACCGCACCGTGGGCTTCGTTCCCACCATGGGCGCTCTTCACGAGGGCCACCTCTCATTGATTCGGCAAGCGGCGCGCGAAAACACCGACATTTTTGTGAGCATCTATGTCAATCCCACACAATTTGGAGTGACGGAAGACTTGTCAAGTTACCCCCGTACCTGGGATACCGACGTGGAGAAATTGGAGAAACTGAATGAGGAACTGGAACGTCTGGGAGAAAACAGTGCTAGCGCGGGACGTATCACAGCAATCTTCGCCCCGACATCCAAGGTGGTCTATCCCGGCCTGCCTCCTTCGTCCGAGATCGATGGACATGGCTCGTTTGTTACGATTACTCCGCTCTCCACAAAATTGGAGGGTGGCTCTCGTCCAGTGTTCTTCCGCGGCGTCGCAACTGTCTGCATGAAGCTTTTCAACATCACAACTCCCGACCGTGTCTATTTCGGCCAGAAGGATGTGCAACAGACAGTGGTCATCAAGCGGATGGTGGAAGATTTCCACGTCGGAACTGAGGTGCGCATTATCGAAACCACCCGTGAATCTGATGGACTGGCATTAAGCTCACGGAATGTGTATCTGGGAGACCGGAGACGCTCTGTGGGACTCACTGTCTACAAGTCTCTCAAGGCTGCAGAAGATGCCTATATGGCCGGCAAGACTAGCCGTGCGGATATCCTGGGCGCCGCGAACAGTGTGGCAGATTCTGTTCTCTCCCAGCAGCAAGGTCTCTCAACATCCGAGAGAGCACTCTATGAGGTTGATTACATTTCTCTTGCGGATCCCGATAGCCTCGACGAGCTAGACATTGTCGACCCAGCGAAGGGAGCCGTGTTGAGCACTGCATTCAAAATGGCACCTTTGGAAGAATCCAAGCCCAATGAGGACTGCGGATTGGGCGATGGCAAGGTTCCAGTGCGCTTGATCGACAACATCATTCTGCATCCCCGTGCTTGATCCATATTGAACCTCTACTCATTATGTAGCATAGCGCAGGCAGGCCCTCCCTAACATAGACTCATAAAAGAGCAGGCCTTACCTTACATAGAACCAACGAAGCTCGCACGACGCTTCGAGTGGGATATCTATTAACTTCTAAGACCTATTAACTCCCATGACCGTGTACTGCTATGGTTAAAATTGTTTTATATGATAGCCAGGTATGACGCCTTTAAGAATGGCCTAGTAATGCGCTACATACGAATAAAATAAAGTGCATGAATCCAGTCTTGAAGCCTTGCAGCAACAGAGTATAGAAAGTAGGGCAGATCCTGAGGCGGAGAAAATTTGCTGGAGCCGCGAAAGGCTTGGCGTGGAAAAAAAGTCTCAGCGTCAACCGCCGTAACCAAACCCTCCAACTTCCCCCATTTCCAAGGGAACTATCTTTCAAAATGGCTGACGATGGAATGCTTATGAACTTCAGCATTGCTGACACTGTCATCCAGCCCGAGGCAAAGTTCAAAGGTGGAACATGGCGAGACAGATTGGTAGCCAAGAAGCGTTCGGCGCATCGAGGCTCGGAGAAGGACCCCAAAGACGCAGCTGCACGCAATGCAGCATCCAAGAACCCTAATCAAATTCAACTCGGTCCACGGCCTGCAAAGCGCCAAAGAACCGAAGACTCTTCTCATTCATCTCATCGCCCCGGCGGCGATCGACGCCAGACCCCGCGAGACCCCCGTCATTTTGTTTCTTCGCTTTTCACTAGCAACCCCGAACCGCGAAATGCTGAGGAACCAAAGACAGAGGGCGAGGTGGAAGAAGCGAAGCCGACCAATGCCCCGATGATCGACGGATTAGATACTTTCACAAACCTGGGATTGTCGCCCAATCTTGCGGCGCATTTGCTCACAAAGCTGGAGCTCAAGGCGCCGACGGCTATTCAAAGTAGTTCTATTGGGCAATTGCTGAAGGAAGAAAGCGACGCATTTATCCAAGCCGAGACAGGTTCCGGTAAGACACTGGCTTATCTGCTCCCGCTCGTGCAACGAATTATGGATCTCTCAAAGGCCACGAAAGAACATAATGACAACCAAGTCCACCGTGACAGTGGTTTGTTTGCCATCATATTGGCACCCACTCGTGAATTGTGCAAGCAGATCTCTGTCGTGTTGGAGAACATTCTCCGCTGCGCAAACTGGCTCGTTTGCGGTACCGTCATTGGTGGAGAAAAGAAGAAGTCGGAAAAGGCTCGCTTAAGGAAAGGATTGAACATCCTCGTTGCGACTCCCGGTCGTTTGGCTGATCATCTCGACAACACAGAAGCTCTGGACGTCAGCAACGTGCGTTGGTTGGTGCTGGATGAGGGTGATCGCTTGATGGACATGGGTTTCGAGGAGGAATTACAGGGAATTGTGAAAAAGCTCGATGCCAGACAACGACCGAGTCGTGTTCCTGGTGTGCCTACGCGCCGAACTACGATCTTGTGTTCGGCTACATTGAAGATGAATGTGCAGAAGCTCGGAGAAATCAGTTTGAAGGATGCGGTACACATCAAGGCCGACCCGACAGATGAGGATGAGAATGCGCCGAAGGAGGATGAGGACTCATTCCGCGTTCCGGCCCAATTAAAACAGTCATACGCGATTGTTGCACCTAAGCTACGTCTTGTCGCCTTAACAGCCTACTTGAAGAGGACATTTATCCGGAAGGGATCAGTCATGAAGGCAATCGTTTTTATGTCTTGCGCTGACTCCGTTGACTTCCACTTCGAGCTATTTTCACGAAACCAAGACCGCGAACAACAAAAGAAAGATGAAGAGGAGGGAGATGAGGAAAAGCCCGACGAAAAAGAAGAATTATCACCCCACGGAACTATCGCCCCCGGAAGAGCGTTCTCCAACCCAGGAAACCCGGTTCTCCTGCATCGTTTGCACGGATCTCTCCCCCAGAATGTTCGAACTGCCACACTTGGATCTTTCTCCCGCAGCACTGAGGCCTGTGTCATGATCTGTACTGATGTGGCCGCTCGTGGTCTTGATCTTCCTAACGTGGACTTGGTCGTCGAATACGACCCCGCCTTCAGTTCAGATGACCACACTCATCGCATTGGTCGTACTGCCCGTGTCGGACGTGATGGTCGCGCCCTCATCTTCCTGCAGCCTGGATGCGAAGAGAACTATGTTGAAATTCTCAAGCGCGGCTACCGCGATGGCGGCAAAGCTCTCACTCGCACTGATGCGAATGAAATTCTTAAGCGCGGCTTCGGAAGCAACGACTCCAGAAAGAAGAACTGGGAGGAGAAGACTACCGATTGGCAAATGGATGTAGAGCGCTGGGCTCTCGAGAACCCGCAGTATCTTGAAATGGCCCGTCGCGCCTATCAATCTCATGTTCGCGCATATGCCACCCACATCGCTACTGAGCGGAGTATGTTCAACATCAAAGAACTCCATCTGGGTCATCTCGCAAAGAGTTTCGCTCTGCGTGACCGGCCAGGCAAGATCAACGTTCCTGGTCTGCGACCTGGACAGGAAGACACCAAGAAGGACTTCAAGGCGGCGCGCAACGGCGTCGCAGGTACCAAGAGGAAGGTTGGTGCCGACGACAAGGCTCCAGGTACGACGGATCTGGATGATGCAGCTCGCAAGATGAGAGCCAAGATGAGGGAGAATATGGCTGGAGCCAGCGAGTTCAACTTGGCTTGATCTGTTTCTGACATCTCATTTGTCTAAAAAAAAAGCATGGTCACATGGTTGTTTATAGCATTAGCATTTATCTCAGTAAATATCCCATAATGAAATCTTCCCGTCTTTGGAACCTGCCGCCAACCAATGAGTCTGCTGGACTTTTCGATTCCGTTGTTGCTGTACACTGGCGAGAGAGTACTCGCGCGCAAAGACTTCTGTTTCGCTCGTAGTTGGGGACTGCTGTGCGGCAGAATTGGCAGATGAAGGCGTTCCAATCCCACCAAATGCCACAGCATAGCATCCATCTTGATGCCATTTCAGCACAGCGAGCTCTTTCATTGTCTTCCCGGAGTACACTCGTACCCTACTGTCCCACCCAGCAGTAGCAAACACTTTCCCATCAGACCGAATGCGCAGGCCCTGCTGACCCGAGTGTCTGGTATTAACAACTTTCAGGGGCGATTCCTCCTTGTAGCCAGCAGTAGGGATATAGCCAGCAGAAGCGAGACTCGGAATGGGATGTTTGACAATCAAGGCATCAGCAGAGGAAGAAACAAAATGGGTATGACAGGCAGCGACATCAAGCGAAAGAACGGGCTGGGTATGGGGACGAGCAGCATAAAGCCTCTCCCATTTCAAAGGGTAGTTTCTGATATGCTCAATCTCAAAACTGGCCGCTTTTAACGCCCCGCGATGAGCGTATACCATCACCTGGCCATCCTCGTACGCCGAAACCACGAAGAGATCCCCAACTGGGGTCACGAAGATATTGACAGCCATCAGCATTCCAGTCTTTGTCGATGATTCAGATGGAATGGTGCTAATTCGGCGCTCGGATGGCAGGTGGAAGATATCGACACCGCCGGAGTCCAAGGCATTGGGAACTGCGAAAAGCGTATTTTTTGGCTTCTCCGAAGCTGGCGATGGAGAAACAGAAAGGCCATCGTCATTGGTGAATTTCATAGAAAACGCGCAGAAATTGAGCGCGTTCACGGGCATGGAGTGGAGCAGCCATGGCTGAGTCTTGCTTCCCTCCTCGATGGGATCAGCCATGTCGACTGGAAGCGTCTTGTCTAGGAATTCTTCATCTTCTAATCGGATCTTCCAGACGCAGAGCTTGTGGTCGCGGCCATGTCTGTTATAGATTGTTAATACGGACGAGGTGCTGGGTTGGAATAGTGGTCATCTCACGTGTAGATCTCGGTCACGCCTGAGTCAAAATTGAATCCTTTTAGTTCTAGCACGGCACCTGCGTGCGCTTTCCATACTGCTGTTGGGCGTTTGGTGACTAGGTCCCAGATCACGATCCAGCCGTTGGCGTCGCCGGATGCTAGGCGTAGGTTCTGGTTGAAGATGTGTAGTGCGTGTATTGGTGCGCCATGCCCACGCAAGATGTAGATCGGAGTGGCCGGAGACTGTGTCTGGGTTGTACTGCTTTCCATCTTGACTTTTTGGGTGTTGATGTTGATATCTATGAGCTGCTGCTTTGTGGCTACGGGAATTGCCTGTTCACACCGCCATCCATGTGTGCCAACCTGGAAAATTGGTAGATGCGATGGTTTGTTCATAGATCATCCTTTTATGACTAAATTGGGCTATTATACCAAGATATGGTTTTTTTTTTTTTCATTTAGCCACAGTTCGACTAACAGCTTCTTAGGTTGGGGCGTTGTCAATGTTGATATAGTCCACCAGGAATTACATCGGCATTAAGAGAAAATATATTCATATGCTGTGGACCACAGGGAGTAAAACGAGAGACGAGTCATTATTCATAAAGTGTAAGATCATCAGATCAGATAACCACCATAGTGATACTGGTCCAGTGCATGGTGATGGTGAGGTGGAACATAGTATCCCTGGTAGGGATGATTCTCCATCGAAAAGTCCCCAGTTGTGACGAGGGGGTTTTCAAGAGCAAAAGAAGAGCCCGAAGATTCCGCAATTGATAGTGATGGATCGAGCTCATAGTAGTGGTTGTGCATTTGGGCTGGAGTCACCGTATGCGGGTGAGCATCGACCCAGCTCCAAATCCGCCTTAGCTCATTCTTGACTGATTCAACGTTGGAACTTGACCTCTCAGCGATAGCATCGAAGATCCCTAGTACTTCTTCTTGGGCTGATCGTGTCTCTAGAAATTCCGCAGCAATTGCAAGACAGCGTAGTGAGAGATCTGTAAGGCTTCTAGTACAAGAGTTAGTCTGAATAAGATATGAATCTTAAAATGAGAAGTTGAACGAACATATGTTTAATACATGCGACAAGGCCGCATATTTCGTGCGCGTGAACTCTTTGCATATCACGCATATCTCCGTCGAATTGTGACTGGATAGGGTTTGACTTGGATAGCAAGATTCGGGTTGTATGAAAGAACAATCGAGCAACAATGGCAGATTTTTTAGTAATCCTGGGTTCAAAAATTAGCATACGGATTCGATTGATTCAAGGAGCGGGAACCTACAGAATCCCCGGAAACGCGGAGTTGGAGTCTGTCTGCCAGGGCTGCAGGTACCCAAGAGGTGCCATCGACCTAGGCGTCGATTTCTCCCAATTATCACACCAGCCGTTGTAAAGATCCCATTCCTGATATCGATCGTTGAGCTGAGTAGCCCCAGTTGAGTCGTTGCTCAACCTTTGGGAATGGAACGATGCCTGGAAAATCACAACTTTTGCACAAATATAGAAGATACGATGAAACCATAAATCATCGTTGTTCCCATTGGAGGCATGATAATGGTTGGTATCCATGTTGATCGCCCAACTGTTTGGATCCCAGGACAGGCTCCAGTTATGTCGTACGCAATTGAGTATCTCTGTACCAATACTGATTCGGAAACATGCTCCACCGAGGCCTGGAGTCTTCGAAGTCCAGCCACATTCTCGAATCAAAGCTCGCGAGCCGGCAATATGAGCTCTGCGATGCGAAGATGGCGGTGACATTGTTTCAAAGAAGCCAAGGACCAGAGCCACCACCGCACATAGAACGGAGTCACGGCTAGAATCATGAACTGAGTTTAACAGATCCTGGGTGGCCTCGTCGTAGAGTTGCATAGCCCTCTCATCGCCGCGAGAGGAATCTACGAGAGACAGATGTCTAGCACCACATGCTGAGAGTGCCCTGAGCAGCATGGGTTCATCGAGCGCGTAGCACGGAAGAATATGAGTGAACTAGACGTCATTAGAAAATCATCCACATGATTCTTCAAGGGAGACAAACATGGTTCATTTCATCCATCGCATCCATTCTGGGCCCAACATGTTCAACAAAAGCACAAAATAGAAGCATTTGCTCAGGATCCGTGATGAGGGAATGACTGCCCTCACCCTTTGCCAGCTTCCGCGCAAAGTTAGATATTCCATGCGGTAGGAGTTCATCTCCCGAGACCAGCTGAGGCTGTTGCCAGACATCGGTCCCAAAATTAGTATTACCTGTATGAGGAACGTCAAAGTCTAACGAATCAAACGATTGAGCCACAGATTGGAAAAGATTCGTCAAATCATCAGGTCCCATAGCCTCGAAGCTATGATGTAAAAGTCTTACCTCTTCAGCAGGACTTTCCGGCTGAACAGGTGGGTATCTTTCGAAACCGCCTACATATTCCGACGCGATCAGGCGGGAATCATCGCGAAACGTCACTTTCGCGCCATGAGGCCGAGCGACAATATGCGGAGGCGCCACATTTTGAATATCAATAAAGTTCAGACGAACACCACGGCGACAGACGCGGTTCGACTTGCGACAGTTATGACACCGTCCCAAGGCCTCGTCGCACTTCAAATGTCGTTGGCGACAAGTAAGACATCCGGTGCGCACTCTCTTCGCTTTGGTGTCTGCAATGCCTGTGGACTTCTTCCGGCGTGGACGGGGCGTACTTTGCGAGTCGCTCGCCTGACTTTTTGGAGTCGATATACTCGAGTCAGCTGTAGGCGATCGCACCTGTGCTTTTGTAACTGTCCGCAGATTCATTTTGGTGTAGTTGCGATGCGCGCGACTTTCGATCTGAGCTCTGGTCCCGACCTGTCTCTAGTCTCCGGCACCGACTGGGGTCCGACCCGAAACAGGATTTCCAAATACACAAACTGAGCTTGTAAAATTCACTCGACTGGCCATGTTCGATATTGGCGCTGGTTGGAGTCGCGTGTGGGGAACAATCGAGAGGAATGCGATCGTCGCAGCTTGCGATCCCAGGGCTTGGAATTCGAGGGCCAATAGGGAAGGATTTGGCAGATTGATCGGGGATCTTCGAATACTGTCTCCGAAACAAACCCCCAGAGCAAAAGTCTTACTAGCCGATGCCCGAAGATGTGTGTCGCGGGGAAGTGGATTTCCAGTCCGAAGAGAAAAAAAGGCCGGCCCGCTTTGCCAAGATCCTCGACTGTGTTGATGCTTGACTACTGTAAGGCCATGATATCCAGGTTGATATGCAGAGTGTCGGAGAAACAAAAAGTCATTGTTTGAGACTGAGACTTACAATGACTCTACTGTATATTATGCCTAGAAAACCATCTGGATTGATCTCCAGGGCTTCAATATTTTAACGTTAACTAACCTATAGATCTCCGCTTTGTCATCGATAAAGAGTCGGGGTTGGAAGTGGCCCAGACCATCTTTTCTACCTCTACACTATATAAGTTAATCCCTAAACCATGCATCCACCCCTTCGCATCGCCGTACTAGAATGCGACACCCCCCTCGACCCCATCAACCGCCAGTATAACGGGTATGGTGGGGTATTCCGCACCCTCCTCACAACAAGCGCAAAAGCCTTGAACCAACCCGAGAAACTCAACCCGGAGACTGGGTTAGAAATCACAGCATGGGACATAGTGAACGGCAATAAATATCCCGACCTAGAAGACGTCGACGCGGTCCTCCTAACAGGCTCAAGTGCGGAATGACTCAAATACCCCCAATGCGATAACCTCAAGCTTTTGTATACTAACAGCAATTGCACCGGAACAGAACACAATTCCTTTGAAGATATTCCATGGATGAACCACCTGGTTCAATTCACGCAAAAGGTTCTTGCCCAAGATCGAGTGCGACTCCTCGGCATCTGCTTCGGACACCAGATCGTTGGTCGCGCGCTAGGCACCAAGGTAGGACGAAGTGATGCAGGCTGGGAAATCGCCGTGTGCGATATAGACCTGACGGCCGAAGGGAGGAAACTGTTTGGGCGGGACAAGATCGTAAGTGTCCTCTCTCCGTGTGACGTCTGGTCACAACATGCGTCCCCGAGACATGCTATAGTACTGGATGTTCCACTGGCAATAACCTAAGGAAAGCTAAGCTAACGCAAGGCGATCAAATGAACAGTGCATCCAGCAAATGCATCAGGATGTCGTTTTTGAATACCCCCCGAATGTCATTGCGCTAGGTTCATCCCCGCGCTGTGCTGTGCAGGGCATGTATGCCCCGCGCCGTTTTATTACTGTCCAGGGTCATCCTGAATTCACAGGGGATATCGTTACAACTATTGTTGGGAGCCGGGCTGAGAGTGGAGTTTTCAAGCCGGATCAGGCTGAGGATGCCTTGAGTAGGGTTCATCATCAACACGATGGGGTTGATATTGGTGCTGTCTTCTTGAAGTTCCTACTTGAGGATTGAGGATTATTCATAAAGACACGGGCGCTGTACTACCTTCGGTACTCGACTTTGATTTGGTTTCGATAGAGGTATCATATAGATCTAGTCTTTTGTACATTACCAAGCGAGCATTATGTGATGGCCAATGGAAATGAGACTGTAGTACTTTCATTGAAAACTAGTATATAATAAAAGAAGCCAAGTAGCAATCGGTATCATTGTCATAAGTGCATGTCGTGTTCTATCGAGGGAGTAATGCACCAGGCACCCTCATGCAAATTCATGCCAGAAAGCAAAATATCAAGGAACGCCCTGTTCCTAAGCCAAGGAGGCCACTTCACCCCGTAGGGAAGAGATGCAAAAATCAAAAGCTGCCAGCAAAAGACAAGCAAAAAGTGGCACAAACGCTCCATCCATCCACGAACGCCATTTCCATGCATGTTTGAGTCGCTAAAATGCAAGGTCGGACCGGAGTCAAGCAACAGATAAGCAAGGCAGGCAACAAACAAATATAATCAGGTTCAAAGTCAGAGAGGTCGCGGGACGGAAAGTCGGCCGCTGCGACGTGGGTTCGCCTTTCCGTCTGAGTCTGATGGCTCCGGGGTTGTGTTACCCGGGATTGAGGAGAGGGGGTCTGTGTTTGGACCGTTTTCTGTTTCGGATTTCATCTATGGAGTGTGAGTTGAAGAGAACAGCGTTGAGGAAGACGTGGGGATAATTACTCACGCGAAGATTCAAAGAGACAAGTTCGTTTTGATCGTCTCTGAATGATATTCCAACCCCGAGTGTTAGGTTGGAAACGATGCGCCTCTTGGGTCGCGTTCGACGAGCTGGACGTGGATCTTCCGAGTCGTCGCTGTCTTCTGCGGATCGCTTGCTTCCTGTGCTGAACGGGGAAGAGGACCGTGATGCCTGTAAGCTTGGCTTAATGGGAAGCCCTGGAGCAGCCTTTTTGTCGAATGGCACATCGGTCTTTTCATCCAGCAAGGCAGCAAATGCGCGGTCAATGTCACCGCGACATTTTTGAAGTATATCGACGATGGTCTCGCGGTCATAGCGGCCACCAAAGCACTCTTGAATGGATGTGATATCCCACGGAGGATGAATGTCCACTGCCAAATCATCATCAACAATGTGAGCAGGATCTATAGGACCATTGTCCTCAATAATGAGTGAGTCTTTGCGGTCTTCAAGTTTCCTATCTACTTCTGGCTTGATCTTGTCGCTGGTTAGCGGAGCGCCGTTTGCATCGGCGAGAAGCCCTTGATGTTGGCCATTGAGTCTCCGCACAGACGAGTAATGTTTGAAGTCCTGGGATTGTTAACTTATGGCCCCAAGGCAACAAGAAGAGCATGACACGTACATGGAACGCGACATGGAGTACATCCCGGGGTTGATCGGGAAGAGCATTCACATCTCGAAACACCTGAACTCCATCCATGGTGTAGACATTCAGATCCACCTGAAAGACCTGGCAAAATGCCTGGAGATGCTCCGAGCTAGCCCACTCGCCATTCTTCCGAGTGGTTGCAATCATATCCTCGAACCGACGCTCCTTGTCCTCGAGAGACGGGGATGAGACATTGGCAGAACGCGTGGCATACGCGGATGCAGCTGCACGTTTAGGCCGACGGCGTTCTCCACCCTCTGCCACGACAAACTGCATGAAGTATGTTTTGTTGTTGGCCATGTGCGTGGCCAGGCACTGGCGAATCTCGTCGGCATGGTAGGTGTTGGCGTACAATTGATCGGAGAGGGAATAATAGAGGCAATTGCCTATTGTTTGACGCGTCAGAAAAGACCAAGATGGATTTGACAGCTTGCGAAGCGCGTTTTGAAGCTCCCGCAAGTAAGCACCAGCGTGACTAGCTTACCATCTCCCTCGGTAGGTAGGGCAAACAGGCCCCGTTCCTTTAAGCAGGGCATTTCCAAGCTTGCATGGTCCATGTTATTCTGTTTTTTGGCGGACAGCTCAGCCTGAGCCTGCTGGACCTGCAGCGGGTCGGCCGTCTGGGGAAGCTCCTCTTTCAGATGTTCATGACCCGCGAGTATGGGCACGATTCTGCCACCGTGATCGAGGTGAGACATATTGAAGGTACTTGACTGCGCGTCGGCATTGATCAATTCAGGAAGAGAGAAATAAGACTAAATCTAAGAAAAATAAATCAAACCCGCAGAGGTGAATCGGGCGCCCTGCGGGTGGTATGAAAAAGGAAATTCCACCAATTCTCGCAGATTTCAGTGCCGATCGAGGCGGTGAATGCTGGTGGGCGGTGATTGGCTGCACGTGAGAAGTTGCCCACTATGACATCGGCGACTTTGGCTTTCGACTCAACTCGTTAGGGTTTCAATTGTTTGTGAGAACCGATGTTCTACTTCTTTTGTTCTTGGTGACTGTCCACCTCCCCTGGTCGCTTGCTGGAAGGGTCAGGGTTAAGCCAAGTGGGCGAGGAGTCAGATTGTGATGGATACACGGACTATAGTGGAGTCTGGAGGGTTGGATGGAGAAACGCGGGACTTTACGGAGTCTCCTTGCTGGGCCCAGATTTGATACATGCATTGATTGAACTGAATCAAGAGCAGGGGCTCAATGAGGCGTCAATAGATCCAGAGTCATTTTACAGTGCAGTAGAAAGAGGAGGGTACCCGGAACTGATTTGCATGCATCCATTGTTCATGTTCCTATTGGACAGAACCGCTGTCCTATAAAGCTTGTCCAAAAGCCTCGAGTTGTAAGATTGACCCGAGCCAAGGTGACATTGCAGGCAAATAGAGAATATATTAAGAGTCTTACCTGAGAACCATTGAGTGTGTAAACATAGTAAAAAAGAATAGCAACCTTGGAAACGAAACAGGTATATTTTCTTTGTATCCACCTCCACTCGAAAACTTAGCTTGTTTGTCTTTTCACGACATTTGATTGGCCACATCCGAAACGAAATTGCAATAGAATTGGAGGCCTGAGCCTCGGTTCAGTCTGGGGCATTGGCCCCCGGCTGATGGCTGATTCAAGTCGACCTAGAGGCTCTACGTTCGAATTGCGGTTCGAGCGAATTATCTTTATGTGTCTCTTCAACAAGTTGTATTCTGTTGCATGCCTGGTTCGTTTTAGTTCCGGTCATCTTCCTAGGAGGTACATGATAGCATAGAAATGTCAAGTGTGAAGCGGACAAAACTCCACGTCTTATCAAAGGTACCTGATAACGCCCCCTCACTCCCCGCTTCGGCGACCTTAAAGACGGACTTTCTTCTAACTTTCCGAATGTCTTTCCGATATATGAGCAACCGGGAAATTGAGATCTATACATAATGGCGACAAACAACATCGTGGTTCTGGGGTAATATCCATCACCTGTACAGGCAAGCCTGGGACTGACGTGTCGATCAGGGCTGGTGTGTCTGGCCTGACAACCGCATATCTACTATCTCAAGACCCTTCAAACAAGGTCACTGTGCTAGCAAAGCATATGCCCGGAGACTATGACATCGAATATGCATCTCCATGGGCGGGTGCCAATTACATGCCGTATGAGATCCACCTCATCGTGAATACGATCACCTGACTGACATCCCTCTTACCCAGGATGGGAGCAAAAGAGAGTAACCACGCAGCATGGGAGCGTGCCACCTGGCCTGTATTGAAATCAATTACGGAGAAGTATCCGGAGGCTGGCATCCATTTCCGAAGTATGTTATTCAAACCCCGAAGAGCGGATTCTACCCATCTAACATCCCCAGCCGCTCTGATCTATAATCGCAAGAAAGACCCTACAGACAATCCCGCTGCGTTCTTCTCGGACTTGGTGGAGCCCAATCCGTGGTACAAGGATGTCGTGCCAGACGTAAGAGATGCGCTTTTTCAACAGACAAGATCATAGAAAGCACAGACTAACTTCACTCTCTAGTTTAAACCCATTCCATCTGATCAGCTAGCACCTGACATGGACAATGCGCAAGAATTCACATCTGTCTGCATCAACCCACCAGTCTACTTAGCCTGGCTAGTCGGCCAATCTGTGAAGAATGGCGCCGTGTTCAAGCGCGCTAATTTCAAGCATATTGTTCATGCAGCCAACGCCCATCATACTGGCCAGAAGGCCGATGTCGTGATCAACTGCACTGGTCTATCATCCAAGTTCCTTGGCGGTGTCCTCGACGAGAAACTGTATCCAGCTCGCGGCCAGGTTGTCGTCGTTCGCAACGATCCAGGGCCAATGGTCGCCGTCTCCAAGACCGATGATGCGCCAGATGAAGCCACTTATTTGATGACTCGAGCCGTAGGTAAGTATAGAACAGTTCTTCACAGTCCTTTTAATTATCGACTTACCATGTTTAGGTGGTGGTACCGTCCTCGGCGGATCTTACCAAAAGCACAATTGGGATGCGACGCCCGATCTAAGTCTTGCAAATCGTATCATGACTCGTGCTATTGCAATCGCTCCAAGCCTCGTGGAGAAAGGAAAAGGAGTTGAAGGACTGGATATTATTCGACATGGTGTTGGTTTGCGCCCTCTAAGAGAAGGTGGTCCTCGCATTGAGAAAGAGAAGATCGACGGCGTCTCAGTTGTTCACAATTACGGCCACGGTGGCTTTGGCTACCAGGCTTCATTTGGTTGTGCAAATACCGCTGTATCTTTGATTCAGGAGGTTTTGCGCGAAAAGTCACGGGCCAAGCTCTAGGTTAGCGTTTGACGGCTCCTCTTACTGGAAAAGACATTTACAGTGCCTTGCATGGTGGTTGCTAGAATTCATCAAATGATAGAACATAGCAATACAAAGTATATCCGTCTGCATATGACATTGTGACGTCAACTTCTTCTCCTATTTCATACCTATCATAGCTACGAGGTCCATCAAACATCAAGCAAACAATGTCTCAAGAAGCATCTCAAAAGGTAAACCATGTCTTGAGTAATTTCGGTCGATCCCCCCTCCACAATACATCACTTTCCGCCTCGCTAGATGCCGCCCCAGGCATAGTTCTAGCAATGACGATAGACGCCCTCATCAAAGCACGATCAATCTCGCACGAACTGACACAACGAACAATCAAAAAGCTTATTAAAGCCGGATATCACGATATCAACATCTTGAAAAACAGCTCATGGGAAGATCGAGTTTCTGTCCTGGCAAATGGGGGATACAGTCGGCATCGCGAACAATGTGCCACGAACCTTGGGGGCTGGCAAAGCCTGTTTCGGATAAATATGGTCAGTTTGTGTTCATCCTCAGGCTTAGCAATAACTTATATTAGCGTAATATTATGTGAGGACTTTACTGACGTGGCTCCAGATGGAGATCTTAACAATCTTCTCTACAAAGCCTGTTTTAATAAAGACGAAGCTGGAATTTTGATGAAAGAAATTAAGGGAATGGGCGATCTTGCAGTGGAGGTTTTTTTTCAATAACGTGGAATCTGTTTGGCCGTGTATCGCCCCTTTTATCGATTCGCGGAGTTTGAAGACTGCTGTTGATGTTGGTATCGGGGAGGACTTGCCTTACATATACTCGGTTTTGAAGGAGGACCCGGCGCGGATGAGTTGGTTTGCCAATGGGCTCTCGGAAGTTAGATTGGAGAAGAAGCAGGACCTCATTTCAGACGTCATGTAAAATGGGTTTCAAGCTTGGATAATTTGGATTTCAGTAGGATTTGCAACTTGAAATAAAAAATGAACATATATTTGAGTTTATAAAACGTATCTAAAGCCTTTGTTCTCGATCTCGGTTTTGTCCTAACACAAGTTAGCTTAAGCAGTCGATCTCTGTATGACAGAACTTACCAGCATTCCATTTTCAACACCCTCCGCTTCAACTTCCTCACCATTAATCGCCTCTCTATCACGGCGCTTATTCTCCAGGTACATGTAAATGTACAGTGCAATGATAGCTGCCAACTTGACAGCATATCCAGCAAGCATCCTAATCACGACAATCAGTAAGTGCAATCCAACCCAAACGGGAACATAAAGTGAAGATAAAAGAGATACATACGCAATGTAAGCACTGTGATACCCCGGAGCCTCACTAGACTTGAAAGTCTGCGGCCCGATGATATTTCCAACGCAATAACCGGTAAACAGCAAAGCAGATGTAACCTGCTTCTTTGTATATCCAGCAATGTTAGAGCTGACAATAGTCAAACTCATACTAAAGCCCAGGCCTTGGAAATAGCACAGCCAAAGCGCAACAAGACGACCCCACTTGTTGGAATTGGGAAGAGTGACAAGTAATGCCGAGCCAATGATGCAAACCGCACAGGCAAAGATCATGCATGCAAACCGTGAGTGGAATTTACCGTCGAACTTGGTTGCGATATAGCCACCGAGAAGGAGAGTGATGAACTGGACGGCACCGCCGGGGATTTGGAGGTATTGCGTTCCAAGGGTATCGAATCCAAATGTTCCAACGATGATGGAAGTAAACTGTTTTGTCGGTTTGTAAGTCCAAAGAAAGAGAAAAGAAATATCAGAGAAGCGAGACATACACTTGTCAACGCCGAATTCGGAATTTGCGCTCCAATTGCCATCACAAACAACAGCCACGTCTTTGGGTCTTCCGCCGCCTGTCGAACCTGATACCACTTGAATTGCTGATTCTTCACACCCTGTCGGTTGATCGCAACACGCTCCACAGCAATGGCTTTCTCGCGTTCACTCAGGAACTTGGCAGTCGATGGCAGATCCGGAAGGAAGATGAGAGCACCGACTCCGACTGCGATAGAGAATGCGCCGAAGATGAGGAAAACGTACATCCATCTTGGAAGTCCGGTTGTGATATGTCCAACGGCATATCCAATCAAGCTATGTGTCCAATGTCAGATATTTATCATTTATACCTCGACTGAATTCGACAACTTACCCGCCAAACATCGTTGCAATACCGTTGGTACAGTACCATGCCTCGAGTCGCAGAGGCTGCTCCTCAGATGTATACCACATTCCCATCATCAGAACAAATCCAGGACTGACGACTGCTTCTACTGCTCCGAGAAGGAAGCGGTTGATGGCAATTCCGGCGAAATTATGGCAGGCTGGTGTTGTCATGAGAAGACCTCCCCATACTAGATCTTGTTAAAACCAGGAGTACTATGGGTTGTTTTGGTAGATCATACCTAGTGTGGTCCCAGCCAAGAACTTGCCAACGGGCAGCTTTTGCAGAGCTAACCCTGCAGGCCATTGCGCAATGAGATATCCGAAATAAAAGATGGAACCTATTTATATGAGCCTTGTTGATTATCTGTTCTGGACGTTTGAGACATACTGAGCCAAGAATATTGTTGTCCTTTCAGATGAGTGCCTGTCTTTAGGCCATATACGGACGCAAAGTTGATACTGTTCTTGTCGAGATACTGCGAGGGTCAACATCGACCAATGGGCACCACAAACGAGAAGAGATCTTACCTGAAGCATGTAAATCAAAAATAGGAGCGGGATCAGTCGCAAGTCAATCTTTCGAAGAACGCGTTTGGCTTCTTCTGGCGTATACTCCAGTCCCTGGTTCTGTTTGTAGAATGCATAACTCTCATCTTTCTCCGAAGAGCTTGCCGTGGAGAGGGGTGGCGACAAAGTGGCCTCGGCCTCTTTTGCTGAAGACATTGAGAAAGTGTTTAACTGTTAGACTCGAAGAACACGCAGGGATTTTATAAAAATCCAACTCTCATACGCTCACGGTCCACGTGGAGAATTGCATAATACAAGCTACGGTCCCACATTTCCAGACCTTGATGTCTCATGCAGCGATATCAGATCTATAGGGTGAGTTTGTGTCCATGTGGCTTTCAAACTCCCAGCTCTGAGTTTAAGAACTAGTATTCACCAGAGATACAAGATACACTTCATATCGGTTGTTCATATGCTTGTACTTGTCTGTTATATGCCTGAGGCGATTCAGTTCACACGGAAAGGTGGAGAAATCACGACATCACCGCAGCAATTGCGCGTTGGTCGTTTTGCGCAAATCGCAGCCACTGAACTTGCTGGCTTGGTCGGACATTATCCGGTGCCCCTGAAACAGCCTGTTTCTCTCGGCCTATGGAATTTTCTCTGAGCTCATCCAAAATATCATTTGGTGGCTTCGTTACCCTAATGCGATTTTGGAGGGTTTTCTCGGCGATCACCAATGTAGCTTGCCGGGTGGGGCTTTCCTATCTTAGCTGCCGCCGCTTTATCGAGGGCGCTCAGAGTCAGGCTCACTGAGTAAATTTCAGTCCGGGCTCAGACTCAGTGATTGTGATTGGGTGCTCACTGATCGCTCACTGATTACTCAGACTGATCAGAGCCATCCATGGATCTATTAAGCACTCAGTCCAGACCCAAAGGAGCACTTTGCCCTATAATATTGTCTATTTTGCGATTACTTTTCGATAGCCTTCACTTCTCACCATGCCTCGATTTATTAAGGTGCGCGATCTTCTAGTCTCGTTCCCCTCTCAAAAAATAATGCACTAAAACACGATGACGCAAATTTGGAAGGCACCGAGCTCATCTATAACAGGGCGACGTAGGAGTAAAGTGTTGGGTCATCCTAAATTACTGAGTTATAAATTAGAACTATCTCCCATGAGCTGAGACCTATGCGAGAGCTGACAGTGTCAGAGCAAGAGATGCTTAAGGTGAAAGAGAGTGAAGGTGACCGAAAGAACGTTGTTATGAAGAAACTACGTAGTATGTAGCTTAGCACGAGGTCTCAAAGCAACATTTTTTGAAGCAAAACGTCTCAATGCAAATTTCGAATTCTTAAGTAAACATCCTGTTCGTGTATAGGCCCAGCACCGACGTAAAGCATCGAATAACCAACCTGGACATTTCTGTAATTCTCAGTCCAATTCACGTAGCTGTCTGTCCTTCCCCCACTGCTTCAGGTCAAAAGTACCCTCCTGAAGCTCATCCTGTCGACCATTCCACATGAAAGAAACTCCCTCGATGGTTTTCTCGGTGCTACCTTCATTATTCAGAACGTTAATCAAGCAAGCTTGAAGATGATATTTATCCGTTTCGTAGGCGGCAAGTCGATCAAGTTGCGTCGGCGATAAGAGGCCACACACCATTCCATCAACTGGATGAAGTGGTTTATCATCGAGGAGAGCAGGGTATGGGCCCCAAAGTTTGATTTCGTAACCAATAATCCTAGCAGGGCGCATCATAGGTGGTGGCTTTGACAATCCTAAGACTTTGCATAATGTATCTGTATCCATTAATGTCCCGTAGAAGAAGCAATATTCGTCTCGGATAGGGTCTTGAGGCCAGAAATTCTCGGCAGAATTGTCAGATGAGGGCAACAACGATGGCCTTGGCGGGTCTGCTGAGGCGTTGGCGCGAATGAATTTGCGGACCATAGGGGACGGCCGGGTGTTGCGCATTAAGTCAATGTAGATCTCGACAGGGCGAGGATCAAGGAAAGCGAATGATGATGATAGTGCTTTGGCTAGGGAGGGAAACGAAGGAGATTGGTGGGGGGTTGCTATACATGTACATGTACGCGTGTAATGTATATACATACCTTGGGACCCCCATCCGCAGCCTAACTCGTAAGATTACATCATCCAAGTACAGTCCCGAGGTCCCGGGTGAGACAGTATGGGAAACCGACCAATCAGAAGAAGTAGAAGATGGGATGATGGGATGAATAGTAGGACAGGACCTGTGAATAGAGTCATGAATGCAAGGAGCGATATCAGATTGATAGAAATCACATGACTACAGGACTCGATTTCCCGAGGTGCTCCGAAAATTGTATTATGTCATCAGATTATATTATATAAGCAGATTCTTGGTGCCTGCCCGGCCATTCTTGGTGCCTGCGTATACTCACCCCTCAGTGAGCGATCCTGATGATTATGTAATATTCAGGGGCGTGCTCAGTCCTACTCAGTGAGCAAAAAGCGGCAAGGCCTGAGCACTAAAGCGGAAAGGGAAAGCCAAGAAGTGGCAGAGGGAATCAAGTACATAGGATGAACTACTACCAAGAAATCAACTTCCATCATGACATATAGACCGAGAGATGAGATGACACTAAAATAGCCCTGTGGCTGAATCTTGAAGAAAAAGGAATCAACCTTTAGGAACAAAATCTCAGATCTTGATTAGGTAATAATCCTAAATCGACCTTCCCAGATTTGATTGGCTGAAACAGAGGTACAGAGGATCCACAGACATATGTTGATGCTATTTGATTGAACTATGCTTCATCCGGTCCCAAAGGGGGCCGACTAGCTGCCATATTACACTGTCTAAACACCCGTACTTCATCCTCCTCAAAAGACCCAACAATGGAATGCATAACACCATGGTTATTGAAAAGCACCAGATCCCCCTCTTCCCAATCATGAGTATACAAATAGCAAGGGTCAATAGCCCGTCGTTGCAGCTTGTAGAGTCGCTCGCGGATATCGACCAGGCTATCAAGCACCTCCCCAGTTTCCAGATGGATCTTCCGCACGCACGTTGGGTAAACCATCATGGCAAGTTTCCCTGTAACAGGATTCTTCCAAGTCATAGGGTAAATCTTGACCTTGGAGGTTTCAAATGGAGGCAGCTCATCCTCTGCGAGTTCCAGTCCTTCTGAGACAATACCCAGACCATTAGAGCGGGACTTGGCTTTGCTCATCCAGATGTATGGGTGAGGTGCGTATTCCACTTTGCTTGTGCGGACGAAGTGCTTTTCTTCCTCAGACAACATATCGTACAGTCGGTATCCACTGAAGAAGGCTGTTGTGCCTAAAGGAACATCGAGTGTGGTATCTGTACCATCATCGTATCGACAGGTTTGGCGACGGCCCCGAGGAACCTGGACGGCTAGTAGTGTGGTCACGAGCGGAGGGTCCAGATTGTACATGGCTGAATCGATGTGCCAGCGATAGAAGTGTGTAAAGTCATGATCTTCTTCTGGTGAGATGGGATCCTTATGAAATGTCTTGTGGTGTGGGTGTCTCAGGCGAATGTCCTTTAATCCTTCGTATTCTTTAACATGACCACTACCAATGACTTGGACCTGGGGCTGATGAGGAATTGTGGTCAGATCAGCGTGAAGAACGCTGCGCTTATCGATCGATTTGCCATGGCTGTAGATGCCAGCGGATGGGTCGAACCGTCGAGTGAGTTCGTATTGAGCCTGAGGGGAGAGCCCTGCCTGGCCCTTGAGCACCACAACTTGATTTTCATACAAAGTGCGACGGAGGAAATCGAAGTCCTCATCTTGAAAATATTAGTATTGAGAAAGATGATGAGCTGAACAGAAAGTATCATACCCGTCATTGTTTCAACATTGAAGCCAGTGAGTTCTGCACCAAAGTCTACCCGGGAGTCCTCGGACTTGTTGACGGGCTTAGAGCAAAGTGTCATGGTGGCCATTATGTAGATAGTAGCAGTAGATAGATTTGAAACTTCATGAAGAACCGTAAAGATGAGAGCCAATCCATGCAATATATAGTCCAGGTATACAGATCGCCATTGGCCAATCATATTGGCGCGGGTAAGATTTAGTGACTCGCCCGCACCAGAAGATAGGCCCCCCGGATTCACTGTAATACGTAAATGATAATTTGACGAATCCGATCCATAATACAAGTGAGACTTACGCAATGCATCGGATGCATAAGGATATTCTTATCGAGTATGGTGGTGGAAAGAGATGGACTCGCCCGCCCTGCGCGCGTTCTCAATTTATACTTAAGAGGAGGCACTTGCAAACATTGGAAACGACAAACTTATATTCATTTCTGAAAGCAAATCATCCTCTAAGAGACTTCATCCACAGTTATGCCCGAGTCAACGGCCCTCGCTTTCAACCTCCTGCCGGATGAGGTCAGGCAATCTTCCGCCATAGGCGCAGAAGTTCAACTACCCCCCGGAATGCCCATGCTGGACCTCGATCGTCTCACAGAAAAGGACAAAGAGGTTCTCCAAGAAGCGCTGTTCAGAAACCAAGTCATAGTCATCAGGGGACAAAAAGGCATCGACCCAACTGTCCTGCCGAAACTCGCCAAAGTGTTCGACCCAAACGCATCTGATATTCACTCTGCGGGAGAGAAGGCTGTCAGTGATCCAAAGAATATCTTGTCAGCATACAAAGCCGGCAGAATTCCAAGAGCTCCTCAAGTTGGAATTATTGGATCGGGCAAGTTCCAAGACTATGAAGGTCTGGACGAGTTAGAGGTCGTGCATCTTGTATTAGTCCCCCTTCAATTATAGATGTCCAATCAACTGACCAACTCGCCAGGATCACACTTTATTCCATGAGAGCCCTCTTACACAAGAAGAACTAGATGATGGGTATACTCGTCCATACAGATGGCACATGGATACACCTTTCTACGAACGGCTTCCAGGAGAAGTTACCATCTTGCACTCGATTCAGATCCCAAATGTTCCGGATCAGAAAATCAAGTTCCCCGACGGAAAGGAGAAGACTATCGGTGCTGGAGCGACAGCATGTAAGTATATCTAAGCAATCAGTGGTCAAGATATGCTCTCTGACGGGATGTATAGTTTTCTCCGGAGCTCGTGCCTTTTCTCTTTTGACACCGGAAGAGCAAGAGTTTGCGCTCAACACCACAGTCACATATGCTCCCCAGGCATACGAATACATTCGCCAATGTAAAGCCTCCCACGACGGTCTTACTATTCCGACCATGGGGAAGGAAGTTGCCGTGGAGAAATTGTCGGAGTGGGATTGGGATAAAGTTGCTGAGCATCCAGTGAGTGTTACTTCGATCGTGACGGCCATTGCATAACAGTCAACTGACTATATTTCGATAGATGGTCTGGCGAAACCCAATGAACCCCGACCGGCCTTTCCTCCAGGTCCATGGTTGCTGTGTTTACAAGCTCACGACCAGAAACCCTACCACCGGAGAGATCTCGGTTATGGATGACGTGGAGACGGTTCGAAAGACGGTGTATAACATGCAAAAGAAGATTTACGCTGCTGAAAATATCTATGCCCACAAGTGGCAAGAAGGAGATGTAGTTATCTTCCACAATCGTGGTGTCATGCACAGCATTACAGGCCAACTGGCAAAGTACAAGGAAGAGGAGGATAAGAAACGGATGTTGTGGCAGTGTACTATGACGAGTACTACTCCCCCTAAGCCATTCCGTGAATACAAGGGCGTGAACGATACGGGATACGTGAGGGTATGAATTGAGGATAGAACACAAGAATGACTCAATAGGAAGAATTCAATCGGATTTCAAACATGAACATGGTATATATTTGCTTCACAGCTGAAGCGGGTCCTGCAGAGAGTAAAATGTCTCGTTGAACCAGGCATCGAAATCGATATCCTCTGCAGTTCCCCAGGTTGGTCTCATCTCATCAAAGTGTGCACCAATCACGTCCTGAGGATCAACACTTGGAATTGTGCCAGGAGATGCCTCGGTGCTGGGCGATCCCAGGTGTAGCCGACTGAACGTAGAAAATTTGGCCAAAATCTGACCAAAATCCATCATTTTAGAACTTGTGCCGCCAGTATTTATCTCAGAGCCCGCGGTAAAGATTGCATCGATTAAAGCGACACCGCGTTGAGCGAGAACATCAAGATCCCGCGAAGCAAGGCGCGCTCGAGCTGAAAGAATGGCCTCTTTGTAACTTTGCGCACTCGCACTGAATGCACTCTCGGCGATGGCATTGACTTCGAAGCACATTATGACTGCGGCTGTAATTGCGAACGCGGTGTGAGTCCAGATCGAAATATCCTCTTCCCGCACGATGGTCTCGTGTTCACGTAATATAGTCATCGCTGCTGCGACCGAGGTACGCCTTGTGTAGCTATAGGTTGGATCGTGGAAAGAGCGGAACAGGAACGGTCGATGAATCATGATAATCTTTTCTGCTGCTGTAATTGCCAAGCTTCGTCGGGCAATGCTCAGCCATGGGATTTGCTCTTCTTTCTCTTTGTCAGGACGCAAAAGGAATGGCGGTATATCTTTAACCACGGCTCTCATTTTTTGGTCCACTTGCAGAATATGTTGGTATTGCTCTCGATGGGGCTTCCGGCTTTTCATTGGACCCAGTCCATCCACAAGACCAGGCATCAGCTCTGCTAGATTCACTAGGACGCGGACGTAAGTGCTTGTAGTAGGTGTGCTGATTGGCATATCCATCAAGTCATAGTCCTCTGCGTTCATAGGGCGACCTGTCGAGAAGTGCATTGGGGAGATGCTGTACGTGTCGGTAAAGGGGATGGCGAAATGGTCTTGGATGATCATCTGACACCACACCCTTTTTCCAACTTCGCGCTCGACTCTCTCATCCCAGTCATCCTTATTTTGTATAGGCTTTGTCGAGTGGTCCTGAATTTTATGGACACCAAGGCACTCGGCGATGCGCACTGCAGCATTGAAGAGAGTCGCATTTAGTTGACTTAACCCGAGGTTATGAGCAACTTCTGTTGATATAACAATGGCCTGCACTGAGTATATTGAGAGGTTGCTGAGGAATTTGTTGTCGTACAGAGTTTGCACCATGGCAGAAAATAGTTGCTGCGCAGATTGCATACTGTGCAGGTCAACGTCAACCAAATCTCTCGCTTTGGGGCTATCCTGAATCGAACTGACGGTAGAGCTCAATACAGAGTAGTAAAGAGCTAACCAGAGGGGATCTTCGTATTTTCCTGTTTCCCAGAACAACTCACATTGTTCGAGGAATGTCGGGCCGTGGAAGCAATCATGATGCCAGGCCACATGACAGATATGGAACTTGATCAGTTTCTGAGCATCTCTTATTCTGGGAAGAGTTGCATTTAGTCCCACAGTAAATCCATCACCTTGAGATGATGAATTAATAGATACTAGCGGTAGGCCATTTTTGCGATATTGACACGCGCAGTTTCTGTGAGGAAAGCACCCAGCGGAGTTTCGGCCCCATGCAAGATGCTCGATGGCTGTTAAAAGGGATGAATCAACTTGATTTGAGGCAGATTCGATCGAGGCGGGCGGTAATTTCTCAGGCACACGCTCTTCGGTCAATGTTATCTCCTGCCGTGTCGAGTCTATATTAGACGCCTCAGAGGGGGGAATGTCCTGGCCAGTCTGCAGCCGGGATATCCTGTTTCGCACTTTCTGCGCCACATGGGTGATTCCCGATAAGGAAGAAGAGTCCAAATCCGCTAAAATCGAACCCAGAAACTCGATCTCCGAAGCATGCTGCACAGCGTTGCGCCGAAGCTGGACAACTTCTATTGAACAGTTAAGATTCAGCCGTTTACACCTTGTGCAAGGAATTTGTTTGTCACATTTGCGCTTGCGCTTCGTGCACTCTGTAACGTGTCAGTCCACCGCCCGACTCGAAGCAAGGATTTGGCTGTTACCTCTGCAGGCTTGCGGTTGACGCTGCGAAATACGGACGGAAGACGCCTTGTCTGATGAGACACTCATCGCCTGAAGAGCTGGAGCACAGCCAGCCAATTATCCCATGCCTGTGTTTCCCGCTGATGGAAGAAGAGGAGTGGGAAGTGGAAAAAGACGGAGGTTGCCGGGGCTTGGCGCACTAACGTCGATCTCGACCTTGTCCATTTTGTCCATAGATGCGCGAGGCGTTATGTTTCCTTTTTATTTAATTCGAGCTTCTATCAAATAGTTCGTTCTCATTTGTCCTCTAGCTATTCTAGAATCTTCCATGCTTTTGGTCATGTGCCGACTATCTCCACTCTCGTGCTGCGACCAGGGGGCTCCCTTGCACGATCTTGGAAAACTCATGTGCATCCAAACAGGCTTGTCTGGAATTGCGTACACTGGGCTCTGAACGTGCAAAGACATCGTTTTCATAGGCGGCAAGGGAGGAGGTCAAGGTGTCTTGATCAAATGAGCTGGTCATCGGGAAGAATCAGAGTCAGTATACGCCCATAGGGCCATGGTTCAGGAACGATATGACCTCACCTTGTCTGTCTCATGTCAACATGCTTAACGAGATCCAAAACATCAACGATCGCATTGTTGGCGCCTTCTCCGCGGTCTGGTCAAAATCAGTATCATGAGATCGCCAGATCAGCTCAAACGGATGACGACAAGTCACTTACACATTGTCATGGTATGTGCTGAATCACCCATCAAAACTGCCCGAGGATGAGCATACACTCGTCCTGGTTCAAATATCCAGTCCTCAATTCGGAGGGGGCGCACTTCTACGTCATCTGGAAGATTATGAACCAGCGACCGGAACGGTTCAGACCAGCTCTCAGTCAGACTTTTCATCAGTGCAATGCGCCCTATATTATCGCCTGGAACTGCTATCTGCTTTGAATCCGCATAGGAGACGATCACCTGACAGTGATAGTGGTCCTTGCTACTGGTCTCGAAGTTGCCAGGGGTATCCAAAACTACAAAATTAGTTATCTGGCCAGTCTGTTACGGAGGACTCGTTAGACCTACAGCTGAAAAAGAGAAACACATCTGAGACAGGATGCGAGCCTTGGAAAATGTAGGGATCGATAGATTCGGCGCCACCCAGCTGTTCTGCAGTGTAGAGTGTTGATGCACCGAGGATTTGCACAGGCAATGGGTTCATCTTCATTTCAGGATACAGAATCTCACGCGTACGTGATCTTGAGCCATCGCAGGCAACGAGTAGTCGTCCAACGCACGAAGCGCCATCGCCGAACTGAGCTGTGATTGTATCTGCGGAGGATTCGATGTTTTGTAGATTTTTATTCCACTAAGCGTGTTGAATCAGCGCCAGTTGGAAGTCGAAAATGCCAGACTTTCAAGACAGCTGTGACTTACCTCAACATCGATACCAGTTGTCAATAGCTGGCGTAAACGAACACGACTGACCCGAATACGCTCAGCTGCGGGTACATCATACAAAGAAGCTCCAGACTCGAGATCGAAAAATTGGAAACGACCAGTGTCCCCACGAGCAGAGGCCTTTTTGTTAACAAAGGTCTCTGGGAATCGCTCAACCAAATGCTCCGGTAACAGTTCGCGCAAGGCAGGAAGTGACCAGTGCAGTGTCAATCCCCATCCACCACTGCGGGCGTCGATCGCGGAGTCCCGATCGAAGATCCTAAATGGAACATCATGTCGCTGGAGATACTGGGCCAAGACAAGACCACTGATACCCGCCCCGATGATAAGAACAGGGTGATCGGCCATGGTCAAGGTGCGGTTGTTCCAGAGGTACAGTAGATACACAAATGTGCCGGCTTGGACTCCTTAATTTTTCACAGCAAGCACTGCAATATCGCTTGTAACCTGACCCCTGTAGGCAAACCGACTGCAAGTTGCTCCTTCAAGCAATCATGCCACCCATGTAAACCTTACCACTATAAACCTGCGAATAGGAGATGCAGGATTTTGGAGACGGGTTGCAATTTACAGTACAGTACTGTATGCCGAATCCTTCGATATGGAGCCTATGCTAGCCAGAGGAGGAGCCCTACATTAGTGTACATTGGATTTGACACGGGACACCCGCTCAAACTGACACTAAGCGTGAGTGTATATTGTCGATCCACATTTAGCTTCACATTTACCTAAGTCTGCCGCCTTAGTTCGGGAGAATCAGGGCTCACCGAGACGGTGCTAGGCGGACTCCGGTGAAACAGCGCTGCCTGGCAGGGGGGTTGATTGGCAAGCTGTGGGGGACAAAAAGATTAACCTTGTCATCCCTAGCGAATCCGGTGCGCGATATTGATGGCGGCAGGTCCACTACCCGGGATCTTCTGGTGGATCTCGGTCCGTTAGGGCATTGATCGGAGGTCTAGCTTAAACTGTACAGCAGACCCCGTCTTCAAATGAAACTTAACGGAGCAGGATCTTGCCGGAAACTTACGAACATGCTAGATCTAGTATATCCACCCTTTGGTTCAATTGCTAGAGCGCTAGGAAACTCCCATAAGGGATGGTACCGGGTTGCCAAAACGAACGCCACCACGCGCAAGGGATGGGGACTAGCAGAACACATCCTTGTTAGAGGTGAGAAGCCAATATCTTAGCACCCCAGCTAGTCTCACACTCTGATAATAATATAATGTACATGAATTAAATGGCGCAATGCTTTTCCCACGGTGGATCTCTCAGGCCCCTTTCGTCGACCTGTTTTCCAATGAGACACTGTATTCCACGGTCATTTCAATACCTCCGTGGTCTCGATCCTGGCTTGACAAGATCAGCTCCTCGCTTGGGGTCCGTTTGGGAGGAGCTGGGCCAGACACGTTTGACTGCAGCTGAGAGCGCCCGTCTTTCGACCAGTTTTCCATTGCATAACTTCTGCCTCGGCTGTCATAATAGTTTCCCTTGGTTCTCCCGCTACTAGATCGGAAATCTCGCACAAAGCCCTTGAGCAGAGGTGCTAAGTAGGGAGCGCAAGTGACAATATTCTAAGGATCGTTAGCCCTAAGGTTTCCGCCACCTGTTTCACTTCCTGACTTACTCCCACGTTGAATTCAATTGTGCCCCACAACACCAGCATTGTCGAGTTACCGTCTCCAAACGCCACGCGTTGGATTTGTGTAAGTCGCAGGATGGAGCAGATTGTTGTAAATAGACCGAGGAGGAAAAGACACACCACACCTGCCTTTTGCGCAGTCTTGATGTTCAGGCCGAGAAGGAGTGGGATTGGTAACAGAATAATCAGGACATCGAAAATGATGGTGAAGATTGCGAGACCGTAGAATGTCGCCCCGACTGGAAGGCAGGTGCCCTCAACGTGATTGTTCCATGCTCGTCGAACCTATGAGACCAGAAATATCGTCAGGTTCGTATCACACTGTGGGAGGTACAAGGATTGTGTTACCGGTCTGCAATTGAAGATTAGGACAAGGGCCCCAGCAATATGCCCCAGCGTACAGAGAGCGATCACAATCCAAATAATAATTCGATAAGTGTGCTTGGAGGTTCCAGAGATTAGGCGTAGATAGCTAAGACAAAGCGAAGCCTTGAAGCCTGCAATACCGATTTGGTAAAAAGGTCGCCCTGCGTAGTTGATCTGTTGATCCGGATATTAGCCTGGCTTTTCTTCCCATTCGTAGGTCACATCGTTCAACGGTTCGCACCTTGCTGTAGGTTGGGAAATCCAGCTTAGGTCGATCCCTCAGTGGCAACCCGAGGCCATATCGACTTTCTATGGTCATGAGAATAGGTTGATCCAGGACGGGTGATTATGGCTCACGAGAAATGCACAGCGCGCTATAGATGATACTAAATATCTAGTTGGGAGTAAGTACGGCACTCGCTGGAACTTGTCTGGGAAAGATACACTCACCATACTCCCAGCCATCACCCAGTCCGCCGCAGCCAGTCGACCTGACTGAGCCCGAACATAAAGTCGCAAGGAGACGGTCACCACCATCAGCATGGTCAAACTTAAACATACTCCCAGGATCAGACGGTACTGCGATGAGGCCTCGACTTCGGGGGTGGCATTATAAACCCAACCCATAGTTGCGTGTAAAATGCATCAAAGAGGTAAAGAGATGAAGAACATACCGTTCAGGTAGGACGCCACACACATATGACCTGTTACTACACAGTTCTCATGAAATCCTGCTGCAGGACTTTTCCACTTTTCCACTTTCCTCATTGGTTCTAGATCCGATAACACTCTGCATCCCTTCATAACTCAATCCTGCCTTGGCCCCCATGCAATACAATTTATTTCCCCCACCCGGTGCTGCGTTGGGAAACTAGACTCGGCCGTCGACCGGTTAATATGATTTGATGATATCTCGTGCCATGCGTGTATTGCATTCTCGGCCCCGCCACAGTTTCAATGCTATTGACTTGGTCGTTTTAGCTCATTTGGTCGAACTCCGAGTATTTCCATCTTGCCCCTGTTAAACCCTCGCTGCCGTCCGGGGTTTCTTTTCTTTTCTTTTTTTCTCTTGACTAATTCGATTTTTGTGTTGATTTCATTCCCCCTTTTTCCCGATCGCCATGAGCGAGAAACAACCTGAGACATCACCACACTTGGTGGGTGCAAATGGACTCGACGATGCTGTGGTGTATCTAGACGGCCATGCAGGTGGGACAGACAGCCCACCAGTTGATCTGCAGGCGCTCCGCCGAAAGATCGATCGCCGGTTGATGCCATACATGTTTTGTTGCTATGTTTTACAGTTCCTTGACAAGGTGATGCTGAACGTATGTCACTCTCTGACTTGAATATTTTGCGCAAACTTGTCTTTTTCTCTCGCTTAACATGAGTTTCATCTGCATAGTATGCCGCCGTGATGGGAATTAAGAAAGATTTGAAGCTTGTTGGTAACGACTTTTCCAATACTGCGACTTGGTTTTTTATCGCCTATTTGATCGCTGAAGTTCCCAACGGTAACAAAACCCCTCTTATTCCATCTTATGAATAAAATTTGCTAATACAAATATCAAGTGTATTGTTTACAAAAAGCGCCCCCAGCGAAATGGCTGGGAGGAAATGTGTTCCTCTGGGGAGTCGCAGCAGCGGCTTCATCTGGAGCACAGAGCTACCAAGGTCTCCTGGTCGCACGAATCTTTTTAGGAATCTTTGAAGCCACCGTCGGTCCTTCGTTGATGTTAATCAGCAGTCAATACTACACTCGAAGCGAGCAAGCCCCTCGATTCACCGTGTGGTACATGGGGCTTGGTGTTGCCCAGATTCTCGGTGGTCTCATCTCCTTTGGCTTCCAGCATGTACACCATGCATCAATGGAAAGCTGGCGCATCATGTTCCTCGTTCTAGGACTTGTCACGTCTGTAGTTGGTGCTCTCACCTTTTTCTTCATCCCGGATACACCAATCAAAGCTAGTTGGTTGTCTGAGAGTGAGAAGATTGCTCTCTTGGAACATGTTAGCGAGAACCAGACCGGCGTATGGAGCACCAAGTTGAATTTAAGTCAAATTTGGGAGGCTGTTGGTGATGTCCAGCTCTGGCTCTTGACAATCACAACAATTCTGGTATGGCTCACATTCCATCCCTTGCTGCCTATCTATCACATCATCCAGCTAACACAGCCTGTGATCACAGATTTCCGTCTCCAGTGGTGTGGTCACCACGTATTCATCGACGTTGATTGCCGGATTTGGTTTCACAGGACCCATCTCGGCCCTCCTGAATACACCTGGCGGCATCGTCAGCATCTTCTTTACCCTACTGGTCGGATTTGGAATTCGTCAGACCTCACACCGCTGGGCATGGAACGTACTATGTACAATCCCTGGAATCATCGGCGGAGGTCTATTGTCCTTCCTTCCAAAGACCAACAAAGCCGGTGTCCTGATAGGTATCTACCTGGTCAACGCCATTGTCGCCACGCTGCCAATCCTGTACCAGTGGACAATGGCCAACTGTGCTGGACACACCAAGCGTGCATTTGCGAGCGCACTTGTCGCTGGGTCTTTCTCCGTTGGTAATATCATTGGACCGCAGACATTCCAGGCCCATGACGCGCCGGAATACCGCCCTGCTAAGATTTCTGTCCTCGCAACGCAAGCTGCCGCCGCTGTGCTGTCTGTTGTTTTGTTCCTCTACTATAAGTGGTCGAACCGTCGCAAGGATGAGACTATGGGACAAGTCGATGAGACATTGATCGATGAGACGAAGTGGGCTGGGCTCACTGATAAGCAGAACCCTTCATTCCGCTATGTCTACTAGATATCAAAGGTAGTCATGCACTGTTGGGGCTTCATGATTTGAAGGTGTACATGAAAATTGGTTTTATCTCACTGGCTGATCTCTGCAAATATATTTTGGGGTGAGAAATACAATGTAATTTAGAAGGATGAGACATAAGTTCATATCACTCCACGCGTCGAAACGCTGCAGCAAGTTGTATCAAGTTTCTACCAAGACTTGTAAGCTAAAAAGCCACGAGAGATATCATGTACAACATTTATTTTCCAGGAATCACTGCATATACAAGAGAGTCCAATGCAGTATACAATCGTTCTCCACTTGCCGCTTCTGCAGGGCGCAGGTGGCGTACAAAGGGGCTGGGGCTTGACTATGAACTTGGCATACGCACTGGACCCTGAGTCCCCCAATGAGGAGAACATTCGATGCCGATCGAGGAATAAATTTGAAATCACTGAGAAATTTTCAAATTTGAACTTCACAGCATAAAATCACCTTTCGTCGCTTAAATTAGGTCGTCCTGTCAATATGCATGTCAAAACAGGGCTCTTATGGGGTGCCTGGGCAAGTGCTACTGCTTCAGCCTGGCCCGGTGACTCCAGTGAGGCATCAGCCCAGAGATCGTACATGTATGTTGGAGGACACTATGCTCTCAATGGTGTTGGCCAGCATGTCTTCGCCGATCAGATGTACGTGGAAAAACTGACACCGGCTGAGGGCTCGACCAAGCCGTATCCAATTGTCTTCATCCACGGACAAGCTCAAACAGGAACCGTATGTGTATTATCGAAAAAAACTCTTATACAGTGGCTAACTTTGATATAGAATTGGCTCAACAAACCGGACGGAGGAGAAGGCTGGGCCTCTTATTTCCTCTCCAAAGGGTATGAGTGCTATATCATCGACCAAACCTTTCGTGGCCGCAGCGCCTGGTTCCCCGACAATGGAAGGATGAGCACCTACAGTGCCGAGACTTTGCAGCAGCGCTTTACCGCACCAGAGTTGTATGGCCTGTGGCCACAGACTTCTCTGCACACCCAATGGAATGGGACGGGCGTGATGGGCGACCCCATTTTCGACGCTTACTATTCTTCAACGGTCGAGTTCCTCAGTTCAACAACCGACCAGCAGTCTACCGTCCAAACTGCCGGCGCTGCTCTGCTCGACATGATTGGGTCTCCAGTCATCCTTCTCTCCCATTCTCAGGGTGGATTCATGCCCTGGCTCATTGCAGATGTACGCCCAAAACTCGTCCACTCCATCGTTTCCATTGAACCCAGCGGCCCTCCCTTCCAAGATGCAGTCTTCAGCAACTCCTCTACGCGCCTCTACGGGCTCACCGATATTCCTCTGACGTACTCACCCGATTTGACGGATCCGCTCGACTTCGTGAAACAGGTCATCCCGTCCAACTCGTCATTGTACTCCGACTGTGTGATCCAGGCCGAGTCCCCTGCTCCGAGACAGCTCGTTAATTTGGTCCATGTGCCCGTGCTGGTCGTGACAACTGAGTCGTCTTATCATGCGCCGTATGACTGGTGTACAGTCAAATTCCTCAAGCAGGCAGGTGTCCCAGCACAACATCTTCAGCTGGCGGATATCGGTATCCATGGAAATGGTCATATGGTGTTCCTGGAAAAGAATAGCTTACAAGTTGCCTCGGTTCTGCAGCAGTGGATGGAGAGGACGTAGTCTGTGAGATCTCAGAAAGGTTATATATTTGGTCAGTAAACCTCCATTAGGAAATCTGCGCTCCCTGTTAGAAGAGAAAATATTGTGAACTTCATATCACAGTAACCAAGACTATGCTGGTAGTTTGATTAATAAAATATAAAGGCTAATTCATATTGTTGTTCTCTGGTAGGCTTTCAAAAAGGTATGCGCGCAACTGGTTCTCTGGTGGTGACAATCGCGATTGTTTACATTGTCCGGTAACAACTCTAACTTTCCACCATTGTTTACTCCCTCCCGTATCTCATTCAACATTTAGTATTGTGATCAAGAAATATTTCATCGCGATATCCTCCACTGCTGACCTTTTGCTTTCTTCTCGCAACCACAGTCCCCAATTGTATCAGCTGTCAACACTCACCATGCTGTGGATATATCTCATTGCGGCGTTGATTCAGCTGTGCTGGGTCACTCTCGGTCTCTCTGAGTCTACTGTTGTATGTTTACTACCACGGCTCGTGATTCCAACCGCTAACCATAACAGACCATTCCTTGGGTAGGAGACGGCCCCGATTACTTCCAGGGCTATGGCGCCAAAGTCCTTGGCTCAGTGAGTATCTTCTCTGCTCTTCAAGAGTCCCGTTTCTCACGATGAACACAGCACGGTGACACCACTTCCTATGCAATCAACTGCCTTGCCGCAGAAACAACCTGTCAGTCGTTCTCGCCTGATCTGACTGTTGTTGCTGGACCTCTTAGTAAGTGACTATGCTGCCCTGTGAGATAGCTCAGCCACTAAAATACTGTTCAGCATACGAGGTGATTGGGAGCGGTGCTGCATTTGACATCAAGTCGGATTGCACATTCATCGGTGATCCCTCGCCCACTCTCGCAACCTGTGTCCAAACCATCTCATACCACAAGACACCGGTTGTCACTACATCCTCGATTACTGTCACTGGAACCATGAATCAGATGACAGGAATCTACCCTGCGATGTTATGCATGACTGAGACTGGAGATTCTACCACAACCAATCAACCAGCCAAGACCGAAGTACCCGTGTCGACCAAGCCACCAGTTTCGACTACGACTTCCAGCCTTGCTACAACCAGCACAGTCAACGGTCAATCAACTGTTGCTGAGACCGAAGCCCAAATCTCGACAGCGACTGAAACCCAGATCCTCCGCCGCCCTGGAAATTCCACCATTTATTCGAACGGCACGGAGACAGTGACAGTGTCCGTTTTTGTCACCGAGAGGCCCGCAGCTGTTACTTGCAAGTGTGACTGTGAATATCCCCAGGTTAACCAGACAGTGATTTCGAAGGTCAATCCCAACGGCGGTAATAATATCACGGCAAAGAAAATAGGTCTAACGCTACTGGGTGCAATTCTCACCATTGTTGCATTTTGCATCTAAGAAACTTTCTGTAATGAAATAAGAGACACCTCGATATTCAAATCAGTCTGTGAAAAATTTTGTGTGATCTTCACGAGAAGGAGACAAGAAGGGGTCAATGGTGATGAGGTGCCGGATGTTCACGAATCGACAAATAGTCAGAGAGAGTTATTCTCTAGTTGAAAAAAGCTAAAAAAAAGGTTGACCCCATGAACTATGTCCAGACATTAATCTCGTAGTCATTTGAAGAATCCTTTGTACTCTTTTGTACTACCTATAAGTCAGGCAAGCAAATATTCGAATGGATACCCTAAAGGAGTGGCCTTCTGACATTAGGTTTGAATCATTCAAAGACAATTTCTACGTCTTCCAAGTCAATCTTGATGGTCTGAAATGTGAGAAGTGGCACATTTGTGCTGTTCGAAGTGTAATTAACTCTGCAACACTTGCTTGTGGTAAAAGACCTTTAAGCCTTCAATGGAATTGGCACGGGACCCCTCGGACCAATGCTGCCACTGATATTTGCCTGGTGCATTGATCTCGGCCCCATACTTATGGGGTAGTCAACAGCCGAGTGAAAGAGCCCATAATTATCCCAAATAGCCATGTCGCCCTCTTCAACTGGAGCCAACAGAACGTACTCGGGCGTTAGGATACGATTTTGAATATCCAAAAGAAACTTCCTGACTTTCGCGACATCGTCTATAACATGAGGTTTCTCGTCTTGGGACTTACGCAGATAGAGCTTTTGAGCGCACATGCCATGCACCTGGAACGCCTTCTCACCCGTCAACGGATTAACCCAGACCAAAGGGTACTGTGTTCTGAGTTTAGCAAACGTTGTACCAGAATCGGACTACAATGTGGATTGGATACCTTTTTGACAGCACTCGGATCATAATCTCCCAGCTCTTCCATCGTCAGACATTTACCCCCTTCTGCCAAACCTAGGCCATTGGAATTTCCCTTGCTGGCCCCGACCCACTTGTATGGATATGGTGCATATTCGACCCAACTGTGGTCGGCCAGAGCTTGTTCTTCGGGAGAAAGCATTTCGTACAGCTGCGAAGTGCTGAAGTATGCAGTCTGGCCAGGTGGTGACTTTAGGGATCGGCCCGACCCGTCGGCCCACTCAACGGTAACGTTGGGCCCTTTGGGAAGGGTAATGCAACGCAGAGTCGTGAACCATGCGGGATCTTTTCCATAGAGTGGAGCATCGATATGCCAGCGCTGGAAACGTGTAATGCCGTTTTCGAAGTCTTCCATTGATGGCGGAGTAGCATGGAAATCATTACTGAGTCCACGGTCAATCGTGTGGTTTTCAATCCCAAAGTGATTTTCTCCTTGAAAGCCCTTGCCAATGAGGCGCACATTCTCCGCTCCAGGGATTCCGACGACCTCTCGTCCTTGCTGGATTGGTCCAAGTCAGAACGCCATGATCTGTAGACTTTTCAAGAAGGGTCACTTACGGCGAGAAGTCCTCCCTTCTCACGGAACGTCTTCAGATCACCGTGACTATGGCCATCGCGTGCATTTGGATCGAGACGGGTCACCAGTTCCCATTGCTTTTTCGGATCTAGATTGTGCTGAGCTTTTACAACAATGACCTTGTGACGCCAAACAGCGGCCTTGAGACGATCGACATCTTCATCTGCACATCGGGTTAGAATGACTGTTATATTATTGTTCTCTTGAAGATGAAGACCCACCTGATATATTGTTCAGATCCACACCGGTCACTCGAGCTCCAAACTGTCAAATTGTTAACTTGAATAACTCTTTCCAGGCATTGAATACGTTACTTACATTGAACTTCTGCTCCGGAGTTCGCTCGATTGGAGTCACAGTAAAAGAGGTAGATTCAATCATTGCGCAGACTTGGATCCGTTATTGACTTGAATACCCGAGAATCGAGGATGATATTTATTTGATCAATACACCCCGCGGGCCCATTTCCCCGGAGTCTGAGGGGATGCTTATCTGTCACATTGTATTTGATTGGGCTGTCCTATCTGCTGTGCTCGGCCGAGGGCGGCCGCGGTCGGATGGAGGTTCTGCAGATACCCATGGGTATCGTAGAAATTTCTGGGACCTGTAGACCTGTAAGAATTCACCACGTAATCTCTGTTCTTTGACGCAGATCAATAATGATTTAGATTACTCCATGAATGGGACTGGATCGTGGTTCAAACCAAGGTATCGGGAACATTCAGATCGGACGATGTTGCAACGGCCGGTTACGGTAGCCACAATACCAAGTGAAACTGCTTTGAGTAACATGATTTGATTTTCAAGCAATGGCTTAATACTGGACAATAGGGATTCGGAAGTTATATCAATTTTAACCCGAAGAAGACAAATGGAATTAAGTACATCTATTCTGAAGCGCTTGAATTGCTTCCACGGAACCCGCCAGGTCCTGTAGAAGCATCTGATGTCCAACACCCCCAAGAACCTTGACTGAGGCATTGTCACCAATGAGCTCTTTCAATTCTAATGATCTTTCAACGGGTGAGATAATGTCCCCACTTCCGGCTAACAACAAAGTTGGCGCATCAATGGAGCTATAATCGGGATCAGAATGATTTAAATCCGCAACTGCTTCACATGCCCTGGCATATGCCTCAGCGTCGCAGCTGCCAACAGCGTCTCGGACAGACTGTCGAATCTCAGAAGCTACCGAGCCCTGAGGTGGGAAGTTGGACCTTGCAGCCATCTCCGCAGCAGCTTGAATACCCTTCTTGCGTGTCTCCGCGGCCATGTCTAGCATTCTTTCTCTCGCAGCTGGAATATGGGCGATTGACCGTCCAGCGCCGAGCAAGACAACCAGTTGAGTTTGTGATGGATGTTTGGAGGCGTAGTGCATTGAGACGATGGCTCCGAGGCTGTGGCCGATGAGGGTAATCTTGGCTCCTGTTGTATTCGTAGGAGTGCTTTGCAAATATTTCACGAGATGTTCCAAGTCATTGACATATCGTGTGATTGAGAGAACAACTTCAGGCGAAGATAAAGCGGTTTGACCAAATCCTTCAAAGTCTACACAGACTAGACGGTTCAGTTGAGGCGAAAGAAAAGGTAATAGAGAGTCGAACGTCTTAGTCGATCCCCCTAGTCCATGAAGAAAAATGATCAGCGGTCCTGATTCATTGCCAGATTGCGCATAGTGAACATTGGTGCCATTGGGCGTTTGAAGGTAGAATGAAGTGTGCATTTTGGCGGCTCTAATGTTGAAATCCAAGTTCGTCTTTCTGTTGATTTGTACCAAGCTGCTTATTGAACGGGTCATCTTAAAACTCCCAATAAATAAAATGCCCGCGGAACCAAATTGTTAACCCTATCAACGGATCCGACCGCGGCCGAAGTGAGTCGCACATCTATACCCGCGATCCGGCCGACGATATGCGCATCACGCTCAATTGAATCCTTTATGACATGCCTTGATATGATAAATAAGTCATTTATATGAGTTTGTCCTGGAATTCGGAGTATCATTCAATCACAGCCACCATGGTGTTTGCTGTTTCCACCACCGCCACCGAAGGCGAGGCCCCCAAGATCCTGACTGTTCGCGAAGTTTATCAGCCTCCATCAGCAAGTCGGACCAATGGACGTGTTATACCAATCAAGCATGCAAATAAGGTAGACTTCGGAGCTGAGATCTACGGAATTGATCTCAACAACTTTACCTCGGCCGATTTCGAGCTCATCTCTGGTGCTCTCCACCGACACAAGTTGCTTGTGTTCAAAAAGCAGCCGCAGATGCTGACACCTCAACAGCAATATCGCTTGACTTCATGGTATGCTATCGAAGTAAATATCCTTCTCTTAACAATTGCTGATAATCTCTTATTCAATAGCTTCGATCCGGACGAGAAAACTGGAGGTTTCGCCCACGGTGCCGATCCAGTCCTCCTCTCCGAGAAAGGAGTCACGATATATGGTCTCCCCAATCGGCCAGCCATTAACTCTCAGCCCCAAGTTCACATTCTGGGGCGTGGTGAAGTCCCCAAAGACCACTTTGATTTCCCACCAGGATTCAAAGTGAAGGGTATTGACCACGTCAACTTTCATCTTCCTCCACACACCCCACAGGAGGAAAGAGATGCAGGATCCAGCCGTTTCTATCAGTGGCACTGGGATGGATCTCTTTACAAGATTCCCCCGCCGCGTGTAGGTTGTCTCCTGGCTGTGCGCACTCCCAAAGGCCCCGATGTCACCGTTCACTGGGGCGATGGAACGGGAAGAACGATGGACATTGCACCGGGTGCAACTGCCATGGTTGCTGGATCAAGAGCACTGCAAATCTTGGATCCGGAGTTGCGTGAGATGGTTCTTAACAGCCGGATCGAGTACGCACCACACGCGTTCCAATGGATGTCAACGGCGCGCAGCACTCGGCTTGGTCATCTCATTGAAACAGAGGGTCTCGAGATGCCACTAGACAAGCTTTCGCCTTGGACGGAGGACAATATCTGTATCTATCCTATGGTCTGGACTAATCCAGTAACCGGAGAGAAGTCGTTGCAGGTTCATGGTCAGGGTGCATTCAAATTGTATCTGAAAAGCAAAGTCGACGGTGAAGAAACCATCGTAACCGATCTGAAGGAAGTTCGCGCTTTTATGAACAAGTATGCTCATACAGTTCTTTTTTTTCTCCATTGTGATTAACTAACTCGGTTGCAGAATTATGAGTCCAGTTTTGTCACCAGAAAATATTTACGCTCATCCTCACGAGGAACAAGATGTCATCCTCTGGTACAACCGGGCCTTATGGCATAGTATTGTGAGATTTCAAACATCTGAATTGACCCATGTAAATTCTAACAAGTCACAGACCGAGTTCCCAGAATCTTATGGACCGCGCATTATGCATCAGTGCAACATTGCAGCATCGGATCATCCATCAATGTAGGGTATAGGATATTTTCTTTGAACGAAGACAGAATTCAGATACATACAGAATGATATATTTTCGTACATATTTTCCATTTTATGATGTACAAGGAGCTTCCTACGATGGGAGCGGTTAATCTTCAAATACAAGCTTCCATTGGATGTTGACTTTCCAAATTTCCAATGAACTCAAGTTATGAAATCAACTTTCTTACCTGTTATGTTGGTGCGTTTGAAAATCTCCCATTTTCTTGTTTCATTACAGTCCGGATATGTTGGGTTCAGTCTCAAGTCAACTAGGGCAATTTTGGGAATCAATGAACGAGAAAGAAAAATCATTCTATCTTATGTATGTTAATGATGATTGACAAGAGATATTGAGCTTTCCCGCATTACATCTTTGGTGAAGTGAATGATCGCTTTAGATCTCCTGCACTCACATCCGCCTCCACATCCGAATCCATCGCATTCAAACGAGAAACAACGCCTGGAACCACAGCAGGCACCAGTGTTTCTCTATTAGGCCAGAAATGATTCAATACAAAGTAGAGAACCAATGAAAGACAAAACCCATAAAGATAGTTGATCGCATATAGATGCTGCAGACCCGTATCGATTTTCACATTATCTGGTGTTACGGCGTGTGCCAGACCTGGGAGAAGGGGCACGATGACCACCAGATTACAGACAAGAGCACGCCAATTTGTTCCATACTAAAGTTTAGACAAGAAGTTAGCCATAATCTATGATCGGAGTTTGAACAGAAAGCAAATACCTTATAGTAGTATATTCCCTTGGGATCAAACAGGGCTGGCACGTCGTATTTACGATGCTTGATAAGCCAGTAATCACAGCATAGAATGCCCGCAATGGGCGCCATGAAGATAGCATATGCACCCATAAAGCTGAGGAATGTTTTTCCGCTCTTGATCACAATCCATGGACATAGTGCCCACCCGCCTAGGAGAATGCACATGATCATTCCGCGCTTGATGTTGATCCATTTGGGACACATGGTAACCACATCTAGGAACGTGTTAGCCTGGCCTCATACCGCCGATGCAATAGTACTGACCATTGGCAAATGATACGCAGTTTGCTGAGACATTATTACAAATTTGAGCAAGTAACCATAATGTCCCACAGAAAAAGGCCGCGGCTCTGCCACCAGGAGTCCCTTGCCATTGAGCAATAATTTCTAAAGGGCTCCATAGAATGGTGCCATATAGCTGTTGGGATGCACCGGCGGCTATAATACCAAAAAGACCAGTAATAACCTTGAACAGAGGGATCATCGGTAGTTGCCATACCGGACTGCCGGGCTTCTTGCTGAAGCGAGAGAAATCCGAAATATTGACCGCAAGTGTTGAAAAGCCACCTAAAATGAGTAAGACTCTGCTCCCGATTGATATTCAACATTTTCTTACCTGTGATCGAGGTCATATTCATAAGCCACAACCATGCACGCTCAGAGCCATGAACACTAGGTGGCTGCTTGAATATAACATCGCCGCCCCCCGCCTTCACAGAGATCCAGATCACCATAGCCAATGCCATGGGTGGCACGAGCATGGATTTGAATATGAACATATACTGGAGCTTATGAGTAGGAATGAAGAGGAATGGCGTTTGAATGACATGGTATACCACGTAGGAAACCATGCCTTGCGTTGTGATAGCCGCTGACTTGGGTAGATGATTAGGAAGATTGGTGTAACTGGGCCATATAGCTGTGATCATCTAATTGAGTGTCAGCTTGGATGTGTCAACAGTTCTGAGAGTATACTCACTGCAGTCACGCATTGCCCTCCATACGAGCTCTGGATGCCGAACCAAAACAGGGCCAAGATCGCACGCGAGGCTACACAAAAGTAGCCAAAGTATGTGCCATAGCTGGCACGGATAGCGACAGGAAATGCAATGTGCAGATCGGCCCCCACGGCTCCATTGAGAACTGTTGGGATGGCATTACACAGGGCTGCGACCAAAGTCAAAGTTACCGTGTCCGTGGCTGACAGACCTGATGCATATGCTGAACTAGCCGCAGACCATGTTGAGACGGTGACTAGATCTGAAAGCCAGTATTGTGTGAAGGTCCAGCCCGTCCAAGTCCACTTCTCTGGCGGGACTGGGTCTTGATCGGCGTTACTCCACACATGCGGTGGAGCTATACTGCTTTCTTGCTTGGGCAATGCCCAGTCCTTGCGATGGGTACGCAGACGCATCATTGTTGACAATATTTTGATACCGTGGGCAACATGGGTCTTTTGAGGGTTTAGAGAAATGATAAGGGAAAGCCGTACGCACCTCCTTGATAGCGCAACTTGGAGGTGACACAAAGCGACAAATAGCCCTGCAAGATGAAATCACTCGTGTTCACGCGTTCTCAGCCAGGTTTCTCCCCGCATTCCTGTATAAATTGGCCTATAAGGCGTCGATCGCGTTGCATATGGCTTATCTACTATCACGGGTTTAAACCTAGCGTCGGCCGAGATGATAGCGCGTATAAAGCCAAGAGTCCAACCCGTGTTTCACCCGTGGGATCACTTTTTTCACTATGAATTCGGCGAGAAGAAAGCGCTTGGCATGTGCAGAGTGTACACGTCGGAAGATCAAGTGCGATAAGGTGTTGCCGTGTCGCAATTGCCGTCATAGGTGGGTGTTGAGTCCCTTGCTTGGCCAGCTCAGCTTCTTACGCCGATCTTCAGAGGCAGTTCCTGTTATCGCACCCCGCAACCTTTGTCCCGTCCTCGAATCACTGCCGATTCTCCACGCATTTCCTCTGGAATTCATTCGATAGAGCGTTCAGAGACTCTCGCCGCCTGTTTAAATGAATTGCTGAGAGCCCGAGAAGGCCGCAGTCCAAACCCGAATGATAGTGCAGTTTCATTATCGGCAAGAGAAACTCCATCGACACGGATTGCCTCGGAACTAGGCGACACTAGTCCCGGCCGCGAGACAACTGAGGTCGAAGACGCTGCGACAATATTGGAGTTCCTGGCATGGGGCCGCAGGAAAGTACCTGGTTTTGATAGTCTAGCAGGCGATCAAAATGGAGTTCAGGGGCAGTCTCCTGGAGATATATCCCAAGCTGGAGGACCTGGCGACCATCCTCAGTTGCGCTTGACCGATGATCAGTCTTCACTCCCGGTGCTACAGCTCTTACTTCCCGAGCCGGCAATTTTACTTCGAATGATTAAGTATCACTGCGACTGTCTCTTATGGTACCATGCATCTTTTCATCGACGCAAGTTTCAAGACGAAATTGAAAACTTCTTGAAATGGCATCATGGCCGTATTGATACCAATCAGATCGATCTTCAATGGGTAGCACTTCTCTTTGCTGTCCTAGCCGGCAGCATGACATGTGCGCCTCGCTCAACCGCTGTTTCATGGGGATTTGAGGACCCAGAACGCGCAACGCTGGCGCACCGATATTTCAAGGCGGCATTAGTATGTCTCAATATTGCGGACTACACTGCTCGCCATTCTTTATGCGGGATACAGTGTATTACAACAATGACCATAAGCGCCCACTTACTCGGTCATTCCAATAGTCATTCCGTCAAACTAGCTTCCGCAGTGCGAATTGCTCAAAGTCTGGGAATGCATCGACTTGGTTCTGAAACTGATGACAATACATCAAACAGAGCACGAAGAGAGATCGGCCGACGCCTCTGGGCAGAGCTTTGTATCCAGGATTGGTTTTCGATACCTTTCTCCGAAAGTTATCTCATTCATCGCAGAGACTTCAATACAAGCAAGCATATGAATTGCATGGATGACGATGATGCGAGCCCCGTTACTAATGATGTGCCTACCCCTGTGACTTACCATCGTTTTCTTTATGACATCGCAACTCTGATGCCCCAGCTTCAGGACGACATATCTGCCTCGCACACCCTTTATGCCAAATACGAGCATGTGATTCAATATGACAAGAAAATGCGTTTGCTCGTTAGCAAAGATGTCCCCTCCTGCCTTCGTAACACGACTGCCGACCCTTCCTGGCCTCGGTACATACCATGGGCACGGCATTGTCTGACAATCAGCTCCGCACACAAAATCATCATGATTCACCGCAAATTTCTCTGGTCCAGTTTTACTAATTCCGCATTTAATTTCACTCGCAAGACATGTATTGCCGCGGCGAAAACCATTATCCGAGAACAGAAACAACTGGCCAAAGAGGACGGACCGACACTGTGGATTTATCACGCATTTAGTGTTGCGGCCAGTGTGGGTCCTTCCCGATCGGTGCCTGTAGAGCCGTACCGGCTAATCTTCGCTCCAGATCATACTTTGCTTGGATCTATTCTTTGATCCACTCCCTGGCGCTGACCAACGGGATAATCGAGCGCTTGCCACCGCCACAATTGACATTCTATCCCAGAGTGATACAAGTATGATTGCTGCTCGGGGGGTCAAGATACTGCGGCTGTTGCTCCAGCTGGAACAGGATCGTGGTAAATTATCGTCTTCGTGGGATATTCGCAGTCTGGTTCGGACTTTTTGTGATCTAGAGGCGCCCGTGGGCCGTGCGAATCACTGGCAACCAACTGAGAATATGCCTCACCCTGAGGCCCACACGCCGCTGCCATCGATGGAACTGCCGAACTTCTCACCACGGGAGGCTCATGCAGAGGACATGTACGGCAATTTTCATCTGCCTAACTCGCGATTTGGGGTGCATGATTCTCTAGAGGATATTCTACTACTTGCTCAGATTGGGGGATCATGACCTCTGCCTAATTGATAGATCTCCGTCCAAGTATGAATTAGATCTCCAAAGGATAGAATCAGGGTTCAATCAGATCTGATAACTGCCGGGCACCGGCACTAATTCCGCGCTAACATGCTTGGTCACGGATTCCTAATGTTGCTGAATAACCAGGGGGTTCCGCTTACCAACTCGGCTTTATCTAGCGCCGTACATCCGCGGGTCTCTGATTGGCCAGGAAGATGGCGTTATATCCGCCATGGCGGGACAGTGAGAAATCAAAAGATGAAAATAGAAATTGGAGGGACAATCGGGCAATCAGCAGGTGCCTGTCCACTATGTGAGGTCCAATCTATAAAACCCCCCGCTGCCAGGGGTCTCACTCTTTTTCTAATTCAATTTCAACCTCTACAAATCACCTTCACAATGAGCTTCAAGAACGCCGCCACTACCACTCTCCTTGAGTTGGTCAAGTCCCGCCGTACCTTCTACGGTCTCAAGGCCGAGAGCCCTATCTCCGATGCCGCCATTGAGACCATCGTCAAGGACTCCGTTCTCCACGTCCCCAGCTCCTTCAACACCCAGACCTCCCGTGTCGTTCTCCTGCTGAAGGAGGAGCACCAGAAGGTCTGGGACATCGCCATCCAGGCTATGGAGGGCCTTGTCGCTGCCGGCCACGTGCCCAAGGAGCAGTTCGAGACCGCCACCCTCCCCAAGCTGAACGCTTTCCGCGCTGCTTACGGAACCGTAAGTGGCATGATCGAAAACGGATCTTTGTCAAGACACCGGATGCTAATTGCGATCTCTAGGTTCTGTTCTTCGTGGACTACGAGTCTCTCGCTCCCATCAAGGAGAAGTTCGCCATCTACGCTGACAAGTTCGACCCCTTCGCCCTGGAGTCCAACGCCATGTCCCAGTACCTCGGTATGTACCTCCCGTCTGACTAGAACCTGGCAAACACAAATCTAACAACCACCAGTCTGGCTCGCTCTTGAGTCCGAGGGCTTCGGCGCCAACCTCCAGCACTACAGCCCCCTGATTGACGAGCAGATCACCAAGACCTGGTCTCTGCCCGCCTCCTGGAAGCTCGATGCCCAGCTCGTCTTCGGTGTTCCCACCTCCGAGGCCGGCGAGAAGACCTTCGCTCCCGTTGAGGACCGCTTCAAGGTTTTCGGCCAGTCCGCTTAAATCATTTCACATAAAGTATATACATAGATGCATTTGAAAAAGCACAGCGTTACGAATGAAACACCTTTGATGATCAATGCTTTCTTCTGGATTTGAGAAATTGTGTGTCAGCAGGTACAGTAGAGCTCGAAAATGGTAGAAGCATGGATCTGCAAGGAGAGGATCTGCCGAGCATGACGTCGCAGGTATGCATGGCGATCTTCATCACCGAGGCTTGATCCCGCTCAGGGTCACAAAAGGCGGCTGCGGTGATCACCCGAAGATCCATGCAAAGCACGTTGAGATTGAAATGATGACTGCACATCCACTCCGTACTGTAATGTACACTTGCACATAGAGCCGTGTATCTGCTGAAACGGACCACCCTGTTAACGTAGTCAATCTCTATCCATCCAAGGTCGATTTTCATTGCTAGATGGTGTTTTGCACTTCATTCTCCAGTGGCATTTTAGGCTATTCTCCGTTGTGAACTGGAACTAGGTGGTGATACACGCACGATCTGGTCATTTGTTGATCAAAGTTTCGGCATTGCGGTGTGGCAGAATGAGTTTTGGCCCGATGGCGGTCGTGGACCAAACCGTTCAACACACCAAACCCGTCAAAACCCCTCGAGACGAGCAGCATCACCGGGATTGGGTAGTTTTCTTCTGTTTGTCTGTGGTTTCGCTCTTATATCTCAATAAAGATTGTTGTATGTCATCGGCATTGCTACTCGAACCCCTACAATGCAGTCCACTACCAAATTCCCGTCGCTGTTGATTTCTCCAAATGAGCTACACCACGCATTGTCGAATGATACGCACGATGCACGTGTTATTCCTGTGGCTGCTGGAAGAGAATCGGCACTTTCACTGTTTGAATCTAAACATATACCAGGCTCTGTGTGAGTGGTTCGCCCCGATTAGAAGACCCCTTAAATCTAACAACCATGAAGCTTCTTCGACATGGATTCAATTAAAGATAAGGAATCCGAATATCTTATGATGCTGCCTACGTCCACTCAGTTCGCAGAGTATATGACCAAGCTCAATATTCGCCCCGATGATGTGCTCGTTATCTACGATGCTTTTGAAACTGGACTATATTCGTCGCCGAGAGTCGCATGGATGTGTCGCCATTTCGGGCACCAGGAAGTTTACGTGTTAAATAACTTCCCCCGTTATGTCGAGCAGGGATTTTCTTGCTCCACCGGAACACTATCGACATCAATTTCTACACCTCGAGCGAAATACCCCGAGCAGCGGGTGTTACACCCAGACAATGTCATTTATTTCAATGAAATGCGTGATTTAATTGATCTTTCGGGGGAAAGGGAAAACATACAAATCCTCGATTCCCGGCCTAGTTCCCAATTCTCTGGCACGGCTGCTATCGAGGGTACTGTACTGCCAGTTGGACATGTGCCGTTTGCTATCAACGTGCCCTTGTCATCCATTTTGGGGCCCGACAAACGCATACTGCCGCCGGTCGAGATGAAGGCTGTTCTTTTCGATGCTGGCGTGAAAGATGGCATGCCGGCTGTGTTATATTGCAACTCCGGTGTCACTGCAGCAGCACTTGACTTGGCCCTGTGCATTAGCGGATTGCGGGTTGAAACCAGGCTATATGATGGAAGTTGGAGTGAGTGGGTGAAAAGAGCAGATAAACAGGGCATGACTGTGACAAATTGATATTTATTGTATTTAAGAGAAACCCACATCTGGTATAGTGTAGTAGGGCATTTCTCTAACAATTATAGATTAGCAATGCAACGAATGAATGAAACGAAACTCTTACAAAGCTCACTACGCGTCGAGAAAGCTGTTCCAAATACATGATGCCCATTATATGCCCGGAAATCGGGTCCCGAGACGAGCACAGAAAGCCGTGCATCCGATTGGACGTGAACATCGTGGATCAAGTTGATAGCTGTGAAAATCCTTTTAACCGAGTCAATCCCTGTCGATCGGAGGGTAGTTTGGGCAGTATAGCTATGTGATGCTTCGTACTTCATTCTCCAGTGGCATTCCACCACGCATCTCACTTATGAATAGATCCACTGTCTCACTAGCCTTGCAATGATTGTCTCCCCTTCTGATGAATCTATCTCCGTCATCAAAAAAACAAAAACAAGTACTAAAAATATGCCGGGGTCAAGCGTGATGGAAGCTATGTATCCCTAGATCAAAGTGTCATCCTTGGTCGGGCAGGAATCGTCCGCTGGACATAACTGTCGCGCAGTAAAATCAGATCGTCGGTCTCACAGCTCAGCACAGTACAGTACGCGCAAGCTTCCGCAAGGGATTTGGATCAATAATAGCTATGAGGTGCGCACGTCGATGTAAAGTATAGCAGTGAAGCGGATAAATGTCGACCTTATTTTCGTGGCGCTCCACTCCACCCACAATAGCCAAATTTCGCCACGGGCTCTCATATTTCAGGTGAGATTTCCCTACTTTTCTTCTTTCCTCAACTCCCTTGCCATCAATTGTGTCCTTGACAGCTTCACACCATGTCGAGTGAGCAACCTGCGGGCGCAGAGCGTCCACTGGACTCTGCCCCCCACACTGGACCCAATCAACATGTAGATCCAACTCAAGAGCATCAAGATGCAGAATCAGCACCTGACTCCGGTCGGTCTTCCATGTCCTATACAAGGGCATACTCGACGCCAGCGACCGGGGCACAAACCCCTGATCCTTTAATGGGAACAGCCATTGTCGACAACGTCGCCTTGCAAAATCTATCATTCAAGAAGATGGGCCAGGACCCAGATGCGCCCTACATCGTCGACACCAAGAGCCCCCAAGTCATCAACCGAAGAGCTTCAATCTCGGGATCCCGCAGTCGGGACGATGTCGCCGACGAAGCGGCCCCGATCCGAAGCAGGCAAGGCATCCCATCCGAGATCCCGAACTTCACGGCAGAGCTCATCCTCGTTTTCGTCTGCTCAGCGGGCCTAATGTTATTCTCATTCTTGCTTGGGGACATGCTAGCTCCCCAAGAACAAATCAAACAAGCCCTCGGTATCACGAATACCCAGCTCCCATGGGTGGTCGGCGCTTTCAACGTTGCGAACGGCCTGTCGGTTATCATCTCCGGCTCGCTAACTGACCTCGCACCGCCAAAACTGTTAATGGTCGGAGCGTTCGCATGGCTCGCCGTGTGGAATATCATTGGTGCATTCACCCTGCACCCATCCCGCTATGTTCTATTCTTCGTTATGCGGGCCATGCAGGGCTTGGCAATCGGCGTCTTGGTTTCTGGAAGTATGAGCATCCTCGGACGCGTCTATTCGCCAGGCATCCGCAAGAACCGCGTCTTCTCCGCGATGGCAGCATGTGCGCCATTTGGCTTCTCCCTCGGTGCCATCCAAGGCGGTGCTCTATACCAACACCTACCCTGGATCTTCGGCTCAAACGCCATCATCTGCGCTCTGCTCTGTGTGGCAGCATGGTTCAGCATCCCACCGTTGCGACCTGTCGCTGACGTCGCCGGAGCAGAAGCACCAACGCTCCGCCAATTCGACTACCTAGGTGGTTTCTGCGCCGCTGGCGGATGCGTCTGTCTCCTCTTCGGACTGACCCAAGGCCCCGTCGCCTCGTGGCAGCCATACACCTACGTCCTGATCATCGTCAGTCTATTTCTATTCATTGGTCTATTCTTCGCCGAGCGCCGCGCAGTCAGACCCTTGATTCCAAACCGCCTGTGGAAAACACCAGGCTTCACCCCATTGATGATAGCCTACTTCCTAGGTTTCGGTTCCTTCTTCGGCTGCTGGCAATTCTACGCCATCCAATTCTGGCTCCGAATCCAACATGCGACCCCCATCGCCGTGGCCCTCTACCACATCCCGAACGCCCTAGTCGGCGTCCTGGCAACATGGATCGTCAGTCGAATTCTCCACCTCGTCCCGGGCCATTACATCTACGCCGTATCAATGTTTGCCTTCACGCTCGGCCCGGCTTTCTTTATTCCGCAGACTGCAAACACCATCTACTGGGCTCTTTCTTTCCCGGGCATTGCGCTTGTCACATTCGGTCCAGATCTTGCTTTTGCAGCCGCGTCGATTTTCATCACGAGTAGTGTGGCCCGTTCTTATCAGGGCAGTGCGGGTGCCTTGCTGGTTACGAATCAGAATCTTTCCTCCGCTATTATGACTAGTGTTGCTGATGCTATTGGCACGCGTGTTGACCGGGGTCCATCTGGTGAGATTGGGCTTAAGGGGTTGCATGCTATTTGGTGGTTTGCGCTTGCGGCGCAGCTGCTTGCTGCTCTCGTTACGATTGTTTGGGTTCGGATTCCTAAGGAGGAAGAGAAAGAGCACGTTACTTGATTTTGCTTTTGTCTCTCTCTCATAAATTATAGAATATTTAGATTTGGGCATGAGGGATTTGGTCTAGACTGGCGATTGTCGCTGGAAATTACGATTCATGATCGCTGTTTATTTTACCGATTCATATGCTTTGTTCTATAACTCAAGACCTATATCGAGATGATCATATACCGCAGATTATGTCTGTAATTTCACACGGAATTATTAGCTAGCAAGTGGAACTATCCTGCCAGCAGGCATATACATGAATTTCCATGCCCTGTAGAAAATCAATCGCATCACAAAGGTTGTTCATTCCGGGGCTTGAAGAGGCAGTTATCCAGAGGTGACATCGCCAGCATTGAGAGAAAAGTTTGGAAGAAGCAAGTGAATTAATTTTTGGATAATCATTTTAAAGTGGTCATACTTTAAAAATATTGTTTGATCTTGATCCGTTATGATCAAGTAAGAAATAGTGTGAATGATATAGAAATATGTAAAAAAGCGACAGAAATGTCAGTAGTCCACCCAATCCAGAGAGTATCCCCCAATCCCAAGCCATAACAAAACCAGAACAGAAAATGAAAATAAAGATAAAGAGAAATCAAAGTAAGCCGTCGCCATGCAGTCATCACAAACAGTCGCTCGTATGCTGGACTGAGATAACAATAATGTACATAAAGAAGTGAAAAGAAACAATAGTAAAGGGGTCATCAAACATCCTGGACCAGACGTCGCTCACTGGTATTATCATGTTTAGTCAACTCATGATCCTGCTTGGTTGACTCTTGCATGATGCTCATCTCGGTAGTAACCTCAATACCACCGAGAGAGCTATGACTCATGCGGTCACCAGGCTTGACATTGATGGAATACATATCGTAGTCCTTGTCGAGGTTCTGGCTGAAAAGCTCTGTGTGGCGAGCCTGGCTGCGTGTTGTGGTCATGTTTGTGACGGTTGGTCTGTTGTTGGTTGTGTAGCGGTTGTGGCTGTTTGTGGAGAGGAGCTTGGGGAAGATGCGGCTGATGATAGGTCGGAGGAAGGGGAGACAGGAGCAGATGATCGCGACGTTGCATTCTGCTGCTGTCCAGTAGGCAGCGGCGACGTTACTGTCTGTTTTGTTTGTTAGCTTGGATTTGAGGGGTTGGGGAGTTGATGTTGCGTACAGGAGGTATCGGTGCTCTTTGCGACCTCGCGAAGACTTGATAAACGGAGAATACTGGTAATCACAACACTGGACCATATAGGTTAGTACAAACGTCTGTCATTGGAGGATTTGGGACCCATACAGAATACCCATGGCAAAGACACCCATGAGAGCCAGCTTTTGTGTGCGGGGCAGTTGGAGCTTGGAAAGGAGTGGCATAGGCAGCAGAAGCAACGAGATATCTGTTGCGATATTCATTGAAGCATTGAAGAACCAGACGGTCTCGAAAGTCAGACATGTGCCTGGGATATCATGGTTCCAGAATTTGGCGACTGGCACACAGTTCACAAAGCCACTGATGATGGCCCATGTTGAGTATGTGGCCACGATTGCCATCATGATGTAGCATGCTAAGCGGAACGATCGACCAGGGAAGATGCGTAGATATTGGAAAAGAATGGAGAACTTGGTGAACGCCAAGCTGGCATTGTAAAATGGGATAGCAGCCCACAGGCACTGGGATCACTCTGTCAGAACACATTCAAAAATGGAAGTAGACATTGTTCACGGAATTGAAAGATATACTGCACGTACCTTGAGTTGCTGTTGTAGCACATGTCTTGAAAGCAGATCGGAGTGGATTCCCATGCCGTAGTGATATTCTGAAATCCATGTTAGTGACAATCTCTTAGGTTTAGAATCAGACTTGAACGAACGAGCAGCAACAAGACCTAGATAGACTAGAGCAGACACCAGGGAAATCAAGATAGCCCAGTCTTCACGGCCAGTGATTTTCATCAAACCAAGTCGTGCATAAAACCGCATAGCAACAATCACAGTGGAAATGGCAGTCAGTACCGCTGTCACCACCAATGCACGTTGGCCCTGAGAATGGCCAGTTTCCCCATCGCGGGCAATCAGATGGAGTAGAGAGTCTTCCATGGCGTGTGTTGATGTGTTGAATTAAAGAGCGTAGTAGTGGGAAAGTTGGAAAGAGCGTGGGGTGAAAAGGGTCAACCGGTCATGCCCAAAGAATAGGCTGCACGGGGATTCTCAGTCGATCTCGATCACTGCATGGATCAAGCCTAGCCTTGAAGTCGAGTTTCACTCTGGTGAATCTGATACCAGAGAAGAAGGAGTCCTTCCCGGGACAGCGAGCGGGGACAGGCTCTTTTGAATTCAGTCCAAATGTCGATCAATGGGTTCTCAGACTGCGGAGAACAATTCTATGCATGAGGTGAGAGAGCATTGCTCTTTCGCTTGCTTAGAGCCCCCACAATACGTGAATAGTCTGCTCAATAGTGCAGCTCAAAACAGCGATCCCAGGTGCCGGACCAGGTTGTCGGGAAGACTTGGCCTATTCTGAAGACGGGTTAGACGCACGCCATGGGACCCTCCAATGAACATGAACTGTCTGCAGAGAAACATCAATGGAACCCCATTAGCGTGAATTAGGTCTCCCTGGTCTCCACTGCGTTGTCGAGGAATGGAGCCCCGAGAGGCGCTTTTCCGGCAACTTCGTTGGAGGGGCGTAAGAACAAGGATAGGATTTACATGTGGCTGCCGAATGTGCCATGGAGATCCCCGAGCTGGACTTTACAATTGCCCTGTTGGGTATGGGGGCACGAACGAACGGGCCTCTATTCAAAGAATTGACCCACCAGGAGTGGGACTTGATGCCGCGTTGCCAACGTACTCCTTGTCCAGGGGAATAGTGTGCAGATATGCACATGGATCAGGGTTCTGTTATTGATGTTGCATGAACTTTGAAACATTGGAACTTGGAAGGTTGTTCTCCGCTTACTCCGCAACGGAGTTCATGGGGTATTGAATGCAGTATGCAGCTTCAGCACAGGATGTTTTCGGTTTTACCAATGCACCCACGGCCAATCCCCGAACATGATGGATCTTAACATGACTCACGACAGACATTTCTGCCCGAGACAGGTGAGACACGATCGACACAGGACCTTGACGGTCAACTTGACAGAAAACTGTAGGTATATCACTTCCTATTCGGGTTAGGGCATGGACATGAAAACCCCTGACAGCAAATACTCCAATTGCTCTTCCACCCCAATTTGACTACTGTACAATTCGATATGGGGAACAATTGTCTTTGGGTATTCCCTCTGACAACTGATACAAACTAACCCCCAACTACAGCCAAGCCACGGTGATCATTTCCCTCCCCCGGAATATGATGCAAACACTAAATGCGCCCCTGTCAAGGCGCTCCGCAATAATCGCCACTATTCAATAATTCACTAGAAAATCTCCACCTCTCCACCTGGGAGTCCAAAGCCACATGCTTGCATGACCATGCGATGCTTTTCCGTGGGCGCATTCAGCGCACGGGGCTACAAAACTGTGGGTGTTCCTAACTGCTATTGCAACGCTAGGCACTGTTGACCTCCACGGTTCGCGTCACTCCAAGATCTACCGATGGTGTTCGTTAGATTGGATTGGAGCTGCCTTGTCTGTCCTGAATCTCTCGGCGAGGCATTCGTCGCTGTGATCGCCAAACTACTTTAGTCATGGTTTCTTGTATGTCACATTAGGGATCATAGCGGGGTGGGATCTTGGGCAACTTGTGACGCCACCTGCTGCTAGATGGTCAATAATGGGACGCTACCCCGGATCAGGATCGGGTTTAATAAGTTGGGGAATAGCTAAATTAGATTAACATCTCAGATTTGTCAAGATTCAGCCCCAGTGCGATCTTAATTGTTTTTCTCTTGATGGGGTCCTTGAGCTTGGCTTGGCTTTCGGTAGTTGTGCATTACAATAGAGTGTCTGGGTGGGACTTCACATGCACATGCCGGGTATTGTTCGATTTTGGCCCCCAAATCGAGAACAGGCTCAGAATCAATAGATCGGCTATTGGCTACATTAGCTCCATTTGTTTAACACTGTAGGCTGCATCGAGCATTTGTCAATGTGGCGTATACATTTCTCAAATTTCAGACGTGGAAAGATGGTGCAATACAGTAGTCAAGTCATGTCTTTGAAATTTCTTACTGAGCCAAGTCGGCAAGTTGCATGCTAACTTTGGAGAATTAAAGTACTGTAATCTCACAATCAGAATTTCAAAACAGATCAAATGTTGCTTATTTATCTATAAGCTCCTGGAAAGGCCTTGAAATGTAGCAACATGTCCAATATAATTGAGTTTAACGGATCTAATTCTTGAACTAGCTTTCTATCTTCTAGCTTTCTATCTTCGAGAACATCATGTAGCCAAAGAGAACACATCGGCTTCGAATTACTAACGTGGATTATATGATTATGGAAATATTTAAATTCAATATGTCCATTATTCCAAAGGAATATGTTTAATCGAGAATTAACCCAGGAGCTCGATATATTTTATTCCGAGACAGCCAGCCTTCGTCCCATCCCCACTTACAATCGTCCAAATTAGCGTGAACGACGGTTTGTCGAGAATGAAAGACACAAGAATGTATCGTAAGGTAGATCTAGATCTCTCCACCAACACCATCTATGTCAAATTTCATTCGGTGCTACTCCGAACGCAAAGTGGGTTACCTGGTGACAGATCGGTCAAGATCACTAGCTAGCCAGATATTCCGGGGAAGGTCCTAACCGAATTTTATTGAGAATAAATACCGGTCATTTGGAACGTCACCTCAACGTGTGGTACAATCGCGCAGGATTCTAGTTTGTGGTACGTTCTTCTTAGATGGCTTCGTTTCCTGAAAAATTGGGAGCCAAGGCTACTGGTACTGGCCATAGCGATACTTAAGTGCTTCAGCCTGGAATAAAGTTGATCGGTAACTTTCCATCTAATAATGTTATGGAGTGGAACAATGGAATAAAATGGGACAGATAATCTCTCGGGGGGAAGGAGGCTGAAAGGCTTGGCGGTACAATAGCGCTGGCTACCGCATGCAATTCTTAAATCCACACTACTGTACTGTACAGTACAATACGTATAGGCAGACCGGGTTAAGAAAAAGTCATGAGAATAAACACACTACTGTATAAGAAAAGGGTATAATCAAACCAACTCCTGTCTCCAGGTATTGCAGCTAAAGAGTTTGAACCCTGATTTGCGGATACCTGCATGCCAAGCCGAGTGGGTGCGTTGGCCCCAGTTTTGATTAGAATCAGGGTTAGATCTTGGCACTGCGTCAACTTCTTTTCAAGGTTACGAGAAGGGAGGTAGAAAGTGAATAATGTTGGATTTGACCAATTTGCTAGGAAAAGAGGAGAATGGGGAGATCGGAAATTGAGGGCTGTTCGCCCGATCCTTGAGATAGGTCACATTCTGGTGTATCACAATCTGGGTATGCGAGGACTGAAAAAAGAGATTCTCGATCCCACAGAGATGGTAAGCGAATGCTGCAGGGAACTGGGATACCCTCTCGGGATGAATCGAAAAGAAATACAGAGACTAAAATCATATTTTTCCAAAAAAAAAAACCAATAAAAAAAACATCAAAGGTAAAAGAATAGCGATTCTTCAGAATAGAATACATTTCAAGAACCACACTTTTGCCAATAATAACACAGCCAGGAAAGATTCCTAGCAAAGTAAGTGGTATCTTAGTGCGCCATTTATCTCTCAAGAACACCAGTGCAAATAAGAATTAAAGAAAGAACATTATCCGGTTCACATTATTTTCGTCACTGCTTTTTGGCAGACGTTGAAAGAGTTACCGCCTCATTGCGGCCAACTCACGCTCCTTGGCTCGGAGTGCCTCGCGCATGTTCTCGGCTTCGCGTTCTAGTCTGGCACGGCGATCGACCGAGTCACCGAGAGACGCAATGCCAGGTAAGGGCTGTGGAGTATGGGGTGAGGGGGATACAGAGTGGTGGAGAGGTTGAGATCTGTTCAGGTTGGGATCGGAACGGGCTTCGCTGCGAGGGTTGGGTTGGTTCAGGATGGATGAGATAGAGCTGAGTCGGCCGGGTGGGGTTGGGTTGGCCGAGGACATGATCGGAGGCAACTGGTTGGATCCTGCCTCCAGAGTGTTCGGACCTGGCAGGGCTTCTGCAGCGGTCTCTGCCAAGGTGCGCTTTTTGGGAAGAGTGAGGGAATTTGGGGATGCCGATCGTCGACCGTATGACACGGGGGAATGACCCAAGCGTTCTACTCCCAATGGCATGGGTAGACCATGAGTGAGATGACCGCCATGAAGAGGAACGGAGGAGACATTGTAGCCGGTGAAATCGACCGGTGGCGGCGCGAATGGCATAGGCCGCGGTGCATCTTCAATTTTGCTAGGCATCATGTGGTAGTGATCCATGGGCTCGCTGCTCATGTATCGGTAATGATCATCGTGGCCATGGGCCAACGCAGCGGGTGAGGCTTCTGGAGATGCAGACGAGCCATTTGATGACTGAGTAGCAGCGGTAGGAGACTGGTCTCGAAGGGCGGGAACAACACGTTTGCGACGTTTGATTATAGACTTTTTCATATTCGTAGGTCGGTAGCATCCGTGGAGCTTATAGTACAATCCTGTATTTCTGTCAGTACAATAGACCCATAAAGGACATGAGCAGTGGAGGCTAACCGCAGGCGTTGCAAATGGGATGACCTTGTTCGTCACGTCGCCAAAGAGGAGTCACAGTCGTCCCACAATTTTGGCAAGCAACCAAGGTATTATTTCCGTCGGTGGGAGCAGGAGCCTTTACTGGTGGCTCTTCTTTCGGTACAGGTTCGGGCTCATTTGCTGGAGCACGTCCCCACGAGGATTGGATTGCGGTAGTTCCTCGGGGTGCGGACTTGTAGATGCGATTGTTGTATGCGGGACACCCGTCGCATCCCTCTGCACCACCGGTACCATTACAGCTTCCACCTCCAGGACAGGAACCCTTGCATCCGCCTTCAGAGTGTGCCGAGCCGTCGGCATGAGTATGGGTGGGAGGGGCCGGCTTTTCGCCCTCGGGCTGTATGCGATTTCGTTTCGTAGGTCGGGCGACGTTGCGAGCCTTGAGATATAGACCACAGGCATTACAGATCATTGCTCCTGTCGGCGACCGACGCCAAAGTGGGGTGCTTTTTGTACCGCAATTGCTGAAAGATTGGGTCAGCCCACCAATCACCGTATCGATGAAATCAATTACAACTCACCTGCACGAATGTCCAACGAAAATGACGCCTTTTTGCCCGCTTGGTGATGTTTTCTCGATGGGAATATCATTGTGTCCCCATCGATCTGATCCAGGCGGACCGGACTCCTGAGCCATCGAATCTTCTCTGTAGTGGTCTGCCATATGTTCACGACCGGCCTGCGCTGAGGAGATCAACTGTTGAGCAGCATCCAAGTCCTCCGCCGACGGTTGTCGCATTGGAACATCCTGGTTCCGAGGCAAAGAGTGAAGCGTCTCCATTTGCGGAATAGACGCTAACATTACCACCAGCGATTGGGGCCTAGGATCCTTCGAGCGTTTGAGTATTGGAGACAGCGGGGTCGAGAAGTGAGACAGGGGGAGCCGAGGGGGGTAGAGAATATCGTAAAAAGAATATGAGGGCGATGTCGCACCACAGTCAAAAGCACAATACACCGTATCACTCTAAAACCAAATGTCGGTCAAGCTGACGATTGGAGATAGGCAAGTCAGTCCAGCAGGAAGGGCTGCAGCCACGATGCTGCAGGCCGGGGGGTGCGCGCGGTCAACGACTCGGTTTCGAGTCGGGGGGTAGGGTCAAGATTGGCGTTTCAGAGTACTGAGGTGATCGTTCAAGATGAGTCCACAAACTACCGATGTGTAAAGTGGCGACCCAACGGTCTGGGACGATCAGGTGATACTGATTGCGACAGCTGACAGCGCAGAAGGACAGACTAAGCGATCGTGGGGAGACGGGCTCGTTTGGGGACAGCGGCCGACACAAAAGCACGAACGGCAAGGCCAGGATTGGTTGACAGACTAGGGAGCTGCAAGATGGTGATCACTCCGCGTTCGGAAGGGGCCAAGTGGGCACGGCGAGGTAGGAGTCAGAGAAGGGGGAAGTGAGACGAGAAGAAGAAGCTGTAAAAGGGGGAAAGTAATAAGGTGAGTACAAGGACAATAGCGAAGTCGAGGGGGAAACGAAGATGGCAGGCAAAGATGGGAAGAGAACAAAGAGGAATGCGATGCTTATCGCCAAAAGGGATTTGGGGTTATCGATCTAGGGGCGATCGACGGCATATCAATCTATCACTCTAAACTGCCGGCTTCTGACTGACCAGTTTCCTTTTGCTTTTTTCGGCTTGAGTACTGTTCTGAAATCTCTTCAACATGCATGTCTTAATCCCCCAGATACTATCAGACTCCACTTTTGCTATGAAGATTATGGAAATTCAGCACGAAAGTGGGAATTTCACTTTCCGAACTGAGGCTTCTGTGGATTTTGCTAGGCAATCGAATATGTACGCCCGCTGATTGGCCACATCGGGCTGACTAACCCGGTCAGCAACAATCTCGGCCTTCTAATTCGCCACTCGGCGCTCGCTGGCTCCGAAGCGATATGACCACGTTGTACTTTTTACGTCTGGATTCCTTTTTAGGGCCGTTAAAGCCGAAAAGTGCACCATAATATAAGAAAATAAAAGCTAGCTCTCGGGCTCACCGGATCTCGGACTAGTTCATAAATGCCCATATCCAATTGCAAAATATAGTACAGGCCGCTCAAGACTTCCAGCTGGCACGGATTTTCTGGGAGACCCAGCCAAATCATCCATGCTTCTTCCCCTCTCGCCCCTGAGTCCTGGTCTCATAATATAATCAGAGTCCGCGATCAAGATCAGACCCTGAGATCTCCAGATTGTTCCAATGGGGTCGCGCACACCGCATGCCGTATTGCGAATGATAATTGGAGATCTGTCATGTTGCCAAGGCCATGCGCCCCACTGGGCGTCGTGACAGGCAGCGGTCATCGCCACCTACGCAGGCGGCAATCTAGACCTGCTCAGCACCCCAGCCCTGGTCAGACTCGCGCATGTTGGAGGGAGGCTCAATGGAGGGGATGAACTCGAGAGCGACGTATCCGACACCGATCAAGCCGATCAGGGAGCCGGCGATAATGCGCAGGACGTTGTCATGCAGCAGGATGGAACCAATGAAGATGTAGACTGTGGGTGACAGCGATTAGCTGCGGTCACGACATGATGTTTGACGCCGGGGAATCGATCACTTACAAACACCACGGCCCAGGAAGGAGAAGAGGAAGGACGCATAGCGGTAGGCGTGGTCCGGAACGTTAGGGAGGAACTCGAGACCAGCAACAACTGCAAACACATTAGCAACTCACTGGTATGTGGGGTATCGCAGCACATACCAAGACCAAAGAGGATGGCATAGATGCCTAGAATGATGGAGCTCCATGATGCGGGGAAGAAGTTGCTGATACCTCCCAGCACCATGAACACGCCCACGGCGATGTTGACAAGACGGCTGCAGCTGGTCAGTACTGTGGTTTGCGCCGAAAATGCATGCGCAGAGCTTCAACATACAAAATGTTCGTGAAATCCATTGTGATGGCTTTATGGTATGTGTTTTTCAGATGAAAGGGATCTTCGGGGTCTCGTGGTCGTGAATCGATAGCGCGGGTCGCGAGTCGCTAGGCAGCTGCACAAATCAGAGTAGGGACAATGGGTCTCGAATAGCTAAATATGGTCTTCAATAGTCCTCAGTTAGCTCCTAATCTATCTGAAGATGGCCTTCAATTTGCAGAGTGGAGTGGGAATAACGGCATGTACAGAACGGCATGTACGCCGTCGGGAGTTGGCCAAGCCCCATCGAGGTGGCTGGGTAAATAAAGGGGAACACACACCTGTGGGATCCGTTGAAACAACAAACAGCTGATGAGAATGACAAAAGCGGGTTTGATAGAGGTCAGATTGTAAATGAAAGTGAACAGGGGCGAAGTGGAAAGGCGTTCACTGCTTCGTTGTCGCAAGCAGCGGGTCGCCAAGCCCGTCATCGCTGAGTAAGCCATGATTTGGACGAGACAGCGCGGCCGCTGTTAATCACGTGACAAGCCACGGGCCAGTGCGAGCGCTAGGCCAGATGAGGGATAGTGGTTCGACACATAGGGCTATAGATACGAACCACGAGTCTAATATGGCCATGTATAAGTTCACAACAGTAGATTTTCAATCTGGGTGAGTTGTGATAGGGAGTGTGAGGGTCTGGTGAACAAATTTCTAGGGTTGAACCCTAGTTCATGGCTAAAGGTATAGTGAGTATCAACCCGAACATAGGATGCATATATATCTTAGTGGCTTGTGTTAAAGCATAAGCTCGGAATTTGGCAGCTCGGCTTAACATACCTACGGAAACTCCGCAAACTGCCCAGGTGTCTCTGGAATTCCACATGCAGGTAGATGTAAATATTTTGACATCCATTTATTGTCGCCGCGAGTTGCGGACACTGTTTCAAGCAACCTGCACGTAAGTTTGACTGAAAATCTTACCTGGTGTACTATCATTGGTCGGCTCCTCCGGTTGATGATTGATAGATCATGTAGATGCCTGCATAAGTTCTCACTTCATGCATAGTGATCTGCAAATGATGATAATCCAATTGATTATCAATGTCCGCGTGATGTTGCAATATCCCCTAAGCATCTTGAAGAGGACAAAAGAACTATCCAGAAGCAAGGATTCTCATAAGCTGAGGTAACTGTAATCTGAATACAGTTTTGATCTGCTCGGGTTCAGGGCTCAGTGGGAGGATATCCTTGTCTCTTGACTGCGTTATCCCCCTTACATCTTCAGCTCCAGGTTGTTGTTTTTCTTTCTAACCCCCACTTTGACCGATCCCCCGCTTCTAGGAAGTGAGGCGCCTGTGAAGTTCATGTTCTTTGCGCCTGTCTTGTCCTTCTTGCTCATTAAACTATGGAGGATACTATATGCTCACTTCCAGAGCCATGGCTCTTCAGTTTACGGTCTTCAAAACACTTTATCGGGTTCGCTGTGTTTGTAACAACGTTCGCTGATGGATTCCTCTACGGAATAGTGAGTTTCATTACTTAGCATTCTCAAAGATACCATCTAATGCGACCGGAGGGAAATTAGGTAGTAGCAGTTCTTCCATTTTCTTTGCACATTCGCTTTGGAGTTCCAGAAACCGACGTGCCATTCTGGACATCAACATCGCTGATCGTGTTTGGTCTAGCAATGACACTTGGGGCACCTATAGCTGGTTGGATTGTCGGGAAATGCGAAAGAAGCCAGATCCCATTCCTCGCCGGGCTTTCTTGCGCATTTGGGTCAACCCTTGTCTTCATGTTTGGATGGACTTCGTGGATGATCATCGTGGCAAGAATCTTCCAGGGTCTATCGGCTGGCGTGGTTTACACAGCTGGCTTGACGCTGCTGGTTAACACGATCGAGTCGCACGAACTGGGTCCTTGGATTGGCTTTGGGCTATCCGGTATGAACTTCGGCGTGCTTGTCTCACCTACGCTCGGGGGAATCGTTTATGAGAAGGCAGGATTCTATCCTGTCTTCATTATGAGTCTTGCAGTGGTCGCCATTAACTTGATTTTTATCTTGCTCATTATTGATAAAAAGGCGGCCGCCAAGTATCACGATTATGCTAGCGAGACGAGGCCCTCTTCATCCAATGGAAGCTCACCGAGGAGCGCAGTTGCAAATGGCAAGCGGCGACTATCGCGAGTGGAAGATGGAGATGCCACAGTGACAACTGCACTCCTCACTCACTGCAGAGAGTCACCCGAGCCTTTTGCTACGGAATCTACATGGTGGACTGTTGTTGGAGGCTTTCTCAGTAGCTCCCGCATTCTCGCTGCACTATATGCTTCTCTGATTAATGTTGTATTGGTGAGTGCTATGGACGCTGTGCTGCCCATCTTCGTCAAGGAAACATTTCGTTGGCTATCTGGAGCTACAGGGGCAATATTCCTCAACCTGACTATTCCATCTCTCATCGGTCCATTCATTGGGATGCTATCTGATAGGTACGGCGTCAGGCTGGTCTCTGCAATTGGTTTTGTAATTGCTGGAATAGCAACTATTCTCCTGGCTTTTATTAGACACAACACTGCTTTAAATCATGTTATGGCGTGTATACTACTTCTATTCGTTGGTAAGTTTCCACTGAGTCACTTTTTAGTTCCTTCTGATGCACTAATATGATGAGCAGGCATTGGACTCAACACTTCTCTCACACCATTAGCCACAGAGATACCACGAATTGTGAAGGATCTCCAAGAGGAACGCCCTGATATCTATGGACACAAAAGTGCAATTGCCGAGGGATATATGCTTCTCGATGCGGTGTTCGGTGCTGGCACTGTCCTTGGGCCATTGCTTTCCAGGTTTGCATACGATTATGTGGGATGGACCGGGTGCAACGTTATGTTGGGGATGCTGAGCTTCTCTGCTATAGTGCCGATAGTAAGTGGAAACCAGTTCCTACAGTCTTTTGTGGTATTTACTGACAATTGGAAGGCATTATATCTCGAGCCACACCTAGGGACATCATAACCATACTACAAGGTGATCTATCATACATGTGACCTTGTGTCATATGCCAGCTACTCAAAGATATCCGACGCCTACCAATAATAAGAGATCTAGAGATCGGAAGGCTGCAGAGTATGCTAGATATTTCAGGTTAAAGCAAAATGCAGCTTAATCGATTGATCTGCAGTCCCTTATCAATCGAACTTGAACAGCTATGCTACTTATCATCAGGGAGAAAAATAGACTTGGTCAGGTGGTGTTGTTCCATAAACTACACAGAAAAATTAAAATACACAACAGAACTCCCAAAATTTGTGTAAAAGTCTCGAGGCTAAAAAGATAAAAATAAGGAAAGACATTAGTCATTGAATCAAGAGGATTAAACCAAGAGATCTGTAGCTTTTGAGCTCATAATTCCCATGAAAAGGTGAGTATCGACGAATTATGTCAACATGGTGAGAGAAGCATTATTTCCATGGCCATCTGGCCACATGACTCCAAGCCTTCCACCTTCTCTTGATCATGCCTTTGAGCCGCTTATCCGCTGAAAGCTCACTGAATACCGGATCCGGGAACGAGAAGTACTCTCCGCAAGTGCCAAATAGCGGTGCGGTGGTGCGGCGTCGATGCTTGCGGTTTGCCTTAGGCTGAGTCTGTGGAATATGCGAAGGTGTAGTACCGGAGACCCCACTTGCGTTGGAGCCAAGAGCAGGCTGAGGACTAACAGGATCGGCGAGGCTGGAATCGTCCCTCGAAACTGTATCGATTGTTCGTAGATTGGATAACTTTGGAGCCCAAGTCTTTCTGCGTGGAATCTCGAATATGCTCTGAGAAGCAGCAGCCTCTTCAATAACCCTGTTCCAGCTCAAACAAGATTGGAGTGCATCAGTAGCCAAGAAGCCATTCGCAACAGCGAGAGTGGATGATCGATAGAGTTGCGTAGTCCCCGTATCTTCTATGATACTGCCAGTATCCTCTTTATTGTCCCTCATCCAACTGCCATGCACTGAGTACATTTTGAACGCGCGACCATGGCAGGCCTGCTCAAGCTGGGAGCCACGCATTTTCAAAATTGGGTCGTCGCCCGACTCGAGAAGAAGGCCCACAGGGTCAAGGAATGTCGCTGTGCGGTTCATGATGGATTGGACTCGGTAACGGTCACGAACCGGGAGAATTTTGGGCCCAGCCTGAATACAAGCAAAGGAAACTGCGGGCGGAGTTGCGCTTCGCTCATAGACTGGATTGCACAACCAATTGTAGTGGTGAATGGAGTCATCATAGCCAGTAGCCCTCCACCGCGACATGAAAATCGCCTCGGCGCTTTCATCCATCCCTACCAAGCCCCATTGTGGGATCGTGATTCCGTTTGAGGCCTCTAGAAATGTTCTAGTTGAAGAAGCTGGAACACACGACTCTTTAACGTCACATGTCCGTGAATCTGTACTGAGGGTACTGCTGAGTTTGATTGACTGCCTAGTGAGAGAGGAATCACTGGCGATGTGAGGTGAAAGTGCAAATTCCGATTCCACAGAGTTGGAAGCCTCCGGGATAGGCGCTAGTGGTGTACCCCTGGTGGGCATTTGCCGGGGGGTAAGACGGAAGAGAGCCCGGGTATAAGCCTCGAGTAAGGTAGCCTGTTCAGAACTTGGCATTAGTCTATACCTATGGTTTGAACATGGACTGGGACATGATGTGATAGTAGATGGATGAGAGCGAGGTGAAATTTTGAAGACCTCTTTGGGGAAGTTGTCACCCCAATGAGAAATGCCGCAAAAGTGCGGAACACTTACCTTTTGTGAGTGGAAGGCGAAATGATTGTCGATGTTCCCTGCCGATTCAGAGGAATTTGGGAGCTGAGGATGCTTGAAATCGTCAACCTGGGTGTGAACATTCACAGATAGGCTTTTGGGAGAGCAGGAGATCAAATCTCTAAGAGCGATCTCCTCCTCGACGTCTTCAGCCCAATCAAATGATTCGAGCTGGAAGAAGTTTGGCAAATTCATATTGTGTGGTTCACGGCTATCCTGGAAATCTTGATAGCCCTGGGGTGGAATAGAACCAATAGGACGTGAGGGTATGGAGGTTGTCATGTTTATGACGGAAAGGATGATAGAGGATGAATTATCAAGAAAGAAAGATTTCAAGAGGTGATCAACCGAAATTCACCTGGTTGCTGTGGGCACTAGCTAAAATTAACCCTGGAAAGCAAACCTCTTCGAGTGAGACCTCTCGAAATTTTATGAAATTTATAACGAAAAGATAAAGACTCGAATGCGTGTTGAAATGGGCTCCTATATAGCGGCAGACACGATGCCTACTTAATGCCAGGTCACCAACCTTTCTTTGAATTAATAGCTATCAACCATCGAAGGAAGATGACAATGGTATTCATGACATCTTTGTCTCATTGCTCCAGGGTAATGAGTCAAGCAGCAGTTGATCAAGAATAATGTCCTTTGTAAATCGCACCAAAAGCTCACGGTCTGAATCCTGTCTTATCAAAGAACAAAACACCTTCTTTGTATCCATCCAAATCACCTACATTCACTTCGACCACAAAGAAACCAAAGCAAAATATAACGCGTATCTACAACGATGGCAGTGTAGTTCGGTAGTCCGGACTTGTGATTCTCCGAAGACTTCGAGTGGCTTCGGCTTTCACGCCGAAGGCTTATGTCATCCCGATATGACGCCGATTCCCCGCAGCAGCTCGTGATAGTCTGATTTCTTTTCTTTTCTGTCCATTTCTGTGTTGTGAATAGAGTAATTCATGCACCGTTTACGAACTTGTTTTAGATCAATTGGACAGCTCCACCGAATCTCGCCTCACCTCACAGCCTCATTTCTCCCCGCATCCCCCTTTGCGTTTACAGTCCAACCAAACTCCATCCGAACAATGGCCTCCGCAATGGCAAAGCGCCTCGAAGGCAAGACAATTGTCATCACTGGTGCCTCTTCCGGTATCGGAAAGAGTACTGCTCAGGAATTCGCTCGCTCGTCACCCAAGAACCTTAAGCTCATTTTGACGGCTCGGCGCATCGACTCGCTGAAGGAGGTTGCCGCGGAGATTCAGAAGGAGGTTGGCGATGGCGTCAAAGTTCTTCCTGTTAAGCTTGATGTCAGCAACCCGGAGGAGATCAACAACTTTGTTCCCTCCTTGCCAGAGGAGTTCAAAGAGATTGACGTTCTTGTCAACAATGCGTGAGTCATAGATACCAAACGACGAATGCATCCCCTCGAGGCATTTCTAATGTGTTTTGTCTAGTGGTCTTGTCAAGGGTGTTGCCCAGGCAGGTGATATCGTCGCCGAGGATCTAAAGGTCATGTTCGACACTAACGTCACCGGCCTGATCAACATGACCCAGGCAGTCCTGCCCATCTTCAAGAAGCGCGACGAGGGAGGTCGCGGTGATATTATTAACATCGGCAGCATTGCTGGCCGTGAGCCCTACTCCGGTGGTAGCATCTACTGTGCAACCAAGGCAGCTGTTCGCTCTTTCACTGATGCGATGAGAAAAGAGCTCATTGCCACAAGAATTCGTGTCATTGAGATTGATCCTGGTCAGGTTGAGACCGTATGTCTATTGAAATACATTTCAATGCGATTGCACAGGCTAATGGTAATTACAGGAGTTTTCCGTTGTCCGATTCTATGGAGACAAGTCCAAGGCCGATGCAGTTTACAAGTAAGTCAGCTGCTTAAATGCAACAGAGAATAGTACTTACAAATGGTAGGGGAGTTGAGCCATTGACAGGTGACGATATTGCCGAGGTCGTTGTATTTGCTGCCAGTCGTCGCGAGAACGTCGTCATTGCCGATACCCTAGTCTTCCCTAGCCACCAGGTGAGCTTTGCATATCATATCAAGCTATTCCGCGAGCCCTAACTAACTTTTACCTAGGCTGCCGCTGGTGTCATGCACCGCAAGTCATGAAATGTTTCCATAAATACACTATATAGATGTTAAGTTATATGGAGGTTTCGTTAGCGTTCATCTAATCAAGTTACACGTTGCGCATTCTGCGTTGTCAATTAGAAAGCCTACAGATGGCTGAGGGCTTTCCCTTTTAAATTGAGCTTGACGCAGTACTCTTTGGTAAAACGTACTCAGATGTGAGACAGAGTATTAACAAGGCAGATAGGCGTACATTTATACCACATATTGAAACATTATATAAAACCCGCAGTTGCCTAGAGAGCAGCAACAGCAATGGCGGCAGCAACACCGCCAACAGCGGCCCAGCGAGCATTGCCGGTCATCATTGGCAAAGCCGCATTAGGCGACGAAGTTTGGGTACCAGTGGCCGTAGCACTGCCGCTCTCATTGGTAGAGGATCCAGTAGAAGTGCCAGTAGAAGTTCCAGTGGAAGCGGAAGTGGTCAGACCAGAGGCGCCAGTGGAAGAAGCAGTGGAAGCAGTAACCGAAGCACCAGTAGTAGCAGAGCTACCTGCGGTACCGGTAGCAGTGATGCTGACTGGCAAAAGAGCACCGCCAGGAATTTCGGAAAGAGGTGCACCAGTGTTCAAAGCCGAGGAAACACCGCTCTCGACCATAGATCCAGAGCAAGTCACGCTGGTGGCATCGTACTTGCAGCGCTCATCGAGGGTACTGTGATAGGAAGGGATCGTCAGCTATACTGCGCTGCATACAATATGCGATTGTGGGGAAACTGTGCGGATCTATTTGTGGGCCACTTACATTCCAGCCATGCCGTAGCTGATCTGGGCAGTCGAGGATCCCTGAATGACGGTCACACCACCGGGTGGGACACCACAGTCGTCGGAGTCTTCGCCGGCGGCGCATTGGACAAGGTAGGTGGTCATCTTGGCGCTCTATTTCGAGGGTTAGTGTCTGGTCGCGTGTTTTCGATTGGGGAGTGATTTGGAGCGTACAGATCCGATAACGCTGCCGACAAGATCTTGCTGGTCGAATCCAGGCAGGAAAAGAGTGACAGTATCAGCGGCGACGGCGGTGGCGCCGACCAGGAGAGCGAGAGAAGCGATGTGCATGGTGAAGTATATTAATTAAAGAACGTCAAGCGAGCGACAGAAGTTGGTGGGTATATAGCAAGGAAAGACGAAAATGAAGAAGATGGAGAACTTATTGAGTGGAATAGGGCCAGCGGTCCCTATTAAAAACAAAGGATGACTTCCTTGTCGGATTGGAAACTTGGCCAGCCCAGTCCAGTCGCAGTCTAAAGCAAATTTAGACATCTGCCGCAAACGGGACCTTCCTATTGGTCAATCTTTCTGATCAAGTAGACTAAAAGGCTACAGTCCAGCCATTCTGGGACTAGCCTATACACTAGCGCCGGCCATAAGCCTCAGGCTAATCCTGATTAGGCATATCATGCCCCTTGAAGGGCCAAATCTTTCGCCTCAGCCTCTTCAACCCCTAAAATTGGACTCTGTCCGGGGTTTGATTCGGTTATGTCCGGTGGGTCGATCATTCACAACTTACAAGTAAAGTGGGATCCGATTGTTGCATTCGTTGGAGAACAGCTGGACCCTGGTAATCCGCGGAATTTCCACCTGACCTATCATTTCTTCACCTAAAAATCTTGTCCTCACGGATGGTGTCTACCGGAGTGGTAAGTGCCGAAATCGGTACCATCTGATCAGTTCCAAACTTCGTGCCGGACATCCCGATTCTCAGTTCGATGCTGTTCAATCTGATCCCTTGCTGCCTTATTTACAAGATGTGGGCCTTTCTAGCTTTTTAGCCGCCAGGGTCGGAAACATAAGAACTCCCCCAGGAAATGATCTGCAATATTCTACTCTTGAACCATATCTGATTACGGAGATTCTCTGTCTCTATTGTTGCTTGCTCGTTTAGAAAAATAAATCTTTCCCTTTTGAACAGACTCGCCTACTGTCTATGGCTTTCTACTTCCTTTTGTCTTTTTCCTAGAAACTCTTATGCAAAACAAAATCGACCAGTTTATCCAGCAATATCTGTTCATACTCAGTGTTAGTAAGAGACTTTGAACTGCAATATTCATAAGCTGGACAACCATTGCGCCCAAGGCAATGTCTACATTCCTATTTAGACCCTGACTTTCCCAAGCCACGTGAAAAGTGGCTCAATTTGCACCCACAAGCCCGGAAAATAAAGCCCTCCAGGGTCCGGTCTGCATGCATACCCGATAAGCCCGCGGGGTGGTTGGCTGAACCTAATATGCCAAGCTTCAAATAGAGTAATGGTAAGCGATCAGATAGTGCCGTTCGCCCACCTGCCGTTCGGTCCCTATGCAAGATCGTGGAGGCAGGTCACCGTCGTGGCAGGCGATGCAGGTGAACAAGGTTGATTGGAAAGCTCTGTCGTGCAATATCCACGGGGTGATCTGATTTGATCCGGATCGAGGTTGCAGGTGTCTAAAGAAGGTCTGCCTCGCAATTTGGGCTCACATTTGGTATCGCGTCTTTCAGAGCTCTTGGCAAGGCTCACTTTGAGCTTGGCGTGCTTTCATATAAGAGCTACTGTTTCTTTTATCTTGAAATGTCTACATACTCATGAGTCTTGCTGGTCTTCCTCGATTGCCTTACGATATAAGCACTCTGCTCACAATACGAGACAGGCATTTGGTCTATCAAAACCATTATTTCAAGAGATTACTCCGCCGAGATGTCAGAACGGATCGACACAAACAATAAAATCTACAAGCTCGCCGCCTCCCCCTTCATCCTGGAAAGAAATGGGGATTATGATGACGCTATAAAGATGTATAAATCCGCAGTCGAAATTCTAGGAGAGGCGACAAAGACATTCAAGAAAGGAAATGTCCGCAAAGTGAACCGCAAGATGTTTGAGCGCCAAGTTCAGGTTCATCACGAGCGTCTAGCCTACTTGGAAGGTCTGAAAAAGAAAGGGAGCTATGAAGGTATAATCCTGCCTCCAACGATCTTGGATGCTATGGAAGAGGTCGAAAGAGATAGCGAGAAAAGTTGGACATTGACTCAAGTATGGAATTAAACTTAGACAATCCAAACTTCAATATGTTAATCAGTATAACCGCGACTAACTACCCTCTAGATCCGCAAAGATCTCCACGCTTTCCGTGGAGAAGGCCCCAACATAACGAATGCAGATCCCAGCACCGCTGGAATACATATTCAACCCTTCTTGAATACCGACCCATCTGCAAGGCCATTCTTCTCGTTAACACTACAACCCTCAGCACCAGGAATAACATACCGCATAACTCATTCGTCAGAACTAGTTGACCTCGGCCTCCGCTCGCACTGGTTCTTCGTCAAAGACTCAACAAACACACACGTTCTCTACGCCCTTCAATGTCTCTGGAGCAACGAAGTGCCAATTGTAGAAACAGTACTGCGGCGCGCCGGCGAGTTCCTACCCCAAATCGGCGCAACAAGTGTCCAAATTCGCAAGCAGAAGGGTGGCTCATTTCGGATGGAAACACGCACAATCCCGGATATGGGCGCTATAACTGAAATTCCAGATGGCGAAATGCAGCGGAAAGACTGGTCACCTCGCCGCTTTGAATATGGGGGTCGCAACTTCGTGTGGAAGAGTGGGGGTGTGGATGGGAAGAAGGGGGATGGAGGCATGTTTGGATCTTTTGGATTTACCTGGGAGTCTTTGTATGAGACGAAGAGAGTTTGGGCTAAGGAAGGGAGTCGGACGGGGAAGATGGAGGATGAGACTGTTGGTCCGAGGCTTTGTTGGGGGGAGAAGAAAGGGGGGAATGGGGCCGATCATAGTATTCATATGGTTGGTGGGCTGGATTTGTATTTTCGGGAGCATTTGCTCGCTGTACAATTGTCTAGGCTGGCAAGAGTCAGCTATCCGCCTGCTAAAGATACTACTGGCATTGAGATTGCTGCTGCTGGAGTTGGATGGTTGTCTATTGTTGCTTCTTTAGCTTGAGGCAGTTGAAGAGGAAGTCACACCCAGCTATGTTCGTTTGTTGGCTTTCATTGAATTTGCAAAATACTCGAAATAGTTAAGATTGCAGGAATAATGAATCAATATAAGAAAGTCCACGTCCACTTGGATATGGACTAAGTATGTTTGACATTGAATAGGAAACTTTCTCTCTGCCTCGATGCAATTCGTTCTGTGAGCTCTCGCCATTTTTTGGTATAATTAGACTCCAGCTCTCTGACACCAAACTCATCGCCTTCCTCGCCAGAAAACCGAATTTCGAATAGCCTGGAAAGCTTGTCCTCGAGCGTTGCATAGTCTGGTTTCCATTGAGGAAACCAACGCTTGTCCTCGCCAGTCTTGAGTGTTACTTTTTTCAGATGTGATGCGAGGTCTCTCTGATGACGAAAACTTTCATAAACCGACGCTGCAGTGACTTCGTCCAGTGGCGGCCTCCATTGGCTTGATCCTGGCTTAGTTCGTGGCTGGCCTTTCAAATGTAAAAGTCCAGAGGCCACATGAATGGAGATACTGCTCAAATTCGTGAATCCTTTTGCTAGAGCGGAGATAACATCCTCAGGCTGGAACCAAAAAGTTAGCTGACGCTCAGAAACATCGGTTCAATGAAATTCTTACCCAGCCGTTGTCCCAAGAAACATCAATCTCCAAGCTTTGCAACTCACCGCATTCCTGGCCTAACAACTGAATATCTTCCCCTGAATGATTCTTTCTTTCTTTATCAGGTTCTTCTATCTTATGAAGACGGAGATACTTCAGGGAGTGGTGATGAGCAACGGCAGTCATCCGTGGCAAATGACCTGTTACTTCCAGCTTTTGAAGCGTGTCAAATGATAGCAAAATCTGATTCAGCTCCAAACATTCGCCGTTAGCTGCGGCTTCCGTTCCAAAGATACTAAGCTCCTCTAGCAAAAGCGGAGATCCATTGATGGCTTCCAGAAATCCTCTGTTCTCTGTGAGATGAAGTGATCTCAAACTTTGCCACGGAAGTTTTGTCCTCCAACTGAGTATTTCGTCTACATGGACATAGTATCCACCTAGTGAAAGACTTTCCAGGGGAGGAAACCGCTCATGTTGGAGCAACTTCAATGGTACAATCAGTAATGGGGTTCGGGGCCCGGGCATGCACCCTCCATACCGGCGTTGCACCGAAATGGACAAGTTCCGAAGGTTTGGAAAGGCTAGAAAGAGCTCACGAGGGGCGATGGTCTTTGGCGATTCTCCACGTCTAGCAAAGTCCAAGTGAATGCCAATTTTTAAAGCCTGCACCGAAGACACCTGACAGTCGACTCTAGTGTATCCAGCTTCAGACAATAAATGAAGTTTGGGTGAGTTGCTGTGGTGACCAACTGCTTCAAGAAATGTATCTGTGAGCGGCATTGCTTGCTTCAAGCTACGAAGATTCCCATTAGTACAAATTAGCCATATTAGAACCTGCCAACTTACTAGATGTTTTGGATATTTGGCATTAATTTCAGCAAGCGAATAAAGTCATCCAGTCTTTTTAACTTTTCTGTTGGGTCTTGATTCTTTTTCGGGGGCTCAAGTGTCAAGTCGCGCACCCAAGCTCGGACATGAGTTTTTCTCTGGTCCATGAGATGACTATAAAGACCGAGAGGGGCAGCATCCTGATGGCCACTGTCAGAGCTGGTATCGCATATGACGCTTTCACTCCCTCTCAACTCGCGCAAAATCACTGAGCGATACAACACAGGCAGGCCCAAAGTACGGAATGACCTCGACACGGCACAGACGTTAAAAATATCATCTTGAGTGAGCAACTAGACAAGTTAGTTTCAGGGTGCTTCAAATTAATTCATATTCGTGATGAATACACACTTGTCTAAAGATGAGATACCAAACCTCGTTGCTGAGGCTTGGCAGGCTCTTTTGGTCCATTTTTGAGTTCAACCTAGAGGATAGAATGTGAACATCGAAAGTCGAAAATTTCAATTTTTCTGGGAGGAAAAAAGAGGAATGAGAAAAATGTCCACAGTGTACTTGAGAACCGTCCCCGACCGTCTCTTATATGCTGTAGGGTTAAAGGGAGGGAGGGAGCTTAGATTTATCCAGGCCCCCAAAGAGCGGAATTCTGAGGGCCGGTTATGCCTCCTCCAATCAAAACTGCTGCCTGGGGTTCAAGCATGGCTGATTGGATCGTTGTGGGGGCAAAGACGGGTTAAATAGGAGGCTGAAAGACCAAGGTAGTCAACGTGACATGGAGGAAATGGGCTGACGAGGCAGGATAAGCAATAGCTAGCGTAGTGACTCACTTATGATTTCAAGACAACTGATTGGCATAGACAGAGATTAGGTGCATGGAGAGATCAATGTGTCGCTATATCCTACGCGGCGGGGCAAGCATACACGTAGCGCTTGCCTCCTAGTTCATAAATTTGCATATTATTATGCTAGTTAAGTGAGTAATATTGCAAAAAGACTGATTATACTTTGTCTGTCCGGAGCTGTATGTGAATTATTGTGACCATTTGCACATTCACTTGAGCGCAAAGTACCTCCCTGCAAACACGTAAAATACTATCTGCGGGGATTCTCAAATTGACTTATTCTATGGGGAATACGATATTGATGGTTCTTTCGTAAACAAGGATGCATGATCGATTTTAAGGTCTACCTTGCGCTGTGACAATCCAATTTTTTCACTGTCAAATGTCAAACCAGTCTTAGGTTTCGCTATGTGAAGCTGAAAAGAGAGTCTTGAGCCCACTGGATATTATCAAACCATGTCATGAAGTCAGGGTTACCCTGTGAGTCACACTCATCGAGCCAGCTCTCGGGCAGATCAAAGTCTGAACTCAATGTAGCAGTTTCAGAGGATATAGTGGAGTGGATTTTTTCAAGCACCCAACGAATATATGTTGCACCTTGTTGTACGATCTCATAATTTCCTTGGTACGGCTGTACCTGAAACGTCAGATGAGAAACATATGAACCGAGCTTTTTAATGATAAGCGTGCGAACGTTTGCAGAAAATGGTGCTAGAGAAGGAAACGATGTTCCAGAGCTGTGATCGGAGAGTAGTTTCGACGTTAGGATGCCTGCGGCTGGAAGACCGACGTAGCATAACTGGAAAAAAGATCAGGGTTAGGAATCATGAATAATAGCTGTCGGAAAATCAGCATCTCTTACATCCCACGAAATCCCCACCGCTGATTTATCAGATCTTGACTTCACGGCAATGGTAGTGTCCACCAGCGTAGTGATAAGCTCAAGGGAGCTTTCAATGAGACCTTGAGACGCTGTCCCAACACGTTTTAATAGGATTCGGTGGAGCAAAAACTCCTGGTAGGTGAATTCTATATGTGCGAATGCGCGGCCTTCGTCTCGGGAGGAGATGTAAACACCCGCAGCAGCTTGCTCGGGAGACCACTGCATGAATAAAGGAAGATCACTTTGTATCTGTCGAGATTCTTGAATCAGTTTTCTGTTCACATGTTTAAGTTAGCTCCTGCTGTTACGATAACACGAGATTCAGAGATAGACACGAACTCGACTCTGGATGGTATATCCCTTGTATCAGGGCTTAAAGATAATTCAAGGATACTTTCTCGTAATAGACACGCCAGAAGTGCGACACGAAGTTTGGCGGCAACAGTTAGTTTGCCTTCAGTATTCCATCCGTTAGCGTCCATCTTGGGAAATGTTCTGTCTCCGTCCCTTCGGGGTCGGACCAATTCATCGTATGAGATATCAAGAGGAAGGGGGAGACTGCAGTATCTAGAGCATATGCGCGGGGGACGCCCTAGAAAAGTCACCAAGTCCTTATCTATCCCATACGCATAGGCCATGACCCGTTTTCGTAGTTCAGCTAGGAAGAATGGAATGCTTTGGTCCACATGTTCTCCTGACTGATGTAAGCCAAATCCGTAAATGACAGTGGAGATATCTCCAAGCTTTTGCCAGACTCGGTAGTCTATAGAATCTTTAGCCAGATCCTGTCTAAGTTGATGATAAACAGTAGAGATAATAATTTACCAGTGTAGCCAAACATTATAGCTAGAAGAGAAATTTGCTGGGTCGTCAGCCAGCAAAGAGCATCACTGACTGTTCCGGTGGCGTTACAAAACTGCCAGCAGGTTTCACTGACGGTGACAGCAACGCTTCTCAATTGACTTTTTTCGAGCTTCCATGGATTTCGATGTGTGAAGATTGGGTCATCGTCACGAACATGAAATAATGAGGACCCTAACAGCACAAAGAGAAGCCCAATTGTGTCCCATCTTGCCGCTGTTGAATCGAAATAGTGCGACAAATCCATTGTTGAAGTTGTTCGAACCTCCTCTGAAGTGTTGGCAAATATTTGACGCGATAACCCAAGCAAAGAGCCATGCGTATCATTATCCTGACAGCCACGCACAGAGGAATCGTACATTTGCTCAATAGATTGACACAAGGCGCGAGTAAGGGGGGACCCCATATCCAACCTGGGGCTATCTTGTCTTTTGATTCAATGATCTCCGAGAACCAACGGATTTTTTGTAAATGTGATAAGATCTGAGCTCCTAGCATTACTTGATTTGAATCGGTAGACGGACATGCAGTAGGTACTGCCGAGTCTAGTAGGCCGCCCGGTGCCTCGACAAGCAGGCTATCTTCATATTCACTGAATATGTCTTTGGGAGAGACTAAGCCGAGGACGCCCGGCTTTAAGCTTCGCTTCTCCTTGGCAGTCCATGGCTCGATTTGCTGGTCGTAGATCAAGTTCTCCTCTGTGGTTGGTGAACTCGACGGGCCCGACGCAGGCGTTCTGGAGATTGTCTGTTCGACACGGAACACAAGTTGGTTGTCTGCTCGTTGCCTCTTTGGCTTGCGCGAGATCGCCTTAGTGGCCCGGGGTTGAGTCAATGGAGCAGGATGATAAAAGCAGCGTTCGGCCCGCCCGAGGCACCGACCACAGACGGGACTTTGATGGTCGCATCGCAATTTGGACTTGCGACACGGCTCACAAGAGGAAAGTTGTCCGTTCCGACGAGGTGTTGCCATAGCTTTGAGAATATTTTATATTTTCACCAAAGAACAAAAAGTCTTGGGAATATTTGGGGGATTTCGAAGGTCAAAAGTGCTACATCGGAGTTCACTGGGGCGGAGCTCGACTTCACCTTTCCTAATGAGGGAATCTCCGTCTGGAACTCCGAGTGGATGACAGCGTTTTATATCAGAGATGATTATTTAGAGCTGATTTAGAACTGAGGAACTATATGAGCTCATCATGCGATTGAAGGGAGAAAGTCAGAGCTGGATTCTAATTTATTGCGACTTCTAGGCTGACTTTGCAGTGTACACGTGGAAACGGGGGTATGTTTTGGAGATTAACGAAGTTCACTAGAGAAGACAAGACACTGCTATGTCCCAGGAAGCTACAATAAAAAAGAAGAAAAGAGACAAATTTCCCAGCAAAAGAAGTGAGTGAATATTTGCAAAATTGTTAAATACAAATGGTCCGAAACGTGAGACTTTCTCTCATTATTTGCTCTCGGGTGACAATCACGACATTGAATCATGCTAAGTAAAGCACTCTGCGGCTCTCCCAGCTGTGACTCTCATCAATTCCCCAAATCCATTGGCATAACCAAGCTCAAGCTTTTTATACCGGTCGCCGCCTGGTCCAAATGACCATGCTAGCGCTGCTGCCGGGCGAGCATCATAACTTGGGCAAACATCCAAAAACTCTCTCAGTGGACCATCATCGATTTTGACCTGGTCGGGAACCAGATTCAGTGCATAAAATGCAACTCGAGGAATTGTGGCCTCAGGATACCGCAAGGTAACAGTAAACAGATATCCGTGTGGATTCATATATTTCTGCATATCTTCGAATTCAGCCTCACTTAGGGGCGAAGAAGCGGCGAGGCCTGTCAATCGAGTGGCGTGCTCTCTGAATAAGGCCCCCGGAACCATAAAGTAAATATTTAAAGTGCTCTTATGGTAATCAACAGACACAAACCATACCATGTTGAGGTTGAGATTCTGAAAAGTCGGCAGATGCGATCTTAGACTAAATGATATTCCTGGCACCATTAGGAGCTCAGCGACAGGTCGAGGAGTCATGAAATGTAGCCAGGTTTTCGCCAGTCCCGCATTTGCGTCGAAATCGCACCATTGTTGGTGCTCACTTCCATAAACAGCACACCATATTTCAAGAGGGACTATCATTGTATGATTGGAGTCCAGAAGATTGGCTTTTTTTGCCATGGAAATAGTGTCCGCATTTTTATCAATGAACAACCGATAATTCAGGGCATCTCTGGGCCGATCTGTTGTACGGAAAATGATGACTTCGTCGAGGAAGAAATCCTGGAAGGTATCTAAGACAATAGCAACTGAGGACTCGGAGTAAGAGGCATTGATGGCCTTTGCTGTCTTTTTGATATCGTCCAGAAACCGAGACCGGGAGTAACCAGGAGGAGCAGTTGTAACAGAAGTCACTGTGGAAGTCATCTTGCCAGTCTGAATCAAATCAGCACATACTCGATCTTCTAATCGGTGTGCGGACCATTTTCCTTTCTTATATGTTCGAGAAACTAGTAATTGTGACGTGTCACAAATGTTGAATACCCTCTTGCTGACGACCGGAACCCAGTCCTCCACCTCTAACCAATTCAAAAAAGGTGTGGTATTCATTCGAGTTATCGACAGTTAGAGTTGCCGATCAGCAGTGAAAATCCAGATTGATATACCACGGACATGCAGCACCTCAATATTGAGTTATACTGACTCTTAATAGTTTTACATTTACCATACTTGAAATGATTCGGAATGATTCAAAAAGGAGTGCAATAAACGCGAGCCATAATTTTTTGAAGTCGTGCATAGACTTGTCCAATCGTCGGCTGTGGTATCCTCGTCGCTTCACCGTCTTTTCTTGATTCAACATTTGTTACCCTACCCATTTTGAACACCAATTACTCAACATGATACCCGCTTGAGGTCTATTTCCCATGTCACACCACTGTAGCACATAGGAAAAAAGAAAGACCGAAACGATAAACAAATCTTGCGAATCAAATGACAACTTTGAAGTATTGTAACTTCGTATCACATAAGCCCTGGCCTTTGGATATTTTCCAAGGCTTAACTGGAGTCAACTTAAGGGTCTGCATGATGAGTAGTCCTGTTGAGGAATCTTCTATGTTGTTTATGACAGGGCTGAATGGCAGCTAATTGGAGATTTGGATGAGACGTCTCGGATTTGATCTCACCTGACCCCGCACAGCCTTCAAGCGATCTTTCTATCATCAAGCAAGGAGTCGACCCACCGGTGGAAGGTTTTGCAGTTGTGATTAGATCTCTATGGAACTAGCAGAAGGTCTGGTGAGCAAGCATGTCATATTCACGTCGTGAGATTCGTGCTACGGATAGATAAGAAGATTAATGTAGCTGTTTCCAAAAAAATGACGCGATGATCAAACTAATTTCTTTCGCTTGTATATCCCCATCATGTTTATCTCAGTCAATAACTCAGTGCCTCGGATTCAGTATCTCCACATGCTTCGGCATGCCGGACACGTAGGAGTTCTGGCTGTTTCTAACCATTGCTCGATACATCGGCTGTGAAAGTTGACTCCACAACGTGCCATACACCAAGCCAGCCCATCGTCTTCGTTACCATGCACATGCTCAGTTCTCTGCTCATTATATCCATGATCAGTACCGCTTTGATCACCGCTGCTGTGGTCCTCGTTGTCAATGTGCTCGCTTTCTTCATGCACGTCCACATCCTGCTGTGTACGAATTAAATCACACAAGCATATCCCACATTCTCCTTCGATGTTTCGTCGTGTTGTTCGTGATGCTTGATCCTGGGTATCATGAGATCTGGGCCTGCCGGAGTCCCGAACTACAGTTGTTGACGTTGCTATTGTCGGAGTGAAAGGAGAAACAGTCCTTGTTTGATGACTGGATTGTACTCGCGTTGATCGAGAAACAGTGCTTGTGGAACGATTTGATGATTCAGTTGTCTGCCTTGTGGTCGTTCTATCAACAAGATTCACCGGCGAAGTGCTTCTGCGCAACACGGTTCCCGAGATGTTGGAATTGACGACTGCATTTGCGTCTCTCCTCTCATTATAGGTAAGAGGGGTTGTAATGGTTGACAAGTAGTTTTGAGCAACCTCGAGACGTCTGATCTCTTTCATGGCTCGGAGTGTTTGTTGGAGTACTGCGATTTCCGCCTCTATTCTGGATTCAGCGGTCTCGGTGTCGACATCTCGCGATGACCTCCTTGTGCGTTGGGGAGATGGACTAGATGGAACCTGGGAATCTAAATATTCGGAAACCTGTCTTTTCCAACGACGGCTGAGATCTGAAGATTGATTTTGATGGAACCTGGTGCATAGGACACGAGGAGCCAAATCATCTAACAGTGCATCGATGCTGCGACCCGCTCGAAGATCTTTGGTGCCGTCGTTAAGAAGTACCCTGGCTATTCTGCGACCGTGTGCATTTGTGCGAGAGTGACAACGACGACCTTGTGAATGGGCGTAGCCAGCACACCATGGCTCTTCCTCTGGTTCGAGTTTAATAATCTCGGACAGATGGGCCAGGGTTGCATTTGGAGCATGAGAATATTGAGAAGGCATTTTGAGAATTATTTAGGGATACAGAAAGACGGCTTGAAGTTTCTGTTGAGTTTGAAACCCGATTTCTGCGTGGCTTCATAGTCACTTAAGTACACATTGTTGTCGCTGGAAGCTGTAAATAGCACGGAGCCCTGCAAGTATCCTAGCAGGTTTGAGGATACTGCTCTGCCACAGTAGAGTGGCGCAGCGCTCAGAATAGAAACCAAAAAGCACCATTAAAGGAGTGATGCCTAAGGATTTAGTATACCAATGAGGGTTACAAGGCCCAGGTGCTAGACAGGGGAGATGGCGTCTTCAAGGCTGTGTTGTGTTGGGAGTCCAAGAAAAGAGGGGTAATCAGTACCCCTGCTGGTTCTCGGCGGCTTTCGATAGGTTTTCGTTCAAGATAGATATGAAGCATGGGACTTTTGCTACCACTTGGCAAGGATTCGCTGCTAATCTCTAGTTTCGTGGATGCCGACGTATCGGGGAGCTGAACCCAAAAAAACCAAACCAAACTCGAAGGGGCAATTGACAGGTCCGCCGTTAACATTGTGAAAGTTTTCTAAGCTGTCTGACTAGGACAATTGAAAGGAATACCCTCAACTCTCTTTTTCCGACCTTATAGCACAAAATGACGTACATATTGTCCTTGGATGGTCCCCGTCTCGTAGGTTCTAGCCTATCTTGTATTCATTGACCACTTTGAGGACAAAACAGGGCGCGAAGCTACTCAGGGATTAATATGGAGTCTCGTTGACCGATTGTTGTTCTCTTCGAAATAAAAGCAAGATTTGGAGACAAGGTCCTGTCGAGGTACCGAGGCTGCGCTAGTATCAACCCGGATCTATATTTGCTTCGCGAGCTTTTGCTTCGACAATTTGTCTCCGCCGCTTCTAGAGAAGCGGACAGCCTCCGATGAGGATTGATTGACTTTAAATGACAAGTCGACCAAGAACCTATAAAGCTCATGGGTTCATCGCCATCATGGAGAAGAACAAGAAGAAATCCTGACATTGGATTTGTCTGTGTTCTATCCGTTCTTATTTTCTTTCTAGCCCTGGCGTCTGCTACAGGATTCCAATGTTCCTGATTTCGTGGTCGCCCAGTTCGCTTTCGTGGCGGAAGCATGCGTTCCTGACTCTCCTTCATGTCTCTCTACTGACGCCTTTCCTTTTCCGTTTGTCCATCTGCCGCCATCTCAGTGCCCGTTCGGCTCCCTGTCAGTCCTGGGTGTCAAGGCAGATCCAATGCGTGTCGTACTCGGAAACTACGTTCAAAGTCGCCTCTTAACCTTCTCTTTCCGCTATTTCGATCCCGAAGTATAAATTGGCACTATCGATCGTGTCAGATTACAGTTGAATACGCGACACTAGTTGACTAGCAAATCGATGAATTAAGAAAAGTATAGAAATTTTGGCAGACAAGAAGCACCAAGCTGTAATTGGAATTACACATTGCGCGGTTGCTAAAGCATCTATTAGGCTCTCAAGGTCCAGTTACAAGACAGCGACACATTCAATCTCCACATCAGTATTCAGCGGCAATGTTTTCACGGCCACACACCTAACAGCTGCTGTCAGTATTGTTATTGTAGCAGTGTTTGGTTAAGGGTTTCAACATACGTCCGTGAAGGCTTGATATCACCCCAATAAAGTGTGTAGACCGAATTCATCTCCGCGAAATCATCCATGTTAGACAGGAAAACATTAACCTTGACGACCTTTGTTATGTCTGACCCAGCGGCCTCCAGAATATGCGATATATTCTTTATGCATTGATGCTAGTACCAAGAGACTGTCAGTCTTATCCAGTTTAAAAGGGAACATAAACTAACGGTATGCACTTTGATATCTCCGTTCACGATTTCGCCTGTTTTCGCGTCCATGGGCACACACCCAGAGCTGTAGACAAAGCCGTTGGCAACAATGGCCTGCGAATAAATCCCGGGGAGAGGAGGTGGCGCATTATCGGTTAGAATCGCAGTTTTTGAGGGCATATTGAAGGTGTATTTTCAATTTTTGTGCACTTATCATATGCCTTGCTGTCCAGAGACTTTATGCTTATATACTACCATCAAGCACTGTAAGCAATCTCAGATCTTCTTCCTTGACGAGCATTAATTCTTCTGTGTCAAGTCTACCCACGTATGTGTTAGGTTCCACACTTTGGACTGTCGGACTAGTTTCATCCCACTCAAGTCGTGGGGCACCGCGGTGGGATGATTACGGATATGGTGCAATCAATCATTGCTGGTCTGATCGTGATTTTGCATGATCTTGCAAGGATACAGCATTAATTTCTCGCGATGAATGGCGGCGTGCTGCAGGAGAGAAGGAGAGGATGACGGTGGCACTTTCCATAAACTTCTTTGGGACCTCGAGTTTGAGGGTTTGAAACGAATAATTCAGTCCTTCATAGCCACGAATTTCTGATTATCGCGCAAGTCATGCGAGAATATCTGAGAAATAAAAACAATTAACATGCAGAAGTAAATTTTCTTGTTATTGTGTTGAAATTACTATCTGCTGATGTTCGTCCCAGATAGACGCGCGGAATATATCGTTCTCTCTAGGTCTATTTCCATGTGCCAGGTTTCCCAAGCCAGTGTTATTGTAAATTTAACTGTAGTAACATCTTACACTTGTAGAAGTGGTAGTATTAACTCAACGCAAAGTATCATTTCTGTTGCAACTAGCCTGCGAATTCATATTTCGGATACCCCCGAGCATCGCGAGGATGATATTTGAACATATGCCCACCCTCATCATTAGGCTCTGGATTGGCAGACCGATCTTTCCCACTGGCCATGAAGATAATATCGTGATTTACTCCTCCCCACGTGGTGCAGGCCGGGTTCTTGGCCGTCACCACGATATCTTTCAGGTGCTTGCCTTCCGGACTAAAAACCATAATTCGGTGGGATGCGAAGACCGCAATCCAGAGATTTCCCTCGGAACTATCAAAAGTCAACATCCGAATTACGCTGAAGTTGGCTTGAAAGAAAAGAAATAAATTGGGATTCTTACTCAACCACCATTCCATCTGGCTCCCCGTACGACGAGCGTCTATCGACAAGAAGCCGTTTGTTTGAGATATTGCCAGTTTCTAGGTCAAAGTCGAAGGCGAAGACCATCATCGCAACCGAGTCATTGAAGTACACTGCCACTGTCAGCTAAGAATTCCGCTATTCTCTCCTACCACCAACCTTGGAAAGTAGAAAAAAGCAAGGCACTTACTAATGGTATTGTCTGGACTCCATGCAAGCCCATTCCCGCAAACCACTCCCTCAGGAATCATCAGATGCAAGCTACCGTCCGGATCATACCTCCACAGCCGGCCTTTCGGAGTTCCATAGCTACCGGGAAGTTGGTTAGGTCCGAATGCCATCGCCCGCTTATCAATCTCAGCCAGCCAAAACCGGCCCTTTGCATCGATGCCGCCGTCATTGAAGCGGAGCTCATCCCGTTGATCAGTGGGGATAATTTCTTTCACGACCTCTATTTTCCCCGTCGCCTCGTCCAAGAAACATACACCCTGGTAGTAGGCGGCAATGTAACTGCCGGGTCGGTTTTTGCGGAAGAATGCGACTGTCACGCTGTCTTCAAGGGGAAGGACACGCGCGTCTCCAACGGCATCGCCAGTATGAGGGTCTACCTTGAGGATTTGAAGCTCTGCAGGCTCAGAGAGGCAGTCTACCCAATGCAGAGTTGAATCGCTGGCTCGATAGATTGGGCCTTCGCCAAGGACCATGGGCTTGGGGCAGTAATACCAGGGCTTTCCGCCATCGATCGATTCAAGTGGCCCGTCCATTTTGTCTATCTTGATTTTAGAAACGCAAAAGAATTCCGGACGTGGCTTATCTAGTGATATTTTGTATTTCAGCTTCCCCCCTGTGGTTACCGGGCGAAGGCCTTTGGGTCGTCAATATGCCACATATCCCACGCCTCGTATGGGATTGTGAGAGACCCACGAATTATTCGTGCAACTCGCAGATACGACCCCCCACTTATCTCGGCAAAATCCATCAAATCAGTCAAGAATTGAATTGATTACAAGGGGGTAAATGGCTACCCCGCGGGCTTTAGGGGCCAATGTTAATCAATTGCCGGCGCCACATCCTATAGATACCACGGCAAGAAAAGAACCCCTCATCTGAAGAGAAGCTTAAGCTGCTTTCCGAATTCCCATTCAAACATAATTACACATCGCCATGTCAAAAATATTTTTTATCACGGGGGCGGGAAGTGGCATCGGACGAGTGTTAGCACGCGAGCTCCTCCTGAAGGATTACCGGGTATTCTTGACCGATTACAATAATGATTTCCTCCAAGATACTTGCACGGCGCATCTTCCTTCCGTCATTCCCAGCGACAAGCACAAGAATTTTCAATGGGCACAGATGAACGTTTGCGATATCGCGCAAGTCAGCGAGGCAATTGCACTGTGCGTTCAGGCCTTTGGTGGCATCGATGTCCTAGTCAATAGTCTGCCTTCCATTTTCATATCCTCTATCAATCACAATCTTGAACCTGAATATTGAGGAGCATTTACTAACCAGTGCTGGGTGTTCTTGGATACAGATGCAGGGATCAATGTATGCACGCATTTGAGTTTCTCTTGAAATCCCTATCTTTAAAAATCAACATTTGCAGAATGCTAAAATAATACAGAGCCAGTATATGCGCGCAGGGATCAAAATGGATCAAGTTCCCACGTCCGATTTCGAAAAGATCCTCTCGGTCAACCTAGTCGGCACTTATCGCGTCTCTCAGAATGCTATCCCACATCTCGAAAGGTCCCCAGGTGGTGGTGTCATAATCAACATGTCCAGCTGTCGATCAACGCAACAGAGCAAGCACGGCGAAGCCTATGCAGCCTCCAAGGCCGGAATTGAAGGGCTCAGCATGGCAATGGCCGTGAGCTTAGGACCGAAGGTTCGAGTGCATGTGGTGAGTCCCGGCATGGTGGACGTGCGGTGCGAGCGGAACGAGAATCTGTTACCAGATCTGCAAACAATTCGAGGGGACCTGGATCGAGATTTTCAGAGTGAGTATGCGCCGGCTTGGGGTTCGGGGAAAAGTGATGCTTTGAGTGAGGCGCATCCCGTGAAAAGAATTGGGAGGGGAGAGGATATTGCGCGGTACGTGATATTCTCACTTCTAATCGGGCAGAATGTAGATAGTGTGTGAGCTGACTTCCTGGCCTTGTTCGTAGCTGGGTGGAATTTCTGGCTGTTTTGGAAGGTGGATTTACAACTGGGGGAGTACGTATCCAGATATTTTTTCATGAACGATGAATTCGTTGTACTGACTAAATACAGACCTACTTGGTGGACGGAGGATATTCGAAAGTTCTTTCATATCCTAGCTAGTGGTAAGAAGAGGATAATATATCATAGAATCTGACCGTGTCTACTTCAGTTATGGGAGGCTAGCAACTGCTTGTAGTGACGAACATTAGCAATGTTACTTTTGCATCCTATTTTGGCCCCAATCTCGACATTACCTTACGTGGAGGAGAGTGGGGGGCAAGTGGGATGCGTAGTTACAAGTATATAAAGATCCTCAGTTTCCAACACCCTCTCCCCATCCGATCAAGTAAAATCTAATCACTGGCGAAATTTCTTACACATCATGCCAGAAGTCAAAGTCATCCTGCTGGGCACAAGCCATCCACACATCTTCCACCGCTATAAATATCTCCAGCAAGCCACTAATATCACCCTCCTTGGCTACTACGACATCGACGTGGAGGTCGCAGAACGCATGCAAGAACACGCAGGATGCTCACGGTACAGCAACCTAGACATGCTTCTGGCGCTTCCGTACGATGTAGCCTTGATTCACGGCCGCGATTGCGACAATACAAACTACATCCGGCTGGCTCTGGACAGCGGAGCAAGGGGAATATTCCTCGAAAAGCCTGGCGTCGCCCAGCCGTCGGAATTCTACCCGCTCGCGGCAGAGATTCGCCAACGTGGAAGCACAGTCATCTTCGAAGTTGGCTGGGAGCTACATTACCTTGAAACTGTGACATTTGCACGACGCATTATCCAGGAATCGCTGCTAGGGACGATCACCATGGCTCGGTTCCACGGTGGATGTCCGGGGGGCGCGGGAGCTGAACCGTGGCAATCGGATCCACGGAATCTCGGTGGCTTCTTCTATAGTCTTGGGGGACACGTCGTGGAAATTGTGGTTGATCTTTTCGGTTTGCCAACGCAAGTCGTGAGTTCAATTAGAAAGCTGCCTGCACAGCCACCGCACCGGGGCTTCTCGTGGGTGCCGGGCCTATTCGACCAGCGGGAATTGAATCCGTGCCATGCCATTGGGACGCTGGTGCATGAGGACATTGCATCGGCGATTCTGGAATATGAGAATTTCAATGTACATTTAGATTTCACAGCATGGGAGGGGAGTCGGTATTTGAAAGATTGGACTGTGGAGATCTACGGCGTAAAAGGGTCTTTACGATTGAATGTTGACGGTCCAACGAGTTGTCTGCTACTGAAGGAGAAGCAGGAAGGCTGGGAATCAGGTAGAAATGATCTTTTCTCCGAAGGAGAAGTGAGTTTGGCGGCTGCATTTGAGAAGCAGATGAATTGCTTCTTTCGAAGAGTTGAGGGTGTCCAAATGGACGGGGAAGGTTGCGATGAGGCCATGGCGCTGAAGTTGCTACAGCTCTACAATGCTTTGTATGAGTCTGCTCGGAGTCGACAGTGGGTATCAATGGAGGGATGATATAACTATAACTTTGTGCTGAATAACACATTACACATTAATCTACCTCGGTATTGTGAGCCTTAGTATGGTTCCCTCGCATTTCCTTTCCTTTCATCTCTCAGCGTGGCAGATGTGATGCTTACAAGCAAATTGAGAGGAGACTTTACCTCTGAAGCAAGCTTTGATTCTCTTATCTCTACAATCTGTCTACTCTCGAACATTTGTCTTGTATATTGGGTGGGATCTCGTTTTATCGGTGCCTTTTGCCAAGAGAGCACTTGTGGTACATTAGGGAGCACATTGATTGGATGGCCTTGTGGCTAAAAATCCCTGCAAAGCATAGACATCGCTTAGAAGCTTGAGAACTTTGAACTAATCAGACTTATCTATTTATCCCTGTTCTAGCCGAGATAGTGGCGTAAAAAGAGGGGGAACCTCCTGCACTCCGCGTAACTTAGTGAGCTGCATCCTAATGAACGGTCAAACCTCAGATCACGCATGTTCCAGATACGAGGCAACATACCCCATGGATAGTCCACGGACGCGAACCCGGCGATCCTTCAGTTGCAAGGAGCCAGGGTGTGGGCGGTCGTTTCTCCGCCAGGAGCATCTGCAACGGCACCGTCTCAATCGTAAGGAAAATCAGTATCTCAAAACTTATCCATAGCACTCATCTGGTGTAGACCAACCCGCAGAGATCTTCTCTTGCGACATTTGTCCGAAGTCATTTGTCCGACAGGATTTATATCGTCGACATAAATCGCGCCATGCGAAGGGCATGTTTTTTCGAAACACCGGGGGTGTCGTTTGTCCGATGCCTGCCGTCTCTTCCTCATCAGACGCGGCTCATTTCCCTCATTCGCACGTAATGCAGGTACAGAGTTCTTGTGGAGGCCTGCCTGAAGACACTCTCGCTCCAGAAAAGAGCGGCGTGTCATCCCAAAATAAAGACAATGAACTGAATTCCTCCTTCTGGTCCGGGTGTGCTTTGGAGGTGCCCAGTGTTCAAGATGGTCTCGATTGGTTCTTTGGCGAACCTCTGCAGGGCATCAGTGAGCTGGTTGATTCTTCAATGCCAGCACAATTTGACCCCGATCTATCTTTTCCTCTCCAACCTCTTGCGCAATGTAACTCAGACACCCGAGGCATAATGCACTGTGCAGAAGAAGCGGAGAATATCAATCTACTCCTGGATGCCAACACAGACCAAGAGAGCGACTGGAATATTGCCCTGTCTGGTATCCAGGTCTCTCTCAGCCAGCTCGATATACAAGTCTTGCAGTCACCGTTCTTTGAGGTTGGAAACCTGAAGATGTTTTACGATCTTTACTTCCAGCACTACCATCCACAATTCCCCATTATTCACCAGGCGACGCTCTCAGTGAGGACCTGTCATCCGCTCCTGCTAATTGCGATTCTGGATCTAGGCTCGACATTGGTGACAGATGAGACGCTCTTTGATCTTGGACAGCAAGTACATCAATCTCTGCGACTGGTCATTCTCAATGTATGCTTCTAATCTCTGCTCTCCTCTGCTTATTCTATTTTGAACTAAGGCTGGCCTTAATAGAGTGGAATCTTTGAGTGCCCCATTGCTCTTTGGTGTCTTCAAGCCCTGCTTCTGGTCCAGGCTTATGGAAAAATGATATCTTCACGGAAGAATTATGAGATGGCCCATATCTTCCACGGGACTATTCTTACGGTATATTATTCCTCTGTGCCCCCATCCATGCAGCTGAGTTAATCAATGCTCGATGTTGAAAAGATGATGAAAAGAGGAAGCGTCTACCTCACAGCTTCCACTTCACAACCGCCAGAGCCAAATGAGTCTCCTCAATTAAGCTGGCACCGCTGGATCAATGAAGAATGTTGGCGTCGAACCGCTTGTTTCGCATTTGTGATGGATGCCCAGCATGCCTGTGTATTCGGGCACTCTCCCGTCCTCTCAGTGGTTGACATGCGAATCACACTTCCCTGTCTTGAATCTCTATGGGTTTGTAGCTCGGCGGAAACATGGCAAGAACTGAATCGAGTTGAAAAGCCTGCTTCACTTTTCTTGCCAACCCTCAAATCCCTACTCCGAGAGAATGTACTTCCACCGCACTGTAGCGAATATGCGCGGTTCGTGCTCTTGCACGGGCTGATGAGCTTGCAGACACATCTTCAGGCCGGTTCGCGGTTCACACTCGGAATCGATATGGAGAGACTAGATTCCCATGCCAACACCCGTCACCCCAGCAGTAGTAGCAGTAGCAGCACTCCCGTCTGGGCAAACACAATCGATACAGCCTTCAACACCTGGTCCACTTTTCTCTTCTCTCTCCAGCCATCGCTATGTCTCGAAGCGGCCCGTCCGATTTATCGCATTGCCCAAATTACCCTGCATGTCAGTGTCATCGATATCCACACCCTAGCCATGGACCCAGCTTTCCAGTCTGGTCCTTCCCTTCCCCATGGGGATCTTGCGCTCTCTCTCGCCAACACCAATGTCAACAATATGACAGCGAGTAAGGCCCTTACACGCCTACAACGCTGGGTCCACACCGAGTCCGCCCGCAGCGCCTGCCGCTATGCGCTCCTCTTGATCCAGGAAACCATGTTTAACGGCAAGCACTATTTAGCTCGTGAGGACAATGTTGCTCCCAGGCCGTGGTGCTTGTACATCGCCGTGTTGACGCTCTGGGTCTACGGTGTGCTCACCGAGGGCCCAGCTCCTGCCTCGGATGGGGATACCGTAAACTCGGCCGAGGAATACATGATTCGAATGACTCGCGCAATGCAGGAGGCCAACTCAGCAAAACCAATTATCCGTGGTGCGAACCGGATTGTTGGCCTGATTCGCGCTGTGAGGGATGCGTTGGTATGGTGTCGGTGGGAGTTATTACAAGAGGCTCATCTAGTGCTAAGGCGGCTTGGTGGTGAGATTGTGCTTGATGCTGGGGGTGATAGGAAGACTCTTATTTGAACAATGACTAGAGCTTGTGAGATTGCAGCCTTGGAAGTCCAATTTGAGCATATTTGATTGAAACCTTCGATGTGTAAAACCCTGCATGAGAACCGATGCGCAGTTCGTACAGGAGAACGAAGAAGGACAGAAAATCTTAGCTACCGGAGACGTGAGCTTCATCTCACCCCTTAGCAAGATATTGTGCTGTCTGCCATTGAAATAACCTGCTTCACATGGAGGCAGCCCCCAGGGGCAATTGAAAAGGGCTCAACGACCTTTCCCCTTTCCACACAAACAAAATTAATATCTTCTTTTACTGCCGTATCTGCCGTATATTCATCCACATGAGGCGCCCACAGAACTGTCTCAGACGCGTTGTCAGCTTCTAGATATATCTATGCGCTGCCGGTGGAAGGCCCAGGTGAAACATGATGATTCCACTCACCAAGATCGGGCAAGTTGTACGCCGTAATACTGAATTGGGGGATTAAACCTTTCACCTTGTTCTTCACAAGCACATTCACAGTATCAATCTGCTTTAGTGTCCAGACCTGGTCTATAAATCCCGGAATGTTGAAGGAAACCGCATTATCAGTGTAGACGGGTCTAGCAGAATTCGAGTCAAGCATAATCCTAGCGTCATTCAAACCATATATATTCATCGAGCCCGGGTTCTAATGGATGCAGCGGGCATTAGTGAGCACTGCCTTTACTCTTTCATAGGGAGATATTGATGGCCAAACATTGATAGCTTACCGAGACTGACAAATAATTGTGAAACAGTATTTTCGCACGCATATCATTGTGGAAGTCTTCTCTTGTATTTTGATTTCGGACACAGAGATCTAGGGATAACTCGTCTTCTTTGAGCATTATTCTGATCAAATCAGCTTCTATTCAAGCATAAAGTATCATCTTCTCACATACCTGTACAGTATATCCCAGTCTCCTGACTCTTTTAGCCAGGAACCTCCTAGATCAGCAGGTACATTGAGAGGGGAAAGTCTAAGTAATGCCTGAGGAAGACCGTCTTGATAGATTTTAGCTTTTTGCTCTTCAGTATTCAGCAAGTCGTAGTAGCTTTTGGTGTCATCTGGTGTGATCAGGTCCCAAACACAGTCTTTTGCGAAGCCGTGATGAGGAACACTCTCCATGTGTCGAATCATATCCTGTTGATCACCAATTGCCATAATTCTACTGTCTTCGACATTTCCAAATGTCGGGAAAATCACGGGAATCCCCCCGTATAACCTATTGCCATCACTAGCAGCCTGCGACCGATCCGAATCTAGCCAGAGAACTTCATTGTTGCTCGCAGTCTTAAGTGAAAGAACAGTAGCACCAAGCCTGTAAGGTAATCCAAAATTAACACCAGGAATGAAATTAGGGTCCTTAATTCAGCTAACCTTGAAATAGTGGCACTCGAACCACACGGATGCTCGAGATAAATTGTGTCTCTAGCGTCCTCCTTTCTGTTCATTATGCGGTGAAAGCTTATGGTTGCAATATTGGGTGCCTATCTCCGGACAGACAGCCGACAATGATCAATTTGGCGAGAAGAAGAAAGAGGAACTTAACTGAGCTACAGAAGGAATACGTACTACACTCAAGCTAGAAGGGACTAACTCACTTCCCCGCTTCTCATCACTTTTCTGTGCATTCAATTGATCAAAGGAGCCAGCACTAGCGAGTACAACACCACGTCAGGAGATGTATCCCACGGAACTGTCACCGGGTCTTGGCCATGTCTCTAAACTCGTAAGGCAGAATTCCCTATCGCAAAGTATACAACGCATGATTATACGCATCCCATATAGCCAAAGTCTAATAGCTCAGTTTGGCTGCTAGATGGACCTCGGATGCACCTAAGCCTAGAAAGATAAGCTATCAGACACTCGACCCGCTCCCCCAACCCCATCCCGTTTTTTACGCGGGATCTACTAAGGAACCTTATCTCGCTTCGAGAGCTCAATGCCGGATATAAGGGACTCCAGATCTCCGCATTTTCGTTGGCAGCACTATCTCTCCACCAAACATTTCCAAGCAGCTCCACTTTGATTCCAAAATGGTTCGCGAAGCTGGAAAAGACAAAGAATTGTCTCCATCTATCGAGGAGGATCCCGTCATGGGCGAAACCGAAATAATATCGCAGAAGATTTGCTTCAGTCGCTACAACTCTCCATTTTGGCAGATTGTGGTTGTCAGCTTTGTTGCATTTGGGTGAGTATCCCGTCCCACATACGTATGAGAAATCATGTCAAAACTGACGCGGATATAAGATGTCCTGGAATGTACAATGCGCTCTCAGGAATTGGGGGAGGTGGCCAGTTAGATACAACGACCCAAGCGAAAGGCCATATTGCCCTGGCATCTGTTAGCGCAGCTGGAAACATCTTCGTCGCGCCCATCGTGAACAATATTCTAGGACCGAAATGGACAATCTTCATTGGAGGCCTGCCTTACGTTCTTTATGCGGGATCTTTATTGGCCTACACTCATACCGGCAGCCAGGGTTTTGTGATCGGTGCCAGTGGAATTCTAGGGATTGGGGCTTCACTGCTCTGGATCGCCCAGGGATCGATTATGACCGGCTACCCACTGCCACAGCAGCAGGGAAGAATGATTGGCATTTTTTGGATTATTTTCAAGTAAGTTTTGAGACCATTTTTTGAGAGGACTCTATTAGAAGAACATCCCTCTAATACAAGGTTACAGTCTAGGTGGCTTTATTGGTTCAATGATTTCGTTCGGCTTGAACTTCAACTCTAAGTCTGGAACGGTGTCCGATTCCACATACATCGCATTTATGTGCATCATGGCTGCCGGTTGTTGCTGTGGTCTTGCTCTGCTTAAGCCATACAATGTGATTAGAGAGGATCACTCGCGCGCCGCTGTGGCCAAAAAGCCCAGCGTTAAGGGTGAATTTGTTGGCTTATTGAAAGTCTTGAAAGATTGGAGAGTGATATCGCTTATTCCCTTCTGGATGGCAGCAAACTGTGAGTTCCAAAACCTATTTTTCATGTTTTGCTTGATGCCTTTCTCACACAATCCAGATGCCTACAACTACCAGCAAAATACCTTCAATGCTAAACTCTTCAACATCCGGACCCGCAGTTTCAACGGGGGCATGTACTGGCTTGCACAGATGGTCTCAAGTTACATTTTCGGCCTGTTCTTGGACAACAAATACATGAACCGCCGTCAACGTGGTATCTGGGGGTTCGTGATCACCGCTGTTATCTCTATGGCTGTCTGGGCTGGAGGATTAGGAGCGCAGCTCAAACGTGCTCCTAATAGCGATTATTACGCCCTGAGGGAGATGGATCTACTTGACTCAGGAGCAAAATACGCTGGCCCGTTCCTTTTATACTTCTTCTACGGAAGTTTTGACGCCATTTGGCAAACTTTAGTTTATTGGACCATTGGCTACCTGTCGCATGAATCACCTGAGCAGGCCGCACGGTACGTGGGGGCTTTCAAATGTGCGGAAGCGGTGGGCAGTGCTATCGCGTCCAAAGTGAACTCGACCAACACAAATTACAACATAGAGTTCGCCATCGACTGGGCCTTTGTTGTCTTCGCACTTGTGTGGGTGATTCCGTTCGCGTGGTCGATTCAAGATGTTCCGCCACACGCAGGGCAAGAAACCGCCTATGTGAAGGATGATACTAGTGGAGATCAGGCAATCTGAGAACCTGCTGGATCTTCAAGAAATTATCTTTGCTGGTCCTTTACAATTAATTTGAATCTCCGATATGGACCCTGATATAAGTCAATTCCGGTACTATACCAAGTCTTAGTCAACCACCATTGATTTAAGTTAAGTTTTTATGAAGTTATGTGACTCTTTCAAGCTTACGAATCAAATTAAATAAAGAGAAACAACTTTGCGTAAAATAATATTGAAGAAGGCGATTGCAATCGAACGTGTGTCAACTGTAGGTAGTCAAGCTTCAAGATATCAAATGACCAGGTTGAACTGTTTTCACACAGCTCAATTGAAAACCCACTGGCAGCTACCAAAAAGGTTCAAAACTTTCCAGCCACGCAGTTTGACAGGATTCCCGTGTCTGTCCAGACTCCATTTGCATACGTAGGAGTCAAGGAAAGAGCATAGCTAGTGTCGAACGACCCAGCTGCCCATCCGATCCATCCAAGATAAACATCAGCATTCGAGCTATTAAGTAGAAGATATGCCATTAGATATACCGATGATGAATGGTTGCTTTAGGTTGATCGGGACTTACTTCATCCAGTCCAACTCAGCACAAAGATCTGTATAGCAAGAAGCAGTGCTTCCGCCGCCAGTTTCTGTCAGGAAACTGAAATCCGCGCCATTAGTACTTATTATGAATGTTTATCAGTTAACCTGGGTGTGACATACGCTTGTCTTCCATTATTGCGCAACCAAGTTGCAAGCGTGTTGAGGTTACCGACTCCGTTGGTTGAACACGTAGTGCTCGTACCGCTTCCGTCCGAATCCAGATACTGATGAACATCAAAGATCAGGTTGGTAGTACTGCCATCGGGATTTTTCACGGAGCTAAGAGCCGAAGCAGAGCCGTCTGAGATAAAGCCGCCAACAGATGTATAGCTGGTACCCGGAAGCAAAATCATTTGGGACGATGCACCGGCGTTGCGGATGGATGTGACGGCCTCTTGAGCGCTAGTTGCCCATCCCGTAATATCAAGGTCATGAGGCTGCGGAATCATAACATGTTAGAGCTACCGGTCCCTTTGCTTTCTCGCTCCTTTCTGCTCACCTCATTCATCACCCCGAATATAACCTTGGATGTTGAGGCATATTTTGCTGCCCTAGATCAATGTCAGATAAGCTTTAAAATAGAAGGATAGCGTCTTACAGCTGCCACCATACGCTGGCTAGTTGGTCACTAGTCACCGCACCACTCGACTGGCCTACAATCTGATTATTCCAACGGGCATAGTTATGAATGTCGACGACACAATAAGATCCTGTATTCAAGCAAGCCTGCACCAGCTGATTGTAGATGCCAAAGTTGTTTGCATCAAGTGTGCCTCCAAGGTTGTTGTTCACCAAATATTGCCAGCAAACGGGAAGACGATATACGTTAAGCCCATACTTGCTGGTAAAATGGGCCATCTGTCCTGCCCCATCAGCTCCTCCTTGAGAAGCCAGCGGCGGCGTCACCTCGGAGGCAGTGTATACTCCTTGTGTATTTCCGCAGCCAAAGTCAAATCCAGCTATAGCACATAATACAGCGTCAGATATCCCCTTTCAAAGAGAAAACTTCCCGAACTGGATCTGGGAAGACCTACCGATATTCACACCAGCTATATTCAATGATAATTAGACGCAGGCCTGGTTATCAATTATCATGGAATGGGGGAAACATACCTAACCAGACACTGGCCATGGCCCCCTGGGCTAGAAATGCAAGTACAAAAGGTTTGACAAACATGGTAGCTAACAATGCCTGTGTTTGCTTCTCTTAAGTGAATTGGCGAGCTTGAAGAAGAAAAATGTTTTGAATTCTTAGTCTGTATGTTGAACTTATATATACACATCTTTGAACCCTTTGATTTAATAAGTTCCAAGTAAAAGGGGGAAACTATCAAGTTGGCCTTTCATGGAGGTCGGCCCAACCTGCCACGGAGAAACTCTCCTCTCCATCTTAGAACAATTTCTTCGACCTCATTTTAATATCAAGCTGTAATTTTCGCTGTATATTCAAATTTGATAATTTGTAACTTCCAGGGTCGGTGAGTCCCGATGTTGTTTCTGCTAACCTACACACAGCAAACGTGGTCTCACCAGTTTCTCTTCAATTGCGAGTGATATACATTAATGTGAATTCTTCAGGTGGTGTCAAACTTTCATAGGAAACGAGCGAATATATTGAATCTAGTCTACTGGGGATTTCAGTAGTGCACTTGGAATTATATTTGGCAGAATACCAGGGGCCAATAGATCTATTCACGAGCATTATTTACCATACATCTTGAGAATCCTTGGTCAAATACTTAAGATAGTTAAGCGTGTGGGGACTTTTGGTACAAGCCACTGCCAACAGCTACCTGGCCAGACGCTTGTATCGGAAAACTGGCCTCAATTGATGTTGTACGATCCGCTACCGTTCAACATGTAGACCACCAAAAGCTAGTTGCTGTGACTTGTCTTTGCGCTTTAGTTGATAATTGTGATCACACTCCTAATTCAAGGCGGAATGCCGTTCTACACCGGGTTAGGCTTGAAAAGAAGACAGCTTTTCTTGTTCATGAGGTTACATTTAGTGCCCAAGAGACCGGAGATAGACGGCATTGTTCTAATCCCCGCTCTTCTCGGGATACACTCCGCATTCTGCACTGTCTCTACTATTGTTGCAATCAATTGAGTGGATTCAAACTAAGCTTTTGGCTTTTGCTGCATATGCCGCTTTAGACATTGACTGTGCGTCATGGTGCCTGGCGCCTGGGGTCAGATGTCCTTCCCATCAAGCAAGACACCCATCTGTCTTGGAACTGAATAGGATGGGGAGCTTTGATAACATGGAAAGGGATTTTATCTGAATACTGTGTCACCTTCAACATAAGTATGCAAATACGACCTGGCTCAGAGAAGCCTGGTTGAAAACTGCCGAATCCCAATTATGGCAATCTCCACAACCCCTGCATGAAGAATAGTCTTTCTAGCGGCATTGCCTGAAACTATAAACCAAGATACTTGCGCATTCGCCGAAATTGCATGGATTAGAAATTGCTCACTAGCCTGAATCAGTTCGTAGTCTATAGCGATTCAAATTCTTGATGTACGGTTTGACTTTATAAGATTATGTCATGCCTAAGTAAGTCGAGTTTTCTTTGATCTACAACATTCAGTACCAGTGTACCGACTGACCGATGCCGCATTGGGGATCCGCCGGTATTCGATGCTACCATGTGGAAGCGGGCCGGGAAGTCAAACGCCTCAAAAGTCTCGGACCTTTCAGGCACAATACGTGTTATGTTGTCAGTCCAAAGAGGAAAATCCGTTTCAAATTCATGGTCCCCTTTTGAGTACAGTTTCGATGTAATTTTCACCCTCGATGGGGTAAAAAAGCCGATCGAGTATACCCCCTCTCTTAGTTTTCCCTCTGGTTTATAGTTGAGAAAAGTAATATTGTATTAGGATTTCAGTATTTCTTCAAACACACCCCGGGCCGACCAATACCGGTAAGAGGTTTGTTTGTTAGTGGGTCAGACGCGATTCTGCACCTACAGTATGCTCAAGTGGCGGGCACCGGTGGTCCAATCGCCCAAGGCCCAGTCAGTCGTCGCATTTTGCGGAGCAGACAAACAATTCATCGATAAGTCGAGGCTGAATAGCTGTGGCCAAGTTAGAGAAATTGTGGGGGACGGTAGCCAGCCCCTTGACTGAAATACATTCCGATCCCCCATTCAACCCCGGCAGTCGTTTTGAAGCAGGTCCAAAAGTTATTACAGAAGTGATATAAAAGATAGAGCTCAGGTATACAACCTATTTGCAGTAGAAGGTGTCATATCTGAATATTTTAAAACAGGAAAATACGAACACGTCCAAAAAGCCGAACTAAAAGGTGGGAATAAGGCCGATACAAAGTGGAATTTTTTTCCAGTACGAAAGGCAACGGAAGCCGATTGGTGGGAAGATGTCCTCTTCTATGAAACTGGCCATTAACTTACTGAAGAGCGGCCGATAGTCGTTCACCAACGAAGCTGACCGCCTCCTTGCCCTTCGGCAGCACAGCATCCATAACGATGAAAGGATGCGGAACGCCTTCCACGACCTTCACTTCAACTGCGACGCCCGCCTCCTCCATCTTCTTCGCATACTCTTCGCCCTCCCACCTCAAAACATCCAGGCCAGCCACGACAACCAAGGCTGACGGCAGCTTCGCAAATGTATCGGCAGTTGCCAGCAGTGGCGAGGCATCTGGTGATTTCCAATCAACCTCGTTCGGAAGATAGTGACGTCGATACCACAACATCTTATCAACGGGAAGGGCGGCTGTGTGCTCATATGATTTATATGTTGTGCTCGACTCGACGGTCGCCGTGTTGTCCATGACAGGGACAACTAGGACCTGGAACCGAAAGCCGGGGTGCTTCGCAAACGCCTCGTGAGTCAGGGCCTTCTGGGTCATAACAGCAGCCAAATTTCCTCCTGCACTTGATCCGCCGATGGTAAGCTTGTTCATATCAAAGCCCAGCTCCAAGCGTGAGCCAGCCACGCCGGTGACCGCCCACAGCACCGCTTCCCAGGCATCGTGGACTGCTGCAGGGAAGGGGTTCTCGGGTGCCAGACGGTAGTCGGTGGTTATGACCACACAGTTGGCTTGAGTGCATACGTTCGTGCAAAGACTGTTTTCTGAGTCGATGTTGCCCAGTACCCAGCCGCCGCCGTGATACCACAGAAAGACAGGCCACCCAGTCGCAGGCGCAGTTCCAGGCGGAACAAATACCCTGACTGGTACATCCGGCCCGGAGGATTCTTTGCGAACAATTTGGATATCCACAGTCTTGCCCACGGGTACGGGATCAGTGCCTCCCTAAAATTGTGAGCCTGGGTAATGTATTCATGGACGAAAAGTCTTACTGGAATGAGTCTACCTCCAACCCGGGAGTTGGAAACGGGCTGATAATGCACTTGAGGGGCGTTCAGAAGATGCTGGTTATAGAACTTAACATAAGCCCCATCAAGCAGATCCTTGATGGAATCATGCAAGGGATACGGAGGTTGAGGATAAATTTGTGAGGTCATGTTGGATGTTGTTGCTTGGGATGATAACCACAATGTACCACTATAGGATTAACTTATCATGTCGCAGCTAATCATTGTGGGCTTTATCTATGCTTAAATGACTTTCATCGATAACGTATTTGCCGGCGTTGCGTGGGATGGCGCTGACAGTACACTTCTGCGCCATCCCACGTCCGGGGCGGGTTATCACCAGTCAACCACGCTAACCAAGCCATGCACAACCCGGACACGATAACAAAATAGTTATTTTGCATGATATCTGGGTATAGTTCCGTGAGAAGCAGCCCAACAGCACAAAAATCCTATCCTCAAGCTGAAACCCTTGTCGGCGAACAAGTATGCCTGCCTTCGAGACTCGAATGAAAAGGTTCCGGCGGGCGTTCAGCTCATTCCGTGCATTTCACAACGCTATCTATCTCGAAAGCTCTTCTTCTTTCTTGGTCAACGAAGATCTTCTTCCGTCACCGCCGGGCCGTCAGACTTGGAACACCTGGAGCTTCGTCGCCTTCTGGTGGAGCGAGTCATGGAACGTTTCGACGTGGAGTATTGGATCCTCCCTCATAACCGTCGGCGCGTCCATTCGGGATGCCCTCCTGGTTGTGTTCTTTGCTAATCTACTCTCGGCCACTATCATGGTTCTCAATGGTTATGCAGCATCTCGGTACCACATTGGCTATCCTGTGTTATCTCGGGCCAGCTTCGGTATCTACGGACACTATTTTGTCATTATTCTTCGTTCCATTCTAGGAATAATATGGGGCGGAGTTCAGCTGTACTTTCAGGGCCAGTTCATCAGCATTTGCCTTAGATGCATCTTCCCGAGCTGGGAGACAATCCACAACAACATCCCCGCTGACCAACACATTACAACACAGACAATGGTTGGCTTTTTTCTCGCTTTCTTGTTTACGATTCCATTCTTGTTCGTACATACTTCGCGTATACAGCATTTGTTCACTGTCAAATCCACCGTCCTCCCCCTGGCCGGATTGGGCATTGTCATCTGGGCCACCAAGAGCAACGGGGGGGTCGGCTCAGACTCTCTATATTCACAAGCAAAGTCAGCCAAAACATCAACCTCAGCCTTTGCTTGGGCCATCGTGTCGCAGTTTAACGCGGTCATGGGATCCAACTCGGCTCTCCTCGTAACCATTCCGGATATTGCTCGTTATTCCAAAACCCGCAGCGCGCAGACATGGGGTCAACTAATTGCTCTTCCTATCGGACAAACCCTCTGTGCATCCTTCGGAGTTATCAGTACGGTCTGTGTCTACCCAACTAAACTCCTTGTAACGGGAGGAACAGTTCGACTGACTTATGTGCGAATAATAGTCCGCGGTGCTAAACATGTACGGTAAGTCATACTGGAACCCATACGACCTTCTTAATGGCATACTTGACAACGGATATACCTCGACCGCCCGCGCTGGTGTCTTCTTCGCTGCCGCTAGCTTCGCTTTTGCCACCCTGGGCACTTCGATCGCCTGTAATTTTATTCCATTTGCTGCGGATGTTACCTGCTTGCTTCCAAAGTACTTGAATATTGTTAGGGGTCAGTTTGTTTGTCTTATAATTGCATTTGCAATTGTCCCATGGAGGATCGTTGCCACGGCAAATGGCTTCCTCAACTTCCTCAACGGTTACTCCATCTTTCAGGGACCGATCGTGGCCATCATGGCTGTGGACTATTTTATCCTACGCAGGGGTAATTTAACAATCACTGAACTTTTCACGAGATCTTCGTCAGGTCTATACTACTATTTCCACGGATTCAACATCCGAGCTCATGTTGCCTTCGTCATCGGATTTCTCCTACCATTACCTGGATTTATTGACAGTTTTGGGGATGCTACACTTTCTGAAGCATCCTCAAGACTATATTCTCTTGGCTGGGAGTTAAGCTTTGTTATCGGAGGCGTTGCATACCTTGTTCTTGGTCTCATCTGGCCCGTTTCGGGAAATGAGTATTCATTTGGCTTTGAACGGGCACCAATACATCACCTTTTTGTTGGCCCAAATGTCGTGTTGGGGGAGGATATTGAAAGTACCAGCCACAGGCGGGAGGAAGAGGGAGAGAAGCTTGGCAGGTTTAATCTTACACAGGATTCTGATGGCAGTCCGTTCTAATCTCGGCGGTTTGTTACAGGAAATTTGTCTGAAAGCATCGTTCTCTGCTATTCTTGAATGAATGAATACGTATTTTCCAAAACGCCATTATAATATCGAAAAAATATCATCCCGATTAGTTTCATGATGAATTTGAGATGCCTGGGTTATATATCACCAGCTATCCTTGTGCTTCACTTGCCACAGTACGTAGACTTTGGCCTCAAATTTGGCAGTATGCAACTGCATCAACACTTTCCTCCTAAAATATATACTCTCAAAATTTACGCACTTGAGAAGATGACAGAGGATTTTCATGGTGTTCCTTGCTGTATGCTGACAATGGAATAAATGACATACGTGGGGAGTAGGAAATAAGCTCAGCGCACCTCAGTCAACGAGCCTCGGACCTCACTCGTGGGATGCGCGGGAGGAAGTTCGCTGCGTGGGAAAGCGGGATACCAAGTGAACTCAGCCACAATATTCCAGCTGCCAGGATAAAAAGAACCTTCAAAGACCTACTTGCATGGGTCTGGTTTGAATAAGAATCATTGATTGGCTCACATCATGTATTGGTCTCTCATCATGACAGCCCTGTGGGTGGCTCCGCTGTTGTCCTCTGCGGTGGCTGTCGACCTCAGTAACTTAGCCGCGCATCCCCGTCTTATGATGACACCCGATCGAGTGTCCGACGTTCTGAAGATGAACCAAACCGATAGCTATTATCGAGAGATTCTGCGAGGACTCAAAGCTAGCGCCGACTCAAGCATCAAGACGCCGATAACACTGTCTTCAGCAACGTCATGGTCAAGCAATATTAGACTCGAGATTGCAACTGTCTCGGGGATGTATCTTTTGACGAATGACACAGAATATGCGGATTATGTTATTGAAGGCATCCTGCTACTGTCTAATCTTTCCGACTGGGACCCTTCCAACTTTTTGTATACAGCCGATATATGCATGACGATTGCGATTGGATATGACTGGGTATATGACCGAATGTCGGAGGCACAGTTAGAAATCGTCGAAAAGGCACTCATGGAGAAAGGGATGGTGGCCTCTATGAACACTTCTCTCAGCACTTGGGGCTCACACACCAACAATTGGGCTCAAGTCTGCCCCACAGGGCTGATAATGGCCAGTCTAGCCATTGGGGATAAGTACGAGGCTTTGGCAGAAGAAGTCATTGAATACTCGTTCGAGAGGTTGAAGGTTTCTTTGGAAGGCTATGCTCCAGATGGTGGCTGGTATGAGGGTTACAATTATGGAACATACGCCAATATGTTCCTTGCTATGTTGACATTATCTTTGAGCACCTCTTTAAATGATGACTTGGGGATTTCCGCTCTTCCAGGAATCAGCGACATTGGCTCATGGTTGACCTATGGTTACGGTCAAGTGGGAGGCTTTAGCTGGGGAGATGGTGCCTGGATATTCACTAATGCGAATGTCCTTTGGTGCACTGGCTACTGGGCAAGACTGTTTGGCAAGCCTGCGTGGTTACAGGGGATGCTATCCCATTTCACTGTGCCAGAAGTTGTCAACTACCAGGCCTACTTCTTTTATGATTCTGCTGATACGAGTACTGACAGCCTCGCAGAACTCTCCCTAGGCTATCAATGGGAGAACGTTGCTGGTGTGACTTACCGTGAATCATGGTCCGATAATACGACTTGGTTCTTTGGTTTGATGGGCGGATTTAATGGCCGCTCTCACGGCCATTTGGACGCTGGGTCTTTTGTGGTAGATTTCAAGCAGTACCGATGGGCTGAACTACTGGGATCCGATAGTTACTCACTGTCTGGGTACTTCACTGGAGCCCAGCGCTGGTCATACTATCGTTGCCGAACCGAAGGGGCGAACACTCTGAGCATTTCAACTGAAGACCAAGTCCCGCTTCAACTGGCCAACCAGATTCCTTCTTCGAATAACTCACTACTCCGGGCTGGAAGCTTTGGGAATTCCACTTATTTCGGTGTCGTCAATCTCACAGAAGCATACCAAAACGTGACAACAAGTGTTATGCGTGGAGTTGCCTTGCTCTCTGATTCACAGTTCCTGGTCCGCGATGAGATAAGATCTAGTTGGGCAGTTGACATTGTGGCAAATTGGCACACAACAGCCGATGTGGTCATTTCTACCGACACGAGGACGGCATCTTTGACACAAGGCGATGTCACCATGATAGCTACAGTCCTGTCACCCGATGACGCCTTTTTCGTGCTGATTAGCACAAATCCCTGTTCTGCCTACAGTGGCTGTAAAGAAATGACCAATGATGGCATCTATAATCTCGCGGTGCGTCTTTCGGATAAGACGACGGCAGCCAATATCTCGGTCAGTCTCACAGAGACTGGACACTCAGTTCAGTCGTTTGACGTGCCACTCTCCTCATGGTCCTCGCTGTGTGTTGAGGACTGCTCGCAACTTGACAATATTGGAAATCCTTCCTGGCTGGAGAATGCGGAAGAATACTTTTGAAATAATATCAAGTGGAGAGCATGACCGTGTTGAGACCAAGTCAATGTATATCGGGAGGCCATGTTCGAGTTGTCTTTTGTCACTTAATATTACTCATTTTCTTGAGACTATGTACACTGGCGTTGGATCGAGTTTAGCCAGACTCACTTTCTTCATTGACTTATTGCTTAAGTATTTAAATACGGCAGGGTTACGCCGCGCCCCCTGAAGTTTGGCTGAATAGCACACCAGGCACATCATGTGGTGAGAAACTTCCAATCTTTAATGTAGATCGATTATTTCTGGCCTAAGAATGTCTTGACCTGGTAAAACATCGGAAGCAATAATTTACTGCTAATCTTTAGTGACTACTCTTTTGACATTGTTCATAGAAATTCGAGGTGCACTTGTCTCTGACTGTGACCTCAATGGTGGAGCCGACCGCAAATTTACAATTTTCATCCAGGGGTTGCAACCAACAACATTCTAGATGCATTCCATCCATCAACACGTTGTAGGTATGATTGGTTCTGGGCCATGTCGGGATCGGATTCATTAGGGCTAAGACCGTGCTTGACCCACCACGTGCTGAGCAGCCTAAAGCTTGACGGGGCTTGACTGGTAAAACCATTACCATCATTGGACAGACCTTCAAGAATTTCCAGGTTTTATGCATTAGTTGAAGCTAAGGTCCCTGGTCCCGCCCTCGTAAACGGATAAATGTGAAATTCCAGCAATCTTGGAAGTCGAAACTTTGATTGACATTAGGCAGACTCGAAATGAAATACCTGGCCGAAGGTATATAAGCCTACGAGATGAAGATTCGAGTTTATACTTCACGACTCTCATCAGATCTTTCAACATGGAAGGCGGATGGTCAAAGTCAATTCTGGTGGCTATCGCTGCATTTGCCTCGACCTCAATTGCTTCCCCCGCTGAGGTCAAATGTACTCATGACACTGTCCCGATGCAGGCTCACCTTGCCTATTCAGGAGATCGTGGCATGACTGTTAGCTGGAACACTTACTCAAGGCTGCACCACCCATATGTTCGCTACGGCCGTCATCCTAATGCTCTTTGGCAGTGGGCCGAATCGGACGTTTCGGTCACGTATCCCACATCAACTACCTACAACAACCATGTCAAGATCACTGATCTCGAGCCAAACACTATGTATTATTATCAAGTGCAGTGTGGAAACTCTAGTCAGATCTATACCATGAAGACAGCTCGCGTTCCTGGCGACAAGTCCCCCTTCACCATCGCAGTTGGCGGCGATATGGGGTTGATGGGCCCCGAGGGACTTACCACCACTACTGGTCCCAACGGGGGCAACGCACCCTTAGGTCCCAACGACAACAATACAATCCAGTCTCTGCAATCCATGAAGTCGGAATGGGAGTTCTATTGGCATCGTGAGCAGTCTTCTGGAATATTGCAACCTCAGGTTAATCATACTGATCATATTACTTGGTAGCTGGCGACATTGCCTACGCTGATTACTGGCTGAAAGAGGAAGCCCAAGGCTTTCTTCCTAATTTTACAGTCAGCGATGGTCCAGCTCTCTATGAGTCCCTGTTGAACCAGTACTACGATGAAATGACTGCCTTGACTGCCGATAGGCCCTACATGGTTGGACCTGGTAACCACGACTCAAATTGTACGCATTGACAAGACCTTGAACCTTACAAGCCATTTTCGTCAATTCTAATTGATTTATAGGTGACAATGGCGGTACAACAGCAAATGGCGTCTCTTACAACGTCAGCATTTGTCCTATGGGCCAAACAAACTTTACTGGGTTCCGCAACCATTATCGCATGCCCAGCGATGTGTCGGGGGGTGTCGGGAACTTCTGGTACTCCTTTGACCATGGCATGACACATTTCATTCAATTGAACACCGAGACTGATATCGGCCATGGATTCGTTGGCCCTGACGAGCCCGGGTCCTCGGAAGGTATGAACTCTGGGCCGTTCGGATCTTACCCAAACGAGCAGATCGATTGGCTTAAAAAGGATCTGGAGAGTGTGGACCGTGAGAAAACACCTTGGGTCATTGCTGGTAAGCAAATTCGCTCCTTTTAAGGAGAACACAAAATAACTCATCTTTCAGCTGTGCATCGCCCTTGGTATGTGAGTGCCAAGAACAGCAGTTCCACCGTCTGTACCGAGTGCAAAGATGTGTTCGAGCCTCTTCTCGTTAAGCACAACGTTGACCTCGTAATTCAAGCCCACACTCACTTTTACGAGCGCAACCAGCCTTTGAACGATTATGTCATTGACCCTGCCGGTCTTGATAATCCCACATCACCGTGGTACATTACGACTGCCGCCCCTGGTCACTACGATGGATTGGATAACTATCTTTCACCTTTGAAGCCTTATGCTGTATACGCTGAGGATACTGCCTACGGCTGGAGCAAGATCACATTCCACAACTGTACTCACATGACTCATGACTTCGTGTCTAGCAGCAACAATACCATTCTGGACACTGCCACCTTGTTCAAGGATCGCAAGTGTATATCAGAACAGAAGGATCATGGCTGGTTCTGAGTGCGTGGATGTTCATCTCACCTTTGACATAATGGTCCTGCCACTATGTTCTAGCTTCCCTTGTTTTTCTAAGAAGAGAAAAACAGAATATTTCATATTCGCTTTCAGACAAGGCTAGATAGCATTGATAGCTAATGGATTTGTACGGTAGCAAGACTTCTAATAGATTTTTATCTCGCTGTGCTCTCACATTGACATAAGTTTCAATTATCATTCTTGCAATTTGACTGGGTCACTACCTGGCAGTCTTGAATTGAAGGTCCTTTCGATTCATTCAAATACCAACAGTTATGTAATGTAATTTAAAGAAGAAAAGAAAGCCGATTACAGAAGGTATTGGCCATTTAACTGACCTTCTTGACAAATGAATCTTAATTTTGTTAATATGAATTGAAAATACAAACTAGAATCTTTGCAGGTACCGTTGCGCAGTGATTGCTCCTGTCTGAAATGCCGTTTCGGCTACTAAGAAATCCCATCTATTTATGCACGTCAAACTCTATGATGAAACATGCAAGTAGATCAAATACAATTGGCAAGGCACCTGGGCTATGAAGAAAAAACAATCATAACTGGCCAAACAGTGGAAACAAAGTACACCAACGGCTAACTTGTCCATCGAGCTGAAAGTACTTTGCAATACCACCCACCACCTTGAGGTAACTTCGACCATGACACCATCGAGTTCTCTTCACGTCCAGGTCCTCCGATCTCTCTCCCATGCTCAAAGTAATCTGGAAACGCATAAAGTGGCTTCAAGAGAACACTTCAACTACTCGTTTGAGGTCCGCACTTTCACAAAATTTCCTGTTTCAAATAACAGACTAGGCTTAATAGCCGCAATCTTCCATTGACCGTTGACTTTCACATAGTGTTGCTCCATGTAGAACTTTCCGTCACTTGTTTCCGAAACTTTCTTTGAAAGCCTCCCTTGGTCACGCTTTGCGTTTCCATGACTTGCCACCTGCTGCCACTCTACCACAATGTCTGACTGAGATACCGACTTGAAGTAAGGTTGACCGAGCAAATGCTGCGTCAGGAGGGCCTCATTTCCCAAATTGGAGGGAGAGAGGAACTTTTCAATAAACGCATCAGTGCTGTAATCTTCTTTGCCAATAGCTGGCATGATAAGAGAGTAGTCTGCTTGCACCAAGGGTGCAAGCACAGCACGTAGACGAGTCGCGTCCTAAAATGCATGTACGTTAGCCGGGATTCCGTCTCCTTGGAAAAACAATCATATTTTCTGGTCGTATCCATCAGCAAATGTTCTGGCTGTCTGGACAATTGCAAGGTAGTCTCCGAAAGAGAGATCTTCCGGGATGTAAACTTGGTATGCCATCTGAAGGGGGAAATTGTAGCAGAAGTTTGTCTAAGTCTTAATGAACTCACTTGCCATTATTAAGAAAGACGACACTTCCTACATCGGATATGTGTATTATATCATACTGATGTTGCATTTTGGATGCGCTAAAGAACGCGTGAAGATCCCATGTGGACAACACGCGACTCGGGAATGTGCCGGCCCCGGGGTCGATGTAAATTCTCGGCATGTGGTCCACATTGGGACTGCGGACATCGATGTGTCATTCTTTTACTTGATTCAAGTGAAACTGTGCTAATTTCGAGGCATAATCTCAACGTTATATCACATCTGCCAGTAAGGTGTATTGTATTGACTAGGATCATGTCTTTGTTGGAGAAATCTTGCGTCGTTCTTTGGACGGACTTGGTTAGCGTAAAGCATTTCTGGGTGGCCGAAGAACGCTAGGTCGGTAAGGAAAATCGCAATAGAAATTATCGTACGCTTGTTGTACGTCGGGAAAGTCGAGCTTTACAGCCAAGTCAGTCTTACAGACAGCATGAACCAAGACGGATTGCGTAGACCAAGATAATTGACGAATCGCATTGATAAAATGTTTTTCTAGAACTAACAGAAAGGAAGATTGGCAGCGAGTTTGAGTACTGCTCGGGTCTAGATTCTTGTTCGCATACTGTGGAGGATTGAACGATTTCCATCGTTCGTTCTCGGAACGAATGTCCAATTTGAGTGCTGTTGGTGCAGTTTTAAACAGTGACGAATATTCCTCGGGCGCATTGAATGGTCTCTTCAAGATGGTATGGCCCCACTGATGGTGTTGTATAAAATATGTGTGCAAATTGTTCAAAGAATATAGGAAGATGAAACATGAAGTGGCACGAAAGTTGAGTTGATGATCTAGCTGCTGGAATGTTAGCAATTTATCCGATTTTCTTAGATACTCGTAAAGCTAACTTACTGTGCGGTTGAATCAGCTTCCCCGGTATTGTAAATCTTCCACGAGCGAATGTACGGAACCACGATATCAGGATTCATGCAGGTGTTGTTTAAGAAGGCCTTTCTCGGGCCTTCGCAATGCTCGTGTAGAAAGCCCCAGATCTCCACATCATCTTCACCAAAACTCGCAGCATACGAGTAGGCCCTCTGGGCCTCGTCAAAACTGATGCAAGTCATTTCGCCATGTCCCTCTGAGGTGAAGAATATTTGGCCATTTTGAGGTGCATCTCCACAGCTTAGCCCATCCCAAGCATCGAAAACCCACCAAGAAGATGTTGCGGTCGCGACGGTCACAAAGAGGGAAACCCCGGCGAGTCGCATGCTGAGAAAATAATGACACTTCCAACACCGCTGGGGAAATTGGATAGTAGATCGATTGAATTCTTTATATGCGCACGGGTATCGCTGGTTGAACCCGCATTAGGAAATGGGGACCACAATCTGATGGGTGGCCACGGTGAACGACCCAATCTTGATACGAAGGTAGCATCCCATGTTCATGGGCATCCTTTTCTGATATCTGCTTTTCACGAATGGGGAGCCAGAAGCTTAGATTATTTGCTTAGACAGCATTGATCAAGACCAGAGTCCAGGCTGAATGAAGACTAAGCCTTTCAGCAATTTAAACCTAATTATCCCAGGGCATGTGTGCATAGAAACTGTATTTTCAGTGGTCAGGTACAATAATTCATTATCTAGGTCCGACGTTTGCGGATATTGCGTTGTCGAACGGTCACAGTGGTGGACCCCCCCCTTTGGGGTTCGCTTTCGCTGCGGGAGACCGAGTCCCGGGAGGCGTTACCGATGTAACGAGGGCTCAGGAACCAACCAGGTCGAATCACCGAAAAAGGTTTTCTATCATTCTATACGAAAGATCGAAGTGTTATTAGCTCCTCAACCAGGAATCCCCTCAGAAATGACCAGAACGATCTTAAGGCGCGCCTGCATGATAACAACTCGTCAATACTGTTTGTTCTCAATACTCCTACTTCAGGATTTGTTGAATTTCCAGATCTTCACTAGGTGGGATTTTGAGCCATTCGGTTCTTTAAACGTTCTTAACGATTACAACATAGAACTTCGCCGAATTCATAAAAAGTCTTACTGCAGGGGACATGGTTACGTTCAATATGTTCCTCCATATAGATTTGCGTCTCGAGCAAAATTATTGTTGGGACCTCGAGACCAAGTCACAGGACGAATTTCTGCGAAACCCCATTCATCGAGGAACTGGCCTGAATCTCTTCTCAAAATGGATACGAGCAAACAACCATCACCCATCGGGCCCAGGTTACTATCTTTGAAATCAGACCACTCAGCCGTATTTTTTGGGCGGAGAATTAGAAGCTGTCGGATGGGATTCAGGAAGGAAGATACATTGCAACAAGTAGTTCATCCTACTTTGCATAGTGCTTCTCTCCTGTGTCGCTGTGTACTGTAGTTTAAGGGCAGTCATGGGTTCTCTTCTCGATATCTTTCAAGTAAAGGGTCAGGATGAGAGAGTCGGGATACATCATCAATTTAATACAATTTTCTTGGCTAAGATGAATTATTCTCCGTATACATGCTGCTATGGAAAGAAATTAAATCATGAATAGATTTGCCAAAGATGGCGATAATGAACGTTGGCTGCTCAGGTGATAGGCGTGAGGGTTTCGTAGTTTGTCAGTGGATTTGGGCCACACCATCCATACAAATCACAGCGACATTGTGCTTCCGTAGCACAACTTTGATGGAAGCAAGGTCAGAGTTCATCGTTTCTGGTTAGTGGATAGAAAGACTTACTGCACAGCAGGCATACCAAAGATCATATGCCACAGCTTCTCAATCAGCCACCCGAGACCATAATTATCCGTTATATCCGTTCCGCCAATCCAATTCATGATGCGGATATAGTCCTCCAAGGGTCTTTCCTGAATTCGTTCGCGGCTGACAGCGAATTGAGCACAGCACTGATGGCCGATGTCGTCCGGAGTTTCACTGGGAGGGATTCTCAGAAGCTCCCATAGGATTTGAGGAAGCTGATCAACCAAGTACTGATAGTCCTCGTCAATCTCTACAGGGAAAGCCTGGAACATCGTGCTTGGACACCCGGGCCGGCTCGCGCATCTCAAGTTTACGTAGCCATTGATGCTCACTGGCTCGTAGCGAAGATTGACGAGCACATCACGAGTCCTTGGCCCTGCAATATCATTATGCCAATGTTCTTCCCGACCGTGAATGAAGATCGTATAAGGTGCGAGGCGATAATAGTTGTCGATGATATAGGTAAGGTAAGCACTTGCTTCGTGGCCTCGTCTGGAGTAAGGTGTGAGGTAATCTTCACTGGGTACCTCATTCAAAGAATATAGATATGGGATACATTGGCTGTTCGAAATGTGTTAGCAATTGCAGAAGAGGAGTGAGATGGCACAGTACTATTCGTCACAGAAATCCTGGATCCAGTCGGTGTTCTCAGATCCCGCCGCCGCAGCCACGATGGTCACATCCTCAGCACTTTGATGCAATGGCACGTATTGCTCTATTGGGCTATCAGGCTCCTGATAGAATGTGGTTTCTTCAACCTCATCCGTGGATTGTTCATCTTCTGCATCATCCGTGGTGGCTTCTGTAAGTTTGCTCGGGAGAATTTCGACATTCTGTTCTTCCGACGTGCCTTTGAAATAGAGTGGTGAGTAGTTAGAACATTGTGAGAGTTAACATAAGCATACCTTCGAATTCAAGACTGTCGGCTTGAAACTGCGCAGCTTGGAGCATCACTGCCTTGGTCACCCTCTCCGTCCGACCTGGCGTATAGTAGCGAACTGCCAGAAAGGTGATCAGCGCCATCAGAAGCAATATAATCCTTTTTGGGCTGTGCCCTGTCTTGAGAACGCCCATAATAGGCTAATAAGGGAATTTCGTCCTGGATATGACACAAATAAAGCACCTGCGGTCCTCGACGCAGGCATTTTCGAGTGGCGGAGGGAGACCATTCGAGTGATAAAGACATATAGGACTCTTCATCTCATTGCGTGAATGAACGCTTTCGGTATTCTCATTGTAAATTGTTATCTGTAGAACAGTCTGGATGTCTCTTTCTCCACTGGAATGTTTTTGGCCAAGTTGGATGAAAGCGGATAATGTAACGTGGCGAGGGGTTTTGAGATAAGAGTCGACACTTATCTTGTGGAATGGACTACATATCTGTATTTTGTTTATGGCAATTTCCGACGAGTCAATTCCAACTTGTACGGAAACTTCCAAGAGCATGATCATGACTGGCCCGTCAAGTGTGGCTCATAGTTACAGCTCCGGCAACGTTGCCCTCGAACATCGGGCGCTGTTCAGTTATTCCAATATTCTTAAAACGTTCCTCTTCGCGTTATCTCTAAATTTGCTCTCAAAAATTAACAATGGAGCTGCGTGCGAAATAAAAAATATGCACGCATCTCAAGTGTCAGGAGGTAGGACAATGGCCAGTTCCGTTTTCGGCCCGTGCCGATGTTTGGCCGGGAAGCACAGGGGCCGATCAGGAGCCCTATGAAGGTCACCCCTTCATTCTCCGCAAACTGGTTTATTTCATTCACATTCATAACCCACGAGTCTTCTTTTGTCCCATGCCGAAAGCCAAACCACATACTTCACTGGCTGAGTATCTCGCAAATGCTTTGGAACATTCAAGCTGCTGGTCACCTTTGTGGTTATTCCTGAACCAGACCAATATCGATTTCGATTTTACTCCCAGTGTTCGTATATGTTCTCCTTGATTGGAATCACACTGTGCGCATGCTCTTGTGTTAGTTCTACGCTTACCATTGGGTGATCAGGTAGACGGGGAAGTTTTCTGATGATAAAGAGTTTTAGGCAAAAGTTCAATGCGAAAAAAAATGAATAATTCGAAAGAAATCATGAAGAGCCTCTCAGAAGTATCATAAGAAACAAAAGGGCTTCTTCGGATGCGCAGTGCATCGTCAGCGCCTTGTGGAGGCCAAGTGGGTAGTGATCTCTAGATCAGATCTGGCAAGGCAGTCGCAACCTCCATTCCATGGGTGAACATTCCCAGACGGCCGCCCAAATTTCTTTCACAGGAAGATTTAGGTGTGCAGATATGGCTTTCACTGTGTCAAAGCGAATCAACAAGTCAGAAGCGTATTCTTTTATCAGTGGCAACATTTCCTTATGTTTTTTCAACGCCTGTAGATTCACCTTGTAAGTTATACAATCAAGGCCTCGGGTTCATGCTCCAGGAAATATTCCATTCTGTGGAATGTCAAATCGGGTATTTGAGCCAATTCGTCTGTGAACAGCAGCTCTGTCTCGTGATCATCTATGATCGAAGTTAGAAATATTACACTTGCTGCAAGAATACCAAATTCCTTGTATATATGTTGGATCTTCAGAAAGACTTCACGCATAGCGGCATTTTTGAAGCAAAAAGGTCGATTATCACCATCTCATAGAGGATGACATCTCAAAACAACGTTGGAAAGCATTGCAAAAGCTCAATCGCTATAACACAACTTTCACAGTACTCAAATATGAAGGCTAGGTGAGCTAGTGAGCATTGTGTGATCAAAGCCGCAGCGTCTTCGGCGTTCTTAGTAACTATCAGATCTTAATTCGACGTATCCGCAGGATCTCTAGCGCAGCTGCTGTTGAAGAACTCTCGGCGCTGATATAAAGTGATAGTAAAACGTGGGGCTAGATGGAAAGGTAGGTCAGAGCACACAATTGAAGTCCCGTTTCCTCCAGGAATGAGGACAAAAAAGGACCCTTGCCATGAGTCTCCTAGTGAAGGACTGTGCCATCAATCGCGAATATTTTAGAACCATCAGAACCGACTACCCCCAAATACTGCGCGGAGGCTGAACAAGCATGTTTAATGCGTATTTTTTGATCATTGGGCATGATCATTATGGCATAAGTCATCAGCACGGGCTAAGGCTCGATCACCCGGGTGCACAGCGTGATGATGCCGTGGACCTTGGATCCCGACACGCCCAGGGGCTTCAAAGCCAGCAAGGAATGGAGACGGTTCTCCAGCTGCGCTACAGCCGACGATAACGTCCAGCGTGATATGTGCTAGAAACGGCTCAAAGCAACGAAAATTCTGAGTCGATCCTGAGTGTTGTTTCACCGCAATTGCACGGGGCGGTTCTACTGCAGTCCATTGCCCAGAGAACACTTGGTGGTCAAAGGACGGGGAAAGAAAGAAGCTTTGGAAAGCTACTAAGAGGTTGAAATGCGTCTGCTCATTCCTCCAGGATATAAAATAGCTTCACTTATATCAGAATATCGCAACTCTCTTCACATTCTAGCATGAGTGCATTCACTGTTGGTTTTATGGCCTCGGGTTCTTAGTGTGAGCGAGATAGTCGGGTCGTAGCCCTAGCTAGGACGATATCACTTTGGCATAACGCCCTCCAGAAACTAGTGCGAGTTAGGCAGCTTATCTTCATCTGTTTCATACCGAGGATGAGATTGCCTGGGTCATCTATATGTTGGTCTCAGTTAAACAAAACCAAGCCATTGTTGTGATTGTGGCCACTCCGTAAGATCTATTTCAAAGGCTAAGCACTCGAATAAAGTGGATAATAGCCACTTTTCACTGATGATAAAACTCCCTGCGTCTTAGTCAACCCTGTCAACCATGACCAAATGAGGAGGCGATTAGAAGTCTCCGCCCCATGATAGTGCCAGCCAACTGCTGCTGAACTCGCTGAACCCGCTCAAACCTAATGAAACCGCAAGACTCGCTTTCAAAATGATTAAAAAGCCCCGCGAGGGAAACAAACTGCTTCACACAGTTCGCTCTCTTATTAGGACAGTGGTAACCTTTTTGTTGATGAACCGGGGAATTTGCATGCTGGTTGAGAGAGTTGGGTGAGTTGAACTCTCTATGACACAAGTAGCATTCCCAGGCCTGGCCGTTGTAGGCACGATTAGTCGCGGAGTACTGCCCCTGCTGTTCCTTGTGCCATTCAATCTGCTTGTTGGTAATGATACCATGTGTGTCGCTTTGTCGCACCATGCGCAATATTGTATCGTGGTTCATGCTAGGAGCGTTTGGGCAAGAACCTTGTTCCAGGTGGTGAAAGACACCGCTGGCGGTTACGAAACTGCCTTTGCAGAAAGGACAGGCTGCTGTAGTTCCGCGGTGGGTCTTTGAATTCAGATGCTAACAGAAACCGCCAGAATTAGGTTTGCCTTTCACAGTGTTTTAATTAGTCATAACATACCGCACGAAGATTGCTTTCATTCTGGAAGTGGCGATCACACGGTTTGCAATAGTTCCGGTAATGGTTGAGCATATCCATGTGCTTCTCTGCGGCACCCGGATTGTGAAATTTCTCAGGACATTTCTGGCATTGAAACCGAGGTTTCCAGTGGCCGACGGCGTTCATATGCTGAATGGAAGCATTCTCACTGCGAAACTCGCGGTCACAAGACTGGCATGGAAAGACCGGAGCCCAGTGGTCCAGGGTGTTCATATGCTGGCGGCATGCACTGTGAGACCGGAAAACTCGTGAACAAGTCTCACACTCGATCCAATGACCGCATTGGGTCATGTGATGATCACATTCATCTCGATAAAAGAACTGATGATCACAGGTCAGGCACTCGTGCATTTTGGGTTGACGACCCTGGCAATTGACGTGAGTTCCAACTAGCTTTCGAGATAGAGCGTTGGAATTAATTAGAGAAACTGAGACACCTGAAGGGAAGCCGATGGATACTGGCGGAAGGAAAGAAGCTAGATATCGAGGTGTTGGTGAGGGTGATGTTGCTAGAGGGGCATTGGTGATCTACGAAAGCTTATCATCATGTGATAGCTGTTGAGAACTATGGCGGCAGACGTGATCCATGTCAGAATGAGACATGTCAAAACTGCCGCTGTGATTCATCGCTTGAGGAATCTAATCAGGACTAGGTTGAGGGAAATATTTCTGCTTTATCAAGGGGTTCTCACACTGGTGAGAATCTCCAAACTTAAACAACTCGGTAATTGATTCAAAGATTATCTTTCTTGTACCTTCTTTCAGTCATCAATATCCCCTCATTACATCAATTTTGAATAAGTTTTTTGTTGGCTGTGTCAATATATGTGAACTGAGAAACCACATCACTCTCTTTACTTACTTTTCCTTACCTTTACTGGGTTTTTTCTCACGTATTCTTGATTTTTAGTTTCTCTGGAACCCTCGCTATATATCACCTTAACAAGACCTGCAATTAGTTTATACAGCTAAAAGGAAAGGACTTAGCATAATCACGAAATTTTGGGGGGACCGTATAGTGGACCGCAAAGGTCTATAGGGTACCGTGGTGAGGTCCTCACTATCAATAATTGATAATCAACTCAATTCAACATGAATATCAGCGTAATTTATCTCGAATCAGAAGATAACCAAAGAACATGGATATGAAAGAGCATACGTATATAAGGAGGTTAACAAAATAAGATTGACACAGTAGATCCAAGTACCGTTCGATAAAAGACTGTAACCCAAGGGAGGCATGATCAGATATTGACTATGCTAAATGTGAACTCTCAACACGTACATATCAACTAGACATGGAGAACAATTGGTATTTATTCCACATTATGTTCCGAGCTCCGATGAGCACACCAAAGCAAAAACAGCGGGAGGGATTGACGAGGCTGAGAGGCGGACTGAAACGCGGAGATGAAGTGGAGACATCGGAGACGCGGAAGCCCGAACGCCGAGGGATATTATTTTCTTTAGAACGGGTTTTGCTTAAATTATTGATGATTTCTATATTGCATTGATTATATGTGACAGAAAGCCTGTGAAATCCTTAGTTGATTTGCCACCTGCGTTTAACCCCGCTTTGTGTACGACTGTCAACACTTTTCCCACTTTAAAAAGGCATTGAAGGATCATTGAAGAGGAAAATAGCTATGACGGGGGAAGATCGAACAATCAGGAAAGGTACCAAAAGTTGCACAGAATGTGAGTGACCGTATTCATTTCTTTTCACTTGCATATTTCGCTGTTAGATTAACAGAAGTAGGCAGACGTCGAAAAATCCGGTGCATTCAAAGCTTTGAAAATGCACAAACATGTCGTCGGTGTGAAGAACAGGGTTTAGAATGTATTGCCCAAACGCATACTAAAGGCTCGACAAGGACCCAAAGACTTTCTTCGAAGCAACGAGTCGCTCAACTTGAATCGAAAGTGTTAAGTTTGACCGAGACTGTTCGCCAGATGCAACATAAACTCAATTTTCAAGCAACACAGAACGAGGATGTTGATTTCGAGCAAATATTCGAAGATCATAGCTGTGGCCTCTCCATTTCGGAGCATTCTATTGCTGAGCAACCGTTTCACTTGCGATTACTGTTTCAAAATGACTGGCTCAGCGTGGAAGGTCCCTCAGAAAGCCGGGCCATGCAAGGTCATAGCTTTACTAACACTGCACATCTACTCGCGATCGCAAGAAGGTCGCTACAGGTGCTTATTCCTTCGAAAGATGAAATATCAAAAATGAGCGATGCAGCTTCCGAATGGCTTACTATGCTCCAGTCATTTTTCCCACTACCGTGCGGCACGACTTGTGGAGAAGAGATTGTTGCGGGCTATGAAGAGATGCATACTCCAAATATTGATCCCATTAAGCTAGCTTCTTGGATGATTACTGTTGCCATGATAACCGAGCAACTTTCACCAGAAAATGTGAGCATGAACGTTCGACTTAATGAACGGCAGCCACAAATTTCGCTTTCGAAAGCCATATCCGCAGCGGTGGAGAATAGAATCTTGGCCTTCGATGCTTTGACGGGCTCAATAGAAGGACTTTCGCTCTTGATGCAATTTATCAGGCTGTAAGAATCTCATCTTCCGTGACTTTACTGATCATATTAGCTGACCGATGTTAGGGAAATGGGCCGAGGCAATATCCATAAAGCATGGTTAAAACTACGACACGCTATTGCGATTGCAGAGTTGATGGGACTTCAGAACCTGATTCCAGTAATCCAAATCAGTTCCGGCACCAGGGCTACGGATGAAGACGCCATGAGCAAATTGCGGCTATGGGAATTAATATGTGCTGCAGACAGATTGTTGGGAATGATTCTCAATATTTCGCCAATAACAGGTCGTCACCAACAATTGACCAACCATTCCATATCCATCAATGGCATCGTGCAAACCCGGGTGTATCTCTGTCGTCTGACAGATATAGCGAACAAGATCCAAGATCTCGATTTGATCAGCAAATCAAATGTATCTGGAACGGAGAGCTATGAATTTGCTTTGGGGCTTTCTGGGGAGCTGAAAGCACTTGCCTCTCAAACCCCAGAAGATTGGTGGTCAGGGGGTGTGCACGGCGCAAATAATGTTCAACCTGATCATATAGTGCAGTTTTTGCATTATTACGTCGCCATGAGAATCCACCTACCTCTCAGTCTACGACAAGGCCCATGCGGCGAGAACTTGTTCCATTGTTTGGCTTGTGTAGCCGCGTGTGAGTCGATGGTCCAACGATATCAGTTATTGAGACAAACGCTCCCTCCTGGTCTATTTCTTTCTGAAATGTTGGACATCCAGGCGTTCTCCGCTGCGGTCACTCTTCTTCTCATATCTCATATGTCTTCCCTCTGCTCGTTGGAAGTCGGCATCGACAAAATCAGGATGAAAAATGAGGTTGGACAAGTGATGAAGCTTCTTCAGGACAAATCTGACTGTTCTTCTGGATCCTGCACTGCCTATAACGGGTTTACCACGCTTCGTTCCCTCGACGATCTACTTTGTAGAAGGGGAAATGGCCATGATGTATGCCAATTAGCCTTTAATGTCCCACTTCTCGGGAAATTGGAGGTCAAACGTAACGAGAAGACTTTTCAAGCGGATGATTTTTGGTCTCCGGAATTTCTGTCAGCTCTTGGACTTTTCAATACAAGAGAGCAGCAGATCTTTCAGCCAGACCCAGATCCTTACATGTCTCTAGAGCCTTTCGTTGATCTGCAAAATATATGATTGTCCGAATTTGGAACCTCATATTTGGCTTGGTACCTATATTGAAACGAAGGTAATATTATTCAGGCACTTTAGATACCAAGTGAACTACTATGTAGACCACCTTGCGCCGGGTAGGCTATAATCGTCTTCATGTTTTATCGAGCTTGGTTACAAGGATAAAGAGAAATCAAGATTGCTCAAAAGAGGTTTTTAGGATTGTATGCCAATGTATGAGCGCAAAGGCGTTCACTGTGCTGAAATCGCCTCAAACGCCTGCTTGGACCAGTTGCTAAACTCCACTAGCAGATGCTGACGATGACACTCAACGACGTCTTCTCCAGCCCCGGTAGGGAAATATATCGCCAAATCAACGTCAAATCCTTGACTGTCCTCATGGTCCCTGAACTGGTGGTATAGCTCCATAATCTGAGAACCATCTTCGAGATAGCCTCGACCAGTCATCTTCGTAGTGAAGGTCGGCTCATCCTGAACAAAATCGGCAGCTTCCACATCAAAAGCCAGCGTAAACAAGGTTGGCTTTTCACCAAGTGTCTCCAACACAGTCATTGATTTAGAGCCTTGCGAAGGGCGAACAACCCAATGCTCGGGGTGAGCGGCAAGCTTCTCAGGCTCAGGAAGCATGCCACCTTCTGCGGGAATGAACCATTGAATAAAATCCTTTGAAAGGACTCCTCGTACAGAAAGAGCGATGCGAGCTGGTGCCCATTCTCCGTTCGATCTGAGACATGCTTGTTTCCACCATTCGGTACTAGCTGCCGTTTCCTCACGAAGAAGCTCGATCAGGCCGTCTTCGCCTAGCAAGCGCCGAATCAGCATCATTGATCGCCGCGCAAATTCCGCCTCAAGGTCTTTGGTGGCACGGGTGCTGGTAGGCCCTTTCAGGACGTCGATGGCGAAGGGGTTCGAAGCCATGTTGTTAAGTAGTCAGAGAAAGTTGAAAAGAAGATGGATTTTGAGATCGACTTTGTGGTTTGTCGGAGAGGGAGTCAAATATGCAATCTAGGGGATCCCTTCTTATTTAAGTAGTTCTGTTTTGGGGACGGCATTTGTTGTTGCGATCGGCACCTTTCGGCACGGTCGTGTTTCTGTCCGCGGACGAACGAAATAGTGAAAGTCCACGCACATTGGATACATAGGCTCCCAAGTAATGACACTGATTCAATGGAGAAATTCCTGAGCAAACCCACTATGTGGATTTGATTTAGTTAATTATACCCCCCGTGTATCATACCTGTGGTCGTGGTATAGAGATATCGGGGCTTGTTAATTGCGGTCTTCAAATACGGGCACTGGCTATATTGCTCAGGATGATTTTTCGTATTGACCCTACACCCTGGACAATAGTCAACTTATCTGTGGGCTACAAGGCGAGACACGATAGACTAGGCCCTGGGAGTAGACGAAGTCCCCATCGCCATGGACCAAACCTCGTCTTGGGCCTGATGCGTCACCAGCTGAGTATGAATCGACGCACGCAAGAAGATAAATCAAAGGAGTATTGTTCATTCGATTTTTACTAATCATTTACTTATTGGAATGGATGGTAGGATCATCTTATTGGAATTTTTAAGAAAGAAGTCGACCCCTTGTATGATAATACATTTTTATTATATTGGGAACGAACAGGTGAAGAGGCTATGTGCCACTATCTACTTGTTTTCCATTTTCAATTATGACGTGAGATATATATATTGTTTTAATATATCAATTTTATTGTGTATATAATGAACGTCATGATTTATCTTGTTCCCTCAGCAATAATGCCCAAAATATTCATATCTGGGATATCCGTTTGACTGGCCTGATCGCAGATTGTCGACTTACGGCCTACCTCCGGCAATGACCGGAAGTATAAGGCACGAATCATATTTACCTCCCGTGTGGATGTGGTGCTGGCCCACATTCTCATCTTCAGATTCTTCGGGCTTCATCACTGCGGCCGAAGGCGCACTCAAAAAATGGCCTCCGATGCGAAGCAACAGCCCTTCTCCAGCTGCGAAAACCATGCCCGTGGGCCACAGAGTAATATCTAATGGAACAATAGTTCCCGGGGTGATCTTTTCCTCTCGATCGTGTCGATAGAAGACCTCCTGTCCGTCCGAACTTGATCGTGTCGGGTCACGGGAGACAGACGAAGACGCTCTCAGGAATCCTTGAGGGCCGTAGAGCTTGGATGTCTCAGCATCGGGGATGTCGCTTGCTGGTATCGGGCACGGGAAGTTGACGCCTTCTAGCAAGGTGCCAGTTTCATCAATCTTACGGAGTTGGATAACAACATCCATATCATCTCTTTGCTCGCAGGACATCCACAGACGGGCCTTGGCATATCCGGCAATCTCAGTGTAGTCATCAAATTTCAGCACAAATTCCTGCTCGCTGTTGTTAGTTTGTCGAGCCAGGAAGATATCAAATAAGCAAATAACGGTCTAGTAACGTACAGAGGTAGACGCCGCAAGGCCATGTCCGTCGTGGTAAACGGAGGATTCGCGGTCCCGAGGAGTCAGACTCATTGACTTGGTGGCGGCATCAAGAAAGTAACTTTGCAACCTTTGTCGGCGAAGTGGGAACTCGGTTTCTGGTCTTTCTACAATGTTCGGAACAGTTCCGAATCCATGAAGAGACAAGCGCAAAGAAGGCGTATCTGTTTCCCAGCCATTCATAATTCCTTTGCAGTAACGATCATAGAAGCGCTGCAGATCATCGTTCGAGTTGCGCTCGTACATTTCATACCACTCGAAGGTTGCATGAACGCGCATCCATTTCTTCGTTGAACCAGCGCGACGATATGTATCGAAGGATCCGTAGACATGGAAAGGGTTGGAAAAAGACCCCAACAAATACATCGGGACATTAATTTTCTCAACTTCATCATTCTTCCCGGCCCAGTATTCGTCAAAAAGAGGATGTGTTTTCACCATTTGTGTCATATCCTCAACTTCGTGGTTGCCAGCGACACCCCATTGGTATTTCGACACGAAGGTGTTATGCATCGCAAAGCCGCCACGACGGAGAAGTTGGCGATAGATGTCCGTAAATCCTTCCCAGGGAGCGAGTGCCTTCAAAGCTGGGTGGGACTGTCTGGAGGCATAGTTGACTTGGGCTTTTGCCAGGTACGAATTGCCGCCCATACAGACAGAGCCATTGCACCATGGCTGCTTCGACAAGTAGTCGATAGTGTCATAGATATCCTCCGCTTCTTGATCACCCCAAAAGAAGAACGATCCATCTGAAAATTGAGTGCCGCGGGCGTCAACATTCACGACCGCATAACCCCGTTTACACCAATCTGCGGGGTCCAGGCCTTCGAATGTCTCGTATCCGGATGTCCAGTCTTTGGGGACCCCGGAGCGATGCCAAGCGATATCGATGCTAATGCTAGACTTTCCATAGGGACTCCAACAGATCACTGCGGGAACTTTGGCTTCATCCGAAGAAGCTGGGCGGTAGATGTCGGCATACACGTGAAGTCCATCTCGAAGAGGGATCGCTGTATCGCGGTCAACAACGGAGTCGACCAGCATTTGCTTCCGCCCATTTTCTTTGGCATGGCCCTTTGGCAGGAAAATGCTCTTTGGGTCGAATTTGACATTGAATGGTTTGTACCTCGGGTGTGCATGAACGGGGATAGGCTTGACAAAATTCAGATCAGGGAACTGAGCCTTGATATTCTGGGTGGTAGTCATCGTGGAAAGAGGTGTTCTTTACTGTAATATGGGATACCATTGCTGTCAATATTATTCCTTTTATGTCATGACACAAAGTCCACGGACGAGAATGACCTCCACACGATCTTCAGATCTGCAGCGGGGAACATGTTGGTCCGCGGACGAAAGAATGTCCACGGACGAGAACAGCTTGGGAGAAACTCTGCGCTGGAAACTTGAATCATCTGAAATCATTCGTTATTGAACTTCGCTAGTCAAGAATATGAGAGAGTGAGTAATCCTACTCAACTCTTCTGGCCTATTCCAGTAACTTGAGAAGGAAGATGCATTTCTAAAGCCCATCTCGGTTGGCCCTCTTGCTGAGAAGTGCAACACCAACCCTGCCACGAAGCGATTGGCCCTTTCCGACATCCTCATAGGTAGTCAAAATGGTTATTTGTGGTTTAGGATTCTTTTCAATTGCCATATATTATAACAAGATCGTATTTTCACCAGGGTCAAGCAGTTTGAGAACCCTCGGGCCCACCACCCTTGCGAGCTTAGACTAAGATGGTCTATCCAAACTCACTGATCCTATCCCACATCACCTTGGGCTGACAAGTATTCCTTGAACGTGGAAGATACTCTTCCTTGTCTGCCTTCACAACAGCTAATTCTTGACTATCAGCCCTTTAACAGTTGATTTTACAAATTCCACCTAATATTTGAGCTAAAGACTGGCTCTCATACAATTGTCTGCCTTACGCAGTTACGAGATGCTTGTACACGCGTCGTTAAACGACACTCTGTCTTTCGTTCCACCCCCACCAATGCACTTTCATGGGATAGCCAACGACATCGGCTGGTCCTGCCAGATCCTGCATTTGTATGGATCGAGCTTCATTGCCGCTCAAAGGAGATCGCACTCCGCTCTCTGAACCATTTCGCTCTCTTACCTTCGATGGAAGAACCTTTTGAAGTGGCAGTAAGCAAATCCGTCGATGAACATGTTTTCTGTCGAGTCGACGCAAATCGTGCGATTATCGACCATGCTTCGTTTGCCATAGTCTTGCGTGATCTACAGGACGCATATAGCGACGCCAATTTTGACGGCCCAGTACCCTCATATGATGCATTTGTGGGAACGCTCTGGAGCAGCCGTTTGGTATGCTAGTGTGGATGCTGCAGAGGGCAGCTGCTATCTCCCCAGCCCACGCAAAGTAGACCTCAGCGGAAACTTACAGTGGGGTAGGTTGTGATTAGATTGATACTGTTCTGATGGCTGGATGAGATATTAATTGAATATGTCCGAACGTGCCTTTGGCTGAGGTCTCTTTTCACTTCTCACTTGAGTTAACTTTTATCGCGAGGCCACCATTGCTGGTAAATCAATATCTTAATAAAATGACATCAAAAAGACATTTCACATCTCTTGATAATGTGGGCTAAGTACTTGTTGTCAATACTCACGGAAATTCATCTTGTGTGGGGCAGAGCCTGGTTAGATGCACTAGCTTACCCCAAGTTTGGCCAACTGGGCGTTCTCTTCTTCTCAATTTTCTTTGAACCGAACAAAACTATAATCAACTATCTTTATTCTTGCTTAATGAAATGAAGAAGGAAAACCCCAGAGAGCAGAAACGGAAAAATAACCTCTCAATTCTCTGTACTTTCTCTCTATCGTCATTTTTCTGCTGCAGCTTTTAGGAAATCTCCAACCCGACTCTTAGGAGTATTTACATCGACCGCCCGGCCAAGGAGGAACACAGTAATATTCAAGTGTTCACAAAGCATTGCAGCACGAAATGCATTTCCATAAAATCCGCCGGAGGCATTCACATCAGCCCTCTGGTCAAGGAGTAGCTTAGCAATATCTAAATTCCGCACTACGTAGGTAGATACGAAGACCCTCCTTGCGTAATTATATAGAGCGAGTAAAAGATCCATAAGTAATAGGACTAACGATTCGGGAGAAAATTATATAGGGTCGGGGATAGCGACTCGGTAGGTATGAGAGCGAGGGAAAGTCGCCGAGATATGATGATTCGTACGCGTGATAGGGGCTGGTGGAGCTGAAGCGCTCGGTGATCCGGGTCAATAGCAAAATGTGCCTCATCTGCGAGGTGCAGGAGAAAGGAAGGCGAAAAAGAAATCGGGGCAGTTGGATGGAGGAGAGAAGAGCAGGGGATTATATAGAGCCAACGCGCATTCTCACAAAATCTCCGGCTTATATTGTCAAAAATCTGACATAACTGCATCCAATATCCGATATGGTGTAATTCGGGGGGACAGCGGAAAGACCACGGTTGCGCGTGGTGTTGTGGGGGACAATCGTGGTGTTTCCGTATAGGCGTTTTCTTACATCTACTAATTAGGACTAGCTCCATATATCCAACTGGGTTTAGCACGTGGTTGTCCCGATCTTGCTACATATCTACGTATTAAAAGCCCGGCGGGTCTATCATAGGCCATAATTCATTCCCAAGTTAAACTCAGAACTAACATAAGTCACCTCTCCCCGATCTCCTCGTCAGTGATAACCGGACGACGTCAAGCGCGCTTCATAAAATACGATTCGTTGGCCCACTTCTGCCATGGACAGGATTCACTACTTCTGTCAAAAATGTCTACGATACACAGCAGTGGAGTAACCGGGTGATTCAGATCAGCATCCAAGCCAGAAATCTCACCAATGAGAAAGTTTTCGTCGGAGATGAGGCCGGGGTTTATGCTCGATTCCAGCAAGCTGCTGGACAGGTCCTTGGTGCAGTATTCGAGGCTCAATCAATCAATATAGCACTAGGGGACTTCAAGTCCACTGGACTTGCATACAGCAAGACCCCCGACGTGGTCATGCTCTCTTTACCCGATCTGCAAAACGCCAATGCGCAGCAACTAAGAGTTGTCGGCGAAGTCAAGGTACCGTGGTTGATGGAGCATCGACTTGACTTGTGTGCTACAAATTCAACTTTGTTGCGAGAGGTCTTGCGCAACCTATTTCATACATGTTAGACCTTGGTTGTGTGTATGGCTTCATCACCAATTACCGCCAGACCATATTCTTACGACAAAGTCAGGTCGGATCAACTTGGAGAATTGAGCATTCCCCCGTGATCAAATCATCCGTCAGATATGCGCCTCTAGACCCCGAAAATCAGTCTACCGGACCCGTGTTGTCCTTCAATCAATGTTTTCTGTATCTTGCTACCATTGCTGAAGCCCAGGGGCCGATTTCCAATCCCACTCCTCGCAGTCAATGGATCAGACGGCGTTAATCATAGTGTGCTGCCCAAATACTTTCGTGTATAGCAAATACAGTCATGCAAGCAAGAACCTGAGACAATGAAGACAGACTTCAATAAATTGCAAGTAACATCTGACATAGTACGCCTTTATTGCACCTGCAGCAATCCCTTGGTTCATATTTTTCTACTAAGCCAGCCAGGAAGGAACAAGATGGCGGATCATACTTCACACTGTATCCCGCTGTGGTTGTTTCCATATTCACCACGTCCAGCCGTTGACATCTTCGATCCAATCCGCCGTTTCGGGTGGTGTTCCTTCCCAGTCGAATCGGCTATCGGAGGGTTGGATGAGTCCGTATTGGAAGTAGTTAATATCACCCCACTGTTGAGGTTCGTCAAACGGAGATGCGAGTTTGAAACCGCAGATGTGCCTAGAGATAGTTAGATTATAATATTCCACATGGATAATCTCGCATAGACACACATTTGACCACTAGACTTGTCATAAATGATCTTCGATGGACCAGCCATGCATGGCATGTAACCGCATAGTAAATACCTTCTGCTCTCTGTTAGCTCAATGTTTTTTGCTGTGGTCACTAGATAATCATACGTATAGACTTGGCGAAACTGATCGCGGATGGCCTGGCGATCGGCAAAGGGGAGCCTCCAGAATTCGGTCAAATTAAGAGACTCGCCGGCGACTTTTTCCCATAGAATGTATGTGATATATCCCCCGGGAACACCCTCGTCGTGGTCTTGCTGGCGCTGTTGATAGCCTAGTAGTCGAGGAACAACGTCACAGTCTAGCTTTATGAATGTCCGGAAAGCGATCAGTTCTGGATGGTCAGGAGGGGTGTCGACGGCCTGGCTAGCCCGTACGGCGGCCTTCTTCGTTTCAGTTCCAGCTATAGGAACTTGTTGGTAAATGCGTAAAAATGCGCGCCTGTTGTCGTCTACCTCACTGGCAGGTCGGCATAGGAACTTCCCGGTGGTGTCTGAGGGTCCGAGCTCCGCGGTGATGTCTTCCTTTGTCAGGCGATTCGACTCTTCCCCGAGCTTCTCAAGTATTATCCATTTCTGGGCGGGGAAGTTGAACGGTGGTTCCGCAACGGCATCAAACGTGACCTGTGTTCCTTCAAGATTGGTGAGATATTCCATTGGTGAATCCATGGCAGGTAGCTTGGAGATGGGGACAAAGGGTAAAAGAAATGTGAGGGTAGAAGAGTAACGTGATAGTGATCGCATGTTGACCAAGAAAGTTTGCTTTCTCCGGTTCTGCGGCAGAATTTCTCTCCTATATCAACCTTTTTTCTTTCAGCGATGTGTACTGTTTGTTTGACGGTTTCTAGTGTCTCGTTCGAGCCCTCCACCCTCTACTGTAATCTCCTCGACTACGGATATTTCCAACCAACCTCCTACGGAAGCCAGTTTTATGCCTTCTCGACTATCCCTCCGGCCACCAAGCAGCCCAGTATAACAACTAGCCACTGCAGCATGACCTGTCCCGAGGCCAATGGTCAAATCTATGTCAGCCTATACGGTATCTCTAATATCTTTCTATCGAGTCAGCCGCTTACAAGATAACCAGACTTTCTACATGTGCTATATAATGCGCCACTACACGCCTTATCTCAACATCGAGTCGGTTTCAACCCTTGAAAACTGCATAGATCTCTGCTATGCCTCCGCTTCATGCAGTAGTGTCGTCTTTGACCAGACCGAGAACACATGTTACCTTAGCAGCAATGACAACCCGCCAACTTACAAAGCTAGCCGCTTTGCCAGCACGCACTCTGTCGGTTGCTCTAGAGCTTATGAAGGAGGGCAGTCCCACCCCGGTCTTCCTCAGTTTGAAACGACACAAATGCCATCAGCCAAGGTTGATAAGGCCCTTACTCGACCTTTACATCCCCAAGGCAGGTTTAGAGCCCCGCTATATAAAGGCGATTGTCCATAAATGGCGCAGGGTGGATACATCGCTGCCCTTAGGCCACTTGACCTGTCCAACAAGATCCAGCCGAGTGATGATGAGATAGTTCAAGTGCTGAAGGGAATGACAGCCTGAACGCAGATCGGACCTTACTCTTCACTTCCAGGGCCCAGGACAGAAGACGGAACGCGCAGGACGGACGAACACGGAGACAAACGGGCCGCCCATCATCTCCAGTCCACGCGACGCTATTGCTACAGGAGTAAACCATGTTTCCTCATCCGTCTATCTCGTCCCCTATACCAATCAATCGTGAAGCCAACGAGGATTTCGGTCACAGAGCGCATTTGGTGACAGGGGTCGGGACTGCGTAGATCCCCGGGATTTGGACGGCCGCGTTCCCGAGATCATACCACAATGATGCTGCTATTCCTAGAGAACTGCAAGTCTGCGCATCATCGCCCAATGTCATCATCACTAGATTGATTGAGCTCTGCTCGCCAGTCGTTCCCATCAGTCCTTCCTTGAATCCCGAAATGATGCGAACGCTATCAGACCAGGCTAGATGCACGGAAGGTCAACGATTGGCTAGCCGATGGGCGTGTGAGGCGACGGATCCACAGGTCGGCACAGCAGACCAAGGGCGAAATTGCCTCATGTCGATTGTAATGTTGGGAGCTGAGAGAATGGGGCCAGATGAGCGAAAGCAGCGCAGTTTGCAGTTGAGGGGTCGAGCAAGGGACACCAGGGGGTACGGAGTTCGGCGATCCGGATCAATAGCAGAAATGCCTCATCAGCAGAGCACTGACGAAGACGGGCGAGCTGAGAAGCGGGCGGGCGAAAAATAAATAGAAGTCAGCTGGGGCGATGGAGGGGTCTTTATAGAACCACGCGCGGGCACGCACAGGGACCGTCAGCGCTAAACCAGAAGGATCAGAACTAAATCAGGTTAATTCTTCATTAACGGTCCGATATGGTGTAGTGGCTAACATCGTCGTCTCTCACACGACAGCCGGGGGGTTCGATTCCCCCTATCGGAGTTCTTTTTTACATTTTCTTTTTCGTCTTGTTTTCTTTCTGTCTTTTTGCTGGTACTTGTTTTTATCAGTCCCTCCCTCTGTATTATCAGTGGCAATCTTTTTTTTGTTTTGGCCATCCGATACCCGCCAACTTTGTATTTCAGCAACGAGGCACAGTTCGCGACCTAAGTGTATTTAGGTTGATACTTTATTGCACTGAATTGCTCCTTTTATATAATTACTCCCATGACACAAGTCATCGTGCTCGTCGGTTTTCCAATTCAACTTTCGGGTAGTTGTTGAAGTTGTTCCAAAAAGTCTGTATCCATATCATCGGCACAGAAGCCCAAATTTTGGGCAAAGGCCGACTCCTGTCTAGAGAAAAATGAGCATATAAATCATTGTTCCAGGCGGATTCAAATACCTGTTTACAGGAACCGAAGTCACCATTTCCTCAAACAGTGCATCAAATCCATCTCCTTCTGGATATCTAGCACCTGGTGCTTCTGTCGAAGTAAGAGAAGGGTCAGTCACATGGACCGAAAGAGAAGAAGCCGGCGCTTGAGACTGTATGCTCTGCAGGCCTGCTGAGAACGGTTGGACAAGGTTTTCAAGAACAATATTTGGTGACATTCCCTGTGATGTGAGTGTTGAACCCTGGGAAATCGAGGTTTTGTTTTTCAAATTTTGGGCAGAGAGCAAGATTTCGAGGGCTGCTGTCTGCATGCTTGATATATAGGGCGCAAACTGGTTTTCAATCATTCTTCTTTCGACGCTCTCAGGCTCGGGAAATATATTGGCCAAGCATCCCTGGCATTGTAGCGCAAAACAGCTGAGTAGTGGCGACGTATTTGATGGTCCACTCATTTCAATGTACAACTTTAATAGTCGGAGCGTTGATCGTAAATGCGCCTCAATCTGGATCCTCCCGCTCAGTTCAACCATTGTATTTCGGCGGAGGAGGGTCAGCATCAAAAATTCGAGCACAAGATGCAGCATGAGGACCGGGGGGTGGCGTTCTCTGAACTATTATTATATGGATGCCTTTCCACACATTGCTTCTGCTTAGCTTGTATGTTGACTGATAGATCGTTCCATTCCTCGGGTGGTATGTTGATAGGTAAATATAATATTCGCGTCAGAAACACCATGAGGTGATTGATATCATTGAAGATGCTCAATGACCGAAGGGGTCCTTTGTGAGTGTTTCGGCGTACATCTCCTGGTCCTTGTTGGAATGATGGCCAGACATTCCATTCCTCCATGCTCTCTTCTTGTACCGGGCCCTCTTGTTTTTGTTCTTCCAAAGACAAAGAAGGAGACTTTCGCAGAAGGGCACATAGAATGTTGTCGAGAAAATTACATCCATGAAAAGTATGGCAGTACCGGCTTTGTTTGAGACTTGCAGGCAATGTCTGCAACATTCTAGAAGCCAGGCCAACCAGCCTCCATGCATGTGAGATATCTCCTATCTTCAAGCGACAGAGAACTAGAATAATCAAAGCTTGAACGTGGCCCAGTCTCAAGCCTGAGGATTCCACCATGATTCGAGAATGGATCGATTGTTCGATCAGTACAATGTTTGGCTTCGTGGTACCGCCATCATTCTCCATGCATGATTGATATGCCACAATTGCCCAGATAACCAGTCGTGATCCATTATCTTGACCTTCTGGCGAGGATTCAGTGTGTACTACCCGGAATAGATCATGCTGTTCTAGAATCGGAAGCCAGCAATGCGTATAGGTAAAGTATGCCTGTAGCATTTCGAATGTATTCACTGGAAGCGACGAGTCAACGATTTCGATTGGTCGCAGCTCCATTCCTGGCGTAGGCTGCTGTAGAGTATCATCCAGTCTCGAGCTTGTAGCCATGGTACCAGCTGGAATCGTGTCTGATCTATTCGTCGTTTCAATCGTGTCCCACTCGGACTCATCTGGGACAATTATCATTGAGTCTTCTTCGAAATTCTGATCAAGAAGCTTGGGCATTTCTTTGGCTAGTCGAGACTTTCGCCATATTTTTGCAGGATCAGTTGCAAAAAAGTGGCTATTGGTTCGTGATCTAGACAAAATATCATAAATTGCATCCTCGCTGTTTGGAACATGCTGAATGATAAGTCCGAGTATTGTCTCCAGACTCCGCACATATCCAGGCGGTAGCCCTCTTCTCCCACCGCCGTTTTGATAGGTGCACGTTCGACCAGCGCCCCGGCAGATCGAGCAACTCGGCTGTTCGCCATCACATTTGGACTTTCGTCGACGACATTGATCACAGGCCCGGCAGATCCGCTGCCGTTTGGAGGGCCGAGGGTCGGACATCTGTCATTCCATGCACTCCAGGGTCTCGCAATTGATGATGTTATTAACCAAGGAATGATGTTCGGGTTACATTACATCACGTGAGCGGATAACATTTAGCCGTTCAATCCGCGGTAAATGCACAAGATCTCATTCGACAGTTGATATTCTTTGAAAATCCTCATAACAGGGCTTCTTCTTTTTTGATATCTCTTCATTGGAGATGGGACCAACATCGTTAGCAGTAGCTCCAGTAGCACCTGATTCTCATGAACAACCTATCAGCCGGAGATACAACGCCGATGCAACCATCTTGCTGATTGGTTTTGTCGGAGCAGGAAAGAAAACGCTGGGGCTTATGGCCTCTGTCGCTCTTCGACGAAAGTTCATCGATTTTGGGGCATTCTTCCACAGCAAGATTCAATCTTCTCCTCAGGAGTTCATCGCCACCTATGGGTATGCCCGCTATCGCGAGTTAGAAACGGAACTATCTCAGGACCTTCTGTCAAAACATCAAAATGGCTGTGTGATAGTTGGTCTGGGGGCTACGGCAAGTGCCTCTCAGAAACAATTGTTAAAGTCCTTCACACAACGTCATCCCGTGATATATATAAGGAGAGAACAGGCATTTCTTTGCCAATTTATCGAGGCAGACCCAGAGAAATTCGACCGTGTGCTGAGAATTGGAAATGCTTTTTTTGAAGAATGTTCCAATTTCGACTTCTTCAATACCACTCAATCATCCAGTAAACAAACTGAGGGTCAGCCCCATGCACCTCTAAAACTGAAAGAGATTGAACGTGTCTTCACCACGTTTTTACATCGCATATTCGGAAATCTCCCAAAACAGCTCCTCTCTGTCAATGCTTTCTCTGCAACACATACATATGCCCTAATGATGTCTCTTGGTCAATTGGATCAATCTGACTTTAAATTGGAGGTTTTGGACAGTGGAATCGATGCAATAAATCTTACACTCAAAGAAGAGGATCTCAATGAAGGAGGTGTGGCAAGACTTTCACGGCACATAACAACTCTCAGGATGCAGACACGAGTCCCTATTATTCTCGATATCAGACCAAACTCACAAAACGACCCTTCGGAGTTTCCTGCCGTTGTGGAAATAGCACTGCGCATGGCCCCGGAAGCTCTCACCTGCCATCTTGTGGGCAATATGGACTGTTTGCGACATATTCGATCGACAAAGGGCCTGACGATATTGATTGCTGTGTGTAATCAATCTGAGCCTGTTGGATCGACTCAGTCATCGCCCGATATTCATATTCTCCATCAACAGGTCAAGGAACTGGAATTTGAAGCTATCCGCTTCATTGGTAAAACAGGTTCTTCGGAAAACACACTTTCATGTGCCGTATTTCGTCAGAATATGATGAATTCTCTGGGAATTTCAGTGACCGCATACAATGAGAGCACAACAGGACGGGCATCCATATTGTTGAATCCCACACTGTCTCCTGTTTCTGTTACCCCCTGTTGTGGAAACCCATGTCTTCCACTAATGGAGACACAACAGGCTCTCCAGAACTTTTCCTTAATCTTGAAAAGTTCATTTACTATCGTCGGACAAGACGTCACCAAAAGCCTGTCACCGGCGATGCATCAAGCAGCTTATACCGCATGTGGATTGCCGCATGAGTACACAGCTGAAAGCATCGAGAGCTTTCAAAAAATTCCGCAAATGCTATCTTTCGCTTCGTCTGATAGCCCGTTTACTGGGGTAGCAATATCGCTGCCATTCAAGACAGAGGTTTTATCCTGTCTCGACGAAATCAATCCAGACGCAAGGGATATAAACGCGGTGAACACCGTGGTACTAGAGCATAAATACCAGTCCAATGGACATACACAGTATTTCTGGCGAGGGTATAACACGGACTTTATCGGAATCAAGGACTGCATATATGGCCATCTATCTCCAGCAAACGCTATCCGTGATGGCAGCACCGCTCTGATCATTGGAGCTGGTGGAATGGCTCACGCAGCTGTCTACGCGTGCTATCAGCTAGGAGTCCGGCAAATTTTTATTTTTAACAGAACCCTCTCGAACTCACAGAAGCTTGCCGACTACTACAATCACTGGGCAAGATCCAAAGGCGATAGCGCTCTTCAAGTGGATGTATTTCAGTCGATTAAGGATCCCTGGCCAACACAAGCTCGCCTACCGAAAATTGTTGTATCATGCATCCCTAGCCAAGATGTCGACAGCCAATTGCCAATTGATTTCCAAATTTCCGACAAGTGGCTTGAGAGTCGAACGGGAGGTGTCTTCGTTGAGGTATGATCTAACTAGGCGACAACAGATGAAGCCCATAACTAATAATATCTTCAAGGTTGCATATGGTCCACTAAAAACGTCACTGATGGAGCAGATGCTGCCGCTGTCAAAATCAGGATGGATTGTCGTCGACGGACTGAAAGTCCTTGTCAAACAAGGTATTGCGCAGTACGAGTTGTTCACCAAAAGGCCAGCCCCTGTCCATGTGATGCGGCGAGTGGTGGAAGAAGAGGCTAGCAGACGAGGTTATTTCCATGCATAGCTTAACTATTGCTCTACGGTAATTGTTAGAGTTCGTGTGAGTAGCTCGATCTCCACCTTGCTTCAAACAGCATGCCACAATCTCTATGCAAAACGGGAAACGCATCTTCATGCAGCGTAAATCTACCGGTAAACCACGATATGACACTCAATTTTAACTGAGATCATACTATAACCAAATATTAAGTCGTGAATGTCGTAGAAAGGAGCGAAGCAATGGCTTGCTGGATTTTGAACCCCGACCATAATTTGTGGAAAACTTGAATTGTCTCATTGTGAGAATTCTTAAACAGATTTTGGCGTCTTATGCTCGAAATGCTCTTCCCGTGGGTCTGGTGTAATGTCGTACTGATTCAGCGATCTTTTCAGATAATCAGATGGGGTATCACTGTGAGCGAGCTTAAGAAGAAAGAGCTCGTTTTCAAGCTCTTGCACTCGTGATTGAAGAGCTAATATATCCCGCTCCCCTAGTTGATATTGTCGCATAAGACTTAGATGCCGCTGTTTCATTCTTTCGTACATTTCGAGCAAACTTTGGTGTTGCTGCACCTGACCTGGCTTGTAGAGGGTATGCTGCCTGTGTCCGGTGCTCATAACTGCATGCTAGGAGTAACGTCAACACTTCGATCTACTATTAGACTCGGAGTATCTGTACCTTTTTGGCTTTTTTCGTCTCAGGGTTTGATTCTTGTGTTGGACTCATATCACTTTCTCAGCCGAGAAAGAGACGAGGCCTACGACTTGGAGGCCGAGGTTTGCTGGAATCAAGGCTTCGTTTGGGAGGACCTTTTTAGAAGTGGCAAGCTAACTTGAATCTGTCTCTAGGATTCTAAGTTCGCACAGAATTCCGTATTTAAGCCAAATATACCTGAAAAAAAAGTGGAAGTAGTTCCCGCAATAGCCGAACTTGAGTAAGGTTTGACAGGAAATTGGTCCGCGCCGGAAGGGATCTAAGTCTTGAGACATCTTTTAAAATAGCTCTCGAAGGTTTTTCCGGTGAGACTTTTGACCTATTAATTACCCCAACCGATGCATGTCCCGTATTCCCAGCTGGCACCAGGGCCGAACAACAGAGGATAGTCAAATCATTCGTTGACCGTAGCAACGAGATTGACCTGTCGATCATGGGCCCTTGTTACTCGTGTCATTGCCAGCTCCACTGCCGTGGGTAAGGAGGGAACGAACAGTGATGGCACTTTTCAATTTATGCGTAGTATATTGGCCTGCTGCATCCCAACCTATCACAGTCTCTTGGGCGGCCAAAGCAGCAATCAGGAATGAGATATTCTGCTCAAGTTGGACAATTTGACGCTCAACCAATTGAAGGGCGGCGATGGACATCAGAAGATTTGTCATGGATGCAATTGCCATAATGGACTTTGTCGTGGGCGACTCTCCGGTCTTCTTGATATCATTATTCCTAGGTCCTTGGGCAAAATGAAAGCTTCTACAATTGTTTGTGGCGGCCAGTACAGCGCCAGATAAAACACTATTCCTCACGGCAGTCATACATACTAAATGAAAGAAATCGATTAATTCGCGCAAGATGCAGAATATGTGAGATTTCCCCCGGGAAGGCGGATATTGCGGAAATACTCTGAAGACTCATTTTAAAGTGGAATCGGATTACTCTACCTAAGGACATGCTGTTGAAATATGCATACATATCGAGGTAGAATGTTTGTATGTGACTTTTGAGTTAATAGCCGTTGTAGCACGCCGTACTCTTTTTCAAGCCTGCATAGCGAACACCGCGTGTCCAACCATGAAAGCCATGGGAGAATGAAAACCCGCCTCAGAATGAATGACTCATTAAGGGTGGTCTAGCTCCAGTATTAAAATCACTTTACGATATTAGTTCGTTTAATTAGCCGTTAAGCTTTGAATGTTCGCAGCATCGGCCATGAATTCCGGGGTAGGCTAAATCATTACCCAGCCCCGCAACTTGGGGTATAAATCAAACTCCTGGTATAACTATTCGTCCAACTCTGCGACAACAATCAAGAATCCTAGATTTGGTTATTTTGACAGTTCTTCGTTGCCAGCAATTATGACTTACCAACCCGCCATCATGAGCGTCTCGCTAGGGCGTGCGTGGCTTCACGACTTCGATTATAAGATGAACCAAGCCTCAAAAGCAGGCTTCAAAGGAATAGAAATCTTCTACGAAGACCTCGAATACATTGCACGAGGATTTTTATGCAATGACTCTCCAGTCCCAGATCAACTGCTCCAAGCAGCAGATCATATCCACAAAGTCTGTCAGACCGAAGGTCTCGAAATCATCGGCCTCCAGCCATTTCTTTTCTACGAAGGCCTCAAAGACCGAGAGCAACATGCTCGACTGATTCAAAAGATGGAATTCTGGCTCCAACTCGTCAAGCGTTTAGGCACAACTACCATCCAAATCCCGGCCAATTTTCTTCCGGCAGAACAACTCACCGACGATTTCGATATCATCGCCGCCGACTTGAGAGAGGTTGCGGATATGGGAGCTGCCGAATCCCCAGTTGTTCGGTTCGCGTATGAGAATCTGTGCTGGAGTACACATGTTGATACATGGGAAAAACTGTGGGATGTCGTGAAGCGCGTCGACCGACCTAATTTTGGAATGTGTCTTGACACGTTCAATATCGCCGGAAGAGTGTGGGCTGATCCCGCCTCGCCAACTGGCAAGACTGCCAATGCTGATGCAGATCTGAAAGCCTCGCTTGAAAGGATGGTAGCTGAGGTTGATACCTCCAAGGTCTTTTACATTCAGGTTGTTGACGCGGAGAGAATGGAGTCGCCACTGGTTGCGGGCCATCCTTACCACGTGGAAGGTCAGCCTGCAAGAATGAACTGGTCTCGGAACGCCAGGTGTTATATGTATGAGGAGGACCGTGGAGCGTATCTCCCAGTCGAGGAGATTGCCAAGACGCTTGTCTTTGGTCTGGGGTATAAGGGATGGATTTCAATGGAATTGTTCTCCCGGACTATGGCATACGAGGGCAAGACTGTGCCGGATGATCATGCGAACAGAGGTATCGCGTCCTGGAAGAAATTGGAAGAAAGACTCCAGCTCAATCAATGAAGATCATGATCTTACTACCACGTGAGATTCTTCGACATCGAGTTTGATCAATGCATGGAAATTATACAACTTATATAAAACAATCAAACATATTCCAAGACTTGAATTTACTATTTTAAACATCGATTTCCTTGCCATCCAGCCAATCCTTAGCCAGCAGATACAATAAATCATGCTTCTCCCCGCAAGCAGTACCAACATGTCTCTTGTGCCCCGGCATATCTCTCAACACAGCGACCCCCATAGTCAGCTCCTGGCAATAAGCCAAGCACTTATATCCAGCAGGATAAGAGTTAAGTTTCTCCAGATCAATATGGGGGAACTGGTTCGGAATAACAGGTAACAGCTTATCCTTCTCATACCAATGCCGAACAAACCGCGCACCCCAGCGTCCATCGATCTTCTCAAAAAAGAAACAGAACCGACAATCAGCCTCTGCATCGACTTCGAACCCGTCGATTATGAATCGCTGCGTAATGGTCGCTTTCATCTTTGTGACGGCGCGAGTTGCGTCCGGCGTGATGTCTGTTGTCACACCGTGGCATCGGTGCATAATGAAGGCTCCTTTATCCATGCCACCTTTCGATGCTTCCATAAATTCTTTGTATGAGACCCTTCCGGACCATGTCGTGTAGACATAGGCTCCGGGGTGAAAGATTGATTCGAAGTTCTCCCATTCACATGCATCACTAGAAGTGTGGTCAGTAATCGGTCTAGGCTCGTCTGTTGAGTATCATATTTACCGGTAGCAAGGCCAGCCTTCGGCTAACTCGCGGAGTTTCGCGCGCTCTAGGACGAGGTCATCTGGGCCATTGTTGCGGATGGCGTTTTCGGGCCAGGTACCCTTGGGCAATGAATGCAAGTCAGGCATTGTGATATTCTGAGGAGCCGACTTAGTGTGTTAGTTTCTATGACAGTTGCTCGCCGAAAGCATGTCTTTATATCCATCACGGGTAACCGTCTTCGGTTCAATCCATTGCCGCCTTTGCCCCCCGTGCGGAGAAGTGGGGGAAAGCGTCACGATCATTTGGAAGCCCTCGGGTCGAACAGCGTAGAACTTGGGAGATCTACTCTAGAGAAGAACATGGCTCGTATGAGTCAAAAAACCCAAGTTAGAACTATACGATAGAAACATATTCTAGAAATTAATCCCCTTGCTCTCCTCGGCTGCCTGGAGCAAAACCTCCCAAGCCCCCTTCTGATCCAATTTCTGCAAACACTCGTCCCCAGCCCACAAACGCCATTGTTCATGAATCTGGTAGCCAATGATATGTGTTCCTTCCACACATGGCCAGCTCAAAGTCTCGCCCAATTTTATCATTCTGGTCCGCCTGGGCTTGAAGCACATATCCAATAACACTCCCTTGTCAGGACGCGACAGGAAAGACTTAAGCATGGCCGCAACCTCAATTTCAGTCTCGGTTTGGGGCTCAAAATCGGGTACTGTGCCAATAACATAGTACGGACTGGCCAGTCCCTCAGCTTGCTGCTGGCTCTTTACATGAACGATGTTGGGAGGATTCGGTAGCTTTCGTGAATCTTGGATGAGATTGACCACCTCCTGGTCATCACGATTCAGGACATAAATATCGTGGCAATGCAAGTGCTCTGAGAGAGCATAGATAGCAGCACGACTCGCACCTCCAGCTCCTACAATCAGACCAGGGGCAGGCGAGGTTGCCGACGGTCTTCTGCTCTCATCGCCCTTTTCAAGGAGACAGCCCTTGACTCCTCGCCAGTCGGTGTTTGTGCCACAGAGGAGGCGCTGACTACCTTGCTTGTAGTAGATGTTGTTGCATGCGCCAATGATGTCTGCCAAATCATCCCGCTCGTCAAGATGCTTCATAATCGAGTTCTTGTATGGCATCGTCACTACCAGTCCGGCCGTAGTCGGAGCTTTTGCGAGCTTGAGAACATCCTCAATTGTAGGACACTCCGTAGAGTAGAATTTCCAGGGAAGGCCAAGGGAGGCTGCGATATAGTTGTGCATGCTGTAGGCGATAGAGTGCGTAACACCCACTCCCACGAGATGGAGAGTCATTTCTTGAGATTGAGGAAAGTCCTGGTTGAATAATTGTAAGAGAAAAGTACAATCGCATTGCATTCTATTCCGTGGCGATGGTTCTATACTATGTCCCCACATCGTCTAAATTCATAGCCGATGGATCTGCACCCATACTTCGAGATGACGAGGGCCTACTGAGGCGGATAAATTTTATAAAATGAGGCTTGGAGCGTTTCAAAATAGCAAAATATTCTGATTTATTCATATCAATCAACATGGCCTCAAGAAATGACTCCCCCAGAAACTTCCACATCTTTGGCAAGGGAATATCATTCAGTATTTCGCCTACAATCCACAATGCCGCATTCCAACATTATGGCCTTCCATTTAACTACACGATTCGCGAATCTGACAACATCGACGGAGTGGCCGGCTTGATAAAAGATCATGCCTTTGGTGGATCAAGCGTTACCATGCCACACAAGCTCCAAGTCCACAAGTTCTGTGATGAACTGACCGAGACAGCTCAACTGATTGGCGCTATCAACACGCTCATTGTTAAAGGCGAGGGCAACCAGCGTACCATTATCGGTGACAACACAGATTGGTCTGGTCTGTACAGTATCATCACTGCCCACTCCGCAAAAATCCAACAACCACCCAAAGTCGGACTTGTCATTGGCGCCGGTGGTGCATCAAGGGCTGCCCTGTACGCAATGTACAAAGCGGGAGTGGAAGATATCTACCTTGTGAACCGCACTTTGTCAACTGCCGAGAAAGTGAGGGATGACTTTGGCCATGTGTTCAAAATAAATGTTTTGTCGGGTCTTTCGGATCTGCCACAGAAACCAGATGTTGTTGTTGGCACTGTTCCTGCAGATACCACTACTGAAGATCAGTTTGCGTCGTTGTTTGGGAAGCAAGGTCTTTGTATTGATATGGCTTATAAGCCGAGACAGACGCCTCTTCTTACTGTGGCTCAAAGACACCATGGCTGGGATACTGTTTCAGGTGTTGAAGTGCTTCTTGCTCAGGCTTTTGATCAGTTTGTGCTGTGGACCGGACTGCAGCCCCCAAAAGACGTGATGACGGAGGCTGTTCTGGCTTTGGATCGACATGAGCCTGCGAAGGCTACAGGGGGGATGCTTTGAGATATCCTAATTTGTTCCTCTTGTCCCATTATATCTGGTGATCTTGTATACCGTGCTTCGAAAGAATTTTAGGAACGGATATCAAGTGGGAGAATGATGAGCTTAGGGTACCAGACACTATCGCTGAGATTATGATCCAAATATTTATATTCACATGGGGATAGAGGCCTCTAGAACAGTGGCTGAAACATCAATGTAGTATGTAGCTAATGCTTGGTAACATGACTTGGGCTGGACGGAAGGTATTGACAAGGAATAAGGATTGGTTTCAGAATACTTCACACAAGTGACTGAGAATACTATCCCTCACTCTATTTGGCATCGCATATGTCTTACCACCTTTCACCCCCGTAGTTGTTGGGTTTCTAGTCACTCTTAAATTACCTTGCACTATCACATACGATATTACTGGCCACACCTGGCTTGGGCGCTAACTTAGCGAGGCGCCGGTCCAAGTGTGACCACTTTTTTGTTCTCGGGTTACATGTACATAGTGTGTTGGAAATCCCATTCCAGCTGTTTTCTTTTCTGTGTAAAGCAGCTAGTCATGAATGCTGGAAATACTTACTCATTGATATGTCATTAGCTAACTAGGCTCTACAGCATGCACTTATATTTATTTCTCCGCTTGATGGAAAGCTGTTATGATACACTTGGTTCAATTTAATACATAGAATAAAATCCCCGATTGCATTCTATGGAGTCTAGAATCCCTAAGCGACTGCCCGAGCATGAGTTTACCTGGACTATAGTAAACTTTGCCGTGCGGCTCGCTACCATCCCACCACAGCCACCAAACGCCTCCCAAACACAGTTCGTCGTGTTACCTACCGGAAGGCGACACCTGCATGACAGCCAAAGCCATCAATCACATACTGTTTGGTATATGTCTGACCAATCATCTTTCTGCACCCTGTTATAAATCCAACGGGATATACCCAGAGCCCTGCAGCCTTGCTGATCAGGTGTCTAGCTTATCTTCGGGTGGAAATTAGCATCTCGACTAACGACATTGTAATTTCGACGATTGGGCTTCGAGAAGACTTCCTATAATTAGTTTCAATTGTGTGGGAATTGAGTTCCCTAGGAAAGACAAAGCCCTAAGTTGAGACTTTCAGTCAAGACAGATGTGAACCATCACAACGCCAAATGACGTTTGTCGAACCTAACAGACTGAAGTATAACTATAACTATAACTCAAAAGGAGGGGTGAATTCCAGGCGACCGCTAAGCCCTTCCAATGTGACCCTACACATGGCTTAGTGGGGTTTGCAGACAAACTTAGGGTCCATGCCTTTGGCTTCAGAGTCTCAAATCCTGGATTTGAGCGAAAACGATGCATCGAATTTCCCGATTTCCGACATGCAGCAGTTACGTGACTGTCGCAGGTCTTGGGAGTGAAAATTCAGAAGATCGGCGGGTCTTTTTTCAGATGCTAGTTCTTAGTGTGATGGAGACAAGCCCAAGTGGGCACCTAAACATGTGTGTAGAACTGAATTGTCTGTGGACGTGTCCAATCACCCTCCCCAAGGGGGCCTATTTCCGATACTGCCATGAGCTGCGTAAAGCTGAAGGTCGCAAACATAAGGAGAAAGGAAGGCCCTATAAGATAGCATCGCAGAAGAGCAGAAAACCAGACACGAACACAACATATAGAATAGGGGAAAGCAATCTAAGGCAATCTGCGTAAATTGAAGAGATAAATACCTTACCCAATCAACTCTCCCCACCATCTCCTGAATTCCCCTTCGCCCCCTTCCTCTTCTTCTTTTTCCCCAGAACTTCTTTTTTCTCCACCGACTGTTTTCTTCCTACCCTTTTGTGGATCCCGGAACTTGGATCCTCATCCCTTTTTCCTCCTACACTCATCCCCCATAATGGCCTCAAAGGTGAGTTCTCGCGGTTCCAAGGATGAGGAGCAACATTGACCAAGCTCTACAGTTCCTACGAGAATACAAGCTGGTGGTGGTCGGCGGCGGTGGCGTCGGAAAGTCTTGCCTGACCATTCAACTCATCCAGAGCCACTTTGTGGACGAGTACGACCCAACAATTGAAGGTGAGCTCCAACACTGCGCAGATCGCATCCCTGGTATCCTGGGGAAACCCGCCATGAAGCGGCGCTGATTCGGACCGTGTCCACAGATTCCTATCGCAAGCAGTGCGTTATTGACGATGAGGTCGCTTTGTTGGATGTCCTGGATACAGCTGGCCAGGAGGAATACTCGGCAATGCGGGAACAGTACATGCGGACCGGTGAAGGATTCCTGCTGATTTACTCCATTACGTCGCGCCAATCCTTTGAAGAAATCATGACCTTCCAACAGCAGATCCTGCGCGTCAAGGACAAGGACTACTTCCCCATCATCGTTGTTGCCAACAAGTGCGATTTGGAAAAGGAGCGCGTAGTCTCCGAGCAGGGTATGTTTTCTCCCATCACACCACTCCCATTCTCAACCCCAGCCCCCCCTATTATTCCATCGCCCCCCCCCCCCTAGAATTTCCATAGCTAACGATCGCGTCCAACAGAGGGCGAAGCGCTCGCCAACCAGTTCGGCTGCAAGTTCATCGAAACCTCCGCCAAGTCCCGTATCAACGTCGAGAACGCCTTCTACGACCTTGTCCGTGAAATCCGCCGCTACAACAAGGAAATGTCCTCGTACCCCTCGGGCTCCGGCGCGTTCGGCGCCCGCGCACCAGAGGGCAAGATGGATGTCAGCGAGCCCGGCGAGAGCGCCGGCTGCTGCTCCAAGTGCGTGGTCATGTAAAAAAAGAACAACCCGAAAACGTCGAATCCGTGAATGTCCTTGAGCCGCGAGAAAGAACCCGAAGTACCCGACCACGCAGCGCGCACGATTGTCGGAGAGTTACCACACTGAGAATGCATCGATTAAACATAAGGGAAGAGACTTACTTCTTCTTCCTTTGGAAAGTTGGAATCTGATTACAATGGCGCCTAATTCGCATTTGCATCTGCATTTGCAACCCCCCTTTACACCCCTCTGCCATTCAGAATACATACGCCATGAAAGAACACATACTCAGCACGACTACTTCCGGCAGAAAGCAACCGTCAAACGCATAACCTTGGGGAGAAGAAAAGGCGAAACAAGCCAGAGAAAACACAGAATTGAAGTGGCCTGTTGAATTGTGTCGGTTGTTATTTTCGTGGTTCTTTCGGACGAGGCTCACATTCACGTTGAAGACCCTGACGCCAACCTCGTCTCACGAAACATTTTGATTCCCCTTTTTGTTGTCCGAATTGCGCCCTTATCTCTTTTATCCATTGTTTCAAGTCTTGCGAAAGATCCTTGGTGTTTTTTATCTATCTCTTATTATCTTTGTCGGTCCCGGGATACGAGACGACACGGCTGTCAATATATGTTATTTCACGGCAAGGGGATTCCTTGCTCTTCATTACTATGGCGCGTGTCTTGTTTGAGAATCTATAGATGGCGTATCTCTCGGTGTGGAGAGATCTATGCCATCTATCATAGTGCAATCTATCCGATCTGTATCTGCCGGCAATGTTTTGATATAGCATTCTAACAGTTCTTGGGTCTAGTATAAACATTGTCATCTACTACGAGAAAATACGCAATTCACCCGGAGCCAACAGATAAAGAGACAATGGGCCTATTGACTGTAGACGTGCTCTGAGTCGGAAGGAGGGTCAAGCTCATCTTCCTTGGAAACAAGCTTACCCTGAACACCCTTCTCGACCTCTGCGATCAAAGACTCGATGAGGGGCTTATCAGCCCCAACAAGGGTAACAGTATTCCGCTTCTTTCCCCAACGAGGATAGCTACCAACCTTGACACCCTTCGGCTCAACCTTAGCAGCAAGCTCCGTCAAAAACGGTGCAACAGCGCTCTCAGGCAATGGCGTACTAATCAAGCACCTGAAAGTACCTTTACCCTCAGGATCCGTAAGACGGGGAACAAGACTAGGCTTCAGATTCTCAAGAAGACGCTCAAAGAGACGCGGTACTCCGGGGAGGATGTGCACGTTGCCGTTCACAACGGCGATGGGAACCCACATGTCATCCGCAACGAAGACTGCTTGTTCCTCGGCCGGGATCTTGGGGTCGAAGGGGAGCTCGACCATGCGCAGCTTGGCGTTTAAGCCTGGCGAGGGTGTTTCCCAGTCGAAGTTTGGTTGCATGGGGTGTGGCTTGGAGAGGCGCTTCATGCGCTCAAAGGCGGGCTGGTGGAGTTGCAGCTTGAGGTTGAAGGCTTTGGCGATTGCGGAATATGTGATGTCGTCATGTCTGTGGATTTGAATAGAAGAATTAGCTGGATGTTGGGTATTGTTGGTTGCATTAGGCGGTCTCCGGTCTCGGGACTAGGGACAGGAATAGAGGGCAGTCAAGCGACTGAGACTGGGAGTGGATTGGGGTGTACGGACGTGGGCCCAATGCCTCCGCTTGTAACGACGAAGTCGTAGCGAGAGCTCATGCGCTGCACGGCTTCCATGATATCTTCCTCGTCATCTGGGATGACTTCGACTCGCTTCAGCTGCATGCCGAGGGAAAAGCAGAACTTGGCTAGGAACGAGGAGTTGGTGTCGACGGTCTGCCAAAGGGGATATGTTAGACAGTGTATCCTCTAATGGTCTCTCAATGGGACGTTACTCACCTTTCCACCGAGGACCTCATCGCCGATAATGAGGCATGCAGCCGTGTGGATGGTCTTCGCGCGTGATGTCATCGCGAACGGAGCTCGGGGAGGGGTCAGGGACGGGGTTGAGAGGATTGTGGAGGGATGAGAGGAAGCGAATGGACGTGAGAAGTGGCGTGTGAGGAGGTTCAGTCGGCTGAGCATTGAGGTATTTATACCAGAAGGTTGGAGTGTTGGAGATGTTGGAAGGAGATCAGGTGGGGGAATCTCCGCCCGCATTGCGCATTTCGCATTTCCTTCTCGCTACACTCCATCGCCATTTCACTGGTAACAACTGTTGTTGAGATTACTGTGCGCACATCTCTACGCTTCTCATAAAGAACTTATTTGGTTTCTTTTTCGCCCTGTGCTGTCATATATTGTCCACAATGGTGAGAGTCATGCCATGTTGATGTGTCCACGTCAGCGCCGCTCGCGTGCCTCTGTGATAGATCGCTGATAATCTCTAGTCTGATTCACGGTTATATTCATTCTCTCCGGAGACGAAGGAGAAGCTGCGCAAGTTTCGCCTAGGAACATCGCGAGCGAAGGATGCGCAAGCTATCATCTGTACGAGCCCCTAGCTTTGCATTTTCTGACAGATCTCGCGCATCTGAAGAAAATACCAGCCTTGTCTCCAATGACTGCATAAAGAACTTGAATAATATCTGTACAAGATCTGCAGGTACCCTGATTCGTATGCTAACAAGCGGCACCGTGCAGATATCATCGACAACAAGACTCAAGAGATCCGGCCACAAGACGATGAGATCTACTCCAAGATGGAGGATCTAGCCGACGACCTCCCGGAGTCCTCACCACGATTCGTTCTTCTCAGCTACCCCATGACAACCGTGAGCTGTCCAAAATAGCCTATGAGATTGCGATATACTGAAACAACCTCCCCTCACAGAAAGATGGACGCCCCTCCGTCCCTTACGTCCTGCTCTACTGGCTCCCTGAGAACTGCAATCCGATGCAACGGATGTCATACGCCAACGCAGTGGAGCTGATGCGCACCAGCGCACAAGTCAACCGGGTGATCGAGGTCGAATCCGACGAGGACATCGTCAGCATCCAGTCCAAGCTGACAGGGTCGGACTAAGCCGGCCAACAGGTTTCAAGGAAAGGTACAGTGCATGGGCAGAGTCTTTCCGATGATAGATCGGGTAGACCCGACATGTACCCCCGGACACGGGCATCTGGGACTTTTGTATAGAGGGCGTTTACCAGCCTGACTGGATTTCTCCTGTTAAACCTTGTGAATATCGCCCACGCACCCACATATACATCATATGTGGGCGTCGAATGATAACTCTTTGCTTTTCAGTCTTGCTTGGATTGAATGGGATTGTTGGAATTGGGGCTGGCGTCGATCCCACATTCCCTGATATTGGCATTTGTGATCTGTCATGTCGATGATTTGCAACGGTGTCCGGCGCCTTCAGCTAGCGGTAGATCTTGTCAGTCTGTACCAGTTAAACACAGCCCTCGCCTAGGCAAGAGGTCTGTCTCCAGTCGGTGATGCCGAGTTTGTCTCTCAGCTGGAGACTATTAAACTGGCACGGTTGAATGAATGACTGTATCAGTCCCTGACTGTTCTGTTCCAATCATCCACGCATACTCTCCTTCATTTGATACGATCTCTCCTGCTTAATCCTGATCGTGGCCTACCACTGGTGGACAACAAGGCACATCTACCTACGCAATCCGATCCAATCTTTAGCCAGGTAATCAGCTAGCAGCATAGTCCCATTCCACCGTGCAACCATTGCCAGCCCAGTCAATCAATGACGATCATCTCAGCCTACATGCTTCAGGTTCAAGTCTACACCGTAGGAGACGAAATCCAGCCCTATCAGAGGCGACACCTCCGCATAAATATTGACTACACATTATCCTCCCAAGCGAATGTGGACTGTAATAGAAACAATTGATTGGCCTAGACAGAAATGATCGCCGACCACAGTATGGATCAGCTCTTGACCCCTCGTTCGCAAACAGGACATATCAGTTACTCGCCAAGCTTCCTACTTCGAAGAACGAGAGCGAGCGGGAAAGGTCCACATGGTACGTCAATCTCAGGTGCAGGTCACTCCTGATTTGATATTTTTACCCTTTGTGTTCACGATCTACTGTATCTGTGGGCGCATATCTCTTGGATACACACCTACATGTAAGTGAGGAATTCGGCGCCTAGGTGGGTAAGTTGCTCGTACTCGGATGCACAGGTTCTACTGTAGTTCTGGATCTGACCAAGTCGGAGAGGAACAAAGAACTCAGCTCGGCAATGCAGGCATTACCAGCAGAGTGGTTCAAAGGGGGCGAAGGCTTGCAGTCCGTGTGTTGCTTTACCGCTGTGCCGGGACTAGGGGGCGCAGTGATTGCACTTGGAATGCTGGGAGACTTCTATACTGAACATAAAACGAGTGGTTTTTGGAGGTGTGAGAAATGTCGACCCTCCATTGGTGGCCCTAATTGGGAGTGTACTGTGCACCTACATAGGTGGGCAGTTGACTGTTTTTCACCCACTTCACCTATTTCACCCATTTCACCTACTGTAAAGTAAAGCCTTTCACCTAGATTCCCACACTCTTGCATCTACTCCCACATGATGCATGCAGGCGGCACGGCTGTACAGGAAGACAGGGAAACTCGCGTCTGGAAAAGGCAAGAGTCAAGACGATCGCAACTATAGATCGATCAGAGTGGGAACACTAGAAATCTCTAGATGAGACCAAAAGCAAAGAGTACTTTAGGTAAAATCCAAGACAAATTCCATCGGATCTAACATTTCCCCCTAAACCAAGACGCGGTCAATCAGCATCGAGCATTAGGGCTCCACCGAGATGACAAGGGGAAGCCCAGACCAAGAAACACATTTCTTAGTACGAACCACTCTAATTTCCAGGGGAATGGTTCAGCTTATATCATGTGGGCTCTGACATTAATTGTGTCCGTGTTTCACCCTTTTCTTGTTGGCGTATCTCCTGCATGGACCACTACAGTATGCAACATACATGACTGTATTGTACAAGTGACGGTTTTCCCCAATCTGACAGGTGAAGAAAGTCATCGGCAAGCCTGTTTTCGGTCCAGTTCCTTCAGCACGTAGTGGAACCGTTGAGCAACAAGCAATAAAAAGCGATGTTCAACCCTGGACTTGTTAGCTTGCAGTAGTGTCCCAATGCGCTAAACTCACCGTGCCGATTGTTACTCTTTTCATCGCGAACAGACGAACGGGGTGATTTGCGCTTCCAATTTCCCATGCATGACTCGTCACGGTCGGCAAGATGCCCGTGATAGGCCGGTATAGATTGACCAGGCTTCTCGGCAGATCTTGATCTGGTCTTTGCTTTTCTTCAATGACCCGACGGTGTGGTATACGTCCATCGATACTGCCAATAGTCCGGTCAGCGCGGCTTGTTCTTGGTCCTATGGGATTGAATACGATAATCAGTACGCCGTCAATAAGAATTGAATGATTCCCCATGGTCCACCTGTCACTGTCAACGACCAAGCGTTCTAAGCCCCAAGGGTTTACGATCTGCTCAGTGATCCAAATCCCGGTCGTAGCCTCTCCTGATCGACACTCTGCCCAGGTGTCAGCGAAACACCGGTGTCGCCCCTAGAAATCGACAATCTTGCTCGATTCTCCGATTGCTTAAATCCCACCTCCACTGTTGGATTATGGACTGTTACTTTACTATTTTGAGTATTTTAGAAAGGTGACCGGAATAGTGTCAACACGAGGAGGGGGGGGTACGTATAACCCTAGTGCAGGGCCACACCACTCTCCTAGAATTATTTATAGGAATATGTAGCTGGTACAGAGGTGCATGGGCGGTTGTGCTGAACCAAGGTCAATGGCCAAGTCCGAGATACGCGGAGTACAGTATTGTCAGTACACTGTACAGTTTGAGGCCAAAGCCACCCAAGCCCAGGTGGAGAGAGCCCGGGGTCCACCAGGCTGCATCTGCTTCTTTTTCTCTTTTTTCTTTAATTTTTTTTTATATATTTATGTTGGAATATCTCCGCCTTTTACACTTTCTATACAATACCTGTAATCTAACTATATTCTTATTCCTCGGATCTTCTTTTTTATAATGGTCGCTCCCCCGAGGGCCTTCTCTGCTTTTCGGGAATCCCAGCTCTCTGGTACACTTCGCACCCACATACTTATATCCACATACTTCTCCTTCTCTCTGAACAATTTTACTATCTAAATGGAATGAAGTGTTCGACCCGACACTTTGGACTGATCAACGCAGCATTCGCCATCACATTCCTACGCCACGTTGCATAAATCGAAAGCTATGTCTTCTCAAGACACCGGTCGCCCAAGCGAAGACAGGTCCGAAGGCTTTTCCAAGTACTTCAGGCGCATGAAGACTGTCTTACGCCCTCGATCGGTTTCAAAACCTCAATCTCTGGACGCATTTGATGTCGCAACAACAGCTCGAGTAACGTATGATATACTTGACGAGCATTCTTCAATAACCCATAGCATAAACTAACACAATCCACTATAGCACACCAGTACCAACACCCATATTAGATCAGATACAACAGACCACTGTACAAGAGCAGCCCATTATCATCGACTACAAAGCCATGCAACGTGAAAAGACTCGCGCCCTTTTCTCCAAGTACAATCTGAGCTTTGAACTCACTGGCGAGAGTTCCCCCACCGATTATCAATTTGCACGAGTATCCAAGCCGATTCGCATGCGTGTGCGCCGCACCTGTCACCGCTGCGAAATGACTTTCGGCCCTGACAAGGTCTGCGTCAATTGCCAGCACCTGCGATGCAAGAAATGTCCCCGTTTCCCTCCGATTCAAACCCGAGATGAAGAGTCATCTGTTTCTACTTTCAGACTCCACGAACTTCGTGCAAAGCAGCAAGGCATGCTTCACCTCACGTCACATCTGAAGCTCAGCGGCAACCCAGCTTCTCCATTATCAAGATCCTCCAGCAGCGGAGGACCCGACTTTGTGCACAAAACTGTACGCCAGCGAGTCAGACGAGACTGCCATCTATGCGGGACAATGTTTGCCAAAGGCACGAAGCAATGCACCAGTTGTCGCCATACTCGCTGCAAGATCTGTCCAAGACAGCCTGCCAAGCTCGATAAATACCCAGATGGGTATCCGGGGGACGCTGAACCACCAAAAGTTGCGCCAGACCGCACGTTCAAGAGGCCCCGTCAACGAGTGCATTATATCTGCCATGTCTGCACGACTTCTTACTATCAGGATTCTCGACTATGTGTGAAGTGCGGTCAGACGAAATGTGATGAAACGATACGAGTTCCGTATGTATAACTCCTTTTTTACTTGGCTTTGGCTTGCGCTAACCAATTCCCATAACAGACCCAGGAAGATCGAGCATGGACCCGATCCAGGTGTTATTCGGAGTCTTGAAGAGAAGCTGGCTACTATGGTAATCTCTGCAAACCAAATTACTTGATCAAGCATATCCCTTTACTTTATGCAAGACAGCCTATTTTCCACATGGTTTATATTCCAGCTCGTTGAATCCACTTGATCTATCACGATTGTTATATCCCATTGTTTTCTTCGGACCAAAGAAACAAGATATCCAGCCATACAAATGACATTGACAAACTCAAATGAGATTTACCCCTCCCCCAACCCGCCAGCCCGCAACTAAATTACACCGTTTGCTGGTCAGTTCCGCTATACCCGATCATACGACATGACCAAAACGCCCAATGTATGCATCTTGATTTCACATTCGCCCGAGGCAAAAAAAAAAAAGACATGACCTGCCCAATTTCAACCCACAAGACACACTGTCAGAAGATGAAACCCGGCGTCAATTCCAAATAAAGTAGCCTTCAGGTCCACATCAGCCCGGCGCGAAAATAGACTCTATGGCTCCCGGTCCCCTGGGACTGTCAGTGAAGGCGGGATATGAATGTGGATACTATTCTCGAACAACTCTCGAGTCTAGGCATGGAAAAGTGATCCATATTGACGTATTCGGCGCCATTTGCTGTGTTTCTCTAGGACTTGAAACTCGGGATATGCTCATCGGCTTAATAGTCACAGTGCTCCACGTTGCAACGTCTCTCTTTCGAGAGTTGTACCTCGGATGTTGTCCGGTTTGGATATTTATAATATAGAGAGGCTATTCGACATTGTGGGGTTATTCCCACTCAGTCTTCACGTATCAAATATAGTATGATGTTCTAGTCCATCGCTCCACTCCCAAATGCATCTATATATACATTCTTCGCTGATCGCACTGTCGTCGGTGGAATACCCTTGTGGCACAGCGCCACTGAAGTGTATCCCGACGGAGGCGCTTCCGGGTACACATTCACGCCAGAGAAATAAGGTGCAAAGCAGATGCTTCGGCCGAAGAATAAAATACAGCCTCCTTTTGAGGGGCATGGATTATGGAACATCACGACTCAGAAAAGTGGGATGGCAAACCCCGTCTGGTTCCGTTTGGACGGACCGAGCCGTTTGCTGTGGGTTGGACCCAGAGTATCTGCCTGGTATTGGTATTGGGTACTTTTTTTTTTGCTATTGATCTGCGTAGTGTATGCACAAGGGAATATCTACAGGGATTGTATCGGCTGCGTTGTTCGACTTTGGGCTTGATAAGATGGGCTTAGTATCTGGAATAACTTAGAATAATACGGTATTCGACGGCGCATAAGCTGCCCCAAATTAACTCTGCTGATTGGCTCGGCGGAAACACCCAGGCTGCTGGGAATCTCGATTTGAAATACAGTTTAGCTCCGACACTGTTGCCTGTTGCAGTATAGATCGGAGGCCTGAGAGGACTGGACTTCCGGGAATGCGACGGTTCTCGTATTTCTTTGAGCTTCTCGTTTCCCCCATATATCTAGTCCAGTTGAAAACGTGTCGGCTCCGATGTCTACTAACTATTCACTTGGGACAATGGAGTTGTACGGTAACAGACTGTGACCTGTTTCTCCACTGAATACACTAACCAAATCCAGTCAACCCCCCCCTGTCAAGAATTGAGAGAATTATTTTCTTGACTCGCGTTTCCAGTAACCGAAGTCAACTACTGCAATGATACCCTGAGTCCACAACCGAGACCGAAGCAAGGGTGTCATAACAGAGCCGGAGTGTCGGGTCACAGGGGGTTGACCTTGTCCACCATCGTCATCGTGCAGACCTGTCAGTGTCAGTGTCAAAAGTACCGAGACTTGCCGCCCTACTGTAAAAGGTCTCGTTGTGTACATGTACATGCACCCCGTAAGTTAACGTTAGACCAGTCCTTCGGAGGCGGAGTAACAACCCGGTCCCGGAATGACTGGAAGCTTGGTGACATCCGTTTGGTCGACGGGGAGGTGGAGAGCTTGTCGCTCATACCCGCTGTCACCCTGATGGCCTTGGTATTTAATATTGGCTGGGCTGGGTGGGCTGGGAGGACAATTCAGTTGAGACAGGGATTCCATCGTGGGTCGTAACGGCTATCTAGCCAAATCGAGAGCACATCGGGATTACATTGCGTTCCAGTAAGGGCGGGAATGTACTGTACACGCTGGCTGGTTTGTAAAAGTCTACCTGTCGCAAGATGTGGAGCTATTGGAGGAAAAACTCCAAGCCCAGGCCTTCTGGCCTTCTGGCCTTCTGGTCTTGCCGTAGTTGCAGTAGCTGTCAGTTACATGTAGATCGTGCATGACCGATCGACTAGGATCTAGGAGCATGTCACAATCTGTTTAGGTTGTGAGTTAGCGCTTTGCTTTAATGCTTTTGATTTACCTACCCTCTTGGCTCTTGGCACGTCAACCCAGGATATTCTTGGACCTGGAGGTGTGCTGCGTTGCGCGATAGTTGTCCCAAGGGCATTGGGCATCTTGTTTGACCGCATGTTCAAGCGACATATGACAAGTGAGATAGGAGATAGGGGTCGATCCCAGTCTGGAAGCCCTCCCGGGTCTCCCCACTCAGCACAGCCTGTCTTTACCACGGTGGCGGGTCTCACAATCGAGGTTGTCGAGTTTTGCTTCAGATGACAACTGCCGGTTCGCAGGATGTAATTTCCTTGTTCTCGTTAAGGTTTCTTTGCTTACGGAGGGGCTGATTTAGAGTAGGCTCTCTGCCGGGTTATAGCCGGTTCGTAGTGTTGGCTTCTGAGGTGTGGATTCGATGGTATTCACTAGTCCACCCCCTTGGCCTTCGTGCAACTAGCTGTCAGATTGTTGAAGCCCTGGCTCTCATTGGGTGAGAAGAGAAATCCCGTAGTCTGGTCTCCGGGGCTGAAGTGAATTGGGGTAGAGTCCGATGGTGAAATCGATAGTGCTATCACCAGAGGTTGCGTTTCTGACGAAGTCAAGGGGCCTCAGGCGTTTCATTTCGGGATTTGAAAGCTCTGAGTCTTCTGTTTGGCAATTCAAAGGTCTCGGTGAATTAGGTCTGTACCTGCTGGGGTCTCAGCTGATGGATACAGCCAAGTTCCATTTTGATGACAATACAAGGAGTGCCCGAAGAGATCGTTCTTGTATCAAAAGCATGTATACTCGGAAGTAATTACAGTTCCTAAATTAGGAACCTGTCACTTCTCTGGATAATATAATTTTGACTAAACCTTGATCCTCATGCTAATCTGCTCCGTCCCGGCAGACTTCTCGTAATCAATATCATCAACAAGATCAACCCTCCTCCCCAGAGCCCGCCGAATAATCCAATCTTTACTATTAATCTCTTCCTCGATCTGGCCGTCCTCCATTTCGGGGATTTGCTTAGACCCCTCCAGCCGACGCAGCATCACACTATCCTCGGGTCTTGCAAAGTACACCAGACTATACCTCGTCGACTCAGCCTGGAGACCAGGCGGTGCCACAACCCGGTGAATGTTCGAGCGGAACAAGCCATTCGTGAACTTGACCATTGCATCCCCAAGATTTACAATCGCATGCCCAGGAAGTGGTCTCACATAGACCCATGCAGCGTCCGTGCCGGGTGGTAGGACTTGCAGACCGCCGAGTCGATTGAAAAGCACCGTCACGCTGCCAAAGTCGGTGTGTTGGCCCAACGCAGTGCGTCGGTCATCTGCTGGCTGTGGGGGTGCTTTCACGAAACGGACCTGGTCCCCACTTACTGCTTGTCGTCTGTGTAGATTGGGTAAAGTGCCTTTCGGTAGGGAGAGCTGGTCGTTGAGAATGTCGAGGATTAGGGCTACTATCGCATGTGACCTCTGCATAAACGATCCCAGCTCCGCTCGACTATCTTGCAGAACGCCTGGCGCAGGTAAAGGATCACTGACTCCCAGTATATCATCTTTTGAGACCTAGTAGTGTCGAGATTAGTGTGCTATAGAGCAAAAAAAGGTCCCCACCTACATTGTAGAACTCATTCCGGTCTAGATTCCCATGTTTGTCGACTACCGCCACACCCTGCGCTTTATATCCAAAGTAGGAGTTCTGTCCGCTAAAGTCATACTTCTTCTTGTCCTCGAGACTCAGCTCGAAAAGGTTCTCTCCGAGTTTGAATAGAGTATCTGCGTAACCGAGGAGCGAGGATCCTTGTTCTGAATCTGACAGATCGAGGTAAAAGAAACCTATATCGGTTGATGCTTGGAACAGGTTCGCATGCTCTGCAGGGTCACCAGCTAGTAGCTTCCCTAGCGATAGCCGAAGAAGAGGTGCCGTGGCGACATCATCTGGGAAGGGTGGGATATTCGGGAAGTTATTGATGCTATTTTTCAGGTCAACTTGAGTCTGCATATTTGTTAAATCGGCTTCAGTGATATTCAATTTGAGATTTGTAAGATTTGGTATCGGCTTCAATTCTCGAGCGCTTTGTCCTTCTTGATTCCAGATATATATCTACCAACTACATGCGGGGAAGACCAAAGAGCCGAGGGATGATCAAGCCTGTAATAAACGTCGGAAATAAATCAAACCCCGACAATGATATAGCCTCTTCCATAGTCAATAGTAAGTCAAATTTAGCCCGAACAAAAATTATTGATGACTCGAGTAGTTTTATAGATGGTTATCTCTTATCGGGAAGTGACATCAAACAATTTTTCTCCAACTCCAACAGCAAACCTCCAACCACCACGACAAAAGGCCCAAATCTTCAACATCCACTCTTAGCACCCTCACCAATATCAAGACTGGCTGTGAAGGTCAAGCCTCCAGAATGACCGACTCCCCAACCCCAAAAACACACATTGCGCAAACCCTTCTGTCGCGCGCCCACTCCCCAGAAAGCACAGCAACACAATTTACCGAAAAAATAAAACAAAGACCCCTTTACCTCCGCCCGACAGAATCAACAGCAACAGATAACCGCAGCCGGCGCCGCCTGCACCGCCTCCGCAAAAAAGAATACTTCCTCAAACACCAGAAGCCGCGCCCGCTATCGGCGCGCGAGAAGCGCGAATCCGGCCAACACGATCTGCCCAAGGATGAATGCAAGTACGCGATTTTCAAGGGTCTGCATGGGCTCTGGGTGGGGTATATGCATGAAATTCTGGACCTGAAGCCTGGCGCGCATGGCGGGCCTGTTTCTGCGCTTGTGCACGGCAGTAAGCTTGTTAGTGCTGATTACCACGGGGCCGAGGTTGAGGTTGTGAGAAGTTCTTGTGCTGGGAGGGTTGGGGTTAAGGGGATTGTGGTGAGGGACACGAAGTTTACTTTCGTGCTTGTTACTGAGGGGGATGAGATGAAGAGTGAGTTTATATTCGTATCAAGTATGGTGAGAGGGAATACTGACGAGTGCTCTAGCTATTCCGAAAGAGCAGACGATTTTCAAATTCACGGTCCCTTTGCCGGTATCTTCAATGGGTGAGTCTGCTGCTGATGAGGCAAAGCCATTGGTCTTTGAGTTGCATGGAAGCCAGTTCGAGAATCGGTCGGTGGATCGTGCCAATAAGAAGTTCAAGTGGAGGAATATCGATTATCTTTGAGGTTTTGAGTCTGGTTGACTTAGTTTTGAAGCGCTACTTTTACAAATGCTACGGCATGAATGAAATGATGACAGCAAAATATTATGGGTGGAATGAACATTCCATGAATTGTGTTGCAAGAAGCTGTATGAGTACAAGCTTGTATGCTATCTGTAGGATATGCCAACATAAAGACGAGTCGCCTGTACGTTTTCATTTGATCCATGCTCAAGTCGCCTAGCGACGAACCAAGGATTCTTGATATCTTGGTGTGCACCAAGAAGTGTCGACCAAGGTGAGTCGATAATACAGTAAACTCCATTCCGGCAAGTCTCGTGAGATCTTGCATCGGTTTCGGGGCATGGGGTGCATTAGGCATGCATGAGAACCCAGCACTTTGAGTAAGCTGGTTGGCTACGTGAGCCATGTCATATCGTAGCCATGAGCTAGATAGGAAGTAAGGAATGAACGACTTGTCAAAGCCTCCGACCATCTGCCCTCACATGCCAGCCCATTCAAGACTGAAAGTCCGGACACTGTCCACCCGATCAGCCTCCGACTCAACATCGTCAAGAGTCTTCTCTGCTCCACCGATCAAGAAGCCCTTCTTCACACCAGTGCCCAATCTGCCACCGACAATGAGGTCCATCAAGTCGATGTTCTGGTCCCAGTCATACGACACCACTAGGAAATGCGAGTGGAAGCGCAGCGGGTCACCAGGGTAGGCAGTGTACTGGCATCCGAAGCGCAAGCCAGGGGATAAGAAGTAGCCACGGGAGTGTAGGTGGGCGAAGAGAGGGTAGGAAGGCGGCACAGCGGGAGCTGGGAGGTGGCTCGACGACGGGGGCACGGAGAGCGGTGGGTACGAAGTCGCAGGCGTGATGCCCATTGCATTCTGAGAGGGGGTTGGTGTGTTCGAGGTATCCTTGGATGGCGTGGAAGGATCCTCGGCGGCGAAGAGGTCGACAACGGCCGCATCATCCTTCTTAGGTGGCGTGGAGGGGCCATTCTCAGATGCCTGCGCGGCGGCAGCAGCAGCAGCAGCCTTAACCTTAGGGTTCGCGTTCTTGTCGTTTAGTCTGTGCTTCAGCGCCTGCTCCTTCTGCTGCTCTTTGCGATCGGCGTGGAGACGCGAGGCATGCAGACCCTGGGCTTGAAGGTCGCGTAGATACCGTCTGCGATCTTCTTCTAAGAGTGTGTTCATGCTGTCGTGCGCCTTGGTTTCGTCTACGATGCAAGCTACACCCTTGTCCACTAATAGCCGGGCCTCTTCGGGCATCAACTCCAACGGCAGACCCAGGAAGACATTTTGCTGAGGGATTTGTGGGAGTGTCCCGATCAGCACGCCACATATGTTATGCTCGCGGCGTAGGTATGTGACTGCGTCAATTGAGAACAACAGGTATCTACCGGATACATAGGAGATCGGGATTGGAAGGTCTGGTTGGGAAGCCATTTTGATTTTTGATTGAGATGATTGATTGATGGTTTTTCATGGATTCTGTGGCATAAATTGTTAGCTTGTGTTCATGATACAAGTTTGCAGATGCCAAATGTGTATTGGGTTCGCGAATCATTTATAAGTACGTTTCTCAGTCACAAGTGCTCTTTGAGATATTCAAAGAGCTTCAGGGGATTGACAGATTTGTATTTTGCATAATCATGCGAAGGGAGGTGGTGAAAGGGTTGTGAGCTTACCATTAGAAATAAAATGAGAGTGTCGAGAACATCATAGACTTGGATTTGACCAGCAAAGCCGAGTTGCAGAGAAGAAAAGAACGAGAAAAAGAAAAAGCGGAAGAAAAGGAAAAGCTCAGCTTCCACGCTTGTCCTCTTCAGGACTAGCGGCCTTGGCAAGCGAACTGCCAACTCGAGGTCTATCAATGTTGACTTGGATTCATTGGCATTATATTCGACTTGTATTCGACTCTGTACAACTAGTCATGGGGTTCCTGCTGGTGCTCTTCCTGGTCTTCTTTGCGCCACTGCTACTGTTCGTCGGTGAGTGCTGCTTATACCCTACCGACCCAAAGCTTCCTAGGTATAGGCGACTAACTCCAACCAGCATGGCTTGCAGCTTCATCTTGTCTCGGTAACCGCCTTCGATCCCGCGAAGCCGGACTAGATGCCTATGGCTCGAGCTATCTTCGAACCATGGCCAACTCTGGGCCCGCCATGTCGGAGCAGATCGAGATGGACGATATGCTAGCAGAACCAGGAATCCGTCGCCATTTCGAGGAAGACGATTGATTGGGAACAGTACAAGTTGTCTCAAAACTCGAGGTCTGACTTCTTTGGCATACCACCAGCAGCCGATGCATCCTGCGCTTCGGTGTCTCCTTCAGCCGGCGGCAGACTGAACGGTTTGATCTCAAATCGCCGACGACTCAGAATAAACGCCCAGTCTTGTCCAACATTCTGATCACTTCCACCGCCACGTTCGTGTAGCACTGGGAGTCTATGTGTCTTGAGCATACCCTGTGGGGGTTCTTCTTGAGATGTCGCCGCTCCCGAAGTAGCCGTGGCATCTGCAGAATGGGGAAAGGGACAAAGCTCAATGACACCGTCGCTCAGCAATTCAATCCAGCGAACCAGACCCGACGACCGAGGGAATAGAGAAAGAGGAAATGTTATCATCGCAGTGACACGAGTGGTGTATGCGCTCATCAAGGCCTTGAGGGCGTGGAAGAACTGGAGTACATGCTCGGATTGGCATGCGTTGGGCGGGTACATTGTGGGGTTGAGTAGAGACGGAATAACAATGCGGTGGATCGTGTTCGTGGGACTGGAGGAGATTGCTGCCTGGAGACTTTTCAGGATAGGGAGGAATGGCGATTCTTTGGTGGGAGCGATCGGGATGAAGGTCATGTTCGTGATAGACGGGTGGGTGAGACGTTTTGTGAGGTCAAAGGCGTGGCAAAAAGCGGGTGCCTCTTTCGCAGCTGGATCCTGGACTCCCGGAGTAGCAGGGGCTATTGCCATTAGCATAATGAAGCTCGAAGCAATCTTCTATCTCAATGCTCACCGTCGCGTGAACCAGCGACACCTGCGCCAAACTCGCCCAATCGCTCGTAACGCCATGCAATTTTCATGCGATCATCCTTGCGTCTGTCAGACCTCTTCTCATCGAGAGACTCGGCTGAGCCGATCAGACCAGGCAAGCTACGACCCCATTGCTCTGGCACTCCCACCACATGGATCTTCTGTTCTTGAATGATGCCCTCCGCCGCATAGTATCGGAGTAATGCGCCAGCGAAATCGGTGGTTCCATTTTCTTCAACAAGCAAAAGTTTGCCCATAGGAAGTCCTGCATGTCCTGCAAGCAGATTGTCTAGAGACCGGGTGCCTGTCGAGGTTGTTGGCCGACCATCGTCTGGGGAGGGGCGGATGCCAGGCGTCTCTGGCGTAGCTGGCTGTTGTGCGGCATTGGGAGCAGCTGAGCGGTCGACACCAGGGGATAGCCCGATATTCCTCTTGCGAAACGACATCGCGCAGAATTTGAGAAACAATGAAATCCAAAGTCAAGCTGTAGTTCAAACTCCCCTCGTTATCGGCGGGGACCAAAGCGGCAGAAAAAAAAGCTTCCATTCTCCGATCTCCTCTCCGCTCCGCCTCCAACTCTTCTCTTCACCACCTCGCGATCCCACCATTGCAGCCTTACAAGCCTATCTAAACGACCGCGTCATAATCTGCACATCAGCTGCAATCCCAAATCGCTTTCAATAGGCCAACAATTCAGCAATCGCACTCGCAAACATGTCCGACCCGCTCCTCTTCGAAGATACCTTCACGATCACCGCGATCAACGCTCAGAAGTACGACCGGGTATCCCGTCTCACCTGTACCTCCAACGATGCTTCCCTGACCTTCACTTTGGATGTGAACTCTGAGCTGTACCCATGCGCCGTCGGCGAGTCGCTGTCTCTCGCTCTCGCCTCGACTCTTTCTCTGGACGGCAAAGAGAACACTCGCGCTAGCTGGAGGGAAGTCAGCCTGGGCGATGCGACCCTGGCTGATGACTACGACTATGTTTGCCACGGCAAGGTCTACCGTTTCGAGGAGGGTGCCACCAAGGATACCATGTGAGTCTTTGTCTGGCTTTTCTTCAAGCCGGGATTCTTGATTGAAGAGAAACAAAACTGACTCAATTCTGCAGGGCTGTCTTTGTGTCGTTTGGTGGACTTTTGCTCTACCTTGAGGGCCCCTACAAGAAGCTTGCTCCTCTCCGAATCGATCACGTTTACTTGCTCCTAAAGAAATAAGTTAACGGTTCTTGGGATCATCACTTTGGTAAAGACTTTGGCATGGGATGAATTTGGCTTCGCTCTAACTTCTGGGCTATGGCCAGGAAACAAAAGTCTGTGTATTCAAGGGGAGATGTTCATGTTCTTATCGGGTGCAGCGCAGGCGTTTTTTGCATTTTGATTTGATTATACCAATAGATCATCATCGAACTAAACATGATCTTCATGAAATTGATGATAGGAATCTTGACCTTTGCTGGAATCTTTTAACATTCATTATAGACTATGAGGTAATCAACAACAGAGCCGACCGCTCTTACATGCAATTGAGGCTTAACATCGTCCGCGGTGTCTTCAATGTGTTCCTAGCTTTTCTTCCAAAGTCTAGCTTGAAAAAGAATCGGCCCAGCGGGTCATGTTCAAGGCTCAAGAAAACAAAGGAAGTTACTTGATCAGATTGATATCTTGAAGTTACAACAGCACTGCTCATTCACCATTCACGAGGAATGTAGGAGATTGGAAAATGCAAATTTTGACATGAGTCAAAGTCGATCAGAAATGAATATTTTCATATGCAATATGTACTGTATCAAAATCCCCCAAGCAGGGAAATTCCACCTCAACAATGCGAAGCAGTAGGATATTCCAAACGACGATGCAACCTAGCAACAATCTGCAAGAAATCCGGTTCATTCTCAGCGGTCAGATAACCATGCCGAATAAAGAAATCAATCATGATATTAGCACAATTAGGCTTGAACTCGCCGCGGGCAAGCGCCTCTTGAACCTCCGGAATAGAAAGCAACCTGAACTCCTCCACCTCATTATCACCCGGCTTCGGAATAGTCGACGAATCAAGCTTCAAATCATAAACATACTCAACCTCCGGCTGAATCAGACCCGTTTCACCGCCAGCACGCGCATCCCGCACATGCGAGTATGTCACACATCCTCTGGAAACGGTGGCAGCTCGGACGACCGCTTCAGGGAGGGAGGCTTCCTCCATTGCTTCGCGGACGATGCATTCGAAGGGCTTCTCGTCTGTGCACATACCACCCGCGACGGTGTTGTCGAGCAGACTCGGGTAGGTCTGCTTCGTCTTTGAGCGGCGGGGGATCCAGATCTTGAGACCGTCGGCGTCTTCCACGTAGCAGGTCATGTGGGCGCCGTAGGAGACGATGCCGAAAAGCGGGGATGCGCTCCGTTCCATGTCCAGGATGAATTCCCCGCCGGGGCCGTAGACGGGATACTGTTCGTTGCGCCATCCGCGGAGCACTTCGAATTTGTCTTGTCGGACTGCTTCGGCGATGCTGTCTGCCACGAGCTTGCTGCGGTGTGCGGGGTCGGCGTCTGCTGGTGCTACTAGGGTCACGGTGCGGGCGGTTGAGTCGATTGACCAGCAGTTTTCTGACCAGGGGAATTGGTCAACGACTGCATTGAGGATGTAGCCGAGGGTTGCATTGTAGCCGGTGACTTTGAAGGCGTGGTAGTTGGTTAGATTGGCTGTGTATGCGGCGCGGTCATCTTCATAGTAGGGGAAGCTAGCTCGGAGTTAGATAGGTATGAGGTTGAATGAAGAAGGTATCCATACTTGTCGCATTCGCCGACCAACTCCAAGTTTGATTTGCCCATGATGCTTAAACGGTGCACTATTCTTGTTGTCCAGCGAAGTCCAAAGCCAAACCAAACCCTTATCGGCGCGATAAGGGCCCCTCTTATGTCACTTCGAAAATCAGGTCAGCTTGGAGCTTCCTTTTCTCTTCACAGCTCCGAATAGCTCTCTACAGAAGGCCCCGACACTCCTCCTCCAACCCCCGACTCCCGCGACACGCATATCTCAGTGCACCATGTTCTCAGTCGTGATCCCCGGCCGACCATGTCTAACAGACATAGTCGCAGTAGACAGCCAACCCAACGGCCAAGCAACCAAATTCGCCTTTACAATTCCATTGAGTCCCACATTCAGCGAACTAGTCGTCTTCCTTCTGCCAGGAACAATCCTGCCACCAAACACAGGCGCAGCCATCTACGCCCAACTCCCAGACCCGACAACAGGCCAACCAACCGACTTCCGCTTCATCGGCGCACTAGCAAATGAAAAGCCCTCGGGCATATTCACCGTCCGACCACCCAACCCGGCGCGCACAGAAGCCGAGCAAGAAGACGACATGCTCGACGAAGGTGGGAACAACGGCCCCAGTGCTGGCGTCTTGACACTCGGCATCTCGATCGAAGAGGTGCAGGTGATTGCGCCACAGCTTGCTGCGCTTGAGGCGGAGATTATGTCTGCCGGCTCCGGGTCTGGGTCCGGCTCGACGGCCCTGGTGATGCAGGGGTCTGGATCTGCGCAAAGGCAGATCTCGACCAAGGTGCTTGCGCAGCGGATTATTGGGAGTGCGTTTAACTTCCTGGCTAGTTTTGCGGAGTCGGATAAGGGTCAGGATGTTGTGCCGCTGAAGAGTTTCCGGGATTGGTGGACTAAGTTTGAGCGAAGGATCGAAGTCGATCCTACTTTCTTGGAGAGGCAGGATCCTAACTCTAATTCTTGAGTTGAGATTGGGGTTGGGAACTGAGGGTTAGGGCAGGGTGTGGTGTATATTTTGCATTTAGGATCGAGCGACTGTCCTTTCGGTGTAGATATGTTTTGATACGTGTGACGATATGATGCTTTTCCTATAAATTTTGGTGTTCTGTATACAAAAATCGAAAGTGACAAAACATATTGAGCTTATCCAAGCCTAATATATTCGTACGGTTGTTCATCCAGGTATTGCTATATTCATGAGCTGTTCATTATGTACCCATCCAAAGCAATATATATACAAATCAAAAGTCAAAGCGCCTATGACCCAAGTGAATAACAGCAGACCAAAACCTATAAAGCAACCCAAACAACCAAATCCCGACCCAGTCCCAATCCAACCATATGCTCACATAGCCCATAAACAACAAAAACCCAAAATCACATAGAAACCCGATGATGCTGATGCAACGAAGAATCAGGCCTCACTCGAAGCCCCGGCGCATAGCACAGACTGTACAGCTCATCGACGTAGGTCAACGGCGTAGTAGGCAGCTCGCCAGCAGCAACGATAGTCTTAGCTTCACTACACAGCGCATTACTAGTCTCATGAAGACGAGTAATGTCCACGCGCACCTCCTTGTGAACGGTGATGTCGCCCAACGCGGTAGCAGCAGGCTCAACGAGCGATTCCGTCGAGGTCATGGAATGAGAATGGCCGGTGCGATGGGGCCAGAGCTTGGAGATGGCCATGCGGGCTGACGAGGCGATGTCAGATTCTGTGGATGAGGAACCTGAGCGGACATCTGTGCAGAAGAGTTCTTGGCCTAGTTCGCGCGCGAACCCTTCTGTGTCGGCTATGCTGTCGTTGACTTGCTGTTGTACGCGGAAGAGGCGCAGCGGGGTGAAGATGTAGTCTGGGTTGGGGACTTGGGTGTCTAGGGTGCCGACGACGCAGAAGGTGATGAGTGTGCAGTTTGATTGCGGGAAGGATTCTTTGGAGGTTGAGGCTGAGGATGGGCGGGTGCGACAGGGTGCTGTGAGAGGGCGGGCGGATAGTTGGGCAGCGGAGCGCATATCCTCTGGAAGGGATTTGGAGAGAGAGGAGATGGACTTGGAGAGGTGGTTGCGGAATTCGGAAAGGTTGGGGAAGGTTTGAGAGGCTGCTGGGGAGGATAGGTAGCGGAGGCAGGTGGTCATTGACCAGCCTTCCATGTGTGTGAGGAGCTCGAGGTGTTGGACTTGGAGGTTCTTTATTGGGAGAGTGGAAGATGGGAGAGGGTTGCCGATTCCCTTTACTGTCAGGATTTCGAAGTGGTCGTGAATTGAGGGTCGCATAACATAGGAGATCAAGTGGACGCCTTCTTCGAAGCCGCGGCTTGAGCTGGCATAGTCGCGCATGTCGCGGAGAGCGCTGGTTAGATTGGCTTCGGGGACGTGGATGCGGCGGGAGATGGTTGAGGTGACATGTTCGATGGTTGCGAATCGGAAGCCTTGCGAGGCGAGTCTTGCTGCTTCGTTCTTCTGCAGTTGGCGGACTGTGAACATCAACTGGCCTTTGCCAGTGCGGAGAGATGACCGGCCCATAGCTTTGGAGATGCGAGAGACTGGGATGGCAGTGGAGAGGACATCGTCGTAAAGCGTGCCCAGATCCTGTAGAGGCTGTCGGAGTTCCTCTGACAGCTCTTGAGCCGTGACACAGAAGAGTTGCTTGAACAAAGTGTCAAAGTCAGTCTGCAACTCGGTCTCTTTATCCATGAACACGCCTCGAGAGAGCATATGTTGCTGAATGGCACGTCCCTCCGAATCCAGACGGTTTCGCATGAACGGAACAAGATCCTTGATGACAGGCCAATTGCGAGTAGCCCTAAACGCCCACAAGAAGGTAGGGTGAGTACGAGTGAGATCGTCGTCCTTGAAAGTCCGACCAATGTAATGATCGACGATCTTGCGCGTTGGGAAAAGAGCCTGGGGCGTAACCATGACTCGGCCATTGGGATCGAAATAGGCACAAGCGAGAACAAGCTGATGGGCACGAGTAGTCGACTTTCTGCGGTTTCTACCGGCGACAATCGCACAAGCAGACAAGATCACACAAGCAACACAGGCCTAATCGCCGTTAGCACACACTCGACCCAAGGGAGAACTTATCAGCACATACCAACACAGCACAGATAATCACCACCTGACTCCTAGACAGCTGCTGTCCATTGGTGATCTTCTGATTATGATCGCGATAGATTGTACCAACGGCAGCCGTCCAATGCATGCCAGAGACAGCACCGGCCAGCAGACAAGCACACAGCCCACGCCTCCACCAACTATCAGTCCAAGATGCCCTCCACCGGAAAAAGATTCCCAGCGCAGTAGTACTGGAGAAGATAGCGATGATGGCTGATCCGACCACATTGGCTGGGTGGTATGAGCAGCGATAATTAGAAATACCCAGTTGACCGACATAGTGCATCCCACAGACAGAACTGCCAGTCAGCAGTCCTCCTACCAGAATGCGAATATATCCCGCCTTTTCCTCGACGCCGACGGCATAAAAGGCAAATAATAGCACTGCAACCGGGAGTGCGAATGAGGTTCCCGTGAAGGCGACGTTGTATAGGATCTGGATATTTCCTTCGCCGTTGCCGAGCACGATGGCGCGGTTGCCGATGAAATGCATACACCAGATTCCTATGCCGCCCATGGTGATGGATGATGTCAAGAGGAGGTACCTTTTTTTGGATGTGAGTATGTAAACAGGAAATCGTTTGGCGGCTACTGAATAGAGTCATGGATGTCTACGAACCAGTTGTATAGACCGGATCTTGATGTCCGCCGGTGGAGAAGCTCCAGTGTAGTTGCGCATCCCATGGCGCTGATCACATATGACAGGATGATATACCCAGCCAGATATGACACGCGCACGGTGGCTTCCCCGCCAGACTCATGGTGGGTTGCGTTCGACATTTTTATAGAACTGAAGGAAGGAAAGAAAGTCGAGAGATGATAGCCCTACTCGAGGATTGGCATTGGGTGGGGACGAAGATGTCAGAGATCGGCGTGATAGACACTCGAGGAGCGGGGTATATAGATGCGATCAAGTTGGCGACATGGAGGAAAGAATCAATAGAGAGGAAGTATATATAAGAGAGAGAGAGTGTGTGTGTGAAATATGGAGAGAGAGAGAGAGGGAGAGAAATAGTATCCCAAGAGCAAGTAATCCAAGCTAGAGGTAGGGATTAAAAAGCAGCCAGACGTCAGCATCTTATAAGAACCAAACGACTGGATCACTCCACAAGCGTCTCAACTCGCATCTGCTGGCTCTGGAGCCAGCAGAATCCTCCGACCACAAGCCTCGTGAATGGAGTCGACGTATACGACCTGCATATGGGCGCCCCTCTATCTAGGCGATGTTAGCTCCAGGGCCACGCTCCGCGTGGCCGTATCGAGGCTACTACCAGAAAGTCAATGAGGTGCTGAAAAAAGTTTCGGATTAATCAATCTGATCCAGCAGCGTGGACGATGGGATGGCTTGGAGGGGATCCATTTGCTCAGCTGGTGGAGTTTCGAAGCGAGCAAGTCCATGCAAAGACGCCATTCGCGAGATCTAGATCGGATCGGGCTGAGCGGGAACTATGGCCGTGCACTGACTAACCGGCTTCATTTCATCGTGACCGTGGAAACTACTTTCCTCTTCCAGGGTCATATCACAGATTACTATCTTTGCTAGATTAACTTGGTCCTGGGATCGCTTGCTGAATGACTATCCCACTCTCGGTCCCTCCGAATCCCACACTGGCATCATGTAAATGTGTGATCAAATCAATCTACATCTGCCCTAACTCAGCTGCGCCAGTCCAGCCCCACCAAGAGAAAGGAAATGGGGTCAACGTCTGTGGATAAAAGGAATGTGGATGAGACCTCTCTCTCTCTCTTCATCCCACAATCATATATGAAAACTGTCCGGGTTCAATTGTGAAGGACGAACCGTTCATCCGGGTATGCAAGTCCAAGCAATCCGGCGATGCATCACATCGCCAGAAATGGAACACGAACACCCCCCCCAAACAGGTTATCCTAACAGGGAATATGACTGGACAACAAACAAACCAGTTCATGGCAAATAATAGATTAATTTAAATTTGAAGTCCAGGATCACGACCATGACCCTGCCGCTAATCTAATACTATCTAGCACTAAGTCAGACTAGACAGGGGGGAGGGAAGGGACACTATGGCCAGGCACAGGCATCACAGGGCAGGGGTAGCACAACTAGAGTAGCATCCCGGATAGAAAGCAACAGAAGACTGTACAATGGACAGCCAGGTCGAAGAGTCATTGGACCTCCCTAGCTGAGTTAGTGAGAAAAATCCTCGAAAGGCAAGACCCATCCACAATTGTTCGGCAGGCAGAAGAGTGGAATCGATCTCTCACGCTAGTTCCGGGGCGTTGTCTGCTCCGATGCGCTTTTTCCCTTTTTGGGATGTTCCCGCTTTGAGGGATATCGCGCCACAGCAATTTCTCGAAATGAAGTGCATATTCATATACTCTAGAGTATAACAAAACATAAACCATTGCTAGTCTATCAGTGCCAGTCCCAGAACTAGTCCTAGAACCAGTTAGATTCAGGACTATGACCGTGAAGACAGCAATATAGCCTGATTACTGTACCGTAGTCTAATCTCGGCACACACCGAATCCACCACAGCCCACAGCCCACAATCACCCCGAATCGAAGCGTCGGCTAGATCAAACACCGTCCACCCCCAGCAGCATGTGACTTGATCATTTGTTGCCACCCGCAGAAAGCTCGCGATTGCGTTCGACAGGTATGCAGGGCCTGCAGAGCCTTTGTGCATGTCCCAGGACCATGGAAAAAAAAATGTGGCAATTGAAACCTACTGTACGGAGTACTGTACAAGCAAACTGCATGCACACTGTACAGTACAGCACAGTCCAGTCCAGAGGCCAATCCTGCATTTTTGCAATCCTACAAGCATGCAGTTCGCGCACCGCAAATAACTTACTGTAGGCTTCCGAGTCCGCATGCAGAAAGCTGCATGTGAGATATCACCCCGATAAGAGAACCCACTAGAGTGCACGAAGAATAGAACTGTATTTCACTTCACGTTCACCTGGCCAATCCCTTACAGTACTGGCATGGGCTGTCAACCGCATGGCGATTGCGTAGGTGGGGTCCAGTGCGTGAGATAGGTAGAACGGTACTGTATGCTGTAGGTAGTCCGGAACGGCGGTCCCGGTGAGAGGGTATCTGGGTCATTGTTTGCTCTTCGTATATGTAGGCATTGTGGCTTTTGTGATGCTTGGAAGGTTTGTATGCATCACTTTCTAGAGGGTTTTGTTTATGAGTCGTGTAGTTGACGTGCGCCTTGGAGTTTATTCTTGGGGTGGTGGTGGTGGTGGTGGTGGTAGGGCTAGGCTGGCTTGGGTGGATGTGTTGTGTCTGGTTTACTGTACTGGAGGAGAATGCGCTATTTACTGGGTCGAGGTTGATATGAGGTGTGGAGGGTTGTGTCCGTGTACTAGGTTGTTTGGGGTGGACTTCGTATTATATTAGGTTACTGGGTCTGGGGCTGACTACAGTAAAAGGTCAAGCTGAATGGTTCGCTATAGTGCGCATAGGCAAATGACTCTTTGCTCTTTTGTGGTATGAGTCTCATACAGTGCTTGAGCTCGGAGATGTGCGCTGTGTGGTATGGCTGCGGGGAATTTCGATGCAAACTGATGCAGGTCAGACCGGTTGATCGGCTGCATGCATGCTGCAAGATAGTACTTTGTGCAAGTGCTAACAGCAGGTTCGAGAAGGCTGTATGAGACCTTTTCCGGTTACTAGAATGTCGATCACACCCTGATTCAAGGTCATCCACGTTGTGATTTGATCGTATACCCTACACATGAGGCCTTTACTGTAGATAATGTGCTGCGATGCAATGCGACACACCACGCGACATCATAGACCAATGCAGCTACACCACCGCTACAACAAAGCACGAGAAATGACCCGTGGCCAGCAATGAAACTGAAGATATTCAAAAAGGGTATTCAGAATTTCTCAACGAAAAAGCCCCCTAAATAGGCAACAAAACAATAAATCATGTCAAGCACATTTAGGCAAGAACAGCTTGCAAACCAGCCTGGATAGCAGGAGGGTTAGCACCCTTGACTTCCTGAACACGCTTGCCGTTGTTGTAGAAGTGGAAAGTGGGCATGGCGGAGACACCGTTGTCGGCAGCGACGTCGGAAAGCTCGTCAACGTCGACCTTGTAGAACTCGACGTTGGTGTTGGCCTCGCTCAGCTTCTCGAGGAGAGGGGAGACGGCCTTGCAGGGACCGCACCATGTGGCGAAGAAGTCGACGATGACGGGGCCTTGAGCGTCAGTGACCTTGGTCTTGTACTCGGCGGCACTATTATCGGGTCTGTTAGTCTTTGATTTTGATTTGAGTTGATTTTGGCTGTGTTTGTGTTTCGAGCCCACTGAAGCGAAGTTGGGGGTGGTTTATGATTTGTTCTGCTCGTGCAAAAGCGAGCTCGCCGGGGTCGGGAGTGTGCAACTCACGTTGTGATCTTAGTAACACCCATTTTGAGAGAGGAAGGCGTGAAGCGAGTAATCGGGGTGGTAGAGAATGAACGGTGAGGACGAAGAGTCTTGAGTAGAGGAGAGAAGCGGGACATGGACTGTTTAAAATTAAGTAAGAGGGGCACTTTCGGAGGGGCTCTGAGCTTTTATAGGGCCATGACGTTCGGCGAGAACGGCTTATGTAAGACTGAATAATGGAGAAGACTCTGGAGGTGTCGGAGCCATCGGGGGTCGGGGATTGGACATTGGGTGATAGGGAGGCAAAGGTAGCCAATGGATAGCAACCGTAGAAGGAGTCAAGGACTTACTGTAGTCATCGTGATAATTTGTCAGGTTGCTGGGGTGGAAGAATGTCCAGATGCCGATGTTCCAGTTCTCGACAGGGGTGGATGACGTGATCGTGCTTACAAAATGGACGGTGCCTGGACTAACGTGAACAGTCTATGTCGAGTACTGGATTTAACGAGCAGAATCACAATGATTTTGATATGTCAGGATCTTTAAAAAACTATAAATGGATTGATTATATGATAAGATTTAGATGGCGTCATGTGGCAAAATGTATTCGTCTATACTTCGGTGAAAACATCATGCTCAGTCATAACGAAAGAAACAAATAGAGCAAAGCCAGCAGTTTATGTGCAAGATAATATATCAGAATGCAAAGCAAAGCGACAGAAACAACAAACAGGGGGCGAAGGGGGTATCAACAAAATCGAAAGACACTTAGCAGTCAGACCAAGCAATAATAATGTAATACAGGGCAGCGATATCAGAAATCGTACAAATGGCCATCCGGGCAACTTCAATCACATATGGGTCTGACAAAGGAAAGTGACAAAGGAAAGATGTTTTAAGGAATGACAATTTAGTCGGGTTCACAAGTCAAGAGGTTGACGGATGAATGAGTGACAATGGGCGGGTTTGGACGTTGGACCCTGTGGAGGTGGAAGAAGAGGGAAGATGGCGTGGATTGTCCCACGCTACTCTGCATATCCAATCTCAGCTTTGGCACTGGGGATTCTTTGCAGATTGGTAGGAGGTGCCTCTTCCATGGTATAATCTTGTTCCGTCGAGATGGGAGAAGGACAAGGTATGCCTCGGAGCATTCCCTGCGTAGACTTGGGCCGGATAACAGGATTCACAAGAACGGGGCGACGGCCAACTTCGTTATGCCAAGTCTCAGCAAGATTGCTGGCCTCGGGTGTTGCCTCGTTCGGATACTCTGTGTCACCCAGGACATTGCTGCTGGGACGGCGAGATTCGTCAATGGAATCGAGGTCATCCTCCGGGTCATCCTCCTCCGTGGGCCCAAAGGAGTTCAAGTTGGTCCGGACAGGACTGCTGGGTTTCTGGGACATCCGTTTGAAGAATTGACCTGACATCCAAGATCCCTCGGAATCAATAGAGGCGAGAGACTGTGAAAGAGGCACATTGTCGGACTCGGCATCAAAGCTTTCCGCAGTCCATGACCGGTGGTGGCGTCGCTTTGGGTTTTGAATGTCCACGGCGGCGCTAGGCGCAGGACCTCGTAACACCGTCTCCTCATTTTCGATAGACTCCGACACTTCGGGAATGTCTGGTGACTGGAGACGTGAGTCGGGTGGTGACAGGGGCTCGTCCCCAAAGTGTTCGGTGAACTTGGATTGAGAACGCTTGATAGGGTTGGTAGGAACGAGTAGCCTCGGGGGAATGATCGAGGGCGGAGGGGGTGATGATTGTGTCTGAATTTTGTAGAAGGATTCATGAGAAGCGTTGGATACTTCTGGGGATGTGTCGTGGAAGCGTTCTTTGTATCGTCGTTTGATACGGGAAGAACCCCGTCGGAATAGGGAGGTGATGGTATTCCCCCGGCGACCGCTCGTGTCAGAGAGCCGGCGTTCTGAGTCGACCCCCTTGGAGATATCCGATGTAGAGCCGGCTCCAAAGGTTTGTGAGTGGCTTGGGCTGCTGAGCCCTTGGCGGAGAGAGGAGTGAGAAGGCGAAAGAGTAGTGCGGGACATGGTAATGTCGTGCGACGGGGCAAAGCTGGGGCGCTGAACCAGCCTATGTTCCCGCACGGAACTATCATCGATGGTGCCGATAATTCGCGAGTCCAGCGAGTCGCGTCCAGTGCGTATGCTGGCTCTGGAAGCTCCCCGTAACCAGGACCCGGTCTCTGCCACAGGCGGTTCGACTGATGGGTCCTCGCGGATATCCTCCTGCATTTCTTCCGGAATCACCTCGTGGGTCGGCTGGGATTCGACGGCAGATGGCTGGGTGAGTTCAGGCTCCGGTTGTGATGTCTCGGGTTGCGTTTCCGGCTCCGAGGCTTTCTGTTCGTCAGCTGCTTGTTGCGCATCGGCTCTCTCCTGCAGCTTCCGCCTCAGCTTCTCCTGGTCGTCCAGCTGCTTTTTCTCCCGGCGACGGCGGTCTCGATCCAGTAATTCGCGGAGAGCACCGGCATCTAAAGAATCCGCGAGTTCGTTGACGCGTCGTTTCGAGTAGTATAGATCCTCCTCCGACATCGTCATCGCTTTCAGACGCTCGCTATCCTGTCGACGGGAGGCCGGCGGGTTACTACTTCGAGCGGTCTGCAGACGCGGTGCTTCCACATAGCGAACAACGGGGCGAGGCGTCAGAGCGGCAAAGGCATTGACCTTGTACGTGTAAGGGTCGGACATGTCAGACGTGGACGAGGTCGCGGAATCTCGGATGGAGAGGCTGATGTCAGACATGAACCGGTCGGCACGCCTTCCGTTTGCCTTTTGCCGGCGATGTTCCAGCCCATAGTCGGCGGAATGGTGGGGGATATCGATCGGGATAGACGACATCATGCGAATCTCCCGTTCCCGCATGATTTCCTGGGCCTTGCGCTTGCTCAGCCTGCGGCGCAGTTTATTCGGGCCATTTTGACTCGGTTTGCGCTTGAGTAAGGAGGCGGATCGTGAGGGTGGACGTTCGCGCGACGTGGTCGTGTGATCGGCGAGGGAGGCAGGGCGGTCCAGGGATGAGATAGGTCGGTTCGCCTGCACGAGCGCAGAGCTGCGTCGGCTGTCTGCGGCATCACCCGCGGGTGTGCGGTTGCTCGGGCGTTTGGCATGACGAGAAGGTTTGCGGCCTAATGTCGGTTCTTCAGCAAACGTCGCCTGGAGGTCTGCGGCTTCGGCACCATCTACTTGGATGGTATGCCGCTTGTTCTTGCGGCCAAAGGGCCATATCGCCATGACGAGCCAAATGATCAGTGGCTATCCAGGTCAGATCGGTTGGAACTCATGGAGAGTAAGCGGAGAGGTGTAGAGTGGACTAAGAGGGCCATGGGAAGAAAGAAGGGGAAAGTGGAAGTAAAGAAGGAAAGGAAAGAAAACAAAAGGCACACAGAGACAAAGGGCGAGAGGCTTGGCATAAGAATCACCAGCGAAATCCAAACCAAACCAAACGGAAATTCGAGTGACACGGGTACCTGGTACCTGAACCTCTTTCGTCCAATGTTGATCCTGTATTTCTGACTCGGACTGTCTAGATTCCTCGTTTATTGGAAATTGGCAGCTGTGGGGGATATCCACTTAGTGACGAAGTGCAGAGGGCAAAAAAAAAGGTCAGACTTCTATTCCCCTACTTGGCTGTCCTTCCAGTCCTGAGGGTCGATGATATATGATCCTGTATCCTCACTTGCATCCCCTAACCGATGCCTATTAGTCTCCCCTAACGCATCGGGGGACAATATTTGCATTTGCTGCTTCACGTCTACACGGGAAGCCAAGCCACCGTTTACGCCCGGTGGAACCCAACCGAGGTGGTCCAGCCTGTCTAAACAACAGAATAGAGACGATCTTGCGCTCTGAAGACACTGGACAGTGTACTTGGGTCATCTGAGATGGCAAACTCTGCCCATCCGACTATTGAGCTAGACTCGTTCTTAGGAGCAGGGTCTAGGGCCTAATAGGTAATGATGAGGACTGTGTGGATGGATCGGCGAAATTCGCCGAGTCCATTAGTTTATTAGCCCGAGGTGGAGTTGTGTTTTTTTTTTTATTTCTCTTCAATATCATTGTACTCAATTATTGCCATGTTAGGCGAAGTGGTCTGCTCAGATAAGAGAGATCTAGATTCCTCCTTACTGGGGGTTTCATCCCTGGTCCGAATCAACAGGTCTCAGGTCTCTCGTGACTGCCTCAGCCTTAAGCAATGCCAGTCAAGAAACGGACACTGGTGACTAGTATTTCACCCCCAATTTGACGTGCAATCTAGCGTGACAACGGAGGCCCAACTGAGAACCGGCGGATTCCGAGGTCGTAGGGAAAAAACCCCACGTAAGGAGCCAACTGCCAGATCAATAATGTCGACTCACCCTGTCCAGTACAAGGGAAAGCCAACTCCCTCACCGCACAATGTCTGATCTATTTTGGTCTTGGGGTCCTTGGAAGGGGGCAAGTCCATTGAAAATTCGCCACGAAGGCGACTGATCATAACCAATGACCATTCCATACACACAGCTGGTAATTGGCCTAAACAAAGAGAATACTGTAAAACCAAAAAAAAAGAAGCAGCCAACACCAGACCGCCCCCGAGATAAAACGCCCCTACCCGATCTCAACCAAACGCCAATCTCCAGCCCAAAAAGACAAATAACAAACCAGCACAACCCCCCTCTGACAGCTCATTCCGGCTATCCGCTTCCATGCCAGGTGTCCCTCGACAAATGGCCACCACAATATAATATAACTGATACCCCCGAGCGATACATACGTGTATAGTATCAAACCAACCCAATCCAGTCCAATTGCATTGCATTGCATTCCATTCCAACCGTTTTTTTTTTGCCCCCCTCCCCACACATGAGAAGGAGATCCGACTCAATGGCTCTCCCTCTTCCGAAGCCGATTAGGCTCCCTTTCCAAAACACTATATCGGCACCTCGTCCGTCGACTCAGTAATCGCCGAATCGACCACGAGCCCGGACTAAAACTGCGTGTATCGGACTTGGCCTCGGATCCGACCCCAGATCCTGACCCATCCCCGAATCCTGGAGATGGATGCTGGGAGTCGGTGTGAGTGTGAGGGTGGGTGTGGGTGTCAGGCTGGGGTTGAAGATTGGTAGGCAACTGTCGGGCATCCATCGTCTCAGACTGTGGAGTTGAATCTTGTGTAGAGTTTGTGAGGTCGGATTCGGAAGGATGCGGTGATCGGATGTTGGCTTTGCCTCTGGCGTATGTGGCTGTCGACACTGCAAGTTCAAGGTATGTTTTCAGATGATTTCATTTTCTCGAAGTATCGGGTTTGGGCTTGTTTGGAAGCGGGGTTGGGAACTTGTGGGGCGGTTGGAACTGGACGGGACTTGTACTGGGTACAGAGGTCGGCTTGTACTGGGATTCTGCTCTTCAAGGAATATCTCTTCCCTTTTGGAAGGGTCTTGGTCTACATTGTAAGCCGCATGGTTGGCTACATCTGACATCCGGTAATTTCCAGGTGGCTGAGAGGTTATTTGGCGTCAAGTGATCGAGTGATGATGCAGGTGACCTTCGACAGCTGTAGGTGTGCATGTTGAGGACCGGGGGTTTTTTTTGGTAGGATGGGAATATGGTGCTCCCAAACTATATTTCAAACTGGTAGTCCAATGTGGTATATTCACATTAAGTTAGTTGTTGTATTGTCGCGTGCCGGTCAACCTTTGCCATGTTGATCATTGCCAATAATGTATCTTCACTGACTATTTGCCCAAGTCTCTATTGCCAGGCATGTGAATATAACATGAATTCTTCTGCCTTCTACTACGTCATGCTTATTCGGATTGTTATAGCATGTCGTGAATGAGTCAGACTGCCATCTTCTTTGAACCATGTAGATCTATATCAAGTCAAGGCAGCCGAAGAGACCGGTGAGCGAACTCTACTTTGAATATCTGAGTATACTCCACTAGTAGGGCAGCAAAGTTACTCGCTACTGAAAAGCGTAAACTGCCCTGTGATGTGAACAAAGTTTCATAGTTCGATACGATGGACAATGTGGTGCCTTCATGTTAGCCGACCCGAACCTGAGATCCACGTCTTTTCTTTCTTTGAAGAAACTCCAAATTCCTCCCAGGACAGATCATTCAGCACCACTGTTGCATTTAATATATCCAAAGACCTGAGCCCAGTCGTTCGGTTACAGACACTCGATCCATCACATTATCCCAAACTAGGTCTCTGCGTATCAACGAAAACTCCTGAAGAAACACGGATCGTCAGAATGAAGACCCCAAGGCGGTCTAGCTCAGCACCAAAGAGCCTGGACTATCTCGCGTAGCCTCAGATTCGTCCCCACTCATCCACATCCAAATCTGCGCTAACTTTTCTTGCTCGTGTGGAATCAGACATGCACGACTCAGGAAAGACCTGCAAAGAAGACCGGGTCCAGCCGAACTTGTACGCGATCAGCAATGTGCGAAGATCAGTCGAACAAACAGATCTGCTCTTCTCATACTCCGTATTCTCGCCGTAGGTACTGTATGCTGGCATCTTAACATGCGGTGAAGTCAAGAAGACAGCTGCACTCCACAATGTGGATCATAACAGCAACTCTACATGTACACCTCCTTCATGCTGTATACTGCCCAAAGTACATTACTCCCTTGAATGTGACCACTTCATAGATTAACAAGCAGTGGCGATATAAATCTGACGCGAGACAACTATTTATATGTATGCCCCAGCTGCATCGTGGTTCTGAAAGACACAACCCGACACTTTGTACAGACCAAGTTCAGCGATACTGGGACATGTAGAGCGTGCGAATTCAATTTCCAGTCTGGATACCTAGTAAGCACATAACACGTAGTGAGAAATCACGGCTAACAAAAAGTAGATAGACACAAGCGCCAGAGAGGACCTCACATTACATCGAGATATGATTAGGCGGGAATTGTTTTATGGGATGAGCCAAAGCACGGGATCCCACTCCGATCCTATGCGTACGGCAGTAGATGACGTGGTCGCGACTGTGAGGAGGATGCTGTATGAGGATAGGCATGCGATACGTGCAGAGCTACGGCATGAATCTCAACTGTCAAGGCAGGCGGCAAGCGAGTAACGGGGAATTAGGGCTCGATTCCGGAGAGGGAGCCTGAGGACCGGTTACCATATCCAAGGAAGGCAACAGGCGCGAAAATTACCCAATCCCGATATGGGGAGGTAGTGACAATAGATACTGATCCGGGGCTCTTTTGGGTCTCGTAATTGGAATGAGAACAATTCAAATCCCTTAACAAGGAACAATTGCAGAGCCCGTCTGGTGCCAGCAGTACCGGTAATTCCAGCTCCAATAGCGTATATTAAAGTCGTTGCAGTTAAAATGCTTGTAGTAGAACCTTGGATCTGGCCGGCCGGTCCGCCTCACCGCGAGTACTGATTACAGGGAAGACTGGAAAGCAATGGTAAGCAATCCTGACTTTTGCTATACCGTTTTCAGTAGACAAACATTCTCGATGGCGCCTTGGAGCCCGATAGTCATTCCTGATCAAAGAAACCGGATAGATCCAACTTTGCCACTGCTTCTTGGATCAGAACATCTAATATAAAGATCTGGCTCTCAAAGCGCCACGTGGTCGGGCTATAAATCTCTTCCCTGCATCGAAAGAACCTATCACTTATGTCTGTCGCTATCGTCAGGACTCGTATTACAGTAACTGTGCATTGTCTTCTCGGACGTTTGGTCTGGTGGGAGATCATCTTCGGGGGAATTTATGATTTCTGTTCTTGTAGATGGTCGACGCAAAGGAGGTTAGCTAAGGACACGGTGCCTGTTAACAAGGCATTTGAAGGTATCGACCATCAGTGATCAGCTAGCTTATGCGACTTTGGATGGAACAACTGACATCTGTGCATTAGATTTAAGAAAGTCGATCTCGGTCATATTAGGTCTTATAGTGGAATCTCGACCGTATGAGCTTTGCTTGAATTAGGCTTCTTGGGTGCCCTTCCACGGCCCGTAGCGAACCGTGGTTGCACAAAAGAGCGATACTTCTTCACTTCAAGATAGAAGAACTGGATGGTTCATATTGACAATCACCAATATTTACTGTTCTTCAGCTAGATACTGCATGACCTCAACTTTTCGAACCGAATATGAGAACCGAATATGAAAACCGAATATGAGCGAAAACCCTAATATCTTCTCAACTCGCTTCGAATCAGACCCTAATTGGTGGAAACCCTTGATGCCCAAACACATATCAGACGATCAATCACTCGAACAGGGACATCGGCCATATTACCCAAAGGTAAACCCCAGCGCAATTGTGGTCCAGTGCAGAGTAGTAAGGGCCAATATCGTCCTAACCCCGCATCTCTGCAGTCCGATAATCCGACTTGCACTCTAAATGGACGGAAGACAAATCTTCTCGCATTCGTATTGGATGGAACAATACGGAAGAAAACGTGGGAAGCACAAAAGAAAATTCAAATCTAGAATGTGTCAAGTGTCGGTCTGGTCGGGTTTAAAATCATCTGATAGTAGGAATACGAAAGATAATCACTTTTTTGTTCTTTATCCCCATCCTATTGTCCTTCTTCTCTGTTCTTCTGTCTGTTGATAGATAGACTGGTATTGTTTGATTTCTTAAATCCCCAACGTCTTCCTCATCCCCGAAGCAAAAGGTCCGGTCATTTATTGGAACCTCAGACTCTTCGTGTGTTGTCTCAGCACACTATATTAGGCCGATCACGATACATTCCCATTACAACTAAAATCCCCACGTCGTCGCTGTCTCTTTTTGACTGGGATAACCATCCAACCATGGCTGCCTTGTGGATATTTGTCGCGCTAGGCTACTTGCTGTTGTATGCCTTCGCCACGATGCAAGCCCAGGAATGGCATCTTCTCGCCTCAAACCGAATTGGAAAATGATCCTGTTGACACTATATCAGCCGTGGATCTATTTGCGAACTCCTTTGCCTCGGGGTTGCAATCAGAATGTGCATAATTACAAATTCGACCCCGGCAACATCAACGTCAACGGCGACACTACCCAGACAGCAAAAATCTTGCTATCTTGCCAAGCACTTTCTACATCAGCCGGGATGATGGTGCCCTCGCCTTTTTACTTGCGATCCGAATGAAGCCAACATTGGCTCCCGTCTCTCGTTACGTCGGCTAGTCGGCCGACATATAACTTATGTGGTTCCTTACCACATACGTTTCTGTCTCAACCAGTTTCTCCTCTTGGCTTGAAGATGCCAGAAGGAACAATCACTGTGTTGAATTTCTAGGTGGCAATTTGGAGAAAGGACAGACATCCTTGTAGCAGTCGTCACCCGCCTGCTATGAGTGCGAATATGCCATTACCGCAGCCATAAAGGCTGGAAGACATGTCGCATTCTATAACCCCAGGAATCTGCCATGATCAATGGTATATAGCCTAGACATTCCCAAGCTAGAATTGAAATTTCTCAGATAGCAATCTATATACATTTTTGGACCATCAAACTCCCACTATAACATAATGCTCTGATTGTCTGCTAGACCGCATCTGTATATTGATCTCGATCAATTTCGTTTGACTCGTAAGGGTAGGATTTGTATGAACTATCGTTCAGAGCTATCATTTCTTACTCCTCCACATTCAAGTAAATTGGGTACTATGCGTGGGATGCACCACGCTTTCACTGTGCCTTGGCATAGATCGAGTGAGTCCAGAAACAAGTTTACGTTACTTAGTAAACCGTAACTAATCTAGTTTTTTTTTTGTTTATCCCGAGTGACCACTACAAGGAAGGGTAATCTAGAATCTGCAATAGAGGTGAGTGAATACGCAGGACCATGAAATACGAGGACGGACACTATCCGAAAGCCACAGAGCGAGTATACCGGCTGGGTTGTCTGTGTCCTGCTTTGACCTCTTTCTACGCCTTCTCCCCCATTCACGCGAGCCTCCATATGATCATCCGACTAAATAGAGACAGGGATATGAGGTCTATATGGCATAAGCCGAATAGGGGAGTCCCCAGTCTTGTTCGAAAGTGATTTCTACCTTTACCCAGGTTTGAACAAGCGCTACATCAAGTCATTCTCCATAATGTCATCTAAAACTCTACCAATCGGCATCAAAGGTGGATACAGGCTATCATGTAACATAAGATTGCTTTTTTTTTTTCAAAACCAAATCTTGATCAACTCTTCGCTGACGGCACTAGGTGTCAGCACACCACTGTCCGTGATCAGCGCCGAGATCAAATGGGGCGGAGTGAAGTCAACCGAGGCGGACAGAGGTAGTTCGATGGGCCGGTCCTCATTCGTAGTTGCCTCCGAAGTCTGCTGTGTGCTCTCTGCAATGTCCTCCTCGGACTTGAAGTCAAGCACGTGCTGCTCGATGGGTAGATCATACTGTCCAAGAGGATACAAACGCACAAACTTGTGGCTCTCTGCAACCACATAGAAAGGCTTGCCAATAGCCTTGGCCAGGAGACCAATCTGATATGTTCCCATACGAGAAACGATACCTCCGTTCTCCACCACACCCTCAGCACCAACAATGACCATGTCAGCCTTGCCGAGCGAATAAGCAACTGCCGACTCGGGGATTGTCGAGACCGGAACACCCTTTTCTCTCAAAGCGCGCACTGTCTCCATACCCTCGGGCTCCTCGGATGAATCGCAAGAAGCCGTGGCAGTTGACGACAGGACATAGATAACGCGGAACCGCACAGCAGAAGGACCGCCTTCTTCATCTGCCGCCTTTTGCAATAGCGCTGAGACAGCTCGGGAGCCGCCATTTGTGAGGATAGTGCTGCCGTCGCGAATAAAACCTCGGCCGAAGTCTGCGATCTTGTGTCGGCTTTCTTTTGCGCGGCGAATGAAGAGTCGTCCGTTTGAGAGAAGATGTGTGCGAATGGCCTTGAAATCGCCAGCTGGGCCTAGCTGTCCAGGTCTTTGTAATGTGGTGATCAAGTATCTTTGGAAAAGATCGGTTCCGGCGGAGAGACCGATTGGGTTCGGAATGGATTTCTTCAGGTGGGCGGTGGACTTTTCCAACAGATCGAGCGTTTCTGATATCGTTGAGGAGGCGGATTGTGTGAGGAGAAGGACCAGAGCTTCAATGGCTGCGATAGGCATGGTAAGGTCGGGATCGGAGCACAGGAGCTCATTGTAAGTTGCGACAATGCTAAGCGATGGTCAGGTCAGGCAACTTCGGGGAGAGCGAAAATAACTTACTCGAAGGGTTTGGCACCGACCGCAGTCGTGCCTTCTGTGGTAGTCGCCATTTTACTTGAGTAGGTAGAGGATGCGAATAAAGAAAGCGACATGAAAGAAAGAGTCATGAATTTGTGTTTGATCTGTTTGCTTCTACCCCTCCACTGACGCTAACCTCGATCGGGCGGTGAGGCTTCTCCAAGTAAACAACCCAAACCACAACACTTGCCCACCCCGTTTGAGAACCCCCTTGCCTTGTCAGGCTTTTAAGCAATCATGTCGCGGAACTCGATGGCGGCTGGCTACAACAACCGCATGAGTCAACAATTGCACGGCAACCAGCAACATGGCCGAGGTCGCAAGAAGGAAGATGAAAATGACGCCCTCATGCGCCTAGTGAGTTTGAGTTTGCTCTTCACCACCCCTCATGCTAATGCCAGATAGCCCGACAAAGAAATCGCAGGATGTATCAACGATATCGGTATCCCGTTTACCCTCGCCGACCTGGCCAAACCAAATGCGCAGCAGATTCAGATGGTGTTCGAGTGGTTTGCCGAGCTCCTCATGAACACAACTCGAGAGACCGTGGAGCCAGCCATGCATGCAGCCGCAGAAGACCTTTGTGGTGACTACCCTGATATTGTTCCCAATGATACTCGCAATCTTATGGGATTCTTTATTATGCTACGGAAGCTATTGGCAGAGGTAATTGCATGGGCTTAATCGCGCGCATAAGATACTCAGCTGACCATGGTGAACCCAAAAGTGCGGCGTCAATGATTTTACTTTCACAGATCTCACGAAACCGACGCATGAGCGACTCGTCAAGATCTTCTCATACTTGATCAACTTTGTTCGATTCCGCGAATCGCAAACACCCGTGATTGACGAGCACTTCAACAAGACCGAAAAGACAAAATCGCGCATCGATGAACTTCTCGCAGAGAATCAGGAAATGGACTTACGACTCAACGAGATGCGACAAGACCTTCAATCCAACGAGGCGCATGTGCGTGAGAAGGTTGCCAGAAACGATGAGCTTAAGGCACGGCTATTGGAATTGGGTCGAGAGCAGTCGAGAGTTGCAGAGACACTGGACCGTGTCAAAACAGATCGGGCCCGACGGCAACAACAGTTGGAAGAGAAGACGGAAAGGACTGTCCGTACGCGACAAGAAGCCGAAAAGTTACGACCTTATGTACTCGAGTCTCCGGCTACTCTCCAGTCGTCACTGGCCGAGCTATCTGAGCATCTGATGCGAGAGAAGGCTTCAATCGATGCGATGGAAAAACGTGCTCGGGCACTTCAGACCTCATCAGACACATTTACTGTGGTCTCCAACGACGTTCAGGGTTGTGTCAAATTGCTGGATGAGATTTCAGTAGAATTGCAGAAGGAGGACGAGGAGGAGAATCGCGCTGCCAGAACTACTGAAGCTATCTCTGACAGGGGCAACAGCGTCCGTGAAGTTGAACAGACCGAGAAACTGTTGCAACGTCAACTGGCTCGTTGGGTCGAGCGCATTGAGGCACTTCAGAAGAATGCACAGGAGAAGGCAGAAATTGCCCAGGCACGTATGGAAGAACTTCGCAATGTACAGAAGCAGCTTCGTGAAGAGCGTGCAGATAAGCAACGCGATATGGAGCGGAGGCGTATTCGCATCGAGCAGACAGAGAAGAAGGTAAAGTTGATCTTTCACCTTTTGAGGAGATTCTAAGTACTAACACTCATCCAGATGGTCGATCTGAAAGAAAACATTGAGAGCGAGGTCCAAGGGGCCCACGATCAGTACCTGAAGTTGGAGTCGCATATCAAGCTCTACATGACGGAGATGGAGAAATCTCTATAAGATATCGGCTTTCATTTGTGTACGCAACAGGAGTTCAGCGGTCGGCTCTAGGATACCCGGACGGTTCAGATTCATTTTAAGGAGTTTCTTTGCGGTACAATATCATCCCTGATTTCAGTAACCAACCTTTGGTTCAATATTCTTGGTCAAACTCGAACCAGCGCGAAGCAACCCGCTTCACGGTAACCCCTCGACCACTCATAGTGCTTTCGTCGTCACGCATCCGAACGGAGCCATTCAATAGAGGGACGTTCAGGTCCCATAGCTTCCTTCCCCAGTGAGCACTTGTGAGATCCAGAGGATTTACACACTCGTAGAGTCGAAGGTCTAGCCTTGCCCTGGAAGCAGCCTCGACCGCCGCGGCAAGTGTTCTCGACAGCCCTTGTGCCGATAACTCCGTAGTCGTAACATGCAAAGCTATCATATTTAGGACAACAAGGAGGCGTCGCCCACTGGAGCACTGTGTATCCTCTACAGTAGCTCCGTCAGCAGCTGTCAAAACCGCAAGGTATGCTCGAAGACTTTCAAGGGTCGGACAGAACGCCAGCCTGATCTTGCTGCACCTTGCAAGCAATCCGATGGTTTTCGTAAGCAAATCATGGCTCGCTGTTGCATGTGGATCTGCGCGTTGAAGACGAATAGCGGCCGTCAGCTGCACAAGGAACTCAGCCTTGGTCGCGCAGACAATCAGATGCGCGTCTGAGTTGGCCTCGAGGAGTTGCTGTAGCAGATCGGGCACGAAGTCGCAATGAGCGACCCTTGGAGGTGAACCCATCATTTCAAGCATGCTATAACCCCTAATTGTATCACCCCTCTGATATCATCGAGCCTAGATTGCTCATATTAACGCCGGTGCACGATATTTTCGCTGGAGCAAGTCATGGTGTAGAAATCGAGGATGGAGGAAAGTTGCAGATGAAGGCGGGCAGCACATCATCCTTCACTTCCGCGGAGCAGCTCCGCCTCTCCTCCCCTCATCTCCGCCCATTCCTGATTAACCCCACGCCCTTGGACTGGGCACTCGTTGGGAAGATGGAAACAATCTCTAGAATATCCTCAATGCTGGAGACAGGTATCTCACCGTTTCAAGATGCTGTTTTGACTGTTGCTGACCGTGGGACGTCACTGTGTGAACAGCCCGAGAGCTCACCTTAGAGGCCGCCCAGTCCGCTGCTATCAATCGAAGCTCGAAAATAGATTCCTCGTCGCGGACTTACAGTGTCGCTCATATCAAGAAGCTGCTTGACAGTCGTCACGAGCGGGAGGTGCTAGATGGAATGCGGAGGGTCATCTCGGTATGGGGATTCTGATGGACCATACGAATTGCAATCGCTGACCAAATTCGCTGCAACAGTTGATGTACCGCTCCGAGCCATCCCTTACCTTTTTCTCTGCGGTTGTCAAAAATGTCGCCAGTGCCAACCTTGAAGTCAAGAAGTTGGTCTACATCTATCTGGTCCACCATGCGGAGGCTGAACCGGATCTGGCACTGCTCTCTATCAACGCGATCCAGAAATCGTTGACTGACTCCAACCCCCAGGTCCGGACTATGGCGCTTCGGACTATGTCAGGCATCAGGGTTCCAGTGATCAGCCAAATTGTTTCGCTGGCTATCAAGAGAGGATGTGGAGATATGAGTCCACATGTGCGCAAGGCGGCTGCTTTAGCTATTCCCAAGTGCTATCGTCTGGATCCAAATACTTTACCGCAATTGGTGGGATACTTGTCGACACTTTTGGGGGATTCTCAGTACTTTGTGGTTGGATCCGCAGTCGCCGCATTCTTGGATTTGTGCCCGGATGAGATCGACTTGATTCACAAGAACTATCGCAGCTTGGTCAAGAAACTGGTTGACATGGACGAGTGGGGTCAGCTTGCTACTTTGCGCTTATTGACCTTCTATGCGCGAAAGTGTTTCCCTCATCGAACTCAAATGGTCAAGCCCTCGGCACCTCAGTCATTCTATGATGACGAGAAACAACAGGATGGTCAGAATGATGGCGAGGAATATGAAGTATCGGTTGTGGATCCCGATCTGGAGCTTCTACTACGGGCTTGTAAGAATCTTCTTCAGAGCCGGAACTCTGCTGTCATCGTCAGCGTTGTCCGCTGTTTCCTTTATCTTGCTCCCTCCGAATATCTTGAGTCGGCTATTGGTCCCCTTGTGGCCCTTCTACGTAGTCCGCAGGACATGCAGCTCATCGCTCTATACAACATTGTTGCCGTTGCGTTGAGGACTCCTAAGCCGTTCGCTCGATACACTGCCCACTTCCTTATTCATGCCAATGACCCACCCCACATATGGCGCCTCAAATTGGAAGTGCTGACCATTCTGTTTCCCCACTGTGGGAAGCACTGGAAAGGCGTCGTTATCAGCGAGCTGGAGCATTTCTCTAAGGGTACGGATCCAGACCTGGTGCGAGAGAGTGTACGGGCCATTGGCCGCTGCGCACAAGCAGATACAGGCACATCCGGCATGTGTTTGCGAATCTTACTCGGCCAGATCTCCAGTTTGGATGGAAACCTTGTGTCAGAGTCGTTGACTGTCATTCGCCACCTGATCCAACAAGATCCTGCCTCGCATAAAAACACTGTTCTTCAACTCGTCAAGCACCTCGGCTCTACCACTCACCCAGATGCACGAGCCACTATCATTTGGCTAGTTGGGGAGTTCGCTGGTGTTGATCCCGAAAACAACATTGCACCTGACGTCCTCCGCGTACTAATCAAGGGTTTCGCGGATGAAACTGAAATGGTCAAGCAGCAAATTGTTCTCCTCGGTGCAAAAGTGTACCTTCATCATCTCTTACAAAACCCAACAAAAGAACAGCCCGAACAAACCCCCTCCACCACAGTACCTGAGATATCCGTTACCCAGCAAGAGTTCCATAACGAGTGGAATGATAATAGCACCAAAGAGTCGCCAAATGCTGATCAACCGCAAGAAGAAGAACAAATACCAAAAGCGGACGAACCAGAAGCAAAGGAGGAGGAAGAAGACCGTATCACCCTACTCTGGCGCTATATACTACTTCTCGCCCGCTACGACACATCGTACGACCTCCGCGATCGTGCTCGTCTTTACAAAAGTCTCTTAGAAACACCCTCTTCTACCCAGCTCGCCAATCTTCTTCTTTTAGCGCCAAAGCCGGTCCCTCACGCCCCTAGCCCATCCGAAACCCGAAAGGACTTGCTCATCGGCTCTGCCACACTAGTAGTTGGCACCGATGCCGGTCACCATGGCCTTCGCGGCTACACACCCCTACCGGACTGGGTTGAGCTCGGCCAAGAGCCAGACCCAAGTCTCCGCGTTGAGGATATAAAGCCAGATACATCATCTACCCAGGCTTCTCTCTCCGCTGGCGCCCGTCTCGATAAAGCCCTGAAAGAACATCAGGGTACTGTTGCGCCAGCCCGGAATAGGAATGGTATTCCTATGGCTGCTGATCCCGCTGGGAAGAAGACGCTAGATCAGTGGTTACAGGAAGAGTCCGAGGAAGAAACTGAGACAGAATCTGAGACGGACTCGGAGGGCGAGACGGATTCCGAGGAAGAGTCCGGCTCCGAGGAAGATGAGTCCGACGAGGATGAAGAAGAAGAAGACGATTCCGAAGAAGAAACAGATTCTGAAAGCGAGGCTGTTCATAAAGAGTCTCGACAATTGCTTGGATGATCTATGCCAGTCTAGGATATGTCTCAATTTTACGGAGTAGCTTGGCCAGTTAAGGCTATCATATAGAAATTCGGATCTATTGAATGAGACTTACGAGATAATCGTCATCAAAACGAGGTGAATATACAAGAAGCTGACCTGAAACACGTACGTGCAGATAATTGAGAGCAGATGTTCTTGATAGAAGATGCATACTGTTCATCTAAATCTCTGAGGGCCGCTTTTTCGTGACCTATGCTTAACATTTTTCTTCCAATTCTTGGACTTGTACTAAAACCCGTTTTATTTGGATATAAAATATACAGATATATAAGGAGAGTCTCCTTAAATAACTTTACGCTAGAGGACTTAACTAATTACGATCGCCCTGACACCAGCGCAAGCGAGGTGACTATTTTAGCTCTGCATAATTAAGATTTGCACAACCTCCTAAGCGATCTTGATTCAATTTTTGGGCGCAATTCCGTCTTCATCCGCGGCTTTTATTCGTTCTAGTGAAATGTTTCCGAAAGTGCAGAAGACCAATATATTGCAGAAGACGCCTAATTCATGGAAATCTCCGCATGTAACGGTATAAACTTGCTTTCACACATGACAGAGATTCGGCAATGCATCGGTTTGAGCAATAAAGCAGGATTGGCGCAATTGCAACAGCCAAAGACATCATTTCTATCGCTTCCTCAAATATAAATAGGGTCCAGTTGATAGAGGTAACTACCAGGCACTGTTGAAATCGAGTCGACTTCGAACATACGACCCCTTGTCTGACATTGCCCATTATGAAAGTTCCTTCACTACCTCGATGTCTAAGCATCGTCGCCACCATCGCTGCCATCACAGGCAGTGCCAGCGCGACTACTGGCAATGGTGGAAACCCGCTGGCCACACAAGATCAGCGAGAACTGGATGCTCTAGCAATTGAGATCAATGAAGACAACGGCTTCGTGGTCTTAAAGGCGGAAGCCAAAGCGGCATACAAAACAGCCCATGGATCTCCTCTGAGCGACGAAGCTTCCTCAAGCCTCGATGCAGCCATTGACGAATTGGCATTCAGCGCCATTCAAAAGGCCGTCAACACAGATGTGTACCATCCCAAGGTCTACTGGTATGATTCTGCTCCACGGAATTGGTTCGGTCTTGACGTTCCTGGTGGCCGATATTCCTACGATAACCCAGACTGTATCTACCGCACCATTCCAATCAGCAGTAGTCTCAGTTATATTGTGACAGGCTACCGTCATACACCGGGACCGGCGGACGTGACCTTCTCGCTCATTAGCGACCCGAACTCCCAAAATACCGTGGCAAGCCTCGCTGGAAGCGACCTGGTGGTCAACGGCGATGGCTCATATACCATCACAATCAATAGCTCGTCTGTTGACGGCACAGCGAATCATATTCAATCTACGTCCTCTGCCAAACAACTCTTGATCCGTAACAATCTTGGAGATTGGGTCACCGAGAAGCCAGACAGCCTCTCCGTTACCCTTGTCGACGATAACTCAAGTCACGCCAACATCACCACTGCAGCCATCGTTTTGTCAGCATGGGGTAACCTACAAGAGTCCGTTGTAGACTACGGGGTAGGCGCGCTTGGCCTCAAGACATATATCAACCCGGTCAACACGTTCTCAACCCCCAGTCAGTCAAGTACCCTCGGCACACTGACCAGCCAGGCGAGCTCATTCGGCCATTTCAATCTGAGCACCGACGAGGCCCTGGTTGCTACGCTGACCACAGGCCCGTCAAGTTACTTCGTCTTCCCGGTGACAAATCCCTGGTCAATAACCCTTGATCCGGGGACCAGCCAAGACAGTCTCAATAACGTGCAGGCTGTCGCAAACGCTAATGGAACGTACACTTTCGTCGTAGCTTTGACGGATCCCGGTGTCTACAACTGGGTCAATACTACCGGGCTCCATGAGGGTACGATCATGGTGCGATGGCAGGGTCTGCCCACTTCTTCGTCAACCAACACTGTCACTATTGACTCCCAGGTGGTCCCGCTCGCTGAGCTCGCTTCTGTTCTGCCTATTGGAACGCGCTATGTTACTTCGAAAGAGCGCGCATCGCAACTTTCCCAACGTACTGCTGGATTTTCGCAGCGGATAGAGACATAGGACTGTTGGGAAGACGTGAACATCGATCTAATTCGAGGCTGTCACTGCTGTATTTAGCCAGATCGATGATATTGATAGTGATATTGATGTTTGAAAGAGAGATGAGACTGTTCTCAAACAGCCTGTTCGTTACTTTGACGGATTCTGTAGTTACTGGGCAAGCTGAATCTTTCTAACTTATGTTCTCTACTCCTGCTTGTATCTTGTTAATCAGAATACTCTTCCGAAGTTAGGGCCACCTCCACCTCAACCCTGGAGGCGCCACCTGGGCACCCTCGGGAACCTCCAGACACCTCCAAACACCTCCAAAGTATGTCATAGACTCCGTTTTAAAGCCCACCTGGGCACTGGAAATCATCTTATGTGGTTTAAAATTATTAAACCGGTCCAATGGAAAGAAATCGAGAAAGATGGAATTTTGGGGGATTATTTGCGCTGAATAATAGCTGATCTGATTCACCGGTCCGTTGCTGTATTTAGGGAACATATAATAAGCTCTTAGGAGAAGTAAGTCCACTTGACACATTCATCATTTTTGAAGAAAACATAGCAAGGCTTCTTTCACTTTCCACATCGATTGAGAAACACGCTGCTTCACCACAAAATGGCAAAGGTTTCCGGATATTGCGACGGAAAGTTCAATTCGGTCCGCCAGCTGCTAGAGGCTACTTTGGCTACTGGTGATGATTTGGGCGCATCACTTTGCGTGAAGTACCATGGGGAGACTGTCCTCGACCTTTGGGGTGGTTATGCCGATGAAGAAAAGTCGACGGAGTGGACTCGCGACACTCTTGCACCCGTGTGGTCCAGTTCAAAGCTTGTCACCAACCTTGCTGCGCTTATGCTAGTGGACCGAGGCTTGCTCGACTTGGATGCAAATGTCTCATTGTACTGGCCAGAGTTTGCTGCCAACGGCAAGGGCAGCATCAAGGTGCGCCACATATTAAGCCATACCGCAGGGCTTTCCGGCTGGGACAGTCCTACCACGATGTCAGATCTCTATGACCATGACAAGTCAACGGCAAGGCTGGCAGAGCAAAAGCCCTGGTGGGAGCCCGGCACAGCTTCTGGATACCACGCTATATCGCAAGGTCATGTTGTGACCGAGCTTGTTCGCAGAGTCACCGGCACAACCTTGAAAGAGTTTATCAACAATGAGATTGCTGGTCCTCTAGGTGCCGACTTTCAGCTTGGTGCCCTTGAGAAGGATTGGCCGCGCATTTCAAAAATAGTCCCACCGCCGGCACTTCCATTTTCGGCCCCGGATGACGGCAGTGTAGCTAGCAGGACTTTGAAATCGTCTCCTATTCAAGCGACAGACTCTTACACAGAGGGGTTCCGAAACGCAGAGCTGGGTGCTTCAAATGGCTTTGGAAACGCCCGCTCGCTAAATACCATTCTCTCCCTCATACTTACCAACGGAGAGGTGAATGGCAAACGGTACTTGTCGCCAGCAACCATTGACCGTATCTTTGAGGAACAATCAATGGGCGTCGATCTAGTTGTTGGGATTCCCCTCCGCAACGGAATTGGCTATGGTCTTGCTTGGTCTGAAACTGCGCGTTGGATTCCCGATGGAAAGGTTTGCTTCTGGGGAGGATGGGGAGGATCAATCACGATCGTGGATTTAACTCGCGGCCTGACCATTTCATACGTGATGAATAAGATGGGAACATGTGTGATTGGAACGGACCGTACTGAGGCCTACGTCAAAGCAATCTACTCGGCGGTCGCCCAAGATTGCTCCTGATATGTAACTAAGAACCGAAGAATGTGCAGGTTGCAAATCATTATTAGACACAATCGTTGTATATTATATACCAGGATAACATTGTGAGCCATGGAGGGAAGGCTTCATCACAAAGATGCCATTGTGATCGGCTGGGAATTGCTGCGCAGTTTGGTATGCTTGACGGTCACCAGCAGAGCATCCGAGCAAAAAGATGAATTCTGGGCTCGACCATAATATGCGCGAGCAATTTCCTTTGACTTGGTTGCTATCAGGTGGTTGTCCAACCAGGCAATGTTTTTTCCAGCCTTCTACTTTGAATTTGCTGTCAGAAGTGATCAGGTAGGAAACATCAAGGCTGGGATCAATGCCGACTGTTCTTAATGGTGTGAAATGCCCACATTTGATATGGCTGACACAAAGCCGAACACTTACGCCCACTCCGAATGTTGAACCGAACCCAAGCGTGAACTAATATAACCGGTAATGGTTCAATATGAATAAGACCCCCGGAGTCGACACTTCCCGCGCCCAGCGAGACTTGGTCATACGTAGCTAGGCGGGTCCAATGCCCTGGAGATATTGAAGGTCTGAAGATTAGCAGAGTTGGAGACCTCGTGGAGACTGAAGAGTTGGAGACATGGAGGCGTGGAGACTGGAGACCTGAAGAAAGGGAGACAAGACTGTGGGGATTGAGGAAAAGGTAGTATTTCTTTCCAGGGCTGATCGTTTAACCCCATTGCAAATAAATTAACGTTGATATTATGAAGACAACATGTATGACTTCATCAGTAGATCACAAAGCCCCATCCTTAAGCGGGAGTCCGTCGGGCACCCACGTCTTGAATTCCCTGCAGGGTAAGCCTGCTTCAAACATTGCATCAACCTCGAGTGTTGTACGGTCTTTCATCTCGGGGACGATCAACCAGGTCACGACAAATGTGAACAGACACAAGCCAGCGTAGACAAAGCCAGTCTTTCCCTTGAGATCTCCGGCGTCTGTGTTGTAAATATAAGGTAGAACAAGATTAAAAACAACATTTGACAACATATAGCATAAAACCCCAATACCCTGAGTTTTGGCTCGGAGGCGGAGAGAGGATGTTTCTCCTGAGACTGCATACGAGGCAGGCCATGCTCCCAGTCCGCAAACCACCACCACTGCCATCATACAAGCAGCAGTGTACCTATTAAGCACAAGAATTAGAGAATAACCATGACTTTAGGAGGAATAACATACCAAACGACAATATTGCCCGACCAGCAACCTGCAATGCCCATGCTCAGCCAGATGAGAGTGGTTACAGACAAAGTGCTTAGCATCAAGCGACGTCTTCCAACACGACTCATAAGCCAAACGCCAACTGCATTCGCAATAAGACCCAGGACGATGCCCAAGATGAGCACAATGAGGCTGAGGCTCGATCCCATGCCAACGACCTGCATGAAGTAACTGGCACTAGCCAATAGAGGTACGCCGAAGAAACTAGGGATCATATAGGAAAACGCCACGATCATCGTCCTGCGCCGGTTTTTGCCCTTGAAGCAATCAACATAATCCAGTTCCTGTGATATTTGCGTATCGTGGGTGATAGACAAACGCATCTGGGCAAGAATTCGCGAGACATCAACTCTATCAGTATGTAACCACGTCAAGGCACGGTGAGCAGCATCATAATTGCCCTTCCGGATCAAATACGACGGACTCTCGGGTAGAATGCACACCAGCATAAAGGGCAAAATAGTGGTAATCCACTGCGTTCCAAAAGGAATGAGATAAGCCGCTTCCGACACTTTCTTCTCACAGCCATAGATGACAGCGGCACCGAGCAGTTCTCCGAGCAACATGAAAGTCGGGGAAAGCGCCATCGCCGAGCCTCGTAGGCTGGCTGGAACGGTTTCAGAAAGATAAGTCTGAGCTCCAGCCATGGCACCCCCAACTCCCCAGCCCTGTACTGTCCTACCGACGAGGAAAGCACCGCGACGAGAGTTCATCTCGCTGGGTAGGTTGGAGCAGAACGCGATGGCAATTCCAGCTGCGCAGACTACGCAGCTTAGTCCTAGGGACCAACGACGGCCGATGCGATCTTGGAGCCAGCCGGCATTGACTGCACCGACCATTGATCCCACGGGTCCAATGGCGCTCCATACCGACAGCCACGTTGCTGGGATGATGTATGAGCCGTGGTATAGCTCACCAAATTCTTTCTTGAAGTATGGAACTGCGGTGATGGTGCCGAGGATAACGGTATCATAGCCGGTCAGGAGGAATGCCAATGCAAGGCCGAATGCGCACGCGACAATCTTGGGGTAAAGACGAACTGCCTGGAGCAGAGGCAAATTGTCGGATGAATATTGGTCGGTAGAGGTGACATTGGTATGAGATCTCTCTATCTCCTGGTCCCATTCAGGCTCCAGGTGAGCCATTGTGATATGAAGTATCCTTCAGGAGAGAGCAAAGTCGTAAACAGAGTCTGCATACTTATATCGATTCGGCTACTTTGGACAAATCATCCTCTCCAGAGATAGGACCCCGGAATATTGGGGCAATGCAGCAGAAGATATTCTCTTCCACCAATCCCACGACATAGATTATGCCCCATTCCGTCTCGGCTTCCCGTCTGCTGTCAAGAACGCGGGGGAGAAACTCCCCAGAACGCCAAGCATCGGCTAGAGAGCCTCACTGCCGAAGCAGCCAATCGCCTCTCGTGCCTCGGGGGGTTTCCGTCTTCTGATTGGCTGTTTCGGCTAGATAGGATCCACTGACAGTGTATAGAGATCTTTGTTTTTGACGTTAGTGCTGGTCGGTATCAAAACGCCATGCACTGGCTTACAAGAACCGGGCTGCCCGGAGATACAGGAATTTGTCACTTTGCTTTTTTCTTTTGCAGTCTTATTCGATATCCTGGTTGCCTGACTCATCCTGGCTCTGATTTCTCTGCAACAACCCTCAACTACAATACAGTTAGTTACTACAGAAAATGGACATTTCTCGGGTCATCAAGCCCTGGAAGCTCAACTCTCAGAGGACTCTGGTCTTTATGAATGCAACTATCATCGACCCAGTTCAGGGCGAGTTGATCCCACATGCCACAGTCCGAATCTCGGATGGGAAAATCACCCAGATCGTCACCGACGGCTCAACGACAGCCACAGAAGACGTTTCAGAAGAAAGCATCATTGATCTAAGTGGAAAGTACTTGTGCCCTGGCTTGATCGACTGCCATGTTCACATCGCCGTGGTTCCAGGCGAAGCCGATCTCCGTGCCTACAAGGACATGACCGAGCGCATCAGTCTTCTTCGGCAGCCACTCGTCCTCAAATCCATGTTAGAGCGTGGCTTTACCTCAATCCGAGACTGCGGCGGCGCAAGTCTAGCAGTGAAGGAAGCGGTTGAGGACGGTGTTTTCCCCGGTCCTCGACTGTTCATCGCCGGCTATGCCCTCTCCCAGACAGGCGGACATGGTGATATGCGCGGCTCTCACGATGCCCAGCTATGCTGTGGAGGCTCGCTGTCCGGAATTAGTAGGATTGTCGATGGCCCAGCAGAGTGCTATAAGTATGCCCGCGAGGAGCTGCGCCAGGGAGCCGACTTTATCAAAATCATGGGAGGTGGAGGTGTCGCCAGTCCCACAGACCGCATTGAGCATGTTCAGTTCTCAGACGAGGAGATCAAGGCCATTGTCACGGTCGCACGCAATGCAGGTACATATGTCACGAGTCACAGCTATACACCGCAAGCAATTCAACAGGCTATCAAGCTTGGCGTGCGCGGTATTGAGCATGGAAACCTCATTGATCTTGAAACCGCAAAGATGATGGCTGAGTTGGATGTCTTCTTGACACCTACGCTTATTGCACATGTCATGTCTAAGCAATTGAACTTTCTGCCTCCCGATGGCGCTGCTAAGAACGACGAGGTCCTCGAGAAAGGACTTCGCGCCATGAAAATGGCGGTTGAAGCCGGTGTGACTGTTTGTTTCGGTAGTGATCTTCTCGGTCCGATGCATTTTGCTCAGAGCAAGGAGTTCTCGGTCCGTAGTAAGGTCCTGACGCCTTTGCAGATTCTGCGAAGTGCGACTGTCAATGCTGCTCGTTTAATTATGCAGGAGGATCGACTTGGTCAGATTCGGGAGGGATTTGCTGCTGATCTGGTGATTTTGAATGAGAACCCGTTAGATGATATTACTGTTTTGGATAAGGTTGAGGAGCACATGATGGGTGTGATCAAGGATGGGAGAGTATATACTTCGCGGTGGGAGGCTCTTAAGGTAGATGCTTGAAATTGAGGGAAATTTTTGTGTTTCTGGGGGTTTTTTTTGATATGGTTCCCCCAGTATATTTCTTCTTTACCTCTCCTACTGGTCGCAATTTTATTTTGATGTGCTGTCCTGTAGCCCAGCTGGACATATAAGTTATGTTGTAACGCAGCGTAGCGCAAGCCGCCAATATTTGCTGGAGGTTGTTGTTTGCGATAAGCCAAGGACCCGATCCATGGAGTACCCCCTTGCATCAATGGAAATTGACTCTCCTAAATACCACCAATCACCGCGAGCTGTCTCAAACAGATATACAACCTCAAAAACCAGGCAAATGTCTGCCAGAGCGGTGTGGCCCCAATGGGTCTAGCGCCTAAACCCATCCCGCAGTTCGTCATAATCGTACTTGGATCTTCAACTCCAGCACTCTTCCCTCACTGGAACGAGGATCGGTTTGACGGCCAGGATGCTTGTGAACCTTACATAGCAACAACCTCATCGATCTCGCATTTGCTCCTCACCCACCATCTCTCACCCTCATTTGGATTTGCAGTGATTTATAGCGATCTCATTGTTTGAGATAGCAGGGCCAGCCTCAGAACACACTCATTTTTTGTGATTTGGAATCTACCTCACGGAGAAAGGGGCGCATTTTCTTGTTGCCAACGGCGTTGTCTCTACAGCCCTCACAATGCCCGGGTTACCGAGTACGTTGATGATCCTAGACTTTGAGTTCGCGCTGGGCTGTTGTATTGACCTGTTGGCTCGCAGCTAGTGTCGATCTTGATGAGTGTATTTCCCGCCTGTACCGAAAAGAACTGCTCGCCGAATCGGTCATCGAAGCCATATGCCTCAAAGCCAAGGAACTTTTGATGAAGGAGAGCAATGTGGTCCACATCGCTGCTCCGGTCACCGTGGTCGGTGATATTCACGGCCAATTCTTCGACATGATCGAGATCTTCAAGATTGGAGGATTCTGTCCGGATACAAATTACCTATTCCTTGGTTAGTTCAGCCTGAGCATGGGGCTGGAAGAGGAAAGAGCCTGTGGGCGGAACCTCTCCGGCCCACACTTCTTGGCGTGGGTCGCTGTTAACACGAGTCTATACAGGCGATTATGTCGACCGCGGTCTGTTCAGTGTCGAGACCATCTCCCTGCTGGTTTGCCTCAAACTACGATATCCCTCTCGAGTCCACCTCATTCGCGGCAATCACGAATCCCGCGGAGTCACCCAGTCTTACGGCTTCTACACCGAATGCGCACGTAAGTACGGCAACGCCAATGTGTGGCACTACTTCACCGATATGTTCGACTTTTTGACACTCAGTGTCGTGATCAACGACGAGATATTTTGTGTACACGGCGGTCTTTCTCCCTCTATTCACTCCATCGATCAAATCAAAATTATCGACCGATTCCGCGAGATTCCACACGAAGGCCCTATGGCTGATCTTGTCTGGTCTGATCCAGATACAGAGCGTGATGAGTTTTCGCTCTCCCCGCGCGGTGCTGGATATACCTTCGGTGCACAGGTTGTTCGTAAGTTCCTGGAGGTCAACAGCATGTCGCACATCTTACGTGCCCACCAGCTCTGCCAAGAAGGCTATCAGGTTCTTTACGATGACAAATTGAGTACGGTCTGGAGTGCTCCAAACTACTGCTACCGTTGTGGCAATCTGGCGAGTGTTCTCGAAGTGAGTGACTCCGGCGAGCGTTACTTCAATATATTTGACGCCGCGCCTGAGAACGATATTCATCGGAATGAACAGCAGGCCCAGCAGACCAAGGACGGCCCAAGTCCAATTGTTGACTACTTTCTGTGATACCCATTGGTTTATGTTAATGTTTTGTTTGACTATACGATTTCTTTTTCTCATTTCCCATTCCTTTTGTCCCTTTTCCCCCACTGGCACTAGACAGGAGTTCTGGATAAAGTTGTGTATTCGCCAACAGCGAGTTTTGCAGGTTGGCATCTGGACTGAACATATTTCACGCCGAGGATCTCAGCATGGCGCATAAAACAATAGAACCGGGTGCAAAGCATTTGGCCCGGCAATGGAAACTCTAACAAAGTTTTGTCAAAGAAACAAGATCAACGCTTTGAAAACAAACAAGCCGCTCAGGAATTTAAGATAGCTCTCTCAGTCGACATTTACCAGTCCTTGGCAATGTCAAAGGACCACTCGAACTGCAAGTGAGTGTGGGCATCATCATCGATGAACTTGGAGACAGCGTTGTAGTGACCACGGGCAATCATGCCAGAGGGGGCCTCCTCCTCGTTGACTGCAAGGTGGGGAAAAAAAATCAGCCCAAGTCCCGACATAGTATTTCACAGATAAGATCAATCAGAAACTTACACTCCTTCTCATAAATAGGCTTAGCAGTAGTGCTGGGCGCATAGCTACCCAACATCTCCTCATCCTTACTAACACGGATACCCTTCCGCTTGACAACCTGCAGGTACTTGAGACCACTCAGGACCTCATGGTGAACCTGGAAGCTAGCCTTGATATGGAACTTGGCGCCTTCCTTGATGGTGAAAGGCTTGTCCTTGAGGCTGTCGACCGAGCCGGGAGTGGAGAGGTCGATCACGACGTCGGACCGGCCCTCGACCTTCAGTGCCAGGGACTTGATGATGCACTTGCGGGGGTCGTTGGCTTCGTGGATGGGGTCGCCGCCGTTGAGGCCGAGCGAGGCTTTCCAGCGGTTCATGGCTTCATCGTCCTTGTCTAGTGCGGGGAATGGGATGTTAGTTGGGAAGGTGCCAAGATATGGATATCGCATGTCATAGCCAATGCTAGCTATAGAATAGCATGACTACCTACCGAGCTGGTTGTACTCGTCGATGGTCTTCTTCTCGCCGACCTTGAAACCCTCAGTCTGGGTGGCGGCGAGGTCGTCGTCGTGGTGGTCGACCATTGTTTACAGAAGGCGGGGCACGGAACCACGGTATTGTAGTCCGGGGAAGATGAGATCAAGGGGTCCAAAGATGGATGGACAAAGGAAGCAAAAAGAGAATTGGGGGGATTGGGGATTGGGGATTGAAGAAAAAGGGGAAAAGAGAGACAGATTTTCAGAGAAACTAGAGACCAAGCGTCTCTGATGTTTGGTGGGGGTGGAAAGGCGGTGGGAGAGGGGGGCGAGGCTATTCGGATTTCGGTGCAGATTGCAGATGCGTCGGGGGTCCTGCAAGGTTATATTGACATTTGATCTGCTCTACTGGATGCAGCCTATCTACTGATCTGGGTCTGGTTATAAGTCGCGATTTCTGGCGGTTTTGTAAATCCCTTGAGACAATCTAGGCCCCGGTTTTGGGTATCCTGTGGGGTTCAGGAGTATCTGCCCACGTTGTCTTAATATGCGACCTGCGTCCGCATAAGGAAGTCCGGTGGATTGACCCGAGACATCTGCAGATAGCCTGGAATCATGGAAAGGACAGACTATGGCTAATCCAGCGTGTCGCAGGACGGTATGTGTGTCCTCCATATCAGCACGGAGTAAACATCAGGTCTCAGTTCCAGATTTTGGGATGTACGCGTCGACGCCTTGTTTCAGAAAACGCCATTGGTGGATTGACTGAGTTAGAATATAACACCACTCTCGGGGACTCGAGCTTCAGTGGCAACCGGGTCCAGTGAACCCAAGTCAACCCAAATGAACGCAAGTAAAGAGTCGATTCGAAGCCAAACAAAGAAAGAATGTCAGGTCACGGGGCCAAATAGTTCAATAGATTACTGCTGGGGAGATCAAATACCGTATAATCAGGTCATTGGCCAATCAGAGCCGGCCAATACACCATCTGACACACCCTATACCGGACCTTACCGGAACGAGTTAAGCTCAGAACGGACTCAACTCCCGTCGCGACTTCTCTTCCTCTCCCCTGTCTTTTATCTTTTGATCTTGGCTCTCTTTTTTTCCGTTATCAATTGGGATTTTTTTTCTTTGGCGCGCTTCTCCTTTGAGCTTTGATCAAATAAGAAGGTCGCGATTTTAATTCTCGCTTGACGCGCTTGATACGTGGCCGCCGTTGGCGCATCTTTCCCTCTTTCATTCAGTCACCACGAGATCCCCATCTTCCATCACCCCATATACCTCAAGATGTCGCGAACTCTGCCCAAGAAGTTTAACCCGCTTATCCTCACGGAAGTGGCTCCCTCTTGTAAGTTATACTCTGGCGCGTATCGCGCCAGCGCATGCATTTTGGTTGCTCACGTCGGGTTCCGTCGAGTCTGTCCGAGACATCATCGCTAATCGTTTCTTGTTTCAGATGAGGAGCTTCTTGCGCGCCGTCGTTTGGGAAAGACGCACCTCTCCGTTCGACCTACTCAGATTGGTACTTCGAATGCCACCAAGCCCGAGAACCTGGGCGTCTTCGAATACGCTCACCTTCGCGCTCCGCTGCCCAAGGATCTGAAGGGCTCTGAGATTTTCCCATCCCACACCTCTCAGCAGCACCCCGAGACCTACTTTTTGATGGTGAGCGCATCCTCGATTTGGGATAGAAACACCGCTAACTGGCCTGGTTACAGCGTCGCAGCAAGGACGGATTTGTCAGTGCCACTGGAATGTTTAAGATCGCGTTCCCATGGGCCAAGGCCGACGAGGAGAAGGTCGAGCGCGACTACTTGAAAGCTCGCGAATACACCAGCGAGGAGGAAGTCGCTGGCAACGTGTGGATCTCTCCCATGTTTGGTAGGTCATTCCGAAATGCCTTTTCGACACCGCAAGTTCTGACTCAGTCACCCAGCTCTTGAGCTCTCCAAGGAATACAAGATGTACGATTGGGTCCGCGCCCTTCTGGACCCTACCGATATTGTTCAGAGTCCATCCAGCGCAAAGAAACAGATCACTCCCCCGCCCAAATTCGAAATTCCAGATGACGAACCTGAAATGCCCCAGCGCCGTCGCGGTCGCTCCGCCTCTCCTAGTAAGCAGTCACCTCGCAAGTCTCGCACCACTCGTGTTGGCAAGGATATTTTGGGAACTCCTTCTACGAACGCTGCCAACGCTAGCCTTCACTCTGCTCTTGAGATCACCGCATCTGGTATGGACACTGAAGCGGTCCCTGAACTAGCACCCGCGCAAGGCGAGACACAAGTCAAGTCTACTGGATCCCCATCGAAGAAGTCAAGGAGCAAGAAGATCGCCATCCCCGAGGAGCCCGAGGAAGAGGTCAAGGAGGAGAAGGAAGTGACCAAGGAAGAGAAGAAAGAAAAGAAGAAGGAGGAGAAGAAGGCTGAGAAGAAGGCCGAAAAGAAAATTGAGAAGAAGAGCGAGCAGAATGATGAGGTCAAGGACAAGGAAGAGGAGGCAATTCCTTCAGTGGAAGTCGATGCCCCGGAAGTGAAGACCACTGAGACCACCGTCACCCTTGACATGCCCATCAGCCTTCCCGACGTCCCGTCCGCTGCTGAGACGGAAGCAATGATCGCCCAGGCTAAGGGAATGGTTGAAGAGGCCATTAAAGCCCAAGCTAGTGGTGCTGTCGAGCCAGAGTCCGTCAAAGTGACAAAGAAGCGCAAGCCCGAGGAAGATGACGAGGAAACCTCGGCCGAGTCCACTCAGCGGGCCAAGAAAGCCAAGGTCCTTGAAAACAAGCTCCGGGAGGAGCGGGTTCGCAACCGCTCTATCTTCGGTGTTTCTGTGGCCTTCGCTCTTGCGTAAGTCAACTCGCCCTTCGAAACATGAGTCGTTACTAACCTGATTATAGTGCTTCAATTCCCTACTTCCTTTAAGCATCATCAATGTTTGCCCTCTGGCCAGTCTGAACAAACCCTTCATCCCCTCTCCCTTGTCGCATGCGACCTTCAGCCTTCCCCCATTTCTTTTCTTACCCAATTCCCCTTGACATTATGATAAATATATTCCTCGCCGGCGACCTTCAGTGTACTGTACCCGTCATTTGACACTTTCTCTAATATCTTGCCTCTCTACCCCATTCCTTTCAAGACTTGGTTATGGTTATCGTGCGGAAGACCTCCCATTTACCCTCCTATCCCCTCACACAAGACCTCTCTTGCCCACTGTCACTCGCCTTTGGGCAACTACCCTTGCGTAGTTGAGAACGATTTCGCTTAATGACAGTGATTTTTGAATGCTTTTTTCGTATTATTAATTTACATTACTGTCAATGCCCAGGTGTAGAAGAGAACTGGGTGAGTAATAGCAGGGCGTATTGAACACAACCCGAATACACGCGATCTAACTTCGTAACAATGCAATAAGATTAGATTAACATACGTGTGGTTGAGTGTACAACAAGTGCAACTTGGCTTCGGCAAACGCAAGATGTGAGTCAGAAACGAAGACCGTGACGTGAGATATGACCACGTCAACATCACATGACGCATGCATCTCACGAGTATTGAGTCATTGGCTGGACAGCATTTACTTCAGCAAGATGACAGACAGTCCATGACAGGGATTCGCATCCAAGAATCATACACAGGACTTGGTAGTGCTTCATATCGAGGACGTACGCGATATAAGATGAACGTAAAGTAAACTCCACAGAGGTTAATGATCTTCTTCTCCAAACGCTCGAACAAGCCGAGACAGTCGATGAAAAAGGATTTGCATCAATCGAGAGCAGTGTAAGCTCGATGACACAGTGCAACGAGACATGCGCAAGCACAGAGGCCAAGTTGCTGGATCCAAAGAAAGAGTAATCAAAGTTTTCCCATAAAGGGAAATATCAGTGATCAAACTGATAAGAACAGATACTACACTGGATCTAAGCCGTATTGGCAAAGAGAGCTGAAGAAGAAAGAAAAACTAGGAAAGCTGGGGGGAGCAGAGAGAATATATAGATCGAGCTGGTGCAAACGGGACAAACGTCACACGTGCCCCGCAGTCTGCGACCGCCATCAGCCCCAAAGGCCCGTGCGCAATAGTTTCCTTACCGCCTTTCTTCTGTAATCATAATCAGGCAGAATGTAGCGCACGGGCCCTTTGAGCTGATGGCGGTAACGTACCCGTGCAAGCAATGCAAATAATCATATCGCCAGAGCTCCTGATTCTTTTGTATTCATTGCTCTCCAATCTCTCAATTCTTCGATTTCTTGCTTGGGTTTTCCGCTGTGATGTCTCTACCAGGCCTCGAGTTGACACAGCCGTCGGAGGAGCGACAGCAAATTACTGCTCCTCCGTCGCAGATTAACCTGAATGCGCGCTGCGAGTGGCGCTTCGAGGTCGCATTTGGGCATATCATTAGGGTCAAGGTATGTGTGATATAGCAGAACGTTGAAATATCATTTGGATGGAGCTGACCAAACGTCAGATCTTGCATGGAACCGCCGAGCTTTTCGGCACAGAGCTCGCCGAGTCGCAAACCTACACCTTCTCCGGCACAAAAGCCGCGATCTTCACCTGGCACGGCTGTGCCCTTGAAGTCAGCGCCGGTGCAACAACGTCCACGACCTCTGATGGCGTCACACCAACAATGGGCCACGGGGCCGGCGGGTGCCAGAGCGAATATACCGCAGAAGAAACGCCCATGATGGAATACGCCAATGTCCACTTTGCGCTGGAGACAATGCGAGAGGAGGCCCAGTCCATTGGCAAAGACGGCCCGCGTGTTCTCCTCCTTGGCCCCGAAAACGCAGGCAAGACCAGTGTGGCAAAGATCCTCACGGCGTACGCGACCAAGATCGGTCGCCAGCCACTGGTGGTCAATCTCGATCCGACGGAGGGGATGCTTGGTGTCCCTGGTACTCTCACTGCAACTGCATTTCGCACAATCCTCGATGTTGAAGATGGCTGGGGAAGTAGTCCTATGTCTGGTCCCAGTCCTGTACCTGTGAAGCTCCCACTCGTGTACAGCTACCCGATGCAAAACCCGCTCGATGGCGAAGGTGCCGTCTACCGACCCATAGTTTCACGCCTTGCTCTATCTGTCACGGCACGGATGGCTGAAGATGAAGATGCACGCGAAACAGGAATCATTGTCGACACACCTGGAGTCCTGGGCTCGGATAAGCCTGGTAGCATGGAGCTGATCCACCATATCATCACAGAGTTTGCCATCGACACAATCCTCGTTCTAGGCTCGGAGAGACTGTACAGCACTGTCGCCAAGCAGTATGATAACAAGCCCAGCTCCAGCGCGACAGCTGCTGCTTTTGACGAGCATATTACCGTTGTCAAGTTGACTAAATCCGGTGGCTGTGCTGACCGTGACGCTGCCTTCCGTAAGGCTACGCGCGAGTCCCAGATTCGTACCTATTTCTTCGGCAACAATATTCCTTCCTCTACTTCTGCATCGACAGCACTCTCTCTTTCTGCTTCTTCCTCGTCGGCTGTGACTCTCTCCCCACACGCACAACTTCTCGACTTCAACTCTCTCCCAGTGTACAATTACACCGTGACCTCAGTCGACGATGAGGATGAAGACGACTATGACCCCTCTCAGCTCTCAATGGACTCCTTTCTCCCTGGCGGTGGTGCTGAGGATTACCAAGAAACAAAGCAAGACCCTGACCGCGCTGCACCGCTACCAGGCGTCGTGGGCTCATTCTCTGAACCTGTTGGTGGCCCGAATGATCTCAGCGCCGCCCAGAATAGTGGCAGCAACGTTCCATTGAAAAAGGTCCTACCACCTGCTCCCTCTGCTCTCGCCAATACACTCCTTGCCATCACCCATGCTTCTACCACCGCATCCCCTGCTGCAGTCCGCGACGCTAGCATAATGGGCTTTCTGTATGTCGCCGATGTCAACGCTGAAAAGGGAACTATTCGAGTTCTTGCGCCTGTTGGCGGAAGAATGCCCCCACGAGCTATCATTTGGGCGAAGCGTTGGCCGGGTGAGTTGGTTGGTTTAGTCGGTTAGGAGACTTGTCTTCTCTTGGTGTTTCCTTTTTCACATACTTTCGATTCCTACGCGGCTCTAGCATTGCATATCATGTTCGGATCTGGAGTTGCGGCGATATAGTCCATTTAACGAGTCACGCTGTGCCTTACGACCCCATAGTCTTGCATTTCATTACTTAGCAATGCACCTACTATCATTCTATGGAGTTTTGATTTCCTTTCTTGTAGTTTGCACCTCAAATAGTTCAGAAGCCTTCAACGTCACAGTCCTTCGCGATTCATCTGTTACGCTGAATGACCAGAAGCCGAGGCACTTGACTTTCCATCTCAGATATAACACGCAAGAACGGCGCGTCTTCACCAAGTATGTCTTGTTCTTGGAAAGATGATAGAGATGAAGAAAATAGCTCTCAATTACAAAGAAATTAGCCTAAAATATGATGAAAAAAAAAGAGCGGATTCAATTCCAAGCTACAACTATGATAAGCAGACACCAGCCAAACCATATCCAAATGACTTTTTCCCAGACCAAACCCTCAGTGTACAAGAATGTTGAAACGTCATAGCAAAACGAACCCCCCCCCCCCCCAATTGTACAGCCCAACACTCCCAGTATACATGCCATGAATATCCGATACATGCTTCGACCCTTCCAAATACCCGAAGAGAAAAGAAAAAAGAAAAGAAATCCCGAAAGAAGGACAGCCCGAAAGAAAGTAAAGTAAGCCCCCAAACAATATCATCACTCCCACCTTTTCCACTCATCAACAGCTTTCCTCAATTCAACATCGCAGTCATACCCCTTCGACTGTGCCTCCAAGAGCTCCTGTCTCCGATCCCGGAACCGCCTCTCAGCCTCAACCCGTCTCAGGACAGCAGACTTCAGCATCTCAAAGTCACTAGTAGCAACCGCCTCACGAAACTTGGCCCGCATACGCATAGAATAAAGCTGACAGCTAGCCTCCTGCTTCACGCCAGTTCCATCGCCAGGCAAAGCACGCCTGGTAGGCGGGATCGAGCGCGCAATCGGACGCTGATGTCTTGCGAACGGCCACACAACCTCATCGAAACAGTCTTCGCAGATGCACAGCTCTGGCAGGGTTGGGAGGTAGTGCCATTTCGTAACGATCTGTCTGTCGAGACGGCAGTCACGGAGGGCAGTCTTGCGTCGGGCGTAGGAAAGGAACTCGTGCAAGTCTGGACGGGGCCGGGAAGGGTTTGCTTCTGCGCGCTCGACAGCGTCGTCGAGGAGGTCGATGAATTTCATGAAACGCGGGCTGGTGGTTTGGAAGTCGCAGATTCGTTCGCGGACGTCTGTGTCTGGTTCGAGGGTTTCGCGGTGCGCTGGCATTAGGATGCGGATGTTGCGTGCGCAGCTGCTGCAGACGTGGAATCCGGGGAGGTAGTCTTTGATCCTGGGGTCGTAGATTCGGTGCCAGTGTTGCTCGATGGCGGTGCGGCTTGGGCAGGGTCTTGTGCCGGGTGGTGGGCGAGTCATTTGATAGAGGAGCTCAAGACTGTCGTGGCCTCGTTTGATCATTTGGTGCCAGGCTAGTCGGGTCCAGGGACTTGAGAATGAGCAGCGGGTTGGACGAGATGGAATCTTTGCTTGGCTGGGGATGAAGAAGTTGCTGTAGCGTGAGTGTGCGATTTGGCTCATGCATGAAGGGCAGATGTCGAGGTGGTCCAAGCCTTTGAGGGTGTACCAATCGTCATGTCCTGTTGCAAGGACGGATCGAGGACATGCCGTGATACACAGACCGTTGGGGTTGCTTCTTTGTCCAAATTGAGTGAGTGCCTTCTCGGGGTTGGCTTGTACTGTCAAAGCTTGAGTCGACACTGGCTTTGTGGCCTCGAGTTCAGCACGCAGCACACGTGGGGAATGACGGGACTCAGAAGATGACCGAGGATTCTGCGTCGTCACCGAAGTTGCACGGGGGCGCGAAGGAAGAGCCGTACCAGGCTGACTTTCTTGGGTCTCCGGTCGTTGAGGCGATCTGGCAGGCGAATGCGATGCGGAGACAGTGGCTCGAGGCACCAACGATGCATTGGGAGGTCTGAGAATCACAGCTGGAGTGACAACTTCGTGGTCTGATAGTGCACCCCGGTCCCGCTGTTCTTCTCGTTGACGCAGCTTTTCCTCGATACGTTCTGCTAGAGTAGGCCCGGAGATGACTTTCTCCGCTGGGACGATGGGAATCGGAGCTACAGGCGCCTGAGAAGTTCGTGAGACTCTGCGCGTGGTGGCAGAATCAGACAGATACCCGGAAGTTGGCTCGCGCCGAATGCGCTCTGGCGTAGGCCTGGAGTGAGGTCCGGCCCGAGCACTGTTTGACCTAGCCAACGATGATCTGGCGGGTTGAATGTAAGCTATCTCGTGCACAGGGGCCGGGGCACGAGAGCGATCCGGCGCAATCGGTGCGGGTGCAGCATGAGAAACAACCTGCACTGGCACATCATGTCGGCTGTAGCTGCCTTCGCGTGCATGGGAATGAGGGCGAGTCTCGCGCTGGGAGCTGATTTCACGAACAGGATTTTGCTGAGCTTGATGCAATGCAGCTTGTACTGGCAGCTCGGGCCTGGGCGCGTTTTCCCATGCATGAGAATGCGGACGGGAATCTCGCTGGGCCCTTGGCTCACGAGTCGGGCGTTGATTCACCTGAGGCCGGGCTGGTGGTGCTCGCGCTTGGCTGACTGCAGGTGGCGCACGCTTTGGCTGCTCATCAGACTCAAACCTGACAGTGTTCCGTATGACAGGCTCTTGCGCTGGTGGCGTTTTCAGTCCTGTACTCTCGTCGGAAGAGACATTGACAAGGCTCGGCACACTTGGAACACTACCAGGAGAGGCTAATGGAAGGGGGATATCAGCGAAATCTATGATCGGATACTGGTCGACGGCGCCTCTTTGCTTGACACCCTCGACTCCCGGCTTCTCTCCAATTTTGGAGATGCCTCCTTTTTCTCGAAGAAGCGCTGGGATTTCTTCCTCGACGCAGGGCGCTGGAGGCCAGTGGGAACGCCCATATCGAGAAACTCGAGAAGGACGCATTGTGAGGACTGAATTTGATCACAAACAAAATGTTTGGTGTATACTTGTTTTGGGATACTATCCTGGTGGAATGAGGTTTCGAAGAGAAGCGTGGTGAGCAGCTTGGTTCATAGTATTAAGACGATAGACTTCGAAAAGTGAAAGTGAAAGAGCAGGGCGAAGAACAATGATGCAGAGGTATGAAAGAGAAGAGAAATTTTCGCACACGAGAAGACAAAGGATCAACTTTTAAATTGTGTGCGCGCCCCGGGCCTACAAGGATATATAAACATTGGCTGATTATATCGGGCATCATCCTGGCGGCGCAAACTCTGATAGGCCAGTTTAGTGATTGGGCGAGAGCGCAAAGACCAGGAATAGCTTCAGGCTGAAGCGTAATCACGAGCAAGATTCCAATATTGACTGAACAAAACGGCTGAGTGGCCAGAGTCCGCACAAAGAAGTGGCTATGCCCCGTGGATCATTGGGCACGAAGTGGACCTGCCGGCTACTGCCGTTGCGTTTCACTTTATTTAGACTCGTTGGGCAACAAATAGAATTTTGCGAACCCACATGTTCTCGAGGGGAGATCGATGATCAAAGACTTGCATCTCCAGTGTATGGCGGGGAACTCGTCTTGGGATTGAGTCGGCGCCAGCTGAGGCGAAGAGTGTTCCAACATCAACCATGCGCGTGATGCAGAGAACCTCCTGGCGCGGCAGGGCAACACATGCCGGAGGTATGAGACATGGCAGAGCCCACACTCATAGGGGTTGAATAGTTCGCCTGTCACTTTTGCATGGATTATCAAGGCCGAAGCGCCAATGCGGAGGTAGATCTGACAGTCAAAGGTCAAGCCACTAGGCATTCCGTGCATGGCCCCTCATTGAGGGGTCAAATCTGTTGGATGTCATCCTGACGATTGACTTAGTCTGCTGTTTTGTTAGGCGCCTGTTTGTTGCCTGTCTCGTGTTGTCTGTGGTCTATACATGTTCCGACGGGCCGACGGATACGTCATTGAATGCGACACCCCGCGGCCATTGAGACAAATGTCGAGTCCAGACATTGAGCCTACAGAGTGGTAGAGTAGCAGTAAACAGAAGACAATATTACTGTAATCGTGAATAACATGAAAGTCGCATGAATCAAAACAGAAGCAAAAGGAAGGAAGAAAACAGAAGCACGCAACAATTCCGTGCGGGGAGAGATGACAAATGGAGCTCAGCTCCCACTTGAATCGTCACTCGGCTTTCGCAACTGACTGTAGGACATGTTTCGCTCTCTTCTACGCAGTTCTCGGCTCTCTCTTCTACGCAATCACATTGCTCCCGTCACTTCCGTCACTCCCTTCACTCCCTTCACTCCAATTCGCACCATGTCCGTACCAACAACAATGAAGGCCGTAGTGGTCGAGCAGACCGGCGGCCCTGAAGTTCTCCAATTCAGAACCGCACACCCTGTGCCAACCCCTCAGGCAGGCCAGCTACTCGTGCGCAACAACATCTCGGGTGTGAACTACATCGACACCTACTTCCGGACGGGTCTCTACCCTTCGCCCAAGCCCGAGGTTCTGGGCCGAGAGGGCGCCGGTGTTGTGGCCGCTGTGGGACCTGATACCTCTGGGTTCCAGGTTGGTGATCGTGTTGCTTGGCTCGCTACCCAGGGCTATGCTGAGTACACTGCGGTGTCTGCTGCCAAGACGGTGAAGATCCCCGAGGGCATCAGTGATGAGGACGTGATGGCATCGTTCTTGAGTGGATTGACCGTTCTTGCCTTTGCAAAGGAGACATACCCTGTCCAAAAGGGTGATTGGGTCCTGCTCCATGCTGCTGCTGGTGGTGCTGGCTTTTTGATGACCCAGATTTTGAAGACCATGGGTGCCAACGTCATCGGCACTGCTGGTGGTGCAGAGAAATGCGCCCTGGTGAAGAGCCTCGGGGCTGATGTGGTCATTGATTATCGCAGTGAAGAGGGTCAAGATTGGGTAAAATTGGTCAAGGAGGCGACTGGTGGCCGTGGCGTTGATGTAGTCTACGACTCTGTTGGCAAGGATACCTGGGAGGGTAGCTTGGAGGCTGTCAAGCGCAAGGGTACTATTGTCTGGTTCGGTAATGCCAGCGGACCTGTGCCACCTCTTCCTCTTCCGTATGATTTCTTCGTTCCATTTGCTCGGGGCCGATGATGCTAATAAGATTGACAGTAAACTCTCCCCCAAGTGTGTTAAGGTTGCCAGACCAACACTCTTTGGCTACATCGAGACCCGCGAAGAGTTCGAGTACTACACCAATGAGCTGTTCACTTTGTTGAAGTCTGGTCAGCTGAAGACCAAGATCCATAAGATCTACCCTCTGGAGGATATTGCTCAGGTTCACAAGGTACTTAAGCCGGCTTCTCGCTGTTCAATTGTAGCCACTGCTAACCACTATCTGCTTCATAGGATCTCGAGGGACGGAAGACAATGGGCAAGCCTCTTCTGCGGCCTTGAATTACCATGTAAATGAAACATTATTAGCCGATATATTGGAAACAGATATAAAAACACCAGCTTTCCTTTTTTCGCCTCTTCTTTTCTGGTCTCCAATATAGTGTTTAAACGGCCTACATTAATGTTGTGTGCCCAGGTATGATGCCGTCTCCCCAGCTCTCCAGGGATTGCAGAGCAGGACCTTTCATTACACTTTTTATCTCGACGTTGAAACAGTAGGGTTCAAATTTATTCATTTTGGATCTTAGCTATGTCCCCGGCTTCCATAGTGCAGCACCTCAAGGGCTCTCTGCCTCAGTATTGGACCATCATCCACCTCTCAGATCTGGCCATGCTACTCTATGTTATTAGCTCCATCCACTTGCATGCTTCTCTCAAGATCATTCTTAGAAGTCTTCTCGTTTGGAGGCTCCGTTTGGACAGATCCCTGCGATTTCATCATTTGAAATTTCTCGTTTTTCAGGTGAGACTTTGCAAAAGACAGCCATCTGGAAAACGAGCCCATTTCCTTCCCGGTGAGGGACTCGGCTTCCTCCTTCATTTCAGCGTCCATTCGCTTGATAAATTGTTCTAGCGAACAGAGATTTGCATTCACCTGGTCAAAGTTTTCCTCCTTCTTGCTGGAGGAAAAGCATTCCTTGACTATTGTTTTCTTTTCAGGGCAATGCTCGGAGGGTGTCCTGGTAGGCTTCCACTCCTTCATGAGGCCATACCACTCCTCACCACCCCACCACTGCTCGGGCGTCCACCATTCCTTGGGCTTGATCTGGCCAGTATCGTCCCCCTGGGTGATTCCACCTTTCTCAGAGATGTTCTTCACGATTATCTCGTCCTCATTCTTCTTCTGTCCATCGTATTGTGGAAATATGATACCCATCTCATCCTCTGCCCGAACACCAGGCTGGGGAACAACATCGTACTCAAAGCCTAGCTTAGTGTCGGCGGGAATGGGCTTCCATTTACCGAATGCTGCATCGTAGTCTGCACCCGGAGTCACGTCTTTCAGCAAGGCTCGAGCTTGTTCACGATCGGAAAGCTTGGGCCCAGCAAGTTGTTCCATTGCTTTCCTATGCTCGGCTCTCATAATGATCCATTTGTCAGTGGGCTCCTTGGTCTTTGGGCCCTTGTAGTCAATCATAAGATCATTTGCAAGGAAGACGTAGAAGCTAGGCAGGCAAACCATGATCTCATCAAAGAAGTGTATGCCACAGTTGAGCTCGAAGACTTTGGTAAGAGCTTTCATGCCCAGGAAGCAGTGTGCAAGCAAGTCTCCTTCCACTAAAAAGTCAAACTCGTAGCTAGGAGCTTCACCACGTTTCCACTTCTCCTCTTCAAGCTTCGAAAGATTGAATTCGCCTTTTGCAGGATCACGGAACTCCTTTGCTCGAACCACGCCGACAGGTGTGAGATTGGGAGCCATGTCCTTGTAGAAAGCTACAGTGAGGGGGTTTGGCTGTTCAATAGAGATGATCTCAAAGCCATCGATATCCTCAACCTGCTTGACCTTAAATTGCTCTGTTTCGGCAAGCTCTTTAAACCTGATGGCGCGCGCATCCGGTCCCACCGCGGCTATAGCGTACTTCAGGACCCATCGAGCACTCTCCTGTGTCATTCTGTTCTGTTCCGCGAAGGTTTCCCATATCTCCGGATCGTCGATATCGTCGAAGTAGTTCCCACCGAAGAGCATGGAACAGGCCTTATTGAAGTCTCCCGGGCCGTTTTGTACGACTTGGCGTGCTTTCCATAACTCCTTTGCAGCTAAATCACAGGTGTTTCTGGCCTTCTCAATGTCGTCTCGGTACTCGGGGCAGACGTCATGGTAGAGGAGGAAAGTGAGGAAGTTCTTGATTGTGCCGGTCACCACCATGATTTCACCCTCATCGTCGGGACTGAAGTAGTCCAGGTAGTAGCCTCCACTGCAGCAGAGTTAGCGTTTCGCATAGCGACGTCGTTTTACAAATTCTAACTCACAGATAACCCTTGAGCACCGTATCGAAAGCGATGTTCCCCTCAGTAGCCCATTCCGGCGAGACGACGGTATAGTTGCGAGCTTCCATACCTTCTTCCTTGGTCATTTCTTTTAGCTCTTGTGGAGACACACCTTGGCCGTACTTTTGGTTGATGTTCACACCCCCGTACTGCAGGTACTTGAGGAATAGATGACGCCGGCGTGGCTCAAGGCGGCGTTTAAATAAAAAACGCTTGATGGCCTCATCATATCGCCTAAATACCATGTTAGTAACCGGCTTCTTTTTTGTCGCCGAATGAACTTTACATATGAAACGGAAGATCGCTGCGGGTAAATTTAGTAAAAGTTGATAATTTGCGACCAAGATGTATACTCACGGGTCATAGATCTTCTTGATCTCCTGGGATTCATCGGGTGTGAGCGGTGCATCGGCGAAGAAGGGTTCGAAGCCTGTTGGTGCGCCCTGTCGACCTTTTAGCTGCTGTATTTAGCAGGATCCCGACGAGGAGACATACCAGGCCTCTCTTTGTCTTGGGTCGTCTTTTCTTCTTCTTTGTCTTGGTCACATCAATGTCCAGTTCCATGTGAGCAAGAGCCCTTTCTTCATCTGGGTTAGGCTTGACTCCATATGGAAGGCTCTCAATGTCCGAGATCTCATCAGTAACCTCGGTGGTCTGGTGGGTTTCCAACTCTTCAGTGCCGCTCCGACTATCAGGCTTGTTATCCTGGATGGGCTGAGCCAGTGAATTTCCAAGGACCGATTCTGAAGCTCGCTTGACTGCATGTATCTGAGCCACATCATCTAGAACGACATTACCGTTCTCGTCAACAAGGTCTGGCAAACTCCCGGCATGCACGATGCCCGTTTTGTCTGGCTCTTCGCGAGAATTCTCCATCATGGTACGGTGATCAGCGGAAGACTGTTCAGTGTCAATAGTATCTGATATCTCTTGGTGTGACTGTGGTTCAGGTGCTTGTATCTGTACAAGGTTAGAAGACCTGTTTGTGAGTCCAGCACCACATAAGTAGTCACGGGAAATGCCGGTTTTACTGACCTCGCCGGCGCTTGTGTCCCTGTTACAGGCGTCTTGTGATGAGAAAATGAAAGAAATTTGAGAAGATCCCTCAGGTTTAGGTCTGAAAGGTAACGTGGTGGGTTTGACAAAGTCCATGTTTGGTTCCCTTGAGGTTTACACTGAAGCCGTAAAGAAGATCGAGGAAAGTGCGAAGAAATACTAGGAAGTATTCATCAATCGAAATATCAGCTAGAGTAGCCCGGGGTAAGTGAGTTCTCAGAAGATCCAAGGTCTGAGTTGGCTGTTTGGCCAGTTTCTGGTTAGATGAAGCAATTATGGTCAAACACCCAAAATAAAAGAATATAGTTATTCAAGAGCATTACTGTGAGATCTACATCATCTAGAAACTTGGCTGATCTCTCATGCATCAAAGAAGCCCTGGAGTGATCTCAGCGAAGAAGTGATCCGACATAGATCGGGCTGATAAAGCGGAGATGACATCCCGCGTCAGCTTCTGACCTTTCAACACCTCCCAGGCTCTCCGTTGATTTCCGGTTGGGATCTTGTGCTTTCTGTTTTGCGGAAACTTCTGGAATGCTGTCAGATTCAGCCCTCGCTTTTGCATTTCCAACATGCCAGCCAAACCTGAGACTCGAAAGACACCACAACTAGGAAGCGATGACCTGATACCGTTTGACCATGTCGCTGCAGGACAGTAAGTGATATTCTGACCTGGAGGTATTTCCGTCGAGATCTGCCCTGATCGGCCTGGCCACGCGACATTCTGAAATTTCAGCGCATCTGGTCGCGCGGGGTTTCGTCTCCGCAAGTGACGTTATTTTTTTTTGGGCCGCGAGACGTCCATGCTGACAACTTTCTTCTGTCTGCTAGTGATGGTGTCCGCTGCACACTTTCAGGCGCTCTGATTGCGAAGCCATGCACAAAACAAGAAGTCGACTTCTATGAGTCGAGCACCCTCCACCCTGCATTCCAGGAGTTCATGCCCCTCTACATTGGTTCGCTCTCATCCGCTGAACAACAACAACCGTTGGCCATTGCTGCTGCTCGAGATTCCGGTGCCCTTTTCTTGCCCCAGTCCGGCGATGCTGTCGTTGAATCGCCAACACCGAGCGAGGCGCAGGCGCACATAGCCCCGGCTCAACAAATCCCCCCAGGCCCCACCAAGGAGGACGCAGCATGGACTCCTTCCGGTGGCAAGAAGCTAGATACTGGACTTTCCATCGTGCTGGAGAATGTGGCTTGTGGGTTTCGTCGGCCCAACGTGCTCGACGTGAAGCTCGGTGCGCGACTGTGGGCAGACGATGCTCCGCCAGCCAAGCGCAGCAAGCTCGACGCGGTATCCAAAGAGACTACGAGCTCCAGTTTAGGCTTTCGCATTGCTGGCATGAAGATTTGGACTGGGGAGAACGGCGAGACTGACGAGGGCGAACGAACAAATCCTTACGCTACGAAATACGAGGGTGCAGAGGGCGAAAAAGGCGAAGTCATTGAGAAAGACGGCTATCGACGATACGACAAATGGTATGGCCGCTCTTTCAACGCGGATAATGTCAAGCAAGGGTTCGAGACATTTCTTGCTGGTGCGAAAGCCGGCACGGTGGACCGGTCACAGATGGTTGCTCGGCGCCTAACGGAAGAATTGAAGAATGTTCAGGAGGTGCTTGAATCTGAAGAGAGTCGAATGTACTCGGCGAGTGTATTGGTAGTGTATGAAGGAGATCCAGAGGCGATGGAGGTCGCAATTGAAGAAGAACAGAAGGTTCCAGAACGCCGTTCGCAGGAAGAAGAAGAAGAGGAAGATGATGATGATGATGACCAGGAGTTTGAAATTTCTGAAGAGTCAATGCAACTGGTTGATGTCCAGCTCGGCGATGGAATGCCTCAACAGGCTATCAACATCAGCATTGATCCACAGACCATGCCCATGCCTATGTCAACCCTGGACGATGAGGACGAGGAAGATACCCCCAAGGTCCATGACCTACGTGTGATCGACTTTGCACATGCAACTTGGACCCCTGGACAAGGTCCAGATGAAAATATGCTCATGGGAATCCGCAGTCTGATTACCATCTTCGAGGGAATGGCAGAGTGATGCGCATAACATATCTCAACGGTTGCGGGCAACCTTGATTTCAACATTGTTCAATTTCATAGTCTGATTATTTCCCATTAGCGGGACCATATTTACATCTCATTAGCCAGTTTACTGCATTTGATCTCTCTCAACTTTGCAACTCTGTTGAAGTCGCGGATATAGAAAGTGCTGACATAAGCTCACCGCCGAGACGGTGACTTTTCGATCTTCAACTTCGTGGAAATCTAAGCTACGGAAAACCTCAAGCCAAAATGTTTCCCACACGCGCCCTGTTAGGCCGATCGGTCTGGAAAGGTGAGTCTCTTCCGAAGTCAAAGATCAATAACATCCGCCAAAATCACAAGAAACAGCCCGCTAACGCTTCCACCAGGCCCAAACCTCGTCCCGTACGTGACATCCAATCCACACCCAATGCGAACAACCTCCTACCTAGCATTGACACCAATCATGCGGTCCAAACAATTGACTCCAAGAACCAAAAGCTAACCCAATAATCATCAACAGTATCGCTCTCCCGCGCACTCTCCCCCCTCCCCCAAACACACCCCCAATCCGCACCACGAAACGCGCAGCGACTATCCTCCCAAACTTCGTCGGTCTGCGCTTTGCCGTCCACAATGGCAAGACATATGTTGAGGTCCAGGTGACAGAGGAGATGGTCGGTCGCAAGCTTGGAGAATATGTTGCGTATGTATCCCCCATTCCAAACCCATACCAGACTCGCGGATTGTTCCACCGTCTGGAAGTGATGTGAATGATGTTGACTGATATCCTTTTTCCTGGTTTTAGTACCCGCAAGCGTTTCACATACAAGCAGTCCAAGAACAAATAGGCGGTCTGTTTGGTGCTTGGGGCAGATGCGATGCCCATGTCCTCTTTTTTGCATTCGGATGGGTGGGACTGTACCGGCAGAGCTGTGTTGCATTCTTTTTCCTTTTATTTCGCCATACCATGTACAGTATATATTGTTCGATTACATGTGGAATTAGCTTCACTTGGGACGGAGTTCACCAGTGGTTTTCTATATGATGTCGGTTGTAGATCTTCCTCCGTGTAAGCCCTAGGAGTCTGCTGCTCAAGTTACAGTTTCTGAGGCTCAATTAGATGTGATACTACATTGGGAAAGGTACAGAGTCATTGTGGCATTTCATGATGGGATTCCACTAAGCTCAGATTGGCACGGGATAAAACCACGCAGCAGAAATAGTATCAACAAGCGCCGCAAGGATAAGAACAAGAAAATAAAGAAAACTCCATTCTTCAATGTCAACCCAACCACCATCCAGACCAGGAGAATGCAGTCATGATCCCAGGGTCTCACAGGACCATTCAACGCCTTGCGCCATACCCTCTCGAGGGGGGAAAATAAACAAGAAAAAAAAAAAAAGCACCAGCATATATCGCCTCTTAAAGCACAAACGAGATCCCCACCAAGTAGTCCAGGCACAAAATACATGTACCCCGTCTACCGATAGAACTCGCCCCGCTTGACACTGACCCCATACTCGGAAACCGCCATACCAAGATCCTCCATCGTGAGCACCGTGCGGCCCTGCCCAGAACCACCAGACCCACCACCACCAAAGCCAGGCCGTTGAATACCAAGATGGGTATTAGCCTTGCCACCCTTCCCGCTGTCGCCGCCGGGTGCGGGTGCGCCTGCACCGGCTGGGGCGCCCAGGCCTGATGCAGCAGCAAGACTGCCGATGGGGTTGTTGGCGGAGGAGCTGTTTGAGGCGCGAATGCGTGCGAATTGGTAGCTGTCGGCCGCGATGTCCGAGACAAACTTTTGCGCTGCTAGTGCGAGCAGGCGCGCTAGGTGGGGTGGGGTTTGGCCTGGTCCTGTGCCTGGAGGGGGAAGACCGGCTAGGGTGAGATAGTGGGCTGTTACTGCGTCAGGGATCTGGAGGCGGGTTGATTAGCATGCTGTAGATTGTCTTGGCTGATCTCACTGGTGTTTCTGTCTTATGTCTCGAATCCAGATGCCATGTCTCATGGCTGATAGCTCAGAGCTCATATCTCATCCGAGGAGCTCAGGTGAGAGACGGCTCAGATCGTTTGAGCTAGATCGGAGATTTGGATAGGTCGATCGAGGCGACTCTCCCATGATCTCATTCATTTGGGAAGAAAGGGATTCAAGCATCATGTTGGGATAAACTCACGATGGGAGCATAATCGTCCATCTTGCTCAGGAACTCGCGCAGGCTCGTTTCCTTCTTGGAGGGCTGCGGTGCTGGCGCCATCGGATCGATACCGGGTGCGGCAGAATCATCAGCATTGGCGCCGGGCTGGGGCTCAGTATTCATGTCGACGTCTTGCTCGATTGATGCGTCGAGATCAGGGTCTGGTTTGATATTGTCGGTGACAGGAGCTGGGGTGAGATGCTCTGACCCAGAGGGAGGTTGTGGTGTCTGAGAGTCGGCCATTCTGGGCAATTTGGCGTTCCCCTGCTATATCATTTGTTTGTGAGACTGCAGGTGAACTATCAGACCCAATCACTGCGTTGGGAGTCCCTGGTCACACGCGTGCACGGCCCACTTGGTAGTCCCGAGTCACATGATGGGACTGACTCGCATTACATAACCGAATGAAGATGAGGCTGTGATGAAAGAGCGTTTCGATCAGAAGCATACAGTACACTGTTGCCGTTTGGAATACATGTAGCTGAGAGTAGACTAAGTTGCAAGGCCAACTGAATCCATGAAGAGTACATTTAACACCTACGTTGCTCTGCAGGGCTGTTGAGCTCTACACCTACTGCAAGAGGCCAATCGTAACGGAAAGCTGAAGATATGAGAGTGGGCTCTCTGTCTGACTCAGAGGAATCTGAGGGACACAGGTCAAGGAGACAGAAAGACAGAGGGCGGTCTACTGGGTCTGGTGAATAGTCTAAATTCCCATCGTTCTCTCAGATGCCCTCCAGCAAGCATGCTACGTTTCAGAAAGCCATTACTACAACCCGACAGTCTATTGTTGACCTACCTGGTCGGATGATTATGCCAACCAGTAGCCCAATTTACTGGGTGATCTGGTTGTCGAAAGCTACCAGTATGCTGACATCGATGGCAGCGAGTGTGAAGAGCATCATTATTTGTCTGCTACCCAGGTATTGACAAGTCAATCTCCAACAAAAAGATGCCCTCACCAAGCCGACCCGAGGTTTGTATCAGCCTAGCAAATTTCAAAGGCGGTTCTCACAACTAAGAGCTGCTAAACTCTTATGAAGTACATAAAGTTAACTAGAAAAGGCAAAGGCTGGAAATTAATGGCTTTGATTGGGTGGAGGAAAAGTACGTAAGCACCTGGCGGGGGCGAGCACTTCGACCCCAGAACTCTATGGATCCAGTCACATGATCAGCCCACCGCCACATGGCAGAATCCCCAGGCTTTATCACGTGATATCGTCAAGCCAGGCCCTAACCTAGTATATTATAAGTTCGGGTGTCTACCATCTCTCTTTTCCTTACTTTTTTTGCATTCCTCGGTTTTCAATCGGACAAATTTGATTCCTATTGAATGTCGCTATGTAATCGTACAGCAATCGTCACTCCTGCGCAATGTGCAATCCCATGATCAAACAAATGGTTCCCGAAGGAACAAATCCCACAATCCATTCCATGACTCCGAAAGCAAAGGGCAAATCCAGTACTCAGACAGCGAAAGAGGTAAAAAGCTAATGAACAAGAAACAAATGGCAAATGGCAAGATGGTGAAAGGCAAAGCGAGAGCAGCTACTGGCCAAGCTGCATGTGTGGATCAAGGTGGTCTGAGGTAGGCTGATGTTGACCGTACTGGTTGCCATGGACCTCCTGACTGAGAGTCTGCATCAGGTTTTGCTCGGCCGTTTGATCAAACACAGACTGGCTGTTTGCATCTGGTGGGAGGCTAGGAGAGGCAGACATCTCATGGCCGGAGACAGGGGTCCCATGAGCTCCGGCAAGAGCCATCATGCCCTTAATACCCTCAACATGGGCCTTGTCTTCCTCGCCCTGCTTCTTTTGTCGCTCACGAGCTTCGCGCTTGGCGGCCTGGGCGGGGGCACGGGTCTTGAGTTCACCAGTAACAAATTTCAAGTAGTAAGGAACCTCGATCCCACTTTTGAGAAAGAAAAGCTTCAAGTTACGAGCCTTATCCTTGAGCTGAACCTGATTGCGGTCCTTCAAGGCTTCACTGATAGTTCCACCGGGACCAAACATCGCAAGGATCTGACTCCAGTGGGGACCTTTAACACGGTCCAAACCAGCCATCAAGGCATTCTCTTCTTCGGTGGTCCATGGTCTGCGTTGACTAGGAAGGCCAGACTTGCGGCTGGTTGGCGAGGATTTGGCGGATGCAGCCATTCGAGCACGTTCGTAAAGAACTTGGGTGGGTTGTGACTGCGAGTAATGAGGGATCCCGGGCATATAGCCATGGTTGGAAGACATGCCGTTTGCTCTAGCCTGCATGGCTTGGGCCGCGTTTGGATTGTACTGCTGGAAGTTCGCCTGCAGGGGACTTTGTTGGAAGGTCAGCGGCGAGGCTTGCTGCGTCTGATACCCGCCAGGTGGCGTAGGGCTGTGATGATATTGCTGGTGTGTAGGCTGCGGTGGCTGGGCAGCTGTGTAACCTTGGAGGTATTGATGCTCAGGTTGGCTCTGCGGCGGTGGCGGTTGCTGTTGTTGCTGTGGTTGAGGCTGATGGGGCATAGGAGATGGGCTAGCCTGAGATTGGGACTGTGGTGGCAGAGGTTGGTGCTGCTGTTGCGGTGGTGGTGGTTGTTGTTGGTGTTGTTGTTGTGGTTGCTGTTGTTGCTGTGCTTGCGACTGCGACTGAGATTGCTGTTGGGACCGTCGAAGGCCATGGCCCTGAAGGGCAATCTGCGCAGCTCGGGCAGCGCGCGCCACAAGATCACCATGCATGTTTCGGTCGACCGGGACTTCAACTTGTTGATTAAGCGCAAATTGGCCCTGATGGGTGGTGTTAGGTGATTCATGCGCATCGCCATTCGAGCTGGAGGGTTGTCTTCCTTTGATGGGCTTTTTCCCCTATATTGCATTAGTCAAATGTCCAAGCGAGAAGAAAGCGAAATACATACTTGTTGAGTATTGATGGCATCAAAGTTCTTTGAAATGTAGGAGCTCAGGTCCCGCAGGAAATCTTCCCAGTGGTACTTATCGGGCAAGGCACCCAACGCTTCCTCGTTGTTAATGTCACTGAGAAGGATATCACGGCGAGAGGTAAGACGATTCACAAAGTCAGTCTCGGAAGGCGCAAGCTGCCGAGTGCCAGGACGTCTCGCCAATAACCGCTGCTCCATGTCATCGGGGAAAATTGAATAGAGAAGCTCGGTACGGGTGTGGGCTTTGTTATTCATTGCGGCAATGAAGGCCTGTGTCTTCAGCTCGAGGTACAAAGCACCTTGGACCTTCAGCAAGCGACCACCTTCCGGTACAAAGACATCTAAGAAATGCTCGTTCAGTTCGGCGAACCCAATTTCCTGGGAGCCGAAAATGCTAGAAACAAAGGAAGCTAGGTTGGCCTTGCGAATGACGTCAATCTGGGAAGGGTCTGTAATTTCAAGATCCGTGGGCTGAAGAAACGAGTGCTTGACGGTATACACTCGCTTCGTGTGATCGAACAAGGAACGCATTGTGGCATATGCCTGGCCGTTCTCGGAATCCGGCTCGGAGACCATGGCAGTGAGGTCCTGGTAGGTGTTCTTGGAAAGAAAGGATAGGATTTGTGTAGACTATAAAAGCAAATGGTAAGCAAGGGCATGATACTCATCAATTTGATGTCGGCTGTACTGACAAGGTTGTCCAGAATTGGGAGAGATTGAATCTTCAAGTGGGAGTTGGCCTTGAGGAAAGCGAAGCCTCTGGCGCCGGGGAACTCATTGGACGACGGGATCTCCTGTGGGCCCATGGCAACAGTATTCTCTTGACGCTCGGTATGGTCCATGATCTCTGAAATTATCGAAGCGACGTCGGGGTTTATTTCACCGTTACCGTCTTGGGTCGCCGCAGCGCCGTTGGAGGTATCACGGGGACCGGGGTCGGGAACAGTATGGTCGGTTTGCTCAACAGTGTCGACAATCCCCTCTCCAAGCGCCGATGCGAGCTCTTCTTCAATCTTGTGACCAGGACCATGTTGGTCGGCCATCAGGATATTGTCACCAGGTAGCGAAAGTTCGCCGTCGGGACCAGCGTCCGTACGGCGCTTTTTGGCAGCCGGGGGTGTGCCATGCTCCTCATCTTCAAGAATATGAGGGGGTTTTTGGTCTGTAAGATAATTGCAAATCAAGATTAGTATTCAATGCATCGAGATTGGTTGGCGCATGTGGTAGCTATAGGCGGATGGCCGAGGCTAACGAGGCACGGGACAATCGGAATAACAGAAAGCATACCAAGGTCGCCTTCTTCTGAAGGGAAGGGTGGGAAAGCTGGTGTATCCTGGCCATCAAAGGATGGCCGGGCGCCTCGAGTTTCAACCATGGGGAAAGACAGCTTGAAGTCGGGGTAGCAACTTCCGAGAGCAGAAATGAGGGCTTAGGGGTAGGGCGCGTTTGTAGGGCTTTCGAAGGTTAGAAAGGAAAGGATTTTATGCCGGGCGGTGAGTGTGAGAAGAAAGGATTCGGTGAAAGGTGTGGCGGTGAGAATGTGGCGTGGAAGAGAGATGTGGCGGTGATCAGAACGGTGTGGGCTGGCAGTAAAGGCGCTCCCGCTGTTTGCACTGTTTGCAAACGCCTTGATACTTCGAATCCTAGGATATTTAAGTCATTACTTAAAACGTGGACTTACATACAGGTTTGCACTCCTTCAACTGAAACAGATGATTATTGTCTATTTACATTCTTTGGTGAGATACACATAGTAAGTACATCATCAGTTTCTTCCCCTAGAGATCTCAATATATATAGTGTGATTGGCCAGGTCGTGTTTGTGCAACAGCACAATACATACCCTAACGCTGCCGATAACGCTATTAGGCTGCCTCTAAATTTCCTTGAATATGAGATGGACTGAGTTCATAAGACAATGATACTAATGATGAGGAAATTCCCAGCTTTTGACCGCAATTTTTTATTATGTTGTCTTGAATCGCATCTACAGACAAGTTGTGCGCGTCATAGATCCCTAGCTCTAAAATGCGTGCAACCTTAGCCTCAACAGCTTTAGTGGGCGTTACTCTCAACCTTACCTGAGCTGTCTACTTGGCAGCATGAAACCAAGGTTCGCTCCTCTTACTTCTACATTGGTTGGCTAGTTCGGAGTCCATTTTCATTCAAGAATGTCATCTAATCCAACCTTGGCACGTCAAAATCGATGTCTACCCGAGAAAGCCGAAACTCTACACAGTTTTATGCTTGAGATTTGGGAATAACGTTCCAAAAACGGGCTGTCCCATCGTTTGGTCGTATAGTTTCCTGGTATTCCTGTGGCTCTAAACTTTCACCCCTGGTCTAGCCCGGGGTCCGTTTTCTTTATTACATAGTGGCCCCTCAGTACCTCTGGAAGTCTGTAGTTTATTCCAGCTCAACTAAATCGCTGTCAAAGTTCATAGCCATGTTGAGCAAGGGCTTTTCCATCGCCCTGCTTGTCTTGCAGGGACTATCAACGGCTGCTGCTCAAAGCTATGGACCCGAAAAAGTATGGGGAGTCTTCACATTCACCATCTTTGGAGACAGCACACCCGAAGTCTTATCTAACTCTCGAACCCTGACCACATATGGAGCCAGTGAACTGGCAGCCGCAGCAGCGGCCTTTCGATATCGATATATATCGACAGCTGGCAGTGATGCCTCCGAGAGTGGCATTCAGAATATTTCGCCAAGCATTCTGGACTCGAAAGACGTGAGAGTGCTTTCGACGGCAGAACAGTACGTTGCTGCTTCCGCTCAGGCTTTTATGCAGGGTCTCTATCCTCCTGTCGACATGAACACAACCGACGCCCAACTGGCAAATGGCTCGTATGCACAAGCGCCCGTTCATGGATATCAGTATCCTTTAATTATCCCACTTGGAAAATCAGATCCTGCATCTTTCTATGTTGGAGGACAAGCAGATTGTGAAATGCATGAGGCCGCCGAAGGGGAATATCGTGACAGCGAGGAAGTGGACCTCATCATTCGCGACACTGAAACCTTCTATGTGGACCTTTGGCATACAGCCTTGGCTGGTGTCTTCGCCAATGAAGACTCATCGACGTATACAAACGCCGTGCCTATCGCGGATTACATCGATTACGAGCTTGTGCACAATGAGTCTTTCTCGCAAGCGATTCACGACGCTGACATTCTCCGTGCTCGCGCACTGGCCGATAAGTTCTTATACGACACAAACAGTCAGCAGGATTCGTCACATGGGTCTATCATCAGAAACATCAGCCCCATTGCGGGTAGAACGTTAGCAACGAGCATCTTGGAGTCCTTCGATATCAACATCCAGATGGGTGGCTCTCAGGAGAAGATGACTTTGCTCTTTGGTGGTGACGAGCCTGCGATAGCCCTGTCATCGTTGTTAGGGCTTGCAAGCGAACACCAACCGAACTTCTTCTCTCGTCTTGTGCGGGGTGGCTCGTTCGTCTTTGAGCTGTATAGCTTTGGGGAAGATGAAGAGTATCCCACGTATCCAGCTTCTGACAACCTTTATGTGCGATTTCTGCTCCACAATGGGACGGATGCTACCACGCAGTTCCAGCCATATCCTATGTTCGGATATAGTCCGAGTCACTCCTATATTCGATATAGTGAGTTCCGCACTGAACTGGAAACGTTCGCTCTGTCTTCCATCCAGGAATGGTGTATGATGTGCAACTCGAACGCTATCTTTTGTACAGGAGTGATGGACGCCGAAAAGTCCAAGCCAGAGAAGAAAAAAACGATGGCGCCGGCAGTGGCTGGGGTTATTGGAGCCGTTGTAGCCCTGGCTATTGTTGGGTTTGTCACAGCTATTGGCTTCCTGCTGTGTGGCATTCGCAAGCGTCGAGAGAGCAGATCGAGTTTGGGCGGGTTCAAAGGAACGGACAAGATGGCCAGTGACACGGATGTGGTATTTCGTAGCCCTACGTGGGGCAATTCCAAAACCCAGAACTCGACTCAGGATATCTCTGCTGGAATTGTCATTCAGGGAAATGAACGGCTTGGAAGCTGGGAGATGGGCCAGCAAGGAAAAGAGGTTGATCATATCGAGCGAGATGGCGCTGTCACATCCCCATTTGATGACCCCGATGAGGACTGCGGATTGCACAGTCTTCAACCGGCGAGGGTGAGGGAAAGTGTGTAGAGTAGTTCAAGTGCAAGTGAAAATGTCTTTGTCAGTTCCAACCACGTGCCTCCAGTAAAGTCCGAAAGTTGCTTTTCGAAGGGAAAGTTGCAAGACCCCGTGTCTGCATCGCTCTTTCTTCACTCTCTGCCCCTGCACTTTCATACCCGATTCTGTTTTTGTTTCTTTTGTATCATTCCCTTTCAACCCATTCCTATTGCACATCATGCCCAAGATGAGGTATTCAGTGCCGGCTTTGTTGGCGCTGCGCCTCAATGAAGATGTACCCTGCAAGTGGACCAGCGAAGCAACGCATTGTGAGTCTCCGATATTCCCGTGCCTGAGCCTGAGATAAAGCATGTTGGCCTGTCTTTCTCAGAGCATGTGCCCTGCTTCTGGATCATGGAAGACTCTGGATTGTCCCGAAACAAGTAGTTAAAAGACCCAAGCTGACCGTGAATAGGCAAATCCAAGCCAGGTCTCTCGGAAAATCGCCCGAATCGTTCAAACAATGATGCAGCAAACGTGCTAACAAAAAGCAGCGCGAAATTGAAAGCCAAACTCCGATCTCGTGCAGCTCAGGGCAGCAAGAACAAGCCATCAGTGCTGTCAAATCCATCCTTGACCACCACCGACACAGGATTTGCACAGTTTCTTCAAAAGCATAGCTCTCCCACGCACCAGCGAGTCACGGCTGGAGGCAAGATCGTGCCAATGATGCCACCGACTCCCCGCCTGGAAGGTGGCTCACCCGTCTTGAAAGTTTTCATGAGTGAGGATCCTTCTGTTGTTGGGCGTGTTTTTCTTGACGACAGACTGGTGGCCGATAATTCGACAGATGGACCCTATGAAAGTTTTCCTGAGTTTATAAACATCGCTTCTTTCGATGAGGGGGAAATTCGTTTCCACCCCGTGACACCTCAGTCGCTCGAGCCCATGCGTGAAGTTGAGCCTGCACGTCGCCATCCACGTTTCCCCATCCGGGTTCGACGCACTCATTTTACGGAGGATGTGCCGCTTCGACAGGCCCCCGATACCCCAGCGTTTGTCCCAGACCCAGAGCAAGCTCCTTCCGTTCAAATTGGGTATAGCGGTAGCTCCGCGTCCCAGTTTGAGTGGTACGATGAAGGGCGCGCTGAAAGATGGTTCACATGGGGTTATGAAATCCAGAAAGAAGAAGCTGCGATGCAGGCAGCTATGATCCAGATCAGACATCTGGATATTTGGGCGGGGGTAGACTTCTATCGTCGGTATGTCCGTTGTGCGTGGAGCTGCAACATAAGATACTTCCAAGAGGCGGAAGTACGACTGCGACACAAATTGAGTCTCCATGAAGAGTGGCTGGCTGACGTCAATGAGGCTATAGCGTTAGACCCATGGTCCAGACCACAAGGGAGATCTCTGTATTATCGAATTTACAACACCAATGAGCGAGCGAGGATGTTGACCTCTCTCGAAGAGCTTGAAGGGATCCAGGGCACTCGAGGCGGACTGAACGAGTTTGGGCTCACAACCTATGAAAACATTGCCAGCACCTTTGGTTCCTATTCAGCTGTTCAGGACGACTCCAATGTGACAGTCGGCAGCCGAGAAGATGCGCTCACAACCGATGGGGTAAACGATGTTTTAGTTCGGAGCCACGCGAGGGCCAGTGGACCAGTCCGTATCATAGATCCCCATACTGGTTGCCCCATCGATTTGATAGGACTATCACAGAATCCCAAGAACAGAGCGGCCAAGAAAAATGGTCAAGCACATGGCGTTGCTGATAAAAGTATCGGTGTGAAGGCCGGTCCCTCAATTGCGGCTGAAAGCGAGGACACGTCTCTTGAGATCGCCCAATCCCCAGAGCACGTTGTCAAAGAGTTAACTGACCGTGTTGATGATGCGCTCTTGGTTGAGCATGATCAGCTCCCATCATGGATCCCACAAGAGATGTTAGATGATCTTCGTTCAGTGAGAAAGAAGGGATTCAGCAAGACGGTGCCCCGGAACTTTGGCCGTCCTCGCTATGGCCCGGGATTGCAGACTATCACGGAGGTTGATTCGGAATCCTTTTCTCACGACGATAATGAGCATGCTCCTGGTTTACTCGCCGGCCGTACCGTTTCCAGCCCTATGATCAAAAGGTAAGCGTTGCTGTTCCAACCATAACGTTTCAACGAGACTAATTGTGAGCGCGGTAACAGCAAACGTGAGGACCATGATGTATCTGTGATCAATGAGATACTCAGTGAAAGGAACGTGGAATCTGGACGAAACAAGGTCAAGGCGGGGCGAGAGAACATGGATCCAGAGACCAAACAGTCCGACGACGACCATAGCCATATTCAGGATCGTGAGATCGCAGGGTCGTCCATCGAAGGTTCCAGACCCAGTCAACACCTCCGTACTCAGTCTAGCAGCGGTCCAGCTGTCATTCACGCCAACACCCACAATACTGATCTGCAATTCGACTTGGAGGACCTGGAGTGCTCCTGCACTTCGGAAATGCCTCTACTCTCGAACCCAAGCCCTTCCCCCACGAGTAGGCCCCGCCTACCTCACCAGAGAAGTGACCCCACCGTGCTCTCGTCCCTTTCGACCAATCTTCATGCCCCCCACACTACACCCGCAATTGTCTTGACCGACATGACCAATGTGTACGGCTCCTTTGCAAAGCGTCAAGGGACTTGAAACTTTGACTGATTGTCATCGATTGTCATCGATTGTCACTGATTACCACTGTCTCTATTTGAAAGAACAAAAACCCCCCAAATACCAAAAACAGGACTTGTAATGTCAGATAACTTAACTATTTTTAATCGATACTCATATCACGTGACATGACACGGACCCTAACCTCGGAGGCGTAGGAAATGGCGTTCCAAAGTCGCCACCAAATACTGTAGTCGGGCCATTTTCTGCCTGTACGGAGTAAACCCAGTGCGCATTTTTCTTCGTACCTGTCTAAATCCTAGTCTTGCTTGGTTTCTTTCTCTCTCTGTCCCTCTCTCTTTTCTCGGTTTTTGGATTCTTCAACAACCAGTCAGAGCCAGTCAAGTCGACACATTCCCAGTTGTCCAGGTGTTTCTACTTCTCGGCGCATGACTAAGCGTGCCTCCGCGTCCTTCTCCACTCCAATTCCTCCTGGACTCGTTTTTTCCTGATCTCTCAGTTCGTGTCCCTTTTGTGATTGTCAGTCTGTGAGATGCAGACTGTTCTGTGATTGCTGTTTTCGTGATCCGTGTCTTGACATATCTGGGTGGCCTTCGTTGCGAGACCCTGGCTTCTTTATTACCAATTCCCCCTCCCCGCGGTCCTATCCCCAGCCGGTACTTGGCACTTGGGAAACACCATAACCTCCGTTCTTTTAGCCGCCTCCTTCGTTTGCGCAGCGTTTCATTCGCCTCATCTAATCATCATCTAAGACTACTGCCATCTCGAATTCCATCGCGGTGATCCACTCAATATGACGCAGCTCTTCGCCTCCAGCCCGTCGTCGGCGGTGACGAGCAATAACGAGAAACGTGGGATTTCCGGCCTCTCCCTTCCCTCCCGAAAACACTCCAATGAATCCAGTCACCTTCCGACGAGAATCAAGAACTTTTTCCGCATCAACACCTCAAGCAGCAACTCCTCACCTGGGACCCGCTCTGGAAGCAACGAACCCGAACGAGATCGGGACAGCCATGGCAGTTCCTCCAAGAACGAGAAGTCTGCCTTCAGACAATCGCGATTCATGCCTACCATCGGTCGCAATCGCTCGACCACCGTGGCGAGTGAGGGCAACCCGCTCGACGATAGCATGTCGCCTACCGCGTCTGCCAACCCATATTTCGCGCACCAGGGCCAGCCCGCATTAAGGCACCGTAATGACGGGTCTGTTCCCTCTTCGCCGCCCGACACCCCTGAGTTGCAGGTCACTGGGGTCTCTGCGGTGGAGCAAGCTACGACCGCAAACAAGGAGGAACTAGCTCGCAAGTTGCGTCGTGTGGCGTCCGCTCCGAATGCCCAGGGCCTCTTTTTAAGCGGTCAGAATGGGGAGCGTCCTCAAACGGCTGAGATGGGCAAGGAGCCTTTGGCGGAACAGGCCGGTCCTGGTGGATCCGTCGGTCTGGCCGGTTCAGATAAGGATCTTGTTCTGGCTGTGCCCACAATCGGTGTCGATAACGCTTCTTTCCGTCGGACATATAGTTCCAACTCGATCAAGGTTCGAAATGTGGAGGTCGGTCCTGCTAGCTTTGATAAGATCAAATTGATTGGAAAGGGCGATGTTGGCAAAGTTTATCTCGTGCGTGAGAAGAAGTCCAGTCGTCTCTATGCCATGAAGGGTAAGCTCGGTCTATCCTTGGAAATGCTCGAGGTTTCATGCTGACTTGAAAATAGTATTGAGCAAGAAGGAAATGATCAAGCGCAACAAGATCAAGCGTGCTTTGGCCGAACAGGAGATCCTGGCTACCAGCAACCATCCCTTCATTGTCACCCTTTACCATTCTTTCCAGTCTGAAGATTATCTCTATCTTTGCATGGAGTACTGCAGTGGTGGCGAGTTCTTTAGAAGTAGGTCAGCTTCGATCATGGCTTGTGAATCTTTCACTAACCTTATTTCCAGCCCTCCAAACTCGCCCTGGTAAGAGTATCACCGAGGATGCCGCTCGATTTTACGCCGCAGAAGTTATTGCTGCGCTAGAGTATCTTCATCTTATGGGTTTCATCTACCGCGACTTGAAGCCAGAGAGTATGTATCTTGTCATATCACGAATAAAGCCCTGCTAACTTGCTTCTAGACATCCTGCTTCACCAATCTGGCCATATCATGCTTTCGGATTTCGATCTTTCGAAACAGTCGGGTCCTGGGGGAGCCCCGACTATGATTCCGGCACGCAGTGGTGGCGGAAATTCCACCACAGCTTTGCCTACTATTGACACCAAGTCGTGCATCGCTGACTTCCGCACAAACTCATTCGTTGGAACAGAAGAATACATTGCCCCCGAGGTTATTAAGGGATGCGGGCACACCAGTGCTGTGGATTGGTGGACATTGGGCATCTTGATTTATGAGATGCTTTTTGGTACCACTCCATTCAAGGGCAAGAACCGAAATGCCACATTCGCCAGTATCCTTCGAGACGAGGTGAACTTCCCGGAACACTCCGGCGTGCAGCCGACGTCACACCTGTGCAAGTCTTTGATCCGCAAACTACTGATCAAGGATGAAACCAAGCGTCTTGGAGCCCGCGCTGGTGCGTCAGATGTCAAGACCCACCCGTTCTTCCGACAGACACAATGGGCTCTCATTCGCCACATGAAGCCGCCCATGATTCCCCATCAGGGTCGTGTCGGCACAGACACCGTGAACTTCCGCAATGTTAAGGAGAGTGCCAGCGTGGATATTGGCGGCACAGACTCCACCAAGATGGCGGGCGTCCCGATGGACTCGGGTTTGGCAACACCGAACGGCGAGCTCAACGATCCCTTCGAGGAATTCAACAGTGTCACCCTTCACCACGAGGGCGACATGTAATCACCTAAGATTCTGTTTATCTTTTGATTTCTGGCTTGTTTCTTTTATCCGATGTACAAGGGAAACAGCCGTATCTGCATCGTCTCGCTGACGACCCATGATGCATTAACGACTGTATTTAGATGCTTCTTTGTTTTTCTCTTCCATTGCAATCCTCGTTGGGTGTATGGAGCGTTTCGGGGTTTTTTTGGGCGAATCTAACCATGCTCTTTGTCTCTATTTTTCTCTTCTTTATCTCATCTTTATGCTTTCTGATACTCTTTCACTTTGCATCTCTCACTCTCTTGCCCAGGACCTCGGACCACTTGATCGATTGTCAATACGGGTACTACCTGGCAAAAGTTTCTCGGCATTTACAAAGCCTTCCCCTGCTGGCGCCATGGTTCCTGAGGTCCTTTTTGTCTCTGCGTGTTCCTTTGAAGATTGTGACATACATTTGCTATACTTTGTTGCAGCGGACGGCGTTATGGACTATTTCCTTTTTTTCGGTTCACGCTTTCAGCGTGGCACTTGTACGGATCAACTGAAGTTTTTTTGATTTTCAATCCCAATCCTATGAGGTACATGGATCATTATTTTCTCCGCCCCAAGTTAATTGTAACGTTACGGTGACCGTCACGTCCCGGTGTATAACAGGCCGTGGATCAATTTGGTTTTGTCCCTTCCAGGTTGTAAGGAAATTGTTTTTCAATTTGAGATACTACTCCAACGTGAGACGAGATATGTAACGATTTCAATCCTAAGAATCTATTCAATGCGAATGATGGTGATCAGCAAAAACACCATGTTCTGCAGCAGCCTTGCGACACTCCTCCAGCATCCTAGCCTGCTTAGCAACATCCCCCAAACGACCAATAACCTCCTTGTTACCGTCATAGAAAGTGAAAACAGCATAAGGAATCTCGACCTCAGCACAAAACTCCTTCACAAACTCCTGAGTCCTGCGCAAATTATGCCTAGGAATCCTAGGATACAAGTGATGGATGGCCTGGAACTGCAACCCACCATGGAACCAATCCAACCAAGTAGGACAATCGACATCCATAGTCGTCCTGAGCATCTTCTGCGGGAAAGACTCAAGCGGACCCAAGTCCGCCGTCGACATAGCATAATGTGAAAGCGTGATCTGCACATGCAACGGCGCAGTCACCATGTGCGAAATAAGCACAAACACAACCCGACTCCACCAAGTAGGAATACTGCACCAGACAATGCCGTACCCAAACCAACTCCAGAAAAACAGCTGGCCGGCCAGTTCGAACCAGCGATGCCACCACCCAGCACCGTGCTTCGGGCCTAGACCGCAGATGATGTGTTCCCAGCTCAGGAAGTAGAGGTTGAAGCGACCAAAGAGGAGAATCGGGTAGTACATGTAATGCTGGTATTTGACGGTGATCTTGGCAACGGCATCAAACTCCATAATGCGGTCGTAGTAAGTACTGCGCAGGGAGCCAAAGAAGCGATGCGAAAGCGCGAAGAAGGGCATGAGCTCGATATCGGGGTCGTGCTCTGGCGCATTCGTCACGATGTGGTGCACGTTATGGCTTCGCTTCCACCAGCCCAGACTCAAGCCGCCTAGGAAGTCGGCAATGATCATTCCGATTACCGTGTCGACTTGGTAGTTGTGTGTTATGCCCATGTGACCGGCATCATGGGCGGAAAATACAAGCTGGTGCCAGAAACAGCCGAGGAAGAAGGCTGAGAGGCAAAACCAGGATTTGAATAGGAAGAAGAGGAATAGACTGAAGAATATGGTGTAGCGGGTGATTTCGATTGCGTAGGCTGCATAGTTGCAGTTGTAGAGGCCGGCGGCGCGAATGCGCTCGTTTAGTTGCCGGTATTTCTGGGTGATGTTTTCTTGGTGCTTTGCGTCTAAGGCTGGGTATTTACTTAGATCAAGGTCGATTTCTTTCTGTGTTCTGGCGTCCATCACGTAGCTTCGTGCTTGGTCTTCCTTTGCTGGAGGTGGGATTGCGCTGATGGCCGAGGAGATGGTTGAGACTGATAGCCTGCGGGTCAGACCGAAGGAGTAATCTGCTGCTTCGAAGATTGGAGATGGGGGGGCAGAGCTCTCTTCACTTGAGACATCGGAGTTGAGGGAATAATCTGTTTCGTTGGCGTCTGTTTCGCTGTAGGGGCGGAAATGTCCGCCTTGAATTGGAGGAGAGAAATTGGTCCATCTTCCTTCGATGCGGCCAATTTGGAATTTGTTCATGCGTTGACGAGTTTCCTGTGAGTGTAGACTTTGTGAACATGGTTAATATAATGGATCTTTCTTTATAATGAGGAGCTATTGTGCAGATGTTTGGAGACTCACGCATTCACTTCGTCGGTGGCATCTTTGCCTATCATATGCCTGATGGCCATATCGCCTCCTGGGTGAAATTTGATCCAGGAATCTAGTCGGAGAACTTTCCCATCGACTATGATAATCAGTTTCTCTTCGGCAATCATGCCTTCGACTTCACGTCGAGACAAGACTTTGTCTCTGGCCTTCTCTCGGGTGACCATGTTTGCGAGCAGTCTGTAGAGAGATGAAGCAGGAGCGGGTTTGATTGAGAACAAAAGTGAAAAAGACTTTGGAGCAGACTAAAGGGGACTTGTATTCAAGTGAGTTCAAGACAATTGGGTTAGAAACTCCTTTTACGGGACATTTTACGGGACATTTTACGGGACAATTCATCTATTCTTCCACCTAAATCTAGCCCCACCTTGCCAGATATACTGCTCCTCTAGGGGACACAAAGGGGGCAGTGTCAAGCGGTCCAAGGACGTTGTATCCCACGGGGGAGTGGACTACGGATATTGTGGAGAGAGGACAAATATGGCGTTGGTGGCGGTCGTACGCGTATCAAGAACATGGACAGGCACCACACTCGCTGATATGTCGAGCTAAAACAAGCTTAAACTTTGGTAGCCCCTGTCGGAAATTGACAGATCGCTAAAACTAAACCTTTCCCCCTATCCATGTGGCTCGTTTGCTCCACTAGGGGACTGGACGTTTCTGAAAGATGCATAGATTCCACCGAGAACATTCTACTCTGCCGATCCCACACACAACATCGTATTGAGAAATCTCAAATATGTCTCCTAAATTTCGTCCAAAGAAACCTCCTACCCCTACTGTACTTTTCTATTTCCAAGTGGCAACTCCGTCGTATTCGCATGGCCGGTGTACACGATTAAAAGCCTTGGCACGTGCCCACAGCAACCCTAGGAAACAACGTCAGGCACGGGACACAGACCATAGCGCCCACCTAATAAGACTAAGATGAACTGCGAGGAGGCAAATCTGTATCTGTCGCCCCTCTGCTGCCGCTTGAGCCCCGCTGAAATGATAGGCTAAACTGTGCTACGTGGTACTCCGTACTTAGTTACGTACGAGATCCTCTATCTCAGGGCAAAGTCGCCACTTGTTCGATTTTCCACGTCCCCTGATTTTGTTCCAGGGTTCAATCATCTCCCCACGCTTTGCGGCAAAATTGGTTTCACGGTTCATGTCAAAGAGTCTGCCAATCAATGCTGAGACAGTGGACTACTGTAGTTTGTCGCCTCCAATTCCCTGTTCATTTGATACGTCTTGGAATATTCAAGAGATTCGTTTTGGCGATAAGTCCCGATTTTTGTTGCTGCCTGTAGACTATTCAAGGTGGATCAGCTATTCTAGGAAGGCTAAGTAGCTAGCAGCCATTCTAGCGGGTGCGACAAGGGCGAAAGTGTCCACGTGTTCCAGATGAAGTACATCTCAACATTTCTGCGCTAGCAAATCTATTGTTAGTGGCGGCTATTTTACCTAAAGCCTTCGTAGTCGTATTTCATGTTTCAAATTGGTCTTTCTAAAGCGATGGTCTGAGCTAAAGACGTATTCTGACTACTGTATATTTCGAAATAAGTAGCCCTAGGCCTTGTGCTCATCGCTGGCATGTGAATATAGCGCCAAGTTCGACCCTCTGTGGAACACATTTTTCTGAAGTTACGAATACGGCTTTTTCCCTCAATTTTCTTAGAATCAAGTGAATCGATGCCTTTGACTGTCTCAGGTATGGTATCATGTCTTTGATTTCAAGACCTCTGATTTGAGGCCTTGGACACGTTCAAGAAACTGTCCTGGTAGCCCCTTTGCTTAGAATGGGTTGAAAGCATGCTGCCAATCGTGGGATACTTTGAATGAGCGCCCGAGTGAATATACTTGTTCTCATTGTTGCCCAAAGTCAAATTATAGGTCGCAGCAAGCAAAAAAATGAACCTTCTCTCTTTTAAGTATTCGAGTGTCAAATTGTGATTCAAATCATGCGGGATTTCGTTTACCCCAGTTGAATCTATCGCCACACAATTGCTTCAATGTGACTTCAGGAGTACAGCACGCTGGGCTCGTTTGGGCCTCATGTTGACGAGGCATGGACGGTCTTGAAAGGTCTAGCAACATCAAGCATGTCTGAAAAGACTTCAATAATCACAACTCTGTGATCGAAGTTTACAGTACTGGTTAGCTAAGATCTACAGTACTCGTTAACGTTAGCTAAGACTGGACTATTGACGATCTGCATGCATTGCGGAACGCAGTGCGGTTTGGACTGTACTATACATACTGTAGGTAACTGCAATAACCATCATTTCTAATCTGAGCATGTTGACTTAAAGCATGATTCTGAATCATGGCTATTCCTTAGGCAAATATAGCTACGCAGACCCCTTCTTAATCTGATATCGTGTGTGGTTATCCATGCCGAGAAAGCTCCTAAGGCGGCGACAGAATTGCTTTTTAAATTTTCGAAGGCCATGTAATTGTTTCTGTGTGGCAGACAGTCATATGGACCAATCGATTCATATAATATGTACATGCACCTGCAAGGGGTCCAGGGGCATACTATAGTTCCAATCATGGGTCGAGATTGTCAATAGGGGATAGTCTGGTAAAATCTATATCTCTTACCCGAAGGAGCAATTTTCAAGTAGATTACTCTCTACATGTAGGGCGGAGACTTTGATCATTGTACGTGGAGTATATGATGATTGGAAACATGAGTTTTCTCATTTCCTGGTCTTGATTAAGAGTTTCCCGACAAATGATCGAGCACTGTTCCATAGTCACAGCGGATCCCAACGAGACGAACACGTGTAAGACATGTCGTCGATCGACATTGGCAGCATAGATCATATCGGCCTACTGTAAGTTAATTGATGAAAGGAATAGTTATCCATGTCCAGTATGTGCCGGTCAGCATGAGCTAAATATTATAGGGTTCTCTGAAAAGTACTGCAAAGGTGATGATGGAGGAAGAGGCCCAGCGTAAATATCAAGTGAAAAGGGCCAACCCAGCCTGGATATTGGGAAACAACATTACAGTGATTTCCCAGCTTGGGTCTAGCAATCTTCTTTAATGCAAACCTGTAGGCAATATCCGCAGCTTCGTATTATAACCAGTCGTGGAGAAATATATACACCCAACATTTCCATTATCCTCTGTCATTCTTAGTTTGACGTACCTTTTTATGTCGAAATCCGAGAGAGATGACATACTGTCAGTCAAAGTCCAAAAGAGCTCCGAGAGAAAATGGCAGAAGCATAGAAAAAACACAGATGAAGTTGCTCGGGGTCGGAAACGGGCAGACGCGTCCCGAGCCCGAGAAAACCAAAGCTCACGACTTTGGACACTGCCTCCAGTTGTTTTCCTAACAGCATTCTAAGAGCAACTTCACCATGTCCGCCTTTGCACCCGAAGACCCCGATGCTCACGACTCCTACATGGAGGCTGACCCCGCGACCTCCACCACTCCGATCCCCCAGTCAATGGACGCCGACACAGACACCTCGCACGGCCGAGGCCACTCAAGCAATCCTCTCTTGGGCGACAATCCCCTCGTGTCAGATCTAGAGCAAGAAGTGCTGGATGAATATGCTCGATTGGTGCGCAATGTGAATCAGGTACACGAAGTTCTCTGTCCCCTCTACGGGCGTCAAAGATCTGCCCCGAGCCGTTCAAGATCGCTCAATGGCAGTGATCTAGTGGACTTGATCTATCTCAGACAACCCGACATATGCTAATTTTAAATTTGCATAGCTCTCCGATAAACTCGCCGACCTGGCTGGTTCCCCCGCGTCCATGCCACTGGATGGCCTCCGTCTTCTCGAGCGCAAGACTGCCACTGTTTGCACTTTGCTGAAGGCCAGTGTGTACAGCATTGTTCTTCAACAGCAGATCTGGAATGAAAACGAAGAGCAGCAGCAACAGCAGAACGAGGACCAACATTTCCAGGACCAAGATTATCAATATGGGGGTTATGGCGGGGAGGGGGATATGACGTTCCAATAGGTATGCGAGATGATTAGTCGCTTTATGATCCTTTGACTCGCGTTTCAACTTATACCCGGGGCGTTGTTTATTTCGAGTCCGCTTCTCATGGATGGTGTTATGGAGAGAGAGAGAGAGAGAGTCTGATTGAATTTATGCAGAGAATAACTCGATACATTGGAGAATTGATGACCCTTTCATGTTTGATAACCACTTATACAAGTACAATGCAAAAGACACTAGAAGAAGAGGAGAAAAAGCGAAACATTATATACACGCTGGTACGAAACACCAAGCCAAGGCCAGAAGACCCTAAACCTTGCCAGCGTAGTACACCTTGCGCACATCGACAATCTTCTTGCCGAGTGCGTGAGCAACCTGCTCGGGGTTACGCTGGCTCATAATGGCCTCGTAGGCGGCCTTGACCGTGTTCATGGGGTTTCTTGAGCGACCAACACGGGCCGAGAGATCGTGAATGCCACTGGCACGGCACATCTCCCAAATGAGATATTGGACACGAAGACCGAAGCCTAGGATAGGTTAGATAAATATTCTACCAAGAGAGACTGTAGATAAACATACCAGGGGGACGGTGCATAAGCTGCAACTCTGTAGCTCCGACCTTGCCCTTAACGTCACCGTAAATGGTGCGGTTCTCGTAACGGGGAATAGGCTGCATGTTGCGGATGGCACGGTATTGCGACTGAATCACAGCATCGGAAGCTTCGTCGGACTTGGCCTCACCGATACCCAACAGGCCATTTGAATTGCCGGCAATGGACAGACGGTACGCGCGACGAACCTTTCCTAGACGGGTCTGGTTTGTGACGCTGTGTGAAACAAGGGTCTTAGTGCGGAGACCCTTAACCTGCTGCTCAGTGTAGCCAGTCTTCAGAAGGAGACTCTTCAGAGCGTCTGTCATTTCCTCGGCAGCGGCTGACCGCTCCTTCACGCCCGACTCAGCGGCAGTCTTGCGTCCTTCCACACGTGGTTCGTCGATGGTCTCGCCAGGCCCGAAAAGGTCTGGAACAAGTGCACTGTGCGGGTTCAGCTCGCTCTCCTCCTTGCCACGAGTAACGCGAAGTTCGTTGGCGAATTTCACGAAGCTTGAACCTGTTGCATGATCATCACTGGGTAGCTCAACGAAGTAGCGGCCCCAGTCCTGCTCGAAGTCCTCGTCGGTCTTCAGCGTGAATTTGTAGTCCGAGTTGGACTCCGGGGCGCGTTGGTGTCGGTCGATACCGGGTTCAATCACGGAGAAGTCGTCGACGTACTTGAACCTCATTGGATCGGTTCGTTCATTGAGCTGCTCTGTCAGGTCCTTCGGGTCGATAGCCGCCTCGCCGGCGTTGATAGCGGCCATCTGCGCCTTGGAGTACTCCTTGGAAAGCTTGGCCTTCTGCTCTGCCGTGTAGTCTTTGGGTTGACCGATCTGAGGTGCTTTCACATTGGGGAATTTCGGCGTCCGGTTCGAGAGGGAGGCGGGAGTAGGATGAAATTGCCGACGAGGGACTCGCGTGCCCGGGGTGGCAGCACGAGTGAAGTTACAGAAAAGGCATTGGGCGGGCCGTGTTAGACTCATGATGGCGATGCAATGGGCCAGCAGCAAGCTGGTTCAAAGCTCCGAGAGAAACAAACGCAAACTGCGGAGACAATTGGGCGAAGACCAAAGCAGTCGGAGATGAAGGTCTGAATTTCTCTCCTGCGGGCGGTCAGTCATCAACCAATCAGACCGCCCATAGATGAGTTTCTAATAATTTTCCCATTTGGTGATTTTCGTCCAGAAATTATTTTGCTTTCACTTCACACCTTTACATGTTTGCTTTACGCTTGTCTGCGCGGCGAATTACTTCCTCCTGGCTATCTCAAGTCTCTCAAATACGACCGATTTCCGATTTCCACGTTCCACGCCCAGCCCATGCTCCAATTCCCGCAATAATGCAGAACACTCCCAGGAAACACTTCGCCGGCAAGCAGCGCAAGAAGGCGAAGGTTGAGAAGAGCAAGAGCAGTGGTCATGACGAGGTCCTTCTCGCCGACATCAACAACCTCATCAAGCGCAATCAGTCTGAGGATGAATCCAGTGGCGACGATGCGCCCCAAGCTATTCCCGAGAAATTCACTGAGATTGATGTGAAGATTCTCGAGCTTTCTTCGACTGGTGATGGTCTGGCACTTTCAGAGAACGGAAAATACGTCTATGTTGTTCCATTCACAGTCCCCGGTGACCTCGTGCGGGTCAAGTTAATCAGGCATCACGAGGCGTTGTCATACAGCTTGACTGATTTCGTGAAAGTGATTGAACCAGGCCCTCAGAGAAACGATGCAGGCATTAATTGCAAATACTTTGGAGAATGTTCTGGCTGTCAGCTCCAGATGATGTCTTATGAGGATCAGCTTGCCCACAAGCGGCGCATCGTGGAGAAGGCCTATGCCAACTTCTCTGGACTGATCCCAGAGCTTGTGCCCACAATTGGAGAGACATTCGCGTCGCCCTTGCAATTTGGATACCGTACTAAGCTTACACCGCATTTCGAAAATGGCGGCGGCCGCAAAGCTAAGAAGCCTGACGAAGAGGCAGAGGTCAAGGTCCCACCCATTGGATTCACATACAAGAACCGTCGCCTGGACATGGATATAGAAGATTGCCCTCTCGGAACAGACATTGTTCGACGTGGTCTAATCAGCGAGCGTAAGCGAGTCGCAGAGAATATCCGTTCTTACAAGAGAGGAGCCACTCTTCTGATGCGAGAGTCAACCACACGAGTCCCTAAGGAATCGACAACTGCCACCAACTGCGAAACGCCCAAGGCCAGCCCGATTGTCCCCACGCCAGGAGCAGACACAGGCGAGGTGATCCGCATCGAGCACGAGAACTATATCGAAGAGAAGCGCTGTATCACTGACAACAACGCTACAATGGTCGAGTATGTCGATGACTTCATCCTCAGCAACAAAGCCGGCGCCTTCTTCCAAAACAACAACTCAATCCTATCCGGCTTCACAGAGTTCATTCGCTCCCAAGCCATGCCCGCCGGCAACGACAAAGATCCACGCCCAATCAAGTACCTCCTGGACGCTTATTCCGGCTCTGGTCTATTTACCATCACCCTCTCCCCTCTTTTCAAATCCAGTCTCGGTGTCGACGTAGCAGGCGACTCTATCAACTCAGCACGCGAGAACGCCCGCGCAAACGAGCTCCCCAACACCGGCTTCGCTGCTGCTGATGCCGCCGTTCTCTTCAAGGATGTTCCCTACCCCGCCGATCAGACTTTACTCGTCATTGACCCGCCTCGTAAGGGTTGCTCGGAAGACTTTTTGCGCCAGATGCTTGATTTCAAGCCCCGTCGTGTTGTCTACGTCAGTTGCAATGTTCACACCCAGGCTCGTGATGTGGCTGTTATGGTTCAGGGCGACGAGAAGAAGAATGTTCGCTATGAGATTGAGAGTATTCGTGGCTTTGACTTTTTCCCTCAGACTGGTCATGTTGAAGGTGTTGCTATTTTGAACCGCACTGAGTTCCCTCAGGCTGAGACTGTCCCTGAGGTGGAGACTACTCAGACGGAAAATGCTCAAGTATGAAAAGTTATTTACCTGGCGTGGACACACTTCATAAAAGTCTGATCTTGCATACCCTCTGGCGTTTTGGGGGACAAACACCAAAAGCATGATGGCGATGGTGGATATGTATGCTGTTTTAATATATTTTCTTACACTTCAATACATTTAAAAATATTAAAGAGGAATATCACTCTTCTATGTTCACATTGTCGTCCAATAAAAGAAAGCCGATAACCTCGACGCCGAAGCCATTTGGATAGAGGAAAATAGATAGAGGGCCACCGGAGAATTGAAAAAAAGGGAAAGAAAATGAACTACCAACTATGAACATAAGGCTGAGCTACATTGACTGATAAGCATCTAATGATAAGATCGACTCCTTTTCCCCCTACGAGCTTCCTGGGCCACCGAGCAGTGCGAACCTCCGCACGATGCTGGGACCAATCTCGTCGTACTCTGCCTTGGTGTGGCAGTAGCTCCGGAACTCAGGTGTCTGGCCCAGCAGACTACCTCCGAACCAGGGACCGTGGCGCTGGCGCTTATGCGTAACAACGGCGACGTCGAGGCCACCGCTGCGGGCGCCGCCGCTGCGAGCCTCAGAGGCGCGAATTCGTGCATCCACTAGATGGCGGATATCACGCTGTAGACGACGCCCAAAGTCCTTGTACAGAGTGGAACCACCAGACAAGACAATGTTCTTGTAAAGACCTCTCCGGACATCAATGGGCGAGGATTGGATGACACCGTCAACGACATTAGGGAGCGGGGTGAGGAAGTCGGACGAGTAGATTTCGGGATTGAAGAAGATTTCCGGCGCGAGGAAACGTTCGTAGCCAATGTCGATATTGACACTGCGTCCGTTGGGGGCAGTGACGGTGTGTTTCAGGAAGCGGTCTGGCTCGCGGTCGTAGCGGGCAAATTCCTTGACGATATCGGGGCTCACATAACAGTACTCCTCCTTGACTTTTTCTGCTGTCTTCAAGCTGCTGTCTGGCTCGCCACGGTCACGCAGCAAGCTCTGCACGAAGTATGTAATGTCTCGACCAGCAACAGGGATACTCTTGATCGATGATCCGATGACGTAGCCTTCAGCGACAGGGATAACGTGGGTGACACCATCACCGGAGTCGATGACAGTTCCAGTAAGGGACCGGTCTGTGACCTTCGAGGATGTCCATGAGGCAGCAAGAGCCAGAACGGCTTGAACGGCGATGTAAAGACCGGCGCAGTTAAACGACTCGAACATGATCTCGGCGGTGTTTTCACGGTTCTCGGGAGGGTTCAGAGGCTATAATGAATAACAGTCAGTTCTGCCAACATATAGCGCTGGAAATTATCAGGTGTTTTCGCCTTACAGGTTCGGTGAGCAGGAAGTAGTGGTCCTCGGGCTCGACTCGCAAGTACTTGAAGATCGAGTTTGACCAGAAGCGTTCCATGTGGTCCCAGTTCTCAATCTGTCCATGGCGAATAGGGTAGTTGACACCATATCCTGGGCCAGCACCAGCAGCAAGAGCTTCATCACCAATAAAGAAATCCAAGTCCTCCGTGCCACGCTTCGCAGACAGGTTGGAGCTAGCCCCACTTCCACTACCTAGGAACGAGGGCTTATTCGCGACTGGTGGACGGGCACCGGAGCTTCCAGCACTTCCAGCACCGGCCTTGGTGGCAATTGCGGTGGGAAACACGAACGAGGGGGAATCGTTACCGGCGAAACCTGCAAGAGTGGAGGGACCGTGTCAGCCTAATCCATGATCGCGAGTTCTCCAAACCCCGAGAATACATACCAAGCTTGGAGTAGCCAGTACCGCTAAGAACGTATCAGGTCAGCATTCATAATTATCAATAAGGCATTTGCAGCTATCAACATACTTGTCCATGACAACGGCTGGTGTTTGGTTCGCCATGGCGGGTGGTTGGGGAGGGGGTCGGGTCTGTAAACAATTGATCCGCGGTAAGGGGGTCAGGAAATCCCCGGAAACGATCAATCAAGAAAGAGGGAACGATACAACTCCCAATTGTTGGCAATAAGCTGATTTGGAGACACCAAGAGGACAGGCAGACAAGGCGGGGGGAGAGGATGGAGGTCCGGAGGTCCAGGATTACCTAACCCAACCTGGGTCACGTCGACATCATGTGCCCTCAAACTTATCTGATCTACAAAATATCCAAAGAAGCAACAACCATCCAAGAGATCAATATGGAAGGCACTTCTGGAGCAATGCATCTCTGGCTCATTTCATGTTTTGATTGTTGATTCTGTCACTCCCCTAAGCAAGTCGCTTTTTATTATTCCCATCCTTATGTGCCTATTTGTGGTGCAGAGCCTATTTTTTCGTATTGTTCGTTGTCCACGTACATTTCCTAATTGGGGTTCATCACTCTCGTCGCTCTTTTCAAGTGCACTTCCTAAGTCTGCCATAGCCTTAGAAAATTGGTTTCCAGTGGTCTTATGACTCGAAAACACTGAAGTGTCTTGCCCACTTGCCCATTTCCACGGGTTGAACAATTTGAAAGTGACAGTCTGAGAGGTGGTCAAATTGCGCTTGGTTTTTTTTTCCATCCCACCCAAGAACTTGTTTGTCATTGTCGCGCTCTCGTCGAGTTCACTTGACCTATTCAACGCGCAACCTTCTCGACCTCGTGGCGCTTCGGACGCTCTCACACCGTATCCTGATATCTTGAATCAGTTTCCCAATCTCTCTGAGATTCATCTCAAGAGTTACAGCCAACACGTTCCAACAAACCTGTTCAACATGGAGGCACTTCCAACTGAAGATGGCACTTGCGCCATCTTTGTCCATGCCGGGGCTGGCTTCCACAGCTTCGAGAACGAACACAAGCATCTGAAGGCTTGTGAGGTGTACGTATCATTGACACATCTTCATCTGGGTATCCCGTCTAACTATAGAGATGATTAGTGCTCTCAATGCTGGCATGTCGTTTTTGAAGAGCGGTGGTACGGCTGTCGATGCTGTCGAAGTAGCTCTAATCATGCTCGAAGACGACCCAATCACCAATGCTGGATACGGAAGCAACTTGAACCATGAAGGTATAGTTGAGGGCGATGCGTCGATTGTCGACCATCGAGGTAGAAGTGGGGCTGCCGGCGCCGTGCCCAGTAAGTTGATGTGTTTGATCAAGTCTAATAGCCAGCGATTTTTAACATGGGTACCTAGACGTGAAGAATCCTATCTCTCTTGCCCGAAAGATCTATGACCAGTCCAACAAGAACGTCGGCATCTCGAGAGTGCCTCCTAACTTCGTCGTCGGAGAAGGCGCCAGAGACTTTGCGTGGGAGAATGGTATTCCCGTCGTCCCAAACGAGGAAATGGTTCACTCTAGCGCAGGGGGGCGTTGGAAACAATGGAAAGAGGACGTTGAAGAGTATGAGCGTGAAAACAGCTGCCAGACAGCTGCCCCCTGGCTTCACCGACCTTCCCTGTCGGTACAGGATCGCCTTGATCAGCTGAGAGAACGTGGAAGACTCGCTGCACAGAGTCGTCAGAGGGCCGAGGAGGAGATTTCTGACTTGGGCCAACCTCATTCGCAAGAACATACCACCGAAACCAAGACTGCCTCGTCCTTGTCGTCTCGAGATGGTAGCCCCGACATGGAGACCGATACTGAAAGTAATACTGACACCAAGCGCAGCAACAGTGACAAAGATGATCACGATATGATCACAGACACAGTTGGTGCCATTGCCATTGACAAATGGGGAAACATTGCCGCGGGATCATCTTCTGGTGGCATTGGCATGAAACACCGAGGCCGAGTAGGACCTGCGGCTCTTATTGGCATCGGCACTCACGTTGTCCCAGCAGAAGCGTCTGATCCAGACAAGACCACTGTTGCATGCGTCACATCCGGAACTGGAGAGCTTATTGCCTCGGCTTTCGTGGCTTTCAACCTCTCACAGCGCATCTATTTCGGTCAGAAGAAGTGCGCGAATGGTAACTTTGAGCATGCTACGGATCAAGTAGCCATCTCTGAGATGTTCAGGAATGAATTCACCCGTACGTATCTACACGTTTGACTTCCCCTGTATTGGTTGATATATGGTTAGCGCGGAAACTAACACGTTTACTACAAATAGGTTATCCTGCCGTCGCAGACAGCTTCATTGCTGGCTCTCTCGGAGCATTGATCGTAAGAAAAGATGCCCATGGCATCGAGCTCTTCTTCGCCCATAACACCGAGTCTTTTGTAAGACAATGTTTCTTCCGAATTGTGTGATTAGTCTCTAATTTTATCCTATAGGTCATCGGCTCTATGGATAGTAAACGAGATAGGCCTGTGTGTGTGATGTCCCGCGGCCCCAAAGGAGGCGTCTTGCAGGGCGGTTCTCGCGTTCGCTGCTAAAGCCGACTCAAACTGACCCAGATGGCCTTTGCCCCAATTGCTCGTTACTGCTTCGTTTAGTCTTTTGCTGCGTTCAAGATACCCAGGCTGCCGCAAAGTTCCAGGCCCTACTGCATCGCCAGCGCTTTTTGTGCATTGCGACAAGGTCGAGCCTCACATCAGTATCACTTCTGCGCATCCAGTGGACTGTTCCAAGCCCATCCCCCACTTTTTGAGACCGGGCATCGATAATATGACCAGAGCACTTTCTCACGAATAAGCCCCGTTGTTCTCCCTGTCTCCTTATGCATTCTTATTGCTAGCAATCAAGGAATTATCAACCTTTCCTCTGTCGTAGCTGATACTGTAAGATTCATAGGGCTGCCTAAACAATATTAAAAGGACGACCAAGCCGAACATTTGGACCCTAGTAGCTTTCGCTAGACCTGATCAGGCCAGCTGCAGCAATGGTATTTCAAACAAATTAACGTTCACCGGCACAGATACATTCTCAACGAGATGCCAAGTTTGGTGATGCATGTGTCGACGTACATTAAAAGGTAGCGCCAAAATGCACGTTTGACACTAATTAAGTTAACGTACACATCAAACTTTCTTGCGCAGGCTGCATTACACGGCGAGACGCCCATTACATGTACAGTTTACATTACAAAGTTACGGTAGGCACTCAGGCTGTATTCAAAAGTAGACAGACAACAAGACCCTAGCTGCTTCGGGCCTAATACTTGCCAAATATTCCATGCACCTTTACCGATTAATGCAGTTGGAAGAAACTTACACAGATGGTATACAGTAGTCGGGCCTAGCGAATGTCACTAGGTTCAATGCTGGACTTGAGCGTACTTTTTATGATGCCCCTATTCTAATGCTCAGATTGATGCATATTTGCGTCGAGAATTTCAGATAGAAATTGTTTGGTATTTCATAGCACTGTTAAAATATTTAAAGTCCCTCTTCTATTACGAAGAAGGCAGAGGGAAAAGCGCTAAATTTGAACCAGAGAGAAAAAAAAACATCGAAAGCAAGCATCAAAAGCCAGGCGTAGGCGTAGGCGTCGAAATAGGCGTGCCAGCCCCAGAAGCCTCATTGACACGCTTCTTCTTCTTCTTTTTCCTTGGTAGTAAAGCAGGCCTGGCATGATAATCCCCAACATCCAAATGCGTCCCACAAGTCATGCAGTCACCTCCAGGAGGCGGCTCACAGAAAATGCTAAGACAGATGGAACACACGAAGCCGACATCCACAACCTTTCGATGACAGAAGCATGCAGCGCGAAAATCAACATCCACCCGGGTCGGTAGAACGAGATGCCTGCGGGAGCGCTGATCAGGCAGGAAAGCCATCATAAGATACTGCAGAAGTCCCCTCGGCTCGGAAAGAGCCATGTAAACACCCTTAGTAGCATCTGATGCCTGCTGCAGGAATACCGCATCACCGCTAAGCTTGCATACATCGATGGGGATGTGTAGCCGCTGACAAGCAAAGATACTGTTCATAACGGGGATATATTGATGTGCGGAATCGGAAGACCCGCTGACTGACACGATCAAGATCCGACTCTGCAGACGTTCGTCTTCGTTTGACGCGGAGTATCTGTTCGGGGCGGTGGCTCCTCCGCCGCCGCCACCGCCGCCGCCACCTCCTTCAGCTGCTGCGTCTTCCAGGTCTGCGCCTCCGTGTTCCTCGGCCCAGGCAATTGTGCGTCTGTTGATATTGCTCAATGCGAGGGTCAGGGCGCCTGCTAGCATTGTTGACATGTTATTGCGGAGGTCGTCGCCTGTGGTGGAGTCTATTAAGTCCTTGAGATTGCGCGTAATCTGTTCTTCAACTATGCGGAAGGGGCGGTATTTATTTGTTTGTGGGGTTGTTGTGTTGCCGTTCATTTGGACGTCGCCGTCTTGGTCGGCGTCAGCCCGATGATTTAGTGCATTGTGAGACGGGTATAGCCACGCGGCTTTTTGGCTGTGTGAGGCTACTACTGCGACTTCGTTTGCGTAGTTGCAGGCCAGATGGGCGTTTATGAAGACTAGGATGTTGGCGACTGCTTTGGAGAGTGGGAGGGAGTTTTCGAGGAGGGCCCAGGCGTGAGGGTTTGTGTCGATGATCACTGTGAGGAGGGATGGAGACAGGTCTGCAGTATAACTTGGGTTAGTTTGATTCCTGTCGCTGAAGATGAGGCTACGAACCAGTGGCTCCCAGTTCGTAATGCTCTGAGGCATCGACGGAATTCATTGTGAAAGGCGATCAGTCGAGGCTGCTTGTCATGCCGAGGGGTGCGCTGGAGAGATAGCAGGCTGCCTTGAATTGAGGTCTGATTGCGCTGCTTAATGACCCATTTTCAATACTAGCGAATTTCGCAATTTGAGCTCGAGTAGTTGCCGATGAAGTTGGAGAACCACGAATTAAGCTTGTGATAAGCCAGTCACGGGGTGATAACAACTATAGCTTCTACTGTACTCCACCTGGGCACCTATTTACGGGCTTGACTCCCTGTACATCTTTATTATATTGAGATCTGAGCTTGGGGATTTAGAAAGATAGACTCATGCTGTGGCTTGTTTCTTATGCTTTTGTCTTTTGTCACTTATCGTCGTGATAGTACCCAACACAGCTGATAAATGTCGGTGACCATGCATGTTCCCGTACTACTCCGAACGAAAAGATCATTCTGTACTGGAGTTCTCGAATCTTGCTACAAGTCAGGCTTTTTGTAACTCAAGATCTCTCACTGGTCCTGCAGATTCATCAAAGCAACGCTATCTCCACTCCCTTTCCAAGAAAGAAAGCATTTTGAACCACCGCTAACCTTAATCCTCTCAACTCGAGGCGGCATTGCAATGCGCCACGCAAGCATTAACCTAGCCACGTTCCAAGCCACGCTCCCGAAGGTAATATTGTTCAAGTCGAAGGGCTGTGGATTTATGCCTTGTCGTGCCTTTCTTTGAAGTTATGTGGTGTATAATTTCCATCGTGACGGAAGATAGGAGAGAACATTCCCTCGGATGATAATATACAAGCTCCCTTTTCGGACGTCAAGTCATCGGGGTCTCACCACATGAACACCGTGTCGTAATCAGCATAGCTACGATAGGGCCGCGGGGATTCGGTTGACGTGGAGAAAGGAGGCCGGTGGGTCGATATTCAGACTATGGGGGAATTGGGGCGTGGCTCTGACGCATCAGCGAGAGTCCTGATAGAGTTGAGATATCGCTGAGCCTGCGACTAACTATAATTAGAATACTGCTAGAGTGCTGAGAAGCCCTGAAGTCATGATTGGAGAGAACAGGTGGTGTCGGTGGAAAGTGATACTGGATATGAGACGCGGAGATAACTAGTCCTGGAACTTGGCGCTTTTACTTTTGAGAAATTGATTACCCCTCCGCTTTACGTCCAACTTATTCTGACAACCTGGGCCATGAGTATACTGTGATATGTGACGGGTCTCATCTGAAGCAATTCTGGAAACCGTTCGGAGCCGGACGCCAATCGGAGGAAGTGGCTAGTGATTGAATCTACTCAGCAGTTATGAGCATCTTTTGTTGAGGTCGACTCCAGGAGGACAACAGTCTTGGCATCTCCCTTGAACGCGCCAAGGTACTACTATTGTATTTCCTAGTGGGCTTCGGCAGTAGATCAATGGATAGTCCACTTTACTGCACATCGGTGTTGGCGGAAGAGGGTCCGTTTCCTGCAAATGAGCCGAACTCCACGCCTCCAGGTTTGCAGGTTGACAGGTTGGCAGGTTGGCAGGTTGGCAGGCCTCCAGGCCTCCAATGTTCCAACGTCCCAAGAGAACCTGTAGCACAAGTCAGAGTCGCAGAGTGTATAACGCTGAAAGGAGTGTGCTTATCCGAAACGTGACGGATCTCGTCGCTGTGGTTGGTCTTATCAGACCGATTGATAATGGTCGTGAATGAGATGGCGTAAGACTAAAGCAAAGAAAAGTAATGTGCTGTGGGGAAGAGTAGCTATGCGCGGCAATCCGAAAAAAAATATAACCCTGGGATCTCTGCTTGCCTTTCTTACTCTTTCCGCGTCCTTATCGCTTCTTTCTCCGCTCCCCCCAAAAAAAGCTTCCCAGGTTCCCACTTCCGCTTTACATGACCCTCTGAACACCACACACCAGGAGTAATTTTCTTTGCTACTCCTTTTCGCGTCTTGCAATGGTCCACGCAACAGGAGAAGAACGCGCTGTGAACCTAGCCCAAGAGGCTGTCGAGTTGGTCGATGCGGGCCACCGCGAGGTACGTGATCCCACTATTCCCCCACCCCCAGATTGAACAAGGAGGGCTGATTGCAATCCCCCATGCTAGGCTGCCTCACGCAATCTCCGAGAAGCACTGTCCCTGGCCCCCGAGAACCCTCAAGTCAAAGCGGCCTTTTTGAAAGTTCAGCATGAAGGCAAAGACGGCCACCAGTTGCTGGACCTTTGCCGCCGATACGCCACCCAGAACGACGAGAATGCTGGCAAGGAAGCCGCAGCGTACCTGCGAACAGATGGTCTGAAGTCCCCGGAAAACGTTGGATTGGAATCCTTGAAACTGTTGCTCGCACAGCGACCGCCCTCTTTATCCACGACGCAGGATGAGATCATTTCCGGGCTGGTGCGACAGAATGCCAGTGTTCGACAATATTTCTCAGCACAGCTTCAGATCTCCGTGACTGCGTTTTTCGATGACATTTATGACCGAGGCGATGGAGCTGCGGTCTGTCTGGACACGGTGGTGCTGGATCCTAGTGTGTGGCCATCCGAGGATGCGCGCACCCACTGCGAGAGCGAATTGTTTCAATTGTTCATTGCCAAGCTGATGGAGTCGGGCCATGATCTTGATGGTCGCTCCTTGAAGGGAATCACAAGACTACTCGCGGTCGATGCTGACCAACTCCAACATCTGATTGATGATGAAGGATTTGAGGTTATTCTTTCTTCTTTGGATTATCGCTTGCCCTTGGAAGTGCGGAGCCAGGCGACTCTAGCCGTTGCCAAATATCTCGAAGTTGCCAAGGAGGCTGGCGGGAAGCAATTCTCGGCATTGATCATGTCCATTCTTGGAAAGGGCCGCATTGATGATTTGATTGTTGCTTTCTCTGCAACAGCAGCCACCTTCCCCGTGGCACCTGTCGCAGCTGCCAGTCTCTTTTTGTCTGAAGAGTTCATGGAATCCCTGGCTCCATTGGCATCCCGAGACGCCAAAAGCAAGAAGGTCGAGGTCCCTGTACTCGAGTTGCTCAATGCAGCATGTATCAACCGGCCGTGCCGTGAACTGGTATCCAAGAGATTTGGAGAATGGCTGTCTCATGTTTTGACCAACGGGAGCGATGAATGCTCCGAGTTGGCAGCGGTGGCTCTGGCGAAAATCCGGGCATCTGAGCCTGATCAACCTTCGGCTGGCAACGGTAAGGTCTTGGAGGAAGATAGCGAGTTTGAGCTCGTTCACCGATTCAAGGGACTGATGTCTGCACAAAAGGTCGAGAACAATTCACACGCCGTTGAGGGACTAGCTTATGCATCGGTGAAACCGGCCGTCAAAGAACAACTTGCCAAGGACTCTACTTTTCTACGAAACCTCATTGCGACACTGAAACATAACACTGGAGATTCATCTGTTCTATATGGTGGGTTGATGGTTTTCTTGAACCTCACATCCTTTCTTCCCAATCTATCTGAAGAGCAAAAGAATATGTCCCAGCTGAAGGACTATGCGGATGCGTCCAAGGGAAAGCCTAGCACAGCCCCAGACAGTCGGGATGAAGACGAGGCCGTATTGGCGCGATGTGCCACTGTCATTGATGCAGGCATCATGACTTTGCTGGTAGAGTGTGGTCGAATTGCGCTACCTTCCACCAATGAACTCACAGCCAAAATCCTGCTGGGATTGACAAGGCATACCAAGTCTCGTGGTGCACTCGCTCAGCAAGGTGCAGTCAAGCTTCTCCTCGGTCTCGCGGCACCAAAACATAGTAGCGCTGGGCCCGTCAGAAACGACACGACACGCATCGCCTCCCATGCGCTGGCTCGCATCCTTATCTCTGTTGATCCAGCACATGTTTTCCCATCATCTGGGTTCCCCCAAGTTACATCTGCCGTTCGTCCATTACTATCTCTTCTCTCATCATCCGAGTCTCCATCATTTTCTGCCGACCAACCTCGTGATTTACTTCCTATCTTCGAGAGTCTGCTCGCTCTGACAAACCTTGCTTCATACCCACATGATGACTCTGCCCCCGAACTCACCGTGCGCGAAGGTTGGTCTGCCATTGAGGATCTGCTTTTGTCTGGCAATCCTCGAGTTCAACGAGCCGCATGCGAACTGGTCTGCAACCTGATGACCTGCGAGTCCGGTGTCATCAAATTCGCCGATGGCTCCAAGGCAGCGGCTCAGCGCCTTCACATTCTGCTGGCCCTGACTGATGCCGACGACTTCCCTACCCGGCGAGCCGCCGGTGGAGCGCTTGCCATGTTGACAGACTTTGATGCCGCGATGGCCGCCGTTTTGGAGCGGCCACGCGGCGTGGACTTGTTACTCGGGCTATGCCAGGAAGACGACGATGCCCTTGTTCACCGGGGTGTCGTTTGCATCCGCAATCTCACCTGCCTCGCAACAGGTGACATCGGCACCCGCGCCAAAGCCGCCGTGAAAGCCGCGGGAGGGATTGAAATTCTCACCGCATGTCTCAAAAAGACGTCGAACCAAGCCGTGCTACAGGCCGGGGTGGAGGCACTGAAACCCTTGATTCAATAGTGGGCAAATCGTATCCACTTACGTTCTACACCAAGTCATCTTCGTTGGCTTTGACCTCCGAGCACCTTCGACGTTCCCTTTGCATGCTTTGAGGCGGACCGGTTGGTCCTCAGGAGTTATCTCTTTGCCTTTTTTTTTTTTTTGCTTCTTTTTCGTTCTTATCATGTTTGAGATGACCTATTCTATGAGCACAGTAACGGTCTTAGCGATTGCTTTTTTTAAGGGCCAGATCAGGCTGGAATTCGGCGCACAAGTATGCTAGGGGTGGCATATGGCTTTCGATAGAATTTATGAATGTATGGTTATACCGCATGCTTTGGACACCTGACCGTAGTGACAGCAGGGGTTCTCCATTCCTTCAACACCCCCACCAATAGCCTCTCCCGTATCCCGTACGTCGCCTGTGGATGAGAGTTCGTGGCGTCGTGGGTCACGGGGTTTTTGGACTCGCAGATCCCAGTTCTTCCTCATGCACCCCGAGCTTTGTTTGTTTATTCCGGGCGTGCTTCAGGTCACGAGATTGCCTCTTACCCATTTGGGCTCTTTGCACCTTTGACATGGTTACTAAGCATTCCACGTGCCAGCCCTGGAGCTACTGTATGTGAACTTGAAGGTACCTGTTGATCGAATCTTGATAGGCATACAGTGACGTGATCTGAAGAGAAACTATCGTAGACTTCTAAACCTCAGAAGAAAGAGTTGGCAGAATCTCGAGATCTGAACTATAACTTATGACGTTGAGCTCTCTAGAGCCCATGGACAGTACTATCGAAAGCGTTGCATATCAGACATGACCTCTCACGGGACAAAGATAGGGGGTAAAAAGTACGATTCTTAATTTATAAGCTCTCGGTAGAAGAGACAAATAGAGCAAGGATATAAAAGGACTCAACGACCCTGGAACCGTGGAGAGGGTCTGCGCGGATCGACAAATCATCATCAGCCCGCTACGCACACCTTCACCTTCGACCTTCGGCTTGGCTTCTTTCCGCCCTCTCACATCACTTTGGTGGCCCACGCTCCTTGGCTTCCTCTTTTTTTTAAACCTCTCGCCTCTGTTCAATCTCCATTTAGGTACGCAGTCTGCGAATATCTTCTCACCGCAAGTCCACTAATCCCCACCCTCCCAGACAGGTACAGTCAGGTGCACCTTGGAGCTTTGCCTCTTTCCCTTCCTCACTTCCCGTCTCCCTTCTTTCATACTCTGACACACCTCTCAAATGGCGTGGTTGATTCCCTCTCTTCCTTGCGTTCGCCCGCTCACCTGATCACTTCCCACGAACTCAGGTTGATCTTCCCCGCGAATACCCTCCGATTGAATACCGTCGGAGGAATTGGAATTGCAATTCGAATCTTGCACATACAGAGACAGCACGGTGAAAACCGGAAGCAGCAGGAACAAACGTTTATTGGATTTCAGCTTTTGATTTGACGTGCAACAAACCGCCAACATGAAGTTCGGCCGCAATCTGTCTCAATTTACCGTTCCCGAGTGGAGTGCCTCTTACATCAAATACAAGGCCTTGAAGAAGCTTATCAAGTCTGCTGCTGAGCAGATCAAGGCAGGCCAGGATGCGGATTTGGCCGGTAAGCTCTAGCACTCTTTTGCCTTGGATTTGGATTCCAGTCTTTTGGTCGTGAACAGTCCTTCTAATCAACACCGGTCGTTGGTATCATAGGCTTCTTCTACTCTCTCGACCGAAATGTCGAAGATGTCGATTATTTCTACAACAAGAAGTATGCGGAGTTTGCGCGCCGCTTGAAGCTCCTCGAAGAGCGGTATGGCTACTCTTTGGAAGGTCGCCACCCGCTGGAACCCGAGGATCGTCATGATCTCCGCGAGGCGCTTCTGGATCTGCGGTATCATTTCCGCCGCCTTCAATGGTATGGTGAAGTCAATCGCCGTGGGTTTGTTAAGATTACCAAGAAACTCGACAAGAAGCTTGGCGCGCAGGCCCAGAAGCGGTACCTGGAGACCAAGGTCGATCCAGCTCCGTTTGCTTCTAATTCGCGTGTCTTCCAGTCACAGGACCGTATTAATTCTTGGATGGCTATTATTACCGAGCAGTCTAAGGCTGATGAGAAGAAAGCCGATGATGCGAGCTCCACTCATTCGTCTCTGTCTCTGAAGCGTGGCGCAACTCGGCCTTATCTCAACTTGCCTGCTAGTATATTGACTGCGGTTGATGATGCGCTCCGCAAAGATGATACTCCTGTGTTGCTTGAGTTGCTGGAGACTTTGAAGGTCTCTGCTGACGAGGCCGGTGAATCTGTCTACTCTAGAGTTCTCAAGACTCTCATTCAGCGCTCGATTCTTCACCGTTCCCAGGCTTGCTTGGCTACGCTAGTAACCCGAGTGGAGACTCTGGAAGAGGATGATGATATCAACCGCCGTAACTGTCTCCATCGTCTGGTTATCTCGATCGGACGTGACCAACCAACTAGCGACTCTGAGCCTGCGGCATCGATGGTCCTCAACTTCCCGCCGGAGACCACCCGTTACATTACACCTGCTGCTCCTCCTACCCTGCAACCACCTCGCGCCGTGGTCAAGGAGGAACACATGCCTCAACAGCTGGGTCGCGATGATTCTGCCGTTGCACTCCTTCAATTCCTGCTCGATAGTTTGCGCCCAGACCAGCGCGAGTCTTTAATGGCCAAGGACATTTCTGGACGCACCCCCTGCACTACGCGGCCCAGTATGGATTTAAGGTGGTCTGCGAAGTGATCATGGAACACCTCAGAGAATGGGGCATGTTTGACGTCAGCGATGGCATTGACGGCCCCTTGTGGCAGGATGACGATGGCTGGGCGCCTCTCCATCTGAGTGTTGTTGGTGGTCACCCCAAGACGACCAAATGTCTCTTGGACGCCGAGAACCAGGGTGACACTCCAGAAGTGGGCAATATCAGAAAGCAAGTTTCCAAGTCTAGCGCCGTCTTGGCGCTTGCAACCAAGGCCAACTTCATTGATATCGTGCACCTCTTGGTGGATGCTGGTGTGGATATCAATTACCAGGATGAGCAAGGAGAAACTGCATTGCATGTCGCTGCCCGATTTGGCCATGATGAGTGTGCGAAGATCCTGCTTGATGGTACTGAGCACCAAAAGGGCGACACGGAGCTGACTGAGAAGACATACGGCTGGACTCCATTGTTTATCGCCTGTGTTGATGGGTGTCTGAGCGTGGCTCAGCTTTTGGTTGCTGCTGGCGCTGATCTGGAACGTTTCGATTCATCTGGTTGGACCGCAAAGGAACACGCTGCTCTGCGAGGTCACCTCGATATTGCCCAGTGTCTGGCCGAGGTCAGCCCCGGCCCTCCTGCTATTGAGCCAGATCTTTCATCATCTACTCCAAATCTCACTGGCTCCGAGTCCTCTTCGCCCCCAACTCAGTCGTCTCTTACTGACCGCCGCTCGAATGCGCCTGGTCCCACCTCCGGGAGTTCTGGCCTACGCAATACTGAACCTATTAAAACATTTGGACATCGGTATCTCACCGATGAGACCATGATCCTGGTTAGCTTAGGGACCATGGATATGCGTAAGCCTCTCGAGACGGTCAGCCTTGACCGCATCCCGATGGAGAATGCCCACGCTACCCAACTTGATACGTCATTGTCGATGGTTATCACAGCTAGCGGTGCCCATGGCGAGCCAGAGGTCATTGACCTGCCTGTGCAAGACAACATCTCAACTGAGCCCATCGTCTTCCACACCACCGATCCCAGCAAGGTTCGTCTTCTCTTCGACCTTGTTCCCACCTATGCTGGATCAAAGGAGAAGGTTGTTGGCCGTGGTGTAGCTCTGCTTTCCAGCATTAGGCCTACCGTCGGATCCCACCGCATCAATCTCAAGGGTGATTCTACCGTTCCCATTGTTGCTGCGAACACTTTGGAGGTGATTGGCTCTGTGACATTCAACTTTCTCATCATCACCCCTTTCAAGCACCCCAACATGTCTATCACCGGCAACCAGACCTACTGGCGCTCGATGAGTTCGACAATGGTCATTGGCCACCGTGGGCTGGGTAAGAACATGGCTAGCCGCAATTCCTTACAGTTGGGCGAGAACACCATTCAGTCGTTCATCGCTGCGGCCAATCTGGGTGCCTCATACGTCGAGTTCGACGTGCAGCTCACAAAAGACCATGTCCCTGTCATCTATCACGATTTCCTCGTTAGCGAAACGGGTATTGACGCGCCTGTCCACACTCTGACATTAGATCAGTTCCTCGAGTTGGGCAAGGGTCGTCACCGAAATGTCCTGCCTGGACCAGTGCATATCAATGGCGAAATTATTGACATCAGTCCCCGCCAGCGCTCAATGTCAGTCGGCGGCTCAGAGTACAACCCCGCCGAATTGACCGAAAAGATCAAACATACCCGTGATTTCAAGAAGAAGGGTTTCAAGGGCAATACCCGCGGCGAGCACATCCAAGCCCCCTTCGCGACGCTCGAAGAACTCTTCAAGAAGATTCCCAAGCCCGTCGGCTTCAACATTGAACTTAGTGAGTTAAAGCAGCCTCCAAAGAACAGCTACCCTTGTCGATCTAACCATGGTCGCTAGAATACCCCATGCTCCATGAGAGCGAGGAGGAAGAAATGGACACCTACGCCGTTGAACTAAATTCCTTCGTCGACACTATCCTGACAAAGGTCTATGATCTCGGCGGTGGTCGCGACATGCTATTTTCCAGTTTCAACCCGGATATTTGTCTACTTCTGTCTTTCAAGCAGCCTTCCATCCCCGTCCTCTTCTTGACAGATGCAGGCGCTTCCCCGGTTGGCGATATCCGCGCTAGCAGCTTACAGGAAGCCGTTCGCTTCGCTTCCCGCTGGAACCTCCTTGGTATCGTCAGCCAGGCGCAGCCATTGGTCCTCTGCCCGCGACTAGTTCGCATCGTCAAGGAGTCCGGTCTTGTATGTGTCTCCTACGGAGCGCTGAACAATGACGGTGAAAACGTCGACGTAAGTCCTTTCTTCATTACTTTCACAGCCAAATCAATCCACTCACCCAGCAAATAGTACCAAGTAGCCGAAGGCATCGACGCCGTCATTGTCGACTCCGTCCTTGGAATCACAAACGGTCTCATCCAACGCCAAAACAAGGTCGACCGTACCCCGGGCCCGTCGCCGAACCCATCGGCTCTCAGTGACACTGCCGCCGGTGCAGTCAAAGTTCCCGTCAACGGAACCACGATTCTTTAAGTGCATATTATCTTATATATCTACTGTCTTGTCTCTCATTGTGACATAGCTCTGCATCTTATGTTTATAGTTTGCATTGGGCTAAAGCCAGCTTCAACAGCTATCAATATGAGTTTCGTAAAATGCATTTAGACCACGGTTTCCTGTGGCAAGAGATTCATTTTATGTCGAGCTTTGTATATACGTTCATGCGAAAATAATTGTATAGTCTGGCTCGACTAGGGCAAAGGTATACATGTGATTATATAGGTACTGTCACGTGTGAAAAATAGTCGTATAGCCCCGCACGCCTCCAAACATCCTTATTTTCAGCGGCTGAATTTCGGTCATATCCTTGTTGAAAGCGTCGATTTATTTTTGTGTTGTATATCGTGTGTATTGACACTCCAGGAAAGAGATAGTCGCGAAAAGAAGAATATTCTTAGACATTGAGATAGCACTGGGTAAACTATAAAACTCGGGGTATACCAGTCTATTCATCCTTTGCCAAAGCTTCCCGTCGTCCAATACTCTGGGGATCAAAATAAGGTCGCTCACCAAGGCCAACAGCACGATGTCCGGTGCGAGGACCAAGGTTATCATAATCCCAAGTAGCAGCGTGATAGACGGAACGATTATCCCAAATAGCTATACGACAATCAGATACGAACCCCCAATAACAATCGAAATAGAAGAACAGAGACGGGAAACATACCAAGATCATTAGGGTTCTGCCAGCGATTACGAACCTGCAAATCATGGTTCTCGACAATAAGAGTCACGAACCAATCCAGCAGATGGCGACTTTCCTCTTCCGACAGCCCATTCACCTTCTGGACGTGCACGCCAACCGCGAAAACACTCTTCCAGCCCGTGACCGGGTTCGTGCGGATCACAGGGTGCACCGCGCTCAGCTCCTCTCCGACATTCTCGGGGGCGCCACGGGGGCCGGGGTGCACGTTGAAGGCGTGTTCTTTGGCGATTGCATTGAACCCTGGCTGGGCGTATGTTGCTGTCAGACCCTCGAGGAATTTCTGATACGGCTCCGAGAGGCGGTCGTAGACTTCGTAGCCGGATGCCCACAGGGTATCTGGATGATGGGTTAGTGTTCACGGGATATCTAACGAGCGTCGGGGATATTCATAACCTACCACCGCCCGTCTTGGGCAATTCGGTCAGTCGCAACAACGTATAGTCACTGGGAATAGGCTCGAAGGTGATATCACTGTGCCATTCCTTGCGGCCGGTCTGCTTGCGGTCTCTGCGGAAGTTGGTATACAATTTCTTGCGCTCTGTGGAGCTGATCACGCTGATTTCGTCGTCCTTGACGCTGTGATCACGACCTGAGTTGACGATGGGGTGAATGTGTAATCCGGATGTGCTTGGCTTGCCTGAGAGCTCGCCCAGACGCTGGACCAGTTCCTTTTGCAGGTCGTCGTCGAGGTCGTTTTGCTTGCGGAAGAAGACGACGCCTCGCTGCGAGACTGGGAGGTTGTCTTAGTTTTGGTTCGCACCCGCTGTAGATACTGCGACTTACTGGTAATGGCAAGATCACGGAGCAGCTCGTCGGAGTTGGGAGCGCGGAGGAAGTCTTTCAAGTTGGCATTGGGGAATTCGCGTCCAATGACGGGAGTCACATCGAATGATTCGAAGGCGTCGAGGACTCCGGTTGGCTTCAAGGGCTCGCGGGCGAGGCCTTTCAATGTAATCTTCTCATCGATGGTGGGGACTACCGGGGTGGTAGTTTCGACTGTTGCGGATGCCATGATTCAAGAAATAAAGATGCTTTGAATTGGAGGTATACAAGTGCAATCAGCACCTTTTATAGCAGTTGGATGCCGCATAGCCGTATAGTTCGGTTCATAGTAACCCCGCAGATCGGGAAGTTGCTCATTTTATGCGGAATCACGTCTTTTCTTATCGGGGATTTTGCGCTTGTTTTTTGGTTTTGGCTGGATATTCGCCATCTGTCGCCGCCATCGTGTCACTTCCCCTCGTATTTCATGAGGCAATTGACATGGGGGGGTTGCGTGAGTGACTCGGCTGTCGCTAATGCTCGTGGCTCATTTGCTGCCTTGGCTGTCTCACTTTGTGCAGCAGATAATCTATTGAACATTATACGTTACTTGAAATGATTCATCATGTAAATGATTCACCTAATACTCTAATAGCTTGGTAACTATCCGAATGGCCCTTGACAAACTCGCTCTAGATCACTCGATCGAGCTCAACTACGCAACCACCGAGAAAAACAGACAAAACCAGGCGGGATATGTTCACATGGAAATTATCCCAGTTGACGTCCACGCATCGCGCTCAATGGGCAAATCGGAAGTCAAGTCGCTTATTACCCTCCTGCTTAGTGGTGGCCAAGTAATGAGCCTTCTCTTGGTCGGTCAAAGCGTTCCACTTCTTGTCACGACTGGAATTGCGCCAGACATAGTAGACTTTCGTCAATAGATAGATGAAAATGTTGGATACGACCAGTCCGACCAGGACCCGGTTTCCTCTCCGATACCGGGGTGCATCGTCTGGGTCAAGTTAGGATACAGGGTAACATGGGCAAAGTGAAGGGGAAGACCAACCAGCGCGATAGATGTTTGAGGCGATGATTCCCGAAGATTGTACACACATGTTATACATGGCTGCGGAGACGGTGCGAGATCGGACGGCGTTGGAGTTTCGAGAATTCCAACCCACTTGGATGGCGTGTGCTGGGAATTGGGTTAGAAATTGGGCGATATGAGAGAGTAGGAAGATGATTTACCGTTTGGGTAAGCCAGTAGAAGTGTCATCACAACCCAAACAGTCCATTTATTGACGTTGGTGATGTCCACAACATATAGATACACCAAGAATGGGAGTGCCCAGATTTGACCGAGCATGGACACCAAAGTCAATTGTTTCGTGATCTCAGAGACATAGGTCAAGATTAAAATGAAGATGATGGAGAGGAATTCCGTGGGGATGGTTAGAAGGTTGGTGACAAACGTGTTAAAACCGAGGCCTTTGAGCGTGAGAGTAAGATACTGCTTGGCTGTGGTCATTGGAGTTCCAAAGGTAAGCCCAATGATGTATAAAGGCCACAGATCGTAATCGCAAAGACTCTTCCAAAGCAACTTGGGCGTGATGGGCTCGCGATTATGCATAGTGCCTTTACTTGGATCGTCGCGAATCACACGATTGACGATGATAGTCTCCTCTCTGTTACTAATGTTAGCAGAAGATCATACGGATTCAGGCTTCTGACTTGCCGCTCTGTAAACCAGCCGGACTTTCCTCGAGCCCAGTTTGCAGTTTGACAAGGACCAGGCGGCATCAGGACATATGCAGCGAGACCAAAGATCAGAGTCAAAAGGCCCTGATACTGGCGTTAGTGGCATCAACAATGGATCAAATATGCATGCTCACCTCGAGCAAGAAAAGCCAGCGCCATCCCGATTGGCCCTCCACGCCACGAAGGTGCAAGAGACCAAATGCCAGAAATCCAGCCAGAATGTCTGCGATATTCATGGCAGTCCAAAAGAAGCCCAGTCGGAGAGACAGCTCGTGGTGTTTGTAAAAGTACGACAGATAGAGGATGACCTGTCTTCATATGAGTGTGATTCATATCCAAAACGAAGGTTGGCTTACATCGGGGATGAATCCTCCTTGCAAGATTCCAAGAAGAGCACGGCACACCAGGAAAGAAGTTCTGCCATTTAGTGCGTACTGTCCCATCGCAACAGCAGACCAGAGAACCATCTGGCTAGGAATCCATCTATCAGGTCCTACCCATTTGCTGACAAGCTGGGAAGGCAGCTCAGCGCAGAGAAACGAGAGTTTGAACACAGTATTTCCAAGATTGTAATCTGCACGAGAAAACCAATTAGTGTCAGAGTTCCTCTTCTCAAAACCTTCATCGTTGCTCACCATTGGTGTTCATATGCAACTCAGGAAGCATGTTATCAGTCAACGCCTGTTGAAGATTGGAACGATCCAATTCCAAAGCCATAAACATCAGACACGTCCAGATCATAATTCGTACATCTATCTTGCGGATCAGCTTGTATTCCTCGCCCCATGTCCATCGTGCAGACGGGTCGAATCGATGCAGGTTCTCCCAGTCGGCGCGGGGCTGGTATTCCTTCGCAGTATCGGGGTCGTCAAACACGGAGGGCTGGGTCGCAACGGCTTCAGAATCATAGCCTTTGCCTCGTTGAAACCAGAAGCGACGCTCTTCATTTGGTTCGCCCAGGGGCGCAATGTCGAGGCTCGAGGAATCGGTCCCGTCCAACACGGACGAGACATATTCCCGGGGGCCTTTTTTCGGGGAATATACGGTCGCCATGTTGATAATTCGGGGGAGAATTAAGGCCAAATCCGGACTTTGGCTCAGCGCTGGGATTCTCCTGGATTAGGCGCACATCCTGTCTCTTTATACTTCAGCAGTATCATCGGGCTATCTTGGACTCCTATCTCAGCCAGCAGCTTGGCACACTTGCATCATCTTGCCAGGAATTGAGTGATGTTTATGAGATTGTGGTCTGGTGAGGGGTGAATGCCAAGGTGCGAATGGCATCTTGGTGGCTAAAGATCACATCATTATCAGTTGGACCCTTGGACTTGTCAGTATTCAGTGTGATGGGCTGGGTGCTTCTTGCCGACCGGAACCGGTTGTATGGGTTTGCTTCTGATCAGGGTTTTCCTTTGTCGAGTGTAGAGGTATATACTGTTTGATCGCCTAGGCTTAGGTCGGGTAAATAGTGACCACCGCTGACGGAGATACAGAACATATCATTCTCTTATCATCAAGCCTTCGTTTATACATCTGAACGAGAAACCAGAGAAAACCATGGGCAGTTGAGCCAAATTCTTTAAAGCAGGTGCATCCGACACAACATTGCTATCCTCCAGAAGTTAGGTAGGACTACTATGTAGATCATTTTTGCAGTTTACAGTCAGTTCTGGCTATTTGTCTGCTTCGTGTGCAAAATTCCAATGTTTCCTGCTTTGCTAGAGAAAGTCGAAGCCGAGTTATTACAAGATGGTTAAGAAGACCAGAGCGCCACGATATAAATGGATTCTAGTCTGCTATGTATCCGGTATGAGAATGAGACAGCTTAGCCCTACCTTTAAAGTGATTTTCTGGGTGCTCCACTCACTTATAGTATACGTGCTAGATCATTGTCTAATTAAGGTGTCAGGGCTCAAATATAGAGCTGGCTCGAGCTCGAGGTCTTGAAACCTTCTCACATGACCACTCAGCCCTACAAACCTGAAACGTCCCGCAAGGCAGATTGGTGAATAAATAGACATGGAGAGTTAAAAAAAGAACCGACCCTTGATCAAATCGTGTGGCTTGAAATCCGGCCCCAAAAATTGTGTTTAGCGTCCCATATAGGGAAACGTAAATATAACAGCCCCATATTGGGAGGATTCACCAGTGAGCGTGCGTTCCAAACGGCAAGATTTCTCATCCCGTTAGCGGGAACCATAGATTCCGGTTTCAAGTATCCCAACATCGGTAAGCTCTTATTATGCAAAGCACAAGGGTTCAATAGTAAAACTCCGCTAGAGGCCGGCCGTGTGGGGAACCAACACAACTCCATCACAGTAGAGAGATTAAGCGGACCAAGCTCTTTAAAACGCGGTTATTACTCCACTTGATACTTACGCTATGACCAGTGAAGTTGATATTTCACCCTCCTCAAGCTCTGCAGTACATTTACGCCATGAGCGAAACCCTGCGGATGTGGGGGAAGATCAAATTGACCACCCAGGTTAGAAGCTTGCTGTGACAATTGCAATTTGGCATAGCCTTGATTCTGAAGTCAATGTCAAATTCTTCAAGATTCGCATCGAAAAAAAGTGGGCCCAAGTGTTCGGGGGTTTATTTTGGTACGTGTAGACCCTGTCAATGTAGTAGACCGATGGCTGAGCCACCTCCAGGAAAACGGTAAGGCTGTTTATCTAGATGTGAAACTTGATGCCATGAGATCGTGGTTAATGTTTGGAGAGGACTATTTTTAGCATTATGGGAAATTCAGCCGCTAGCGTGTTTCAAGTGGTGCATAATCTGCCTGAATCAGGACCGAAGGAGTGCATTCCCGGCATTAATCCTCACAAATCGGGCATAGTCACGGCCAAACTATGATCATGACAATGGACCCATAATTGTTCCACATTGGTCCCGGCGTAAATCTTCGAAATAAGGGGAGTGGAGGCCCGGTGCGGCTGCCAAAGCGTACAATGGCGTCTGTCAGAACGGAAAATTGCATATGATTGCCGGTGGCCGATCAGTAGCCGGAATTTCCATGGCTGGCACCCAAATCCCTTTGCTCCATTAATATCTAAATTTAATGCATCGGCATGGATCAACGGTCCATTTGGCCCCCATGAAGGGCACGACCGATGTACTGTAACACCAGATCCGTAACTCGTGGGGCGATCAGTCTGACGGCACCTAGGGCTAAAGCCCGTGAGCCTGACCTGAAGCTGAGGAGAGCAATAGTCTTGGTTTCAGCATCAGGAACATTTTTCTGAGCAAGGACCAAAAGATAACGAATAATAATGGATAATGTTTTCTGTTTGCCCGCAAAACCGAAAATTACTGGACTAACAGTAGGCCTAAGCTCGGACAGTGGAGACGCGACTTAGGGCACAGAGTACCCCCTATTTGCCTTCGCGTATATGCAACTGGGACAGCAAGTGGGCCTCACCCAGGTGTGTAGAGCCTCTAGGGGTTCCTGAGTGCTCAAGACCTGCGGTAGATCACCCACTTTGAACCATTCCGCCATTGATCGGCCTCTCGGAAGCGATTTGGACGCCGCGTCCCTTTTAGACGGCGTAAACCCAACAGCTGGTTGAGCCAATGAGATGAGAGGGGGTGGAAAGTGTTGGTGTTCAAAGCTCAGCCCTCATTATTCCGTGTTGGTAACAGTTGCGACACTAACGTTAGTTGTACAGGGTTGTCCTTCAACCCGCTACCAAAGCAAAAATAACTCCACAGCCTCGCGCAGCGATACAGACTCCCACTCTGAATATAGCAATGACAAGCTCCGTCTTAATGGGGCCGTGTTTGATCTTCATGAAATTGGATCGCCCCACTGCCAAACTGAACTTGGTCTAAACCAAATGGTATACCTCGTTTTGAGGTTCTCAGTATAGGGAAATGAGGCCTGGGTGAAAGATGAAGACTCACCCCGCAACCCAGTACTTTCAATTTTGTGACAAGTAGGCCCAGTGGGCAAGAAAAGAGGAGACCAATGAGAATACACGATATGCAGTCTAGTCGAGTCTGAGGCTCTGGTCACCCATGAGCAAGGGGACGATCCCCATCTTCAACACTAAAATTCACCGGCAGTTGTCCTAACCTGATGCGACAATGTGGGCTGAAAATCATAATCACCAGGAAATCCGCCATTCCGTTTCAGGCGCTCTTCTATTGACTGTTTTGTAATAGTTCGCTTTAGAATGATTTATCATTTGGGGTCGATTTGGCCCGTGGGTCTTCTTTTTAACGGGTCCCTCCGAGCATTAGCCCCAGCCTATTTTCTTCTTGTCATAAAGTCTGCTTCCTTCGTCCTTCTTCAGACTCAATATCCTCATCATTATACAACTGATTTCTGACTTTCATCTCCTTCCGGAAGACTCGAGCCCCACGGCCGGTATACTTCGATATTTACAACATGTCTTCCCTCACCAACCCTTATGACGCACCTTTGACTTCCTACACCTATCGGCCTTTCGATATTTCTCAGACCCTAAGTGATGATACCCAGAACGCCGGGTTATATACAAGCACACCAACAAAGTCGCGTTCGCCCTCTTTGTCGAACTCCAACCGCGTTAGCAAAGCCCTGAAAGGCAAAAGAGTGCACATGTGCGAGCACCCTGGATGCCCAAAGGTGAATACTCTAAGCAGTGTCGATAAATATTTGTACTAACTCAGCTCAGGTCTTTACCAGAGCCGAACATCGGAGACGCCATGAGCTCAGCCACCAATCGAGGAAACAATATACTTGCGCCTATCCCGGGTGTGGAAAGGCGTTCCACCGTTCGGACTACTTAAACCAACATATGTCGCGACAGTGAGCATGCATTCCGGTATTCAATGATAGAACTAGCAAGCTAATGAAAGTAGCAGCTCATCCATGTCGCCTAACCTTGGAAAATCGGTCGCAAAAGGCAACAGATCTCGCTCAACGAGTATCCAGGAGATGCAGTCACAACCAATTCATTCGCCTCCAATGCCTTTCCAACTTGAGCCAAACGACTATTCTCAAACATGGGGAAGCATGGATTCGTCAATGACTTATGCCCAGTACTCACCGAGTCAGAGTCAGCGCAACTCTCCGGTATCGTTTGACAGGCATTCGTCTCCCGATTCATACACAAATGAAAGATTCAGCTCCCCTATGTCGAACGAGTCATACAACGACACTCCCATTCAATATCCCGCCTCGGGCCTTCCTGTCGAGCTGGTCTCTAGCATCGACAATTACCTTCGCAGCATTCTCAAGCCCGAGGTTTTTGCTTCTTCTCATCCTCAAATGGACCATAGCATGTGGAACGCAGAGAGTATTGAGATGGATCCAGTTTTGACTAAGCCGGAGAATCCTGTGAGTCAAACCCATACTTATTTTGGACCTGAGAATTCGTATACTGATATCTTCTTTCAGGAATTTTCCTTGTATTCTTGGCCTCCCGTGCACAGTCTATCATACGATCACGCACTCATGGATCATCATCACTCTACTTGTCACTGAGATTATGCTTTGTACCCCTGTCAGTCGCTGCCTTTTGTTGCATTTTAGCGTGTTTTAGATACCTATACCTTCGTTTCTCGCGCTCTTCTCAATATTGTTTGCCTTCTTGGATGTTTTTATTTATTTATTTGCTTTTTCTTCTGCCTCTGTCATTATACCACGGCGGGAGCTGATCTTAGACAGCTTCTTGTGCCATGAGTGCTTTGCACGTTGTGCAACATGTTGTCCACTATGCGAACCTATTCTCTATGACCATTCTACTGCAAGTTTCATACAATCCGTTAGAGAATAGACCATGTTTTACGAAAAAACTTTGCAGCAACTTTAAATGAGTAATCGAGGAAAGTTCCTGGCTTAAAATTAGGCTGGTCATACCTCAGGGCATCGGAATCGTGTATCTCAAACCGATTGATTTGTATAGATTCGCATCGGCACAGTCACTAGGTGTGCTGCAATGTGATTATGATTCAAGTTGACATCTTGGTTTGACTAATTGATCTATTCTTTTTGTCGCTGTAAGATCTTTGGTGTGGTCGAGTTACCGTACACACAGTTGTTCAATGTCTGAGACCTGGTGTCACAGGTGGGTAACGTTTAAGTTATATAGGGATGATCAGATTAATGATAGGCAAAGGATTAGCTATATTTAGGCAGCTCTGTAGATCGCTGTAGTATAATGACAGCTCAGGAGCCCTAAAATTTAAGCTTCTACCTTAATTCTCACTGCTCGGTCAACGTCCGAAAGATGATCCGCATTGGACACAGATGGCGTTACGCACCGACATTTTTCTCCTTTTGACTTTTCAGATGCTCTGTTTCATTTGAAATGCCCAGAAGAGTCATACATATAATGTGATCTCCCACATTTCTGGTGACGCGCTCATTGTAATTCTTTATGGGTCCACAGGTGCTAGTGCTTTATTTGATTCAGCATCCAGGTCCCAATAAGTCTTTTGTCGAAGGATATGAAATAAAGACCGTAAGTTGCTGACAGGCTTATGAAGTATTGAACAATGACGAAACCAATTCTCGCAGTGGTAATACTGTTAATTCTATTTGAGCCCTAACTTGTTCTTATTTTACCATTCTTTGAAACCTTTGCCTATTCTTAAGCGTCTCGTACAAATCAATGATTTTCTCGAATCTAGGGTTCAGAGGGGAGGAAGAGCGTTGTTGAAATGTAATATGTTTTATATGTAACAAAATATGACTGCGAACATCGTCGCTTCAAAGGGTTCTAAATTATGTACACGCCTTGCCCATGAGATATTAACACTCAGCATTAACCTTTTACAAAACACTTTCCATAACAGGTCCGCTATATACCTTTCGTGCACGAACAAAGTAGTACACAAGGCTGAGGAGAATAGTTCCTACCGTTCCAACCACACTGAAGTTCATGGTCTGGACATTCACCACCCAGCTTGTTGGCCAGAAGGTAAAGAACACAGCAATGGTCATATAGATCAAAGCCCACACGTTAATCAGAATGCCCCAGATACCGCGAATATGGAACGGACCCCAAACAAGCTTTGCGCCCGCGGTGTTGACGACAGCCGAGTCGCTGCTGCGCTTGGAGCTGATACCCCCAGTACAACGGCGCCAGAGAAGAAGACTGCCGACAACCATATAGGACAAGTAAAGTCCCGAGATCGACATGGAGCATAGATCATTGAAAGCGACTGGGGAACCGATGTTGATAAGGGCCAAGAGGCAAGCGACCACGGATGTCAGAACGACAGAGTACAATGGTACGGCTGATTTTTCGGTGACCTGCCATTGTTAGCTTAAGGGGCACCAGAATCGAAGAGGATTTTGGGTGGCATAAATACATACCTGACTCCACATTCTCCAACCAGGAACACCTCGGTCGCGAGCAAATGACCAGAACTGGCGGGATGTAGACGCTAGCATGCCAACTGAGGTAGTCGCGCCCATGGTGGTCACGATGGAAGCCATGACAGCAGTACCAGCTGTAGAGCCTGTAGCTTGTTGGAAAATGGCCATGAAGGGCCATCCCGTAGGTGACTCGAGGGCTGCTTCAATATCACCCATACAGAAGAGCATGGCAATCAGCATGCCGAATCCCATGGATCCGTTGATCAGGATACTGAGCATGATTGAGCGCGGGACTGCGACTGCGGCATTCGTGATTTCCTCGGACATCTGGAGAAACGAAGAGGTTAGCCCGACTGCTATCGCCGTCTATCAGAGATGGAGAAACACACATGAACGGCGGCATCACCACCTGCAAATGCAAATATACAACCGACGGTTCCAACAAAGAAGGAAAGCCCCTGAGTTGGGAACCCTCCTAAATTAAGGAACTCAGTGAAAACCTCCTTGGCGCTGCCATGGTCAGCCATGTAGGTCAGGGGGATGAGAATTGCAAAGAAGCCCAGAATATGAAGGACCAGAATCATTCCTTCGAAACGGGGAAGGACTTTGCCCCCGACGCTGTTGATGCCGACAGAGAATACAACGACAGCCCAGTATAGAAGAGTTCCATGCCAATTCTTAGGGATGTAGTCACTATTTGTCAATGCGATCAAGCCTTGAATCAAGGTACCGACCAGATAACAAGAGGTTGCGAAAGTTGCTTGCCATCCAATGACCGTGAGCCAGCCTGCGATTCATGTTAGGATCCAGTGACAGTCATGCTCTTTCAACATCCAACTAACCCGTCAAGTAGCTCATTAGTTTCATCCAAGATGGAGGTGCTAGCATTGAACACCAGTGATACTGGCCTCCAGATGTCGGGGCCCTATGGAGAGTTAGTTGCCAATCTATGCCAAAGGAAGATAATTGCGTCGCATACATTGAGACCAACTCAGACAGAATCACAAAAGTCGCTGCGACACCTGCCCACACAAAAAGAAATCCATATACGGCACCAGCTGGGCCACCACTTTGTAAATGTCGTTAGTCCTGGGCTACCGATAGTCGCGATCCGGTCTTACTTCTGATATGCTTGCAAAAATAGCCTATTGAGTAGAGATTAGCTCACATTCAATGTATGGAAAATTTTCTGAGAGTCAGCATCACTCACACGACAATTCCTTCCCAGGTAATCAGAATTGTGCAACTGAATCCAAGCATAGACATCAGTCCAAAGTTACGCTGTTCAGTTAGTTCTCATCGCAACCCAAATTCTCAACGGGATCCTACCTTGAGGACAGGACGCTTTCCCATCCGTGCCAAATTGGCATCGTCCAGCTCCTTGCTGGTTGGAGGATCGATCTCCTGCATACCAGAGGCCGACATTTGCTTCGAGTACTGAGACGGCATCCTTAGATCGAGAATGCCAGGGTCAAACAGAGGGGGGGAAAAAGCAAAGATAAGTCACAAGCCCAAGACTTCCAATGCAGGGAAAAAAGAATTTAAAATTGCAACATGCTCGCATGTGGTGGGCATCTTCATGCGCTGTCCACATGGCCAGGGGGCATGAAGAAGGCTAGCAAGGGCAAGATGTCACTAAATTGATTGGTTTCACGGAGGATGCAACATAAGGCATAGGGATGGCTAGAAGTGGAACGCCCAGAAGAAATTGCATATAGAGTGTTCGAGCATAGACCAATTATGATATAGAAGTTCGGGGGGAAACCGACTTTCGCTCTCGAAAGTTCAAGAGGACGACGCTAATTATGCACGCTAGATCCTTCGTTACAACTAGCGTATATGCACTACATGAAATCCCTACCTTACAATTGCATGATATTTGCCCTGCGTATTATATTTTTGCAATATGTTTGGGAGATTATGATTTGTGGAAATCTTTTTACTGAAATTTATGTAATGAACAGAGGACCGGGGAGTTTAACCCGTGTCTGATAATCTTTAGTTCGCATTATAGAGTAGATTGGTCCGTGTTTTTGATTCATTACCGAAGTCCTTCGGTTACAGTCCAGGTCCGGGTCTCGATAATAATGTTAGACTGGCTAGACTGGCTTTCGGCATCATCATCCGGTGCCGATGTGACTAGGGTCTCGTGGGCTCCTTCGCGAGGAATCGAGACGAGCTCGTGGGTCTCGCTTCGAGTGTCTTGAGTCCGGCGGGTTCCTTTCATCGTAGTCATGCCGTATGTTTTGTGCTTACTGCCATAGCCGTAGGAGCTCGACATTTCAAGACTCATCCCCGATGACCGAAGGTTGTCCAGGAAAGGCTTGAATTGTGGGGAGCACGCCGTGACTATACTCAATCCTTGGGCCATTTGTGTAGAGACTGCAACTGTCCAGGTCTCGAATGAAGGGTCTTCCGATGAGAATGACTTGCTGGCGTAGACAAGTTGGCAAATAATCGCAACAATGACACTGTTCGGGTCAACACATTGTTAGCGATGCTCATCGAAAACAATAGCCTTGAAAACATACATAATTCGAATGAAAAACACACTGAACAGACCAGCCTTTCTGCTGAAATCTGTCTGGATTCGAATGATGACCAGTAACGCTTGAGCAATGATTCCAGCCTCGGATAGGATGTTTGTGATACCCAGATAGTTCCACCACGCGCTCTGCTATTGTTAGTACTTGTTTGAGAAGCAGTACATGAACACATACCCGATCAAAGCAACTTCCATGTATATAGTCCCAAGTACGCGGTAGATGACACTGGAACGAAGACGTTATAATGCCAGTGACGGCCCAGAGTCCAATCAATATTCCCAGCACAAGAGCGAAGCGACGATCCAAGGACGCTGGAGTCAAATTGCGAATGAAGACTAGTAGCGACAGCTTAGAGCAACATATGCTGGCAACGAATAGAATGATCGCCGCGAACTCGGACTAAGATCGTTTCTTTCATTAGGATTTCTCAAACAGAGATCATATTAGAGCTCTTACCTTCATCATATTTTCTACCTTGATCTCAGCCAGCAACTTGTAGTGCTGGCCGAGACCATTCGCAGTCGCCATAGACACCGCTATAGACTCCGCGATGCAAAAGATGATCGATGCTGCGGCAAGTCCATCATCGAGGGTAAATTTGCGAAAGAAGAAGTATTTCGTCCCAAGTCGAGTCGCAACGCTCAAAATGGCCGTCACTAGCATAAACCAGGTCAAGACATTGACCGCGGGGGTCCAGGTATTCTTCAAGTCAGGATGCATCACGCTCGTAGGTTGAATCAGGTAGCCAAGGACGCCGTGCGCTGTTATCGCATATTGTATGAGGCTCTGAACATCATTCAAATCGGAGTCCAGTGGTTCCAGGAAGGGGACAGAAATTATTCTGGATCGCAGGAGTGAACACCATGTTCTAGGGAACGAATTGGCTTTCGCAGGCCAGGCGCCACATCACCATGCATGCTATCACCAATCACAAGGGATGCAACCTCAGAACCCATAAGAAATTGTCAGGCCAGAATATTACTGTTTGTGCTTTAGTGGCTATCCACTTTTTGACCAGGGTGTTCGTTGATTGAATTTGTGAAACGGGGCCATACTTCTGTACCATCTTTTGGGGGCCATTTAATCCCTGCTCGAACATGAAAATGGCTTGGATCATTTCCCCCCCCCCCCCAACTCAAAATGAAAGAACCTCTTCAATGTTCTAGGGGCTTTACATGATACCCTGGTCATATTCATTCACAACATTATTGCTGGCAATTGGTAAAGTCAACTTAATTTGGGATACCTACGTTCGCCAGCGTGATTTCGAGTCTTGGCCAATTACAGTCTACACTAGGGGCGATTGCTTTTAATATACTGTCAACCAAATCGATTCAGCGTAAGGTTTACATCGTGTTCCTACTAGTTCGAATTGGTTATCTTACTTTCCTAGGTGCAGCTACAATTCTTTCCGCGCAAGACGCCTTGAAACATGTTAAAAACTCAGTAGCACGATTAACTTATCCGAATTAGGCACGGCTTATTTCAAATTATATGAATCTAATTATGCGTTCGGGATAAAAGGTTATCATTTCTTCTTCGAGACGACTAGCTAAGCGAGGGATCTGGATATTGCTGGCCCCTTCGTCTTTACGAGAACGCTATTTTACCGGTGAATCTACTGTACTACCAGTACGGCTAATTCATGAAATAAAGAGCATATGTCTCTGCGACAGAAGTTTTTCCTCGCGTCCTCCATGACTGTCTGCGGTCCGCGGGTTATTGTTTCCTTCCGGTTAGATCAGGTGCTCATCTGGAGCCCTAGTCCTTCTTTAACTTCTCTCCTATTTTCGGTGTCCCTGTTTCTATGTGCTCGTTGAAATCAAGTATTAAGTATCTATCAATAATCCGATTTTCTATTAAATGATCCGCCGTTTTCACCCCAGTTGCTTTCCTAAGTGTTGACTTACCTCATGGACTAGACCAAGACAGATCCTTAGTCACAGAAGATAATCAAGTAGAAATTTATTCATTTGTATCGCAAGTTACGCATTAAAGTACTAATCGGAGATAATAGCGGCATTGGTGTGGTTTAGCATAATTAGAAATAACGTTTTTATAGACTGCATGGAAAAAAAGAGGTTTGTAAGGTAAAAGAGTCTAACAATCACAGGATAACAAAGTTTGAATGGCCGGCATATATATATTTGACTCTATCGGAAAGCCCTATAAAGTTAAAGTGGAAAGCAATAACTGAGAGGCATCATGTGTATATATACAAGAAAATGAGGTCGATCACATGCTTCCTCTATAAGAACATGATAGTAAGTTATATCAAATAACGTTATGAAGCGATCAACTCATGACCTAAATTAGCGCTTGAATGGCACATCGGTATTCAAGCAACCGTCAGTCTTCTCAAAATACCAGTGGTGGGCATGGAAGTCCGAGATCAATGGCACACCAGTTCCAGCGTTTCCACCCAAGCTAAGTATACCATCAACAACACTGATGTCAGAGGCGGCAACAGGCGTGTTATCACCAGATGTAATCCAATATTCCGGGCTGACATGGGCGTAGCCCATGGCAATCAGAGGCAGCTTGGCAATAGGGTCATTCTGGTGAGTGAACCTATAGTTGTTGTTTTGCGCAGTGATAAACTTCGCCAGAGCTGGGTTGGCGACACGGGGCGAGGCAAAGGCGTACAACTTGGCTGACTCGTGACCCTTGGTACGGAGATCGGCGGCGGCGAGAGTTGCAACGGCGGCACCGAGACTGTGGCCCACAATCACCAATTCGTAGTCCTGGTTCTGGGATAGCGTATCTTCGAGCTGCGCGGTGATGTCATCACGGACGTTCGTCCAGGAACTCCAGAAGCCCAGTTCGGCGAAGCATCCGCTGCAGAGACCGGGGTCGATATAGGGAAATGAAGCGTCGGCAAACCAGTTACGGACAGAATAAGAGCCACGGAAAGCGAGAACCACGGCCTTGTTGGTGTCGTCTACTGCGATATAGCCTGCTGTGTCGGTGGCGGTGGAGCTAGAGGCAGGTATATGAGCATTGATACTTTGCTTGAAAGTGGGATTGACATACTTGGAAAAATCGTAGATAATCGTAGCACCGGCTGCTTCAACATCAGGGCAGTTTCCTGTCGAACAGCTGACCTTGGTGCCGACTTGGGCAGTATAATCAATCTGACAGTATGATGCTGCAGCATACTGTACCCAGAACTTGAATTGGTTCAGTTCATCGGAGGGAACATCTGCTTATGTATGAGGAATGCGATCATCACGCATAATGCAAGGGATAGTCGGGACATACCACGAGTGTGCACAGCACTTGGGAAGGCATGGCCCAAAGCAGCCACAGCGGACAAGACAGTCAACGAAGAGAAACGCATGGTGAGTTGAATTCAATGCTTGGAAAGGAATCAAAAAGCAGAGCATGGCTCTGTGAAAATATTCTCTTTATAGTCTTGTACTTTGACGCAACCAGCGGACTCATACAATTCCTGCACGGAATTTACTCTAATCCCACGGAACTACATCGCTTGTCTTCAAAAAGAAGAACGGAGGAAATACGCCATTCGACCTCGCGGACGATGATCTTTGGAGTTTCGCAGCACGTCAGCGATATTGGTGCAAACCGTTAGGGTCCGATTGATAAATTGTGGATGCCAGTTCAGCTGGACCTCGGCTTCCCGGGGATACTCCCAAACCAGACTATGATTTGCAGATCATAGCTTGAATTTAGCCTGCAGGAGATGCCGACGATGAACCGTCTGATCCACCGGATCGAGCTTGGCGATCGGTAAACCATGGTCACCCGTGGCGTGGGTCGGTTGGTTTACTCTTTTCGGGCGAATGCTCCGTTGATACTGCATCAGATGAGGTGAGACATCCATGAAGATCGCAGGATGCTTTCATGTGCTTTCGAAGTGGAGTGCAAGGAAGAGAGGGTTGACTTGGTATTGAGTGTTAAGTTCTGCTAACCTCGGGAACCACGCGACTCGGAATCTTGAAAAGTCTTTACCGTGCTTGTTAGGGCTGTCTGAAGTTTCGGGATCTTCTTTTTACTAAAGATCTGTCTGGCTGTATATAAAGATGTGCGTCTCGTGAGTCTGGCCTCTGGGTCAAATCAACATGCATGATGCTGAGTATGGCAGCATTGCCTTCTTGACCATGTATACCTCAGCCCTAGATCGTTCAAGACACATCCCAAGGTTGAAAACGTGCCCATGATCAAGGATTGAGCATCACTACCTGGTTGATACATTGAGAGTTAACCAACCCCCTTTACCGCAATGGAATAATGAGCTTTCCGCCCCTACGTAGTATATGGTTGGAAACTCTTTTCGAAATGGCCATTTGTTCCCCGATTGTTTATACGCAGATAGCACCGGCCGAACGAAAACGAAGAGTCTGATCAGACTTCCTTGCTCTTTTTTACTCGTAATTTCACATTAAGCACCCATCCTTGATGCTCGAGTGCAAGTCACTAATTCCAACTCTCACGCGGCGATAGCCAGGTCGGGAGTTTGGCTTTCCGGCGTTGTCCTTGAGCTTGAGGTTATCGACGCTGGGAGAACCGGTTCGCGAGTTGCCCGCGACAGGGGTGGCCTTGGCAGAAGATGCCAATGTGCGCTCGAGTGCATATACCTCGACCATCCATTCATACCAGACTTTACGGTCATCGGTTTGGCGGTACATGGTAACGACAATCTCGCCATTCTCGGGAACATTGAGAGGAGTCTGCGCAGAAGTATTAGTATGAAATCTAGGCACCCAACACGGAGTGGATCTTGAAACTCACCTTCAAGGGGAAATAAATAGGGAACCAACTGATCATGTTTGCGCTCTTGGCATCCATGGTCACGGGATTGGTAGAAAGCTCCACATCGCCGTAAAGGACTGTCTCAAAGTAACCGGCCAAACCATGGCATGCACCACGATTCTGGGCAGGGAAAGAGAGGCGGGTCTGACGCACATTGTGTGCATTTGAAATGGTGGACTGCATGGGGGACTGGGGAGGAATGTGAAGGTTCGGGTGGGAGAAAGACCAGGCGGTCTGCACATTCGGAGTAGGGAATTCGGTGGTGGTGAATGATGCCGATGGGGTAGACGCCCGATTTCCATTGTTGCTGTTCGAGCTTTCGCCATTAGAAGGCAGATCCGTGGTGGATAGGAAATCAATAGCGTGGAGCATCACAACATATGGTGTCTCCGGAGCCGCTGGGTTGGAAACAGTCTGGTGCACAACATCTGCGTGCAGTTTAGGAGCGGAAACCGGGGTAAAGTGAGCAGAGTATGAGGCTGGAATGGAAATTCCATGAGTTGGGTTGATGAGATCATTGACGCCGTCCAGACATTCGGGTGAAAGCTCATTGTCAGCGAAAGATCCAAGCAGTTCGGATACAATTATGTCCACATGGCTGTGTTTCATGCCCGGTTCCTTGGGTTCAGAGGTCCGGCCCGGGTCGTTTGATCCCTTTTTCGGGGTGTAGAGCAAATTGTCCTCGATTCCCAAGGTATCTCCGACGGGCTCCTGAGTGCCCTTAGGCTGCGGTCGGGGAACAAGAGGGCCCTTCCAACTGCGCATATCGGACTGAACAAGGGTGACTTTGTTATCCCAAATTGTTTCGTTGTGGCGCTGCAGCAACACGAATGCATTCTGGTTCTTCTCCACGGCCCACATGTCAATTTCCACACCAGCTGCCGCACTAGCTTTAAGTGCTCTAGTGACCAGAGGTCCTCGGCCAGCACCCACAACAGCGACAACTACCTTGCCATCTGGGTGGGAGGTGGGCTTCTTCTGGTCTGCCCAGTCTTTCAATGCCTTGGTGATAGCCTTTTCGTACCACTCATATTTGATAGGATCTTTTTCAAATACTTCATAGGTGATGCTTTCCAGGTTGACAGTCAAGGGTTGCAAAGGTGCCTGCAAATAGTCTTGATAACCAACACCGAATCTTTCGATGGCAGTGCGTGGGGGCTGGCGTTGCTGGAGGTTCCGAATATACGACAAATGGGGGGTTGGGTCGTTGTGCTTCTTGTTCGCCTGCGACAGACTCGGGTAATCCGATCCAGAAAGTCGAGACTGGTTAGAGCTATCGATGCCTTCAAGTCCTGGAATAGGGCCAACACCACACAGGAGAATCCAAGGCGCAGTTCGAAGGCGCATCATCTTTGCAATCAACGCCTGGTGTGATTTTGCCAGAACTGGGTATCCCTTTTGGTTCTTCAGGAATGAAGAAGAGTCGATTGTGAGCAAGTGCACAGGTTCCGAATGCCACCGTGACTGCACATATAGAGATGGCAGCTGTTTCGGCATTGCGAGAGCTAGGTTTCTCGTGAGCTTTGTTCCTATATGGTGATATCACTGCTACTTACCAACAAAAAGTCTTGTATGATACTTGCAAGTCTTTCGGATTGCGTCCCACGCGTCCCAGGTTCCAAACGAATCCGCCTTAGGCGAGGCACCCTCATCGGGCTCTAAATATTCTGCCCTGGCAAGAGGTGCCAGATCGCCCATAGTATCAATCTCGGCTTCTGGGTTGTCAACCATCTGCAGCCAGATATGGAATTGAATGTAGGGTCCGAGGGCCAATGCATCTTGGACGGCCCGCGCGTAGTAGATTACTCCCTCGGAATGCAAGGCGCCATGGTGCAGCTTTGGTCCGGCAATCACAAGATATCCAATTCCGCAGAATGCAGCGTACGCAACCTCCAGCATGAGAACTTGGCGAGATAAGTCAGCGATTAATGGATCTGGCGAGCAGAGATCAATCCAGCTGCTGGTGATACCAACAAGTTGGCTGGTTGCATCGTTGGGGGTCAGGTAAGAGTCTGCTTTGGAAAGTGGCGGAACAACCAGAGGCCGAGTGTTCTGGGTCGTACCCATTGTCCCAATAGAATCGTAAGATGGGGACTGCAAGGTGGACAGGTAATTGGAAAGCAGACCCAATACACGAGAATGGAAATGCGAGGTAGTGATCGGGACAGTCATCATATCATACTACAGCATATCAAGTTAGTATCAAAAAGAAATGAGACTGAACATAGAACCGACGTTGCTCTCATGCACCTGCTGGATCACTTCCGGGGTCACGGAGATCAGCCTGTTGGGCTCATGATGACCAACGCAGAACGTTGGTCCTGGATCTTCCGAGGGATTATAGTTCTCCATGCTGATCGAGACGTCTGGCGCAGTGGTGGAGGAATGGTTTTAAACTAGGGATGGTGTAGCTGACTAGAAGCTCTTGACAAGCAATTTGTCAACTGCTCGGCTTGAAGATAGTCAGTACTCGCTGGCTCTATACCCAAATCTGCCTAGCCAGAGAAGCTCAGTCAGGAACAAGAGATCAACAAGCCAAAGATTATCGATCCCTGTGTGGAGCGCAGCAGAATATCTAAGGCGGTGAGTCTGATAGGCAGCTGTGGCGCTCGCCCGACCTTCCTATCGGATATTTTTTTCTTCGCTATCTCAGGTCTTCCACCCGCCGAGTTTGCTCTTCAACACTCTTCGGCTTTTCACAATGACCATGACTGATAACCGCTCAGACTCTGAAGGTGGCTCCCGGGCCAAGCGCCAGAAGATGGACGCCAGCGACCCAAAGAACAACCCTTACCTGGCTCACATGTACGAGAACGATGACTCGAGCAAAAATTCGTCCATCGCGAAGTTCAAGCGCCACCAGACGACTGCCGCCATGGCAAAGAAGGCCGAGGACGGTGAGATCAACCCTTTCAGTGGTCGTCCTTACTCCAGCAAATACTTCTCGATCTTGAAGACTCGTCGCGATCTACCAGTCCATACGCAGCGGTGAGTGACTCCAAATATCCAGTCTGTGACTAGGTATACTGATCCACAGTTTTCAGTGATGAGTTCCTGCAACTCTACCAGCAATCGCAAATCCTGGTCTTCGTTGGTGAGACCGGTTCCGGAAAGACCACTCAGATCCCCCAGTTCGTCCTGTTCGATGACCTTCCCCAGACCCAAGGCAAGATGGTCGCTTGTACGCAGCCCCGTCGAGTCGCTGCTATGTCCGTCGCACAACGTGTCGCAGCCGAGATGGATGTCAAGTTGGGTGAGGAAGTTGGTTACAGTATCCGTTTCGAGGATATGACTGGCCCCAAGACCATCATGAAGTACATGACTGATGGTATGCTGCTTCGTGAGGCCATGAACGACCACAATTTGTCGCGCTACAGCACAATCATGCTTGACGAGGCTCACGAAAGAACCATGGCCACCGATATTTTGATGGGTCTTCTGAAGGAAGTTGTGGGTCGTCGCCCCGACTTGAAAATCATTATCATGTCCGCCACTCTGGATGCGCAAAAGTTCCAGCGCTACTTCATGGACGCCCCTCTTCTCGCTGTTCCCGGTCGTACCCACCCCGTCGAGATCTTCTACACCCCCGAGCCGGAGCAAGACTACGTTGAGGCTGCCGTTCGGACCGTGCTGCAGATCCACGCCACCGAGGGAGAGGGAGATATTCTTCTGTTCCTGACCGGTGAGGAAGAGATTGAGGATGCTTCGCGCAAGATTGCGATGGAAGGAGACGAGATGGTTAGAGAGGCCGATGCCGGTCCTATCAAGGTCTACCCGCTGTACGGTAGTCTTCCTCCTCACATGCAGCAGCGCATCTTCGACCCTGCTCCCGCTCCTCGTCGCCCCGGCGGCCGACCTGGCCGTAAGGTCATTGTTTCCACCAACATTGCTGAAACATCCCTGACCATCGATGGTATCGTGTACGTGGTGGACCCCGGTTTCTCCAAGCAGAAGATCTACAACCCTCGCATTCGTGTCGAGTCACTCTTGGTTTCTCCCATTTCCAAGGCCTCTGCCCAACAGCGTGCTGGTCGTGCTGGTCGTACTCGTCCCGGAAAGTGCTTCCGTCTCTACACCGAGGGCGCATTCAAGAAGGAGTTGATTGAATCCACATACCCCGAAATTCTCCGGTCAAACTTGTCATCCACAGTTCTTGAGCTGAAGAAGCTCGGCATTGACGATCTTGTCCACTTCGATTTGATGGACCCCCCTGCCCCAGAGACTCTGATGAGAGCTTTGGAGGAGTTGAACTACCTTGCCTGTCTCGATGACGATGGAAACCTGACTCAGCTTGGCCGCCTGGCATCCGAGTTCCCTCTCGACCCAGCGCTTGCCGTTATGCTGATCAGCTCTCCTGAGTTCTACTGCTCTAATGAAATTCTCTCCATCACAGCCCTCCTGTCTGTGCCCCAGGTCTTTGTGCGCCCCGCTGCTCAACGCAAGCGTGCCGACGAGATGAAGAACCTCTTTGCCCACCCCGACGGAGACCACCTCACCATGTTGAACGTCTACCACGCCTACCGCGGCGAAGAGGCTCAGTCGAATCCTAAGCAGTGGTGCCACGACCACTTCCTCTCGCTGCGATCCCTTCAGTCTGCTGATAACGTACGCTCTCAACTGCTTCGTATCATGGAGCGTGAGGATCTCGAGATGATCTCCACGCCGTTCGAGGACAAGAAGTACTACGAGAACATTCGTCGCGCTCTCTGTGCCGGTTTCTTCATGCAGGTCGCCAAGAAGGACACCGGTGGCAAGAGCCAGTACCTCACCATCAAGGACAACCAGAACGTCCTCCTGCACCCGTCCACTGTCCTGGCTCATGAGGCTGAGTGGGTTCTTTACAACGAGTTCGTCCTCACAACAAAGAACTATATCCGTACCGTGACTGCGGTTAAGCCTGAGTGGCTCTTAGTAAGATCTGCAACCATTTCATTAAAAGACGAGACTTTACTAACTATCTGTGTCTAGGACATCGCCCCTACATACTACGATATTAACAGTTTCCCAAAGGGCGACATCCGCTCCGCCCTCACCCGGGCCTCCGAACGCCTTATTCGCAAGGAGAAGATGCGCACCGAAAAGCGTCGCTAGAATGTTTTCCTAAACTCTCAGCCTAAATCACGAAGCTTTCTTTTTGCGTCATTCTGCTTCCCTCATGATGCCAATGCATTGAATAAAACGCCTTTTTTTCTTGTTTCTCCACACGCTCTGGTGGTTTTCTCATTTTTCCTTGCGGTGTTTTCCGCGAGACCTTTCAATGGTCTTTCTAGATCTGCAATTCTGTACAAATAGAACGCCACACATTCCGAGATCCTAATATCATCGCGGCCATGGGTCTATTTACAATGTTATAACGCTTTAAACAAATTCCCTAACGTCCTCAAAACAAGGGCACATAAATTTAATGCATTATTTGTCTTAAAAAGTTAGCCCTTTTAAGGGGACAGAGATAATTCATGGCCTCTCTTGTACTAAACATGCTACAGAGCCCAGCGCCGATAACAAAATGGAAATGAATAAGATATCTATCCAGTGCTCTAGAATTTCAAGTGTATGCACCGCGTCTCGGCGATGTATGTGAGGGAAAAATTGATGAGTGTTTCCCACCGTACTCCTAGGGCTCTATTCAAAACAAGGGTAATCATGTAATATACAAAGTTCTCGCTGGACCAGTTCCAAGTTCAGTTCCTGGCTGGAAGTCCATGTCTTCCAACGCTTCAAAAAAGGGCTATTTACGCCTCGGATGAAGTAGGCGTTGTGAAGTCTGGAACACCCGTTTTTGATGCTTTGGAAGCGCGTTTGTTTTGCCTCGTCTTGTGTTTGGGGGGTATTTGAGGAGACAAGGTAGAAATCGATCTGTCAAGCATGATAGAGCCGGCGCTTCTAGTGAACTTATGATTTATGGAAAAGTTTCTCGGTGGCGAGATGATGGGTGGGGTGGTCTCGGTTGGGGCAGGGTCCGATGTTTCACGCGTCGTGTTGGGAGAAGGATTGTCAGTTGTAGGAGGGTCGGAATTGTGGTGTTTGCGGAGTTCAAAAACGAGCTCGCGGAGTTGTGCAACCTCGGTTTTCAGGGTAGAAATATCTTCAGCATGCGTGTTGTCGACAGACTTGGAATTCTTTGCTCGTCCATGGCCAAGAGCAGCAAACATGGCACTGTCTGCGTGCTGGTCGGCCATTCTGACCTTTCTGTGGGCGAAGGTGTTCTCTGAAGGGATTTCGAGGTCGCTCAAATATTCACCAAAGGTGTTGCCGAAGTCGTAACACTTTTGCCACACAGGACGATGAATATTCTCTTTCGGTGTTGAATTGGCAGCCGTAGACCACCGCTTGGGATCATCTTGGACGAACGGTGCCATGTCGGCCTGTCGTGTTAGGAGTTTGGGGTCGAATCCACTGTGAATTGCAGCCTTGATCAATTCATTTGATACATCAAGTCGATCACATGAATCACAAAGGCCCACCATCCTTCCTATTAATCGCTCAACAGAATCAATGCGATGATCTGTTGATGAAACGAGGTAGGTCACGGCTCTTTTCAAAACATTGGCGCCCTTCTCCCAGTCTCCGCGGATACTGTAGAAGCGGAGGTATGTGAAAAGAGTCTCCCAACTATCAAAGAAACCTCCACTCCGTGCAGCCTGGAGCCAAGCATCGGCTCGCTCGGGTTGGTCAAAGCGTAAAGCAGCGCCGATTAAGCTTGCATAGATGACAGGATTTGTACTATTCAACGAAGGAACAATGATGTCTAGTCCATTGACCTTTCGGTGTTTGTAATAGCCTCTGCTTCCCAAGTTCACAGAATACCCTTCTCCTCCCAGCATCTTCAAGAACAAATCAAAGTCCTTGAGATTCTTCGACTTTTTGAAGAAAGATATGATCGTAATCACAAGGGAAGGGTTGATGTAGAATCGGTTTGGTAGTAATGTTCGCAAAAGCAACTCGACCAAGTCGTTTTGACGGGTCCGTGTGAATGCCATGATCATGAGCCGGAAAGCTGTCGGCCGTTCTGGGTCTGTCGAACTCAGGATGTTATTAGATAGCCGTAAAATCAATTCTTGAAGCGACATCTCCTGACTCGTGTAAGAGTTGATATCGTTGGTTAGCTCAGCGTCAAGGATCTCGCGCTCTCTCTGCATTTCGCCCAATTGGCTTGCAGCATAGTCCTTTGTAATATCGCTGAAAGCGGCGTTCCGTTGTGTCTTCAATGTGATCATGCGGTGTCGAATGGTGTTTAATTCCTCAAGGAGCTGGGAAACATCAACTTGCGGAGTCTCGAAATCTGCCGCATAGTTCATCGAGACGCCAGAATAGCGGTGGGCAATAGCAGGCCGTAGTAGCATTCGAATAGCGAATTGCCTCAATGCAAGCTTTTGTATGGCCTTGAGGCGGAGATCGTCTTCGAGAACCCAGTTAGGCAACGTCTCCTGTGCAACAAAGATCTCACTCTCGTCTGTCCCGTCGTCATGGTTTTGCTCTTCCAAGGCAGCTGAATTATCCAACATGCGAGCGTTCACAGCATTTAACCGCCTTCGCTCGGTATGGAAAGATCTCAAAGATTGATTCATGCCCGGCGGGGATGGAATCCCCGACGGGAATCGTCCAACAGGGCCTAACCCCCTCGTCTGCATTAACCGATTGAGCCCTCGGTTCTCTCTTCCTGACTGTAACGAAGCTAATATCCGTTGCTCCTCATCGACCAATTCGCTCACTTCCGCCTTGACCGCGGCAATCTTTTCGTCCCAGTCATGTCGACGTCGATCTTTCACGCTTGCATCGGCAAGGGCGGCGGCGGCGAAAATGCTCGTGTATAATGCGGTGACAGAGTTACCAAGTCGAAGCTTCCGCTTGCTGGCAGCGGTAGCCGATCTTGAAGTAACACCATTGGCGGTGGTACTCAAACACCCGACGCAGCGGCAGGACGACTGCTTCGAGACAGCGCGGGACCACAAACCCTGCATTCTCAGGGCATCGCTCGTAGACAATGATCGAGGCAAGTTTGCTTAATATGAATGAATTGGACTCCTCTCGGAGCCCGGTCGGCAGCAGGAGGTATATGGCGATGAACAGGGAAACATGCGATGCGGAAATAATCGTGCAATCCGCAAATATCGGGATCTGGTGCAAACACTGCAAACAAGCTAAGACCCCCCGGCTGCGACTGAACACCGTTGAATGTTAGTAGTTAATCTAATCCCGTGCCTTTTTCTTGTTTTTCTTTCTTGTTGTTCGAAATCCCCTTTCTCGCATACAATGATGCATAAGCTGCTTGGTTTTGCCGCCGGGCTACTCGCCTTGAGCTCCGCTGCCAAAGCCCATGGCTCGCATTCAGAAGACAAAGCTCCCTCCGATGATTGGGCCACGAGACACATGATGGGTAAGACAATTTTGTTTCTATGATCGCGGATGTTGCATCGGTATTCTGACGTGGCCTTCTGTAGAGGAACATCACATCGAAGGCTTCGACGCCCCCTCGTTCTTCATCGTGCATGACTACGATTCATCGGGTTTCTGGACACATGACGAAGTCCGCAAGACATATGGTATTGACGACGAATCCAATTCCGATAAGAGTGAAGCCCGGAAGCAAGAGGCTGTCCAAGCAGTGTTTGATATCTTCGATCCTGCGAACACCGGGTTCATTACCAAGGAGGACTGGCTGCAGGGCATCGCCGCTGGTAAACGCTTGCCCGATGTCGGATTTGGCCCTGGGCACCATGGTGATATGGAATATGAATATGAGATTCACCACTTCGAGAAGTTCCACGGCGATGATACTACAGAGGAGGACTTGATCCACCCTCAGGACATTGAGCATTTCCGCAGGCACGACGAGGAAGAAGATGCTGCTCTTCGCTTGGAGAAGCTGGAGGCCATGCAGATTATCTTGAACAATATTCCCCAGAAGTTCCGACGGAACTTCTAGGGTCAGATCACTTTTTTGTTGAAGTATATATACACGTTTACATACGGATTGAACGACTTGATTTTCGGGATAAAGCTGCTGTTGAGTCTACTTGATCTTTTGAGAGGTTGTCTCAGAGCCAAAAGTGATACACTGCGTAGTTAGAAATGTCTCGACATACTAGGTAACAAAGGATTACCTATGATGTTTCCCTGGAACTGTCCATAAAAGGGACTTGGGAGCAAGAAGACTTTCAACAGGTTCAGTTCCTCTCTAGAAATGCGACGTGCACTCACAGGAAACTCAAGAGCTCAAATGTTGTTCCATTCTTTTGATCTCAGCGGGTAGCCGAAAAAAAGCGAGCAGGTCAAAAGATATATTTTTGAGTATACATATGTTCCGGTTTCGGTAAGTTTTATCTGAAACAGCTTTCATCAGCTGGATCTGTCGACGTTGATCTCACAGGCATTATCTGAGTTTTCTGTTGCTCATGCTTGACAAGAGCTCAGAACAGGATTGGAGAGCCTCGATAACACGAGGGAGCTTTGCCATAATGCTTCCGATGCAAGAGGGCTGCCCTTCCCCTCCATATTGACTGTCATATTCTCGGCGTAAATTCCACAAGGCTACATTTACACGGTTATATGTGATCAAGGCTGACCTTCATGAGTCCCAGAACCACGAAAATTCCTGTGCAAAGTCTAAAGGGGACATCAAATGGTATTTGGCATCGAGATCAGATACAAGAGCTATGACATCAAATTGACCAACCTGCCAACGATGACGAAGACCCGCCAAGAGAAACAGTGTAGGAAATTCGGAACTCGTGATAAAAAAACGCCGAAGTAGAGTAGTGAGACGCTAAAGCTCAGAAAAGAGGGAAATAAAGAGTCGAGATAGACCGAGCTCAGTACCGGAGCAGTCAACGCCCATGCCAAACAAAGGAAATGGTGGAGGAAATGCCCCAGATCAATGACAGAGACATTCTTTGATCTCGTCCGAAGGGAAAGGTTCTGGATAAATCGAAAGGATCACACTCAGTAATCAGCGACGTATCCTAACCTGTCATTTGAATCAACAACCCTGTAACAAAAGATGAGCACAAAAATCAATCGAATGACATATCCATATCCACGTACGAATATTGCTTCGTCAAAGTTCCCTCTCCACCCTTGGATAAATCGATGTTGAAGACGTAAAAGTTGCCATCACTAGTCACAACCATGACCTGGGGAGTGTTGCTACTCATGGCAACAACACTCCTGATTGGCCCAGAGGTTGCAGCTCCAGAAGGACTCTGGTTCGCACGGGGTATCTTGATCCAAGCGAAATCGCGTGCTGGCTCCCACATCTCACTAACGCCCTTGGGTAGATATCCGCCCATTCTAGCTGCGACTGCGCCACCAACATTTTGAGACGTTCGACGAAGTATCCCCATCAAGGTACCATTGTGCTTCCGGGATGCATCAGAGCCAGCATCCCCTATCTCATCATCGTCTGGAGAATACCCATAGGGGGGTGAAGAATGGTCCCGAGCCGGCGGGGAGTGTGATCGAGAACCATCTGATGATGGTCCTTGCTGGGTCAGCTTGAATATGTGGACGGTGTCGGTGGATGATGAGACACATAATAGAGTGGAGGTGGTGTTGAAAGACATGCTATAGATTCGCGATGGCATGGAGCCTCGTCGGAATTGATATAACTTGTGGCCATCCGGAACAGAGAACACGCGGATGATGGTCCCCTTGTCAGAAGCAGTGGCGAGCAACGTCCCGTCGCTATTCAGCGCAATAAGTGCGAGAGGAGAACGATGCGCCTCAATGACGTTGATAGCTTCTAGCTTGACTGCATCGAAAATGAGGACGTCGCCCGTTGTGGGAGCGATATGAGTTGTCCCAGGCGGAGCATGTGCTGGCGGGTTTGTAGTAGCATGTGCCTTCTGTGGAAGAGGGTAGGCCATGTAGCAATTTTCCGATGATGGCGCAAGGGCGCAAATGGCTGTTAAATGTCAGTAAGCTAGGAACAGAAAAATAAATCGATAAGTTTCTTACCGTTGGGATTTGGCGATGTATCGATGGTTGACAAAAGCTTCATGGTCTGAATATCATAAAGATAGATTTGATCCTCAAGGACGATAACCAGTCGTTTCCGGTTCAATTTCACTGCTAAGACTGTGGTTGGAAATGTCAACTCGCAGATTGTGCATTGCCGCTGTCGATGGTCAGTCCACGGTCTATCAACATGCCATCATCACAGGCTACTATATCGGAGCCGTATCAGCATACCTTGGTATTTTGAATCTGCAAGCGTCTCGGAGACAATATTAGAGCCACAAGAGAAGTCGAGAACAACATCTCAATCACGGCAATATTACCCTCTTTGGCTTCATAGCTCTTCGCAAATGGTTCAGTAGTGAAGATCTGAAAGCCCTTTGATGTTGCTACAACTGCGGTCAGCGACAATCCCCAGTGTAAACAGTTTAGGCGCAGTCCGCCCCGGAAAAAGACTTACCCACAGCTAGGTAGCTGTAGTCCTGATTAAAGGTCACGAAATTCATGGCCATCTTGATCAGAAGCCCGGAGGTTGGTGGAGGTCAATACGATACAGGCAATCTTCGGAGTGGTTGGAGATACCCCGCTTAGGGCGAGGTTGAATGATGGGCGCTGAACCAGCAACTCTTTGCCCGTCACTAGCTCCGTAACATCTCTCGGGATGGGAAATAAAGGAAATGATTCGCAGATGAGGCGGTGAAGGGTGAATCTGATATCCGCGAAGTCCTGGACAAGGTCGCAAGCGAGAGGTTTGCGCTTGGGCCACACCTTGATTGTCCACCGCCTACGCGCTTCCAAGGTTATCACCTGGGAGACTTCGACGGTGACTTCACTTCACTCTGAGCAGGAGGTATGTTGATCCGCAAGGCAATGTGAAATAGGAATACTAACCTTTTGTCATCTCCAGGCAAACAAGTGACTCTTAGTTAGCTGCTCCAACCATGTGACGTAGATAAGCCACTGCGATCACCTGGGCAGGCTTCCATCTTTCGATCTTCTATCGCGGCACTATAACCACGATCGACCACTATAACACCAGATATCAGGGATTTGGCTGGCTGCAAGCTCAACCCGAGATACCGAAACCAGCGCAAGACCTCCAGAGCCTCAAATCTGCCCACCAGGTTCCTCGCCTCGGCGCAACTAGTGAGCAGTGGATGGCGCGTATCTTAGTCGCGGGTCTAGAAAACCGGTGCACCCCAAGGGAACTGTCTGTTGTCAAAACAGTCCCACTGAAAGGTTTCCCTGGGAGAGAGCTCAGTGGAATGGTAGGCCCTGGTGGTACAAACCCCGATAACCTCATTGATTGGGATGGGATCTGCAGGACAGTCATCTTTTGAAGACCACTCTGACCACCACGCTAAACGAAGCAGGAATGAAACTCACAATCACTCAAAAGCTTTCAAGGGTGGATGACCATGAATGATCTCTGCGTTGCCTACTTAGACTTAACGATCGAGCGGGATGTGTGACGCAGCCTTTTCGGTGCTGGTTTCGCCCGATGCCATATATCAGGTGCATTGCAGTTCGTAAAAGTGGCCCATCTCATCAACGAGGCATCCCCCCAGTTCTCATTGTAATCTCTGGTGGCCTATTTGTGATGACCAATTCTTTGCTATATCCATGGATGCTTAGCACTTCAAAGAACCATGCCTAGATCCCGGACATTGCACGCCCAAATGCTGCATCGCAGTCACTGACAACATGCATAGCTCCCCAACCGGCGGTAAAAAGGCCGATGGGAAACCCTATCTACTGTATAGTACCGTAGAAATTTGCACACTGCAGTGGAAATAAAGCAAAGAGGCCCTATCAATACCCTATCGCTTACCCTGTACCTAAGTTCTACCTAGGTACACGTATGCCCGAGCACCCAACAACCAGCACGCAGGAACACCCAAAGCAGTTCCGACCAGGGTTCCCAGTCACAGGTATCATTAGCTACGTGTCAACATCGAAATTCCATTTCCAAGGTTATTCTCGAAGGGTTTGATATCGGACCATGTACCAAGAGGGAAATCCCTCGGCGAAAACAAGGTACGGTAGCTACCCGCCTTACACGACATCGTGGCCCAGGATTTGCGATTTGCCGAGGGTGGCCTGATAGGGACGTTGTTCCATATTGGCCTGGTGGAGGGTTTAGCCAGGTGGTTTCAGGTTGATAGGTGATTTTCGGTGCGGAGCTGGTATGGATCATACTATACAGTATAGTAAGTTTGAATCGAATGAACCAGAGCAGGTAGTTGCAACCACCAGGCAGCTCAACTCGGCCTCCCATTCAGCTCTCCAGACTACTGTTTAAGCTGTTGACTGAACCGGGTGCAGACATTCAAAGTGCTCTGTGGCTGACAAGATATATGCACAGCAAGCTGCACATCTGTGGATTACCATGTGGCACCACTAGGGCATGAGCAAGGAGGTGGCAAAAATGCGAAGAGACAAGGCCTGATACCAGGTGACAGCCATCACGTCTAGCAAGCGTCGAGATCAGTGCTTGCGCGCAAGGCCGATCATTCTGTCTCCGCCCGATGATGTGCAGTTCCTGCGCGTTCCGGCTGGAGGAGTTCCACCTGGGCGCTTTCCGGCAGGTTTGGAGTTCCACTATATGGCCTAACGCCAACAGAAACGGAGGAGAATTGAGACGGAGAAGAACACATGCCGAGGCTCAGTAATATGGTTGACTCGATCGTGTACGCATGGCGTTATGCCACTGCCGTGTAGGTAGTGCTTCTAATTCTCATACTGGGTCCGGTGCATCCCGCTAGTCTTATCCGCTCGTCATACACACACACACATTAGACAGACAAAATGGACTAGTGGGCGTTGTAGAGTAGCCAAGACGTTTGTCGACGGCAAGGGTCAACTTATGCCGAGATGTCTGTGAGAGATGACCTATAAGGGACCGTCCTGTAAGGGATCGAGGTAAGATCAGCGGAACCCGATTGCGCCTGACACCTTGTCGGTTCAAAAACTATGTATTGGCTAGCCAATGACAGCTGCAGGGGATTGAAATTGCTAACAATACGCGAAAGATAGTGGTGCGACCTCCCACGGTATCCTTCACGGTACATCGGGTTGTTTTAGGCAACGGTCGGCTCCTGCTCTGTTGTTTGGGCTCTTGGGCCGACTTATCATTTGGATTTGATCTTCCAATCTACCGTAGGGAGTGGAGGAGTGGTCCTGGAGGTCTCTGTTTAGGGCCTGTTGACCGGTTTAGGCGTTGTTTACGATTGGGCTTGGGATGTATATGCCGTTTGGATCCTCACTCCACCAGGAGTGGAGCGCAGTGGCGATCCGGGGTTAGTTCCCTGTGGCATCCTTTGTTCTGGCTGTACTTTTGTCTCTTTGATGATCTCGGCCATGAAACAGGGAATGCATTGGAGAGTTCAACGATATGTTGCGATGACGAGTAGGATGGGATGTATCTCACGAGGTCCAGAGATCCTGGTCTCCAAGCCAGCCTCTATCCTGACCAAGTATGATGTATCTTTGTTCTGGAAATTGACTTTTGGGCTTTCCATGGACACGAGATGCTGGCTCCATCTCCGGCTGGTAGGGGCTTCCTGTCCGAGGCGGGGTTTGGATATACTCATATCTTTGGACTTAAGTGTATTAGCGGCGTCCAGGATGTGAGTGGGGGGGGGGGAATACTGTGTGGTAGTCTTAGGCCTGAAACCCCCTCCCCCACACGCACAGACTGGACTGGACCAAGTCGGATATCAAGGAATCTCAGCGTCATCCAAGTACATAGTGTACGATGATTGGATGTGCCGAACGAGTGTTGCTCATGGATAGACCAATAGAGTTTTTCTTACTGGGTGACCGGGGGGGAAAGGGGTGGAAAGTGGTCAGAATCCCTGTGGGTATCTTCTCCTATTGACGTTCAGATTGAAGTGGAGAGAGACGAGCGGAACTGGGGGAGAATGACGATAACCTTGGGAAGTGATGATGATGAGAGTAATTAGAGGATATACATGTACGCATATTGGCATTGTTCAGTGTGATTTGTTCCGTGCGATCTTGTCATACTTATCTCCCTTTTCTGTCAATTGTTTCTCATTCTTCTTCCTCCCCCCCCCTTGCGCCTCTTGTATGTTGTTCCCCCCCTCCTCCTTCTTTTTTATCTCTTCTCATCTTCCTCTCCGTCGGAAACTAACAACTGTGCCAGTGATCATCCTGTTTGATCCACTTCCACAAACTCCCCCGAAAAGTCCCCGGCGTTAAAACGATGTGATAGCTGTTAACGCTACCCAACCCGTGTTGATTATCTATATTGTCTATTGTCTTCTTTGTTGAAACTTCGTCCTGATGGCGACTGTGCTGGTCCAGCAGCATCAGCTGCACCATTCGACCCCTCCCCCTTCTCCCCTCCCAGCAGCGTTGACGGTCAACCGCCGGCCAAGTCCTGTTCCCAACAAACATATACCAGTATGCCCGACGGGTCCAACTCCATCGACCCCTTCTCAACCACCATCGCTGGTGGTTCGGTCTGATCAGCCGTCATCATTATTGTATCCCCCAGATGAACGACTCCGCATTGGACGGGCTCCCTCTCCCGCTGTTTATGCGATCGAGGCATCCAAACTCGCCGCAGCAATAGATCACCAGGCGTCGCAACCGTTGCCCGATCCATCGCAGATGTTCCCTTGGCTCCATGGCCTTCATCCAGACAACCATCTACAAATAGGCTTCTTCCAAAGTCGCAAACGTCACTCACGCCGATCACCGAAATGCTGGCGGGGCTTGACGGTGGTCAAACTCGGGGGCGATCTATCGAAATCGCGTATCAAAGGCGCGGTCAGCCCGAACGAGGTGATCGCACCGTCCGCCCGGTTCTTGATGGCCGATCCACAGGAGGGATTCTCCGTGCGCAACTTCCATATCCAGACGGCCAAGCTGGCTGCCATGTCCGATATTGTCGTGTATGCCGAAGATGACAGCAGCCAGGCGGCCCTTGTGGCGCTGGCAGATCAGTTTGCAACAGCGCAGCATGCCTGGAGATTGAAGATGGATCCGTTGCAAGAGCGACCCCCGTACAACACTTTTATTGTTGCCAGTGAGTCCAGATCTGTGTAAATATGAGTATCCAGCTGACATGCCCAGCTCCATTTGGGGAACTAGAGAAAGAACACCCAGAGATCATTGCGGTCGATTCGAAAGGTCAATTTACGGACCAAACTATAGACTTTGGTGAGTTAGGAAATATGTCACCCAAAAAAACCTCGTTTTAATCTTCTGACAAATATGAAGGTCAATGGGAACGACGCGAAATGTGTACCATGTCTCGCGCGTCGGAGATCTCAGCCAATGTCTGGTTGGGATCTACCCCGGAATTCATGCAACTGTCCGGGGCGCCACTGCCCAAAGATGAAACCTATGATCTGTTAATCGAAGCAACCGACCAAGCCAACATTCCCGGTCCTCGTTATCTAGCCAAGCTTGACAGACAGCTTGAGACTGGTCCTCAGCGCATGGAGTTCCCATCATCCGGATCTCTGGTCCTCCCCTCAGGCAACACCCGTGAGGTCGAAGATATCGTCAACACCATCCGATGGATCTATTATCTCGCGCACCCAGAAACCCCAGCAGGTGAGCATGACATTGACAACGACGTCGCAATGGCCAGCTCGAGCGGGAAACATCGCAAGGTTTTGATTCACTGTGGAGATGGATACACCGAAACCACCTTATTGGCAGTGGCATACTTCATGTTCGCAGAAGGCGTGCCCGCACACGAAGCGTGGCTAAGACTTCATTGCGATAAGAAAAGAAACTTCTTCGCCTACCCAACCGATGTTGCATTCCTATCTCATATCCAGGGGCGCCTCTTGCAGGAAAGCCCAGTGGCTCAGGCTCAGGCCAAAGACGTCGCAGGAACTTGGGATCCGAATTGGTTCCATAACATGGACGGCTCTTTCCCTAGCCGCATCTTGCCATATCTCTACCTTGGGAATTTGACTCACGCCAACAACCCCGAGCTTCTTTGGGAGCTTGGTATCAGGCGTGTGCTCAGTATCGGAGAGACTGTCAATTGGTCTGATGAGGATCGTGCCACCTGGGGGCCCGATAATTTGATGTACATTGACAATGTGCAGGACAATGGCATTGATCCATTATGTCAGGAGTATGATCGCTGCTTGGATTTTATCGGTACGATTTGCAGATGTTCTCCTACCTTTGTCCATTCACTGACCCCATTCATAGAAAAAAGCAAGCGTGAAGGTACAGCTACATTGGTTCACTGTCGAGTTGGCGTTTCAAGATCTGCCAGTATCTGCATTGCTGAGGTTATGGCCTGCAAAAAGCTTTCTTTCCCTAGGGCCTAGTCAGTTTTCACCCCCGATGTTCTCAACGAGTGACCATGCTAATGCTTTCCAGCTGCTATGTTCGAGCCAGAAGACTGAATGTCATCATCCAACCTCACCTCCGCTTTGTGTAAGAAAGTCCCCTGTGCCTTGCGATATGTCCCATCTGACCAGGACGTACAGCTACGAACTTCTCCAATGGGAAGAACACCAAATGAAAAAACGAAACGAGCGCGTGAAGCGAGAACTCGAATGGCAAACTGTCACCCGTGAAATCGCCCTTCTTAACAAACCCTATTCTAGGAGCTAAATGCCCTCAAATCTCGAAGTTTGAAGCTGGTTCTCGGCTTCTCTTACCCCAGGTTCAACGCAATCACCAACCTGACCTACTCTAATTTCTCTGGTTGTCTTTCGAGTGGCAACATGACTTAATGAATTTTTAACGACCACACGAACACGGAAATACTTTCAGAATGAATCTTGGCGCAAGGCGTTTTGAAGATTTGAAGGAAGTGAGAATGAATTGCAATGCCCATATTTGAATATTGCAACGCGTCAATCTCATCTCTGATGGCAACGATATTTTGTTTTGTTTTTGTTTCTTTCAGCCACCTTTGACCTTGTTGTTTTATCATTTACGTCTGTTTTATCATTATTTCCCCACACCCTGTCATTGATTTCTTTCTTTACCTGCCGGCCTCAGTCAAGCTTACGCTTCCTCTTCCATATCATTGCCCAGCATTTTCATCCATGATTTGCCCCTTGAAAGAGTATTATTCCTCACATCGTCATGCAAGTCTGCAATTTTATAACGCGGCTCATAAGATGGTTGTCCAGTTTACTCCCAAGATTAGCACATTTATTTGACATGATATGTCTTTGCACCTTGTACCCTGTCTTCTTTCATTTCACTTCAACTTATTCATACTTTTTCAACTTTTGCTCTCAGTCCGGTTACCAAGGATCTTGATGTATGCCTTATCTAGGATTTGGAACTGATATAGTGTCGTCAAAAGCAAGGCGATCGCAGGCGTCTCTGCTTCTTCTAATTCTATCTGTTGCCTTCCAGCTTATACTTGACCGTCTGTCTGTCTTTCCCAGCCATGATTACTGAAAAGTTTTCATATTCTCCTGTATCCATCCGTGTTCCTTAGGTTCTTCTTCAGATCAGTGAACCACTTCAGTTATGCCATCAAAGCCCAATCCCAATACAAAGTCGCCTGAAAATAAGCCTACAAGCACAAGGCCAGACCAGTCGACCCTCAGAAACTCGTTAATTTAGTCATAGAAACACAGACCCTGGGGACATCAGGAGCAGGTACACGCAGCTGCATATTTACTCCGCACGCGTAAAGTTAAAACTAAAAAAAAAAAAAAACATACCAAGTTATACAATGCACTGCAATGTAACAGCCTAACCTGGCCAAACTACCCACTCTTCCCCTCCCCCTCAACCCAACCCAACTAAACGTAACCTAACCACCCAAGCACCAAGGCTCAACAGCGCTCAAACACCCGATACAGCCCCTTCAAATCCGCAACCTCAACAACACCACGCAACAACCGTGAAGTGGCAACAAGACGAGCCCGCACAGCAGGGAAAAGAACATACTCCAACATGCGAAGGATCTGCGCCCTCCGCGCCCTCACAAACGCCTCCGCATCAAGCTCGGACGAGGATGCATCGGCTACAACCGGCTCGGTCATGGAGTCGGCTTGCGCAGGCGCAAATGCAGGCGAAGGCCCAGACCCAGACGCTGATACATCCATAGCTGCATCTGCATCTGCATCTGCAGACACCGACGTCGACGCCGACGCATGCCCCGCAACAACGGGAAGTTGTTCGGGCGTATAGAACGCAGCGAGCTCACGCAGAAAAGACCGGAAACACCCCTCCTCGCTGCTCCAGTCGACGTATGGACCGAGACGGAGGAGGAAGCGTGGTAGCTTTGAGAGCGCGGGCACATACCCCTTCAGCAGGAGGGGGATGGTGAGGAGGTGGCCGTCAGGACTGATCTGCATGGCGAAATACTCGTTTAGCATTTCGCGGCGTTGAATGAGTGTGCGGGCGATCATGTCTGGTGCATTTGCGAAGATTGTGTCTGCTTCTTTCTGATTTGAAGCTTGGGGGGTGAGTTCTTGCTTTTCTTCTTCGGCGGCGATTTTGAGAAGGTCTGTTAGCTTTGGTGCTGGGTCTAGTTTTATTGTGCCGAAGTTGCCGAAGTCTGTCAGGCCGATTTGGTAGAACAGTTCGTTGCTTGTTAGGCCGTAGTCTATTAGGTAGAGTTTGACGCCGGATTGGATTGCTGCTAGGCGGCGTTGTTCGTCGACGAGTCCGACGTAAGTGTGTGTTGCAAACATTTCTGTTAGGGTGTTGTGCATCTCGGCGCGGACTTTTGCTCGTAGGGCTTTTATTGAGGATAGGGCTATGCGTAGGGGTTGGCGGTCTGTCGTTGTATATTGGAGACCTTCTTCTAGCAGGGAGGTTGTTTGATTGTCGGTTTCTGGGGCGTTAGGGTTGTATCCATCTTGCGGTGAGGGTGCTAGCATTGCTGTTATTTTACGGACTTTGGAGTCTGTTCGGATGAGATTGTTTTCGTAGGGCTTTTTGGTTGTCGCTGGTGTTTTGGGAGTTGCTCCTCTTGGATCTGCTCCCTCTTTAGGATCATTGCTTTCATCCTGTAGGGATTGAATCGTTGGCACGGTAGGAAGAAGAGTTTGGGTCAAGAATGTGCGGCTCGAGTCCACCTCTGCGAGCTTGGATCGAATTTCAGTGCAGACAAGTTCGATGATTTCGTCTTCGTTTAAGAAGTTGACCTCGCGCTTTGTGGGATGTACATTGACATCGACTCGGTTGGGTTCGATCTCGAGGTCAAGGTAGACGAAAGGGTGGCCACCCTTGGGTAAGAATGCCGAATAGGTCTGCTCGACTGCACGCTTGAAAGTCGTTGATTCGACTGCACGATGATTGATGAAGAGTAAAATCACTGTCTTCTTGACATGATAGTTGGCATTGGTGGCAAGCCCAGATGACTGGAAGCCAAACTTCTTATCTTCGCAATTGAAATCAACGAGCTCATTTGCGACAGCACTGCCGTGGATTTGGCGGATCCGGTCGACGGTGCTAGCGCTGGCTGGTGTCGAAATACTTACGCCAGAGTCGCCATGTTTACGGCATGAGAAAGCAACCCCGTGGCAGTGAACTGCATATCGGCCAACAACATCAAGGATTTTGGCATACTCTTCGCTTGCTGATCGGAAGGCTCTGCGTCGAGTAGGGACATTGTAGAACAGATCCTCAACCTTGGTCAAAGGTCAACTTTGAGACATAGACAACGGCTTATGGACTTACGGTGATCTGCGTTCCTCCTCTTCCAGCTGTCGCCTTGGGTGCAGCATTCTGACCCGGCTTGGCTGGAATCAGCTTTCCATCTCCGTAATGCGCTCGCCACGCACAGCTGGAACCTGCCGTCTTCGTCGTGACTGTGAGATGTGCAATATGGCTGATGCTGGCCAATGCTTCACCCCGGAACCCGTAAGTTCCGATAGAGGAGAGATCTTCAAACTCTTTGAGTTTGGATGTAGTGAATCTCTCACAGAGAATAGGAAGATCATCTCGCTGCAATTTGTCAGAATTGTCGAATTTGTTATTGGGCTTCTCGACTCACATCAATGCCATGTCCGTTATCGGTAATTTGTAGTAGCTTGAGGCCTCCGTCCTTGACTAGAACTTCAATGGAGGTAGAGCCAGCATCAACTGCGTTTTCAATCAACTCCTTTAACGCGTGCATTGGCGCGACGATAATCTCCCCGGCCGCAATTTTGTTCACGACATCAGGATCGAGAGCCTGCAGGCGATATCAATATCTGCTCTATAGACGGAATTGAACGTGTTTCCTTACCTTGATCTTCTTTGGCCTGGGCGGCTCTTGAGTACTAGTCTCCTCAGCCGCACGCTTAGTACCACGCTGTTCGATGGACTCTGTGTCCATCTGGTCCTGCATCGCGAAATCTGAGATCTCCAGAGGGGAGTGCAGAGTGATGGTTGAGGCGCGTTGGATGCTCAAGATCCGATAAGGCGATAAGGCGATAAGGCTCTGATATCATCGTGTTGGACCGCGCCTTCTTGACCGATTGTCATCTTAACATTCTTTCATTGCTCATATGTCCTAAACACCTTGTTTCAGCTCCAACGGGGCTTGCACCTTGACGCATATCATGGCCCCCACAAAGATGCCCCTTCGTGCGGACGAAGAGATGGGCAAGAAGGACGACGATCACCGTCCCCCAGGCGAAGCGCGCTTTCTGCCTCTACGACATCGAAACATTACCAGACCTCGTCGCATCCTATTTGCCTTACTTGGCATATTCCTGTTCTATGAGTTCTTCAAGCACATGCCAACGGATCTGGCACCAGCTGTTGATCGATACAACCCCTCGATTGCCAAGTTGCGACAGGAGACACTTGCGCAGTTGTCTGCCTCAGAGCACCAACGCCCCGCCCCCAAGACGGAACCTGAGTCAAAAGAGAAAGTACTGGACCCCGAGGGTAAGTGTGTATTTTATGAGGGGGATGTCAAGTTCTACGAGCTGGCACAATCCCTCCCGCGTACGAAGTACCCGAAAGATACAGCCAGCAGAGTAGTCATATTTGCCGCATCCAGTCTACGCAGCGTGTCTGATATGTTACCTCTTGCGTGTAAAATGGCAGCTCAGCGACTGAACTACGTCCATTTTGTTCTAATGGGCAAGGAAGATGTCTCAATACGAGGAATCAAACAGGTTAATGGGATCAGCGATAGCGAATGCCCAATTGTATGGCATGGTATGTTTTTTTATTTGGTACCTCATGTTTAGCAACCATGGCTAATCGCATTGCACATGAACAGATGGGCGGCCAGACCACGCGCTTCAGTCTAGCGGAATTCGAATGGAACAATCCGTTATGGGGGGCTTACAACTTCTCCAGGCGTACATCCGTCCGGAAGTGATAATTACACAAGGCAAGAGCTTGGAAGATGACTTCTTCTTGAACGGCGTGGAGGCCCATTCTCGTGGTAGTGGCATTCCACATGTCGGTCTAACGTCCGCAGCAAAGGATCTTCTGTGGATAGCTTTCCTGGATTCCACAGCTCTTCGATGTAAGAAGATCTCATTACATACATAGTACTCTGTCTGGCTCTGAATTCGATACTAATATCATTTCTTATAGCATGGAATGATCTACAGATTGAAATGGTTGTTCATGCACCCTCTCAGTCATCGGGGTCTGTGATCAGACTTCTGCAGTCATTGGATGCAGCCGACTATCTCGGAGCAGCGCCCAGACTGACAGTTGAGCTTCCTTCGCTGGTGGACCCGCCGTTGCTCCAGTTCCTCCAGAATCTGGACGGGCTGACCCAGCTTGCAGATCATATCAGTCTGCGGCGACGCATTCAGCCGCATTCTATGGACCCTGTAGAGTCTTCTCTGCGCACAGTGGAATCTTTCTACCCACGAGATCCAAATGTCACCCATTTGCTCATGCTATCACCGCAGACAGAGCTAGCACCGTCATTTTACCACTACCTAAAGTACGCTGCGTTGAACTACAAACAGTCTGCCCATGCCAAGCGCGTCTTTTCTAAGATGATTGGAATCTCACTGGAGTTGCCGTCTTCCAAACCCACTACTGGCAGGGCGTCATTCGCTCCCCCAGTCATGAGCGGTATAAACCAAGATCAGCTCCTCCCGTCTTTTCTCTGGCAAGCCCCAAACAGCAACGCGGCTCTGTACTTTGGCGATGCATGGGCCGAGTTCCACACATTCTTGTCTAACCGTCTTTCTACGCCGCAATCTGCAAAGGCCTCTCATAAAAAGTTGATATCGGACAAATACCCCGCCTTCATGGAACATCTCCTTGAAATGATTCGTGCAAAGGGGTATTATCTTCTCTATCCCTCGTTCCCGGGAACCAAGACAGCTGCGATTGCAACAGTGCACAATGAGCTATACCAGCCACCAGAAGAATTTGCTCATACTGCAGGTCTCTCCAACTCCGATGACGAGAATATTCAGGATATCAATGATCCAACACAACCGCTTTCAGGTGGATTTGTCGCTGGTTTGCGGTCTGTTGAGAAGCCCTTGAACCATGCGTCGACCATCATGCCTCTTCTTGACCTGTTTTCCTCCGGTCTTCCAGATCTTGATGTCCTGCCTCTGCTTGCATATGATGGAGAACAGATAACGACTGCTACGTACAACAAGCAGACAGAAGAATACGCGCAGCAGTTCCGGATTCACTACGGTGGATGTACCGAGAACACTGATTCTTCAGTGGAGTTGTTTTGCGTTGGAGATTGATCTCGGGGGTGCACCCTCAGCAGGACATACGCAGCCATTTGATGGAAATTTGTAACATATCAAACGAAACAAGAAGATTTGTAAAAAATCAAAATTGTAATCAGTTCTTCATAAATTGCACCCATTCCAGATATTTTAACGTCTCAAACAGAGAGAAAGCTGTGGAATTGCCCCAAAACAATGACGAGGGGCTTGGCGCTTAGATAATCCGGAGCTCGGTCTGGTGCAGCTCTCTGCTCTCCATCCATCACCAGCTTACAATCCAACTTGTGTTACTTGTTACTTGCAGAATTCCATCTACTTCTGCTTCGTAGCCTTTCAAGTGGCCTTTCGTTTGATTCCAACTCCCGTCCTACTATTTCAATTTCCCCCAACTTGGTCGCCAGCAACCTACAAGAATGGCGAACGAGGGCGAACGGCCAACCTCCGCCGACAAGGGCAAGGGCAAGGTTGATGATGTTCGCGAGCCTAACAGCAAGAGTGCCGAAAATGGCGAGAAAGCGCCAGTAGACGGAAAGAAGAAGGACGAAGAATCTCCAGATGGTATGTTGCGATAATAGTCCCAATGATCAAGGACCCAGATTCTGTGAAAGATCCATGCTAGCACTAGGATCACATGCTGACTATTCTCTCTTGTAGAGGAGCTCAGCGAAGAGGATCAGCAACTGAAGAGTGAACTCGAGATGCTCGTTGAGCGGTTAAAGGTATGACTGTTCTTCTCTTGGTCCGCAAAGCAATGACGTTAATCATCTTTTTTTCGCATACAATAGGAGACAGATACCTCGCTTTATGGACCTGCATTGGACGCGATTAAGAACTTCATCAAGACCTCCACATCATCTATGACAGCTGTCCCGAAGCCTCTCAAATTCCTCCGACCGCACTACGATGACCTGGCAGGGCTATACGAGAATTGGGTCGCGGGCCCCGTGAAGGTTGGTCCTATTACCGACCTGCTGGGATTATTTATCTAATCATCTCATAAATAGAACTCGTTGGCCGATATGCTGTCCGTCCTCGGAATGACCTACGGAGACGAGGAGAAGTTGGAAACCATCAAGTACCGTCTCTTGGCCAAGTCGGAGGACCTTGGCTCCTGGGGTCACGAATATGTCCGTCATCTCGCACTGGAAATCGGACAAGAATATCAGAACCGTTTGAACTCAGAGAACGATACCCAAGATCTAGTGGACCTTGCATTGTCACTGGTACCGTACTTCTTGAGTCACAACGCCGAGGCCGATGCGGTCGATCTCATGAGCGAGTTGGAGATCATCGAAGATATCCCTCAATTCGTTGACGAGAACACATACGCTCGTGTCTGCTTGTACATGGTCAGCATGGTTAACCTGCTCACTTACCCTGAAGACCAGCAATTCCTCCGAACCGCCCACGAAATCTACGTCCGCTACAACAAGCTCTCCCAAGCAATCGTGCTCGCCATCCGCTTGAACGACACCGAACTCATTAAGAGCGATATCAACGCCACCTCCGATAAGGCTTTGAAGAAGCAAATGGCTTTCCTCGTCGCCCGCCAGCAGATTTGGCTTGACCTCCCGGCTGAAGATGAGGAGGGAGAGGCTCTCGCCGACTGTCTCAACAATACCTCTATCCCCAGACACTTCAAGTCTCTTGCTAAGGAACTTAACATTCTGGAACCTAAGATGCCTGAGGATATCTACAAGACACATCTGGAAAGCAGCCGCGGAGCAGGCCTCACCAATCTCGATTCCGCACGACACAATCTCGCCAGTGCATTCGTCAACTCATTTGCCAATGCCGGCTTTGGTAATGATAAGATGATGCTCGTGGAAGGAGACAAGGGCCCCTGGGTGTGGAAGACCAAGGAAGACGGTATGCTTTCCACGACCGCTTCTTTGGGTATGCTGCTGCATCGTGATGTTGAGGACGGCTTGGATAAGATCGACAAATTCACCTACGCTACGGAAGACCAGGTCAAGGCTGGTGCTTTGCTCGCTATTGGTATTTTGAACTCGGGTGTCCGACTTGACTCCGACCCTGCTCTTGCTCTCTTGAGTGACCCTGAAAACCTTGAGTCAAAGAGCACGCCAATGAAGGTCGCCTCCATTATGGGTCTTGGTCTGGCATATGCGGGCTCTAACAAGGAGGAGCTTCTCGAGGTTCTTCTTCCCATCGTGGAAGATGCCTCACTGGACATGCAGCTGTCCGCCATGGCAGCTGTCTCGTTAGGCTTGATCTTTGTTGGCTCTTCAAACCACCAGGTCAGTGAGGCAATTGCCACCACTTTGATGGACGAGGAGCGTCAGAAGCAGCTGAAGGACAAGTGGACGAGGTTCATGGCTCTTGGTCTGGCACTTCTGTACTTTGGTCGTCAGGAGGAGGTTGATGTCATCCTTGACATCCTCAAGGCCGTTGACCACCCCATGGCCAAGCCCACTTCGGTACTTGCCTCGGTGTGCGCCTGGGCGGGTACCGGCACCGTGCTGAAGCTCCAAGAGCTTCTCCACATCTGTAATGATATCATCGAGGAGAAGGAGGAGAACAAGGGTGATGAACTTGTCCAGTCCTACGCCGTTCTCGGTCTATCGCTCATCGCTATGGGCGAGGATGTCGGACAGGACATGATTCTCCGTCAGTTCGGTCACCTCATGCACTATGGCTCCAGCAACATCCGTCGTGCCGTTCCCCTCGCAATGGGTTTGATCAGTCCTAGCAACCCACAGATGAAGGTTTACGACACACTGTCCCGATACAGTCACGATAACGACAACGATGTTGCCATCAACGCCATCTTCGCCATGGGTCTTTGCGGTGCTGGTACCAACAACGCCCGTCTTGCGCAGCTCCTACGGCAATTGGCCAGCTACTACCACCGCGACCAGAACTCACTGTTTATGGTTCGTATCGCCCAGGGTCTCCTGCACATGGGCAAGGGTACCATGACCCTCAACCCCTTCCACACCGACCGCCAGGTCCTCTCTCGCGTCTCGGCAGCCGGTTTACTCACCGTGCTTGTATCACTCATTGATGCGAAGCAATTCATCCTCGGTGACCACCACTACCTCCTCTACTTCCTCATTACCGCCATGTTCCCCCGCTTCCTTATTACCCTTGACGAGGACCTCCAGCCCCTCACTGTCAACGTCCGTGTTGGCCAGGCTGTGGACGTGGTCGGCCAGGCAGGTCGTCCAAAGACTATCACCGGATGGCAGACTCAGAGCACACCTGTGCTGTTGTCTCACGGTGAGAGAGCCGAGCTGGAGGATGAGCAATACATCGCTCTGAGCAGCACTCTCGAAGGCTTGGTTATTCTGCGCAAGGTAAGTTTCCACTGTCGTTCATCAGCGCCATTACTCTCCAGCAATACTAACTTATCATCTAGAACCCGGACTGGGAAAGCCCTGAATAAACCAAACTAGATATCTCCCGATGTGCAATGAATTTCTCGCAGCCAGCGAGTCTCGTATAGTGATCGGGTTATCAAAGGACCTAATGTATTCAGAACAATGAGGAATAGCATGGATTTGTTTTACAGTTGTACTGGTTTGGCGGTTTGGACTACTACAAATATTCTGACTATGGTAGACAGGCTACGTACCAATACCTAGAGACCTGGGCTTGATATAGTTTGATATAACTATTTATTCTTAAAGTCCAAGTCGCAAAAACCCCAGTAACATACTCGTTTTCATGACAATCATCGCATGAAGCCATACAACACGCGGAGCTATCAAGGTTCTCATCCCAGATAGGAAATAGGGCTTAGGGCTTGGCTCTTATCAACTTTTTTCCTCCGCCGCATCGCAGCTGTTTGACCTGCCCTAAGTTGAAGTCCACGAATCAGTTTCTGGAAATCAAAAGAAAAGAAAAAGTGTTTCTACTTCCTCGCAACCATGAAACTCGACCCCAAGGCCATTCGCTACCTCACCTCCGAGGATTTCAAAGTTCTTGCCGCGGTACTTATCGGCCCCTCCTCCATTGAGTACCCCGCGATGTCTATCTTCATAGACGACGCGCATATGTTCTGTGCTAATGCGAAATATGCTACTAGGTTGAAGCCGGAAGTCGTAACCATGAAGTCGTTCCTACCCCGTTGATCTCACAGCTGTCGGGCCTCCGAGGTGGCAGCGGCGTGAACCGCGCAATCTCGAACCTTGCAAAGACAAACTTGATCGCTAAAGTGAAGAATGCCAAATGTATGGCTCATCCGCCTATATCCTTACTGCCGTCAATTCTAACTCAGATATCGTATTTCAGATGACGGATATCGCCTTGCATACGGAGGATTGGATTATCTCGCATTGAACGCGCATCAGAAGCAAAAGGTCGTCTACTCAGTCGGCAACCAAGTCGGAGTTGGAAAGGAATCAGATATTATTGTGGTGGCCCAGAGCAGTGGAGCGCAACGCATTCTTAAGATTCACCGTCTCGGTCGTATCTCGTTCCGAACCGTCAAGACGAACCGCGACTACCTACGACACCGACACTCAAGCTCATGGATGTATATGTCGAGATTGGCCGCCATGAAGGAATTTGCTTTCATGAAGGCACTGCGCGAGAACGGATTCTCAGTCCCCGAACCTATCGCCCAGAACCGACACACTATCGTTATGAGTTTGATTGATGCTTTCCCGCTGCGCCAGATTTCCAGAGTGCCCGAACCTGCTGCGCTATACTCTGAGTTGATGGATATCATCTTGGAGCTTGCCCGGTTTGGCCTGATTCACGGTGATTTCAACGAGTTCAACATTCTTATCAAGGAAGTGCAAGATCCTAGTGCCAAGGGAAAGGCACCTGCCACCGAGGAAGAGGAAGATGAGAATATCCGGCTGGTCCCGGTTCTGATTGATTTCCCGCAGATGGTTTCCGTTGACCATGTCAACGCAGAGATGTACTTTGACCGTGATGTGGAATGTATCAAGCGTTACTTCAAGCGCAAGTTCCACTTTGTCAGTGACATCCCAGGCCCTTCTTTTGCCGATGCTAGAAAGAAGCTCGCCAAGAACCCTGGTAAGCGTCTGGATGTTGAAGTTGAAGCCTCCGGATTCTCGCGCAAGATGGCCCGTGAGCTCGAAGCGTATATGAAGGACGTGGGAGCCACTGGTGATGGGGAAGGCCGTGACAATGGAGACGAGGATGAAGACGAGTCAGGATCCGAAGAGGAGGAGGAGGAAGAAGAAGAAGAAGAAGATGATGATACTCGCGAGAAGCAAGATTTGGGAGATGTGGACGAGAGTACTAAAAGGTTAGAAGAACTTCGAGTCTCGGGAACATCGGAGCAGTAAAGGGAAAATGCCCGGATTTTTAATGACCCTTTACGATGAATCAAGCATGTAATATAGGTTTTGAACTTTCCTATTGACGTTAAATGAATGTCTGGCATCTCTATGCGATTGTTTTGGGCGACCATTGTGGGCCACCCGATCTTTTTACATTAAATGGCCTGGCAAAGAAATGCCAGGATAAACTAGATTGTTTTTCTATCGATCTAAATCAAACTCTTCATACTCAAAACTGAACATCTCTTTGAGCTTGTTGATCCAGGTGGTTTACCATCCCAACTAGGAAGGTGGACACCTTTATACTCTATGCTCACGTGACCCGTGCGGACCGACGCAGTTTTGATGTGCAGTCCGGAGACACCTCCAACGACAATCGCTCAACCCCAACACGATGGTGCGCTTAAGCAATCTCAAACAAACGCTCAAGAGCAAGCTTGTGCCAAATCTCCTTAAGGAGCAGGCCGGCCCCGTGAGAAATGGCCATCCCCAAAAGGGCAAGCCAGTCTACCTGTACGTCCTCCCAAAATCTCCAACATGACCCATATCGATACCGGAATACCCCAAACAAGCCCGAAACACTCAGAACTGTCAATTGAACACGGCCACTTCTAGCTGATCAAAAACATCTGGTTAACAACTTCTTCCACACAGTCCCCAATTCCGCATCGCTCTCATCCGCACCCCCAAGCTCTCCCCTTACTACGCTCAATTCCGCGTCCCCCTCGCCTTCAACAAGTTCGATCTCCGCGACTATCTTCAGAACCTCTATGGCGTTCAGGTCCACGGTATCCGCAGCTACGTGCAGCAACAACCCATTACACGTATCACCCGCGATGGAAAGGGTTACGGCCCATGGCGCCGGCCCAAGTCGCAGAAGCGCATGACTGTTGAGTTGCAGCAGCCTTTCATGTGGCCCGAGGAGCCTAAGGAGTTTACCGCGTACGTTGCAGCCCCTGCTTTTTATTTTATTTTCCCTTTTTCTTGTTTTCTTTTTTGCCGGCCCTGGCATTTATTGTCTGCGGAGAGACCCTGTGCAGTGAATGCCTGCTGAAAGTGTAACGCGAGTCCGTTGAGAATCATATACTAACGAAATCTACATGCAGATGGGAGAAGGAAGGCTGGGAAACTGCCGAGAAATGGCAAATCGACCAACAAGACAAGGACCAACCCAAGCCAAACAAGGGCCAAGAGCCCGACGACGAACTGCGCAAGGCTTACGCTGATCAGGCCAAGGCCCTCCTCAAGGACGGTTCGAAGTGGCAGCCGACCTGGAAGAAACTGGGCTTGGACAAGGTCGAGAAGACTGGCGAGTTCCTTAAAAGGACTTCGTTGCCGGAGTGGTATACCACGCACCGGAAGACCCGCGGAAGCAGGCGTTAGATGGGTTTGTTGGATTTAATTGTTTTCTCTGCATTATTCTCCATCAGTCTTGTGGGGACATTGGAGTTTTTCTCTTGTGGTCTGGCCTTGGTTATTTTGGCTGGGTCTTTGTATTATACTCGGGTAGATTGTATACATTTTGACTGTGGTGTCTTATCTGTCTGTCGTGTGCTCTGGTACACTTTCATTTTTTAAGAGAAGATGGTTACAGGGTCCAGAGTATAGTGGAGATGTAATGTTTGGAATGAAATATAGACAGAAATAATCCCCGAGAGGCATTGGCGCAAAAGAAGCCGATTAGGTACATCGCTGTGGCTGTGGGGCCAGTATCACGCTATGCAAAATGAAGGTATAGAAGATCGGATATGCTAGACAAAAAGAAAGACACGTGCTGAACTGATGGAGATCACGATCTACAGTCGGCTCTCAAGCAAGTTCATATGGTGCTGGCCGGGCCATTGGGCATCAGGCCAGATGGTGCGCAGTCCCTCCCAAATGTGCCTGTAATCAATTGTTAGAAGATGACATATAGCAGAGAACATGGTGGCTTACTTGACGTAGATGATCTCTAGCCCGTCTTTTACTTCTTGTGGAACTTCCTTGACGTCCTTGCGGTTGTGATCTGGCAGCAACACGGTCTTGACGCCGGCACGGTGAGCACCAATCAGTTTCTCCTTGATACCGCCGACAGGCATGACCCGACCACGCAGAGAGATCTCGCCGGTCATGGCGATCTGTGGCGGAACGGGCTTGTTGGTGAACAGTGAGATCAATGCAACGGTGTGGGCCAAACCAGCGGAAGGTCCATCCTTGGGGATGGCACCTGAAGGGCAATGTACGTGCAAGCTGCGGCTCTTCATTATATCCTCATTGGGGTCGTGGGTGAGACCCAGCTCGAAAGAGTGTGCCTTGACCCACGTCAGAGCTACCTCAACGGACTCCTTGAGCACGTCCCCAAGCTTGCCAGTCAGCTGGACGCGTCCGCTACCAGGCATGTCAGCCACCTCGATGAAGAGGATACTGCCTTGACCGCCAGTGGAGTAAGCGACGAGTCCAGTGACGACACCGGGACGGCCGTGTTTTTCGGCAATTTCTTCTTCGAAACGTTCAATTCCTAAGATTTCCTCTAGGTCATCAGGTGAAACGACAGGGTTGTAATCGTTTACGCGGTCGGAATCGTTGGCATCGGCATATTGAACGGCCTTGTGACGACAGATTGAACCCAGTTCTCGCTCCAAGTTGCGGACTCCGGATTCGCGAGTGTATGCAGTGATAGTCTTATCAATTACCTCATCAGACATGCTGACCTGGCCGTCCGTGAGACCATTTGAACGAATCTGCTTGGGAATCAGGTGCTGCTTGGCGATGTGCCTCTTTTCTACAGTGGTGTAACCGGACAGGGAAATTGTCTCCATGCGATCCAGAAGAGGTGCAGGGATGGTCTCCAGGGAGTTGGCCGTGGCAAGGAAGAGAACCTTACTCAAGTCAATGGGGATATTGATGTAGTGATCCGTGAAAGTATGGTTCTGCTCGGGGTCCAAGACCTCCAGCATGGCAGCAGACGGGTCGCCTTGGAAGTTGGAGCCGCCGACCTTATCGATTTCATCAAGTAGGATGACAGGGTTAGCAACACCGACCTTCTTCAGGCCGTTTACAACCAAGCCAGGCATGGCTGCAACGTACGTGCGTCGGTGGCCACGAATCTCGGCCTCGTCTCGGACACCGCCGAGGGAGATACGGTGGAACTTGCGACCAAGAGAGGCAGCAACAGATCGTGCAAGACTGGTCTTACCGGTTCCCGGAGGCCCAACCAGGAGCAAGATGGGGGACTTGTCAGTCATGCGCTTGGACTTGAGAATTTGAAGGCGGGCCTCGAGAGTAGCCCGATCAGACTCGGACAGCAAAGGAACGTCTTTCTCAAGATCACCAATAGTTGATGCATCCAGATCTCGAGAGAGTCCTGAGATCTCGCGCTCAACATCCTGGTTGGTAGACTGCTTGAGCCGCAACACAGCTAGGTATTCAAGCAACCTCTTCTTGATACGCTCGAGGCCGTAATGGTCTTCATCGAGCTGTTTCCTGGCTCGCTTCAATGTGTCAGGGCCAAGTTGATCCTCTGTCACCTTGGTCCATGGAATCTCAGATAGATTCTCCAGGTAGGTCCGGCATACACCGTACTCTGCGTTGGCAGGGTTCATCTTCCGCAGACGCTTTAATTCCTTGTCGGCAATCTTTCGAGCTTCAGGGCTGAGCTCTGCGTCGTTCAACTTCTGCTGCAACTCGTCAATCTCATTGGGTTCCTTGTCTTCATCGTTGCCACGGGCGCCTGCTGGTCCAGGGGGTGTGAGACCAGAGAGCCCGGACATCGCTCGCTTCGCAAGCATTTCACGCTCACGGGGATCAATCTGGCTGATATCCATGCCTGAGGATGGGAATGAGGTCGAGCTAACTGAGGTTACTCTGACACTGCTCTTGATATGCTGGGCTTGCCTGGTGAGAATCCCAACAACTCTCTCCAGGCGTTCTCTCACATCCAGAGATGAAAGGATGCGTAGCTTCTCCTCAAAGCTTGCATCGGAAACATCTGCCATGAAATCCGCCAGCTTCCCAGCCTGTGTCAATTCCGTCTTTGATATGTAGAGTTCAAACTTCCGAGCAACAAGCGGTGAGAGACGGGACGAAGCAGCCGACAGCAACGAGGATAGACGTAAGAGGGTGAGAAGCTCTCTAGAGAGTTGTCTCAATTGTTGGAACAGATCGGCGACTTCCGCGTCCCCTTGGCCCGAGTCTAATGAGAGTAAGATTAACCGTATCGCCTTAGCCGTTTGTGACACACTTACTGCTTTCATCATGAAGCAGAACATCTGCTTCAAAGTATGGCCGGTCTCGGATCACTCTCTTAATTGAGAATCGTTGTGACCCCTGGACAAGCAGAAAGGGTTCGGAATAAGCCCGGCGCTGAACTCCGATGACCTTGCCAACCACACCGCATCGGAAGAGATCTTCCTTTCTCGCCTGACCTGCATCAATAGAATCATATTCCTCCTTTCGTTCCGAATCAGAATCCTCGCTGTCAAGGAGCTGCTGTCCATCCCGGCTCAAGAACGGGGAGCTCAGCGGAACGCATCCAAAGGTGATGCTATTGGCATCTCGTTTCGATGGCTTGTCCACCAATGAGGACAGGAGGTTGGCAAGATCGGGGCGGTTGGAGACAGGAATGCGGAGAGTGACGCCGGGCAACAGGACCGAGCCCTTGGCGAGGGGAACGAGGGGAAGTTTGATGGTTCTTGAGTTGGATCCCATCTTGTACCGAGATGGATTGGACAAAGACGGGAAGTTCCAGTACGTCGAGATGTAGGGGCGATGAGAGAGAAGAGGAAGAAGAAGAGAAAAAATAGGAAGAAAGAAGAGAAAGTGGAGATGTGGGGGAGAGGGTTATAAAGAGGAGGAGGTTCCAGAAGCGCGCAAAGGGCCAAGTCCGGGGCAGATAAGAGGAGAGTCGCATGTCTCCCAGTCTCCACGTCCCGGGGCCGAGGTTGTATACGTCAGTCTGCAGATCCAGATCTGATTTCAGAAAACGGGTCTGATTTGACTTGGATTAAGGTCATTGATTGTGAAGGGCTATCTCTATCTCATTATCGGACTCAATTCGGCCTGATTATCTTGCATGGCATTGCAGTGTTCCCATTGCCTGATATTCACGTGTGTCCCGTGATCGGAGATCCTCTCGGAGCCCACTTTTGCCTCCCGCGACATTTCCTCGGTTGTTGCATCCCAGCAATATCGCATCTCGTTTCATTTGCCTTGCTGCTGTCGTACTTTGTTTATTGTCCGCGTGATACCATTCCTACCCCTCACAATGACTGCCCCCGCCCCCAAGACCTTCACCATCGGCACCCGCCAATCTAAACTGGCCCTGTTCCAAACAGATTTAGTTCTCGAGGCACTGAAGAAGGCGTTCCCCCAACATGAATATAAGATCCTCTCTAAGGAGACCGCCGGTGATCTGAACACCACCATTGCGCTGAAAGACTTCACCAGCAAGAACTTGTGGACAGAAGAATTGGAAGAATTGATGATTGGCGGGGCAGTCGATCTTATTGTCCACTCGCTGAAAGGTAAGATGGTCTGAGGACAGAAATGGTCCGATGTCAATTTTCATAAATCCTCACGTTGCTGAAATTCCCAGATGTCCCCACTCTCCTCCCCTCCACCTGCAAGCTGGGCCCGACCATGGCCCGCGAAGATAGCAGGGACGTTCTAGTCGTGAAGCGCGGCCTACCATATAAGAGCCTATCCGAGATCCCCGCTGGCTCAGTCGTGGGAACATCCTCCATCCGTCGCACAGCTCAATTGGCCCGCAAATACCCCCACCTCAAGGTCCAGGATGTCCGTGGAAACATCGGCACCCGGTTGTCAAAGCTGGACGCGGAGGATAGTCCCTACACCTGTATCATTCTGGCTGCTGCTGGTTTGCTGCGACTTGATCTGTCGGATCGCATTACACAATACCTAGACTCCAAGAGCAGTGGTATGCTCTATGCCGTCGGACAGGGTGCGTTGGGAATTGAAATTCGCCAGGATGATACCGTCCTCGGGGAAATGTTGGACAAGATCTGTCATTGGGAGACTACCTACTCTGTTCTGGCCGAGCGAAGTCTGTTACGCACTCTTGAGGGTGGTTGCAGTGCCCCCCTGGGAGTTGAATCTGAATGGGTTGAGGTTTCTGGATCCAAGAAGCTGCGTATGCACTCTGTTGTTGTCAGTGTGGACGGTAAGGAGTGTGCGGAAGTGAAGATCGACGGCGATGTCGACTCCGTTGAAAGTGCCGAGGCCTTTGGTGTCACTGTGGCCCAGGCCTTGGTCGCTGACGGCGCTGGAGCCATTCTCGAGGCTATTCAGGAGAACAAGAACAAGCAGAATGTCTCAGCTTCGACTTGAATGTTTAGAAAAACTCGAAATGTAACTAGGCAGATACCCTGAAAATGAAATTAGCGAGTTTTCTAGTCTCGTAAATGACTGCCAGTGGACTTCTGTGCTATTAACGGTCTACACCCAGGAGAGGTTTACAATATCCGCTCAGAATACGGTCTGTCGTAGATTTTGATTCATAATAGTTACTTCAGTTAACCCCGATTCAACGTGTTACCAGCTCCCTTGGGATTGGCCTCGGTATATTCATCCCAATACCTAGCCTTCATAGTCTCCTGGTCGGCAATGGTATGATCATCCTCGTCAACTTCTGGCTTAATACCGGATGCCTCTCCGCCTCCTTCAATAACATTTCCTCTTCTATGTTCCTCATCAAGATACTCCTCAATTGTCATAGTAGGAAGGTTATGGCCAGAACGGAAGACACCTTTCTGCATTTCCGAGCGCCGACCCAGCAACGTAAAAGGCTGCATGGGCTTTCCTTTATTGTTCAGAATAGGTCCGCCTCTGCCTTTTCCTAGCAAGGAGGACATTGAGGGATCCAAACGCTCTGAATAATTCAACCCACCAATATTGCTCCGCTGTCGTGGGTCGTCGGCTTGGGGTGGAGCAGGCGGGGCATTGCGCATGGCTGACAGTATCGACAATTCTTGAATCAGCAGGTCTAACGCTTGGAATGTCTGGTGTGTGTAAAGCTGGACCTCGGCGAGGTAAAGGGATCGGGTGTCGTCGTCTTCACTTTGCAGTCGCGCTTCGTTGCGAGCGAGGTACTTTCAACGGAGGTTAGCAAGATACTTGAGTCGCAGAGCCCAACTTGAAGAACCAACCTCCAATTTTTGTTTCAGTTCTTTCTCCTCCCTGAACCGTGTGACTTTAATCTCCCGTCGAGCTGCGGCATCGTTGGCCGGAGCCAGAGTCCATGATGACGGGTTGGCCATGTATTGCTCAAAGAGCTTTTTATCTCCGCCAGCGAGTAATTCGTATTCATCTAAGCGTCCGAGGAATTTTTCATATTGTTCCAATGCACGTTTCAAAGAGGCTTCACGGTCCGAGGTGGCAGCTCGCTGCACAAGTTCGGCAAGGAAGTATTCCAGTGACATGTACCTGAACATCAATATCAGTCAAATGAACTCGATTTACTCCATTTCTGCCTCGTAAAACATACTGAATGTCATTGGTTGACACATCTTCAAGTGACTCGTTAGAGCTGAACAAGGACAGCATGCTAATTTGGCGCTGGCATTCTTGGAATTTGGCGATCGTCGCGTTCACGTCGTCTCGATAAGCTTCGGTATTGGTGTCTCCCCGCGATCCTAATTTGTCTTTCTGTTCCTTAGCTGATGCAAATAGAGCCCGCAGACTCTGTGGCTCCTCCATCTTTCCAAATATGCAGGAGTTGGTAGTTGGGCAGTGTCGTGTCCCCGCGATCTGAGTTTTGGGGGGGCTGATAAGAGATAACCTTATCGATAAAACCCAGCTCGGAGTATAGGCACTGGCAGTCTTGTCACATTTTGAACATGAGGACCCGAGAAAATGAGACCTAAAGCTAACGTTCCAAAGGCTCCGCTGGGTTAAATAGTCCACGTTGCTCCCCCTTGCAGAAATGCAGTAACTGTGGATTGAGTTGCCCGAAAAATGTTACCGTTTTCTGCCGATATCACGGAGTCGAACAACCTACCATTAATTAGTGCACCCGTCATAGACTTCTGCAACACGAGCCATCATCTAATATATATTGGAGACCCCGGAAAATGTTGAAGTCAAGACGAACCGATATTCAAAGATTCAAACCAGTCTTCGGATGCCACTATGGACCCTCTACTTGACCACAAGCAAGCATTTCAAGATGCAGATCGCGGATTTATAGATCGCCTTGATCCCTGCATCGTCAAAGACAGTCAAGGGCAAACTGTTTGGGACAATGAGGCTTACAGCTTCTTAGACAACACGCCTATTCCAGAGACAGCAAACTGGAAACTATGGTGCCAGGCCCAACTTGTTGCGAAGCAAGGGCTTTACAAAGTGGTCGACGGCATATACCAAGTTCGAGGACTCGATCTCTCAAATATCACATTCATTGAAGGAAAAAGCGGTATTCTCATTATTGATTGTCTCACTTCCACCGAGTGTGCTAAGGCCGCGCTTGATCTCTACCACAAAAATCGTGGCAAGAAGCCTGTAGTGGGCATGATTTACACCCACACACACGTCGATCATTTTGGCGGAGCGGAGGGAGTAGTTTCACAAAGTGAAGCTACCAGGATACCCATAATTGCTCCTCAAGGGTTCCTTGAGCATGCCGTCTCCGAAAACATTTTTGCCGGGAATGCCATGGCTCGCAGAGCAGGATACATGTACGGATATGAGTTGGCAAAGGGTCCCAAAGGACAGATCAGTTGTGGGTTGGGATCAACCGTCTCCTCGGGAACGATATCGATGATCCCTCCAAACCTTGATATCACTCATACCGGACAGGTGGAAACGATTGATGGAATAGAACTGTTCTTCCAGGTCACGCCGGGTACTGAGGCACCCGCGGAGATGAATATTTATCTCCCTCAATTCCGAACCCTGTGTATGGCAGAAAATGCGACACAATGCCTGCATAACATCGCAACGCTCCGGGGTGCGGCTGTTCGTGATGCTCTCGCTTGGTCTTCCTATTTGGATGAGTCGATCATGCTGTTTGCGGAGAAGACAGACACCATCTTTGCATTGCATCAATGGCCAACATGGGGCAACGAAAGGATATTGAATTATCTCATCGAGCAAAGGGACCTATATGCATACATACATGATCAGACTGTGCGGTTGATGAATCAGGGGCTTACTGGCATTGAAATAGCTGAGGACTTTTCTCTTCCGCCCAAGCTGCAGGCCGTTTGGCATGTACAAGGATTTTACGGGACGCTCGTTCACAATGTTAAGGCAGTCTATCAGCGTTATATGACTTGGTTTGATGGAAACCCAGCACATCTATGGGAGCACCCCCCAGTCCCATCTGCCAAACGTTACGTGTCTTGTATGGGTGGCGAAGAAGAAGTTTTGAGGAAAGCTGAGAGTTATGTCGAGGCAGGCGACCTACGTTTTGCGGCAACCTTACTCAATCACCTCGTTTTTGCCAATCCAGAAAACAACGATGGGAAAGAATTGTTGGCTTCGACGTATGAAAAGCTTGGGTTCGGATCTGAGAATGGCCCTTGGCGCAACTTTTACCTGACCGGTGCCAACGAGCTGCGCGGCCAAAGGATGTCCAAGAATGTACTTTCGGACCAGTCAAACATGTTGAAGGCACTGTCACTTGAACAGCTTTTCGCTTCCACAGCGGTGAGATTGGATGGTCCTCAGGCCCAGGCGCATAACTTCACAATCGACCTATACTTGACCGATCTAAAAGAGGGATGTCGTCTTATCCTCAGCAATGGTGCTTTGATCCATCGTACTGGTCTGAAGCAAGAGGAGATGCGGAACAGCCCGTCCAACTACTCATGTGCCATGACACATTCACAATTGCTCTTGTTCTTGACCACCGGGAAAGTTGAACAAGTTGAAACTGAAACAGGAGACCGTTCTTACTTGCAGAAACTTTGGTCTTTGCTATCGAAGTTTCAGGGAGATTTCAACATTGTCTTACCATGAGTTGAGGCTTCCAGAAGTACCCTTGGTGGTAACGAGGAGCCAGGTAGTTGCTGATCGTAGGTATTCCTGCACAACCAAACAAGTATCAAACTAATTGGAAATAGTGTATCTGCTTAAGGTGTGTAATACTCCTGGAATATATTTTATGTTTTGTACATGGCATCCACGGGTTTTACCCAGATTCCATTGTGAAGGGAAATGGCAATCCATTCGCCGGGACGATGCTTGAATCTACTGTACTTCCTATAAAATCTCAATATATGCGGAACATGACGTTTCTTACGAAAATATGAGTCTTGTATAGCCCAGATAGGAAAGACTTCCCGGTAGACGTGAGCCTGTTGATATAGCGCATATTCGCCTGGCAAGGATTCACGCGGTGTACAGCGCTCCGTTTGAGTCTCGAATCAAAATTCTAAGATATGGCGAGAACATCAGGCCTCCCTTTTAGGCAGGTTGTTCTCAGTCCTTTGGCACATTTAAAAATACTGAATTCTCGAATCATCAACTACTGGCGGCTGAAGTTTTCATGTCTACCGTGAGGCGCTTGTAGCTAGGAGGCTTGTCAATAGTTTCTGTGAAAGGTTGTTGGCGCACCCGTTGCACCCTTCGCAGGATTTACCCCATAAGTGTGGAGTTAGCTGAGAACAAGCGGAGAGACACTGTGAATCCCGTAAGCCCCGAATTTGATGTGCTTCCAAGGGTTTCCGATGGTCTGGGTTGGCATCAGAGCGATGTTCACAATTATATCCCTGACCAAGGAAGAATGGCCAAGCGGAGCCTCGTATACCAACAGGAGTCTTCGCCCCCTTAAACTCGATCTTGAGCCTCTAGCAGTTACCAAATATGTCTTCCTCATGGTTCTAAATATTAAGCTAGTTTCTTATCCTGCGAAGCAAATGCCAGAGTGTTCCGTAAAGCAGAAAAAAGTGTATCAGACATCGAAGCGCTCTAATCTTGTTCCCAAGACTTGCACAGACGTTCAAAGATGCTGAAATCGCCAGTATTTGAAGTTCATTCATTGAGCATGATGCAGTTCAAATATCAGAGGCCATCCTATCGAGTATGGAAAAACCTTGGAATGGACATCTCTTCACCAGTTGACGGTTTAGGGCTCTTGACTAAGCGGAACTGCCATTCCCTCATCCCCGGGGCCCCGGATTCTACTTGTCTTCAATATCTCATGTCGGCGAGTTAAGCCATACCCTCGGAGGCCCGAATACGATGTGCTTTGGGGATATCAGATGAGGTTGTAGATAGTCGCATACTAAGCATCTCATACTTCGTACAATAGAACCCTCTTTGCTGTTCTCGTGTCCTATAAAAGATTCGCTGTGGGGAACTTTGAACCGTGGACCTCAAACTGAGCTTTCTTCTACTCTCCTTCTCTTCAAACTCATAATTTTAGCCTGCAGCGCACAAAGGCTTGCAGTCACCGAAAATTGGGTAAGTACCAAGTCAGCCCTTAGCTATATCAGCCTCGCATTACTAAGTGCTTCCGAAATGGATCATTATCCCTCTCATTCCTCATCTCTGTGATATCGAGAGATTGAAACAGCGTGGTGAATGCTGGCAATGGAGCTCAGAACGCCGTTCTATATTGGTGTGATTCCACGACGTGACGCGACGCTCGACGATGGAAACGTTCGCTTTCCCATTAAACCACAATCAGATACATTCTCAGTCCTGGACAACATTCCGACAACCAAACAAAGTGGTTTCACTACTAGAGCTCATTTCCGGGCCATACTGCCAATGCATTCAAAAAAAAAGGATATGGTGAAAATGATTTCGATCTTGGTTTAGGTGACAAAATCGTTTTTTCCCCCTGGTGGCCAGATTCCGAGCGATAGGCTCCCGATCCCACTGAAATCCACATCAAACTGTTAAGGTTCAAGATTGATCCTTTGTCCAGTGTTTTGGAGCTTCAAGAGCCTCAGGTAATCCATGATAGCAACACAGAGTTTTATCGTATCGATGATCGTGTTGGGACACAAACCTCCGTCACTGCTTGTTTGTCCTCATAGATCCTACTCTTGGAACCACATTTTCAGAAATTGCACCACAACTAGGCGGTGACCATCCTCTGTAAAATTCTCTCACTCATTTAGATCTGAGAACAGAACAGATGAAGATTTACTGTCCCGGAGATGTCCATACGGTACAAGAACCTGCATTTATTCCTAGCAGCTAAGCTGCTGATGAGGGAGATTGGTATCTGTTGGCATTAGTCAATAAATATGTAACCATGTCAAGCGAGTTTCATCTTTTGAATTTCAAAACCTTTCGAAAGGCCCAGGCTGTCATTTCACTACCGTTCAGGCTTCGACAAGGCCTGCATGAAAATTAGGTAGATTATCGGGAGTCAGACTCCAGCCAGACTTAAACCATGTCTATTTTGATGAAGTATAAATGGATATTGGAATTTCCTCAATAATTTTGCCAATGCTCCTTCTCTTAAAGGAGAAAAACGAGTACTAATTAAGTAAACTGATTGGATATCTTAGAGGGAGCCTACAGAGTGCTAGGTTACATGCTACTAACCCCAAGCTTCTGAGCAATTACAGCCCGAGGCACCTGGATATGAGTTAAAAAGGGAAAACAAAAGACTTAGTAAATGGGAAGCGAAATCAAAGTTAGAATAGAAACTTAAGCAGCTCGCTCCTTAGACAATTTTGAAAATAGTCCATACTTTATTAGGGGCATTGTATACGATGTTAGCACCCCAACCGTAGATGTCTACTCTGGTGTTTGTCTAGCAATCAATATTTGTGGTCTATTTATATACATTTGGTGTTTTTATTTATCTTATGCTTATTTTAATCATTTTCTTTGTCGTTGCGTCAAACGGTTGTCCGAAGTATCAGTTTGGCCTCCGAACGCGTATCCGAAGTGTGAGGTTCCTTGACCTTACTTTCCCATCATTATATTTTAAATCATGAGCTTTGCCACATCTTCGAACTAAAGGTATTCTTAGTTCATGTTTGTGCTTCAAAATAAACATTTCACTGAGACCACTGAAGCGAGATCAGAACTCAAACGCCGTAAATACGCTGCACCTCAAACGCTGTCTTTCTCCCGCTTTCTTTTATATTTTCTCAACAAACACTTGCTTCTCTCGACATTCAAAGCAACCATCAATCATGAAACTTGAAAATCAAGAGGATACCGCCTCCTCTGACGAGGAAGCGGTACCTCGTATCACAGGCGCGGCACAAAAACGTGCTCAAAGCGCCATGTTTTCGACCCTGTACGTGATAATCTCTGCGAGATGAATATTGGCTGTTTATTTATCTCTCAGCTGACTTTGTGAAAGCCTCGCCCAGCATGCGCTGGATGATTTAGTGATCACAAAAGAGCGGCCCCAAATCATCTCAGACGCCGAGCTTTCTACTTCACGACTATTGGCCAAGCAAGACGGAGGAGTAGCGCTTGACCCTCGTGAATATCAAATTGAGCTCTTTGAACGAGCAAAGGCTCAAAATACGATTGCAGTTTTGGATACTGGTTTGACCCCTTGCTTGAACGTGTATCTTATAGATTGGCTAACCAATATTTTCAGGCTCAGGAAAAACTCTCGTTGCAGTGCTTTTGCTGAAACACATTATCCAAAAAGAGCTGGTGGACCGTGGGGCTGGGGCACAGCATCGAGTATCTTTCTTTCTGGTTGATAGCGTCACTCTGGTATTCCAACAATCGGGTGTCCTCCGCAACAACCTAAACCAGAAGGTTGCCCACTTCTTTGGCGGGTTGGGGGCGGATTTGTGGGACAGGGCGACCTGGAAAAAGCATCTAGAGACCTATATGGTCATAGTTTGCACGGCGGAGATTCTCAATCAGGCTCTACTGAACGGGCACGTCAGGATGGATCAAATCAATCTCCTGATCTTTGACGAAGCTCATCATGCCAAAAAGGAGCATCCTTACGCCAGGTATCTGTTTTGCTTATTTCTTTTTTTCACATCAGCGATATTTACTTGAACTTGTATAGAATTATCCGCGAGGCATACCTGGGTATGGAAGTCGAAAAACGCCCACGAATTCTCGGAATGACAGCCTCTCCGGTGGATGCTAAATGCAACATTGCAGAGGCAGCGATGTAAGAACAGTGGATATTAACACAGAATACCTGACTTACGTTCTATAGGAAGCTTGAGACGCTTCTGGACAGCCGGATCGCAACCACCGCAGACCTCTCACTCCTGCGACACTTTGTGAGTCGACCCAAGGAAGAGGTATGGGCTTACGAGACACTAGGCACGCCTTTTGAAACGGAACTACATGGTACACTCAAAGCTAAGTATGGACATATTACAATTCTGGGCCATTTCTTCCAAATTGCATTACATGCAAGCTCCGAGCTTGGAGGCTGGTGTGCTGATCAAGTATGGCCTCTGGCGCTGGCAATCGAAATGCTTCCCAAGATTGAAGGTCAGATCGCAAAGAACGTCGATGTTGACTTTGAAAATTCAGCAAAAGTCTCCAAAGAGATCAAGGAGATCCAAAACGCCAATGAATTTGTCATAAATTATTTGTCAAATCATTCCGATGGACCGCGAGACCTCAGCTCGAAAGTTCAACTACTTCTGAAGAAGTTAGAAGAGCAATTCAAACAATCACCCGATACAAAGTGCATTGTGTTTGTGAAGCGACGCAACACGGCCAAGATCTTGTCACAGCTTTGCAAAAGATTGCAAATTCCGAATCTGTGTACTGACGTCCTGGTCGGTGTTCGAAAGGGAGATACGGTGGGCATGAACTCTACGTATCGTACCCAGTTCCTTACTTTGATCAAATTCCGACAGGGAGTGTTGAACTGTTTGGTGAGTTACGATACAAACAGGACCCAAGACACCTGCTGAAGTCACCAGTTCGCAACATCAGTCGCCGAAGAAGGCCTCGATATCCCGGATTGCAACCTAGTCGTAAGGTTCGGTTTGCTACTATTTTCATTTAAATTCCTGAGTTAATAAATGAAAGATTTGATCTGTACGACACCGTCATTCAATATGTCCAAAGCCGTGGACGGGCCAGACACAGTGATTCGATCGTTGGTCCTTGAGATTTCTCTGTCTGTTCAGTGCATACTGACTTTATTTGCAGTATGCAACCATGATCGAAGCTGGAAACGAGAATCATGAGAGCAAGCAGCAAGAGGTTCGAAAGGCAGAGGTAGATGTGATTCTCACGATATAGGGCTAAACTGACATCAAAACAACAGGCTCTCATGAGAACCTTTTGCAATGTGCTTCCGAAAGATCGACTGCTGAAGGGAGCCGAACATGATCTGGACGAGGTCCTCCGAGAAGCCCACCTCAACAGAACATACACTATAAACGAAACCGGGGCTAAGCTGACATATCGCCATGCGATCGATGTTCTGGGTCGATTTGCCAGCTCATTGGTGAGTGGAAGATAAATCATAGCACATTAATGACTATACGACATTGAACTAACAGCTGCAAACTAAAAGCAATATGAGAAAGATCTGTCGGCCCAGGCTACGTATATTGTTGCAACACAGAATGAAAAGTTCAGTTGCGAGGTAATTCTTCCAGAGAAGTCTCCCATTCGAGGAGTGTTGGGTAATCTCGAGAACAAGAAATCCCTAGCTAAACAGGCGGCCGCATTTGACCTATGTCTGTTGCTCCGAAGAAATCACTTGTTGGATGACCACTTCAACTCTGTCTACCACAAGCGTCTACCGGCCATGCGAAATGCAAAGTTGGCTCTCACAGCCAATAAGACAGACCAGTATGCCATGCGTACCAAGCCATCGATCTGGGCCAGAAACCGAGGCACAGTCCAAAAATGTCTTTTCGCAAAATTGATTAGCCTTGATCCCTCAACGCCGCTCACACGGGAGCATAGAAGCATTTTGTTGCTGACACGGGAGCCACTTCCTTCCATACCAGAATTTCCAGTCTTCTTAGAACACAGTATTGAAACCGCAGTCAGATTGAGCGGCACTGAAAACTCGCTCAACGTTACCCCTGCGGAAATAGATCTCCTAACAGCCTTTACGCTTTCGATTTTTCACGATTTGTTTCACAAGACCTATACTCGAGAGTCACAGCTGCTGCCTTACTGGATAGCCCCGGCTCGAGAGAAATTCCAAGCGACAAATTCCTTCAGTGTCTTTGACGCTATCGACTGGGAGGCTCTGAATTACACTGATGACAATCAAAACCTTCTGTGGTCCCCGGACATGAAGTCGGAATCTCTGTTGAATAGGCTCCTTTACGATGACTGGAATGGAAAGTATCGGTACTTCCCAATTTCCATTGATGAAACATTGATCCCTACAGATCCTGTCCCTTCATATGTTCCAGCTCGAAAGTGGTCAAAAGACATCATGAATTGGACATTGAGTTTGAGCAAGAATTCACGGCCCAAGTTTTTTGAACGCTGTATCTGGGATCAGCCTGTCTTGCAGGCAGAGATAGTCTGTCTCCGAAGAAACCTCCTAGACAAGGCAAGCGAGGAGGAGAGATCTGTCAACACCAAGGCCTTTATTTGTCCTCAACCGTTGTGCATTTCTGCGGTAAGTCATCTCCACTGCAATGAAATACTTTTTTAGCCACTGACAATGAAGATATATGACAGATTTCATTGCCTGTGGCCGCAACATGCTTTGCGTTTCCCGCAATTATTAGTCGGATTGAGTCCTACTTAATTGTTCAAGAAGCATGCGAGATGCTAGGTCTTGATATTAAGTCTGAGTATGCATTGGAAGCTTTCACCAAAGACTCTGACAATACAGAAGAGCACAGAGGTCTGCAACTTCAAATTCAGCGAGGAATGGGAAAAAATTACGAGCGTCTTGAGCTGCTAGGTGATTCGGTTCTCAAGATGGCCACGTCGATCTCACTTTTCGCTCAAAATCCCGATGACAATGAATACGACTATCACGTCAACAGAATGTGTCTCATCTGCAACAAGAATCTATTTGCCACTGCAGCCCAACTGAATTTATACGAATGGATACGTAGTCGGGGTTTCTCTCGGTATGTTATCGCAGTCTTCATTTGAAATGAATCGTATAAGTAACACTTGATTATAGGAACATGTGGTACCCACCAGGACTTGTCCTTGAATATGGACGAGATCATTCCAAATTCGTCAAAAGTGAAGGAAGACATGCTTTATCAGAGAAGACCATAGCAGATGTCTGCGAGGCATTGATAGGAGCTTCTTTGCTTTCAGGGAGCAACGAGAATCGTTTCGACATGTCTATCAAGGCCGTCACATTATTTGTTAATCACTCGAGCCACACGGCGACAATGTGGAAGGACTACATTGAAGCTTACAAACTTCCATCATATCAGATTTCCAGGCCAGATGCAGTCGACCTTGACCTCGCTCGGCAGATCGAGAGGTTGGGTTACACATTCAAATACCCCCGTCTTCTGCGGTCTGCCTTTACGCATCCATCGATTCCATCTTCGTGGGCAAGAGTTCCCTGTTACCAGCGACTTGAGTTCCTAGGTGATGCACTGTTTGATTTGGTATGCGTGGAATACTTGTTCCATCGCTTTCCAACTCGTGATCCGCAATGGTTGACTGAGCACAAGGTTTGCTAGGCTTGACTTCCATTTGGTTGACTGTAACTAATGTTTACTAGATGGCAATGGTTTCGAACAAGTTCCTGGGAGCCTTGGCCGTGAAGCTAAATCTTCATCCACATCTTCAACACGCCAGTGCGCCTTTACTCTCTCAAATCACGAGATATGCGGAGGCGCTTCAAGTTGCGGATAGTGAGAGCGGTGGAGAAATGGATTATTGGATTTCGGCTCCGGATTCTCCAAAAGTAGTGTATCTCGCGCATATGAGACTCATGGCATGCAAAGCTAACCGAGTTAATCTATAGGCTCTTCCCGATATGGTCGAGGCCTACGTTGGGGCTATATTCGTTGATTCTGGGTTTGACTTGACAGTAGTTGAGAAATTCTTCCAAACGCACGTCCTGCCCTTCTTTGGCAATATGTCCATCTATGATACATTTGCAAACAGGCACCCAACGGTAACTGTCTCTCAAGCTAATTCCAACCCGGTTTTTGGTACTGACATACGCTTCTAGACTTACCTTCATAATAGAATTGCACAGGAATTCCGATGTAATGACTATTGTTTGAAGTCTGGAGAAATTCCAGGCGTGGATGGAGAACCTCCTACCATTCTCGCCATAGTCATGGTACATGGAGAACCTGTGGCAAAAGCTGTTGCAACGTCTAGTCGATATGCCAAAATCAAAGCCAGCTCTAGGGCCTTAGAGACTCTTGAGTCCATGACGCGCACTGATTTCCAGGCCAGGTACGATTGTGCTTGCCACGATGATGAGACAGCACAAGCTGTGGAAATTGGGACTGCGGTATGAGGACCAGATTATGATTTCCGGGATCAGACTGGAACAGAGAATGGGCTTTCAATCCTATTTTCATTCCAAACATAGCCTTTTTGTAGCTAAACGTAAGGTTGTAGTCTGGCCAAGAGTTGGGCAATATATATCTTGAAGGGTCTATCTGTCCTTCAACTATATGCCCATAATCACCTACACATACGGTTGGAGCTCACTTAAATCAAAAGCTCAAGGAGTCCATATTCTAGAATTGAGAGATATAGAAGAGGCTCAAGTCTTTACTTGGAACGGTTCAGGGACCAGAGCCATGGACGGCACTTGGTCGTGTCACGCTAAGCCCAATAGGGACTAGCGGACATCCCCTGAAGTAGAGCAAACACGCCGCGTATCTTTATCTCGCATCTCAACAGACAGTACACAACGGCAGAGGGGACTTTCGATCTTTGCTTCTTCATTCTTGTTATTAATCTAGATTTCTTCCTTCCTTTCTGCTTTTGCTGTGTTTCTCTTACCCCATTTGGCGACCCGATTATCGACGCGATCTTCGCCAACATTTCCGAACAAATCCGCACTCCTCTCCCCCCAACCATCAATGAGCACATTGCTGTCATAATACTCTTGTGAATATGGAGGTCGCCACACCAGGCGTACCAAATGGCGTCTCAACGCCTGAGACGGCAGCTATGGTGGATTCCGGTGCGGTCATTCAGTACCTGACGGAGGTGCTCCAGGTAACACTGGGAGCTCAGAAGTCCGAGTTGGAAAGCGCTGGGAGCTTGCTCTCGGAATCTAGATACAACGAGACGGTACAACGCTGCACGCGATTCGCTTCGGAGTCGCAAGTCGCACTCTATGTACAAAAGGACATTGTTGCGGCGGAGGAAGTTAATGGCGACGCGGAGAACCAGGGTAAGTGCCTTCCAAGTGTGCAGCCATTGATAGTACTCTGACAGTCGAAGAAACAACTGTGCAATACCTCTACAGCATTTCCTCCGAGATCTCATCCGCTTCCACCACCGTCGCCTCGGTGGCTATAATCAAGCGGCCCGCTCCTATTGACCCGACTCTTCCGATGGCGTCGCAAGTCCAGGTCATGAACCTGCCTGGTCTCGCTTCGCTTAACAATACCCCGACCCAGCAGGGAAACGCCATGTCGCCCTACCAGATCCTGCACCTGCTGCTACACCACGGTCTTAGTCCCTACTTCGAAGCTTACACCCGCAGCCAAGAGACGGCCGTTGGAACGAAATCGAAGACGGACACAGAGGCGAAGACGGGAATTCCAGGAACCAAGAAGAAGTTTGCGGATTTGGAGCTTGGTTTGATGCACTTGCAGCAGAATGTGGAGATCCCAGCTTTGAGCCTGCCACTTCACGAAGTTGTACAGGGTGCCCTTAAGGAAGCAGAGACACGCGGAATCAAGGCATCTGTGGAACTGATTCCCTCGACGGTTCTGGAGAGCAGTGCATTCACAAACAGCATCCAAAATGTGGTAAACGGCTGGATTCGGTCGATCCAGACCATCACCAAGATGTCCCGCGATCCGAACAGCGAGTCAGCTTCCCCGGAAGTCAACTTTTGGTTGTCGATGGAAACTGCTCTGGAGGGTATCGATGCTCAGTTGCAAAGCGACGGCGTGCGGTTGACTATGGACATTCTTCGTCACGCGAAACGGTACCAACCTACTCTCAGTTTCCGGGCGGACACTGGGCTGAAAGATGCCACCGACTTGGTCCAGAAGTACAACCAGTTGATGCGAGACTTCCCTCTCGACGAGCTTCTTTCTGCGACCTCGTTGCAAAAGGTTCAGGAGTCTTTGAACTTGATCTTCACTCACCTGAACAAGAAGTTAAAGATTTGCCCCTACCCGATCAAGCGAGCTCTGTCCCTCGTCGAGGCCATTTCCGGAGATCTTGACAAGAAAATGCATGAACTTATCAAAGGAAACACTATCTTGCAATTGGACTACCGCGAGTTCCGGTCATTGATGAAGGTGACGCAAGCGATCTGGCGTACCTGGGACGAAAACCTCAAGGAATTCACCAATGTCGCCCGTGAATCGACAAGACGTCGTAACGAAAAATTCATTCCTATCAAGATCAACGCCAGGCACGACAAGACCCGTGAGCGACTCAAGTATGTTGACACCTTCCGAGTCAACCATGAACAGCTCCAGAAAACCATCATCAATGTTCTTGGCCCAAAGAGTTCTTCGTCCGCTGATGTTGGGGCTGTTGAAGGTGACGGAGCTGTCATCGTGGAGGAGATTGGCGATGTCGACGCCGTAGAGGAAGTTGCGCATGCCTATGCTGCTCTCCAAAGCGTTGATGTGCTTGATGTCACAACCGAAGGGTCTCTAGAATGGGAGCGCCAGGAAATTGCGTACAGCGAGCGTACCTCTCGAGTGGAAAACTCCATCATTGCCCGTTTGCGTGACCGTCTCGCTACAGCTAAGAACGCCAATGAGATGTTCCGTGTTTTCTCCAAGTTCAATGCACTCCTTGTTCGCCCCAAGATTCGTGGTGCCATCGGCGAGTATCAAACACAGTTGATCGATAATGTCAAGCGAGATATCAGTGCTCTTCACGAGCGTTTCAAGCAACAATACGGTCATTCGGAAGCTCATGCCATGGCACAGCTTCGCGACCTTCCGCCTGTGTCCGGTGCTATTATCTGGACACGTCAAATCGAACGACAGCTTGATGGGTATATGCGCAAAGTGGAAAACGTTCTTGGTGAAGACTGGCATCTGCACACCGAGGGACAAAAGCTGCAGGCCGAGAGCAACCTCTTCCGCAAAAAGCTCGACACACGACCAGTATTTGAATCGTGGCTGTGGGATGTTCAGCGACGCCACATCACGATATCTGGACGACTCTTTAGTGTTGTTCGCAATCGTGCAGCAGGAAATACGTTTGAATTGACAGTCAATTTTGATGCACAGATCATCGCCCTTTTCAAGGAGGTCCGCAACCTAATTTGGCTCAACTTCCAAGTTCCTCATGCCGTCAGTAACATCTCCAAGGAGGCCAAGCGTGTCTATCCTTATGCTATTAGTTTGATGGAGAGTGTCCGGACTCTGCTTCAGACTAACCGCACAATCGCCTCTATGTCAGATGTTGCCATCCTGCTCAACGGCTACATGAACGACTCACAGGCAATGGTTGCCAAGGGTATTCCTCTCCGGTGGGAGTCGTTTGTACACTCATACGAACTGCACGTCAAGCAATCAGCATTGGCAAACGGTGCCACCGATACTTCAATGCCTAGCCGCACCGAAAGTAAGCATGTTCAATTTGTGCGCGAGTTTGCTGGCTCGGCATCTGTGCTTCAGTCAAAGACTGCCGTGCTTTCGGCTATCAACGAGAACATCCAGAAATCCATCCACGAACTGAAGACTTGCGCATACGATGCCGCTGCCTTCAAGCAACGTCTGGACACTATTCAGGTCGCTGTTGATAAGCTCAACCTTGAGAACTATGTGAACCTTGGGTACTGGGTTGCTGAACTCAATGGAAAGATCGAAGCTATTCTGCGGGAGCGTCTTCTTCGCGCCGTGCGTGAATGGATTGGCGCCTTCCACGAGAGCAAGATTGAATCCTCTAGCACCACAGTTGCAGCGACGGCCGATGCTGAAACCATGGCCTACAATATTCAATTCCCCAACCTGTTCCATGAGATTTCCATGAAGAACCAAGTCCTTCACCTGGATCCCCCACTGCAGTTTGCACGAGCCAGCTGGTTCTCTCACTTTGACACCTGGCTCGGTGTGATTTGCAACCTGGAGAAGATTAAGCCGTCGCGTTACCAGATCTCCATTGGAGTACAAAAGAACGTCCGTCTATCTGACGTTTGCTTCGCCAACCTTCCCCAGCATTGCACAGATGAGCTCAACAAAGTTTACGGTGTCGTGGAGAGCAGACTCAAGGAAGTATCAGAGTATGTCGACAAGTGGCTGCAGTTCCAGTCACTTTGGGATTTACGCTCCGAGCAAGTCTACGACATTCTGGGCGATGATCTGTCTCAATGGCTCCAACTGCTCCAGGAGATTAGAAAGAGCCGTGCCACTTTCGACACCTCTGAGGTTGGACGCTCCTTTGGCAACATCCGAATCGACTACGAGCAGGTACAGACTAAGGTCAATGCCAAGTACGACCAGTGGCAGCATGAAATCCTTCTCAAGTTCGGTGCCAAACTTGGCGGCCGCATGAGAGAGGTCCACTCCGAAATTGCTGCTGCACGTCGTGACTTGGAAGGCCAGACCCTAGAAGCCTCTTCGACAGCGCACGCTGTTTCCTTCATCACCATTGTTCAACAGTGCAAGCGCAAGACTCGCGTCTGGGAGCCTGAGGTTGATTTGTTCCGTCAAGGTCAGACTACACTCTCCCGACAGCGTTACCAATTCCCCAGTGACTGGCTTCACGTTGAGAACGTCGATGGCGAGTGGGCGGCTCTCAACGAGCTGCTCACTCGCAAGAGTAAGATTGTGCATGATCAGACTGAAGGCCTGCGTGCAAAAATCACCGCTGAAGACCGAGTTATCGGTGACAAGATCGCTGAGGTTATTTCCCAGTGGAACGATGAGAAGCCTGTCTCTGGAACCATTCCTCCCGAGGAAGCATCACAGACCCTGAAGACTTTCCAATCTCGCCTTGAAGCCCTCCAGTCAGAGTTTGAGATGGTTTCCAAGGCCAAGGAAGCCCTCGACCTGCCTGCTAGTGCCGAGTCCTCTTTGCCACCAATCCTCGAAGAGGTCCAGGACTTTACCTCTGTTTGGGGTGCGCTGTCGACCATTTGGCAGAATCTTAACGACCTTCGCGACGGACTGTGGACCAGTGTGCAGCCTAGGAAGCTCCGCCAAGCTCTGGACAACTTAATCAAGTTGACCAAGGAGATGCCCAGTCGTATGAGACAGTATGCCGCCTTTGAGCATATCCAGAATGTTCTTCGCGGACTGCTGAAGGTCAACATTCTTTTGTCTGACATGAAATCTGAGGCTGTGAAGGAACGTCACTGGC